TGCGAGCGCGTCGTGTCAAAGACATTCCCGGCCTGCGTGGCCTTTCACAAGCCGACGTTTATGCAACAGCTGAAAAATGCTTCGCTTGAATCCAGTCTCGTCTATGGTCTGTTAGCTTGTGCTGCTCGGTGAGTTTTCCTTTTTCTCTTTTTCTCTCTCTTTTTCTTCTTCTGCGCTGGCATGGCTTGATCTGGTATGCCGCCTTAATCACCGAGGCTATCTGCGCCGCTTTCGCCGAGCTTTGGTGGATCATTGGCCCCGATCGGACCCCATGCGCAAGGCCAGACAGCCTTGTCTTGAGTAGCTGGCTGGTCTGGAGAAGCGCGCACGGGATTGGATGTTGGCAAATGTGGTTTATGAATGGATTGTCTTCGTATTCTTTACCAGGAGGTTTCTCATTGCTGATTGATGCTTCTGTAGGAGCTCCCCAACCCTCATCCGTCGCTATGGCGGCACTCCAACCGCTGCGGCGGACACCTTTGCGGGCAAGGCCATCTCCTTGATCAACTCCAATCTGGACCAGCCCAACCTCGCCGACATACAGGCACTCTGCCTGGTCATCATCCACGAATGGGGCAGCCGAAATGCTGTTCGCGCCTACGTCTACCTCGGCCAAGCCACCCGGCTCTTGCAGATGTATCGGATCCTTAATAGTCATCACACATCTGACACCGCCGACCAGTTCCTGCGCGACGAGTCTTTCCGCCGCACGCTGTGGCTGACTTACATCCTCGACTGTATCCTCACCTCTACGCCCGGCCGGTATCCTGCGCTGGCCATCCAAGACACTTCCGACGTGGCCCTGCCCTGCTCCGATATCAACTTTGCATTTGGCAATGCCGTCTATGTCAAGAGTCTCCCGCAGCAGCTCGGCTTCCTCAACGGTGCTCACGAGTCACCCAACCGCCATCTGCCTCAAGGTGAGATTGGCGAATTTGGCCACATTGTCATGGCCGCCACCATTTGGCGAGATGTTGTGGGTATGCTTGGCGTTGCGAGCTTCCGCGAAGAAGATTGCACAGACCTCATCGTTAGGATTGAAAGACTTCGGGGCAGCCTCCCCATGCAGTTTGTTGATAAGCCGGGCCAAATCAACCTTCATATGACGATGGGGTCTGGCTATACTTTTGCCATGCTTCACTGCCTCATTCACTGCGCCATCATCTTCGTTCACCGCCGGCGTCTCTTAGAGGATACCACATCCCCCTCCTTTAACCTAGAGACATACCGCCACACCCCTCGCTGTCACGAGATCGTGGACCGCCTCTTTAGCTCGTGCCATGGCACTTTGGCGCTCCTTGCCGCAGTCGAAGCCGGCGCCGAGAAGGATCATGCAATTTGCTTGCCCATCTTCATGCTCTTCTCTGCATTCACTGCCAGTGCAACTATCGCCTTCCTCTCCCTCAAGGGTCTGACGCCCCCCAACGCCGTCGAGACGGCAGCGCATATTGTCAAGGATGGCTTGCGGTTTATGCACGATGGCAATGAGAACTGGCCGCTGATGAACAGCTGGCTTAGACACCTGACTGTCATGCAACGTGTGCTTCACAATGATGCCGCTGCTGCCATGATGGGTTCCAGACACGGCTCTCATCCCCACCTTGCCCCGGTGCCGGCTATCAAGGATGAGATTTCATCTAACGGCGATACAAATCAAGATGCCATGGAGTATGACCAGCAATCTGCCACTGGAGCTGGTCCCGGACAGCAGCATGGTTCTGCCACCCGCTCAGTATCTGGCTCTGCTCGTGGAGAGAGCGAGCCTCCTGTTTCCCTTCCTAGGCGACCTGGCGTTACGACCATTAATGGGGGATCTAACAACATCTCCACCTCGGGCACCGCATCGCCACCAGCTGGCGGTGCTCCGCAAGCGAACATGCAGGTTCACGATGTTAAGCAGCCGAGTCCTGAGATGATGGCCAACGGCATCGTTTCAGTCCAAGACGGACAAGCTACGAGCCAAGACATGACTGCGCCTGAGCTATGTGACGCATTTGAGCGCCAGCTTTTGGATCTCGACGACCTCGCTGCGTTTATGGGTGGTGGGGTTTGACTTGAAGATGCCCATTATGATGATGCATCGCAAATGGCAATTACGGATGGGGCCAGGATGCTTATGACTCTTGCGGGGTGCGCAGCGACGTAATACCCATTGGGCGGCCAAACTTATGGGCTTTTCCCTTTTCCTATTCTTCCTTTCTTTGGCGGGAGCACATACGGTGGGATTTGCAAGACAGAGAAAGCTTATACAACGACCGCGACAGCGCTACGATGCATACTAATGACGTGAAACGGAAGACTGAATTACCACAGACTTGGCATTAATCATGGGAGGAGGTATTTGTACGTGTTAGGCTATTACTCTTTTTCATTTATTTTTCTTTCATCTCTTTTTGATTTCTGGTTTTCCGATACCCGGAGGAAAGACGGAGGGGGCAAAGAGGCGTTGAGGACTTTGTAGTGATAGGGATTATAAAGACCACCACTTGAGTATACTCAAAATCATAGCTTTAGTTCGAGTCAGACTGAAGTAGAGATGTTACAGTACGAGTAATGAAACAAGTCCATATGAATATGCTTAGCTTACAACCTTTCATGGTACGAGGGGGCATGACTCGATGTGATACGGGTGGCGTATTGTCTTCGGAAATGGCTCGGAAACAGGGACGTTCGAGCTGTTGCAATAGCAGCTACAACATCGTGCGTTTTGAAGTGAATTGATGACATGTGGGAATTAAGTAATTATCAACCACGTTTGTTGATATCTTTGATTTCAATTTCAATTGAAACAGATATATAGCCTCCGAAATGTCCCGAATGCCCCTTTTCTTTCTCCGCAGTATTCGTCATATCTTTTTCAGTCCTCGTTCCTTGTCATTGTTGGAGAAATAAGGGCAGCACAACTGTACGGAGGAGGGAATGAGATTTTGGGGTTTGTTTTTGTGGGGGAACCGCCATGTGGAGTAAGAAGAAAGCTGGGGGGAAAATAAGGACGGCAGTTTTTTGTATGGTGGAGAATTTGGAGGGAGCTAGCCTAGTGAAATAACGGAAAACGGCCGAGCTTTCTCTATCGGACTTGTTCTTTTAGAGAACAAGGAAAACTGGTTCTATTGTTTTCGTTTTGGCGATTCTTTATCGTCCGTTTATTACTGTTTCCGATTTAGTCCATGGGGACCTCCGTATAAGGTAGACTTTTCATTAGACTAATGGAGAATTACGGAGCAGATATGAGAGAAAGTTGGGGTAAAAGAAGCATGTTTCTGACGTGCGGAGCTTATCTCCGTTATTACTAACATAAGCATCACGTACGGCGATGAGTGATGTGTTGAAAAAACATGGGGAACACGATAAAAAGTCGGATCTGAGATTGAGAAATGAGGGTTTTTTGCGGAGGAGTCTGGGGGGAAGAAATGGGGAATGGGGGAAAGTGGAGGGTTTGATATTGGTGTTGGTTGAAAGGGGAGAACTATTGAAAAGTTGGGTGGCACTGGATCTTGCTCGGGCCATTGTGCCATGACAGCTGAAAGGATGGTTGGTGTAACTGTGTAGCTGAATGGCTTACTGTTTCCATGCACGGAGTAGGATCAGGAATCCCCAAATTATCGATTTTGATGCTGGAGATATTGGGGTGCCGCTGCTAGCTTGCTTCTCGCGTGGTAAATGTTGCATTTCCTGCCTGTTTCTGCAACATCCATTGATTGCTACTTTTTGGGGTTGCGGTCAAAGCCGGTTGGTCAATCAACTTCGTGGTAGAGAGTGGCGAACAATTTCTGATTTCATCTTGTTCTGAAACTCTTCATTATGAAAATCTTTTTTGATATTTTTTTTTACTACGGGGTTCTCCTATTGTTAAGTCTATATTGTCAGTGCGTACAACCGCGAGTGTTTGCCTGTGCTTTTCATTCTCCATCTCTGCTTTCAATTTTCAAAGTCACGAGTTTGTGTTCTGTTCGCCCTGAGTCCTGAGCTCTGTGGCTAAACTATGGGGCATGTTGAGCGAGAGCTGCTGCATTTTTGGATCTGGGGAATTTAGCGAGAACCGCTAATCTATGGAGTCTGGAGACTCTCGGTCTTTTTCCGTCCATTAGTTCAGCCTGCTACTACTAGCAGTATTCTGCGTCGCACTTGTAGGAACCGGTGGCTTCTTCTATTGCTTCTCCGAAAAACTTCTTTGCGTGAGTGGCTTTTTGTTCTTCCTCGCCGGTAGTTCTTTTTATGGAGGCGGTAGCTTGTTCTTCCTTTTATGCGACATGCGAATGATGGGGCGCGCTTAAAAGATAATAGCCGAGTTGGCCGAATGTGCCAGCCTATGAGGCGGCTGCATTGGGGATGTTACTTATGTAACACCGCTTATTGATGTTTTTGATTTAGAGATTTGAAGAAAATCCATGGCTGTGAGGAAGAGTTATTGAGAACTTCGGTGCTTGCTGCTGGCTATGGTAAAGCGTAGGCAGGATAAGTGGGATTGCGACTTCGGATTAGTGAACCGGGGTTCTCGTCTCTACCTACATGTACTGCTTCTTCTGGCACCTTTTACCGACATTTTACTTCTGCGCGTCTTCTCTACGCATATCTGGGTCGACAACTAATTATGCGAACATGCCCGTTTGCAGTTTTCGCTTACTCTGTCAACGGCACAGCGTGCGTCGCCGAACTTGGCCTGACCTCGTCACATTTTCCTTTCAGCAGCACATGGGGATCTGCAGAGCTAAACAGCGTTAGGCCAGTGAATGACGAACTCTGGGCTCGGCAGCAAAAATGCCGGCTTTTGCGCCATGACGCTCTTGGCAAAGCGAGCAGAAAAGAAGAAACTCTCCCCGGGCGGCCAATGAACTTGTCGAGCTTGTTTCCCCGCTTATACGCTCAGGCAGGCATCAACAGTCTGGGGGGTTCTTTTTGAAGGTTAGTGTCTTTTTTTTTTTCTGGAGGATGAGCTGGGTTCTGACCTTTAGGCGGGGAAGAGAAAAAGCGGGCTCTCCGCCTTTGGAGAAGAGAAGAGGATGAGCAGCAGGTCGGAATCTAAGGTTGGCAGGGAATCGCACTCGTGCATGCGTGTACGAGTAAGGACGCCCATGCCATATGTGCATATCGCCACCGTCTGATGGGAGCTGGGAACCGTCAAGTGTGATGTAAATGGCTCACAATGCCACGTTTACGACGGATGGGGATTGGGTTTCGTTCCTGAGGGCTGCGGCTGGCTATTGAGTTTGGAAGCCTCAGTACTTGTACTCTGCTAGTTGGCGCTACTCGGCAATTATAGAAGTGGCTACAACAAAGAGTAGAGAAGTGAGCGGCACTGTGATCGAGTCAACCAACGGCGAGGCTGCCGGTAATCTTGGCTTTGAGAACAAAAGCCGTCTTGGCTCAAGCCTCAAAGCAGTAGCCATGATATCTAGTCGTTGACCTTCTCCTGCCGTCACCAAGTGGGCTTTCTAGCCGCCGTCTCCAAAACTCACCAGCCTCCGCACGAGAAAAGCCACCCATCTTCAACGCCTCCATCTTATCTTCTCCTGTCTTCGTAGCTAAATCTTTTTCAGTGGGAAATATTGTACAGAAAACCACTTCATTCGCTGAATCCCTCTAATTTGTCTGTTCTCCGCCGGCCTGGCCGCCGACCCTTTCCGAAAATGGAGGCCACCCTTCTTCTTCTTCCCTCCGCCGTCCTTTTTCCCATGTCGCTTGATGGATGTTCCACTTGACAGCCAAGCTAGGTAGTTTATTGAAGAGAATGCACTGTAGGCACAACTAATGTGATAAAGGTTTACCCGTGCCCGAGTGCTAATGACAATAGCGTCTGAGTATGGATGTCTGTAGAGGAATAACCCGCCACGAGCATTGCCGCTCCGCTGGTTCGAGCCATCCATGTAAAAGCACCGGCGATGGGATGTGGGATGGATGGAGGATGGATCCCCCCCATCAGGCAGCGTGCGTGACTGGCCGCCATGCTTGGTTGGTTCCAGCCCCGGAGTGGATCAGATCAGCCATGCTCTGTGTGGTGTTTTTCCTCCCTTGTGCTCTTCAAACCGACTTTTTTTCTTGTACGGCGCCCGTATTGTCTTGTTGGGAGATACAAGCGGTGCTTGGCATAAGCTGGGGCCAGGTCCATCTCAGCTAGCGAGGATGCTGGATTCCACAAAGTAGAGGATTATTGAGCTTTGTGTCACTGGAGTGAGAATGGGCAAGGCCAGACATCAGTGAATAGAATGGTCAGGTTTTCTGTGGCCAGGTCTCAGTTCCTGCGAGTCTAGACGCCGCAATCCAGGTACGAGCCCAGTAAGCACAGCGGCAACACGAGCAGTGTCTACAGTAGAAAAAGGAAACATGAAGCCACCTGGAGTTCCATGGTCCTAGTGCCTGGGGATGGTTGGCCGGCTAGTCATCGCGGGGAGCGTCTGTCTGCTTGCGGTTCCCCATAAGCCTCATCCTGGAGAATCCCACTTTTATACATTCACCGGTCTGGGGTTCCCCAACTTGGCCGCACATGCGTCTCCTCCTCCGCGTTCGCCCACTCCTCCGCAGTTCTTATATCTACTCTCTTCCCCTCCCTCTCCCTCTCTTTTCCCCAAGGCCCTTGTTTCTCTTTCCTTCGCATCTCCTCCCTCTTGCTCTTGGCCTTGTCTTCTCTCACACAAGCCCATCGCCACGAGAGCACAGAGAGACAACACCGCCAACATGGTCGGCAACAACGAAGAGTACTGGGTCCCCGAGAACTACGAGGGCATGAGCGCCGGCCGCTACCTGGCCACGCGCGTGTCCTCGCTCAGGCCGCCGATGCTCAACGTGCCGAACCCGTGGAAGCTGCTGCGCATGCTCAACCGCCAGCAGTGGTCTTTTTTCGCCATTGCCTTCTGGGCCTGGACCTGGGACGCCTTTGACTTCTTCACCGTGTCGCTGACCGTGGCCGACCTGGCCAAGCAGTTTGGCAAGACAAACACCGACATCACCTGGGGCATCACGCTGGTGCTCATGTTCCGGTCCGTGGGCTCCGTGGCCTTTGGTGTGGCGGCCGATCGCTACGGGCGCAAGTGGCCGTTTATCGTCAACAACCTGCTGTTTATTGCGCTTGAACTGGTAAGAAAAGGCCCCATGCGATCTGATTGTTGTGTCGTGCATTTTCTTGGCCCTTGGCGGAGATGCAGCCAAGATTTTGGCCAAGAGAGCCACGGCGGTGCCACCCGTCTTGGCCGAGCTGTTCCTGGCCAAGCAGCCGCTATAATCTGGCGTCAGCATCCGCGTATAGCAACTGCCAGAGCTATTGAATTGATTTTACAGCCTAAATTTGCAGAGCCAGAAGGCTAACAGCTTTCAATTACAGGGAACCGGATTCTGCAACACCTACAAGCAGTTCCTCGCCTGTCGCGCGCTCTTCGGCGTTGCCATGGGCGGTCTGTACGGAAACGCAGCGGCCACCGCGCTGGAAGACTGCCCGTCGGAGGCCCGCGGTATCATTTCCGGAATCCTGCAGCAGGGTGTAAGTCATCAATCACATTCTCAACTCCAAACCACCAATTTTTTTCTAACTTGTGTCTCCAACAGTATGCCTTTGGCTACCTCCTCGCTGCCGCCTTCGCCCGCGGCCTCGTCAACACCACCTCCCACGGCTGGCGCCCGCTGTACTGGTTCGGCGCCTGCCCGCCCGTCATCTTCATCGCCTTCCGCCTGATGATGCCCGAGACCCAGACCTACCGCGAGCGCGAGCGCATGCGCATCGAGGCCGGCCGCAACCGCAGCGACGAAAAGTCCGTCGGCAACGTCTTCCTCACCGAAGGCAAGGTCGCCATCAAGCGCCACTGGCTGCTGCTGACATACCTCGTCCTGCTCATGGCCGGCTTCAACTTCATGAGCCACGGCAGCCAGGATCTGTACCCGACCATGCTGACCAACCAGCTCGCCTTCAGCGCCAACAAGGTCACCGTCACGCAGGTTGTGGCTAACCTGGGCGCCATGACTGGCGGAACGGTTGTCGGATTCCTGAGTCAGTCCATTGGCCGTCGCTTCAGCATCGTCTGCTGCTGCATTGTTGGCGGCGCTCTGCTCTACCCCTACACATTTGTGCACGACACCTCCATCATGGCTGCCGCCTTCTTCCAGCAGTTCTGCGTCCAGGGCGCCTGGGGCGTCATCCCCATCCACCTGATGGAGCTGTCTCCCGGTGCCTTCAGGACCTTTGTCGTCGGCACCGCCTACCAGCTGGGCAACCTCGTCTCGTCGGCGTCGTCCACCATCGAGGCCCGCATCGGCGAGCGCTTCCCCCTGCCGCCCACCACAAAGGGCGTTGCGCGCTACGACTACGGCAAGGTCATCTGCATCTTCATGGGCTGCGTCTACGCCTACGTCATTGTCCTGACCTTTTTGGGTCCGGAACAGCTGCGCAAGAGCTTCGATGTCGCTTACGACCACGACGCTGCTGTTGTGGCCGGCTGGGACGACAAGGCCAAGGCTGAGCACGAGGAGTTTGACAACAAGGCGCGGGACTCTATTGCTGGCGAGAAGCAAGCTGAGGAGGTTTGAAAGAATAATATTCTGTGGATACCCTATTACTTGGATAAATGACTCTAGTATATCTTGCTTTTTGCTTTTTATGTTTATGAAATTGGGAAATGAGGGCTTCTTAGATCTGAAGCCTTGAAGGCAGTGGAATCAGACACTGTATGACAATTATGATGATGCACAACTAATGCTCTATATATACCACATATATAAGCCTCATCAATACAAAGACCACAAAGTGGTGAATGAAGAGTTAATGTGCCTTATTAAATTACAAATGTGACCTTGACTAAACTTGCTGATGTGTCTAAGTTGGCAAAGATGCGCTGTGGTTTAGCTATCGTACACCGGTGAAGCCACCGGCCGGGTCCATCTCTACCGAGTGCTGCCAAGGGGGCAATCATACATGTATGTTTTAAAAGAATTGTTTTTTCACTTACACAGAGTATATGTTTCGAGTTGGCAAAACATTGACGTGTAATTTAGAATTTAGAGTAACTGGTTAAAGCCAGAAAGGTACCCATATCGCTGCATAAACCCTCCCCTCTCAATTTTGGCTGATCTGCATACCCCATCTCCATGCAACCCCGCAAATGGTCTATAACAAACATGAAAGCCATCACATCCTTCTTTACACAGAAAATGTATATACCTACGTAGTCCATATAAAAGACAAATAGGAAAACAGCCCATCATGGCAAGCAGCAACTCCCACGCCAATGACCGCAGCAACCTCACCAGCCGCGTCCTCCCAGAAATGACCCTCTCGCCAGGCCGCGACGCCGCCCTCGACGCCCGCATCGACTCTCTCCACCCCGCGGCCCGCGACTCGGTCGCCGGCCGCTTCAGCATCGTCGGCAACGCCATCGTCACGGGCGGCACCGGGGCCATTGGCACCGTCGTGTCGAGGGCGATGCTCCAGCACGGCCTGTCCGGGCTGATGCTGTTCGATCTCAACGTGGGCGCATCGCGGGATGCTGTGCAGGCGCTGCGGCGGGAATTCCCCGCGGCGAAAATCACGGCTCTGGAGGTGGATGTCACAGACGAAGAGGCTGTTGCCGCAGCTGTTGCGGAGACAGTCCAGCTACTAGGCTCGGTGGACATGTTGGTGTGTCTTGCAGGCATCGTGGGATGCGCTCACGCACTGGACATGCCCATCAGCCAGTGGCGCAAGATCCTCGACATCAACACCACGGGGGCTTTCATCTGCGCACAGGCCGCAGCACGACAAATGGTCGCTCAGGGCAATGGCGGACGCATCATCTTCACAGCATCGATATCAGCGCACAGAGTCAACTTTCCCCAGCCGCAGGTTGCGTACAACGTGAGTAAAGGGGCGCTACTAATGCTCAAGAATTCGCTGGCGGCGGAGTGGGCAAAGTACGGCATCACGGTGAACAGCATCAGTCCAGGGTACATGGACACGGTGCTGAATGAGGGCGAAGGGTTGGCTGCGGCGAGGAAGATTTGGAGCGAGAGGAATCCGGCGGGGAGGATGGGAGTGCCGGAGGAGTTGGCTGGGGTGGTGGTGATGATGCTGAGCAGGGCTGGGAGTTATATGAATGGGGCGGATGTTGTTGTGGATGGAGGAGGACATGTGTTTTGATAGTGTGTTTGAGGTAGACTGATAGATTGGTTGTTGAGAAGAAGCAAAGAAATGCAATATATACATGTATATCGAGTGTAAGTCAACTCAAGCTCATATAGCGGATGGTGCATATAAGTGAGCATGCATGTACACAACTCGCCTCTCCAAAGCTTCAAACAAGACCAAATATCCAATCCAACATCTCTAAGCTTTGCCAATTAATAACTGACCTTTTTTAAATTTTCAAAGCGTTTGCCCTCACTCATACCTCTGATCTTTACAGGGTCCTTCACCAGTCCAGCAAACAACGCTCCAGCCGCCAACCACGTGGGGTCCTCCCCGTCTCCAACAGGCTAACCGTGAGAATCGCCCCCTTCACTTCTTCAAGTCAGATGAAACTTGAAACGGCGCGCCTAAAAAAATATTCGCCTGGGTAAAATCAATCTGATAATCCGATTCATGCACGCAGGGTCCTAGTCTCGTTTCCGTTGGGCGGAGGTGCAGCTCATTCCCCGGGCGCTTAATGTCGTGCGTTAGTTAGCGAGGCAGTCTTCAATCCATCTCTGCGCAGAGCATCTCTCGATATTCAAGGCATTTTGCACTCTCAGAATACTCATCTAACCAATTCTAAATCTCGTTGAATATCCTGTTATCAACACATACCTATTCTATCAATTCACATGAATTTCAGAAATCATAAACAACCCCCAATCCATCCATCCATCCCTTCATCACGCAATCTAGATAAGGCTGATAAAGCAACCCTCCAACCCTCCACCACTCACCGAACCACCGCCCCCACGTGGTCCTCCCAGAGCCTCTCCGACAATCCATTCCAATCCATCCACCCATGAGGGGTTTGTTTATCTCGCTAACATGCCAATGCAGTGATACTGTGTAAGTGATTAGCATACAGTGGACTGAGTAGGTAACTAGCCCAGCAACAGCGACGAGTGATGTGCAAGAACCAGGAAATGTGCCCCCGGCTCGTGCAAGCTAGGCGCGTCTCGCTCCCGCAGGCAAACACCTCTGCGTCGCGAGAATCCGGGGCTTGGCAGCCAAGCATCTGCTTGATCGACGAGCGCGGTTGGCTCGAGCGACTCGGAATTATTTTTTTGAGTTGTAAGACATCTCTTGACAAATGGGGTAAGGCAATTTTATTAATCTCAACAGCAACGGCGGCACCGGTTGATGGTGGCTGTTCATATAAACAACACCCACCAGCATCTCTTCCCTCGATCTAGGGTCCTCATCGTATTCTATAATGCTACTGAACTTCCATCTCCCCTTTCCCTGAGTTTCCACCTCGTCAGCGTCCCTTTTCGTGCCTTTTCGTATCTCTGACATAATTGCCATGGACAAAGTCACGCTGCTCACGGCATCCCGGCTCGAGCCCACAGTTGCTCTGCGGCCCCACTCGACTCTGATCGTCGGCCTTGGCAAAGCGTTTGCTCTTTCGCTTCAATTACATCATCGTTTGCTCAACGTTTCCCTATTTATCTGCCTGCAATCGTACTTAATCTCCCACGCTCTTCTTGCCGCAGCTTCATATACTTGCAAACACCTGCTCTTCTATGCATTCATCGCCTCCGCATTTATTCTCAAACACGCATTCGCCATGTCCACCAAAGCCATTTTCGACATCTGGGACTCCAAAAGTGTCCAAAACATCCGCGCCAGGATCTTTTACGAATTTGCCGTCTTCATCTTGGGCTGCGGAAACGCCATGTTTCTCCTCATCTTCTGGCCCGGCTGGCTGCTCCTCGCCGGTCTCTGTTTTGCCGCATGGAAGCTGGCTGGCTGATTGATTGACCCTTGCTTCTGTGCGGAATATCCAATCGCAGAAATGACAATAATCGATAAACAAGATCCCAGCTCTCTATCACAACTAGCCAGCGACAAGCTTGATATGAAGCTGAATTTCATTCGCCCAGGTTTCTACTTTGAGCTCCAATTTCACATTCACCCTCTTCATTTTGAAAAGAAGAACGTGTTTCCACCAGTATCCTTCCGGATCTGCGACTCATAATCCACCTCGGGATCAAACTCTTGCCACGTGCTGGCCGGATATATGTGCTTGTGTCGCTCATACCACCGACGATCCACCACCTTTGTCAATGTCGGTTCTTCACCGAAACCTTCCAGCGTGGAAATATCTGCTTGTCGCGCCCTAGCAGCTGCCGCCTTGGTCGCCGCAGTCGTCAAGACGCCGGCCGAGGGATCGGAGACTGGATCAGTCGAAGTTGAGGTCGAGGCTCGCGCAATCGGTGCTTCGGCGCTATAGTCAAAGATGCGAAGGCCTCGGGGACCGGTACTCCTGTTGACGACGAAATAATAAAAGTCGTAATGCTAGCAACAGAATTAGCATCTTCGTATGCATATACACTCAGAATAGAGATAGAAATAGAATAGACGAATAGATGATATAAAGACTTACATGAGGAATAATCACTGTCCCTCGCACCAGCATCAAATCGTCCACTCCCACTCTAGCCCAAGCTCTCGTTGCATTTGCCTGTTCGCCAACGCCAAGCTCCGCGCCCACCTTGCGGCTCTTGTCCAAAAACACCCATATAAAGTCGCCCTTCTTCATGCGGACCGTCCCGCCGGGCGTGTTGGCGCCATCGTAAAACACAAACGGGATCGCAATCTCGGTGTCCTTGATAGACTCCTGCAAAGCAACAAACTCGCGCCGCAGAGCGTCTCGCTCCGCAGCCTCTTTGAGAAGCGCCGCTTTGGTCACTGCTTTGGGAGCCAGGCCCACGGCAGTATTCGCCTTGAACTTGGCCTTGGCCTTCTTCTTGTCGCTCCCGTCCTTGTCGCTCGGTGTTTCAGAAGCGGCGCCACTCGCAATCTCGGTGTCGTCTTCGCCTTCGTCATCGTCATCGTCGCCAAAGGAGAGCAGCTTCTTCTTGCCAGGGTTCTGCTTGCCCTTCTTCTTCAGCTTCTTCTTCAGCGGCCCGGGGCCAGCGCTGCCGGCGGAATCACTGCCAGCGTTGTCAGGAGTGCCTGTCAGCGAGCGGTCCGGTTTTGACGTGCCTGAGAGCGCGGCCTCGCGGGCTTCGCGTTCTTGCTGCTCGAGGACTTGGGCGCGGCGCTTGCGGAAGTCTGAGAGGGCGACGAGGCCGACGGTGTGTGTTGACAGTCGCTCGTTTGTAGTTTTGTTCTGCGCTGTGAAGCGCGAGGCGTTGTCCGACATGATGCCGAATGACGCTGAGATTCAGCTGTATCGCGATACAAAATTGAAGGAATAGGCTTCGAGGTCGAGATGACGCTTGTATCCACTAACCAAAAGCTGAGTGCATAACAAGACCTGCTGACACTGTATTTACTAGTGTTTATTGGCTACACAACACAGTGTGCCTGCTCTATGCTTGTCATCACATAGAGATCATGAATACCCTAGACAAGAGGTTAAAATCGAAGAGAACGAGACTTTTTAACATATTTCAAATTCAGAAGCTATTGAATCTTTTAAGCTACACAATTGACATTAATTCATCAATCACGGAAGCTTGCTACCCGCTCTTGTCGCTTGTCCCACCTGCGAGTTTGTTGTATCCTCCGCATATCTCTTATAAACCTCAATGTACTTGTCATCGTCACTCCAAGTGTTCTTCACACTCGGATGGTTTTCCACAGCCTTCATCCACAAGTTCCATCTCGTCCACGCATTGTCTTCACCTCCTTCTTGCGGTATTTGAAGCCCTCCCGGCTTATAGTGGTCCAACAAGAACAGCCGCTTCGCCCAAGGCGCCAGGCTTATGTCCACCAAGCTGATATTCTTCCCCAAGAACCATGGGCCCTCGGCATCCATCTGCGCCACGAGCGTCTTGATATGGCCGTGAAGCTCTTCTCGTGCTTGATCAATGGTGAAGCTTTTGTCCGGTGTGTGCTGCAGAAACTTGTAGAACGCTGGGATGATTCTAGTGCTGATGTGGTCCATCCACAGCCGAGCCCTGGCTTTCTGGTATGGATCTGACGGCAGCAGATGAGGGCCGTACTTGGACTCATCTGCGTATGCATCCTCCAGATACTCCATAATGACAGAGCTTTCATATAGAGGTTTCTGTTCCGATCCGGTGGTATTGATGGGCACGCCGAGAGTAGGCACCAGACCGCGAGGATTCATCTTGAGAAATGCCGGCTCTTTTTTGTACGGATTGATTTCCACATACTGATGGGGAATCTTTTTTTCCTCCAGGGTGATCCAAGCCCGTTGTACAAAAGGACAGAACCATCCTCCGTATAATTTGAGGGGCTGCTCGTTCTCGTGGAGAGCCGCCAACTTTGCGGCGGCACCGCTGGGGGCGGAATGGATTGAAGTGTCTACGCTGGGCATCTTCAATTCTTGCCTGGGTCCTTGTGTCGGCTCGAAGCTGATATGATGGTGATAGAGAAAGAGTGGGATTTCGAAATGCGACGAGATGGAAAGCAATGAATCCAGATCGGGCAATCGAATGACGTTATTGACAGGACCCCGCCAAATCGAGGGGCATTGCTCTAAGAGCTACAATCCATGGATTGAAAAGGATGGAAGTCATCTACAGATTCCTTGCATTTCCTAGATATTTGGCTGTTTCGCCATTTAATTCATGAAAAAGTTTTGGTATCTGGCAACATTTACTTATTTTTTCTCCCTCTTGCTCAAAGTACATGTAGTTGGCTGGTGCGAGCTGGTACTCACACGCATGCATGCAGGCATGGCCAATCAAGCAAGCATATATACAAGTGGCATTCATCATCGGCTATTTGCACTTCATTTTTATTCTCAACGTTTTATCTCGCTGCCGTCAAATGCATTCACTGATATAGCAGTACTAATGTGAATGTCTGGGGTAGTACCAAATGCTGTATCCGCATGTTCTAGGCAACCAGCTGTTGCAGCTGTCTACTGTTGTTTACGAGATGAGACGATCAAGTTACTTGGTCAACATAATACACCCAAGCTTCAAAATCTCATGCAGCACCGGCCCGTGCACTGTGGGCCGCATTCTCACTTTCGAATGAGATCTCGAGGTCCCTTATCCGAAGTTGAGTCGCGCCAAAGTTGCAGGCCTCCCGCATTCAAGACACCTTGTTTGCCCGCCCTTGCGTGAATAGCATCAAGCACTGTATCTTGTATAAAGGCCCCCTTGCTATCTTATTTTCCCCCCATCTCTTTTGCTATCTCGTCCCCATTTCGATTCTGTTATCCTACGGCATCATTGCGTTTTATCCGATCATCCACTTCTTGAGCGAAAACTACCTTGAAAATTTGAGAGAAAATGAGTTCTGCATCCTCGTCTTCGAGCGGCAACTCGGATGCAACAAGCGATACTGACTCTACGCTTAATGCGCACATGAAGTTCTTTAACCTAGATGATGGCGATGAAGACAAAGAAGAGCTTGCCGCATGCCCGTTGTTCACCCATGATGTTCTCAAGTATGGAACTTCTATGGACGAGAACCCTTTCACTCAACATGGCCTTCTTGGTGGCGTGGTCGAGAACAACGGCGCGGCCTATGGTAACGTCGATGATGTTGCAAAAGACCCTCGGCTGTATTTTAACGCAACGGCGCCTTCGAGCGTCTTTATCTGTGGCAGTCAAGGCTCTGGAAAGAGTCATACCCTGAGCTGCCTGCTGGAGAACTGCCTCATGCAGTCAGAGGCAAATGTTTTACCCCGTCCACTGACAGGGATCGTATTTCACTATGATCCCTGGGTGTCTGCTACCAGGGGCTCACCTTGTGAGGCGGCATATCTAGCTTCTGCCGAGGATGTCTCAGTGAGAGTTTTATGCCCTCCCACCAACGTTCGACAAATCCAGGTACGTACGAGCATGATACTGTGAAGCAAATGAGCTCGGGATTCCTGAATTGCTAATATTTCCACAGGCTATTTACTCCAAGCTACCAAATGTCCAAGTGGAAGCTCTGCGCATCAACCAGTCCGACTTGAATACCAAGCGCATGATGGATTTGATGGCCGTAAGCTCCGTCCAAGGCAGCATGCCTTTATACCTGCACGTTGTGCAGCGCATTCTGCGAGACCTGCGGATTGAACAGCAGCAAAAGAGTACCAGTTTCAACTATCTTGAATTCAAGAATCGTCTCATGAAAGAGGATATGGCCATTGGCCAACTGGTGCCTCTCCAGCAACGACTCGAAACGCTGGAAAGTTTCATGGTCAAAGAGCAGGTAATCAAGGTGGCTGGTAAAGCTGTCAAGCAAAGTGTAGGAAAAGGAATAGATTGGAAACCCAAGGTAAGTCATCTTTAGTCTTGCTCAGCGTCCACGGCCTATGAAACTGACACTGTAACTTGGGAAATAGGCGGGCCAGCTCACCATAATCGACCTCTCGTGCCCTTGCGTAACAGAAGAGACGGCCTGCTCTCTCTTTAATATCTGTCTAAGCCTCTTTTTGGAACAGAACCCGGAGGATATTGGCCGTGTGGTCGCCTTGGACGAGGCGCACAAATACATGACTGATACGGCAGAGTGTGAAGTTCTGACACAGGCACTTCTCTCCAACATTCGCCTCCAGCGTCACTTGGGCGTCCGAGTCATAATATCGACACAAGAGCCTACTATTTCCCCCAAGTTACTAGACTTATGCTCGGTCACGATTGTGCACCGATTCACTTCTCCCGACTGGCTCCAAAGCCTGAAGAAGCACTTGGCCGGCGCGTCAATCTCGTTATTGACCAAAACTAGCAATGGTCATTCTGATGGCGACGATAACATGAATAGCCTTGCTGCGGATATCAATCCCAATGACTTTGCAATGAAGCTATTCAGCAAGATCGTAGCTCTTCGACGTGGCCAGGCCCTATTGTTCTGTCCATCTGCCATCATCGACGTGCTCACAACGGCACTCAAATTGGAGAACGGATCTTCTACCGGCAATGCATGGGATAATTCCAAGGACTCTGTCTTAAAGGAAGTCAACCCGCAGCTTGTCAAGTTGTCCCATGGCCACATGAAGATTCGTGTGCGCAAGAGAATGACGCAAGATGGAGGAAGAAGCATCCTTGCTGTCTAAATTTGCTTGTTTATCTGGGCGTTGGTTAGGACAATGGACTGAATGTAAAAAGTTCATGTACCCGTGGAGATGATGTGTATTAGATTTGTTGATTTTATTTCCATCTCATAGCTGAGCATCTACCTAATACATTGCGTTACTTTGCCCTTTTCGCCCAGTGGTATACATCCTTTTCGTTAAATACAAACAATGCTCGCTTGTAGAAGGCAAAATATATGTAGCAAAACCTGCGTTTAATCACATCATCACTCAAACCGTGAATCAGCCATCATCGCCGTCATATCGAAATTCAACATATTCTGCAACACCATATCATCCATCATGAGATCCATCTGGTACACATTCGTAGGCTGGTGTTGCTGCTGGTGCGGCTGTCCTACCATATACCCTGCCGAATGGTCCACGATAGACTCATCCACCGCACCATGATGAACAGCTAGATTCTGGAACCCAGAATGCGAATACGACGAACTGTTCATCGACGTCGGCGTAGCCTTCTGTTCCGATACCGTGGACGGCACCGAAGTACCACGCCCGCTTTGACGTACTAGTAGATTTCGAGATGCCAATCTCAGCAAATACGTCCGAGCAGCTTCTTCCCCGCCAAAGATGAAGCCTATATCAGAGATCAGATCATCGGTAACTTCTGGCACCGGAGCGCCATTATTTCCCATATCCACCAAGCCCAGCATCTTTGTCAAAACCTGCCTCCCGCGGCTCGCAACAGGAGATACGCATCCCTCATCTTCCAAAATCTTGAGATCGTCCGCCATATTTCTAATTTGCTGCCAAACATTGTGTATGGGCAGTGAGCCCTCGACTAGAAGAAGCGCCGTGACTGTCACGGCAACGGAAAACACCTGGTATGCCTGCGGGAGGAACTTTTGAAGCGAGGTACTTGATTTGTTCCGTCGGAGGGTTCTGTATACGGCCATGGCGTCCTCGGCTGCTTCGGTGCATTTGGCCCAGGAGGCGCCGATGCGATGCGATATGAAGGGACGATACATGCGAATGCGCTGGGTACTGATGCATGTGCGGATAATGTGATTTTGCCAGGTAATTATCTCTCCCATTGGATGGGGCAGCGGGGGCGGTCGGCCCTCTTGATCGAGCTGAAAGAACCAGGGGTAAGATCTGGTAATACTGAGGACCTCGTCGTCTAGTTTGCAGATGGCCTCGTAGGTGTTGCCGCCGTTGGGATCACTGTAGCAGATATGACTGTTCATCAGCTTAAAGAATCGGGCTCTGAAAATGTTTAGCATCATGGTAGTCGGCTCATTGTCAGGACGTGGCCGCAAGAATGCATCGGTGATGTCGTCGTCGTTGCAGTTGAGTGGTAGAGGGACTCCGGGAGTCTCTAAGCGTATCAGTGGAGGACGACCTAAGCAGATGGATTGGAATCTATGAGAATTATTACTTGGTTCTCATCAAAAGCATACGGAATTCTTACGTGTCTGAATCAACGAGATCCCACCATATACGATGTCTCATCTCATCATGCAACGTTTGAGAAGGGGTCAGGTCTTTATCCAATCCGAGAGTCTGAGCAGTCCTCACAGCCTGCCCCAGCCGTCTGTAGAGCACACTTGTTAGTAGAGCCGTCATATTGATCCACGCCTATTCCCGGGAAAGGCTCACGAGTTTAGTGTATCAATCTCGTTGGTGGAGTACCAATAAAACTGCGTAATAGAAAAAGTCTGAAGCTGCATAATGCACGGCTTCGACTCGTAGTCTCCAGCCCTCAACGCTTGGTGAGAGACCTTGTGCCATACATGTGCAAGGTCCCGGATCAACTCCTTAGGACATCCGAATATCTCAGCCGTCACAGGAGGTATAAAAAGGGCGCTGACTGAGATGATGGTGAAGACAAGTGCTGTGAACATAAAGTCCATCTCCCGGCCGTCCTTGGCATCCCAAAAGTCGTCATACTGGCGCCGAAACGACGGCACGTGCGTGATCTGGAAGATCCAGTTGATATGATCGAGGTAGTAGTTCACCATCAGGTCGCACATGGACCGCGAAGGCAAGGCAGACCGCAGCTGCGTCTCCCAGTATCGCCGGTTGTCGTCTCCCTTCATCATGTTCCAGAGCAGAGACGGCTGGTTCGCGCACTGAATTTCCGCGAGGAGCTGCGGAAGTGAAGAAACAGGAATGGACGTGGTGTTTGCGTCTAAGCCGAGGGCCCGGAAGAAGGATGGCACATCTCTGGCCTCAGCAGCAGCCAGCTGACTGTTCCGGAACGAGAGCAGGCCCACGCCGGTAGAGCCATCAGTACTAATGGACTCTCGGACCGAGGACTCTACGTTGTAGGTACCCTCCGGCGATGCGGCATCGTCTTCCGCCGTCTCGCCTCTGTCCCTTGGCCGGCCTGGCCTCGGCGGCGCCGGATTCAGGCGGCAGAACTTCTCGCGACGAAAGCGAATGCAGGTGCCACAGGGGATTTTGCGGTCGCACTTCAGCTTGTGGCGGCGACATGCAAGGCAGCTCAAGGGCTTCCGGCCGCCTTTGTTGGTGCGCTTTGCCTGGCCATCCGTCGCCAGCGGCTGCTCATCAGCGACCGGAGATTCGGACATGGGGCCGCGATGTTTCGGAGATGGGCGCCACAGTTCTGGAGAGTTGGCCGGATTGAGTGCAGGTGCATTGAATTGTCGCCGATTAAGACCAAAAAAATTGGAAGAAAAATAAGGTTAAAGGTAAAGATATTAGCAAGGAAGAGAATCAGAAAGAGAAGACACTGCTAATTAAGACGTGGTGGTTTGGATTGTTAGACTTGGCAGAGGGAAACCCAATTGAGAGGCGTTGCTAACCGAACTTATCGCGCCACTGGGCCTGGTTGAACGGAGCTGACTATATCGACTATGAGAATACGAAGCAAATAGTAATCACCCAGATCCCATCTTCAGCTTCCTCTTCTATTTTTGTACATAACTTTCGATTCGTGATATCAAACTGTAAGCAATTAATCTATCCTGCATCAACGGCTGATCGGCAGTTGGTCATTATGCTCGTGAAATGTTCAGTAGGTTACTGTAGTGTTCTACAATCATTCATATACGTGCTTCCAACATTGAATCTTCTACATATCGCTATGCAATAAATCAAATAAACGACGCTATTCTATGTTACATACACATCCATGTGATAGTTCATGCACTCGGCTGCGGTGGAATCATATCGGTTCAACTAGTTAAACGGCTGGCTCAACAGCCCCTCAAACTTTTCAACTATCGCTGCAGCATCTCCCTGGTAGGATTGCGCAACAGCTTCATCTCGCTCCTTGCCCCTCTCGGCACCGACAGCCACTCGCTTCTCCCCGAGAGCGCGAGCTCCCTTGACGAGAACCGACGTTCGCGGCTGACGGCTTTCTGCAAAAGGCCGGAAGATGTCCGAGATGGCGCCGAGAGCTGCAATGTTTCCCTCGATATCTTTGCTGGAAGAGAGATTTGGGAGTGCGGAACTCAAGTGGTAGCAATCCTCCCTGGTTTGACGAGTCAGTAAGTAGGCTTCAAACAAAGTATGGCTCAGTTCCACTCACATGGCCTGGTTGGCTCCCTGTCCTAGATGAGGGCTGGTAGGATGGGCGGCATCCCCGACTAGCACGCATCGCTTAGAATACCACTGCTCGGGCTTCAACTCGTCTCGATCAAAGAGACCAAACTTGATGATGCGTTCCGAAGACTTCACCCCCTGGATGATGCTCTCATCCCACCCCTCGAGCAGCTTACACAGGACATCTTGCTGAGCTTTCATCTGGTCAGCGGTAAAGGGGCGCCATGTCTCTTCTCTCTCCTGAGTTTCACGCTGCGTGAGAGCCCATGATGTGGTCTTTGGGCCGACTGGGTAAGCGATTACGTGCGTTCCATCGCCGTACCAGTTGCGCATGGCTGCCAAGTCTTGCAGAGGCCCCGGTGTTTCTGAAAGGAAGGCGGTCTTTGGGTCCCTCCGTTAGTTGATTAAATTCAATAGTAGATTTGGAATTGTTGAACCATACTTGTGTGAGACCCGTAAACGAAGGGGCACCCTCTTCGATCCCCCGTTGCTTTAGCAGAATCGTTCTTGCTGCTGATTTGATACCATCACATCCAATGAGAAAAGACCCCGTGACTGATTCGCCGTTGCTGAAAGTTGCCGTGACTGAGTCGTCGTGCTCTTGAATATCAACCAGTCCCCACCCTTCTCTTACTTCGATACCCTCTTCCAATACCTTGTTTTTCAGCAACAGATTTAAGCTTGTTCGTCTGATACCGGCGGCAGGCTGCTGGTATCTCTCGGCAAAGGTGGATGGCAAATCGGATTGCCCCAGCACTTCCCCTGAAGCTTTGGCATCCCAAAGAGCTTGGAGTGGTAGGGACTCGGCCTTGATCGCGTCTGCAACCCCGATCATGTTAAAGACTTTGAGTCTGTTATTCAAACATTAATACTCTTTTCCCATTCATCAGCAGATTTCATGTCCGGAGTACAACATACCCGTTGGACATCACCATCAACGACGCTCCAGCAGTACCCAGCTCTCGAACCTTTTCAAACACAATTGGATGATAGCCCTTGCGCTTGAGAAGAATTGCAAGCACAGGTCCAGCTACACCGCAGCCGATGATGAGAACAATAGGAGAATCCATTTCCAAGTTTATAGATCACGAGGAATGATTGTCTTTGCGAAAAGAGCGCGTCAATGTTGTCAAGCAATTGAGGGAGTGATTGATTCATCTGCCTCTTTCATATTCTCCATTCTCTCCTCCATCTATATACAAAATCTACAACCTAGCAATGGTTTTCTACACTTTATAATTACTCTCCGAGTGACTCAATCGGCGAGGCCGTGTGCTTGATTTTTCAATATTGCTTCATGGTTCATGGTGCGTGGTCAAGTCCGAATGGCCTGACCGGAGAAAGAGACCATCTCCGGTCGCTGGGCGGCGCCAGATCTGGGACCCTGTATGGCTGCCGGAAAAAAAAACCGGCACTAGAGAGGTTATCAGCACACAAAATACGGAGTACAAAGATGCCATGCGCACATACCAACATACAACGCTACTATACTAGTAGCAAGAACAGTGCTCTTTCAATCATAATGCATGTGTATATTCATCTTGCTGTCTCGTCTTTTTTTGCTGACACCCTTGTCGGTGCCCAAATAAGCACCGCCGCCCGTTATTGTAAGAAAAAGACGGGCTTTGATTGGCCAATCCTGTCTATTGATCACAACTTGCCCTCTTATACACCATTACTCCTAATCATCAATCTTGACTCAGTCATTGAACTCTAACTCCTGACTAATTTTCTTTTTTTCTTGAAAAAACAAAGATCTGTGATCATGTCACAGAAAATGAATCACTGAAGTGGCAATAGATGCTGCGAATGCCTCCAGCCCCGCTTTTTCTACTCTTTGGATGTTCCCCCAAAAAGGTAGACGGCAAAGAGGATCACACGTCCCTATCCTGGAGAAACAGGGATTGGCAAGATTTCCGAAGCAGTAAAACAATCGATTCCTGAATAAGTCCAAATTAAAAGAGAGGAATCGTCAAATCTATTGGTAGAAAAAAAACTCGCGCTTGTTCGTTATAGTACATCAACGCCATATTCCATTTCCATATAACCAAAGGCAACCATTGAGCGCCAGTTAACTGCACAACATATAATCACACAACCTTTTTCAGTTTCTTCTTTTCTTCTTTTCTTCTTTTTTTCTTTCTTTTCCGAGTCTGTATTACGACCCCACGCTGAATCCAAATGATCCATCAAAAACGTCGAGCTTCTTCATGTCGTTGTCCGGACCGCGAAGGGATTTCAGAATATCGACATCCGGGACCTTGTTTGCGGGATAGAACAGCAGGAGGTTCTCCAAGTCTTCTTCTGTGAACTCGCTGATCTCCTCCCACTTGTAGGCGTCGCTGACCTTGGACATCCTATCCACCAGTTTCAGTCAGCATCTCCGTGTCGCGTGTTTCTAGCACAAAGTGGCGTTTAAAAAAGCTTACCATCGCATCCGCTTCTGGCTGTCTTCGTGGTTGGGCGCAACCTTGCGCAGCCGTGATCTCAAATCTCCAATCGTCTCGATAGCGTTGCCGACATTCTGCGGCAGTTGGCTCGCAATGTGCCGCCGCAGCGATGCCGCCAATCGGGGTCCCTTGCCGTTGGTGCTGACCATGACCTGCAGCGGCCCATCGCGATGGACGCTGCCAAAGTAGAAGTCGCACTCAGGGGGCACGTCGGCAATGTTGGCCGGGACTCTCTTCTCCTTGCACAGTTTCCAGATGGTCGTAGAGGCTGCCGGGTCGTCGATGGCGACCAGCACCATGTCTGTCTTGTCGAGATCGGAGGGCTCGAACAGTCGGTCGATGTGTGTAACTTGCTTCTCGGCGATTCGGTATGCGACCTCCTCATTCAGCCCGGATGCAGGGCAGACGACGGTGACTTTTGCATCGGCATTGAGGCAGTTGAGAATGCGGCCAGACGCAACCTGCCGATTGATTTGCTTGTTAGTTCTGCAGCTCTTGTCCCAATCGTCAAGAGTCCAGGGAGCCCGTGAAGCTCTTCAGAGATTCGAAATGCAAACAGTCGTACCTCGCCACCGCCCACCACCAGGACATTCTTGTCCTTGATGCGCCATGCTAGAATCAAGCTCCCTCCCGGCTGCACCTGCGGAAATGATTTGCCCATGGTTGAAGTTCGTATTAAAGTACCTCTCGATGTGTTGTGTGTTGTCTGAGGCGGAAAGGCCGGTGTACCAAATTCGAATCCAAATGTCCTGAGTCTGAGTCAAGGTTTAAGCTATGCTCGGTTCGCCTTACACAAGTGGCGGAATTGGAGATTTTTCGGAGTCTCGATAAGACACACGCAGCGATAGGTGTTGAGCACTGATGATCCACTGTTTGTGCTGTCTCCCACATCAGTAAAGCTCTCGGCGCGCTTGACGCTTCCCGTCCGCTGTAGCTAGCGTCGGCGCATGCCCTTTTTAGCGCTCTGATGGGGACTGGAGCCTCTACGTCAACCTCCTGCACCCCTGTAGCGTGCGCTAAAGCCAGCGAATCGCGGCTGGCGGCTGAGCGACGCAACCATTCCGCACAGCCCCCTCTTGCAGCCTGCCTTAGCGTTGCCTTGCGCTCTGCTCTGCTCTGCCTGGCTCTTTCAGCGATGCAGCTCGAGGCACGGATCGGCCTGTTCTGGTCGTCTTGCTGTGCTCTTTGTGTTTCTTTTCAGTTCTAATCTTCTTTTCCTTGCTTCGCTACGCAAACCATCGCCATGTCTCGCAGGCTCGGCGGCGGCAGGATCCTGGGCAGTGGGAAGAGCCTTGGCCCGACCCCTCCGGCTCGATCATCCAGTCCCTTTGCTCCCTCTGAGAGCACCGTCTCCGTGGCCTCGTCGTCGATATCGCCACCGGCGAGCGGCAGTCTAGCCGACCTGAGCCAGGATATTGGCTCCAGCATCAGCGTCGGGGCACAGCCAAAGGGCAGTTCGGCGGATCCGTCGAGCCTTCTGTGCCCCATCTGCAGCGAAGAGATGGTATGAAGCCGTGGAAATCAAGCCGTGACGTATTCTTACTTACCATATAGCAGCTCACCTTGCTCCAACTCAACCGCCATATCGATGATACTCACCAAGAGCTCCCTGCCGAAGAACAGAACGAAGTCAAGACATGGTTCGACAAACAAGTCCTCAAGGCGAAGCGCTTCCAGCCGCTGTCGATGATCAACATGAAGCTGCGTGGTCTCGAAGTCTTCGAGTCAAACGAGACCAACTTTATTACACCGCCGCAAGCCCCAATAGCATCCGCCAGCAAGCTCCCGATTGAAGCTCCCGTCGACCCGGAGGAATTTATAACGAGAAATCACTGGCAGCGCTCTACGGGATATGACATGTGCACGGATCCTACTTGTGGAAAGGGGCTTGGACCTATAAACGGAAACGTCAACTGCAGGAAATGCGGACGCCTCTTTTGCGAGCAGCACACCATGTACCAGATGAAACTGAGTAGAAGTGCCAACCACGAGCCTGTCCGCGGTTACTGGGCTAGAGTATGCGAGACATGCTACAAGTCGAGAGAAGGATACAACGACCATAACGGCACATCGGTAGACCATACGGACATGTTCAAGGCCATCAGGCGAAAGAAGGTGGAGAGACAGACTCTGGAAATTTCACGTCTCGAGAAGAGGTTGACAAAACTCACGAGACTACTTGCCAACTCCCCCGAGGCGCTCACAAACGCATCAAACGGCTCAATATTAGCTCCTGTCCAGTCACTAACCGGTCAAAAGAACCCTCGGAAATTGATTGAACAGTCGGTAGTGACATGGGAGGAAGACGACAAGGTGCCAGAGTGCCCATTTTGTCATCAAGAATTCGGCTCCTGGACGTTTAGGCGGCATCATTGTCGAATATGCGGCCGCGTAGTGTGCGGAGATCCTCAGACTGGCTGCTCATCTGAAGTTAGCTTAAGCATTGCTAGTCGTACGTGTTGCTTGTCCGTTGTGAGAATCGTCCTATTGTAGGCTAACCTCGATTATAGCAACCGGTCCTGGCGCAGAGAAGCCTCCGTCAGCTACTGCCGGCCATATGGCTGTGGATATCAGAATGTGCAAGGATTGCAATAGTACCATATTCTCTAGTCGTGACTTTGCAGCATCCCTGGCGCATAGACCTCCAGACCAGCGAGCCTATGAAACTCTTCGACAGTTTGAAAGGGGTATACGGCAGCTTCTGCCAAGCTTCCATCGAGCCCTGTTAGCCTTACAGCCCGAGATGAAGGAAAACGGAGAAGTTGATCTCAACAAACCTCCACCTACACACGCACAAATCCAAGAAGCGAGCAAGATACGGAAACGCCTTATAGACAGCTTCACCAAATACGGATCTGCCGCCAAGAGACTGCGCGACTTGACTGCCAATAATCCGACTCAACAAAGACTCCAACTCGCAGTGTACGCTTCGGCGAGTACATTTCTACATACTAACATGCTGCCGCTTAAAAACCTACCGCAACTGCTTCGTCACCGATCGACGCCATCCACCTCCTCATCACACTCACATTACCTCCCCTCAACAAACCATTCAGCGTCAAGCCTACGGCATTCCGAGCTGGCCGAATCAGAAAATGTCTCTCAGGCGGCCAGCGAGACCAGCACGGTGGTCAGCTTGCTGGAGACGGAAGAAAAAGACCTCAGAGAGCGCCTTGCCGTGCTCGAAGAACAAAAGTTTATGGTTGAAGAAATGGTCAAGTCAGCCACTGGATCAAGGAGATTCGAAGAAGTCAGCGCCTTGTCTCGGAATATGGATGAGCTGAATGGTGAGATACAGGGATTGAAGAAGAAGATTGGGGACGTGGAGAAGAAGTGGGAGGTGGCTTACCGGAATGGATCATGAGCCGAAGGAGAAGAGAAGCACTTGGTTCGCCTTGTTTACGAATATTAATACCTTGGAAGCGAAATGATTTATTTTATTCATCCTCGCTTGGACCGGGATTTCTGGTTATTTATCCGCATGGTACGGCGTTTTTGGCGGTTCAGCAGTTGATTAACGAATCATTTTCTTTTGTTTAAATGGCGAAACATGGGAAGCGCTTCTGTTTGAAGGGTTTTGATTAGAGGTTCGATTTACGATATCGTTAAGAGTAAATATTGAACTTTTAGTGGTGCCAGATCGTTAATTGACTAACTAACCTATCATCTTCACATTGCGAAATTCACATTGCGAAGTGACATTTCATCGAGTGAACAAGTGAGAATCAAGCTTTTTTTTTTAACTTCTCTTTTGAAGACCGTCGATTACATTACATGCAATAGAACAAAGAAACAGATATTTCGCTATACAATGACCTAGAAATAACGTAAGAAAAGAGAAACCCTCCCACCATTCTAGGATCTTTAAAAACATGAAACAATAAAGTGATGTACATCCATCCAATGATCCTGAAAACCTAGAAAAACACCATCCTCCTTCCGCCCTCAATACCCGAGTGTACAAGAAAAACAAAACAGAAAGCAGAAGAAGGATGCTTTATATCTGAGAGTATGCATATATGTATATATGAGAAAACAGAAAAAGAAAGGTGATGATAAACCGCAACGTGGAAAAAATTGTATCCGAATGAAAAGTGGCAAAGGACACGGACACAACGTCTCCAAGGATGCCAGACCAAGATATGCAGTATACAAATATACAGAGAATTCGAATATCGAATAGACAAGAAGAGCTCTCCTCTTCGAGAAGAGAAGATGAGATGAAGAAAGAACGGAAAAGAGGTGGCGCTTTCACTAGTGCACTACACCTTCAACTCCTCCTAGGAACCTCCTTACCCTCCCAATCTCTAGCTCATCCTTCTCGCTCTCAACAGCCTTCAGCAGACCGTCTACAACGGCATCCACCTCAGTCTCAGGAACACCTGTGCATAGTGCAACGACACGCCGATACTTGACTTCGACGTCGCGGCTCCGCCCCTTGAGGGCCATGACCATTTTGCGTGTAACTTCCCTGCGGCTCTCGATGGCGCGGATGCGTGCCCGCAGGATTGTCGCAGAAGGAAGCATTCCTTCGCTGGCGAAGCCGCCGCCACCAGACGCTGAGGCCTCTCCGGCGGCTTCTAGCATGGCAGCGAGTTCGGTTTCCCATGATGATGATGGATTTGACTGGGCGGCGTTGGACTGTTCGTTCATGATGCGGAATTGGTCATCTTCTCGGGCGTGTGTGAGGTTGGCGACCTTTTGGCGGGCCAGTTGTTGCTTCTTGAGGGTGGCTGTGATCTGCTCGATGCTTCGACGGGCTTCGCCTAGTTGGGCTGATGTCGTTCGGAGGGTAGAATGTAGATTATCTAATGAGGCTTGCTTGCTTTTCATTTCTTGCTGGAAGGTGGCGCCAGTCTCATTCAGGAGATGGGTAATGGCTGTTTGTATAGAGTTAATATATGATAAAAAAAAAAGGAGGGTGCTGATTTGAAGAGAAGTAAATAAAGTGGATGAGCTTTGGCTTACATTCGATAATCTCGTCACTGCTCTCTCGGCTTCGCTGGCTGGATCCAGGGGCACCATTCTTCTCAGCTGTGGCATCGCCGTTCATCTTTCCATCAGCATTCTCACCACCAATACCAAAGTCCAGAGGCCGGAGTCCGACACGGTTAGCAATTTCCGGGTCAGCTCCAACCTCTAGCAGCTGAGAGATTATACTCCTGTTTCCGATCCGGGCTGCGATATTGAGCGCTGTATCTCCTGAGCTATCCTGGGCATTGACAATCTCAGACATGAACCGCGCAATACCCATCTTAGGGATTGATTGTGATCCGTTGATGCCATTTCCATTCAACAGTGTAGCTTGGCTGTTGGGAACGCTCCCTTGCCGCACCACCCATTCAAGTAGGCTTTCGAGATAGTATCTGCTGGCGGCATTGCGGCCTTTGACAGCACTTGTGACTGCAATGTGATGCAAAACGGTACGTCCTTTATGATCACGGAACTCAATGGTGCCTCCCAAAACTTCAAGGAGATCTGGAAACGAGCCCTGATCCATAGAATTTGTGACAAGGCATGCTCGCATGAGGGCCGTCTCTCCAGATGCATTTACTCTGCGGGGTGAGGCGCCAACAGCGATGAGAGCTCGTAAAAGAGGCATTCGTGCTAGCGTGGCTGCCCAGTGAAGAGCGGTGTGGCTTTGAGGGTCGATGGGCATGTCAAGTTCGAGAGGTGTAAGGGTTTGGAGCATTTCGTGTGATGACTCCTCCGTGGCCGAGTCCATAAATAAGCCCATGAGCATGCTGCGTTTTAGCTCTACGTCGGGAGACACCTCGTAGGGCAGAGGAGGGGACGGGCCGCTGCCTTCATCAATGGCATCGCGTTCATTAATCGCACTTTGCGTGTACACAAAGGATTCGTTGGGCTCCGTTGGTGATCCCGGAAAGGCTGCGGCATAAGCATCCATGTTTTGCCCGTAGGCTCCAAAGCTATCGGCGGGGGTCATGGTGACTCGTGCACGTTTTCTCGGGGGTTCGTTGTCAGGCATGCTCACGCTGCCATTTGGCTGTTGATGTTGGTGCTGTGACTGCTGTGACTGCTGCAATTGCTGTTGCTGTAGTTGTTGCTGTTGCTGTGTTGAGTAGGCAGAGTCAACGGCTGGGTTAGTGTAGTCAGAGGTATAGCTCTGTTGGGAGTTGCCAGGAAAATCATCGCCATTCTGCATCGAGGGCTGTCGGCTGAAACTGGGAGCTCTTGATGGCCCATTGCGATTTCTAGGTCCGGGAGAGCCGAATCGGGCCTTGCTGATGGCGGCGACGGCATGGGACGCCGTGCTGGAGATGTTCTTGAAAAAAGTGCCCGACAAGCCATTGGGTCTCCCATCACCTCCGGCGTTATACATGCGCTTCCTCTGCGCGGCCATGGCTTGCTCCTTTGTCGGGGTGTTGAAATCGCCGCGGCCTGCAACGCCTCCATCCTGGCCCATGTCGTAGGTCAACAGCGGCCGCAGCAACTCCTCCACGCCGTACTGGCGGCAGACTTCAACGCCCCGGTCGAATTTTATCCAGGTGCCCTGATATTTGCCGTAGCCTCCCTGGACCTTTTCGTGCTCACCGATCTGGATCTCCTTCTCGAGAATCTTGGTGCGTTTCCCCTTGTCGACGCCGGCTACTTTGAGAATCTGGGTGGCATTCAGCCAGGAGTCGTGGCGGCGGCGCATAACGGCAACGTTGTTGACTTCCATTTCGTACACATCGACACCCGAATAAGACGCCTGTTTGTCATGTGTTAATCAATGGCCTCACGGGTGCACAGGCCGAGCGCTGATATTGGCCCAAGGCGGGGATACATACCGAGTATATCTGCGGCCCGTCGACGCCGCCGTTGTAGCTGCGGTTGAACGAGGCCGCCCGCCCCGTCTGCGACTGCTGGCTCATTGTGAAGGACTGTTGCGACGATTGCGACGCGGATGGCATGGCCAAGGTTGTGAATCGGGTGAAGACGAGATTGAGGTTGTCGCACGAGGATTGGACGACAAAATGGAGGTGGCACTAGCTCGTAGGTTTGCCTGCCGATGCCAACTCAAAAGCCTAATCCATACACAGAAGTGGAAGGGGGGGAAACGAGTGAATGCGCCAAAGGCTCCGGGTTCGTTTTCGGCACGCTGCCTTTTTTCTTTTCCTTGATGTTCGTTTCACTCTTCCTCGTCTCTTAGTCGCAGCCTCGGGGATCGGTCAGGGCGCTTTGGAGATGCGAGTCTGTGTCGGGGACAAGATGAGGCTTCGGTCCGCGTGGCTTGCTGGCAGGGTGACAGCAGCAAATCTGCAGCAAAAGATGTGTGCAAGGTATAACAACGCCTGCTTCTGCCGAGGGGAGGGGGTTCGACGATGGCGTCTCCGCTTTGCAGCAATAGCCGCGAATAGAAGAACAGGCCACGACAAGATATGCAGGTCCTGGCTGAGGGCTGGGCTGCGCAAGAGGAAAACAATCTGGCTGAAGCAAGGGCACGAGCTTTTTGAGGCTCTGGTTCCTGGTCTTGGGGGATGGAGTAAAGGGCAAGCGTCTGAGACTTGTCCGGCACTTGTTTGATTGATTGCACACAGGGCAGGTTATCAAGAGAAGACACTTTCAACTACGCAAGATAAAAACAGGAACCCGCCGTTGATGCAATCGACCAAAAGGTGCGGTGGGGATATGCAGCCGGTGGCATAAGGCGTTCCCCGTATGTACATCAGACCTGCGCTGCAGGAAAAAGAATCGAGGTACGCTGCGCTGCGATGCGCGTGCCGAGTCGGAGCATGTAACGCTGTTAATTGAAATCCGAGCTTGGACGTGTCTGTTTCGTGATTTCGTGTCGGGCGTGTCGCGCAGCGCGACTTTAATGACCCTTTTTTCTACTGCTGATGGTTGAGATGGGCGCTGGTGGGGTTGGATAGCCCTGGTCAGCAACCGAGACAGGCGATAGTGATACGCCGAGACCCTATTTTGGGGCTTTGGGCTTGGGCTTGGGCTTGGGCTTGGGCTTGAAGAGAGTTTGTTTACATGCACTCTTTGGCCTTCTTTGGCTATCAACATTTGGCCTCTTTACCAATCAGGACGAGAAGCCGCGAGTTGCGGTGAGAGCTTGTCCAGCTGATGGCTCTTGTCGCAGCTGCTGTAACGGCACTATCGCGGGATGATGTATGATTGCAGCAGATCAGGAGCCGAATGTAAGTCATCAGCTCTCAACATGTGCATCTGGAGGCTTTCATTTGCACCTTTTGCAGTAGCATCGCGATGGTTGCATCCTGTAATGCTACGATACAAGCAATGATACAACTCAAAACAAGCCACTAAAGTCGGGCGGTAGCCTTTGCAACAAGCAGCTGAACAGCTCACATGATCCAGTGCATCCAACCCCACGTTTCCAGATCTTCCCGCACCACAGCCGAGCGTCGTAATCGAGTTGTGTGTATGGATGTACTTATGTAAGTAAGTCAACAGCCTCTATATTGTCTTTGAACCTTGTGTGAATATTCTTGCCCAAAGCAAACATTAAATGGATGCTCGTATGCTCTGTATGATACGAGCAAACGCAAGTTGTTATTGGCATATCTCGTGATCCAAACAGCCACAGACCCATTGCATGGGAACCTGCTTGGGGCCTCTCGGCATCTCCTCATAAGGCTTTGAAGAGCCGGAACTGAAAGCCATCATTTTATTCCTGAGCGCTTGTCTACAAGCTTATGTCAAATAATATTTGTACATCTCCACTGCGCCTACTGCTAAAATACCCAATAAATAATGTCCATGTCGGACATACATGTCTAAACACAAAATACAGTCATTGATCCCCATGTCCTTTTATCCAACACCATTTTTTCCACTGTACAACTTTCACTCTCGTCTACCAGCAGCTTCACTTCATCTTGGCCAAGTCTCGAAGCATCTTGACAGCTCCCGGCGTCTCATACCACGCAGCAAAAGTATAGTCGAGGATGAACAAAGCCTCTTCTTCCGATCGCTGTGCATATCCATCAAATTGCGGCCTTTGCAAAACACAAGCGTCCGGATTGTCCACCATCAGGTTCCAGAAATGCGGGTTGTAGTCTCCAACGGCCTTGTATACTTCTCTGATTTGGCTCTTGATGTTCTTCATCAGCGGCTCAAGCTTTTCCGGCCTGCTCAACAGGCTGTGATGCCGAAACAAGGTATCGCGGCGGACAAGCTTCCCATCAATGAGTCCGATAATTTCGGGTGGGAACGTGCCGCCAAGCGCAGTGGTGGTGTTTTGGACGGATTGGAGGTCGAGCAAGATTCGCACCTTGATCAACAGCAATGTCACAGCGTGGCTCAAATCTAGATACGACTTGGCTGTCCACGCACGCTGTAGAGGCTCCTCAAGTGCGTTTGCATCTTTCGTATCCACAAAAGGTAGAGCCATGTTGCCCCAATCGTAGTTTGGATTCTCATTCACGTCCGCATACCACCTAAGGAAATCGTAGGCATCCTGGTCTCTGCCGAGTCGAACATAGAGTGCAGGGATGATCTCGTGCACACCCAGGCCATCGGAACGGCTCAGTCGCAGCATGTCCAAATAATGGTCCAGCATATCCTGCACAAGATCCCTGGGGCCACCTGGGGTACCGTAGCTGTCATTCATGATGTGCGCCAGATCAAACCGCGCAACCATATATGGACGCGTTCCCATGATTCTCCAGAAACGACCAGCATGTTCTTCGAAGACGTTTTCAGGTATGTCGATATCTTCCTGCCACTCACGCAGCTTCTGCTCCTCCTCCCTGTAGCGTTTATGCGCCTTCCTGAGCAACTTGCATGGGATCTTGTGATCTTCACGATCTTGGACCTGGCAGTCTCGCCCACAATAGAATACAGCCTGACACGCTGAGCAGCGGAAGACCTTGTCGTTTCGCTTACATAGCTCGCAAGCCCGTGGCGCTAGACCATCGAGGCTGTCGATGTCTTCAATGTTCATAATGAGAGGCATCTTGACCGCAGTGTAGATGAGTGATAGTAGAAAGAAAAACGATGTGGCTTGAAATCGAAACGGAATATTTTGAGTACTTAGGGGATAAATGTATTGCCAAAACGAATTGGTAAGGATAATACTTCTGATCCAAGTACAGCACTGTCTGCTGCTGGATTGCGGGCAGAACTGTGGCGCCTCTATAATTTCCAACCTAAGAGCAAATGGTTAGCGGTCTAACATCCGGCATTTTGGGTTCAGCATGAAACAAACAAACCGAACTTCTCCACTTGAAACGCAGCTAGTTTGCCTCGAGCAGTTTGCCTCAACACGTTGGCAATGCTTGTGAGTAAACTGACTCTTTTACCCGTACTAGTGCGGCGCGCAAATCTTGCTCTATAAATCCAGTAACATCAAGTTTAGATAGCGCTTCACATGCCAACGCAGGGGAAATTCACTGGGCAATCAATACTGCATTTAATTAACCGATTGCTACTACTTCTATTTGAATTCAAGAATTATCCAAGAGACATTATGAGTCGATGACGAAGCGTCACCGAGACCCAGATTGTCACCGTGCTATGTTTTAATACTGAGAATTGGCCGGGGTTTAACCAGTAAAGCGCAGATATTGAACCTTGACTTGATACCCGTTGGTCAATCTTCGTTTTCCTTTTTCATTAGGAAAAATACCTAATATCTCCTCATTTTATTGCGAGAGAGCCTTTGTGGCTTTACTCGACCAATACAGCTCCTCATCTCGGCCATCCACCATGCCTGCCCCTTCATATGCCCTCCCCGCCTCGCCATCCGCAGTCCAGCTCTACCGTCATCTGCTCCGAGAATGTTCTTACTTACCTCCCGCGTTCCGCGCCGAGATTACCTCTATAATTCAGGATCGCTTTCATAGACATCGCAATTATGACGCACGTGCAAAGGCCCATCTCACAAGAGCCCAGACAGCTCTACGAACTCTGCGAGCTGCCAATAGCGGCGAGCAGTCCGCTATGGAGGGCTTAATATCCAAGGGATTCGGGAGAACAGGCAGTAGGCGACGAGAACTGATGGCCAAATTTGTGATTCCACAGGGTCCCAGAGATACAGGTGCTCTTGAAGCAGCTCTTGATTCAGCCGACAGAGGCAACAAAGCTGCAAAAGACTCTGTCTTACCAACGCAGGTCTCAGAAGAGAGCGGAACGAAAATCAAAAAGAAGTTTTTCGATAAATGGGACCAAAAAAAGCTACTGCGGCTTCTATCATCACAGCGGCAGCAACAGAGGGATACAAAGGGAATGGCCAGTTGGCGGGGGGCCATCGTCAAAACGATTGACCCGGATCAATTCATTCCCAAAGAGACCATCTGGGGGAAGCCACCTGGAGATAATCTAAGACAAACGAAAAGAGCTCACTGGTGGCGGCGAAGTGCTGAGAAGATCATGCCTCCGCTAGGCAGAGGCGAGTGGGAGATGCTCAAGCAGCTGAGTATCGGAGGCCAGGAGAGAGGGGAGTGGAAAGTACCAGAGAGGCGAACACCAGCAATACCGGTGACAATTCCGGAAGAGGCAGGCGAGAAACCATCTTGGAGCTGGGAAGATTATGCTACTAAACCAGCGGCAATCGTCGAGAAACCCAAAGCGCTTAAACAACAGCGGCGAACCGGCCAAAAGGACAGCAGCCCGTACGGCGTCAAGGACCGGGATCGCAAACTATCAGCAAGATGGTTCCAGAGAGCCTACACCAGGGCATGGCAGCTTACGCCAACAATGTCACAGGACCCCAACACGCTCAACTATTCGTTTACATGGGGGAGCGTCCAGCCAAAGCTCCCTCTCGCAGCTAAGCACCAGCTCAAGATCTTTGAAGGTGTCGATCAAAAGGGCCGCAAAGTGCGCAATACGCCGTCTTCGTGAAAGACATCATTTTAATATTTTTTTCTCTCTGTATTTTTCTTATACTTCTATTGGGGCGTATATACATACAGACATTTAGGCAAGCTTAGCAAGCTTGCCCAAGGCCTCCGGTCCATCCAAACGCATTCCCACCCACTCGCTCTGTGCGGTGGCTCCAATGATCTCATAGAACTTGATGCTGGGCTCATTCCATTTCAGAACAGACCAGTCCAGACGACCACCGCCCATAGCAAGAACCTCCTTGGCCAGCGCAGACAGCAGGATCTTGCCGTATCCCTTGTTGCGCTCTGACTGCGAAACATAGAGGTCCTCCAGGTAGATGCCGGCCTTGGACCGCCATGTACTATAGTTGTAGAAATAAAGCGCCATTCCTACGGCCTTGCCTTGTGCGTCGATGAGGAGCAGGCATCGTGCGGGCCGAGTAGCTGTGATGGGCTCGGTCACGGGCAGGTGGTTCTGGGGGCTGACGACGTCTGCCGGCGCAAAGGCGATTGTGTTTTGCAGAGTCTCAACGGTGGCCAGCACGGAGTCGGATTCCTTCTCGTAATCGGCGAGCTCCTGGATGAAGTCTAGGATAGTCTTCGCATCTGCAAATCAGACACGCTGGTTAGCGATTGGATGTCACTTGCGCCAAAGGAAATGCTGCCGGGACAAGAGAAGATGGTCCTACCCTCGCGTCTTGCGTGTCGCACAGTTGCCATTTTGTTTGTTGTGAGTGTATGAGCGTCTGAGCAAGTAGAATCGCCAGGATCGTTTGTATACTGCGCACTTTACGAATTGAGGAATTTGATTCGATTGGTGAATTACAAAAGAAGCAACGCCACGGCTTCTTATACACATTCGAGAAATACAGTGGGGCCTCAGCAAAGCAACATTTTACCCAACTCGGCCACCAGCTCTGGATTGGAGATGAGGGGCAAATGGCGGGGCTTCGCAAGTCGCGGCGAGTAAGCAGCCGCAGATTTTCTTTTCCGACCTCGCCTTGCGCCTTTCCAAATGTCGAAATCGCCCTTTGCAGCGGATTGGCGAATCCACTCTGGACGCGGCAGTTCCATCAAAAAGACATATAAATCCACTCGCGGTCCACTCGACGTCAGGGCCATGACTTGTTCGAGGGCGCTGCCGACTTCCATCATCCCCGACGGAGATTATCACGTTTACTATTTATGGGAAGAATTAGAGATTGTGAGACGGGAGCTAGGATAAATCGACCAATCAGTGTGACCAATTTGAGTTGCCACCTGCTGGACTTGAGACTCAAGATCCTCAACTCTAAACTTTGAGCTTTCCTCTTGAAATAAAGAGCCATAGCAGCAGTTGCGCTCCAAACAATGCCAATGCAACGGGCTGGAGAACTTGTACGCCATATGCCTGAGCGAGTGCGCCGACTGCAAACGGAAAGCTAGATGGGAGAATGAACGTCAGCTCGTTGAGAAAAGTGAGATTCAATGCACAACAGAGCTTACATGGATGATCCGGACACTGCAAATGCTGTGGCAAAGCCCACAGAAACAAGATGCTTCTCCGGTGGTAACAGCTTGGTCATCATCCGAATTCCCTGAATGTCTTTCTGTTAGCAACTTTACTTGTGTGGATGTTCGAGTTTACTTCTTGAAGCAGAGTAAAACTCACTGATGGCATAATCATTCCAGTTGATATCCCAATCAGCGCAGCCATCACTGCACTGACTGCAAACTTCTGACCAAACCAGAAAACCAGCTCCAGAGCAATTGCGCTGACGAGATACAACGACACCATGATCCTTTCGCCCACGTATCCCGTGATCCAGCCCAATGCGAAACGGCCGGCTGTGACGCCAATCCAAAATCCAGAAGTAGCAAGCGAAGACGCAGTGGGCGAACCCTTGCGGACGCTCATCAGGAAGGTGAGGAGCCAGCCTCCAATTGTTACTTCAGATCCAGCATAGAGAACCATAAAGGCAGAGAGCGTTAAGGTAACCTATGTACTGTCAGCGTCATATAAACATCCATATGGGATGAGTGTGGGCTGTTACCCGATTATTCAGGATCTTGAGGGTTCCTTGAGCGTTGGGCAATGGCGTAACGGGTTGTCGATGGAAGCCCCTCCCAACATCATCCCAGAACGACGAAGTGACGCCTATACAGGCGAGACAAGATAATCCAGCCTAGAACAAGACAAGCATATGAGATGCCGAGGATCTTCCAACAGCAGAGGGGAGTCAACTAACCATTATAGCTATCAATTGTTAGCTGCATATCCAGAGCCTGTGCCAGTTATTCGCAAACACTTACAATAAAAGATCCACCAGTCTTCCACTTTGGCCGCAATTCTCGATATCTGCAGTGGTGCACATCAATAAAACTAGATTCTCCAACAAGAGACAGCGACATACCAGGATAGGTGACAACGTTGCACCAAGTCCCCAAAATCCATGAAGAAACCCAAGCATCGTACTCCCTTGAACCAATCCTCCAAACCAGCTGTTCCAGCTCCCATTCATCAACCCGCTTCCAAACCCCGTCAAAACCAAAAGACAGACGACAACAGCAAAAGGAGGATGCTGCGCCAGTCCTATATACGCAAGCATATACGCACCCGTCGCAGCGGCCGCAACGCCTCGCCTCCCAGCCACTGCGTGGAGACGATTTGTAGTAAAAGAAGCCAGCACGCATCCCACCATGGGGCTTAGAAAAATAAGAGAAATAATCGAATGCGGCAGACCATAATACTCTCCCAAGAGAGGAACCATTGCCCCTACCGCGCCATCATTCATGCCGTACACGATGAAGGTGAAGAAACATGAGAAGACTCGATACTTGTTTCTCGGAGGGTCGTTCCATCTCTGGGCCGTGGAGACGGCTGTTACGGGCGGCAGGGCTGATTCGGCATCGTGGATCGAGTGCTCAGAGAATGAGGCTAGAACATCTGGATCAGAAGATCGGCGCGGGATGGAAGCTATGGGGGCCGGTAGAGAGAGGGGCTGGAGGATGACTGTCTCTGTTGTAGTAACAGCTGTCTTGGACATGGCGGAATCCTGTAGTCAACAGCTCCTAAGCAGTGATACAATCCAATTGTTTAGCAAATCATCTACAACTAAAGTAAGAAATCGAAGTGAACAGGCCCAAAAAAGAGCGACTCAGCTGTCCTTTTTTAAGCTCTTATCTTTTCCATTCATATCAACTGATCAGCTGGTTGAAAAAACGGCACCAGAGCCTTTTATCCGCACAATTACCCCAGCCTATCTCGGTCAGGGCGGTCCTACCGAATCTCCGGCATCGGTAGATGAACGACAACCATCCAAATATAGAACACCGACACTCCCCGAAAAGGTTAAATGCCAATGTCCTCCTGCCTGCAGTAGCTTCAGATCCTGCCATTTAGCATGTCGACACTACCAGGTGACACATTGAGCATGATGATCATTGCAGAATTGCTGCTATAACTGTTAAATAATCGGAGAAATAAAAGGTTGGTGTAGGGGAATTAGTGATTGGTTGCGCGTTTGCTTGGAAGTACTTGAAGGCAACCAAGTTAATGTTGGTGGTGATGGACGGATGGATGGCTGTGCTGAAGATGTAAGAAGATTAACAGCGGATGGGGGATAAATATGGGCAAGTGGCTAATATTCCATCGGAAAATAGCTGTGCATATTGTATGGATCAAAAAATGTCGCCGAGCAGCTATGATGATCGCTGGAGTGTGTTGCAGCAGCTGCTTGGATTTCAGAGAAGATGCAGCCATAGAACAATTATTTGCATCGAGGCGTTTGGCACTATCGTAATTTGTTTGGATAGAGTAACTCCGCAGTGTTTCATTAAAGTTCATCATTGGGCCTAGTTACAGCGCCTCTTTGCTGCAAAGATAATTAATATCAGTTCCCATGGCTATGCTATACAGCTACTGCCGGTAATCGGGATTCTTTAACGACATCTGAATCCAAAGTATGTAGTAGCAGATAATAGCCATTCAATCCGTGCTCCACACTCTGATGGTTTGTGTTTATGCGAAAACAAGCCCACCCAAGCAGCTAAATAAGCAATATATCCAATCACTCATTGTTCAACAAGGCAACTGATATACGTGGACAAAAGAATGCACAATATCAGCTTGAAACAAAAATCCGTTCACGTGGAAAGCAGTTAAGCCCTACAAACCATCTCAAACTAGCTCATTTGTGGGCATTCAGGGGCAGTATATAAAACAAATGCACAGTCTTTTGCTCTCTCCCATTGCAAGTCCTGACTCTACACTCTTCTCGTTTTTATATTCCCTTTCATACCAAGACACACGAAAACACACCACCGCACTCTTCCCAAACCTGTAATTGATCAAACTCCTTAAAAGAGGGCTTCAATTCTTTAATCATGCGGCACATCTTGCTCTCCTCTCAGCCTCTTAGAGCCCCATCTCTCGCCACTGAGATCCAATTCGGCATCCAAGTCGAGTTCCTCGCCCCTCCCATCTCTCCCAACCAACCATCCCAAAACATCTCCAACCGCCATCACATCTTCCACTACTTTGCTTCCGCCCTCCAGAAATCCGGCCTCCAAGCCGCCTTTCTCCTCGATCACGACAACGACAATGCCGACAACAGCGAGACACAAGAACAAGAGAACCAACTTCGTGCCACAGCTCCCAAGGGAAGCATCATCAAGACCAAGCACAACCCGGACATGTACATCATGAACCCGCTCTCCCTCGTCCAATGGCTCAACGCGGGCGCCGTCCAAAACCCGCTGTGCAGATACTGGCTCCTCCAGACCAGCAGCGACATCGGCCATCGCGGCAAACACGCCAAATGGCAGCCCGCACAGCTCAGCAGCCCGACGTTGCGTGAATCCGAGGCAAACAACTTGTTCCCCGGCATCAACACGGCTCTGTACGGCATCTGGACCGCGCATCCGGCCAAAGTGCACATCGCCAGTGACTGCGGCCTGCACGTCTCCGTCGGCCCAGTGTCTTCAGAGGGACTGACTGTCCTGCAGGCTCAGCGCGTGGCAACGCTGGTGATTGTGCTTGAGAACAATCTGCTCTTCCACCTGGGCTCGCCTGTTCGTCGCAGCGTCCATCAGCAGCTCATCAAGGCCTCTGCTCTTGTCCACTCAAAGGCCGGATCGACTTCGTCTCCCGCAGCAACGGCCAACCTCCCGCTCAACATCCTCCACAACGGCACCATGAACAAGGCACTGAACATTCTCTGGGACGCCTCCGATCTCAGCCAAATCAACCAGATGATTGCTCACTACTGCAAGACTCGCGATCCTCCAGCGTCTACAGCTCTACGCATCACCACACAAATTCACGAGGACGACAGCACCATCAACTCATTCGAGTTCCGTCACGCGCAGGCATCTTTCAGCCAAAGCTTCGTCGACAACTGGGTACGCCTCATCCTGACCATCTGCAAGGTCGCTTTCCTCCCCGCGGAGATATACAAGCTCGTCGTGGCTATGCTGTAGGAAACCATTGTCACGACGCCTCGCCCGGAGGATTCGTGGAAGACGCTGCTCAAGGTGCTCAACGATTTTGCGCCGGTGAATTGGCATGGCAAGAGCCACGAGCTGTACTGGATTGGCTACTTGGCTGTTCAAGACAGAAAATAAGACAAGAGAAATGACAATGATTTCTGTTACACTTGAAGTTCAGACGTCGACGGAAAGTCCGCGGGATGTGAGCATATCTGTCCGGCAATTGCCAGAGCGGCTAGATTAGATGTAAGTCTAATCGACTCTGGAGTAACAAGCTGTTTCAAAAGCCTCGATATTGATTGACAGTCTTTCAAATATCTCTACTTTTTACATCGTCGATTCAACAAAATCTGTCCTTTCAAAGGCAAAAGAAGAATAAGTAAGTCAACATGTTAGCCCGTCTGATGGCTCAGAGAATTTAGAACACCAAATAACCCAATACACCGGAATAGGAAATGCGGTCCGAAGCCGTTTTACGCCCCGAGTCATCTACTACTTGTACAGACGAATTCTACCTGGGGTATTTCTTCCGTCGAGATTAGTAAACCACCATCGTCAGATTTGTTCTGTGTATTACTTCAACGTAATTTACATCTCCAAGCATACAAAATCGCGTTCTAACCAGTAATGCTTAGGCACCAATCAACATTACATTCTCAATGCATCTCATTTCCTCATTTCCTCACATCTCAAAACCAATCGCAATAACACAAAAAAAGCTATTCCGCATAAGGAATCATGATTGCTCATCATACCAACTCAAAAAGAAAGAAAGGGAAAAAGGAGACCGCGGAAGCTACATTAGAGCAGAAATTCGACTGCACGATCATGACTCTTTGGCCCCAGGTTCTCCACCGAGAAAACAAGAATCACGCCAGCTTTGAATCCAGAGAAAACAAAGAATAAGAAAAAAGAATAATCGTGGCTGGCTGGAGGCCCATATTTTCTCCGCATCCCCCGGAAGGAAACCTGACTCGGACTTACGTTCTGCTCCGGTCCAGGCCCTTCTTTTTAACTTCTGGGGCCTCGTGGGCGGGCAAAGATCTTGGCTCGTATCTCAGGGAATCTAGTTTTGGAGGCGGAAAGCGGTAGATTAGCTATATAGTGGCAACGAAGTGGCTTGGTGGCGGCATCTTGGTAAGAGGTCAATATCGTTGTATTCGATCTTTATTCCGATTCCGTATATTCCTCTGGCTCGGTTAGCCTACTCATCTCGAATCAGTCCTTGTAGCAATAGAGCAACTCTTTGGAACTAAGTCATTAAAATGGGGTGCTTGTACAGCTCGGCAGCCTAGCTTGAGTTTAAGCGCCAGAGGCTTGTTGAAGCGAGGTCACAACAGATGTCAAGTAGGCAACACACGTTGAATTGATGCTACTGGTAATAGCCAAGTGATTCATTCAGTCTTTACCCAAGACAAAACTCCGCCCAATCATTAATATACTAGACTTATATACTTTATAATACTACTGCATTCCATCGTAATGCGTAACCCCAGGTTACAGTAGGTATCGATATTCTGGGGACAAGTCACCCAACGTCGTCTTCTCCTCTTCTGTGAGGTGGGGGACATCTGTCATATTGTCTCTCTTCTTATTCGCCGCCCAGCACCCCAGCCCGTAGAGCACTGACGCAACCATAGAAATGCCGGTAAAGGCCAGGCACACGCTGTAGCCCGTAGTAAACTTGGGGGCGTCTTTGGTCAAGAAGATGAAGACAGCAATAATACCACCAAGATTTCCGTAGCCAACTTGCCATGCGCTACCGACGGCACGGCGAGTGTGATTTCCTAGATTCATATTGAACCAGCAGACAATGATGGGCATGGCCGTATACGCGCCAGACGTAATGAGAAACAGTGCGCCGTACTGGACGTCGTGATTACTGTGCTCAGCGAGAAGAATAGCAAAGCCAGCAATAGCAACAAACATGGCGAAAACAGCAAATGCGAATCGATGCCGTAATCTATCAGACAAGGTCGCAATGAGCAGGGAAAAGCCAAAGGCAGCAGCCCACGGCGGAACACTGCGCAGCTGAGTTTCAATGGGGCCATATTGAAATGTCGAGATAATTGTCGGAGCGAAGTAAGCATAGCCGTATGCGGGAACAATAAGACCAAAGTACATGAAGCCGCCAGCAACGACCTTCCAGTCCTTGAAGACATTCAAGATGTCCTTGATTGTCATTGATCGCCCAAGACCGGAACCGGAGCCCTGATCCACGCGAAGGCGGGCTGCGACAAACTGGCGCTCGTCTTCCTTCAGCCACTTTGCCTCTTCCGGGAAATCGGGGAGAAGGAAAAAGAGGATGAAGCTGACAAGGACTGTTAGACCACCCTCAATAAGAAAGATCCAGCGCCAGCCACTGTAGCCTCGCATGCCGTTCATCTTGCCAATGGCGGCAGCCAAAAGGCCACCAAAGGCACCGGCGAGGGTCGTGCTGTTGAAGAAGAATGAGTAGCGTCGTTGGGCTTCGGATCGCTTATACCACATGCCGATAAGATAGAAGGCTGTAGTTTTAAGCTGGTTAGCCGTTGAAGTAGACGGTAATACTTGACTGCGGGATACAAGAGACTTACCTCCTGGAAACATGCCAGTCTCGAATAGGCCGAGGAAGAAGCGAGTGGCTAGCAAGCCACTGTAGTTCTTGACCAGACCTTGCATCATGGTGGTAAAGCCGAAGAGGAACATGTTGAGCGAAAGCCAGACATGGGGCTTAAACTTCTTGAGGAGGATATTGGACGGGACCTCGAAGAGACAATAAGGGACGAAGAAGATGACTAGCGCGGTGTTGTACTTGTCTCCGGTGCCGAGATCCAGATCTTTGGCCAGGCCAAACAATTTTGCGTTTGCGATGTTAACACGATCTAGTCAGAGGTGAATGTTAGCATGTAGTCAATCGTAAGGCGGGCAAAGTCAAAGGGATATTTCGCGCTGCGTGTTGTCACTGTCGACGTACCCAAAAATGCAAGCAAGTACATGATACAGAGAAAAGGAACGACTCGCATGTCGACTTTGGCCATCAATTTGCGCTCGGTTGTGTGCGACGGGCACTGAACCTCTTCGGCCGCATATTGAATCTCTGTATCGCGGATGTCGGTCGAGTTGCGATCCGAGCCGCTGTGCTTCTCGTCTATAACGCCCATTGCGGCGTTCTGTTGTTGGCTGGCGCGTGGGATGCGCTGCAGCTTTTTGGGGTATCAAACCAGACGTCAATCTCGCCGCGCTTTGGTTGTCTTTTCCAGTGTCCAAGTAAGACGAGAGAAGCCAGACAATAAGAAGAAAGAAATTATAAGTAAAAGAAGAAGGGCAAGAGCCCACGTGAAATAGTGGAGGAATAAGAAGCACAGGCTTCGACGTTGGCAAGACAAGAAGCAAGCGAGTGGAACACAAAGGGTGCAGAAGGGATCTGCCGGGCCCTATTTGTACTCGGCCTGTGCTGTGCTCCTCATGCCCCCAGACATGCTTGCCTTGTACTCTATTGTCGACGATGCTCGCTGCTCGCACTAGGTGTCAGCGGGTGGGTAATGGAGGCAGCCATTGGCGTCGCCGGACAAGCGAGCGATGGGGGCCACCAGGGCCTTTCCAGTAGCAGCAGCAGCTGAACCATCGACGGAGCTGCCAAGGGCTCTGCAACCGCAACCAAGGCCAACCGTCTCCAACGTCCGGATACCCCAAAGGCCAAAAGGTGCGCCGCGTACGGAGCGTCGTAGTACTAGCAGTGGTGTTAGTGCTAGCGCTTCTCCCAAAAGGCTGTAATGCATCCTTGCAGATCGTGGCGCCAGTGGATCGTCTTCTCCAGAATTTGCAAGCTTACCAGGGCTGTCTCCACGACTCATCCCAGCCGTAGCCGGACTCCCAGCAGGCCGACTGCCGACCAGTTGTGCAGCGATGTGGAGGAACATTGTGCGGAGTCTCCTCCACTTGGAGCGGAATTATGATTCATAGCGAGGGTCATACGCAAGACTTTGCGGTTTCGTTTGGAAGGATCCAAGCCAGGCAGCTGAAGGAGACTGAGGCTAGGAGTTGTACCTCCGCCCAGAGCAAGCCCAGAAGGGGCGGCATATAAATTTCCCGAGGCATCCTCTGCCATTGGCCATCACCGCCTTGCACTAAAACCCCCGCATCGAGCCACTCGCCAAAAAGAAGATTCTCCCATAGCCTAGGCATTCTTCGACGCCCCAGATTTCCCCGGGTTTTGGCTCCCATATTGGTCTTGAGAGCTTAAACAACGTGCTTATGTCCGCTGTCTAGCAGCCAGCCTAGCACTCCCTAGTCCCTTGGCCGCTGGTTGGAGTTGGCCGTAGTTTGTTGGAGATTTGGAGAACCCACAGGGCGGTCCGAACTTCTCTTCCGTGCTCTCATCGGTTATCTGTCGGTCTTCGAGCTAATCCTCCCTTTCCGTAGATTCGTCACGATGAGAAATTAGCAAAATATCATGCAATAGACGCTGGGGTGGGGGTTCGCCCTGTTTGCTCTTCATTCCGAAACATCAGTCGCCTGCCATGAACGACTCCCGCATCTTGACCGTCCTTGATTCGCTTTGTCGGGGCATTTCGTCAATTTCAGATGGGCATCAACAGAAAACACAAGATGGAGAACCAACACAGAGACTACAGTTAACCGAATCTTTACGCCTCTTGATACCCCGGAAATCCACCCCCGCATCTCCACCTGTTGCTACCTGAGTCGAGAGCAACAGTCAACTGGCATTGGCTATCACGCAGGTACGGAAGCAGGCTCAGAGACTACTATCCGTCTGCTACCCCGTAGGTTGCAACCATTTCTTTGTAGCACGTGGGAGTGGCGTCTGTTGGTAGCCATCCCCGGACTTGATTATCACTACTAGCCCAACCACCGTCACTACCGCCAGCACTGCTGCTTAACATAGAAACATGAGGTGGGCCGGTCCCTACCTGTTCTCCAATAGCATATGCGATGAACAAATAGTTTGGCGAGCATACATGGTCATGCATTGCATGGCTTCCCGGCTATCAAGAGAGCTAATTAAAACTAACACGCCAAATCCGACAATCCGGATCTTGGAGCCAGAAACCAGAGGCTAATCGCGGCTTTGGATCTTCAAACACCGACTCAAGCCGTGATGGTGATAGATAGCGACGTTGTAACAGTCATATGCAATGGTCATGCTTGGAAGATATCCCGTTAATGACCCCTAGTTCTATATGCTTATCGTTAGGGATGGTGAAGCCCTTTGACTGCCAAGAGGCTCATGGAGGGGAGCGACTGGGGAGAGCTTCCGTCCCGTGGTTCCTGCAGACAGTCAGCCAAATGGGAAAGTTTGGTTGACATTTTTAGATCAGCCATCTTTAAGTGAGCGGGATATACGTGGATACTATGACATACGTGGAGACGGCAAGATGGAGAGCAAGGTGCTCTGTGTTCTTTAAGGGTTTCGACATCGTCTCATCAAGATCATTAACTGCAATCAGGCTCAGTGCCCCAGTGCCCGGTCTTCAACACGCATGTAAACACGGATAGCTGCGTCTACCAAGTGACAGCTGTCAGGGGCGTGTGCCTGTAACCTGTTTGAAGCTGCAGAGAGAACGGATAGCTGTGGTCAGAGTTGAGATGGCGGTTTAGCTGGGCATGCATCCTATTACGGGTATGCGTCTCGTGCGTTTTCCGTGCATATGGCTTCCACATGGCTTGTGTTTGCCCAGTTGATTCAGCTGGTTATGCATGTTGACGTTCACTGTCCTCGATAATGGCTTATCGCAAACGAAGAAGTCCACGCCTCTCGCCCGCCCCTACACTCCCATTAAACACGCAAAGGTGCAGCAAAGCGGCATAAAAGATTTCCAGCTTTCTAGAGAAACTTGTCCTTTTCTCTTCGCTTCTCTTCTTTTCTTTTCTCCTCTTAATTCTTCTCCAATTCATCCATCTACATCTATTCAACATCTGTAACAGCTACCTCTTCTTTTTGGACTTCTACTTACACTGGCTGTTGTCACTGCTGTCACACATAAGTCCATCTCCTTCTTCAAACTCTTGGTGTCAAATTGTCGAGGTGCTGTCCAAAGGACGATGGATTTCAATGAAACGGGAAACTCACTGTATCTTGCTGGTGACGGATGGGTCACAGACATTTACGATGCCAGGAGTGGCCCGGTGACTACCAACCCAATGGCGGCAGGCTTCGCTCCTACATGTCCCCCCTACAACGGCGGCGAATATTTAGAATCTCCGGAGCAGGTTTACGAGCCAAGGAGACGCCTATACAGCGATGAATACACCCACCAATCCCCCGATCCGGAGTACTGCAATGCTCCATCTCATTTGTGAGTAATCTCTGCAGCCGATTGCAATTTAGGACTTGAGCTGATGCCTTGTTATATATATGATAGTTCAACCAGAGAAACCGCCGATGACTCCTTTTTCGATGCCGCTTTCGTGTCCTCTCAGGCTTTGCAAGTGCCGTCGCCATCGCTGGCGCTAATTGATTATCTGAGACCGGGACCAATACCATTTGAGGGCTACGGCAGCGGTGACTGGGACAGCGAGCATATAGCACAACTGCGATCCGGATCAGACGCTCTTCCCTTTTACTCGAGTACCGATAACCTCGATTATGGTTGCAATGCTCATGGAACCAACTATCCAACCAGCGGCATAGATGGCGATGGCCTCCTGGGTAACTTATACCCTTCCGAGACAGCTTTACAGCCTGTAGCGGAGGCAAATGTAACAGGAGTGGAAGCGGGAGCAGCCGCTTCACTTCAGAACACAATGTATCGGGGATCACTGAGTGATTTCATGGCCAAGCCGGAAACAATACCTGGTTTTCCAGGACAGCCAGCTCCGTTGGCCATGCCAGGAGAATCATCGCGGCAACCAGCGCCGACGTATATGACATCACAACAGCCGGACTATGCGGTGACCTCATCTCCCTACACCGTCATTTCACCTCCCTCTTCCGTCAAGTCCTCACCTCGGAAGCGCAGTGCTTCAGCGGCTAGGATCGACAAGAGTCCTGTGGGTCCAAAGAAACGAGTCATCAAGGCTCACATGTTGGCAAAAGTTGACAACATTGAAGACTCTAAATTGAAAATAGAGACCGACAAAATGCCCACATTTGAATACCAAGAGTACTTCCACTCGCCTGCGGACGCCAGTATGAAGCTCAAGCGTCTTCTCGAGCTGTTTCGAAAGTCCGAGGACAACTGCAGCAGCCCCTCTACAAACTCTACGTTTCCTCAGAGCAATGAGGACAAGAAGAGATACGTTGAGAAGCTTTTCAATGCCATCAACGATTGGGAAAACATCAATGAGTGGTCACAGACTCTGGTCCCCGAAGAGCGGAACCGAGTGATGGACGAACACCGGCGTATGAAGGAGGAAGCCAACAGCGCAACTCCAGACAAGAAGCTGAACGATATACCGTTAGACGAAATGCGGCCGACCCGGGACGAACTTCCAACTCTTGACGTACAACAGAAGAAGATATTGGGTCGGCAGTTGAACGACCAGACAGTAGAATGGCTCTGCTGGGAGCTCATTGTAGGTGTCTTTTTCTCGCTCTTCCCACGCGCCACTACAAAATTGCATGAGAGGTCAGCTAACCCATTTGTTACTCATTCTTAGGAAGCCGCCATACAATCGCAGCAGGGATATACCCAGATACCTTACTGGTGCGGCGCCGATGGAGCTTAGGAAGCCTATGAGACGTTTGCACAGCGTGTCGATGCGATGTGTTTTGCTCTGACGGTGAGCTTAACCCCTGACCCGGCGGAGGTGGATTCTCTTCTTATTAATTTATCACTCTCCCAGAAATCGAAGCAGCTCGTCAAATCCCTTCTATCTGCAGGTGACGGATGGAAGCTCCGCATCGCTAACAACCCACGTGGAGAGCTCGGGGTAAGCAAGCATCCCCCTTTGTTTCTATATTCACGAATACTGACGCACGACCAGCACAAAGGAAACAACATGAAGGTCAACATGAACAAGAACAACCGTCTGCGGCAAATCACCCAAATGGAGAACACTGCTGGAAACAATCCGTTGCCAGAAGCCGCCAGCCGATCGGCAACGGCGGGAACAGCGGGCAGCAGCTCTGGCAACAGGCGTTGAATGCGACGGCATGGCATCATTTACACCGACAACTTTTTCCTCTCCATTGTCTTTTTTGCATTTACATGCGTATAGATGAGCGCAGTTGAAACGGGGATTACCTGCCATTTTCATCGTATACCGGCGAGAGCGTTTTCTCTTATCCCTTTCATCCCTTTTATCCCTTTCATTTGCTTTTATTTGGTTTTTTTTCTATTGTTAATTTGTTAATCTTGTTTTTTTTTTATTCTTTCGTTTGGCTCTTTCCGGATATCCTCACGAGGTGTACTTGCAGAATGTATTAGTGATCACGCCATCATAAGGTTAGTGAATATGGACTTTGGATATGTCATTGTTTGTTCAACACACGTCATTTCACATTGAATAGTATTCTTTTGAGTTTAAGCATGTATCATTGTTTTAATCTGAGTTTGGCATGCATCATTTTACATAGATGGCATCATTTGAGTTTGGCATGTGTCAACGACCTCATAATGGTTCACGTTCAGAAGCGGGATGCCAGTTTGTTTTGTAAGTCTTCAAAAGACATGATTAATTAACATTACTTCAATCTATCGGGGTATCCTAACGCATTGTTGAAAAACTCCACCTCATTATCAACACACTTCCATGCCCATTGCCTCTTCTTATGTTGATTTCAACGATCTCGTAGTAAAGTAGCTCCTCTCCCATCCGTCAATTGGGTCGACGGCAGTCTCTTCAACGAGCTCGTAATTACCGACCCAAGGCATAACCTTGGCCCAGAGCAGCCAGTAAAGAGCACCGACAAAGAGGACACCGAAGCCAACAACGCAGTGAATCCAGTAAGGAAGGTGTTCGTAGACGTTCTGGCCATCTTCAGGAGGCACGAAAGGTGCAATAACGAGGTAAACATTGCTGAGAAGGAAGAAAATGACGACCGGATAAGTGGCCTTGATAGGAGGGTTCCAGTTCCAGGTGGCTCGGTTGCGGTAGAGGTGGATAAGACCACCGGCGACGAAGACGTTGATGATGGCAAGAGGGTAGGAGATGAGGCTGTAGCAGAATTGTTAGTACATCTCATCTTTATTTCTATTCACATGTGAGAAAAACACTTACTTGAGAACAAAGTTGTAAGCATCACCTGCAGGCGGCGCAAGGATAGTAATCATGGTAATGGCCCAGTGCTCAAACAGACCGGCCAAGGGAGCGTTGAAGGGCCGGTTGCTGGCGAAGAATCGAGAAAAGGGCAAAACACCCTCACGGCCTAGCTCCTGGACAAGACGGCCCTGGGAGAAGATGACACTCAAGACGTTGCCAAAGGCAGACAGGGCGACGAACACAGAGAGCGCTCTCTCGGCCCTCTCGCCAAACATGTTTCGGAAGAGCGAGGCGGCAACAAGGCGCTTGGCTTCGAGAATCTCCTGCTTAGACACGCCAGCAAAGTAAGAAACGTTGGCGAGCATGTAGAGGATTGTGACGGAGCCGACGGCCAGGGGGGCGGCGATCCTGAGGGTTCGGGTCGGGTTCTTGGTCTCGCTGAGGGCGTAGTTTGCGTTGCTGTAGCCGATGAAACTCCAGATGACGTTGTAAAGAGAAGTGACGACACCATAGGCACTACCGGTAGTGCCCTCAAAGGCATTGTGAAGGCAGTTGATCTCCTTGACCTTTTTGATATTGGCCAGGGGCGCAATGATGACAATGATGACAATGCAAATCTTGATAACACCCAGGAAGTTCTGAAGACGCAGTCCCCACTTCAACGCAGTGCCGTGAATCAGAAAAGCAGTTGTGATACAAGCCACAGCAATACCTCGCTGGTTCCAATCCGTAACCTCGACTCTCGCCGCGTTGAGGATGTATTCGCCAAAGACCACCGAGTTACCAGCCGCCCAGCCCAAGAGAATGACATAGGTGGTGTACATGCCCGTCACGAGGAAGCGCGGCTTGCGGTAGACGTATTCCAAGTAGTTCTTTTCGCCGCCGTTCTTGGGAAGACCGGTACCCCATTCCATGTAGACTGCCGTGCCGGCCCAGGCGATGAGGCTGCCGGCGACCCAGAGGAAGAGGGACAGGCCCACGCTGCCGGACAGGGCGAGGATGGAGCCAGGAGTTGCGAAGATGCCGGTACCGATGATTCGGTTGAAGATGAGCATGGAGGCTGAGGGGACACCGATTTGGCGCTTGGCCTCTCGAGCGTGTTCGAACTGAGCTGATGGGAAAGAGTCAGTATGATGGATACATTGTATAACCAGTTATCAACACAACATACTTTCAGTTCCATTCTGAACAGAGGCGGCATCATCGCTGCCAGCGTGCTGAGGACTCAGTTTGGTAACATCCTCGGCGCCCGTCTTAAACAGGCTCTTAATGGCCGACATGTTGTCTGTAGTCTTGCAAACACCAAACAAGGACAAAACAATCAGCAAGCCTAGACCTCAGATACCAAGGACCAGGCGGAAGTATTCAAGAACAACAAGAAGTAGAGAGATGTCGAATCATGGTAAAAAAACAAGAGGAGGCTCAGTCCCTATTATACATGTATACCACCCACCCAAGCCATGGGAAGTGGGCCAAACATCGATCCCATCCCTATCCCCAAACGCGCGGGTACGACCACAAAAAAAACTGGATCAGCAAATAAGAATTACACGACAAAAGTCAGCTTCACAATGGAGAGGCAAGTCGAGAAAGAGAGAGAAAAAAAAAGCTTGTCTTGAGCGGGGCCCGCCATGGTGCCATCGGGTGCTAAACGAACGCAAAGAGCTCCAGGCCCCCTGGTTTGTTCTAGGTAACAGCGATGGAGACCCAGAACTTGGAGGTGGCGGATTTTATGACAAGAGAGGAAGAGGAACGTGGCCTGGGTTAAGAAAGAGGCCCGAATGGGTGTGCCATGCCAAGGAAGGATTGATTGAGCGCGGGAGGCTTGAGCACTTGGCATTTAGGAATAATTCTAATTCCACTTACACAGACGCTTTGCAGAGATTTTCTATTACGCTTCTCTCTCCTATTGCATCTCAGGAGACAACATTACTTGTTGTACATGTAGGCACTAGTAATATTGAAGCAAGGCTGACGCTCCAGAAGTGGCCCACGAGTCGCGAAGCTTGAATAGACTAACACGCGGTTTGCGAGTAAGTCGCCTCGCCTAGCCCAGGGACATGAGCCCCTACAAAACTCCACTATATGATCAATATGGAGTACAAAAACAGTTTATTAGCACTACTAGTACCAACTGGACAGAAGACCAAAAAGACAATAAAGATGCGTGTAAGTTGGAAACACAAACAGGAGACTGCAGTGGTGCGATGCGACGGTAAGTCAGCCAATGCCGACGCTATCCATTGTCTACCTTATTTCACATGCAAAAGCCCCAGCTAGTGCCCGGTAGAAGCCTTCTCGAAAACGAGGTAGAAGGAAAAAATTACAATAAGCCAGAAGCCAGAAGAGAAAAAAAACAGTGAAAAAATGAAAGGGCTCCATTTTGGCCGCGCCGTGGTTGATCACGACATCGGGGCCTTTCCCGATTCTGTCGCGCCCGGACCCGGCGTGGGCCGATGACGCGATCGGAGCTTGTTCCCAAGAGAGTGCCGGCACCTCTTTGGGAGGGAACCAGAAATTGGCCGGACGACTTTTTTTTTTTCTGGAATTGTTTGTGAATTGCAGCTTTTGCGTTGCTCATCGACTAAGGCGGGACTAAGGAAGGGCTAACGCGGTGAATGGAGAAACTAGGACTTTGTTCCCGCTCCCTAGCCTCATATTCTGAGTCGGTCAGTGAAGCTGTATCTCAGCCCAAGTTCTCGAATGCCGCAGGCTTATTGGCAGGGCATGCCGAATACGGTGTAATACAGGAGTGGGTTTCTTTCTCTTTCCTTTGCCATGTTTAAGGCTTAGCTCCTTGTAGCAGCGAGCGGATGGTTTCCTTTACGTGATGGATTGAAATGCCAATACTTACAAGTAGTACTATATACAAAAGTAGTAGCTCGCTCTGGAGTCATGGGACGACTAACAGGTGCCCATGGGGAGGAATGGGGAATGACGCCTTATTTTGGTTTGCCAAGCGAGAGGAGGATAATGCCTCGTTTTGTGTTTATTGATGGCATGACTCAAGTGAAAGCTGACGGTTTGAGCTAATTATGATGTTATCGAGTGTCGGTGGTTTGATTTTAGATGGCTGAAGTTTGAATGTTTCTGGAGCTATTGTAAAGCCTGGACCTATGGCCTCATGGGGAGGCTTGCTTGCGTTGAGACTTTACGAAGAGAGATCAGACTAGATGAGTGATTATGTGATTTGACGAGTTTTATTCCTGTTAGCAGCATTTAGGAATGGAGGTTGAGAGATGAGATGTGATATTAACCACGTGGACGGCAACTCAGCTGAAAGATTACACGAGAGTGGAAAGATAAGTTTGACTAGTTGGTTTGCTCACTCAGGGGCAGCAATGGTTTTGAATCGATTTGAAATTGAGTAGGTTACATCTCAGCTGGAGCCATCAACTTACAAAGGTACACACATACCTAGCGTTCAGATTTTATCTTCGTCAGGGTCCAGTATAGTTTAAATGTTATGCTTCTGTCAATCACATTCGGGATCGATTCGCCTAGCATGGATGGAGAGGTGCGGTCCCTTTCAAGTTTGATTCGACTAAAGCCTGCTTCTGACGAATCGGCTTGTTGTTGAGCAGATGTAACAGGCAGATCGGCATCTCATAGATGTCAATCTAAACTAGAATATTGCAGCCCTGCATATTCTTAGTCACACTAATGTCTATTTCTCCATCTTATAAAACATTTTGGCGAGTTTGTGCAAGATGTACCTAGAATACTCCGCTGGCGCCTTATCTTTTAGTTTTTAGAAGTACATCTCAGTAGAACAAGATCCGTGATGATCTTGTTCTCCGTGTTTTGCCTAGCCCACTTGCGAATTCGTCTCCAGATGGAGTAGGCGGGATGATTCAACCACAGCCCAGAAGGCTACTTCTCCTTTCTAATTGATATATTAGCAAATATTCTTTTACCCCTTCTTTCCACTCAAGGAATACGTTATTGCCGGCATCAGCGGCCAAATGTGGATGTGCTCTGTTCATCTGGTGGAGAGCCTTCAGTTTTTTAGTGTGATATCTTGTCTAGTATCATACAGGTATTTACATGAAAAGCAGCGGCCGTCGGCCGTTTCGTTGTTTTGCGTTGGAGTAGCCATCTCAGTCTCTTCTTCTTAGTGTAAGTTCGGTATGCCAAGTTATTCACATCACATTACTCATCGGCAGCAGCATTTTGGATCAATTTCACATTATATGTACGTTGTGTACTATGGTACAGGCAAGTGTTGCCATCTCATGAATCCCCCTTTCTCTAATTACCCAACCCAATAATTTTCCCCCATTATCATTATTGTAAAAGAATGTCGTTGATCATCAAAGGAGTGACTCGCTCGCAGTCGAAAAACCCATTATAAAACCGACAAGAAACTCCTCGCAAGTAAAAAAGCGCCATATCATATATCCCCTCCTTTTCCAAAGAAACATTACCTATATATAGTAATATGTCCCATTCATTTTCACACTCGAAACCCTCGTCTTATGCGTACTTTTTCTCATCAAAACGTGACGGATAGACGAAATCGTCCTCTGCGCCGGCGGGAACATGGTGCTGTTTCTGTCCTACAGAACAGCGCTCATCTCCTCAATGGTCGCAGGGACGGTGACCTTGCCGCAGGTGACGGTGCGCTGGGAGTAGATCTGGCCGGGCTGCCAGTTGGGGTTCTGCCAGGTGGTGTCGCTGCAGGTGAGATTCAGCTGGACGCCGCCCTGGGCAGTGAAGCGGCTGCCCTCGTCGGCGCAGTGCCACGTCTGGTTGATGGCGAGGCTGTCGTTGGGCCGCGCAAAGGTGAAGGTGGCCTTGTCGGCGCCGGCGGAGGCGGGCACCTCGCAGTTGTAGACAAAGTTGCCGTAGAAGAAGTCGGACAGCTGGTCCGAGGCCGCGCTGCACACGGGCGTGTAGTTGAGCGCCGGGTTGCTCAGCGTGAAGTTGACGTAGCCCCACGAATTCTGGTGGGCCGGCGTGGAGAAGGTGTAGGAGGCGTGGAAGTCGAATTCGTCGACAGTCCACTTTGAGACCTTTGTAGAGCTGGCAGTGCATCCCGTAGAGGTGGTAGCTGGAGGTGGAGGATAGGAAGTGTTGGCGTCTCGAGGAACGACGCGAGAGGGCAGGGCCAGAGCCGAGCCGGCGAGGAGGAGAGTGGACAAGAGGCTCAACATGGTGGCAGTGGACAAGATGGTAATTGGAAGATGAATTGAACAAGATGAGGGATAGGCAGGGTCTATATATAGGCAGGTGGAGGATATAGAACAATGTCTTGAGTCTCGACTTATTGGTGATGGCAGCAGATCAGACAACCAAGTCGGATCATCGCCTCCTCTTATACGCAAACTGCAACCCGGCACAAACACGAATTCTTCAGTACAAAGGTGACATCGAGTCCACGACTACTCGCAAAAGATCAATGCAGACTTGGCACACGTACACGGTCTCTCGACCAGCCCGACGATTTGCTCTGTTGGCGATGCGCAGAGCAGAGCGGCCCAGCCATTCTTTCATGACGTAGCACGGATCTCGTATTCCCAGCGCACGGAGAAAAAAAAAAGAGGGAATCGGGAGTGGCGGTTGAAGAGCCGTTGCCAAGTCATGGTGGCAAGTTTGAGGTACTCGGTACTTGGCGTGTACAGCTTTTTAAGCGTAGACTAAGGTACACAGCACTTGAGTTATCGACAAAGAAAGACGCTCGCCCGGCAGATGCACCTGTAAGGAGGCAGCCCCAACAAGGGGACCTATCTGGTGGCATCTGGGAGAGGGGCTCTTCTCCCCTCTTGGCTCTGCGCACCGAAAAAAAGCCACCTGTAAACGGCGAGGGAGCTCCTTTCAGCGCCTGCAGAAGGGACGGTTTTAGCGGGCTCGCGGACGCTAAAAAAGCGCAGGTGTCTCTTTCTGGAGTGGCACTGCCCGCTGCCACACCTGCGGCCGTGATCGACAGAGGCCCGTGACCTCGTATTCTGTGCCGTTTGCATGAATCTTGATGCTACTGCTACTACTGCTACCTGCAGCTAGACTACACGAGCGAGCAGAGTAACATTTTACTCTTTTACTGCCAAGGGATTCTTCAGCTGAGGGCCGGAATCTTTATCCGAGGAGCATTAGTGGCTGAGGAGGATGCGGTGAGCCGTTGAGGTATGTATTCCAAAAGTGCTGCTACGCTGTTGAATCTAGAACGAGGACACGACATATCAGATGCTAATATTAGACTACCCCAGTGAACTGATACTTTACTCTGTGCCTACATGCACTTGGAGATGAATGGTACGAGCATCTTCACCTGCATAAAGACAAAGAAACGTAACGTTGGCTGAGACTTTCAATTAACCTTGACTCAGATCAGGACCCAACGCTTTGACTCGACTTGCTCCCCTCTGGTGTTGATGCTGTCTCTCCTCCCATGTCCATTTCCCTCCCTCTATCCAAAAGTGCCCATCTTTTCAGGGCGAAGAAAACAAGATAAAGCTACGAATCCTTCCGTCTCAGCTGGCAGGGCCAAAATACCTTACGATAATCACCATCCAAGGTCAGAGAGCGATGCTACCTTACCGAGGGCATGTCACGTCGTGATACCACATCAAAGGGAGCTTCTTCGCATCCTTGCCAAGGTTCCCTATCCGAGCCCTCCCTTGTATCCTGCTACTACCATTTATGCTTAGTCGTAGGATTACACGAACGCACGGCTCTAGTTGGATCTTTGGAATGCTGCAAGAAAAGATATCCTTGCCCAAATGGCCCTTGCATGCATTGCCACGTTGACGACGGAAGTGGAAACGTTTGTCATGTTTTTTTCTTCTTCTGCAGAGCACGCACGCACATATACTCGGACTATAGCATCCGGTTACATTTCGTACCTTTTAGGGCCCAACGAGAAGGGAAATTCACCAAAGAGCCACCGAGCCTCCGAGCCTCTCTTTTTCTTGTCCGGCATGCAGGTGGTGGCGCGTAAGCCGGTTCGATTATCTTCTGCCAGCGTTGCACATCAGCTCACACAGACTTAACAGCGTAACACTGTCATGGCCTCGCATATCTCTCTCACTCTGAGGTTCCGCAGGTGGGCTATGTAAACTACAATGTAGCCAAGTCGACAAACATCCAACGAGCAGAGTCTCTCCGCCGCCATATGCATCCCATCGGCCTCTTCGGACTTCGTATCATCCGCCGTGTGTCATGGCAAAAACCAACTCGTGTCAGTGCCTCGAAAACGAAAAAAAAAGATATGATAATTAGTAGCAGGTAATAGTGTCGTGATCCATGCGGGGACTCGTCAATCGAGATGGTGTTGCGAGATATCAGCATCAAGCTTGCACAATTCGTCATCTACCGCAGTCATCACTCTTAGCAGATCGATGCATCTCGTGCAATCTGCCGGCCAACTAACCGTATCCGGGATCCTTCTGGGAACAATTCGCTTTGTCCCACGTGCTCTCGACCACAATCAACTTTCAGGCTTTGCTGCGAGCCGCATGCTTCTCTGCCTTGTTCTTTATGCCGTGCGTCCTTGATGTTGTGACAGAGACTGAACGTGGCTGGAGTTTTACAAACGACGCGGTTTTCTTCCACTGACCGCTTGTGCTGTGCAAGGTGTCTCTGGAGGCTTGGTTGCAGCAAAGTGCAAGAAGCCACCAGATATAGAAGCTTGCAGAGGCAGTGTCATTGTGTATCGTGAGACCTTGCCACGAGCGTTTGCCTCAGCAGGTTCACTTACATCCAGCTAGTAGTCTTACTAGAGCATGCTGAGCATTATATTCCTCATAGCATTGGCGGGTTCTCACAACGTGATATACAGCAAGACAACAGCCTGCAGCTCAGAGCTTCATCCTCTCCATATAAAATACTGGAGAAATCACGCTGATGACCATCATCTTCTCAGTCGTGGATTGCTTATGGAAACACAATCTGCAGGGCACGTCCAGTTCAAGTCGCCTTTCATGGTTTTAGAGTTTAGAGATTAACAAACACCGAGTTTGATGTGTGGTTATAACGACATCCAAATTGTCCAATTGGATAGATTCCGCCATTACTGCAACTAACATGAAGCTTATACGTAGCCGTGCGAATAGCCGGCCAGGAACCAGGAACCACGTCTTGCCCGTAATGGGCGAGAAAGCCACAATGATGCGTGCGGAGGATTGATTAGCGGCGCCATGATTGGCACGCATCAAAGACTGGGTCACGCCGCCATCTTTGAGGCAATGATATGTCACGCGAAACCACAAGTTTGACGATCGAAAACTGGGCAAATAATGGGAATTCCCCTTATCGCGACGCGCGGCAGATGAATTCGAGGGATACTCAGGGGAATTGAAGTGTAGCCTTTCATACTTAGTCAATCAACATCTCGTGATAGCTCGCTCATTGGCAACAAGAATTGAAGCACATATCCCCAATTGAAGTAGTCCAAGATGTCTCATGTCCAGCCTCAACTCCACGACTCAGAAGAGTATCCCCGTCCCGACTTCCAGCGCACCGGCTCCCGCTGGCTGTCCCTTAACGGCCAATGGGATTTTCTCTTCGACGACGACGATGTCGGTCTAAGCAAGCGCTGGCAGCACTCCGGCCTCCCTACTGAAATCACCGTCGAGAAGAAGAAGACGCTGCTCGCAGAGAGCGAATCGCAAGACCAATCGGAAAGCGACGCCATCACGCAGCGCATCGCCGCCGGCACGCAGGACCTGCTCAAGAACAATGTCTTCGCGTCCTCCGCCGCCGCCGTCAACCACAAGCGCCCCATCACGGTGCCCTTTGTGTTCCAGTGTCCCGCCTCGGGCATCAACGAGCGCGGCATCCACGAAGTGCTCTGGTACGAGCGGCTCATCTCAGACCTGCGCAACGCCAGCGAGCGGGACGAGGGTCGGAGGGTGCTGCTCCGGTTCGGCGCCGTGGACTACGAGGCGTCTGTTTGGCTCAACGGCAGCCTCGTCGGGAGCCACCGCGGAGGCCACGTCCCCTTCCAGCTGGACATCACTGACGTCCTGGACGCACAGGATGAGACTCAGCATCGGCTGACGGTCCGGGTCTATGATTCGGCCCACGACTTGACGCAGCCGCGGGGCAAGCAGTACTGGGGCGCACAGCCCGAGAGCATCTTCTACACGCCGTCGGGAGGCATCTGGCAGTCTGTGTGGCTGGAGACGGTGCCGGCGGCCCGAATTGCGGACAGCAGCCACGGCACGGTGATTCGGTCGAATGACATCCACACGGGAGACGTCTATTTCGACATTGCGGCACAGGACCTGCAGGCGGGCCACCGATATGTGGTTGAGGCGGACATCAGCTTTGCAGGCCAGCTGGTCTCCAAGTCCCCCAAGGTGGATGTCAAAGAGGCATCGGGCAAGTTGAGTCTGAGCGCCCGTCTGTCAAAGGAAAACATTTCTGCCCTCGCCGAATCGGTACTTCAAAGTGCACCCGTAGACGATGCTTCCTGCTGGCGGGACGGCGTAGCTCTCTGGTCGCCCGAGCATCCCCAGCTGTATGACCTCTCGGTCAGACTCTTCGATTCCTTCTCGGGAAGACAGGTTGACGAAATCAAGACAGTCACGGGCATGCGATCGATCAAGTGGTCCGACGGTCTGTGGCGGCTCAACGACGCTCCCTACTTCCAGATGCTAAACCTGGACCAAGGCTACTGGCCAAACTCCTTCTTAACGCCCGAATCCTCTAACAGTCTGGAGGTAGATATTGACATCGCCAAGAAGATGGGCTTCAACGGATGTCGAAAGCATCAAAAGGTCGAGGATCCGCGCTTCTACTACTGGGCTGACCGCAAGGGATATCTGGTCTGGGGTGAGATGGCAAGTGCCTACCAGTTCAGTCGGGAATACGTGGATCGATTCAACCAGGAATGGACAGAGTCGGTCAAGCTGGCGATTAACCATCCGTCGGTGGTGACTTGGACGCTGGTGAATGAGAGCTGGGCGTATACGTCGCTCAAGGACGACGTCGAGCAGCGCAATCACATTCGCGCTCTGTACTATTTGACAAAGTGAGTTAATCTTTGATGAGTCGGTACAATTGTCTCATACTCATGAAATTCTAGGACTCTGGATCCCACACGCAGCATCAACGACAACTGCGGCTGGGAGCACGTCTGCACCGACCTCACCACCTTCCACGACTACAGCGACGCCCCCGAGCTGGAAAAGACATGCGCAAGCCTCGACGCCATTCTCGGTCCCAAAGCCGGGCGCAACATGTTTGTCGACGAAATCGCAAACATCGACGCCGGCGCTCGCCACAACCCGACCGCGCCCATCATCTGCACCGAGCTTGGTGGAATCAACATTGCGCTGGGCAATAAGGATGCCGATGGCGGGGAGGAGTCTCGCGATTGGGGCTACACTACCGCTACTGATCCGGAGGACCTGTTGAAGAGGATAGAGAGGATGGTCAAGGGCGTTGCTGGAGGTGGGCTTTGCTGCGGATTCGTTTGGACACAACTGTGAGTCTGAGTATTAATGCCTATCTACCTACATATATAATGATGCTAATTGAATGTGACTGCTAGGACGGATATCGAGCAGGAGACGAATGGGCTTTATACGCAGAGTCGGCTTGAGAAGCTGGATGCGGCAAAGGTGAAGGCGGTTTTTGAGGAGGCGGCACAGATCTTTTACAAAAGGGTCAATACATAATGGATGATTTCATGAGCTGACAGAAACAAGAAATAATTATGAATGAAATAAATCATTGTGTAAACGTTGAGAGGATTTAATCGTGCTTTTGTAGTTGATGGAACAAAGTAGCGCCATTGCATGTAACTGTTGGAGCAATATTCTACTGGACAAACATTTAAAGCAATGTTTATAGATGTAGTGCTAAACTTTTTTTTTTTTTTTGAATCAATCTTATTATTCTCCTTTTATTTGAGGTATATTTACTTATTCTACCCTGATTCTTCTCATTTATACAGCTCTTTCCAGGGTAAACGAAAGAGAAGCCGGCCGCTAAAAGCTTAGCCCGCACAGCAGCACTATATAGCGCATTACGCACCACTAATTCCCAACAAAGGGGATATGGTGTAGGGGTATCACGTTTGCTTTGCATTGTTCATTCAATACAAGCCTGTAAAAGGTCGGGGGTTCAAATCCCTCTGTCTCCACGTGTTCTTTCTTTTTTTCTTTTTTTTGTATTTTTGTACTATGCTTGCAGAATGCTGCATATATGTGAGTTCTTTTCTATAACATTCTTTTTTTTTTCCTCATCTTATTTGTCAAATCCAGTCTGAGACACTGGGATAATATACATGCACCTATAACTTCATTGGCAAAATGCAGGGCACACCCATCCATAGGGCAGTAACGTGTATAAGTCGCTGCGAGTTTTAGACATCTTGGTATATGGCAGCTGCATGATGAAAATGAAATACAATGATACGAAAAAGTCAGCTAATATACAAACACAATCAATAATCCTCATAATACCACTTCCAATGCCTGAATCTCAACTCCCGTCAGACAATAGAATCCATTCATGCATAACAATAGAACCGCATGGAATTCTCTCATTCCTGCTCACACCTCTCCCCCGAGCTTTTGCCGTCCTTCCATCTCACAGCCCGCAAATGACAACCTCGAGCAATCAATCCCACAATCCGCAATCCTGGCGGGGCATCAACTCTTCCACTTCCATTTCTACCTAGGCAGCTCCATCTTTGCCGCTCCGAGGCATAACGCCCAGTTCCGACCGGTGGGCTCCTTTGCTCTACTCCTCTTAGTGCTACTATTAAGCTTGCATTCCCCCCCATATCTCCGCCGGATCGAATTCCGCGATTGCTTAGCTTTCCATCCATCTTGCTTTCCTCCAGAGAGTATCACCATCTCGCCATGGAATACGTCGAGCACCGCATGAACGACGAGGCCGCCAAAGACGTCGCCAGGTAAAACCACCTCATTCACACATCTACATCAAACATCCGCTAACTCTCCCTCCAGCGCCGGCCTCGTCTCGCCCCTCAATATCCTCCTCGTCTCCATCATCCTCTACACAGCCTACACAACCTTCTTCTCCAAATCCGCCCCCCCGCAACTCCCCAAACAACCTCCCCCAACCGTCTTCAAAATCTATAACCCGCACACCCTCCTGCCCTTCAACGGCGCCGACAACGCCCCCGTCTTCATGGCCATCCGCGGCGCTGTCTACGACGTCTCGCGCGGCCGCAACTTTTACGGCCCCGGCGGCCCTTACGCAAACTTTGCTGGAAGGGATGCCAGCCGCGGTTTGGCATGCGGCAGCTTCGACGAGGATATGCTGACAAAGGATCTGGATGGACCCTTGGACACGCTGGCTGATTTGGGCGCGGAGGAGATGGAGGCGCTGAGGGGCTGGGAGGAGCGGTTTACGGAAAAATATGACGTGATTGGCAAGTTTGTGTCGATGAAGGAGTTTGAGGCGCTGAACAGCAAGGAGTGATTTTCGTTATAAGACGCATATTTAGTTGATTGAGATGAGCACTGCAATTTTTGCACAATGGAAACAAATCTGATATCAAACTGGACATCATACACCTACACAGTCAGAGAGACAGCACATAAAAATTAAGAGAAGCAAGGATTTCTATTCGTTACAAAGATGGACATTTTTTGGGATATAGATAGCTGAGCCCTGTTTTTGCTCCCGACTTCAACAGATACAGATGATAATAAAAAGAGTACAATTCGCGGATTCCGACAAACTCCATTGCCATGCCGTTTCTCAGCTACGAGAAAGGATTCTCAAAAAGACACAGACAAAAACAGAAACAGAAACAAAAATGTGTCAGGAGTTCCATGCTCCTGGACCTCAAGATCCGACATTCCCTTTTTGCAACACTCTTTCCACGCAGAAGTTACGAGTCCTTATTCAGAAGATGACAAAAGGAAAAGAAGCCAGTAAAAGCAGCAACAGGAAGGCTTGGGTTAGAAAAGACGAAACAAAAAAGCAGCATATTCCCCTCCCATCTATCCTTCTTCCCAATAAATCCCATCTCAAATCTCCTGTGTTCCTCTCTTAGGGGGCTATGTCTGTCTGTCATCAAAAAGGGGATTATGTATGTTAACAAGTGGTTGGATATATGCGTAATGTATGATAAGTATGATATGTAGGAGGTTCAATGAAATCGGTTGTTGGTGGGCGTAGTTTTTCGATGAATAAATATGAGTGGCATAGCATCTCGCCGACAATCGAAAAATATTCGCAAATAAAGGAGGTGAAAAAACTCGAGAAAAATAGGAAAATGGCGTAGTAAGTAGAAAACCGCTCGTTATATCTCCAAAATCGATGCCGCTTCCATCATCAGAGTCGCCGTCTTGTTGATATATGAATTCGCCCCGTCCCACAGCTCCGCATCCACAAGATCGCGGATCGCAGGGAAAAAGGCCTCGTCGTAGCCAGACCACAGTTGCGGGCCATACACGACGTGCTTGAACTGTGTGCGATTTGGAATCTAAAGAATGCTCGTGTTAGTAAAAGCAAACAAGACATGAAGGAAAAAAAAAAAAAAACTTACACCGCCGCCAAACTCCAAGTCCAACAGCATCGACTCAAAGTAGCCCATCTTATTGTTATATGCAATCCGCTTTCCGCCCAGCTCTTGCGTCTCCCACCCTCCGCTTCTGTGAACCATGCGGTCCCATTCAGCCTCCCATTTCGAGAACTGCTCTGCCTTTGCAGAGACCGTGGCGGCCGCATCCTTGAGGTCATCGAATTTTAGAATATCCTTCTTGCTCTTCTTCTCTTCCTCCTTCTTCGCCCACGATTCCAGATCGCCGATCCAAGACTGGAGATTCCGGCCGTAGTTGACCATGTCAAAGGGCAAAATAGGCCTATCGGCTAGGTCGAGGAGGAGGAGGCCGACAACTTGAGCCATTAAGCCGTGGTAAGTAAAGTCTGGATCAAGAACCTGCTCCATCAGTTCAAAGTTGTCGTAGCTGGAGTGGTAAGGGAATGGCTCGCCGCCAAACTCCAGGTCAATCGAGCTTGTCCCGGCAATATCCTGGAAAGCGACATAATCGCTGCCTGCCCCCAAGCCCTCGAGCTTAGCACCGCGACGGTCCCAGAGATCCTTGAGAGTCGTGTTGAAGTTCGGGTCAGTCACTCGGTTCATGGCACGAAACAGACTCTTTTGAAGCGGAGGAGATCCCGAGGCGCGGAATTCGGGTCCCGATACAACAGTATCCAAGTTGATGTAAGCAAATGCATTCTCACGCAGAGAATCCACATTCTTCTCGACAAACTCGGTAGATCCAATGAGGTTGTACTCCTCGGCATCCCATGACATGAACTCGATAGAACGAAGAGGTCTCCAGCCCCGGCCAACCAGGTCGCCAAAGATGCGTGCCATTTCAATCATGATGGCCGTGCCCGTGTGCGGATCAGTTGCACCAAACGACCACGCATCTCGGTGGTTACCCAGGATGATCGATTTCGCTGACTGCTCCATGCCCACAATTTTTCCGTATACATTCCAAATGGGCTGCTTCTCATTTTCATCCTGCTCGTTTTTTAGACGAACAATCGGCGACGACGAGTTGCCGGTCCACCACTCGCCGACTTCGGGAACGCCTCCCTTCCAGGCATCCGGTACCTTTTGTCCGAAACCTTGAAGGTGCTGTAACAAAATCTGTGCGTCTCTCCAGGCAAGCGGGAGACTAGGGATCTGGACCAGTCCCTTTGCTTCGTTCACCTTGACGCGAGGCACCTCTTTCTTGCTCTCCCAGCCTGGTGTCAACACATCGCCAACGACCCAGCTCATCAGACTGACGGCGCCTCTTTGAACACCATCCTCCGGCATATACCGCCCACCAGGGGCGACATCACCCTTGAGGAAGCCGTCATCTGCAGGATCGCTATAAATGATACACCCTGCGAAGCCCGCCAACTCAGCTCCCTTGACTTTGAGAGCTCGGTCCGTCTGCGTGCCGTAGTATCTAACAAGAGCAATCGCTCCTTTCGGGTCGATGCCCATATCCTTAATCTTCTGATAGTCTTCCCTTGATCCGTAATTTGCGTAAATCAGCGGGCCTTTAACATCGCCAGACTTGGAATGTCCATGAAACGCCGGGGTCTGTTTCCCAGCCGTCTCTCCGCCACGCTCAATCTCGTCCAGCGCAGCCGTCCAAATCGCATTCTCGCCCTTGTCGTCCATAATCTGCACGGCTCGGCCGTCTTCGCGCGGGTAATTGAGATATACGTAGTAGTCGTCCTTCTGCACCACATCCAACCCAGCCTTGTTGAACATTGCCTCCACGTCGAGTGCCGTCGCATAGTCGCCCTCGGTGCCGGCAATATGTGCGTAGCTCGAAAAGATTTTTACGGCGGCGCGCATTCTCCTGGGATCGACGGTTCGCTGCAAATGGACTCGAAGGTCCTCCGGGTCGAAGCGCAGGCCTCCGTTGTTGACGCCATTCGTTATACCAGTCAGCATGCCGCTCGCAAAGAGAAAGTACATGAAGCCGATGACGATGGCGAGCGCCAATAGCCGCGCAAACGTGACCAGCACCATCATGCTGTTGACCTTGGGGAAGGCGAAATCCTGCATCCATGACCTCACGTTGTCGATCTCGTCTGTGTCGATAGCCTCGTCGTCGGGAGAGGAGCCCGCTGATAGCGACGCCCGCTGCGGCAGCTGGATGCGGAACCGAGGCATCCTGAATCGCCACGACCATTTCCACGCCGGCAGCGACAGCTTGAACCCTATCCGCTTCCCCCATAATGAACTTCCTCCCGTCCGATTTGGCTCCTCAATCTCCAACTCCTCCATCTCGCGGCGCACCTGATTCGTCTCGTCGGCATCGCTGTCGCTGTTCCACAGGTCATCTTCCTCGTCTGATTCGACCGTCGGCGGCCGGTAGCCATTAGGCCGTCTGCCTTGTGAGTTTTCGCCGGAGCGCGGCAATAGTGATTGCGATTCGGTCTCGGTCGCGTTGCGCTCGTCGATGGGATCTCGCGTGGGTGGTGGCGGCATCCAGTTTCGACTGCTGCCGGCCAGTGCCTCATCGTACGTCGGTGGCACCGGATCGTAGAACGGTACCTTTTCCGAAGGCATGGTGGGCTAAATTAAGAAGAAGAATAAAGGAAAGACAATAATCGTACACAAGCACGGTTGCGCACTCATCCGCGGATTGTCGTCTACAGTTGGGCAAGCTGGAATGGATATGAACGAGCACGCGATGTCGAGGTGGCCATTCAGATTGAAGGGGGGTTCTAAGTAGTCGGGCTAAAGCGGGCAAATCAAACGAAAACGAGTGTCGAGAATGAGAGAGCGTAAGTTGGATTGGTCGAGTAAGGGTGTGGAGAGTATCAAAGAATGCGAAGAAGTGAAAACGTGGTCGAAGAATCAAAAGCCCGGTCAAGAATGGCGCATATCCAAGAAGCAGAAAGGGCGAGCAAGGCTGAAGACGGTTGCGCAGCCACTGCTAGAAAGTCGAAAGCCGCTGGTTGGAGATGGAAGAACGAAGAGGCGATGGCGGCTTACGAAGCCCAGCCAGATGGGAGATAAGGGATGACGATGCTGGAAAGCCGGGGGCTCCGCTGTGCTTCAGAACTGCAGCTGCACCGCCTACTGGGGAAGACATGCACGAAGCAAAAGGGCCCCAATAACAATGCGGAGTAAAATTGGTTCAATAATAGGCACAACGCACCAAAGAAGAAATGCTGCTAGCTGTGGTGCTTGATTGCTGGAGTCTAGCAGGTATTGGCCGCATCTCCCTCCCTGAAGACTCCGCCCCTATAAATTGACCTTCGAAACGTGACGGGTTACATTAAATCCGCGCTTGGCAGTCCGTTTGGCCAAGTCGGGAACGCCACCATTGCAGAAAGCGGACTTTTGTGCTAAGAGATTCGATATGGCTTGGAAAAGAGAGCGAAATTCGCTATAATGATCAAGATATAATAACAACTGGCATAAGATCACCAGCAATGATTTAAAAAAAATGCTCTGAAACCTAATTACATAGCGACAATCGATATTAAGATGGGCGATTCTGCTGTCCATCGAAACCATCCCTCCACCTGGACCCTGACCTTAAAGAGCCCGCTCGCCATGGCGCTGATCAGTCATGGATGCCAAATCTGCCACGCGATCTGTCAACAATACACGTACTCGTACAGCACAGTCAGATTACCACTAACAAAAGCAGCCACCCAAGTCAGTGACCCTGGCAGCAACAACACTTCGAATACGCATCGGGGTACGGAGCTAATGGCGCTACGAAATCCATGTGCCAGCTCCACCGTCGTATTCCGCAGGAATGAAGCCTTAGACATGTGTTTAGTACCTAAATCACCACCGTCTGGGGTTCCTGTATGGACAATGGATACAGCAAATAATGTTCTAGGTAGTCGCAATAGGGAGTTTAAACCACGCATTCAACCCATCTCTCCCCGACTATTTCTAACATGTCTCTTCACCAAGTTTTCAACAGCCAAAAAAGTGCCCTTTGCGACCAAAAAGCATAATATGTAATCGAATAAAAATACATCATTGTCGTGCCATGTCCTCATTTGCTCCGGCTGCTTCTTGGTGCTGCATTAAAACATCTATGCGCTCTTCTCTTTCGTCCCATGACGCCTTTACTCACCCTTCCCAAGAGCCTTCTTTATTCTTGAATATCGTATTGTATCGCAGAAGCATTAAAGCATCCCTGCGGCTTTCGCGGAGAAGAGACCCCATTCCTAACTTGGGTATAGAACAACTCCCTCGTACTGCCTGGATTTGATATTCTCAAGAGTTTGATGAAAGTGTTTCTTGCTGGTTTCGATTGAAGCCGATTCTTGCTGATTGCCTGCCAAATTCGAGTGGATCAACTCAATGAGACCATTCAGGTATTTCGTAGTCACCTAATGAAGAAGTAAGTATTAGGACGATATCTGATAGGGAGGTAGGGAAGAAACGTACTGCTTCATTCTGCTGATCAAAGTAGTAGACGTAGCGGTCCAAAATCTCAACAAAGAGTTCGATCGACGTCGCCGTCTCCATGCACGAATCAGCCACGCGAAGAGCCCGTTGTAAGCACTCCAGAACTCGCTTGCCGTCACGGTAGAGCTATGAGTTAAAGCAAGTTAGTATGCAACACAATTTGCTAGTTTCGCATTGATTTCTCCATCTTACCTCGGTCTCTTCTGTTTCTCCATTCCCAGCAACGGGGGTTGCCCACCATAGATGACTGGCCAAGTACACTGCTCGGCATTGATCTGGTTTCCGCAGCAGTTTGCTGCCGTGCTGTGCGCACTTGGTGATTAACGTGTCGTAATTCTCCTTACCAAAGTTGCGGGTTTGGTGAAGTGAGCTGGCAATGACACAGACAGCCTGGAACTGGGCTTTGGAATCAGAAATGGACTCCTCGTACGCTGTAAATGCCTGCGCATAAAACTCATATGCCACTTCCTCGAATCCGGTCAGGTCTGCAGTCTGTCCTGCAGAAGAGAACAAACGCAGAGCTAGCTCGGCCACGCCCGTGCTCGTTACACGGGTGTAAAGTGTGCTAATCGCAGAGTGGATGAATTTGAAAAGGGCATTAATCTGCGTCTCCCAGTTGTCATCAAAATGCTCCCGAGTCTTGAATTTCCTGGCCAGCTTCAAGCATGCTGTTATCAGTGGCGGCGTGGTTGTCCTGATGCGATCGTTGCCATCCGAAAATGCTTTACGTGTCAGCTGCAGAAGCTTGAACTGCGTATCATTGTCCTCTCCCTGGAGCAGGTGCACCATTCTTGCTAGCCATCCTTGCTCCTCAAGGGTCTCATCAGTCTCCACGGCTCGTCGCTGAGTAGCTCCGGCGTAGCCTTGTGGTGATTGCGTTCCCTCCTTGATGAGTACCGATAGAACATCGAGCACGTGTTCCAACTGGCTCGTTTTGGAAATCTTGATCTGATCTTTCAATAGGCCCCGGATGATGCCACCAGCAACGGCGCGGCGAGTCGGGTATGACTGAGCTTGGAACAGAGGCACGTATGTTGGAAGGGATAAGGCGGTGAATATTGATACGTAGCGGTTGAGAGGTGCCTGCAGTAGAGCAAGGAGGCTCTGCTGAGCCTGAGCGGAGTGAAGGTCAGCATTGTTGATGTTCTCTTTCGTCTTCGCCGTGGCGTAAGCCAAAATCTGATCCACATAGTCAAGGCGGTCGGGGTAGTTGTTCAGCGCCAAGTTGCAGAGGGATACCAACAGCGCGATTGTATCTTGAATGGGGAGATGCTGAGCTTCAACAAGATTCTTGACCTGTGTGAAGAAGACTTCGTAGAGCTGTACGTCCTTGGAAGATTCGCCTTCTTCTCCATTGACTGCTGTTGTTTCCGTCTCGGCAACTGAGGGGTCTATTCCGTCTGCCGCAGCGGCGGTATCCGTTTCGCTAGCTGCGGGCTCGGGTGCTGCTGCTTCTCCTTCCTCTGGTACTTGTTCCTGATTAGCCTCCTCAGTGACCTTGTCGCTTGCCTCCTCTGCAGGTGGCTGCTCAGGGGCTGGCTGAGCGACTGGCGGCTCGGTCTCCTTCTGAAGCTGAATCTTTTCAAGCAGATTAGCCAATGCCTCAGCCTCGGCCTTCTCCTGATCAGGGCCCTTCTCACTGGCCCCCTCACGTTCAGCATATTCGGACAGACGGTCCATGAGACCAATGACAATGGCTTTGACATTCACGTGGGGGTTTAGTCTCGATACGGCGCCGAGAAACTGGTCCAGGGTGTGTAGGTGGAACTCGTCAGGGAATACCTGCGTGATGACCTCCAGAAGATACTCCTGGGCCAAAACGTCTCGGCACTGTACAACCTGCTCCAACAGAGGCGCAAGAATGCCTGTCTTGTATGTCTCCAGATCAACCAGCTGGCTCAGGCGAACAATGTTGCTTCCCACAAGAAGCTGCAATTCCTGTCGTTCCCGGATCCTCTGCTCTCTCTCGCGCGAGTGTCCTTGGTGCTGTAAACGAACCCATAATTTGTTCATTTCCACAAAGTTGGTCAGTATGAAGTTGATCGAGTCGCTTATATTACCCTCTGGGCCGTCGCCGGTGCCAGTGGGGAGAAAGTCTCTAGCCTGTCCAGACATGTAATATCGAAGGAAGAGTCCGCGAATAGGCTGCTGAACACCGCGGCTCATGTCCATCATGTCCTTCATCAGCTCCTTTACTGGTGCTTCAGGGATGGACATGTATGCTGTTCCGACAGTGACCATGAGGTACAGCCTCGGGATGATGTTTCCGGCATATTGAACCAATTCGTAGAGATCGGCCAGGTGGTTAACAGGATGGTTCTCTCGCAGATGGACCGCCAGGAAGCGCAGGGCGTCGAATATGGCCATGTAGAGTTCATAATACTGCTTCGGGCCAAGGCTGCTCGTCCGGAGCTCGGACACCAGCGTCGAGCTACAAAATCAACAACATGCTTGCGTCAGCCTCCTTCGTTTCTCTCTCCCCATATATGTCCCTCGTTCAAAGCCGCGGGGCGTCGCAACGGCGTAACAGCGGCACGTACCAGCACTTCAGAGCGTCCATGAGCTTTCCGGGCGTATCGAGGCATTTCCGCATGAGCGAAGTCTGCTGGCGCACGGCGACCAGGGCATCCTCCAGCAGACGAGCCTGATCCTCCAGGGGGGCCGGCGTGGCCATTGTCGATGCGTTACTGCAGGCGGCGGGGTAGCTTGGGAACGATGCTTGCGGCGGGGATCGAGCCTTCAACTAGGCATTGACGAGCAACAGAGCGTGGCAATTGCGCCGGGTTGGAATGGCGAGTTGTCGGAACTTGTTGGAGTTGAGTGAGCGAGGCAAGGCAAAGACCAGCGCAAAGTGGCTCGGCGGCCAGTGACGACAGCTTAGCAGGCGAGGCGGCGCTGAGGTAACGGCTGGAGCTCCCCAAGAAGCTAGCCAGAGGTACTTGGGCCTTGTACCCGGAAAGCGTAGCAGCCGGGCCACCTACCACGTGATGTCCAATATATGTGCGTGCATCTCAAGCTTCAAACAGATCAACTTCATTATTACTCGGTGATGCTTTGATTCATCGAAAATACTGCTACAAATGATTCTACTTGGGATATTTTTTTTAATGACGGTCATTAAATTTGCGCTCACCCCACAAAATCGAGCGTTCATTCGGGCAAGATACCACAAGCATCAATACTACGCCGAGTACGACTAATGCTTCAGAGGACAGAAGTACAACATGCAATATCCAGCAGAGATGCGTTTTCTACCTTCTCGCGTGTTTCATCACGTGCTCAGCATGTTCAAAAGTCCGACAATCATTCTGATCGATTCTCGCTGTGGCCCAGCACAAGCTGAAGCCCTCTATCAAATTCCCCGCTTCTTCTAATATCATACAGCAAAAACAATGCCTAATCCATTAACGCCCGCTTAATCACAGTCCATTTGTCCAATTTACCACTTGATCACCTTTTGAGGGAAGAATTCATCAATCAGCTCCATATAATATGGCTTGAGCTCCTCCACGCTGGGAACGCCATCACTCTTGCTGTACAGGTCATACGGGTTGAAAGCCTGAACAGCCTTGAGCATCTTCCAGTCTTTCTCGCACATAAACTCTCGGTAAGCTCCCTCGCGGTGCCAGGGATAGAATGAGTGATAGCGGATCATGGCGAGTGCCTCATCCGGCAAAGTCGACTGGTCGCGGACAACATGGTACAGATACTCATCGTGACCCCAGCTAAGCATCATGTTGTCAAGGCCACAGCCAGGAGAGTAAATGCCATGCTTGGTCGAGTATACAGGGTCCTTTGTGTCAGGGTTGCTGGCGAAAGTCTCCGGCAGAATGATGCGCTTATCAAAGGCGCAGCCCACGGGAAAGGTATCGCCAACGACATCCCATTGGCCCTGAGTGCCGAGCTCTTCAAAGAAAAGCATGAGCTTGCCGAGGTCATGTATCAGACCAGTGACCTGCATCCAACGTGGCTTGCCATCGCGACGAATCGCTTCTGCAGACTGAAGCAAGTGCTCAATCTGAGACAGTGATGTGTCAGGGTCAGACTCATCAATAAGAGTGTTGAGCTTCTCCATGGCCTCCCAAATAGTCATCTCAGGGCGGACTCGAGACGCGCTGTGGAAGCGATTGCGAGCAGCAAGGTTGTAAGCGACTGTCTGCTTCTGGTGCTGCTCCTTGTAGAAATTCTTGACCCGGTCGCAGGCGTCCTCATATTGGCGGAAGTTTGCTTTGTCTTTTTTGGCATCGAACTTGGATTCTGAATCGTATTTGATAGAGTTGACCTCGTCAATCTCATCAGAGAGGTTTTCTAGCTTCTGGCCGACAGAGTAGGCGACTGTCTCGCCGAGATCAGCAATGGCCGTTGGTGCCATTATGAGGATGGAAAGAAGATATAAAAGACACCGGGTTGGTAAAGAAGGAAATGTATTCTCTTAGGCGAGACGTGGTTTGAATATCAGTGACGACCGTTTATAGGTAATAGCGCTCGCACTTTTTATAGACTTTCTTGTCGTATAACTCTGATCTGGAACACTTCTTGAATGAAGAAGATTTGTCTTCCCCGATGAGGATACCATTTGCCTTAAGTATCCCATCCTCATCCCTAGACCTACTTCCATTTTTTCTAGACTATCTTTTTACGTCATTAAACAAGGTCCTCCACCCCCTCAATAATCATCGCCATGTGCGGGTTTACAGGTTGTACGATGGACAAAAAGCTGGATCCTGGTGGAACTGCTCGCGGCGAGATTTCCACGTTTGGTGTCAGCGAAAGGCTAGCGCCGCCGGAGACTTCCAAAATAGGACATCCCCAGGTTTTGCTCCCAGCGTGGGCGACTCTAAATCTTAGATGGCGGGCACGGTTGCTTATTTGGGAAAATAAGTCACAAAAATCAATGCAACGGGAGAGGAGGAGCAGACAGCGGTGCTAAAACTCTGCTATCCATCTTAGATCTTGTTATCGCGTGGTTGATCATTCGTTCCTGAGCGGATCTTGGTGCTAAGAACCATAATCTGCTCTGCTTTTACTAAGCTAAGCGAGAAAACTTTGTACATGGTCCAGTACTGTGTTGCTACCATGAGAGCATCTGGTTCAACATCTCCACACTTTCACCAGAGGACCTCATATTCGCGAGACCTGCCTACATCGGCAAAAAGCAAAAAAGGGATACTGGCCAGGCTGTATTCCCAGCTATCTCAAGGTCGAGACCGTTTGTCCCTGCCGTCAATATGATCGGCTGACTGACTGATCCACAATTACCGCCGGTTTCGCCGTGAAAATGTCTTTCAAAACTACAGATGCCTACCCAGGCAGCTTTATAACGACCTAACTGGCTATTTTTGGTCATCAGAGATGCTTGCACCGATCATACGACATAAGGAGTCTTTCAGGGAATGTCTCTGAACTGAACATTACCTAGCAAACTTTATTCTTATCGGCAGGATATGCTTTGCTCAGGGTCAACGGCTTCAAGCGGGTTCCAAGTATGGCAACAGCCGGCGCATCAGCGAATGATTTGAGATATAACTGTAAATTGAACGGATACAATTTACGTTCAGGATTAAGTGAAGTGTACCACACATCTTGAAATGTATCTCAGATAAACATTCAAAATGGCGATCATTGGGTACGTGTAGGCATTATAATACCGATCCCCATGGGCCCATACACCATTTGTCCAAGACTCGCCAAGGGTTCCCAAGCTACAAAATGGTCATTCAAGCATAGTGTAAAGAAGGCAAATAAGAACCTCAAGTATAACGTTATACAACACTCTTAGAATCAGCTACTTAATTGTACATGGCAGAGCTGCTTCAAGAACCTCAAGTTGTATGCAACAACTACTTACAAACACTTAATGAAAAAAACAAACTAAGCAATTTTTGAAGCTGGCTATAAGCAAGTTTTGGCAGCAATACACCCATCACATATCTCCGTCTCCAGAGTGGGTTTGAGTAGCATCAAGGTTATGTGCAACCCGCAATGTCAGTCAGATAATGCTTAGATGAGAGTAATGGCTAAATGAGTTCGAGTATTGTCGGTTCCGAATAAAATACCATTGCATCATATTTCAAGGTCTCAGAGATTGAATCTTAGCCAAGTACGGTATCCGCTTGCTGCACTGCTTTTCTGATTGTATGTCAAGATCTATCATGACACACATCTGGCGGATAAATGGCGGTAGTATATCCATCGACACTACCTATCTGTCTATCAATTGCCATGATTTACAATGAAAAGTAAACCAGCGTTCCTCAACTACTGGTCAGGAAGTGTGGTTCTGTCAACGTCCACAAATTTCATACCTCTAAATGAGATCTCTTGATTTAAAAAACGTCCAAACAAGTCTGGATCCAAGGACCTTGTCGATTTGCTATCAGTTGAGAGAGGCATTTTCGCTATTCTTCTCGTCATTGCTTTCATTGGTAGCTGTCTTCCAAAGATGTGCTGCAACCTACCCCAAATGTACTCAAAATTGGCATCCCGCTGTGCCACAAACATGTATTCAGCATGCAAGAGTCGGAAGGTATATATTGACTCAATAGATTCATATGCAATCATCTGGCATATAAGGCATATAAGGTATACTGTCTGTTGAAGGGTACAAAGAAAATGTTGAAATTGTTTTACTTATTTTCAAGATGACTTTATGTAAGGCGTGCGTGGTCCTTGGACGGCTTCAACTCATCTAGATCCATATGAACTGAGGAGAAATTAGACTTCTATGTAGTCAAGTGGCTTTTGAACCTACATTGATCTTGTCTCTAACTGCTTACTCAATGTTCGACTTTACATAGCAGTATATTTTGCTCTGAGCTTGCATTTCTGGATAACAGCCGATTGAAGCTGTCCTTATGTATTACGCATTATATTTACATTATACATCATATAAAGCTTAGGAGACTCATGGGAGCTTTCGATTCCACTTTCATCTTGTATTTGATATCGTTTGTCTTTTTTTAAAAAAAATTGATAGCTGCTGCTGAAAGTCGCCTTAAAGAAACTGTATTATACCAAAAAAAAAAAAAAAAAAAAAAAAAAAAAAACTGATATATATGCGTCCAAAATCCGGTATAGCAATACAAGCGCTGAGACTACTAGTTGTTGCATCTAACAGTCAAGATGTCTTGATAAAAGGATAATACTTAATGCATCCTACCAAGGTATTTTATAGCGTTATAGCTCTAATCAGAATTGATATTTCTTTCTTGTAATAATGGACTTACATAAAGCTAGCTTAATTTTTTATCATTCATTACAGCCTTCCTTTTACTCCTTTATTGTTCGGTTCGCTGTATTATCTATTCTTCGATGTCATCGAACTTACTGATACTTCCTGCTTTGTAATGCTTACCTCTAGTGCAATGTAGCATCAGCCTTTGTAAGAGTTACCAGTCCATGATGTTTTTTTTCTCTCAGTCTGATCATGCACTCTTCCCTCTTCTCCCCAAACGAATTGGTCAGGAAAAACGTCGCTTGGGTTTTCTCTACAAACTCGCCTTGATTTAGAGAGGGTTTCAAGTGGAGATGGAGACGATTCAAGGATGTGTATCTGCAAGGGGGGTCAAATCGCTAAGCGTTGGGCACGCAAGCCCCGGCAGCTCACTAAAGGATTCAAAAAGCAGCTCCCCACCAATACCTTACCTACAAGTAAGCCAAAGCACAAAACCCGCTCCAGCACGGATTTCTCATCTACCAATGAAGACGCAGATGTTTGGAGGGTGGTAGCATCGGACTCAACCGTACAAGTCAGAGATGGGATGATCGAGAAGCGGGTAGCACTAGCAGGGCTAACGCAGTGCAACTGAAGGGAAATTTCCGTCTCCAGGGCGATATAACAGCGTTTGCCCTTCCCTCCTTCTTACTTAGAGTCACCGAAACCCGTCACATAGAATGGGTTACGGTGCACTTAGGTGACGCTACTCTCATGGAAATGGTGTCCAGCCTACGGCGATATTTCTGTCCTACCCGCCAGTACCCTCTGGGTGCCCAAATCGCATAGCGGTGAGTCCCCGTCGCTCAGCGGAGAGTGGAGTGATTATTTGGCGTGGCAAAAGAAACGAGGGATGAAGTCTTATCCTATCTCTTGCTGTTCACTGATTGCACTCTTCGTATTTGAAAGTAAGGGGAGCCGTCGTCGTGCAATCGTGTAAACGGAATACGCGAACAAAATGCATAGCTAGTGCCCGTTGAGTTGTTCTGCTCAGCACAAAGGAACATCCCCGAATTTGAATGCAACAGTACCTTTGCAGGCTAATAATTACGTAGGCGTGCGTCTGCATCTGCATGGTGAATCAGCTCGGGTCAAGGGCGAGTCCCATGCCATCTTGCACCCTACTGACAACAAAGGATCGCCGTGGCAGAAGATAGCCTGCATCAGCTGGAGCGCTGAATAGGACTAGCAAAGAGAAAACGGCGGCCGTATGTGGAGCAATGCATTGTCAATGCATCGTGGAATCCATTTCCGAGGAGGCAGCCCATCAAATCGGGGCCTTCTTACGGGCACATCAGGCTGCCAACCACTCGGGTGCGTTTTCCGCTGTGGGTTTTGAATCCTTGTCTTGTGCCCATGCGGATTACCTCTCCATCTCTTTCATTGTTGTTGGACGAAGTACCAAGCATCGCTGCCTTACAACGAGAGAATAAAGAGAGGGAAAGAAGAGAAAGGAAGCGAGTGTGTCACTTATATGGAGTGCTTTGCTGAGCGGCGTAAGCAGTGAGCACGCTCGCCAAAAGTCTTGGTCCCATCAGTTATCAAACGGCTGCAGATACTATATGTAGGTAGTAAGCAGCGTTGAGACTAACATGTGTACCTGGTGTTTGCTCGTAGTCAATGAGTCCAAAAGGGAGGCTCTAATAACTTTCGGGCAAGCACTTGATGCTCCGTGCTGGCAGCAGTACAAGTAAAGGAGGAACGATGGAGCGCACTAACTTCTAACACGAGAATCTAGAATTCATCGAGTAGCTCGGCAGCTGCGATAGATAGACATTGACGTGTAGCACATCGGAAATTGCCAGCAGTAGGCAGTGTTACCGCACTGGTGATAAGAGGCATTGGATTTGCGGTGGTGTTGGCAACTTAGGTGTAGCATCCCACCCCACCATCATCGCGGACAAGCAACGGCATTGTACTCTGCTAAACGTGGCTCTCGATGATGTGCTTGCTGCCATACCAGCTGGGAATTACCTGAGTCGTGGAATATCCGGACCCGATCCTCTTTCATCGATATTCGGTAATTCGCGTCAGAGCCGTTGGCGCCCTGTGGTGACATCTTACAAGTACCCGTACCCCTGCCGTGTCTATCAGGCACAGCTACAGACCAGACTGCTCAATGAGGCCTTGCATATGCACACAAATGGAGCAGGAAGATCTCGATGTCACATCCGACAAGAGCTGTCTAGAGGGGTTAAGTCAGCTCTAAAGAAAGAGATCAGCATCCAGCTCTGCTCTCCTCTTTTGCGGGCAAAGTGCAGTGCCTAGATCGAATCGAACGCTCTGGCTGTGAGGACGAGCAATAGATACCTAGTAACATGGTGTGAGGGCTCGAGCCGGATGGTGACCAACCGATTGCCTGCATGTCATCTATTTTCTGACTGTTCTCTTTTTGCAGCCTCTCAGCTATGATCTTGACATGGTCTAGCCACTAAAGAGGCCGTATTTTTCATTCTCTCAGCTCCCTCTGTTCTCCAATTGCTACTCAAAGAGGCCACCCGCAGACGCTCCGGTCGTGCCCAGCGCATTGATTGCAAAATAGCCATGGGCATGGGTCTGTACTCTGTGTTGACCCAGCCCCCAAGGTTCGGAGTCTCGGTGATGATGGGCCACTAGGGCATTCTAGCCTGACTCGACCGGAGCTAGAGAGGCAGTTGCTCGTAATAGCGGCCGCAGCGCTTTAGAGTTTCGGGTTCGACTGCTGTTGATGCCGGTGTAATTGTGGTGTTGGGGAGCAAAGTGCGAGGGACGTACGCGATGTGTTTCCAGGCTGATCTTCCGCCTTCCGTGCCACCGCGCGCGCAGTGAACGCCGCCCGCCCAGCACCTATTGCCCGTAGGGAGGTGCTGTAGGGCCGCTAGAGCCTGGCCCTCAGCAGCTCGGCACTTGATATGGACCAATGCCTCTGTCAGAACATCGAAGTTAGGTAGACTGGCATGTAATGCAATGCAGAGCTGGGCCGATATTGCAAGTCTGAATAGGCACCTGTACAAATAGGTATCGGCCCAACACAGCCAGTAGCCCAACCGTTGAACAGCTGGGCGAACTACCTACTAATTCAGCTTTCACGATCCTTACAGTATGTACTTATGCCATCCTAGTAGGGGCTCTCAAGGCGCTCGGGTAGCCGCCTATCGGATTAGCGGGCCGTCCGGGTGAAATGGTGGTGGCGTTGTGATAGGCGGGCGAGAGGCGTGCATACAATTATTGCTGCATGCAGAGTAAGGTAATTAAACAATAAACAACGCCCTACTCGTGGCAGATGGCGGCTGGTGCACCCACCTCGAACTGTAGCTTCGCAGCCAGAGCCACAAGCACGAGCGATGGCTTGAGCAAGACGACCCAAGCAGCCAAAGCACACGCTGAAGCCACGAATGTCGGGACAGGCCAAGCATGGACAGGCCTCAATTCCTCCCCACTCCATGCCAATCCCGGGCTGGATCGGGAGAACCTTGACGGTGCGATGGCCAGGGGCAGATGATGAACACGATGAAGGTGAACAAGACGCTGAACAGGACATCGACACAGTCAGAAATCGAGCCGGAAAAAGACAGTCTGGGTGATTAAAACAGGCAGGTCGAACCTCTCCCCTAAGGAGCTTGGAATTGGCGGCTGGGCAACTTTCTCGTGACTCGGTCAATAACTCACCTGCAAGGTACATACAGGCCTAGCTCTCCTTCCCTCCTGCGTCTCAAGCTCGCCTGTCCACGAAAGTCTCTTCGCCCTCGCCAATTGCAGCGGCAGCAATCCAAGCCTCCTGCCTCGGCCCTTGCTGCGACCATTGCATAAGGTACAGCCAGAGTCGACCTGCTGGTGGAAACCGTCTTCCTGTTCCTTCTCGCCTCCTGCTCTTCTTCTTCAGCCTCAATCCAACCCACCACATGTCCCGCCCGGCAACATCACAACGCAGCGTTGGCCTCTCTCGCAGTATCTTCTCACTTATACTCAACCAGCCAGTGCCCTAGTACGTTCTACGGTACGCTACTGCAGACCTTCTCGCCGGCTCTAGCTCTGTTTTGTCTCTTTCAAGGCCTCTTTCGCCTTTCCACTCCCAAGCCAAGCGTTTCTCGCCTTCTCACAACTTGATTGGCATCAGCTGCAAGATCGGAGATCCCTGCCTCGCCCACACCAGCCAGTTCCAGGCTCGGCCATTTCGACGTCCATTCTGAGCTTGATCTTCGTCCCACCTTCGATCTAGATCTACAACAGCGCTAGGCCACTTTCATCGGCCAAGGCCTTCGACGTCTGGCTGTTGGCCCAACATGGTCTCTGAGGCCAGCGAGGGCGCGGTTCTGGTAGCCCTCAAGTACCTATATCCGGCGACTGTCTTCGTTTACTTCTTGGCCGCATCTCTATTGGCCTCCTGCACTCTGCAGGCTCTCAAGCAGAACCGCAGAGCTCAGCCAGAGCGGCCAGGCCAACGGAGAGTCACCATCATACTCGGATGCTTCCTGTCGACATATGTGGTTCAACTTATCGTTCTCGGCACGCAATCAGTTATTACAAGGTCTGCTCCTATTGAGCATGCCCTCATTGGCTATCTGTCATGCATTCTCGTCTTTGGCATCTTGTTTATTCACTTAATCGAGTCCGAAGTCGTGGTGTGGTACCCCTTTCGCGGATCGTGGTTCCTCGCGTTATGTTTTGAGCTCTCCATCGCAGTTTTGACAGCTTTCCATCTAAAGCGAACGGTACTAAGCGGCTTTGATGTCCTCCATGTGGCATCCTTCTCCCTAAGACTTGTGTCACTATCCACTCTGGTGACATGGACTTGTTTCGGCCTATGGTCTAGGGTTCCGTTAGTGTTGGATGAAGAAAGACAGGCACTACTGTCAAAACACAATGGTGACCAATCGCAAACTCAGATAAACTCGGGGGAGCTTGGAAACAGCTCCAACTATGGCTCAACGGCGCAAAGAGATAGTGTACCTGGCAGCAACGCTGAACACCCCTGGCAAAAGCGACGCAGAGAAGGCCTTGAAAATTTGGAGAAGAGACTGGAAGAAGAGGGAAATTGGTTTGAATATGTCAAGGGCTTCTCGGTATGTACCTCTTCTAATACAGCTCTGTTCTCATCATATCTTTGATTGGATTGCCTTTCAGCTAACGCTCCCAGATTTTGTTTCCTTACATTTGGCCTGTGGGAAGTCGCAACTTGCAGCTGCGAGCTGTAGCCGTTGTATTATGCCTTCTCGCCTCAAATGCCCTGCATCTGCTCATTCCCCGTCAGACTGGCATCATCATGGACACTCTTGGCCAGTCTTCTAGCAATCCTTGGGCAGCTGTTATACTCTTTGCGTTTCTTCGACTGGCGGCTTCCGAATCAGGCATTGAGCTTGTCCGCTCATGGTTGTGGATACCAGTCAGATACTACTCTCAGGAAGCCCTAACTCGGGCTTCTTACTCTCATATAATGCACCTTTCCGCCGATTTCCACGAGTCGAAGCCCCCTAGCGATTTGCTTGGGGCCATTTTCGGCGGAAACGCAATCGCAAATGCAATCGAAAGCATTTTGCTTCAAGCTGCTCCCATGCTAGTCGATATGTGTGTCGCCATTGTCTATCTTTCCATTACATTCGGCGCATACGAAGGCCTAATTACTGCAGCTACTGGAACCGTTTTCATGACACTTGCAACTCGCCTCGTAGCTGAATCGAAATCGGCCACCCGCAGCCGTCAAAATGCCTGGTATAAAGAGAATAGTATTCGAACTTCCGGCCTGAATGGGTGGCACACTGCCAGCGCCTTTAATCAGATCGGCTATGAGGACAATAGACATGCCGATGCGGTGACTGAACGATGGCTTAAGGAGCAACAGTTTATGCTGAGCTGGTCTGTGTCCGTTGCCTTCCAAACCATCGTTCTCACTGTGGGCCTCATGGCAAGCGCATTTCTCGCCGTCTTCCGTATTCACAATGGGCAAGCGACGCCAGGGCAGTTTGCGATGCTTCTCATGTACTGGGCACAGCTTACTGCGCCGCTGCAGTTTTTCGCTAATCTCGGCAAGAGCATGAGCGATAACCTCATTAGTGCAGAACGACTCTTGGCTATCATGAGGACCAGCCCCTCGGTTGAGAGCAAAAAGGGAGCGCGGCTGTTCAAGTTCGTCTCTGGAGAGGTCAAGTTCAATGATGTGCGCTTCAGCTATGATGGGTCAAGGGATGTCATCAACTCCGTCAGTCTAGATATTCCTGCGGGCATGACAGTGGCATTTGTAGGGAAAACGGGATCGGGGAAGTCAACACTACTAAAGCTTTTGTCGCGAAACTATGAGATCCAATCTGGCAGCATCTCCATAGATGGTCAGGATATTCGTGATGTTGAGCTCTTCAGGTAAATGTCAACTCTAATATCTGGCGCCATTAACAACACTAATTCGCGATATATAGTCTACGCGAACACATTGGCGTTGTTCATCAAAGTCCCGAGCTTTTTGATGACACAATTATGAACAACGTGCGCTACGGCAAACTCGGTGCAACCGACGAGCAAGTATTCGAAGCGTGCCGAGCCGCCAGTATCCATGACAAGATCATGAGTTATACTGATGGTATGTGACAGCCTCAGTTGTACAGCTTATAATTTGTATGCTTACACAATGCTTATAGGTTACGAGACGCAGGTCGGCGAACGTGGAGTGTAAGTACCTAGTTTCAATTTTTCTTTTTTACACTATGCTAATGAGCCAGGAAACTCTCTGGAGGAGAGCTGCAGCGCGTGGCAATTGCCCGGGCGATACTGAGGCAGCCTGATATAGTTATTTTAGACGAGGCTACCAGCGCTGTTGATACGGACACTGAACAGCAGATTCAGAGCTCTCTCGTGAGACTCTGCCGAGGACGCACCACACTTGTCGTAGCGTAAGTTATCAGCCAAAGGCACTGCATCTGCTGCTCTGACCACTCTTCATTTAGCCACCGGCTTTCTACCATTATGAATGCCGATCGTATCGTAGTCCTTGAAAATGGCAAGATCATCGAGCAAGGCTGTCATAGTGATCTCATTGCCGCCGACGGGCGATACGCATATCTGTGGTCGAAACAGACCTTCTGGAAACCGCAAGATGAGGCCGACGACGCAGACGAGCTCGATGACGCAAACACCACCGCCAGCGACTCTTGTTCTGAGAGAACCACTACCGAGACGTGCGAGCTACAGGATGAAAGTCAGAGTAGCAGCGTATCCGGGGTAAGCGATGGCAAATCGACCACACAGAAGAAGTGTCAGAAGGAGGTAGATTCTGACACCATTCATAACATTAACTCAAAGTCTTCAGAGGATACTAACGGGTCCTCTTAGGGGTCCCGCTTGAATCCTGTGGCCCCTGAATTTACGCCTCGGGCGATAATGATGACCGAGTCTGAATTTAAAACGACAGGTGCTGCTCAGCAAAGTGCTTCTTCGACTGTTTCGAAAACCGAGACTTAGGCGGTCGCCGGTCACTCTAGCAAACTTCGATGGTCTGATGAGGTATCAATCATGGATGAGCGCGGCATGACAAACACGCCGATGAGCCTATCGACCAGGTCTAGTCGCCTCTCCGAGGCAAATACTGCTACATCTAGGAGCAGCCTGAATGTACCTGAGCGCCATGAGCTGAAAAAACCCCCTACAACAGCAAGGACTCAAGAAGCTTCTATCGAGTCAGCTGCAGTGGGTGGGGGAGGCAAAACAAACGGTAACAAGGCCATTCAAGCAATATGCACTACAGCTACTGACATTTATGTAGTGGAATCCACTACAAGTACAACAACCCACTCTTCCAAGTTCAATGGTGTCACATTCATGCGACCCCGATACTCTCGTCGTGTGCATTCAAAGAGCGAGCCCCATCCCACATCCCCTGCTTCAGCCTCGGGCTCTATCGCAGTCAACGAGTCTCCTGCAAAGAGAGCTGATGGCAGCATCACATCTGTGCGTATAGTGAAGAGTTCTGTAGTGGTAGCTCAGCGTGACTAACTCATCCAGCAGGAGCAGCGTCGCGTATCTGCACCAGTGCCTCACGGCAGCCCTAAATTTGGCATCAGGGGCTCATTGATCGCAAAACAACCACCAATCCCTCCACGTAAGTCAAGCGACGGCAAATGTGGCATATTTCCAACTACAGGCCCAAGAGAGAATATGGAAGGGAAGCTCGAGAGAATCCCTCCCATTGTCATAAAAGATATGCAGGAACCTACCAATCTCCCAGCAGTCCCTCCTAGCAACGAAAATCAGCCGCCGCCAAAGACGGGTGAAAGTCAGCCAACCATGATACCTTCGCGTCGAAATATCAGAGGCCTTCGACGTCTACGAGCTGGATCTCTTCGTGGCCACCGAGGCCGTGATTTGCATGGGCCCTCACCACATCGGAGCACCCAAGAATAAGACATTAGGTGAAGAGAGATGATACTAATAATAAAGGGCCTCTCGGAGCTGCATAAGCACCTACTCATGCAACATTCTATTGGTTTGCATAGATATTATGAAATGATAATATTATAGCACGATTAGACCATTTTACAACGTGCATTATTAAGGAGGCGTTTTGTTTCAATCATGAAGAATGGCTCTCGCGGTATAATTGCATCCGTCATACTTTGAGATGAAATAATGAAAGGGCGGTACGAGAGCATGCAAAATAATATCAAGCGGAGGCTTCAGATATGTTTTTCGGTGTGTGAGTCTGGAACATCGATAGTGTGGAAGATTGAAATCAGAGATCAAATAGGTAGCTCCAAGTAGTGTTAAGACAATCAAAAGTGAGAATTGAGGGCTCTATTTAGCTCTCTATATTTACAGTTCATTAACTACGCTGAGGTCATTGCGCCTGTAACTCTGTCATATCTAAACGAGGACGTAGGCCTTTTGTTTCTGTTTCTGTTTGTTGGGCATACAGCTATGATGCCACACACACATGTCGCCAGCAGGGCCCTGGCTCACTCACTCTCCTTGTATTCAAACTCTTCTCCTTTGCTGTGTGAAAGCCAGTCTCTCTTTACCGGCCAGCGCCGCCACCAGGGGCACCACCACCAGGAGCACCGCCGCCGCCACCGCCGCCGCCCATCATGTTTCGGGCCCTGTGATGGAACCAGTTAGCAAAGTGTCTCTCATCATTCATCACCATGCTTTGGGGCTCTTGCAAAATTACTTACAGATCGGCAATGTTGGGGTCGGACATTATGGAGCTGAGATCGGGCATGCCACCGCCGTTGCTAAACTGGCTGGCCATGTCACGAAGTCGAGGGTTGCTCATAAGGTTGTTCATGAGGTCGGGGTTGCTCATCAGGTTCTGGGCCATGCTGGCGAACATGGGGTTGCTCATGATGGAGCTGAGGTCGGGCATACCGCCAGCACCACCGGCACCACCACCGCCGCCGCCGCCGAACATGGAAGCGAGGTTGCTGAAGTCGGGCATGCCGCCGGCGCCAGCACCGGCACCGGCACCGGGTCCAGAGCGGGCGAGGTTGTCCTGGGCCTGCTGCTCCTCCTCGACGCGGCGCTTGGCCGTCTCAAAGCCCTTCTTCATGGGCTCGGAGCCGCCGTTGCCCTCGTACTCGATGCCCTTCTGGTAGGCCTCCATGGAGCCCTTGGGGTCGCCGAGGGCGAAGCGGGCAAGGCCCAAGCGGGACCAGGCCTTGGTGTAGGTGGGGTCGATGGCAACGGCGGCCTCGGCGTCGACGCGGGCAGATTCGTGGTCGCGGGCGGCGGAGTGGGCGGCGGCGCGGTTGGAGAGGAAGACTGCGTTGGAGGGGTGCAGGGCGAGGGCCTGGGTGTAGAGGTCGATGGCGGAGGCGTAGTCCTTTTGGGCCATGGCGGCGTTGCCCTTTGACTTGAGGGACTCGGCCTCCTTCTTCTGGGCGTCGGAGGGTTCGGGGACGGAGGCTGAAGCAGCGGCGGGGGACGAGGTTGAGGCGGAGGATGCTGCTGCTGCGGGAGTTGAGGCGTTGGCTGAAGAGGGGGAAGAGGAGGAATTGGAGGCGTCGTATGTGCTAAAGACCTGGAGCAGGGTCTGGGGCCCGACGGCGCTCTTCACGGCGGCATCGTCGGCGGGGTCGACCTTGAAGGACTCGGCGATGCAGTTGACGGCCACGTCGATGGAGTCCTTGTCCTCGGCGGTGAGGGTGCCGTCGGTGGTGGAGGTGGAGAGGAAGTCGCAGATGGCGAGCGCGAGGCGCTGCTTGGGGGTTTGTTGGGCGGCCTGGGATTTGATGTATGTTAGCGATGACTGGTTCAATTCCCTTTTAAATAGATGCAATATCGCAATGATATCAATGAAACTCCGAGCCAGATTCTAAGGAAGGATTCGGCAAACACTCTCCGAAAAAAAATAGAGGGGGAGGGGGAAAATTGGCAGTTTCTCGTACCATGGTTCAGCAGCAGAGGATGAATGCCTTGATAAATAGCGCGAGAGCTACGTTGAGCCTTCAAACGCCTTTGGTAAGGTATATAAAGGACCGAAGGGGGAGAGATTCGTGAATCTTTCGATATTCAAAGGGAAGGCTGAAAGAAAAAAAGCTGAGGTCTAAAGAGAGAGAGAGAGGGAAGAGGCTGGCTGGAAGGGAAGACCCCGCGGCTGGTGCATCGCCTAGTTTAGGCTGTCATGGGTTGTCGTGGGGCCCGAAGTGGCAAAGCGCTTGCGTCGAGGGGCTGGAATATTCTATTGTGCTATTTGATTGCTATCGGCATCAATATCGATATCGTCATTGACATTGCCATTCGCATAGAGATTGTGAGAGATGCAGCATATTCTGACTAGTTTATTCATGTCCAGTCATGCCAAGTTCGGGGTGCTGCATGAAAAGGGTTGCAAAGCGCCATCATCAGCCCATTCGCTATTATACGCATGTGCTCAACTTATACACGTAAGTATGAATACAATAATAATACAACTCTGCAGCAAACAAACTCTCCTCGTAGGCAAAAGTCAAGTCTAGTTTGAGCGAGTACGCTTAATGATCCTTCAAAAGTAATTGATGAAAACAGCAAATTTGTAGCATTTCCGCCCCAGAAAACTCCCATCCCATATGCCCGCCCTTGTTGCGCATTCCCATGCTTTCTTTCGCTGCAGTGCCTATCGCAGAAATCGGGTAAAAAATTGCAAAAAAACAACTATTTTCGTGCATCTATTTCTTCCGTCGGGGTCTGTCTACGTTCTTCACCTTCCGATTCTGCATAGCCGCCACCTTGCGAGACTTGCTGTATACCCTGAGGATGTCGTTCAGGACGACGTAGAGACATCCTCCTACCAAGCTGCGGCCCCATTGTTGCTGCAGCAAGCCGGGACGCCCTGAGGGTGATACACCAAACAGCCAGTGGTTTCTAGCAGACGGGGCCGTTGTCCATGACCGTGGAAGAATCAGCCGTAAAGCTTCGCCCATGGCAAAGGAGATGCCTGGCAAAAGAAGGGCTCCCACTATGGAATTGGAAACGCTCGACAGGAGACCACCGAGTCCCATTCTTCGGGCAGGTGGTGCCTGAGGTGCGTCGCGTTGGTTATCCTGACGGTGCCCGTCCGCAAGGTCGCCTGGAGCCTGGTCCCATTGCGGATGAGCATCTTCGCCGTCGTTGTCTGCTCCCGGTATCTCAACCCCGTCCCCTTCAATCTCCTGTATGAGAAGCTCAACCCTAATCTCATCGCCTTCTTCGCGTTGCTCCAGGCGGAACTCGTTACGACCTCCTGGACGTGCTTCGCGGCCGCCGTTATTGGCGCCGGCAGCTGGCTCCTCTTCATCTGGATCCAAGACATCAAGAATGTTTTGGAGCAGACCGACAAATCCTCCCTCTCCGTTGCGTTCCAGATCTTGTCGATTTTGAGCAGCGTCAGCATTCTCTCGCGGGTCGAGAGGCGGCAGCCCCGAAATCTGTCGGTTCAGCTTCACTTCGTATGGCATGACAAAGTCTCTCCAGAGGCTAAAGTAGGCCTTGCGCATAATGGGCAATGCCACCATGGCGAGTCGTGGAGAAGGGGGCCACTCAAGGAAGTTGTCGTTCCGAATCATGCTGTAGATTCCATACTGGCGCACAAATACTCGTTAGCATATACAGTATTTCTTCGTCTGCGCATATGTGTGTTGCATCGCGCAGTGTCATAGGTAGACTCACGATGGATGCGGACTGCATAAAGTATCTGTTGGTAAGGCCAGGCAATAGCTGGCTGATAAGCAGCGTCGGCGCAACGTTCATGAGAACCAGCGCATTCACTATGCGCTCCTTGGCGAATCTGAGTGCTCCAGGAGATCGCCCGTCGATGAGCATCTCCGGCCCCAAAGCGAAGCGAAGCAGGGCCTCTTTGCCTGCAAATGTCCACAACGCCATGGCGCCATACATTTGCAAGCTGAACTGCACGCCCACCGACACGCCCGTCAGCAGAATGAACGGGCTTGCGCGCGTAAACTTGCGATGTATGACGTCGTGTATGTGTGCGATGGGGTCCCACGGGCCGTCCATCTGGATGTCTGACTTGCACACGGGGCATTTGAGAGGCTTATTAGATCGCTCGCAGTCCGTCACCCACGAGAGCATGCAGTCTTGATGCGCTTCCAGCGTGCATGGGCATGGGTCAACCCAGGAGCCCGGAGGGTCTGTAGGTTCCTCGTCCGTTAGGCATACGAAGCATCGTCGCGGGGTGTCCATCGAGTCGTTGGCGGTATCGGCGGATGATGAACGAGGCTGGGATGCGGCCGTGGACGCCGCCGGAGGATCCATGCCTTGGCTGTTTGGCCCTCTCTCGTTGGCAGATTTCTAGGCTTCTCGAAGTTGCAAGATTCGCTTGTGATAGCTATGCTTGGGGTCGTTGCATCTTCTGCGTCAAGCTTGACGCGCGGCGGGACAGCGCAGACGCAAAAGAAGACCGCGGCTGCAAGCTGCCAAGCCAAAGGCAAACAAATACAAGGTTTATGCGTAAAAGGTCGTTTGCAAAGAAAAGGATTTTCGTCAAGCTGCTTGTGTCGCGTTGATATCGTGTGCGGATTCCGTCGCAGTCTAAAGGCCGCAAGACAAAGAAAGATTGATGTCAGAGTCCCACCGAGGCGCCAATCGGACAATCCACTTATTCCGTGGGCACGGTACCTACAGGTCTCAGCGCCTAAAACGTGCGGCTTTCAGGGGACTCGCTGCATTAGCACCCGGCAGATGCAAGTGATGGCGGACGCTATCCGTGCCATGAAGAAGACATGGGGAATGGTCCCTGGGCGTATTTCTCTTTTTTTCTCTTCTTTTGTTCTTTTTGTTTGACTGAATGTTCTGGTATCATGAAGCAAAATTATTGAGAATGAGTACTCAGCGAAGTAAGTAGTACTGGCTGTACAAGTACATACGCAGTAAGCATAGAGCAGTAGAGCTCGATAAGCTGTTCAGGTTATCTGGCTACCCTGCACCATACTGAGGCAGATCTGAAGGACATGGCCGTAGCACCAGCAGAAAGAGAAGTCAGAATCACATGCAAGTTCAAATGATGTAAAATCGAGATTTTTTTTCTCATTCATATTTAATACTGTCTCATCTCTTCGCCCGGTCATCCCTCCACGAAAATCACAAGCCTCTCTTTGGGATCTCTCGCACACAGATAGATACAATAATTGCATCTTCAATGACAAGACAAGAAGACAAAAGAAATGTCGCCACTCGCCCTTTCGAGCTCAAACGTCCCCCGTGTATCGAAGAGGAGATTCCAGATCGGAAGTATTCAGCCTGAAGAGGCTTTATTTGGTGTGCTGTTACCCGTATCTGTTAGCACAACCTCCTTTATCTTCTCCAAATCAGAGGGTTACACAAGGAAATTCAAGCAAGACATACAGTGCTGCATCCCTGGCAGGTGCAGTCAGCACCGCAACCGCAAGCACCGCCCTCAGCACAGCCGCATCCAGCCATTATGATGGTTTATTGGTTTGGTTTGGTTTTGGTGAAGATTTGGAAAAATTGGTTGAGAATAGTAGCAGTTTTGTCTGATGGAAGGACTAAAAGGATCTGCTGGGAGAGGGGAAATGGGCGGTCAGCTTTAAATAGTCTCCCCCCCAGCCCAAGGGACCGCCCTGCGTGCTGCTGCTAAAGCTCAACGGCGCTGTGCTGGTCATACCGTGGAATCCATCGTTTAGCAGCTAGTTGTTGTTAATGCAGCTCTTGTGGCGCCTCCGTATCAGCTGCTGCTTCCCCTCACCTGGAAACGATTCGTGTATCCAACCCTTGGAAGAGAAAAATTCTCAAAACAAGCTGTCAGTGCACGACCTGACACACAAAATTAGAGATCGTCATAGAGACGTGATTGCTTCTGTGCTATTCTCTGCAATAATGTTGGTAGCACTCGCAAAAGCAGTGAGGCTCTCACCAAGGCTACTCACAACGCCACCTTTATCCGATCTCCTCTCTCACCGGTACCTTGTCTAGGGCGACATCCGATGGGCACGCTGCGAGATGCGCTGCGGAGATTAAGGCTTTTGAGATTCACAATCTCATTGCCAGCCAAGGACGCAGGAGTGGACACACAGCAGCTTTAGCGCGAGATCCGCCGTCGGAGCATCGCTTCCAAGGCGCTCAAAAATTCCTCTGGATAGGTGACGGTGCGACTGTGATGAAGCAGGTTTTCTTCTTATATGCGCGCAATTGGCGTGCTTGTCTGGCATGCAGTGTTTCTGTGCGACGTTGTAACGCCACGGCCAATGGCACCGGAACATGTGCAAGCATGAAATTAGAGTATGACATGACAGTTGCGAGTGTGGCAGCGTTGTTGTACAAACCCGCCGTCTCCTTGCCTGAGTGCTTATGGTGCAATGCTGCATCCAATACTGACCACCTGCAGCCTTTTCTCTGCTTCTCCAATCCCTCTCTGTTCTGTCCTGTTCCACCTCTGTACCCGCCGACGTTACCACCATTCTATAGGTGGAGAAAGTCACGGATAAGAGGATCGGAAAATGCAAAATCAGAGAGAACAAAAACCGCCAAGAAGTAAGATACCATCGGCGATCGGGCATCTTGATCGACACCCGCCCGCTAGGCCATGTCCGCTGTCCGCCGCGCTACACAGCATTGAGATGAGATGCCTATTATAACGCAGTATCCTTGCTTCAACGTTTGTGCTCCATAAACGTCCACGTCGTCGTCGTCGTCGCCGTCGCCATCGCCGTGTGCTGTCTTACACACCCTCAAGGGCCATTTGCTGCTGCCTGATTGCTAGACATGAAGCAGTCAGCCCTTGTGTTCGCTTGGGCACATTCGTTTTCATAGGTAGCTGCCGGATATGCAACTCTCTGCCCCGTGCCACCGCTGCCATACACTTCGATAAGCTCTTACCAATCGTACATGTCTTAATTTAGCATCTTGATCAGCTCAGGCACCTTTGCCAAAAGAGGCAGGATGAGCTGATAGAATAATACATAATACTTGTACAAGGCATAACTGCCGTGAAGCGGCCCCGACACGACGACCATGATATCGGCCCGTCGAGATGCCCTTTCATATACTCAGTTGAAGTGTGTAGTACAAGGATTTGGCCTCACACCGAACAAACTAGGCAAGTGATGAAGTGAGTAAACGAGGAATTGCAGGATACCAAGTGCATACAAGTCCCAGTCGCACAAGGCAGCCGTATAAGCAAAGGGCCTCCCTTTGGAGATGAGCAAACAACTCCCCGATACGGTGTAGGTGAAGCAGTTGATTCCATACATGAGGACTTACGTATAACACATAATCTTTTCTTCTTCTCGAATTTGGTATAGAAAGGCCCATTCTTGTACTTCTGTTCAGATCCACAACTGCTTATAACTGCTGCTGTGTATGACACATTTCCCCATTTTTGTCTCATCCCCAGGAACAGCACTTCGACTGGCAGCGGAATCATCTCCGAGGCCGATTTTAAGAGGGCCAAGGATTTAAGAGGGCTAAAGATTTAAGAGGGCTAAAGATTAGAATTTACACATAAGAAACCACGGACCATGTTGCCGTAGTATTCGGAGTTTAGGCGACTAGGCCAGATATATTTCTTACACATGCTTACATAGCCCCGAACCGTTGCTCACCCAGGTCAACCGGCTTTATCAAGGGTTTACGAGCACGGACAGAGTTGCAGGCATATATTTGTGTTTAATCCTGGACCTTGAAGATGCGACGCTTTGAACCTTGCTCAATTACTAAAATACCACCTATCGGATATTCGCTGCCATGACGGTCACCGCATACTACTACCACTACCGCATACTACCGCCTAGTGGCAACAAGGTATTACCAGCAGGACGGGTCTTTAGAACGGCAGTCTTTTGTCCTTTCAAACTAACAAAACAGCACACACGCCCCTCCCGCCCCTCCCCTTGTGCCCCAAACGTCTCGCACCCCTATTTTTCTTTTCTCCAAGGCCTGGCCTTGCTCCTTGGCTCCGATGGCGTGTCCTTTTCATGCTGAGAAGCCGATCGAGATGCTATCTGCGGCATCTGCCAACCCCATGTTTTCGTCGCCCACAAGGGTGCTGCTGTCGTCGTCCGAAGACCCTGCTTCCGAGGCTGAGCGCGGATATCGAGACCCCCATTGGTGGTAGCAGTAGTAGTAGTCTTCGGCAGCAGATCTGGCACCGGCGCCGGGATCCTCCTCATCGTTGCTCGCATAGTCGCGTACAATTGCCTCCACGGCGGTCCCCGTTAGGGCTTCTGCGGGTGGTGCGACTACTACCAGCTCGACTCCAAACGCAGAGGCCATGATGGGTCTCGGTAGTTGCCCTGCAAGTCCGTACCAAACCTCCGTGTAAGCCAGGTGCAGGGCCTCCTGCAGGAACCCCTTTGTATCAAACAAGAAGCCCGTCGCAACGGTGCCGGTACCGTTATCATGAGGGTGGTGGTCGGCCGAAAGGTGGCGCCGCGCGCGGAGATACATGGACGACGCCCAGATGAAGGACCTCGTTGCGCTGGATGCCGTCTGAACCGCCAGCCAGTCCAGGTAGGACGTCAAGCCAGCGACCAAGAGGCTCGGGACTCGCAGGACCCTGATGAGGCCGGCTACGCGGGCTTGCAGACGCGGCGACTGGCGCATGTCCTGCCTGGAGAGTGTGTAGAAGGGCATGCTGCGAGATGATGCTACCGTCGTCTTGGCGCCAACACCCGTAGAATTACTGCCAGTAGCAGTAGAAGCAGCAGCATCACCCATGCTTGCTGTCCCCATCCCCATGCTTGCGTCGATCGAGCTGCTTAGCCGGCGGAGTCCATACCAGGTGCCGTTGCCATGGCCTCGGTGCAGGTAGACGCCCCAGTCGAATTCCTCTTTATCGATACCCTCGGCGCACGAGACTTCGTAAGATGCCAAGTCCAGATCGTGAGGGAGGTAGGGCAGGTAGTGGAAATCGGAGAAAGACTGATGGGCACCGGATCGAGGAGGGACGGAGATTGTGATGTAGAGAGATCCGGGCTCAAGGGTTTTCAGCTCGCGGCTGATGACTGAGCGTTTTTCTTTCAGCTCCATTCCTCTCTAGGTCTTGATCTTTGATGCGAGGCTGAGAGATGCGAGGCTGAAAGATGTAAGGCTGAAGTCGATGAGGCTCAAATCGAGGATGGGTGGAGCAGCGTCATCGAGCAGACTGCTCTGGCTGGTGAGGAGACGATTGTTGCTTTTCTTTCTTTCTCATCTTCGTCTTCTTCTTGAACTTGACTTGTTTCGAATATCCTCCGTCACCAGCTGGCACGGTTTGGCCATATCGTCACCAGCTGGTTGACAAGTGTCAAGGTACTTTTTTCCCACATGCGTCATCTTCTACATTTATTCCTGACCGCACACACGTTGTAAAACACCAGAAACTGCTCTTGAGTTTCTTCAAAGTAATTTCGATATTCTACCGTCTTATCATTAGCCGCCATTTTTGCCAAATCTCATCATGGTTTACCCCGTTTGGGGCTCAATTGGTGACACCCCCATCGCCGAGTAATTTTCCGGCATGGATCCTCCTTGATTGCAACATCAAGCTCACCTAGAAACACGACACGCGACAGGCCTTATCATCGCAATTGCTCTCGGAGCTAGCAATCGATCCAACATGATTCCCCACGGATTGCGCCACGATGGAAGATTAAAAATTGACCAAAACTCTTGTGAAAGATGAGAATCCTTCCATAATCTCGTGATACGACTCATCGAGCTTATACGCAAACTTGCAACGCCTCTGGAGCTCCTTGACGCAACATCACTCGCGCGCTTAACGGGCTCCACGGGGAATTTTTATTGCTCAATGCTCCGTAGTACCCGCAAAACCGCCGACGATATCAGCGGGGCCCAGGCATAAAGAGAGCCGCGCCAAAGGGATCATCACGGGTTTCAACAGAAAAATATCCATATCTAATGGCCTGTTCTCAATATTGCCTGTGAATCTCCTCTGTATCTGGTGCTTTTCCGGTCAAGACTCGCGTGTCGTACTACTGTCCTCTTTTCTCATTTATCATCCATCTCCTCATCTCTGCGCTTCCAAGATATCTTCTTCTTCTTCTTTTACATCGTTTTTGAACAATTTAAAAAGTTGCAACGTTTCGATTTTTTTTGAAGCTTCTGCATATCTACGTCATCGGGAGCAAAAACAAGAACCCCTGATTTCCGTGCGCAAAACCACTGCGGGGTACTAAACACTCGTCGCGGGGCATCTCCAAATCCCAAGCGCAAACAAACTGTAAGACAAAAACTCCTTTGCGCCAATCAGCCCAGAAAGCTCACGAAACATCTCACCGAAGAGACGGCACCGTCAAATAAGACAAGGAGATATAGCGCAAGTTCTACAAGCGGCAGACGCATAGAAGAAGAACCACCAAAATGTCTGGCCCCGTCCCAGTCGCAACATCCCTGGCGGACATCTACCCCCCAGCGGTCGTCGCAGCAGAGACGCCACGATGGAACAACCTGCTGGCCACGTTTGCGCGCGAGTTTGGCCACCCGGCGCACTTCATCTCCCGGTCGCCTGGCCGAGTCAACATCATCGGCGAACACATCGACTACAGCCTCTACTCGGTGCTGCCCATGGCCATCACCGCCGACGCCATCATCGCCGTGTCGACCACGCCCGTCGCAGCAGGCGCGAAATCGTTCAAGATCCATGTGCGCAACGTCCAGGGCGCCAAGTTTGCCGCGGCCGAATTCGACATCCCGATTGGCGGTGACGTCGAGATTGATTCCACAAAGTTTGAGTGGACAAACTACTTCAAGAGCGGCCTTCGCGGCGCGCTCAGCCTGCTTTACGCGAAAAAGGGGGCCGACTTCCGGCCGTGCAACATGGAGGTGCTGATGGACGGCAACGTCCCTGTGGGAGGCGGGCTGAGCTCCAGCGCCGCCTTTGTCACCGCCAGCGCGCTGGCCGTCATGGCGGCCAACGGCGAGAACTCTGTCGACAAGAAGGAGCTGACGGAGCTCGCCATTGTCAGCGAGCGAGCCGTTGGGGTCAACTCCGGAGGGTAAGTTTTGTCGAAATAGAATAAAAAGGGCCCCCCTGGTTTGAATACCCCCGTTGAGCTGCATGCTCGATGATTTTCCTCGCAGGTGGATACACATTCATGCCTGCAAGCATCCAGCAAAGCTCACGCCACCTTATCCCCCCTAGCCCCAACAACAACAGTCCTCCCCTCATAGATCTACGTTGTGGAATAAAACAAAGCCGTGCACGATGCTGACAATAGCCTTTTCACAGCATGGACCAGTCTGCCTCAGTCTTCTCAGAGCAAGGATCCGCCACATTCGTGTCCTTCACCCCTGCCCTCTCAGCGCGGCCAGTCAAGTTCCCTCCTACAAGGCCCGAGTTATGTTTTATTATCGCACAATCATTCATCACGTCAAATAAACATGTCACCGGCCCCATCCACTACAACCTTCGTGTTGTCGAGGTCAGCTTTGCGGCTGCTTACCTCAACGCCGTGCTCAACCCACCCGGCACCGAGCTCCCGCAGGACGCAGGCCCTCTCGGCATCAGCCTTCAGGGGTTCCACGAAGCCTTCTTCTACCATAACGGCGGGTCAGACTACGCCGCCGCCAGGAGCCTTAGTAAGGAGGAGGAGCTACGCAAGCTCATTGAGATCACCAAGCAGACGCTGACCCAGGAGGACGGCTACACGCGGGAGGAAATCGCTGCCGTCCTCCAAATGTCCGTGCCTGAGCTAGAGAAGCGCTTCACGGCCGTCTTCCCCGTTCGTGCTGACCGTTTCAAACTCAGACAGCGAGCCTTGCATGTGTTTACCGAGGCTTTACGAGTGCTCGAGTTCCTGACTCTGCTCGAGCGGCCCCTGCATACGGGGGCAACTGACACGACTCAGTTCAACGAGGCGCTGGGGAAACTCATGAACGAGACGCAAGACTCGTGTAGAGACCTGTTTGAGTGTAGCTGCCCCGAGCTTGATGAAATATGTCGCATCTCACGCGCCGCTGGGGCTTACAGCAGCAGGTTAACCGGAGCTGGGTGGGGAGGATGCAGCGTGCACCTCGTCCCAGCCGATAAGGCGCAGGCCGTGAAGGCGGCGCTGGAGGAGCAGTACTATTCTAAGATGAAGTTGACCGATGAGCAAAAGGAGCAGGCTGTAGTGGTGAGCCAGCCCGCTCGGGGAAGCGCCATATATATAGCCAAGGAAGGCCAAGTAAGCTGAAGAGAGTTAACCTGATATGTCTTTACGATGCAAGGCTACCCCGTCATCTGTTTTTTTTTTTTTTTTTTTTTGTGTTTTCTAAAATTTGACAGTATATTTGGATAGACATTTAGCCACTGTAATCAAAAGACGAAAAAGAAAAGAAACAAAATAAAGCAAAACAAAAGAGCATGGTATAAAGAATAAGTGTAAATGATGGTTTGAATTATGCATACGCGTCCCCAAGCGAAACCGAAGAGGGTCCATTCATCACCACTCAAGCTTTTGGCAAGACTTAACTTCTTTTCCGAATATATCGCAACACATGTTAAAGAAGGAGACACACAAAAGGCCCGTTTAACGCTGCATGATGAATAATAGGCCGCGCAAATCTGGAATCCCTGGCAATAGCTGCAGGTCGGCAGTTGATTAGCAACACATGCAAGGGAGGGGGGATTTGAATCCTTGAAAGATTCCCAATCCACCGCATGAATCTTAACCCACAAACGCCGCATACCACTAGTAGTACCTGGGTGCTTTGCATAGGCCTGCCTTGTATGTGGTGTTCTATTCCTAGCAGCAGCCCAGCCCATTATCTTGCAGCCATCATCTATTCTTTTTGAGGAGGGGGGCGTTCAATCCCCTCCCCAAAGATCGATAGCCTTGTCTTATATTCACACCTAGACAGGAATCATTCTGCGCTTCGGTCTTCCACACGCCCCCTTTCCCCTCCCCTTTCACTCTCCTCCCCAGCCCCCGCGTATCTATGGTAAGACCTATCTACTGTCAGTCAGAACACATGTAGATGGAAGGGGCAGACTATGCCTTTCAACGAGCTCCACACACATAGAAGTCTATCTCAGAGCCAAGACTTTGCGAGAAGCCTGCAAAGAATGGAAGAAGGCGAAAAAAGGGGGCGCAAAGAGGCTAGGAAAAGCAAGCAAAAGAAGATGACAAACAGTTCAGCGCAATAGTTGTAGTTTGGCGTGAAAGGTGAACTGACTGAGTCAATATCCTAATTTTTGTCTCTTTTTTCATCGGCGATAATTTTATTCGGCGATAAAAAACTGCCTACTTGGTAAATTAGGGAAACAGCTCGAGTGGCTCTGAACGGCAGATGCGACGGCAACTACTATACTCTGGTGACCTATAAGGTGGCTTTAATATGAAGTTACAACTGCCGAAAATGTGTTAGCGAGGCAAAAGGTGCACTTAATAGTGAAGAAATATAACGAGACAAAAAATTGTCTCTGATGGAGCTTGTCAGAGTTGGAAACCAACATACATGACACAGAGTTGCTCATCATCCCTTTTTGCCTTTTTGCCCCGTCGCATTACTCTTATCATTTGCTTTTTCTCTCTTGTTTTTTTGGAGTTCACTTAGCTGGTTCGGCACGGCGCAACTTGAAGATAGTATTTGGACTATGTTGGTTACTACTTTGGTCGAAATGTTCTGGAAATAGAACGGGCCAACACCATGTGAATAACCTTAGTCTCCCAAGGATCAAGCTATTGTATGGCTAGCCATATTAGCTCAAAGGCCGTGGTGCGCCATTGGAGGAATTACTCTGCTAATCATGCATGCGTTTGAGTCCAAACCCGACGTTTTACATCATCTCTCATCTGGTGATCTAAACATATGAACATCTACTTGTAGCTGACAGAGCTGCGGGAATAATGCGGTACTACCAGCTCTGGAGGGTGGAGAAGGCGGAAAAGAGAAACGTGCTATTGAAGTGCCTATCTTTTGTCTTTTAGCGATCGGATATGAACCAAACTTGGTTAATAAAGTAATAGGAGTGGGAAGAAAGCAGGGCTGGATATCAGACTCAAGACCTATTCTCCGCGTGGACTATAAGATAGTTCTCCCCAAAGGGGAAATTTAGGGGAGCGTGGGCCCTCGAAATGATGTCGTTATCAGCTCACCGGCCTTGCTTAGACGATTCCTATTTCGATCAATGGCCGTCTAGCCTGGCCACTGGTAATAGAAGAGCTGCTCCTAGAGGGAGGGGCCTATAAGGCTTAGCAGGCCGATTAAGGAAGTTGTACCGCTGCCAAAGAGGCCGTCCCTTGTTTAGCGGACCTTGCGGTCGGGTAATGCGGAGTATAGTGTATGGCCATCCGCAAGGAGGGCGCTGTACAGAAAACAAGTACGGCAAGAGATAGCGAGCAGAGCAAGTGCACAAGTAAGAAGTAATGAGTCGTATGGAGAACGGAGTAATCACTACTGTACTTGTTGTGTGTCTCCTTTCTTGTATGGAGTCGATCAGCTAGCTGGATAGAGTTAAAAAGGGCCACTCATTACTCGTACTTACAACCGTATAAGAGACAAGATTTGATATCCCAGATGCTGCTCATTGGAAGGCAAACCGCCTGTTTTCATTCTTGTAGATGATCAAGAGCCCCCAAAGAGTGAGCCTCTTGTGTTTGAGATGGAAGACATCTTGGTAGAACTTGTTAAAATCACAGCACCAGCATCAGCAGCTTGAAGGTTTGCTGTTTCGCTTCAACAAGGCTGCTCACCACATACCCTGGGCCGCCGCCGAACAGCGCCGACAGCCGGCGGTGGTTTCCCGATTTGCCGTCGTGGGCCGTTGAACGGCATGGCACTGGCGCACACAGCGGTCTCAAGTCTTTCACTCCCACCTCGTCCGGATAGCGGCAATCACATCGTTAGTTCGACGCCCCGGGGCGTAAAAGCTGATGAGCGGGCACCAAATGTTTCTAGGAGTTATTGATTCATCTCTGGACCTTCTCGAGTTGCCTATATCTCTTAGCCTTTCGGGGTACCAGAGTCGACTGCCAAATTGATATTGCCCGTTACATGTCATTCTTGATCGGGCTGTCCGTCAATGGCGGCAACCATAATTCAAACTCCCATTCGAGCTGTGGCCTTGTTTTATACCTGGTCGCAGGCACGACTCATCTTTCGTGTCATTGGTCCAGCTAGTTCCCAAAGGGAAAGAAGGGTATTCCAGATCTGTATGTGCTTCCGGGCACAGAGCACGCTGTTCGTGTTGCTCACACTACCTACTGGTTGTGAACGCATCTGAAGACGTCTATGATCTGTACTGTGGGCTAAACAGGGTGCTAGCAGGCGCGCTTTTCCATATGCCGTGTTCCGTCGCATAAACGCTATTCTGATCTGCTACTGATTCACAAGATTGCAGGTCATTGTTAACTAGCGTACGCGTAGGTTGAGAAGTTCGCCCGGACTCCAATTCAAGAAGCCGTCCGCACATGCTGCAGTAGTAGTATTACTGTACATCTGGCTGCCACGAACTAGAAACCCTGGTATCTCTTGATCGACGAGGATCAATAGGCTGCTGGCCCCAAGGCAGAGAAGTCACCCCCCTGCCCCAAAAATAGAACAAGTGTATCTAGACGCTTGCATTCTCTTGGTAAGGTCCGCCAATGTCAAGGCGCCATCCACGGAACGGAGAAATTCTCAGACCAGAGTGACGGGTCAAAGAGATGCAAGGGCCATCGAGGAGGTGAGAGCCGTCACAAGCTTGCGAGGTAGACTTCGGACGATGCAACGCTCCACGCAGCTCTCGCCCTTTGAAATCTCCGTGTCCTCATGAAGCAGGCCAGCAGATTCGCCCTACGACCATCATGCTTCGCCATTGGTGTGATACTGTTTCTTTTCAAACAAGAGCGCTACCGGACAGAGCACGGAGACCTCTGTCAGCTGTGCTTCATCGGTGTTGCTAAACAAAGATATCTTGGTACCGAGTACAAAGTGGTGCGAGGTGCGAGTAGACATGCCGAAGCAGCTACTGCTGTATGTAAGATTGGCGTGGTTGGCTAGCTTCTCCCCCGGTCTTGTAAAGTGGGCTAAATTCGTTTTCCTTTTTGGCCTTAACACCCGCGGTATGGGGCCGACTAAACACAGCCAGCGCGGATTGTCGTTCATGAATAAGCCTTGATGGTCGTCGTGGTTAGGCGAGCTAAGAGCTGGCTAGTGCGATCATCTCAACCCTAGGCACTTAGTTGCTCCGAATGGAGCACAGAAGCTGCTTTTTGTCCCTTATGACAACGGAAGTTTTCCGTATGAGGAACGGTTTACACATCCTGCTGGCGGCATTGTTGCGGCCAGTTTAACCGCTCGCTTCCAGCGCATGGGTTTGATAACTTGTTCTCCGTAGTGCCAGTAGTACCAGCAGTAGCGAGCAATCTGGAGCATGATTTCAAATTGCAAGGCCGCCGAGCGAGACCGAGTGCAATGCGAAATATGAGATTATTAGATACCTATGCCACCGCCCGCGGCTGGGCTTTCAATCACATGGCCGCGGTTGAAGTATTTTGCGAGCGGCATTCTTGCATGCGGTACCTTTTACTTGCCGATATATCACAGAGGTGGAGGTACAGGTGCCGAAACGGAGCTGTAGGAGCGTAGCAGTATAGGCGCGGTTACGACTTTGCGGAGGTGGCAGTTTGAGTAGTGGCTGATTCGCGCAGAACAACCACGGCCAGGGGGTGGCCAAAGCTCCGCCCTATGGGTGGACCATTTGAAGAAGATGAGGATGGATATTGCGGTTTTAAGCGATCTAACTGGACTGTTGGCCCTTGTCAGCTTGCGTTTGTCCTGCTTGTCCCTGCTAGTCAATCTGGGGCACTCGTCAAAGCGTACTTGTACTTGCACTCCTCGAAGCACCGCAGAAGAAGATCAAACCACTTTGATGGCTTGGTCATCTTGATGCCTTTCTCCGCATAGCGGCGCCAAGACAGTACATCATCCTTCCCGAAAATGGGAAGACACGTTCGTAATGTTCTGGTCAATTCGAGAATATCGCTAACGCTAGAACAAAGTAGGTGCTTACTCGCTTCAGATGAGCAACGAACAGGTTCGGACATTGGAATCAGCTGCGGAGCCGGAGTCGAAACGGCAGCCGGGCCTTTTGAGCGAATATTGAAGTTGCTTTCATTGTGTTGGGTTGGAGCTTGTCTTTGGTTGATGTGGGCGAGCAATCAGGAGGGGTGAGAATCAGGTCTGCGCTAGGCCCTGCAGTCAGAAACAAACATCTGTGGCACCATCGTCGTTGGCTCAAAATGGTAGCGTCTTGCTAAAGCCACGAGCCCTGGAGACGAGGCTGGCTAAAACTCGGCATTCTGACCACGCTGGAAGCTGGAAGATCATGATTTTGGCTTTCTCTTAGCTCGTTAATTCTTTTTGGCTGACGGGAGGACCGGGACGATCGTCGGTCAGGGGTTGAAACTCAGGTATCCGTATGGACGAGAGCGCCTGGTGCTCTGCCACAGGCTGCTCTGGACTGCTGCAGGGTGATGGCATCATCATCACAAATCAAAAGACGCAAACGGAAAGGCAAAAGAAGCGAGCGAAACTGAGTTCAGGGTAAGTTAATACTGCTGCCTGATCTCTGCTCAGGGAAGGCGCGAGCGCAACGGAAAAAATACCTGCCATCCCTCCCCTCTGTCTCTGAGTCGGTGTTCGAATTATTCCGAAGGCCCTCCGTCTGCTTCTCCATGCCATCCAACGGCAAGCTCCCGCAGTTCTCTGGAACCCTGATCGTGTTACACCGAACCGCTGTGCATTGCATTGCATTGCATCTCATCGAGGTAAATCGACTGACAATCGCGTCTCCGTCGCTTCGCTCGCATCACCGCCGTTGGACGGCCGGCCTCCCTCCTCAACTCGACCCATCCGCATTCATGCCGCCACAATTAGTGAGCCTGAGTGCCTGACACCCGGTCGATGACTAAACAACGAATTGTTCTTCCGAGCCTGGTATCTTCGCAACTGGTGCTGACCGGCCAATGGCATACGATACCAAGCCCGCGGGTCTAGCTCTGCCACAGGGCGTTATGTCCGCACCTGGGTGACAGGCACCCTGGCCTTGGGTTCCAGACAGACAGGGCAAGCAATGCGAATTACATACTAGCAAGATATTGACCTAGGGGGCTGACAGAATTCATGGTAGCACCACGAGTTCAGTTCTGCTGTGGAGAGCATCGGGAACTTTGGTAGATACGGGATGGGCGTTTGCCGGCTGAAACTAGCTTTGGGTTGGATGTGACCCGAGTCAGCATTGCTACCTACCTACAGATGTACCCATCGGACCCATGGGGTGCTACACGCAGCGCTTGTCCCTCATGCGATACATACCCTTTGGCAGCGACTGTGCCCCGTGCCGCGCGGATGATTGTCTCTGTACGACACAAACAAGGACCAGGCCCTACCCACTGACCATCTCCGATGGCCCTGCTCAGAGTATCATCGGTATGGAGCATTGAATAGCCTAGATCCTAGAAAGGGGGGAGGGGCCGCTATGATGACGGAGCACACAGCCTTACGGTTAGCTCTAACCACTCATTACTTGCAGTAGTACTCCGTACTGCTATATTTGAGAACAGGGCTAAGCAGAACGCCACGAGATTGTCAGGGTGTGTAGAAGCCGAGTTCGTCCGCTCGGCTGTCGCGCGTTGACCGGCTACTACTACTACTGGTAGCAACTCCAGTGTCGACTTGAACATCTACTTGTAAGTCTCAGGTGGGGGAAATGTGGTTATCTATGCGCGTCTAATCCTTCAACCAGGAAGAACTGCTGAGTATGAGCTCATGGGATGGGGGGGGGGGGGCAACAAAGAAAAAAATAGAAAAGTGAGAACAAAAGGCAAAGAGAAAGCAAAGAAGAGAAGGATGAAGAAAGAGATACGCTCTTCTCCATTCCCGTAATAATATCCGTCGATAGGCTATGCCGAAAGTGCCGCCGCCACGATCTGGAAAGTCCATTGCCGCCAAACGTACCGTTTTTCAAGCCTCATACGAGAGCTAATACGTACTTGTTTCATAAGCTTGACTCTTAAAACACTGATACGGCATACTACGGCCATAAATATTGTGGAGAATGTAACGAGAGAATGAAACAGTACGCATACCATCGAGACGCACAAAAAGAAAGAGAGCAAGGCCTGTAAGAGACCTACATAGCATACAGATATACACAGCCAGGTTATCGACCCGGGTTAAAGCTTTTGCTTCTCTGACGGTCAATCTCAGCACTCTCCAAGTGCCCGTCATCACGATAGAGCATGTTAATGAACAGTATCAACTCAACTTATATGAGAACATGGTTTCCTTTGTCTTGAGCCAAAGAAAAGGGGAGGTGGTGTCTACCAAGAGGCCCCTGTGGCCCAAATCATATCGCAATCTGGTCCCAAGCGCACGGTCCTTTCGCCCTGTCGTTCACTAATGCTTCTGGTACAGACATCCCAGTCGCTCCTCAGCCCTGCTGTCGGGTCGTGTGAGGGAGGGCGTGTGTGGAGGAAAGCGGGCATGTTGGGTCGCACATCAAGGTGGAGAATACTCCAGAAGTGCATGGCGGTAGGTACCTGTATACACTTTGAGACAAGGGCATCGTTGCTGACTGCGGATACTAGCACTGCGTATCAGGACTTTTTCTATTCTCGCTCATCAAGTAGGGCCGCCTAGCTCTGCCCTATGCCAGCGTGGAGAAGACCAGCGATGTGGCGCCCAATTTTGCCCATCTTCTGCAACTGCCTCCTGCTGTTACTTCTTTTGGGCAATTGCTCATCTGAGGCTAAGTCATCTCGTTTAGGCGCTCTGCTGTTGCACAATTACTCGGTGCGTATTTAGTCCGAATATGGCATCTCCGTCTAATCTCAAAGAATCGTGGCTGACACACACTAGCATCTAGAAGCTCTGGCATAAATTTTATCCGTTTGTTGACTATCAGATGTGTTGCTGCTACTCAACTATTACCACTCGGGCAAAGGGAGCCACCGCGTCTACGATTTGCTGAGAGCTGGGGTCCAACGGAACTTTATCTGCACCGTTTTCTTATCCGACTGGAGGATGCAAACCAATGATACGCGTTAAAACAAAGCAACAAGCTCAAGGAGTGGAACGAGCGCTGACGACATGACACAACAAGGCTTGCGTGTCTCTATCCCCTCACAAGACTCTCAACAGCGCTGCATTACCCCCTCCAGGGGATATGGCATGTGCTTGACAGAGCCGGGAAACTCATTTGGACTTAATGATCCAATCCCCCGTCTGCTAAAGTGGAACGGCGGTTCCAGCCCGCTGGCTTGGTGACTACCCGGCCTGGTAGAGATATCTGGATCCATCGAGCCACCCGACCCGACCTACCACACCCCCTCTTGTGCCGCTCGTTCGCCAAGTGCCATGCATGGGATGGCATGCCTGTAGTTGGTTGTCCGAACGGTCGGTACGGCAGCCTGTGGCTAGTACTGCTACAGTACTCGGATCATCACTACGACCACGCCCGAAGCCACAGTAGCTATACCTGCAGGCGAAATAAAGGGGACAGTACCTACATCAACGCCAGAACCCGCTAAGGTCTAAAAGGCTAGCAGGTCTTTGGATGCCGCATAATAACTAATGCCTCCAGTATGAAGGCACCTGTTCTTTCCAGCTCCTCCTAATGCAGGTAGAGAGCATGAGCGATATCCGTCCTTGCAACAGGTTTTCGCTGGCGGGACTTAGGTACTTTGCTCGCCGTCACCTGCCAGTTGATAACCGCTCCATTGTGCCTCTCGGAACTCACACCCCCCCAGCTTCTCCAACTTGTGTCGTCCCAAGCCAAGCACGCGCCTCTGTCGCAGTCTGGGGACCCACGGGTCGATTGCTAGGCTCGCCTGGCTGGGGGGCGTTTGGTTCTGGCGCTCGGCGACGCTCCGTCTGTGCTGCTACCGTTGCCATCTAATCGCCATCAAGCCGGGTTGGAATCGAATGTGTTCTGTCTCTGCGTGGCATTGATTTTCGTCCTTGTTCCTGCTTTGTACACGCCCGCACTAGTGGAGCTGCCGTGTCGACCGAGGCGGAGCCCTCCCTCAGATCACGACTCCATAAAGACAGACGCCTCCGGCGCATCTTAAATCCCCTACCTGGGTTCCTCGCTGCTTGCTGCTGGAAGTTAGGCTCGAAAGCTCTTTTTTCAAAACGCACTGAATCGTGATCGTCATATTCCGTACCCCGTCGCTTCGTCAGACAAAACGGGAGCTAGACTGCGGGCCTACACGAACGTCAGTCAGCACGTGTTGAGTGATCCCCTCCCATCGCCAACCGGCATCCGCTTAATTCTTACACTATATACCCTGCTCGTCTCTACGAGTAAACGGATCTCGTCTCCGCGTCTTGAACTTTCTTGGCTGCCACTACTTATATCTGACTATCTCCTCACCGCTCTTGACCTCGCCTTTTGACATTTTACCTTTCTCTTGTTCATAACCCATCTGATCCTGTTAAACTTGGTCATCTCCCGCATCTCTGGCGTCTCTGGAATCAGCCACTGCCTACTCTTTTTTCTTCACCTAAGCCTAGCTTATCATCCCACTAACCCCCGAAGCTTGGCACCAACTGCTCCATATACAGTCAATCTCTCACATCGACAGATTCTTCGTCTCTGCCCCATATATGGTAACAACAAGATTAGTCTCGTTTACTATATTGGTTTGACGGCGGATATGGCACAAGGACTCTGGCCAAACCAGGAGGGCGCATCGCCCGACCTCAATCTGCCCCAGCAGGAGCGGGTCGATCGCCAGATGATTCGACACCTGCTTGGTAAATACTCAAGAGAAGAGCTAGGGCGATTGCTACAAGAAGAAGGACGCATGTCACCATCTTCATCATGTGAGTATTTTTTCTCTTCTCATACATGTGGTCTTCATAGCCTGATATACATCCTTCACCTCGTCTAATTCGTCCATGTATCTTTTGTCTTTTCTGTTCACCTCCTTTGTATCTATGTCTCTAACCAACCGAATCTTGTCTTGTAGATGAGGAAAGATCTTTTATGCTTTCCAGCAGCAACATGTCCAGCGGCAGCTCGCACGACGATTCAAACATGTTCGATTCAACAAGCAGCAACAACGCATTCTCAGATACATCATCCACATGCGGAAGCGTCACTTCCAACGTTTCACCTCGAGCGAGTCACCGTCGCAAGCCTAACGCAAGCCCGTCGACAACCCGCGCCAGCATATCTCTTACTGACGAATCGTCATGGGATGTCGAGGATGCTACACCTGCAGCATCGGCTCCGAAGCAAAAGGGGTCGTTCACTTGCGGTTTCTGCCTTGAAGAAGGCATTCAAAAGACATGCACCCGCAAAAATGACCTGAAGCGCCATATGGAAGACTTTCATCACACCAACGCACAGTGGTTCTGCCGCCACCGAGGCTGTCAAATGGTCTTTGATTGGCAAACCGCCTACAAGGCTCACCTGAAGAACTCTCATGGGGGATCGCGGATGAACCTGGATGACGCCAAGGTTCCGCTTTGCCCACAGACTGTGTTTGCATGCGGCTTTGAGAACTGTCTCCAAGTTTTTGAGGCGCCAAGCGACGTACACGCGGGCCCCACATTCAAGGAGTACGTGAGCCACGTTGTCAAGCACTTTGACGAAGGCGCAAGCAGCGGCCAGTGGAGCTACTCGGCTAGGATGCGGAATCTACTTAGGCAATCTAGCGTGCTGAACGCCTGGTCGCAATCACTGTGGCCAGATGGTGATCCGAGCCGCCTGCGATGGAACTCCCAGACCAGCAGTGTCCTGCGAAAACGCCTGGAGACGAGGCATCTTGGCGATCTCCAGTTTCTCGTTCAATACGCCATTGCGCTGGGGTCGAGTCCCAATGGTGCGATTCAAAACTTTCGTGCGGACTTTGTGACCCCAATCCGTAGCGAGTGTCGGATGGCGATCCATGGCCACAGCAGGGCCTCCGCAGCACCCACCCCAGAAGCAGACCACATGCAATACAGCATGTCAACGGGTGCCAACCCAGCAATGATTGCATATTACCAGCGGCACGCGTACATGCCCCAGCCGGCGCAGCCGCAGCTGCACTCTTCAGGCTACCCTTTTCACAATGCGCCTCCCTCTCCAGGATATGACGCCCAGCAACAAGCTTTGCAGCAGCAGCAGCAGCAGCAACAACAACAACAACAACAGCAGCAGCAGCAGCAGCAACAATCGCAGCAGTACATGGGAATGTCCGATGCGCCGATGGTTGGGTCTGATTACGGTCCACATGCGAATGGCAATCTCCAGACTATGCCTGCTGCTTATGCCACCAACGGCCTGCACAGTCCCGCACCTACGGATATATGCGGAACCGCGAGCCCGGGCTCAAGCATGGAACAGCGGACTAATACGTACGCATACAACTCTTCGCCGTATGCGTATTAAATCACGAGGTAGCAGTGCCTCGTCCACCAGACCGTTTGAAGTTACATACAAAAATGACGAGTGTGACCACATACCGTAGTGGTTGCTAATTTACGGCGTTGTGTACGATTGAATAATTTACTTATCAGAACAAAACGCATGTGCCCCAAAACTGTCGGCACCGACGGAATGCACATACTACCGACCCCTATACTATTATCACTACAAACAACAAGAACTGGCTCTGGAAGAGCTCCTGGGGAGGCTGGACGGTAGACGATTGCACAATAACGGCCGACTTGCATCATTTTCCTTTGACTTTTGATTTCTTTCATGTTGGCAAATTTCCTCTCTCTTCTAATTCTTTTTATACCCTCACAAGCACGCAATTCATTTCATCGGTAAGATTGATTCACAATATGAGAGTAAAAGCGAAAGAGCGACACTCATTGCGACTTGTTTTATGACTATTTTTTTTCTCTCTCTATTTTTTTTCTCTCTCTATTTTTTTTTTTTATATATTACATGGGGAACGGCCGGGGAGAGGGGGATCAAACTTGCACTTTTCTATGTGCTAATGTGCGGGGGATATTTTTGGGGCTAGTACACGACTATGGAGGGCTTCTGCGATTATGAAGTGGGCGCATTACGGGGAAATGGATTGTCTTTTTTTGGTTTATTATTTCGTTGCTGTTGCTGTTGGCTAATTCACTTGGAAAAATGTTTAAACGGCCTTTTGGGATGAATCATTACAAGCGGGGAGGGAGTAGGAGAAACAAAAATATGGATTACTTGTTACACCAAACATGTACGAAGGCCTACATTTGTTAGAATATATTGTGGATGCAGCAATGCACACGTACAAGTAAATACGCCTTCTCTTCTGTGTGCTTGAGGAGTAGTATTGATGCAGGACTTCAGCATATGTACCTAGGTTTGTAATGTGACGGATCAAATTGCTTATATTAAACGGAGAGTAACAAAATGTTCCCTGCTCCTATAATGCACCTGTAAGTTACAGGCAGCAAAAACGGAGTAAATAAAGTGGCAGTACCGTTAACTAAAAAAAAAAAAAAAAGAGCGCAACCATTATCCCAACGAGGTAAGAAAACAAAAGCAAGAAAAAGGCCTTTATCCGAAGAGGAAGCTCTCTGCAAGTGTGTAGCACAGGGAAGAAAAAAACAAGTACGTATGAATAAAACGTAATATCTGGGCCTACTTTACATACAATTACGACTCTTTTTTTTTTGTTACTGTAGGCAAGAGACCAGGGGGGAAAAAGAATGTAAGTGTTGCCATTATCTACTTCCTTGCATTTAGCTTTAGCTTCTTCTTTGCAGTAAAAGAGGCATTAAGCCGAAACCTCATTAGTTGAAGGAAGAGAGGGGGAGTGAACGGGACAGACGGACATTTGGACTGCGAATGCCCTTGCCGAAAGCTTGTGTTGGTGATATGGACATTTGGCACAAAGAAATGTAACTAGGTGTCAAAGTCTCTCTCCTTTTTACTTTTTTAGTTTTCGGGATGTAAATCTAACTTTCCGTCGTTTTTGGCATATATGTGATTTTTGATATGTTTAGTACCTACTTGTCAAGTCTTGTATAACATACTTTTTTTTTTTTTTTGGTTTATGCAGCTTATAAGTGTGTGGGAACTCGTATAAATCCTTCGCAGATACGGCAAAAACACCAAAGCACGTATGTAATGCCTGTCTTGGTACCTACCTACTAGTAGTAACTGCACTGGTACCGTTCCATAGGCATCGTCGCATATTGTCGCATATCGTGCCGTACCTAAACCGAGTTAGGTATGTGCAAGCATCGTTTAGTCGTTAACGGAGCAACAATTGACCGCATAGCAATGCTGTTTGGTTTGTTGGTCGTTTCGTTTATTAGGCCAATAACAGGTACGAAGAAAAGAAAAGGTTCCATTGCAGCGAAGTGCTCCCCCTCCCCGTCTAAAATCCTCCATACAAAAAGCCCCATTACTGTCAATTTTCTGTCATTTTTTTTTTTGCGTTTGTCGTCTGTCAATCAGCAGCCCTGCAGCAGGGGCCGTCAAAAAGGGCCCTGAAAAATGGCTTTGTTGACCAGTATATTATGCCGTTCTTGCGATTAGGCAGAGAGGCTTTTAAGCGAGTCCACCAATCATTTGGTCTCTTTTGGATCTTTTTCCTTCTTCCTTCTATCTCGCTTTCTTACTTTCGTCGTGCCGAGTGGGATTTCTTGGGTGTGCGTACGGACGGAGTGTTGGGCGGTATGTAATACTACCCTATCATACTTTGCTCTGTAATACCTACAGCGTGACATGCGGAATAACAGGGAGTTGTACTGCTTTAGTACGCTGTCACGTACATGAAGGATCACATATTCGCCTGCTGCGTCTTCGGTAGTGGACCGCTATGTGTGTTGCTTCGTCACTGCTACACACAGCACCAGGGGAGCAGAAAATTGTTTACTGCAGCAAGCAATACTACTTCCCAAGCTCCCCCCTCTGTCTCTCATACAACAAGGGGGGTGTGACAGTGGAGAGAGGGTGGGCAGTATAGTTCCTGAAGCTACTTTTTTTTTCTTCTCTTCTTGTATACTTGTTTCAAGCTTCTTCTTTCTCTAGCAGCGCATGATTTTCCTCAATCGGCTGATTAATAGTGACTTATCACATTTCAAACTGTTTATCAGAAGGGCATGTCGTATATGAAAAAGACATGCATATGCCGAAAAGACGAAAAGTGATTACTCTTCATGCTAGAAGAAGGTGGTGGCAGTGGCGATAGCAAATACAGAAACGGGCCGGATTAGCCATATGCATTCCTTCAAGCAGGAGAGAGAAGAATCCGCCAACCAAGGCAGTGGTCCCCCCAATAGCCGCGGCCAGCAAGGCAGGGAACAAAGGTCGGAACAAAGGTCGCTACCCGGTGGTTGGGTCTTTGGGTGCGTGAGCCCGGATGCTTGGAAGCCGACTTGCCTGTATGGAGCAGCTGCGCAGTGACAAGGTGCTGATAAAAACGCACAAGTGGGCACCATTGAGAGGATGCGAGAGTCAAAGAGGAAATATAGACCTACCTAGGTCAACTGGATGCACAGTGATAGCAACAGCAATGAACACACTCTGTAGGAAACAGAGCAGTAGCTTGCTTGGAAGCTTGCCGAATGAAGGTAGGCTCTCTTTGGATGATCTTCTCCCGCATGCGCTGGATCTCAGGCGAGATTAGCAGCGTGATAAGCAGGCGCTGACGCAGCTCTGTCCATACAAGAGCACAGCCATGCCCGTACGGGACATCGTGAGAGTACAGATGCCAAGTATTTAGCTTCAATTACCGCGGCCAAAAGAGGGGGGAGGGGGGGGGGGGGGCGTGAAGCAACTACAAGAGTAATAGGGACTAATACTGGCCTACTGTGGTCCTAGCGCCACGAATATACATCGTGTCCTCGATCCAGCGGAGGAGCAGATTCCAAGACGCTGCCCATGGGGTATCATGAAAACTGGGAAACTGGGGCTGGGTTTGTTCTGGATTTGGAATCTTGTGTAACAACACTGGCCGTTTTGTGGCGCCGAGGGGCCGCGAGGGGCCGCCAAAGCCCGCAATGCCCGCGCGAGGAAGACTCGAGACAGCAGTGAGCTGGCGGGGAAGCGTAAGCAATGGTCTCGCTGCCGACAAATGAAGTAAATAGATTACCGAGTATGTCGATGCTAATAACATGTAGTAGTATCAGAAGGCGCGGCTAATATAACAGAGGCGGTGGCCCTGCTGCATATGCGCATGCACAATGTTAGCATGGACCACGTGCAGGTGAGAATGATGGCCGCAAGTCGAGGAGGCAGAATATGAATGATGATAGCGCAGGAGCCAAGGAGTGGAGTGGCCTCCAAACAAGGTGAGTCCGTTGGAACAGCATACGAGTGCTTGTACCGCCGTCGTAGCTGCAGGCAGTAGTAATATACATGGCTGGGTGGTGCTACTCCCATGTAAGCCGCCTGCATAAATGGACAAGGGACTCGCCCATCGGCCCAGGCTGGCGGGAAACCTTGACACGAAAGAAGGCAACGGCTGGAGAGAAGATCCGCGGCAATGGGCCACAGGGCAAGCCGCTCAGCTGACTGGCGTCAAGATGTGCAATGCCGGAGCACGTTGCCAAACTTGGCGTCGAATGCTACTTGGCGCAATCAACCTGTACCTTCAACACGAGCGTTGAATGATGGACAGCGAATGGTGTTGGTGACTGTTGCAGGCACATCCGTGGCGCTCCGTGAATGCATGTCATGTTAATCCATGCACCTATTAACTTTGTTTGTAGCACGACGAGGTACGGAGCAGGTTTGTATGTATACAGCTTGAAAGTAAGCATCCGACGATGGGTGAATTGGAGTAGACAAAGTCTAAGTCGGCCGGTGGGCGCGGGGAAGGGCGCCAAGTAGGTTATTTGGATGATTTAGCTTTGTGGCTGAATGACTTTGAGCCGACGAGGACGCGGGAGTGGTAGTAGCAACGGCAGCAGTAGTACGTAATACGAAACGAGATACGACAACACTCCCCGACGAGTGATAGACGGCAAGACACGAGTTGGGCCAGATAAGAGAGGAGAGATGTGAAAAGAAGGCGAAAACAAGAACAGACAACGGAGCAAGCTAGGGAAACTCATTGTGTATTGCCATCACCGCAAGCAAGTAGGCAAGCGACGCCACATCTCGCCGCTCTGGTTCTTTTTGGAGAGATTCCTTCTCTACACCCACCCATCTGTGCAAAGAGGTGGAATGAGGGGGCTGAATGTGTCAAGTAAAGTGAGCACTCATGCGTGGTATATGTGTGTGATACCAGCAGGCCATACTGTCCGTGGCTTGCCACTCGGGGGAGCTGAATATCGTTGGCTGATGCTGTGTTACGCCAACGCCAACCCCTATACTGATGGAATATTTCTGGAACTGGAGAAGGGAGCACCGCTTGGGGACGACCACGTGGCGGGCAGTGGGAAGGGTGTCGAAAACAAGGCTCGAAGGAAAGAATCACGCCATGGCTTGGTGGTTAGCAGAAACGAAGTGTAAGTTGGCTGGCGCAGCCACGGATTTCCTTGGCTTGACAGGTACTGTCTAATGTGATTGGCGTGTCGGCATACTTTTCTCAAGGTGGTGTGCTGTGAAGATGGTGGAAGAATCAAGTAAACAAGGCGGATATTGCTCTCTATCTGGGCTATCTGGCCGGAGTTGTTGGTTGATTCTTAGAGGCTGGACCGGGATCCTTATCAGGGCTGAGATGCATTGGGGGAGAAATCGCCAAACGAGGATTTCGTCCGCAAAACCGACACTGCCAATATCAACTGCCTGTGTAGTATTTTGCAGTACGCTGCTGCGGCTGACCTTTATCCACTGTGCCGTCGCGTAAGATTCACCTTTCCTGAGATTGCACCGTCGCGAAGATGGTACGAGCTCGTTGCATTACTCGCGAGCCTGAAAAAGGCCTTACTTGTAGGGCAGTACATGCCAGCAGTGCGGAGTGCCAGGGGCTTAGAGCCTTGTCCAGAGATGATCCATGAAGTTTTGTGCTGCCCTGATCATCTGCCGTTGGTTCTCGTACAAGTCTCAACCGAGACGGCATCAGCGATAAGAGGCAAGGGCCGTGCGTTTGGGGATCGAGGCACCCATGGTGTGGCCCCTTGACGATTGGGTTCTATGGTCATCATCACTCCGAAATCCGAGCCCAAACACATGATGCAACGCTGCCGATAGAGTAGGTGTATGCGGTAGTGGCGAGCAGATCTTTCAATTCACAAGACGAGCAAGCAAATGCACTGGCATTCGTACACGTAGCAGCATTTGGCGTCGACAAGCAGAGACAGAAGACAGAAAGAGGCGGTCTTCAGCGGAACATTCCTCCGGCCCCCCTTGCAGCCAAAAGAGCGGCGATGCCGGGACGGGTGAATAATAATCTGCAGCAGCAAGGCTTGGACGAATATGCGGATGCTTCGGTGAGGCAGGGCTGGCCACCGATGGGCTTGTGCGGCCCCAAGGCAGCAAAAGTCGTTTGCAGCCAGCACTTGCTTGCGACTGTGATGCTGTAACCGTGATAGCCGCCGCTACGGCCCTCCTGGTGCTACCGCTTGGCATCCCATCGGACTTGTTACCGCATATTGCATCTTTGCCAGGATCGGCATCCCATCCTCCACGTGCGCGGGCAGAGTGTGGAGAGGCAGCAGAGGAGCCTGGAGGGAGCCGGCAATGACTGAGGCTGACATAACGAAGGCCACAACGGAGGTCATGGCCGTATTGGGCCCTACCAGCTGGTTTTGCCTCTGATTGTTGTTGTCTTGCCCACGCCTGGCATTCCGGATAGAGCAGGTGTTGGAAGCTGAAAATCCTACCTGTCGAGTGCTAGCAGAACTAGCGGGATTAGCAGCAGTGCTAGCCTGAGGAACAAGAACGGCGGCAATAGCCAGCAGCAGTGGTCGCGTTAGGCATTAGTGGTGGCAGTAGTGGGCTGCACTGTTTGCAGGGCTGCATTAGCGACTGGTTTCCCTACTCGCGGTGGTGCATTAATAGCATCGCGAGCTGAACAATGGGAGGAGAAGAGGAAGAAGGAAACAGAGCGATGAGGGGTTCTAAATATGGAGCCCCCATTATATCACACCTTAGGTACTGGAGCGTCTACCATAGCTATACTTAGAACCGCACTTGTATCGGATCAATACTTTATGCTCAGCTACGGACCTGCAGGTTTCACAGTGTCTCAGGGACATTGGGCGGAAGCCGCGCGGGTCCATCCTATCGCAGCCTCTGCCTTACCTGCTGCGCAGTGATCTGCGGCTTCCCAATCACTAGCAGCGCGGCATTTTTCTGGAAGCCTCGGGCGGTAGCATTTCTCCACCGCCTTCAAGTTTTGGTTGATATTTCTGGCTTCTAGTGCAGCTCAGCCTCAGCCTTCTCTGCCCATCGTGAGGCGAGCAACAGTTGGATTGGCATGCGGCTTACCCACTAGCAAAAGCTGAGATGCAAACGCATCTGCGCCGAGGAGGAAACATTTACGGAGCAGCCCAGCAACGAATCCCAGTCTGCTCGACTGAAGCGGCATTTGCACTAAACAATCCGAGTGGAACCGTCCTCATCGTCCCGTGTTTGGCGTCATCTTATCACGTACTTGTAACTTATTGCTTCCACTATCTACAAGGGCTAACCAGGCCTATTCGTGCCCAAAGCGCGCTGCTAGGTGATCGGCCTACCCGAGTACCTTGGTGGCCAGCGGCGAGTACGAAGTCAGCGCCTTACAAGCGTCCGTCAATGATTTGTAGGTATGCGCCAAGTAGCTATGTGGAGAGAACAGCACGGCGCATAGCTCGCGGCGGCAGCGGAGTGGGAAGTGCAGCGCAAATTCTTCATGCTTGACGCTTGTGCTGATACGAAACTACCTTACGTACCAAGGTGTTTGTTGACTCGTGCCTGGATGCCCTGCCAAGTACCTAAGCACTGCATACATGTACTTGTATGTTGATGGACACAGCCAATGATGCTCTCAACAGTCAGCACTTGGCTGCTGCAATCAGATATGGCTGCCAGGTACAGGCTGTGAATGGTATTATCAGCCCCATCTCCAACCCCGGGCTTCTTTATTTTTGACACCTTGCAGGATTTTGGCTGCTGCAGAGCGACTTGACTGCAGGATTGGTGGCTGATAGGGCCAGCAACGCATTGCATGGCTTTCGCATGTCGCATGACTCTACTTTACATCTATGTTTGGTTTTGGGCGTGCTTGGATTTGCCTCCATGCCGCGGAACTAGTACCTGCCAAGCGGCAGCGCTAGACAAACCCGCGCCCTCTGTGGCCTTGATTTGCCGTTTGATCTTATTTCTCTGCTGCCATCATCGGCGCGGACATCAAGCCGCCAATATTCTAGCTGCAACATCCGCCATTATGCCGCCGTGAAGAGTGGTCGCCAACGGGACTCATGGACTCAATGTCGCCGTCCCATTGGCCTGGCCGCCCAGATTAGACCCCCTTCAGCACATGTCTCGCCTTTCCCTTCTAGAAGGGCGGCAGAAGCAACTGGCCAGGGGTCCCCTCCCACGCTGTATCCCGCAGCCATGGTGAGATGCAGGGGCCAACGAGCTGGTAATTTACGGCTGTCCCTTGCGAGGTCAGGCGACGAGGCTGCTGGCCCTCTGGTTGGCCGTGGCCTCTCCGGGCGAGGGCACCATTTCGACAGCGACAGCCATTTTGGCCTTCGTGGGACCCCACACCACCATCCAACTTTACACAAGTCGTTCGAGTCGACAGCCTTTGGCTGCTGGGCGCCAGCGGCTTTTTAGCTAGCCAGAGGCGACTTGTGTTTCAGGACAACATGGGGGCCGCTGGGAGAAATGACACTGTTCCTGAAATGGGGTTTGGTGTGTGGTGCTGGACAGGGGGATGGGCGACACTAATTCGCGGATTCCACGACCTGACCGGGCTATGCCAGTCGCTCAGCAAAGAAAGGATTTGGGATTAGGGGGGCGGATTCATGCTCCAAGCGTCGGGTCCCAGATGTGGCCCTACCGCAACATTGTTGCCCATCCACGGTGCCCCGACGCTGTGGGCTTGAACTTGCACGGGCTGATGCTCTGTCTGGGCTTTTCTCCGACAGATCTTCTAGAAGCCTTCCCCGGCTTTTCGACCGTTTGTTGGCTCCCCCTCGCCATTTGTTCTTCTCCCCTTGCTCGGCCCTGGCGACGGTGCCTCTTTCCTCTTTGTCGCTCGTTCGTCCAATTTGCCTTCTCGTTTTCACAAACATATTTCCTCACAGGCAGTGCCTTGACAAACTTCTCAACCGACGACTCAATCTTGAGGCGACGCTAATATTTCTCGCAAGTCTGAACCGATCAAGGTCGTACTAATCTGTCAACTCTACACTCTTTGATCGTGAGCGTGAGCGGGACGCGAGACGGGGCTGGACCGAGTTTTTTTTTCTACGCTCATACCAGCGACGAATCCAAGATCTCGTTCTGTCAACCGTCATCGCCGCGTTGTGCGGCGGTTATGCCAATTTAACGGCGAGTGGTAGTACTGAGCTGCCTTCTGACCAATTTTTCTTTCTCCTCCCGGCACACCGCTTCAACGTGTCTGTGAGTAGCGGTCTTTAACCACCGACACGAGCACTGTTCTGTGTGTTTTGCGGCCATAGCTGGTCCGTAGTTTGTCGGTTTCAGCACAACGGCGAACGCATTTTAATTGTCTAATCACAACAATCCTTTCCATCATGTTTCCATACGGAGCCGCGCCTGAGGAGTCTACCGTGCGCCCATTGGCGGATGAGGACCAACAGTTACTCCTCGGGCTTGTTCACAAGTATGGAGCTTCAAGTGTTTTGTATGCCTTGACCGGCTATGGAGAACCATGTAAGTCGTTTAAAAATGTCTCAACACAAGTTCAACTTGAATCTGACTGGATTCAGCTCGTGCGTCTGCGTTCTCTGCAAATACACTTATGAGCAGCGCGAGCGCGTCTTCAATAGCCTGGACTAACTCAGAGGCGGCCTCACAATGCCGATCAGATGAAGCCTCCATTCACACTTCATATACTTGGCCCGATGTTCAGAACGACATTCAACCAGTGCATGATGCAGAGGCTAACAAAGGGACTGAGCGATCATGGCTCGACTCGCCTGTGGCAGTTCCGTCTCCGATGATTCAGCCCCACGACGTTACATCACACCCATCTCCGCGATTAGTGACACCAACCTCCAAAAAGTACCAGTGTCCCATGTGTTATTTGGATAACAGCCCCGTCGGATTTGGCCGAAAGAGCGACTTCAAGAAGCACCTCCACAACTTCCATGGAGCCGACGTTGTCTGGATTTGCCGAACCAAAGGATGCCATCTATCCTTCTCAACTGAGCGTGCTTATGGTACTCACGCCAAAGAAGCTCACAGAATGAAGGCTCTGCCCAACAGCGCTGCTCGCACGGAAATGTGCCCGCAACTTGTCTTCGCCTGTGGCTTTGGCAGCTGTCGCGACCGGTTATTCGAAGCCCATAACGCGGAAGACGCCTCGGCAACACGCGACAAGCATTTCGAACATATTGCCAAGCACTTTGAAGATGGATTCGATGTTGCCAATTGGGAATACCGAGTCCAGGTGCAAAATTTGATGCGCCAGAAGCAAGTGAAGCAGGTTTGGAAGACATGCGTATGGCCCAAGGAAAAACGACAGCAGCTCCACTGGCGAGCCAGATCTTCTGGCGACTTGAAGCGCATACTCGAGTGTCGCCACTTGGGGACCAATATCTCCAGCTTGGTCAGACTGGCTTTCATCCTCGGCACTCCCCCGTTCACAACTAACACTACTCCACCGCCGAACGAGATCGATGCCTACTTTCAACTTCCGTACAGGAGCCAATGCTTACTAGAGACATCCGGGCACTCGACCTTGCCAAGCACCGCTTCAAAACTTGAAGAGGACTCGCCTACGCTCAGCGTCCCCAAGAGCCGCTCAGGCATCTCGAGTATTCCTCAAACTATGCTCAAGCTCTCTACCCGCTCACTGAAACGGGGTACGCGACCCTCAACGCCTGCAAGTGTTATGAGCAATGGCGGCGATACAATCATGGGTGACGACCTAGCGGCTGGCCCGCACCCTGGAACTCCGTTCCCTATCCCCAACGAGACTGTGTGGCCGGCGGACGCTCCCAAGTTTGCTCCGGATATCCCGACCTCCATGCCAAAGCAGGCCGATACACCGCTCTTTGATCCTCAGCAGCTACAGCACCCGCAGCACCCGCAGCAGCAGCTGATGTATACCATGCCGCCGCAGGATCCTTCACAGCAAGCATGGATGGCCATGGACCAGCATATTCCGGCGTTTCAAACACAACATCAGATTTTCCCAGAGCAACCAGAAATGATGAATGGACTGTACGACTATTCGATGAACACGAGCCAAGCTTCTACCATGCGGCCAGCAACACCAACACCTCATAAACGACCAGCATCGTGGAGCCGAATGATCAGCATGGAGAACCTGCGACCAGCCAAGAAATCGACACCTGATACACCACCGCCTGGTATGATAATGGGCATGTGAACGGAATGCATGTCTGTCTGTATACCAAAACTATTTGCCATTGTTATATTCCATCGCCGATACGATCCAGGTAGAGGATCCGTTAGCAAATCGCTCCACTCTTTTATCGACGTTTATATGTATCCTTTATATCCCTTGCTGCGGCTGCTTTCCTGTATTCTCAACCACATATACCACTTTATACTTACCGGACCGGGACGACAATGTACACTTAATTGAAGGGACTGAGGGCGGGGAAGGGGCAAGGCCGATCGAATCGCTTTCCATTTTGTCACTATACTGATACTGAGATACCATTTCATTTTCCTCTCCTTTTTTTTTTTTCCTTTCCTTTCAACATTTTCTTTCCTCTTTCTTTTGCTTTTATGCGGTGGACCGGCGTCGTTCATGAATCACATATACTTACATAGATAAGGTGGGATAGGTTACTATGGCATTACGTGGAGCGAATATCTCTTTTTTTCTCTGTTGCGCTATAGTGTACGAAGGAGGATGGATGAGAGGAGAGGGAGAGAGAAAGTTGGCGGAAAAGCAAATCAAGATACACATGAATATTTAGTTGTACGGCGCAATGTCTGGTGAAAATGATTTTTTACATAGGAGGCCAGGAAGCAACTTATACAATTGACTTTTTTTTTCTTTGATTCGTTCTTTTTTTTGGTAGTGGATGATGCTGTGTGCCATTACTTTATGCTCTACAGCGATTTGCAAGGCTGCGGGCACATGATGTGAACAAAGAATAGCATGGCATTTGGCGTGACAACGAAGTATTATACAGATATCATATGGGAGGCCTAGAGTAATACTACCTACTATGTACCTGCCTAGGTGAGCAGTAATGTGGCGGGAAAACCCTCCTGTCTGCTACGACAAATTCTACATGAAGTGCGATGGCGTCTTTTTTTTCCTATTCCTTGGTAATTAAGTTGTTGGGTACCTCGTACCTTGGACATGCGCGTATCGGGCCGTCAGCTTACTCGCCCTGAAGCCGCGTGTCAGCTCTGTAGGGAGACGGCGACGGAAGGGACACTGTCGGAATTGGGATCCAGGTGTCTCTCATATGCCGCCAAGAGAGGGAAGAGAGGGAAGAGAGATAGAAGTCGGTGAGAGGCGGAGCACATGGCGTGCTATGGCGAGTGAGACATGGAGAAGCTGGACCATTACTTTTGTGTGCAGTAACCGACAACGAATTCGGAACATGCTAGGTATGTAAGTACTTGTAGTAGTAGGTAGTAAGTAGGCTAAGATGAGTATAACGTTGTGACACAAGACCAGGGGTGCGATTGGAGCTGCTTCCTTGACGGTTAGTAATATCATGTAGTAAAATGTTGGCCGGATGATTTTGATAGCCTTTATTGGCTTGAGAGAAGAGAACTAATAACGACTTTGGCCGAGACAACAAGACAGGACGGGACGCGCGAACAAGAGAGAGTCATGCTGGACGTGTCTAGTTTAGGAAAGGGGAAAAAGGATGGTAAGCTTCTCACGCTTACATGGATACAGGTATTCCAAGTCAATGGATAAAAAGTAGCATGCTGTATATACAGAGCAATACGTCGTAGCGTAGAGGTTCGTTGAAGATAGTACTCGTAGCCTGGAGTAATGTGGCGCCACGGACCCTGGACTGAACAAGGCATGGGCGCCTTGTGGCTGGCTTTCGCTGGGCTATAATACTGTCAATTCCACATTGTTGACATGCTATTGCGGGGACTATGCGATGTGCGAGTGTAAATCGTTGACTCACTTTGAAACTGCTAGTCTAATACTGTAGGTATGTAGGCGTACGCAACTCTCTTCTGCTGCTCCATTGACCGACCCGGGACCCGGTTCGGGATCCGGTTCGGGGCTTGATATTCAGTGCCTGTATCCGCAAAAAGAAACAAGAACCTGGAAGTTGTTACGCCATGACGGTGCCCGCAAAGTCCCCAACTCCGCAACTGCAGTGTAAGGTGGCGGCAGTCATCCAATGAATGGCCTGGGCAGTTTTCTTGCCCTGCTGCAGGCTAATGCTGCTCTACTAGTATGACAGGCCGAGGAGGGTCCCCTGTATATTGATGTACAGTAATAAGCGCTACCCACCCAGGAAGGAAGCCATTATTGATTGACACGTGCGCGCTCTAAATGGGAGACATCGGATGTCGAGCGCAGAGCTTGTGCAGCACCAGGCGTCATGTACCGCTCTGTCTGGCTGACTTTAGACGGCTTCAATATTGCTGGTAGCGCGCAGTCACTAGCAGCAGATCTGCCCGGCATCGCCCTTGTGGTGAATGACTCCAACCTCATTTTCCGACCCATCGTCGCGGCCTCTCTATTTCTTTTTTTTTTCTTCCAACCCGGAATCCTCTTTCGCCACTCCTCCATTTCCCCGCGATATCCTGCAAATTCTTTGCAGAAGAGAAGCGAATTCTACTGCGCACGTGCAAAGACTCTTTGCGTCATCTCTTTTCAATCTCTCCCTTCTTTTCGTTGGAAGCAAACGCTTTCCCTCTCTTTCTTTCTTCGTCTCAGTCTCTTTTCTGCCAGGCTACCTACCCACTATAGCTCTGCCCTCGATGCTCCGAAGTCGCCAGGCGACATTCAGGGCCGCAAAGGCCCTGCAGCAGGCTCGTGCCTTTACGTCCACGACGACGCCCATCACCGTGACGGCTCAGAAGAAGGTTCCTACCGGCCAGAGGAATCAGGCGACTGCGAGCGCCGCGCCGTAAGTGCAATTGTCTTGTTTGCGCTGTGGTTTTGTGTCTTGTTCTGGAGCGTGCACTCGGTTATGCATGTCAAGGACCAGGTGTTCTTACTTCCTTCGCGGCTCGTCGCCGATGACCGGGGGGCTCGACTTCTGGACGAGATGGCTGCAGAATTGGTTACGCATTCTAAGATGGTGTCCTTGTGGAATCTGGGCAATTCTTTTTCTGTGTGAAAAACATTGGCTAACGATGATGACTGCAACAGACAAGTTCGCCCCGTACCGAGCCCTGCCTTCAACCAAGAAGACAAAGACCGAAGCCATGTGCAGCCTCTCGTCAACACGCGCAGGCCTGATATGGATGAATCGTATGTCAAACCATCTATTTTACCCGGCTGCGTTCTTGCCACGCGCCACGCGATGCATTCACATGGCAGAAAAATAATAATATCATGCCATTCAATCTACATGTCAATTGAACTCTTTCTAATTGCTCCCTTCTTTATTCTAGATTCATTGGCAAAACCGGAGGAGAAATCTTCCACGAAATGATGCTGCGACAGGGGGTCAAGCACATCTGTAGGTTCCGATGCCGGCAGCCCACCTAGGGCTCCATCAACTCCATCTAGGCAGCTAAACAATTTCGCTAACTCGAGTCACTTTCTAGTCGGATATCCTGGCGGTGCTATTCTCCCAGTTTTCGACGCCATTTACAATTCAAAACATTTCAACTTCATTCTGCCCCGTCATGAGCAGGGAGCCGGCCACATGGCCGAGGGCTATGCCCGCGCATCGGGCAAACCCGGTGTCGTCTTGGTGACTTCTGGCCCTGGTGCTACCAATGTCATCACGCCCTTGCAGGACGCCTTGTCGGATGGAACTCCCCTGGTTGTCTTCTGCGGCCAGGTCCCCACTTCAGCTATTGGCAGCGATGCGTTCCAAGAGGCAGATGTCGTGGGAATCTCGCGTGCTTGCACTAAGTGGAATGTCATGGTAAAGAGCGTTGCTGAGCTGCCACGGAGAATTAATGAGGCTTTCGAGATTGCCACTAGCGGCCGCCCTGGCCCTGTTCTTGTTGACCTGCCCAAGGATGTCACAGCTGGTATCCTGAGAAGAGCCATTCCCACGGAGACTGCTCTGCCCTCTCTGCCCAGCGCCGCCTCTCGCGCCGCTATGGAGCTGAGCCAAACGCAGCTCAATGCTTCCATCAAGCGTGCTGCTGACCTCATCAACCTTGCTAAGAAGCCCATCATTTACGCTGGCCAAGGTGTCATTCAATCTGAGGGTGGCACTCAGCTCCTAAAAGAGCTGGCTGAGAAAGCTTCCATTCCTGTCACCACAACCCTCCAGGGTCTGGGCGCATTTGATGAGCTGGATGAGAAGTCGCTGCACATGCTGGGCATGCACGGCTCAGCATATGCCAATACAGCTATGCAGCGAGCTGATGTTATCATTGCTCTTGGCGCCCGATTCGACGACCGTGTCACCCTAAACGTTGGCAAGTTCGCCCCTGCAGCCAAGCAGGCTGCTGCTGAGGGCCGTGGTGGTATCATTCACTTTGAGATTATGCCTAAGAACATCAACAAGGTCATCCAGGCAACAGAGGCCGTGGAGGGTGACGTTGGTGTCAACATGAAGCTCCTCATTCCCCAAGTTAACAAGAAGACCATGTCCGATCGGAAAGAGTGGTTTGGCCAGATCAATGAGTGGAAGAGGAAATGGCCTCTGTCACACTACCAGCGAGCTGATCGAACCGACATGATCAAGCCTCAAACTGTCATGGAGGAGCTCAGCAATCTGACAGCAGACCGAAAAGAGGAGACATACGTTGCTACTGGTGTCGGCCAGCACCAGATGTGGGTGGCCCAGCACTTCCGCTGGAGACATCCCCGATCTATGATCACCTCGGGTGGCCTGGGTACTATGGGCTATGGCCTTCCTGCGGCTATTGGTGCCAAAGTGGCTCAGCCTGATGCTCTCGTCTTTGACATTGACGGCGATGCTTCCTTCAACATGACCCTGACTGAGCTGTCGACCGCCGCACAGTTCAACATTGGTGTCAAGATCATTGTCCTGAACAACGAGGAGCAGGGTATGGTGACTCAGTGGCAGAACCTCTTCTACGAAGACCGATATGCACACACACACCAGAAGAATCCTGACTTTATGAAGCTGGCTGACGCCATGGGCGTGCAACACCTGCGCGTCACCGAGCCCGCTAAGCTGGTTGATGCCCTGAAGTGGCTGATCAAGGCCGAGGGCCCTGCTCTCTTGGAAGTTGTGACAGACAAGAAGGTGCCCGTCCTGCCCATGGTGCCGGCCGGATCAGGCCTGGATGAGTTCCTCGTGTTTGATGATGGTGAGTTTGATTTGAGAATGATATACTACGTAATGGATGAAACATGCTAACAACTTCTATAGCAAAGGATAAGAAACGGCGTGAGCTGATGAAGGAAAGAACACAGGGTGTACACTCTTAAAGATGAGATGATCATTTAAGAACCCTTCCTTCTGGTTATTACTTTGACGTCAACAATTCCCCCAATTTTTTTTGCATTATTTCCTGCCACATTGCATCCATGTTTTGTGACTTGGAGTTTGTTATCATTTTCTGGTACACAGGCAGCAAGACTTTTTTATCATGTTGTCCTCTAAAAGTTTATTTGATGAGTGGAACTGAGAGAAACGCCCATGATGGATTGAGTTTGAGAAAGAGATAGTAGGCTCAGAGTTGGACAAGAGGCGACTCGATATGTAGGGGATTGCAATGGCATAATAATTGCCGTGTTTGGCATGTTGAACATGCTGGCGTATCGGTGAATGAATAAAAATAATTTTTATCGGGCTATATACTCTGCAGCAGCTGATCAATTGTGATATCTTGTGAAATGTCCCTCTGATTCATGGTTAGGTTAACGTGCTGTGATCTTGATACGCTGAAATGAAACCGAGTGCTTTGGCTGCAGACGTGTAGATAGATAGGTACGCTATGAATGGCCAAAAATGCAACTCCAGTCCGCTCAAATTAATAAGCCTCGCCAAGGATGATCCAACGCACGCCTGTTGAATGACCAAAGCCGGGCGTAGCTAGACTAGTTTGTATTCAGCCTCATTTTCGAGCCAGTAGCAGTTAGCGACAAGGAGGTACATGACCTGGTAGCACTCGCTTAGCCTCAATGAATCGGAATCAATAATAGGGCTGGTTCATGTTTCCCCGCGTCGGCGATCATCCATGACGACTTGGACTTGTCAAGCTATTTGAAATCTAATGTTTTGTTTACTTGAATTGTTCTGAAAGCATTTGAAGCCAGCGGTTTTTTGTATTACTTGATTGATTTCGATGAGTTTGATGAGACGTTATGAGTGAAGGTGGTTACGCTAGATTGGGGGAGGATACGTCGTCGGTGAAGGATGTTGTTGATGCCCGGGAGGGAATATGTATGTTGACTTGATGCCTGTTTAGTTGGCATGTTTTCTTTGCTGACAATCTTTTTTGATTCAAGCTCTTCCTCTTGACCAAGATGATGACGAAGATATCAGCAGCGAGGCGAGCACGCTGTTATCTAGCGGGGTTCCATCACATCCCAATCACCAACTTCATCACAAACATCAGAGACAGCAGTACCACCAAGACGCGGAGAATGAAGAAACCAGTCCTTCGCGGACAGGAGTCTTAGCAAGGATCTTTGGAGGAGAGGTAATTTTGAGGATAGGGCTGTTTGCGGGCATGGTGGTGGTGGTATGCTTGGCCGTGGTGAGGTCCATGGAAGGGGAGTTTTCGCCGGGGCTGGTGGCGGGAGGGGGGTTGATGATGATTATGTGTTTGGTGGTTGGGAAGAGGGATCTTTGGAGGGGAGGGATGGCGATTGGGTGAGGCCTCAGTGGAGATTGTGATGATGATAGAGATGGATTACAAGCATATACGAGTTCATAGATGTTTTGGGTATCTGGAATGTTTGTTTGCTGAGCGGATAGTTAATCAGGGTTGATATTTGTGACCTGTGCTGATTCTCTAACTATAAGCATACTCTGGTAATAGCAGTGCGGCCTCCAACTGCAGGGGCAACGGCAGACTGAATGGCCATTGATACTGAGTCGTAAATCTGTTGGATCCAAGGTAAAATGGTAGTAGTACTACGGCAGCTCACATATATGTTGTACCACTTACAAGGAAACCTGCCCTTCTTCGTCCTGTGAATGGTCCTCAAAGCGATTGGCAAGGATCTCTTATACGAGATTTTATCCTTCATGGAGTACAAAGAGGGGGGTCTTGATGATTATACTAAACGGGCTGAGAGTTGTGCTGTTGAGGCGACAGACTGCAAAGTGATAATGGTAGTACAAGGTCAAGGTGGAAAAAGGGGCGCGAAAAGACAGAAGCTCGGATATTTTTGTTATTGTGAAACTATGAGCGATGGCTAGGTTTTAAGTCGGAATTCCTGTGTTCTCCTTCTTCTCTAAATGTTTCTGTCGCTTTCTTTCCCCTTCAAGAGACTGGATATTCCTCGAAAGCATATATTACTCGAAAGATGTTTGACAAAGAAATACGAGCCCAATATCCAGCAGCCATGAGCTCATACTTGATTACGCTTGTCACAGCAGCAATCTCACTCGCAGCAATCTCTGGTGCTTCGCAATGCTACTTGCCTGATGGCCATCTCGCCGGCGACTATGGCTTCAACTTCGAGCCCTGCAACGGAAAGAACACGACATGGCAGCAGTGCTGCTTCCCCGGAGATATCTGTACTCGAAACGGGCTTTGTATGTATTTCGGAGACACTGTTGACAATACGTATTCTATGAGGGCTGGCTGTGTGAATGCGGACTGGTCAGGATGTCCACAGATCTGCCTCAGCTGTAAGTATTTAGCCGTCTGTTTATCTTATTCAAACAATGGATGAATGGAATAGCGAAAGCAAAAACTAATATGACCTCGATTGATATCTAGTTTATCCCAATTCAGAAATGCCAGTCAAAAGATGTGCTACGGGGAAGTACTGCTGCTATGCGAATGATCATAGTGACTGCTGTTATGATGGGAGTGCCCAGTATCATCTCTCCGACAACTCCAGGGCGAAGACTGGAGCTGATACTTCTGGTGAAGTTGGCGGTAAAAAGAACAGGGCCACGATTGGAGCTGTCGTTGGAGGTGCGTTGGGCGGCCTTGCGTTGATTGGAGGTGCAGTCGGCGTGTGGCTGTATCTGAGGAAGAAGAGAAATATGCGTGAGAAGGAGTCAGCTGCTCAAAATGAGATATCGGGCCTACCGGAGACGAAGCAAGTCTTGGAGATGGGAGCTGATTCGGTGACTGGACAGAAATGCACGGCTGAAGCTGATATGAAAGATCATCCCACGGTGGTAGAGATGGATTCAACGGTGGTCTACGAGTTGGGGGCTTAGTCGATGTCTTGCCTGGGTTATCTGTCATGTCTGGTCCATAGATTTTTAGAAATACATAAGAGGAGGAAATATTAGGTATACCTTGTTATAGGTACCCATACGGTAACGGGCTATTACAAGATTATAACCACTTTGCTTCGTCTGATCCCAAAGGCTTCGGCATCTCTTCCCACCCAACCTCGCACCCCTCAACACTAGCACTATGCCTTACTGCAGTCATCTTCCCAAATGCAGTATCCCTCGTCTCAAAGTATTCTGCCGGCACATCTGCCTGCTTCACAAAATCCTGGCTCTCAAAGCCCGTCTTACCTGGATACTGTCCTAGACTGCGTAGATACTTCATCACACCCGCCAGCGAAACGTCTACAATCCAAGAACCCCCGACTTGAGACCGGTTGTATAGCGCGGCCATGACGCCGGTGGCGAGGAGGTAGCCGCCCGCATGATCGAGAGCCTGGCATGGCATGGCACGAGCTGCTTCGCCCGCGCCAAAGTGCTCGGCTTCAGAGACGTTCATCCCAGAGCATGTCTGGACTAGAGAATCGAACCCCCGACGCTGAGACCACGGACCGGAGGGCCCAAAGGCAGAAAGATTGGCACAGATGATGTTCGGATTGATCTTTTGGAGTTCCTCTGGAGAAAAGCCGTAGGAGGCAAGGCTGCCCGGGCGATACCCCTGGATGAAGACGTCGCAGGTGCGCAGCAGCTCCAAAAGGCGCTCTTTTTCATCTGGATTGTGTATGTCAAGCCGGACGGTACGTTTGCCGCGGCTGAGGTCCCTATCGAGTACTGGCTGGTTTGGCAGATTCGGTGATGTTACCCATAAAACATCGGCACCGTGAGCGGCGAGTGTCTTGCCGGCCACGGGGGCGGCAATGACGCGGCTCATTTCGAGGACTCTGACGCCCTGGAGGCAGCGGCTGTTGCTTTTGGATGCGGACAGGCTCTTTGGCGGTCCCTGGGCGAGCTGCTTGACGAGAATGGGGTTGTTGTCTATGGCTGTGGACTGAGGATGGGCGTCCCATTCGCTGTATGAGCGTAGCGCGTAGATGGCGAGCTTGCCCTTTTCCGTGCCGGCGGTTTCGAGATCGACGCTCTTCCATTGGGCTACTTTGGCGGCGACATCTTGACGGGAGGCATCCGGTGGTAGACCAAGGAGTTCAAGGGTGCCGAGCGCATGGCAGGGGAAGTTGTCGTGGATGCGAACGTAGTCGTCTGCTGTTTTGTGCAGGCCGCCGATGGATCCCCAGGGATCTTCAAGGGGCTGTTTATCGATGTCGTAGAGACGCTCTGATTTGAATTCCACCAGAGCGTGTTCCAGAGGAACGCTCACACGAGGTATAGATGAGGGAGGTGAAGATCGTGTGCTGTGCAAGAGAGATGCTGACAGGGCTGAGAGGGCGATGGAGCTCTGTGCGAGGTGACCGATCTTGAAAGATGAGGGGATCGCTGGAGCGGCTTGGTGGCCTGGGAGGCTGAGAGATGAGAGGGCGTGAGGGGGGAGATGGAGGCTGGTCCAGATGTCTTTGACGATGTCGGCTGCTGAGAAGGAGGAGCGGTTGATGAGGTTGTTTGATATGGACATGGTGAAGGGTGGCTGCTTATACAACGGTTGATGACAGGTTTCGCCTTTTCGCCGCCTTATTACACGCTTTGATAACCATGTATTTCTTAACCACTATAATTTTATTTCATGTGAATGGTATCATATTGTTCTAATCGCAGTTGATTTGTTTAAAAGCTGCGCCCTTGTGATGATCAGCTCGGGCGGAGTAAAGGAAGAAGCAAGATCAAGTGCCAAACCGAGTGTGGAGTTAAATCCCGACACTGAGCCTTTTAGCTTCAACCGCCACCAGCCGAGGCTTCAACACATCACGTCTTCAATGCTGTGATACAGCTGCAGTAAATGTCGAATGTCGCTTTTCGTAGTATTATCATATACAATTAGGTATATACTCTATTCTATCCAGAAAACGAGATTCATGTCTGCACGCTCTCTGTCTCATAAATGCTGCATTAATCCACCTCTAGCTTTTCGTACCTTGTGTCTCTTGAACCCCAATTCTATCCGTGGTATCATACCCATTGCAATGCTTTCATACAATAAACAGAAAAAAAATCAATCAAAAACCGCTTTCTCCAAACAATTCATGCGTCCATCCAGTCAGTCGTTCTTTTGAATCCAGAATGAAAATTAAGTAGAGTAGAGTTGAGTTAGTTGGCTGCTGCTGCTTCGCGCTCTGCCTGCGCAGCCTTCTCATCGGCTGTCAATTCCGATGCTGCTTGACCAATCTTGATTGTCAACACCAACATCAACGACAAGCCGGCCATGGCAACACCAATCCAGAAGCCAATCTTGTATTGCTGCCGTAGCGAGAGGCCCTCTGGCAACTTCCGCCTGTTTGCCTCGGAAATAGCCATCTCGGCAATACCCAGCCAAAACGCCAGGCCGAGATACAAGAGAGTATTGATAAGACCTCCAGCAGTAGCCTGGAGACGTCGAGGCATGGATGTCGTTATAAAGACGTTGGTGACGTTGTAGGTAATGTCCACGCCAATGGTGCCGCATACCATGGCAGGGAAGATGTACGCCCAGTAGAGGAAGCTGGTCGAAGGATGGCCGTCGACGCGGTCGGGGATGATGGCAAAGAGGAGGACGGAGATGAGGAAGCCGACGCTGGAAATCATCATGAGGATGCGGTTGGAAATCATGTGCATGACGAAGCCACCTCCGACGGCGAGGCAGACGCCGCCAATGGCTAGGGGGGTAAACCAGGCGGCGGTGAGAATGGGAGTGGTGTTGAGCACAGTCTCGATGCTGGTGAAGGTTGCTTGTTAGTGATGTTGACACTTCAGGAGACGATAAGTGCACTTACTAGTAGCTTGAATAGAACAGGTACAAGCCGAATACACCGTATAGGCAAAACAGAGCCAGAGACAACCGTTTCATGTACTTGGGGCGGAATAGATCAGCCGGGAGAAGTGGTTGAGCAGACACCCAGCCCTGTGTATAAACGCCTGCAATGAGGAAGAGCATGCCGATGATGAAAGTCACATAGATGTAAGGTGTTTGCCAGCCATGAGGGGCATGTCCTCCATCTGTAAATGCAAAGACAACCAGAATCAAGCCAGGCACAATGGTGCAGAGTCCCCACCAGTCCATTCGAATAGAGTCATCCTGCTCGTGAAGGTTTCGTGGAACAGTCAAGAATCCAGTAACAGCAATGCAGAAGACGATGATGGCACCGATCCAAAAGTACCATCGCCAGGTCATAAAGTCGGCACACACAGCTCCCAGAAAGATGCCAAAGTAGAATCCCAGACACGCAAAGGCACCCCAGATGGCAAACACCAGATTCTTTCGAGGGCCAGGCCGGTACGTCTGTCCTAGGAGAGCCAGACCGGCGGGCGTAAAGGCCGAAGTGCCAATGCCCTGAAGGGCTCGGCAGATGATTAGCATGATGGTGTTTGTGCTGAAGCCGCAGACGAGCGACCAAATCATGAACCAGATGTGGCCAAACAAAAAGACAGAGCGAGCACCGTAGATGTCGCACAATCGAGAAAAGGGCATCAGAAACGCGGCAGTGGTGAGGTTGATGACGCCGGCGGGCCACGTTCGAGTGTTCTCGGGGATGTTGAGGGCGTCTGCCACGGGGGGCAGGATGATGTTGAAGCCACCAATGAAGTACTCGCTCATGGTCATGGACAGGACGACGGTCATGATGAAGCCGACTTCTGTGATCCAGGACTTGAGGACGGCTGGGCGGGCGCGGCCGAGGCGTTCCAGCTCGGCCTTGTCGGGGAATTGGCTGAGGTCTGAGGAGGTGCGGCCGGAGATGACGCCGCTTTCGAGGCCGGCGAGAGGCTCTGGCTGGCCCATTTTGGAGTTTGGTTTTCTTCTCCTTCTTTTCCTTTTCTTCTTGAGTCTCTAGTGATGTAGATGATAAGATGAGAGAGGATAATTAGGCCAAGATTGAGGAAAGACAGAGCTATCCACTCTGATTTGAATAAGAGGTGTAGAGAAGAAGATTGACAGTCAATGTGTCAACTGAGTTCCCACAACATTTCTCGAATCGATTTCCCTGGGTCTTATTTTATAATTTTCCCTTCATGTTCAAATCCATTTGTCATCTGTCATTTGAGCCCTGTTTATTTCTCCACGTGGGAAAAGGCAAAAAGGCAAATGGTCCTCAAGAACTGAATCATCCAGCAAAGAAAAATATCGAATACGGGGGGCCGTGAGCATTTTGTGGGGGTTTTTTCTTGTCTAATCCTTTGCGGAGAGGCGTTTTGCAATTTTTAAGCTCTATGGGTCATGTTTCTCTGCGAGTGTGGAGTCTTGGCTGCCAGTCTGGGATTTGGTAAAGTCCATATCGGGGCAAAAACGGGCAACAGAGACGCCAATGGATGAATCACGCCGTTTATTTGACCTGTTTTCTTATTTTTGCCATGTTCTTACAGGCTTCTGCCTTTAGCTCCGGTGTTGGTGGGTGGTGAAAAGGGGGGTCCGGTGGGTGTCATAGATCTTTGATGTTGTGGCGAATGGACTGACCTCATGGAACATTCCCGATAGGCCTAAAAGGAGTCTACGGCGTCTACAATAGGCAACAGAAAGACAAGTGTCGCTTGACTGTACGTATCAAGCCTCCTACTGTATGGATTAGAGTTGACTCAACAGATACTGTAGCATCCATGGCAAAGAAGAGAATTCGTCTAGACTTGTTCTCTGGCCGTGTGAGTGGCTCCGGATTTTACTGGCTTTTATCAAAAACGCCCGAGTTGCGTCTTGGCTGCCGCTTTGGGGCAAAGCCTAACAATCCAACGGCCGCTAAACTTTTTTTCTTTCGGGTAATAAGCTGCACATGGTGCAGATGGCGCTGCTGCAAGGGCCATTGATACTGATTGATAATAGAAAATCGTGAAAACAATGAATGTCATCCAATGGGCGTCTATTATGATTGGGACTTGGAGTCTCGGATTAGACTGCACTGCCATTGTGTTTGGAGGACATCCGAGGAGGAGGATTTGGAGAGAGGTCCTGATGAGGAAGTTGGTTGACATTTTGCATCGGAAGAACTGTAGTGTGTTGTGCCGTTGGTTGTTTGCATTTAAAAGTATGGTCTTTGAGATTGAGTTTCATTTGTCATGAATCAATTGATTACATGGGAACTGATTGCATCAAACTTGATTACATGAAATCTGATTACTTATAATCAGCTGTCACAGTCATCATTGCAGACTATCGAAAAGCTTGAATCAACTCGAATCGGGTAGATTCGGTAGATCGCCGTAGGGCAGGAGGTGCGTATTATTTTCTTATTAGTCAAGCGCCACATCTCTTTTTTGCTAAAATGAAACGTCCAAGACGCAAGTACAAGATAGATATAGTCTTTACAGTAAAGGTTGCTTGTATACTATCATTCTGTATATACCAGCCTCATTGGTCTTGTGCAGCTGCTTCCGTTCTTCTTCTTCTTCTTCCTGTCAAGCGACTATCGAGATACGAACCGAGCGATTGACAGGGGAGCATCTGAAGACAGGCACTGGTACGATCTAACAGCCGGACCTTGATCCTGGTACAGCTTGAAGAGGCATTCAATATCAATATTACTGGGATCACTACCGCCCCGTGTATGATGGTCTGGCAGCTACGGAGCACAATGTGCCCCATACAGCTGAGACAACGGAGCACAACAGTATCTACTTACTAGATCTCGTATCACCCGGGCTTTCAAATGTCTCATCATCATTATTGGCTATAGCCTATATACTTTATCCAAATACGCCAAAACCAGCTTCCATGCCACAGGAAAATTACTCCGAATTACTACATGTACTTGTACACCAACTTATTCACAGTATCGCATCGTTTATAGCATCTGAGACAAAACAGCCAGCAGACCCGCTCCAAAGATCAAGCTGCCCGCCGCAGGAGTCAGCGCATTGGCAGCCGAATGAGGGCTCGTTGATGCAGAGGCAGACTTGGTAGGGCTGCTGCTGGTGCTGTTGGAACCGCCGCCGCTTCCACCGCTGGTGGGAGTAGCAGTGGCAGAAGTGGCGGGAGGGGCGGTGGTAGTAGAGCTGGAGTTGGAAGAGCCCGCGGCTTTTTGGTACTGGCTGACGACAAAATCGACAATTTCGCTGCCGTAACGGTCAATGTACAGGTGGTGGACGGTGACGTTGTTGCCGCTGTCGCAGTAGACGTCGCCGGTGTCGCAGTAGGAGATGATGCGGCTGGCGTAGGACTTGCAGACGTCGAGGCTGGCGTCGGTGCGGTTGAAGAGCTGTTGATGGACAGGAAAAGTCAGCTATACTGCAGCTCGAGAAGATCAGTGGCTGGAGATGTTTCACTTACGCCGTTGTGCACGCTGGTGCCGCGGTCGTACGTTATGTTGGCGACGTGGGTTGGGTCTCCGAAGATGGCAACAGCGACGACTATAAGTGACTGTTAGCTTTTGTGGCTTCTTTCTTTTCAAGTTTATAAGCAAGTATCCTCACCATTGTCCATGATGCTCGTCGACAGGGCCTTGTCATCGATGAATGGGTTGCCAGCACCACCGCAAACGGAATCCGACGAGACTTGGGCACCCTGCAGCAGCACTGAATCAGCATTTCGATGTATAACTTGACCACTACTCAACACCAAATCCTACCTGCGAGTAGCCCAGGATGGCAATCTTGCTGTCCGGACAGGCCTGGCCATAGGCGTTCAGCAGCTTCTGCATGGCCTGCACGCCCTTGCCCTCGGAGCTCTCGTAGTCGTTGAGCGTGGCGGGATAGTCGACGGCGGCAACCTGGCTGCCGGGCACCTTGGCGGCGATCTGGCTGGTGAGATTGCCGGTGACACCAGTTCCGGGGGCCTCTTCACTGCCGCGGGCAACGACCATGTAGAGGCCCTTGGCGCATGTTGGTGCAGAGGCTGCGGTGACGGCGGATGAGCCCGCGGCGAGCAGGGCCAAGGAGAGAGCGAGACTGCGCATTTTGATGCTCTTCTTGTATATATATCCTCCTTTCGATTATTGTTGCCTATGTACCCAGCGTTGGATCGTGATCGTGTGAGGTCCCTGCCGCGAAGAAAAGCCTGCTTGCTACCCCGAGATGAAGAGTTGACAGAAAGGCGGACGATGGAACAGGAGAGCCAGGGAATGCTATTTATTTATTTATTTATTCATAGGATCCCTACACTCTTATGCACATGCAAACAAATAAGCAACCCGCAAAGAAGAGGAAAAGAAAACAAAAGATCCAGTTCTCATTACGTAGCGGCCGAGAAAGAGTCGCAGCCGTGACGGAAGGGAGACGCCTCCCAGGATCCGCGTCCGGGGTCCCTCGCTCCGGGCCATGCCAAACTCGTTGCCTGTGTGCGTCAATAGTTCCATGCCTACCGCTTTCCAACCACTCCGAATGCGACAGTGGCAGTGATTTAGTACTATCAATTCCTTGGTGCTTCCTTAGGCCAGCCAGCCTCAGCCTAGCAGCTATACGAGGGTCTTAGCATCCATGCAATGCCCCGTCTCTCTAGGCTCGAACGTGTGTCAAAGCAACAGCGCCGAGCCCAACTAAGACGAGACGTCTCCAAAAAGTCTCAAGGGCTGATCGGTGTGGCTGCGGCGCGTAACTCTGTTTGGCCCTGGCTTGGAATTTGCTGCTAGTTCCTGCGCCTCGAATCGCTAGTCGGATGGGCGGCTTCTTGTGGGACGGGCTTTTTTCTTTTTTCTCTTCCTTGATCCCTGCTCTCGGTGTCTTGGTCTCGCCGAGGCAACATGAAAAGCTGCGGATTAGCTGCTGAATGGCACTACTACACAGCAACGGTTGGCATCCTTCTTGGAGCTTTCTCCAGATTTGTGGAGATGTGCGTATTGAGTGGGAGTAGATTTTCCCCTCAATCTCAGCTTGCAGCATGGAGCGGTATTCTGCATCTTGAATGCTGACACCCAAATCCTACCACCCAAAACAGCTTACCGTCAATGCGTTTTTGCAGATGAAGCAATCATGAGACATGGCAAGAAATGGCTGCTGCTAATGTTATTACTATTGTAAGCAGTAGGTATCACAATGCAGCGGAAGAATGCCCTCCGTAGCAATGGAAATCTTCTTCTACCACTTGGGAAGGTCGAACAACTCGGCTTTCAAAGCCGTCTGATGCTACCTTGAGGGCGGGGCAGCTCCGATCCTCGTCATGGGCTATTTTCGGCCATCATATGGCTTTTGGGCGTAGATTTCCGTTTCCACATATCTGGGGTACGTCTGTTGATGACCGCTGGATTAGACGCTGGCGCAACACTTCACAGCATTTTTAACCTCCCCCCAGGTCATCGCCTTGTGTCTGTTCAGGCAGAGGACGACCGCAAAGGCGCTGATCAAAAGCCAATCAAAATATTCAGAGGTGCGCAACGCTTCACAGCATTTTTAACCTCCCGCCAGCCAAGCATTTCCCCACATCTTTGCTCTCCCAGTACTTTTCGGCAGGCGCCGTAGCAATATTACAAACAGTCAACACTAATAAACACGCAACTGGTCGATAGACAGGCAGAGTAAATATTGTGTCAAATGTACAGACCCTCTTCGTCTTTACGCAGTCTGTAGGTTATACAGCCTCAGAGCAGAGTTAATGTTTGCTGCGATGATACCTCTGGAGCACGCAACGCAATAATTCCATTTGCTTTTTGGTGCGGCATGTGTATTTTTGCAAAATGCCGGCGGCACAGATCTTGCGCTACATGGTCTCAATATGGCATTTCATGTAAGATATGGTAGTATCATTGATTGTCATTGATCGGAAAGGAGATTAGATATTGGTGGCGTACGCGCAGTGCTACTCTATAGATTACAATAAGATGAAGTGTCAGATCACCCAAGCGCTGTCAAACTGAGCTCCGAGGTAGACCAACAGATTGATGCGCTGCTTTGCGAATACAATTCAGGGCTGCTAGATATACTAACAGCAAATCTCAATGCCTTCTAGTATATGTTGATACAGGATTCAAAACCAAGGGTGCCTAATGGCACAGCGACTTGAAGTAGCAACTTTAGAGGCCTCGGGGAGCTTTAAAATGCTGTGAAGAGCTCGACTGCTGGCTCTGACTGTTCGTTAGTACGTGCAGTAGGAAGCAAAAAAGCATCAAATAAAGATCAATCTGCATTGTGGCACGCCCGCAATTACTACTTGAATTCACAATCCCATACATGATAGGAATCCGGATTGAATCAAAGCGGTACCATTGCTGCGCTGCGATAGTCGTCTCTTTCATCGAAAACCACTTCAAGGGTAGGCCAGCTTGGTGGTTGCAGCCTCAGACGAGTAGCGCGGCTAGTCGCAGCCAATCTAAACACCGGCCAGTGATTCATTCCTAGACTGTTACACTCCTGGGCCGGAGTAAAGAAGGCCCTCGGCTCATATCTTTGATGCCTGAGCCACAGATCAAATCTTCTCGCAGTTCTGTTGCTTTGAATCCGTCTTAAATACATTCTGGGCCTCCCGCATTCACCTCTGGGGAGTTACTTCGGCATATGCAATCTGCGCAGAGTCAGTGCCCACCTGAGCCTCTTGCATCTTAGGCCTCTCTTGTTCCTCCAAAGTGCTGCCTCTTTCCTCAAAGGACACAATAAAGCAAATCACAACACGAACAGAGAAATTTTACAAATCTAAAGGCTGTTGCGCCTATTACAACGCTTCTATCCGCTTTTCGCATCATCTTGCAACCGTCTGTGTGATCGAGCGTCATTCGACTATCCTGAGTCATCCGATCCTAGCCTCGCTCTTGCTTCCATAACAAAACAAAAGGTTCCTTGTCATCAACGCAAAGATCAGTGAGTAGCCACAATCTGGATGCAAAAGACCACGGAGCTCACTATTTAAGCAACCAGAGCCCTCCATTCCCTATTGTTGCATTCTTAAGACCGTTTCATCACCAAGCTGACGCAAGAAAACACTCCGTCTCTCTATTCCAGACAACCTAACAACGTTTGCATCTACGTCGCAGACATTATTTTCATTATGGGAGGCCTAGCTTTTACCTCGGGCAAAGGTGCACTTTGCACTCCCCGAATGCCAAAACAAGTCTATGAAACCACGAAAGCCCGGTGTCAAGAGATCCTTCGGCGTCTATACCACCTGGTGGAATCGCCTCTTGATGGTCCGGGCAAAGCAGATTTTGGAGACATCGATATGTTTCTGGCATCCCCAACACCAGAAGCCTCTACTGGCCTTTACGCGGTCAACATAATATCCAAAGCTCTAGGGGCCGAACGCACTTTGGTTGAAGGCGGTAGAGAAAGCATCAACATCGCTGCAAGTTTCGCTATCCCATGGCCCAGCGATGAACCCAGCAATGCTCAAGATGCGGACAAGAAACACATCCAAGTCGACGTCCGAGTGTGTGAATCAGAAGACAAGCTCCGCTGGATGCTTTTCAAACATGGCCACGGAGATTTGTGGCAAATCGTGGGGTCGCAAATCAGACCGTATGGGCTGACAGTCGATGACACCGCCATGTCGCTTCGAATTCCTAAGATAGAGGAGTCCAACAAAAAGCTGGCCAGGGTCTTTCTGACTTCAGACCCTTCCAAAGTTCTGGATTTTCTTGGCTTGCCCAAGGAAGAATATTGGGACCACCCTTTCCCCTCCGCGGAAGACATGTTTGACTATATTGGTTCCAGTCGGCTGATATATGTCGCCCCCACTGCGTCAGAGCCTGATGCGAAAAGCCTCAAATCAGATGATCGCCGGCGCATGAAGCAGCGACCGATTTTCAAAAAGTGGATGGATGAATTTGTTCCAGAATGTCGGCAATCTGGCCGATTTTCTGAACGAAGACTCACCAGAGAGGCTATCACTGAGGAGGCATTCGCCGTTTTTGGCGTTGAAACAGAATACAAAGCCCGACGCAAAGCGTTCCTCATTAAGCGGCAAAAAGATTACATTTGGAATACTCTCATCAAGGATAGTTTCCCGACCCCTAACCCGTCGGATTCGAGAGCTATTCTTCATAAGTCGTGCAGTGTCAAAGCCCTGAAGGAAATTATTCTCGGCAGCGGCGAGAATTACAGTTTTCCGCTTGACCAAAAGAGTCTCAAGAACTCTGATGGCTTCTACGACATGAAGTACATCGAGGAGTTTATCGAAACACACAAGGACGAAGTTGGGAAGGCAGCTCTTGTTAGACACAATGAGAAATACGCGGAGCATTTATATTCGAAGGGGACTAAAGCGACGATGCAGCCGTCCTAAATCATGTTTGAAAGAACTCTGGGTCGGGGTTAGGCAAAGACCGTTGTTTTGACGCAGAAAGCCTCCAGTTGCATGGTCTGTTTCCAACTTGCAGGTAGAAGATCTACTACCTTACTTTTCTGTACTGATCACATCTTGATCCACAGAGCGCTTGGGCGGCGATGAGACACCCGCTCTTGGCTGGCAGTAGCCTGATGATAAGGGAACAGTGTGCGAGGATAATACGTTGGAATACGGTATGCTTTGTATTTTTGACCTTTGGGCGTTTGAGTTGGTTATTATTAGCACAGGGAAGGTCACGTACGTTTAGAGAACATCATGAGCATGATTTCGTTGGGAAGATTGGGAGCACTTTATGGTTTGGGCGTTTCAAAGTTTTTTCTTCGAGTAAATACTATTTAAAAGAACAAATATTAGCCAAAGCTTTCTAAACTGGAGCATGATTTCATTTAAACTATGGCGCTGAGGCCTTCCCCCCGGATTAACAATAGTGAGAAACTATAACCAGAGTCGCATAAAATTTGGCCGAAGAAGAAGGCAGCCAAGCAAAGTTAGTTTGTATCGCTGGCTCCAGAGGCAGATGTACTGAAGAAGCAAATATGACGCGGCTAGGACTGGCGTGTATCCCAAGTATTCTACACGACGAATTCGACCAAGTTTTGGAGATGAAAGGGCCACAAGATAGAAAAGAATGCGATATTTTAATCAGAAAATGAAGAGCAGGAGGCAAAATTTTGCTCGTATACATCTGAATGCTAGTGGACTTGAACGGCGAAGGCTCCAGACTCAGGGCGTATGTACGCATTGGCTTATCTGAAGAATAAGGTATTTGCAGAAGGAAGAGATACTAGTATTTGCAGTAATGCATATAGTAAGACCAAATCATCAATACCACCGAGAATAAACCGCAATGGACTAGTAATAGCCAGGTATAGAGTGTGACTCAAGCCACAGGACCGCGTCTACGCCACTACTTTTTGCGACTGCGTTGCTCATGCAGCTCCACTTTCAACTGCCATGAGACTTCAGGGACTTTTTTGTTTTTTTCATCCGATGTGTAGAAGCAAAATCAAAATTTTCACTCCACTCCACTTCAGAATGTGTATTGCTACTCGATGCCGGTACTTGTCCATCTTTGCAAGGGACAAGTACTTTGAATACAGAGTCCATTTCCTGTACGAAGTAGAGAAGAACCATGGAATTCACGAGAAGGTAGAGCATGTAGAATTAATTTTAGATTCTTTCATTTTGATAAAGACACATTTTAATACAAGGCACCAAATACATGATCTGGATGGCTTTTTTGACGGCAACTTTATCAAAGAGTGTTACGCGGCCGACTGTTCTCGTCTTTGAAAAGCCTAATATTAATGGCAGTTACCGACGCGCCATGTCCATCGTGGACTTGCTATAAACAAGTTTTTCAGTAAAAGTCTAATACAAAGTACCAGTGCGTAGCAAACGAAAAAAGCAATATAAAATACTGTTCTACCCCCTTCTTTTTTTCTTCTGTCTAACCTCTACCCCCCGTACTGTTTCTCCCACCTCGACTCCTCTTCCATTCTCCTTACTTTTCGAACCATTACCGTTGCCCTTCAACCTCTCAAGCAATGTGGCCTCTGGAGCAAACAGCCCCTGTTGGAGAAGGCAATGTCCTCGTGACGCCTGAGGCCTCGCCTCTGGTCTCGCTCGGCAGAAATGCTCCCAATGGGGGCGGCTTTCGCAGTGTGCGACCACCCCCTGAGGGAGCTTCTGCAGCGAACGCTGCTCCTCTTGCCTGTCCCCTTCTTCCGCCTCCTCCTGTTTTCCATTCCAGGTTCACTATTCGCCGGAGGGATGAAGCTCGTCAAATCAGGCCGCTGCCTCAGGAACGATATCCTCCTCCCACAGCGCCGCCTCCTCGAGCAGTGGCCTTCCCTTCGAGGCCTCTTCCTCGAGTTACATCCTCCCCTCCAGCCTCTCAAACCGGCCCCATCAACCACCCCAGCCTTCTGGGGTCAAATCCTCCTCAACAACCGGCTGCCACGATGGAGCAAAATCCTCAACTCCCGTTTGTTCCCTCGTCGGCGCCGATGATTCGAGAGCAGGAGGCTCTTCGGGTGGGCAATGCCCTTCGCACCGGGATGCCGTTGAGGTCTGACGACCTGAGGCAGCCAAGGCCGTTGCCGTCGCCGCAAAGGCAACCTGATCACCAAGTTGTGCAAGGTGGACAGCTACACCCCTGGAATCTTCCAGGCCGAGTATGATTTCCTTGATTTCCTTGATAGCTTTGATATCTTTGATATCGTTGATTGAGGAATATCTTCTAACTATCTCTCGAACAGGAAGTTGTTCCTTCAGTGCCTGACGATAGTCCTGTTGAGCCACAGTGGAGGACCGGGTGCGTAATACTCGTTTGAAATCCATTAAGAGGCTCTTCTAACGCACTTGTATAGGGAATTTCTTTGGATTCGTGTTGGAGGCAAGAATTTCAGACTGCCGATGCATATTTTATCCGAGAGCTCGTTCTGGTCTGCTCTTGCTGTCTTCGAGCCGCCGCCACAGGGCTGGTCGATCCCTGATGTCAATCATGAGATCTTCACCATTCTCATCGGATGTGTGTATACAGAGTTTGGCTTTCATGGCACTAAAAGTGAATTGAACTTGGTCAAGCTTTGCTATGCATTTAGTCTTGCCAAGAAATGGGGGATGGCGCAGGACCGAAGAAAGCTTCGAGATACAACCTATCGGTATATTGTTCGAAGAATCTTGGGTCATGACCCAAATGTGCCTGAGGACAGCCGCAATCTTGATCACAGTCACTATCTATATCGGTCAGAGGAGTTATATCGTACATGGGAACTTTCCGCGAAGGACAGATCCACTCAAAAGATGCTCGCTAACCACGATATGATTGCGTTGTACTGCTGCGTCATCCCGCAGGATCTGTGGCCGGAGTTGACAGCTCGTTTCAAGAACGAGTTTATACTGCTTCTCCATGTGTCAGCGGCAGCACGCAGAAACTCGGCTGGTGTGGCGTCGGGAGTGGACTACCGTAGGTGGTGGCTTCACTACTACCGCCTAGCAGGCTATCAAGATGCGAGCTGGCTGAGCCCTGATGCGCAGCATCGCCTCTTTGCACCGCTGAATCCTGATGAGGATAAGAGCCCCCAGGAGCGAGCAGAGTTTGCGGCTGCTCGAGCACGTGGAAGCGCGTTGGTGAATGCGTTTGAGGCACAGCAAGCACAAGAGCAGCAGCCAGTCACTCCAGTCACTCCAGTTACAACAGCTACTCCAGTTACTCCAGTTATAACAGTTACTCCAGTCACAACGGCTACTCCAGTCACAGCAGTTACTTCAGTCATTCCAGATACTTCATCTCGTGAGGAGTTCGAAGATGCTCCTGAATACCTCCCCTCAGCAACGCACCACCAGGAGACCCGGCGCGTTCGTTTTGCAGAGTCTCCACAAGTCATCATATATACTCCTCAGATCGAATTGTCGGAGACGCGGCATGTTCGTTTTGCAGAGTCCCCTCAAATTATCATATATACTCCTCAGATCGAATTGTCGGAGACCCGGCGTGTTCAATTTGCAGAGACTCCACAAGTCATTGGAAATCCTCCTCAAATCGATGGGGTCCAAATGCCTAGCCATAATGCAGTTCCTGATCCCCCTGAAGAGGAGACATTCCACGGAGAAGCCGCGCGTGCAGCTTAATGCTACTGCTCTCACTCAGTCTCACGCTAGTTCAGAACTTTGATTTCTTTGAGTCTGATTTACTTCGTCCTCTTTTTTTCTTTTCTTTTCTTTTCTTTTCTTTTCTTTTCTTTTCTTTTCTTTTCTTATGCAATTTCCCCCCCAAAAAAAATCAAGCGGATATACCCGTCCAATGCGAAGCATAGGTGCTCTTATGCTTAACTGTACGAGTTACAATTGAGGATTTACAATTCGCGATTTAGAATATGGCACAGACAAGCCGGCGTCTTAGGCCTAGGTCTCGGAATCTTTTCATTATATTACCAGTTTCGACTAGCAGGACAAATAGGAACTTGGTTTGGTGGTTTAGTATAGAGGATAAGCGGAAAGCTATAGGTGTAAGATATGGAGAGCAGTAGTTATCGTCAATAGCTCAATTTCATTAAGCTTTTTTCAAGATTCGAACACAAAAGTCTAGTTCTATAATGGATGTTCGCGTAGGTAAACAAAATTGACATCAAAGTCTTATGTACTTGGCATAACATTTTAGAAAGCATTATGCCCAAAGCCTTGCGGAAATTTGAGCATCGAAGCAGAGTACATTGAGTGGCAGAAAGTCGACTGCTTTGTGGAAGAAATTTTGGCCTTGATACACTAAACAGAATGGCTTCAACTTGACGTGGTACCACAGGCCTTTGCTCTCGAATCTCCCTCAGTCCACAGTATAGTGGCGTGCTCAAACTAAATATGGCTGAATAATGCTGTCAACTGATCTTCTTAGTATTAATGGCGCCGGTATAGACAAAATAGACCGCAGCCGTTATCTATGACTACATCGACTACCTAGGTAGATATAAGGCGCGCCCTATCACCCCACACGCCCCCAACGACTAGAATCGAAAGCGTCTCTAGCAGACTCCTTTCTGAGCTTAGTTGTTAGTCGCCCCCGCATTAACTGTCCAAGCCCAAGCAAATTTAACAATTGACTCATCGAGACCCTGGGATTGGACTCGATTGATTTGAAATGTCTATATATGCTGAAGTAGTTGCGGTTGATAGCACTGAGGCGAATAATAAAGAGTTAGAGGATAGCCGTTGGCTTTCATTACTCAGAAAGATCTTTTTTAATTAATAATACCGAAGTATAGACCAAGCCAATACCCCGAATTACCACTGGCAATTCTACTTTAACTTACTGTTTAAGCTTTGTTCTAATACCTATTCTAGAATCTGTTGTTTCAATATTCACTTGAGAAACACCATCTACTTCACCAAGATGGCAGAAAAAGTCTTGGAAGTCGCAGCCAATGCTGTCCAAGCAAGATTCCGCATCCAAAAACACATTTACAAAACTCCCCTCATCCCAGCCCGCGTAGCCGGCAAGTCCAACAACGCAAACGTCCTCTTCAAGGCAGAAAACTTCCAACTCACAGGCTCCTTCAAAATCCGTGGCGCGACGTCCAAGCTATCCAGTCACCCCGCTGATGGGAACTTGATAACCGCCTCATCGGGAAATCACGGCATTGGGGCTGCGTGCGCGGCTAAAGCCCTGTCCAGGAGCCTCACCGTCGTGGTCCCTCATACGGTTGTGCCTGCGAAGTTGGCCAAGATCAAGTCGTATGGGGCGACTGTCATTTTGGCAGGCGATGATCCGGGACAAGCTGAGCAGCATGCGCAAAAGCTTGCGGCAGAGGAGAATTATACGTATGTTTCGCCGTATAATGATGCTGGCGTTGTTGCTGGACAAGGAACGATTGCGCTTGAGATTCTGGAACAGAGCGAGACAGTGGACAATGTCTTTGTTGCCATGGGCGGCGGCGGATTGATCAGCGGCATCGGGTCTGTCCTCAAGGCATTCAGTCCGCGCACAAAAGTATATGGCGTTTCTGCAATCAACTCGAAAGCGTTGGCCGAGTCCATGACTGCAGGCCATGTCGTCGAAACTGAGCACAAGAGCACTGTGGCAGATGCTGTTGCCGGCGGTATCGACGAAGACACAATCACGCTCCCGCTGGCAACGTCTGTAATAGACCAAGTCGTCGAATGCGATGAGGAGGAGATCAAAGCTGCGTTGAGGGCGCTTGCTTTTGAAGAGAACATGATTGTTGAAGGTTCTGCGGCTCTTGCTCTGGCTGGCTTCAGCAAGGTTGCGGAGAGTCTCACCAACCAAACCAGCGTCATTGTTTTATGCGGCGCAAATTATGACCAGGGATTAATCAAAAGCATCATCTCGAGCTGAACTGATAGTTGGAAAACAGATTCATCGACTGTACTACTCCAAATATACAATTGATTTAATATTCCCCTCGTCATCCAGATATTCCCAGTGAGTGCAACTTTGGCAAGATCAAACATGCGAATCTTGACTGTATCAATCACATTATTGGCGAATCTAAAAGAAAGCCGAAGCTCGCCACCAAGCTTTAATCGGAATGACCTCCATAAGACTCGAACTTGGCATCGCCAATCTTAGGAGCAGCGACGGTGGGATGCTCTCCTTCTCTTCTCACCAAATCTCGGAAATGGTTATGTTAATCCATTGCTTCCTTGGTCATTCTGGCTGAGGAGGCTTTGGCTCGGGGATCGGCCCATGTGTATGTTTTTACTGCGTCAGGCCCATTGAAGCGTATATCTCGCAGTGCCTCTAGTTGCTCGTGGAGAGCCGGCAGCTCGTCTTTATTAACAAATACCCTCCTTTCGGTTCTACCATGCAGTGTCTCAACCTCTTGGACCGGTACTGCTCGTCTGGGAGGTGGAGAGGCTAGTTTCGTAGCCATTGCCGAGGTGGTACCCGCCAGTGACGGGGTCGCGCCGTTGATCGTTGAAGCCAGTGGAAGGACCGCTCTGGCCATCTGCCAGCTTGCTGAACCCGTATGGAATGTATTGCTGATAATGCGCCGATCCATCATTATCAAGCCAAGCCGTGACGGACTAATGGCCGTTAGATCCCTAGATCTTTGCATCTGTAGAGCTCCCTTGCTTCGATATCTCCCCCCAGTATCCGACGCCATCAGACAAATAGCTGACCTGTTTGTCTCCCGAGGTGAAACCAACAAGCATGTCTCCCCTGTAATGCATATGAGACTCAGCCTTGCCGGGTAACGCCTGGCCGACTAGTTTTCCAGACGCGTCGTAGTGGTATAGATTACGAACAGAATCGTTCCCATCCTTCACAGCAATGAGGTGATTCATGGCGTCATATTCTAGCCTGTTGAATTGGTCGTCTCGGATCAGACATTCATTCTGATTATACCTCAAATCTATCTGCGTTTCGTAACTTGGATGAGTATTGGTAACTCGGGTGAGCCGAGTCACATCTTGAGCGTTATACATATAGTGGGCCACATTCTGGTTTCCGTCTTGGGAAACACTCGTAATTTGCATCAGGTTGTCATAGCTCCCAAAGACAAAACTTTGGCGTTGGGGCTGGAGCCCTTTCTCATTAGGTGGAGGTTGAGGTATAATCGATCAATTGGTCGTATTCATCATATTGAAAGCTTTCCTGTTGCAACAAACTACGGCTGGCATCTTCCAAGCGGCGTGTCTTGACATTGTCTGTTTCATATTAGGTCTGGCTCAGTTCATAGAGCGTTTCATTGCCCTTGGAGGCCGGTTTTCCGGTTTCACGGCCAACATTATCATATGTGAGATGCGTGGCCAAGCTAATACCTTCTTCCTTCTGAGCGCTGCTTGTAGACAGGCGGCTTGTATCATCGTAAGTATACATCGCGTTCAAAGCGCCTTGGACCAATTTCTGAGGCCGACCTTGATCGTCATATTGCATCTTTTGACGTTGTCCATTTGGAGCGATGTAGGATTGCAGCCTGCCAGCCATTGGATAGGCCGACACCGCATACTACTCTGGCCCGTTTTTGATGCAAACGCTCTCTGTCGAAATGAGCCCCGAAAGTAGATAGTCAAGATGGTTGGTGCAATAGAGGTCATCGAACTGTAATGGAGCCATGGATTTAGCATCGTCTTGATAGTTCGTCTGATCGTTTACGCCCATACTGGTCAGCAGGCCATACTTTAATTGTGGCTCATATTTAAAATGGTACGTATCTCCCTTGGGCGGTGTGATTGACGAAGGTTTAGGCACGCTGCCTTCATAAGTCTGTTTTGTGGTGCGACCACCGGCCTGGTTGCTCGTGGATCGGCCCAGCCCATCAAAGGATTGCCCAACCAAGACGTAGTTGTTTGTCTCGATCGATATTGGAAGCGCAGCTGCGCTCTTTGGAGCGAAAGCAGCGTTTACTACACGACCACCTGGCCAGGTAATTTGGGTAATACGGTCAAAAGGGTCTAGCTGATATTGAGTGACACGCCCCTTGGCATCCTTCTGCTGAACTAGTTGCCCCAGGCCGTCGTATGTGGCCTCTGCCGTGGCATACACGGTGTCGTCTCTGTTTAGCAAAGATCTCTTTGTTGGTGTGCCAAAATTGTCGAATTTTGTCTCTCTGTTGTTGTCGTCTTCCCTGCAGGTGAGAGTGACTATAACCATAAAGGTTGACGTGACGACAGAGTTGCTTTCGGTAACCCGACAGACATGACCCCAGTCATCATAGTCTATTGATAGAGTTTTCCGCTGCAGTACTGGATCATCATTCGCTGCTGTCCTGATCCAGTCTGTATCGACTACAGTTGTGCATTGGCCAAGCGAGTCATAGCTGTGTTCCTGCACAAGGCGGAAAACTTGTCCTTGATCATCTTGCTCCTCAACTCGACATAGGAATGCTGCACGCTGGAAACTTCCCGGTCATTTTGCAATGTTTTCTCTTCTTTGGCAGCCACGAAGTGGTCGGCGTAGGATTCAACAGCAGCGGTTGGTAGCTGGCTATAGGCCACCTGACGTCGCGCGGTTGGAGGGTCATATGTGCTTGGTATTGGTGTTCCAGCGGTGCTCTTGACATAGCGTTTGAAAATGTATGGATCGCTTGGACAATGATCTTTTTCACCAGCAGGTGGATAGTACTCGCGATCTATTGTGACGCCGGTAGGCTGGATAAACTGAGTCGAGTCATCAAAGGCATATTGTGTAGTTTCCACGCGCTGAGATTAAGTTGTTATGTTTTGGTAGGTTGTCTGAACACTCTTTAGAAGCTAGTACTATGCTGATTGCTCGCTGAACCTGCCGCTGAGCATATGATAGGTGGTCGCCTACGTTGTCTCTACCTCTCCTTTGTATGTCTCGCTGCTTACGATGAGGTGGAACCTGTGAGAGGTGTACTTGGTAGTCGCTCCTCCGTCCATTTGTACCGTTGACGAGTAGCGGTAGTCCTCGCGGGCATGATATAAATTGTCCTCTCCATCCTTCCGGTCAAAGCCGCTGCCGAACCCAAGAAAACTCTGGTTGGAGAAGCTGTACTTGGTTTTGATGGCGGCTGGCCGTTTCCAGGCAAATGAGTGTGCAAAGACACATAGTGGATGTGATCCTGCGGAGCGCCTCTAGGGAGCTGATGGCCTTTTTTATTGTAGACGATGGCCTCCTCAAAGCGGGCCGGGCTCTTGACTTTTGTAAGAAAGGCATCATGATCATATTCAAACTTCCAAGACGGTGAGCCATCCAAGGGCAGCCGAAGTTCATTAGTCGGCCCCTTCTGCGGGCAAGCGCCAATGTACTCGTTTCTGCCGTGCCTGGGGCTCGTGTGATCTTGACCAGGGCATCGCTATATTCTATTGAGCAGAACATCGGAGCCGTGCTGGATTTTCTGGAGTCGTGGCTGTTCGCCCGAATGGATCTAGACCAACTTTAGCTGGCGACCCGTAGGAGATTGCAGCTCTATGGGGCACAGTAGTGTTGTAGCTGTTGCTCGCGTTGGAAAGGACTTCCACTGGGTCGGATTTGTGGGCGACCTCGTAGTGATTCCCGTTCTTCTTGAGCTGGAGGCTTTTCAACTTCTGGTCCTTGACCACGAGCTCCGTCGTGGTCTCTGTGACCTGATAATTCTTCCCCGTCGAGAGGAGCAAGGCTTTGACCCAGCGGTGCTGGTACGAAGAGAGATTGAATGACCAGCCTTTCCCCAGGCCGATGTCCTCTGCATTTATGGGGGGTTAGATGAGAGAAAGATGTAAAAAGGGGCAGTTGCGGAACTCAGCAGGTGTATCGTAGACCACTATTGCACAGGTTTACTGGCCAGTCCTCCTATGACTCGAGCATCTGGACAAATGCTATGCTGGTCTAGTCAAGGACGACGGAAGCATGTCACTGTTCTGCCTATGGGAAGATCCCCTGGGGACAACGTCATTCAGCCTCAGAGTAGGGCTGACCGTGACGCAAACGTGCCTAGATATACCTGGTCACATCTCAGCCAATGCGTTTGCAGACATTTTGGTCAATTATAAACCGAATAGCGTCTGCTCCAGCATGATAGACTTTGGCGGCGCTGTTGGCAAGAATGCCTCGTCCAAATTATGGTCAGGGGATTAGCACTCTGAGGCCACAGTCACTGTTTACGATATCCATGGCAATCGTGGTGATTTCACAGCGTCGTACAACGCACGACAAGGACTCTGTTGTGCTCTGCAATCGTAATTGAGCTGAGCTGTTTTTGCATAAAGAGTATTCACGTGTTTCGTCGCACTATCTACCTAGGCATTCCAGTAGTCTGTTATACTTCAGTATATAGCTGTTCTTGTACATGTCTTTCAAGGCCGAGCTACGGGACCGTTGATCTGGATTGCGTCTTATTGTGCTCGTGTATTCCCGTGGACACCAGAAAGACACTGCTCAAGGTAGCAGTCTTAAACTCGCTGAAATACCCGTACAAGACATATTATCATGCCTTTCAAGTCTCGTCACATCATCTCACTTTAGGCGTATCCGCATACATCATTTCACTCCATATATCCCTAAGAAACCATTAACACCAATTACATAAACTCCCCATCCGTCTTCCATCCTCTATGCATATACATCCATCATATACCTCACGCCGTGTTCAAATTCCACAGCCCATCGCCCAAGTAATGCGCATCCTCCACCACCGGTCCCTTGCCCTTCGCCTTGACCTCATCCGTCCCAGCAGCCAGCGTGCCAACCGCACACGCCTCCTCCTTGCCCTCCGCCATAATCACCACCGGCTCTCCCTTGGCCAGCTCCCTGCTCCACCGTCCATCCTCCACAATGCTCTGCTCCATCTCTTTCCCCTCCTCAAGCGGCTTGGCCCCATCGACGGGCAATCTTCCGCCCGCGGACGTCAAACCCGGCGCCATCAGCGTCGCTCCAGAAAGCACAAAGCGAATGGCTCCGCGATCGATCCGAATGCTAGGAAACGCCTGCGGGAAGCGGTGCACGAGCTTCAAGTGCGGCAGCAGGTCGGACCCGTCATTCTGGTAGAAGAGCGGTACGGAGTCGAGCACGTAGAGGGTGTTTCGGTCGGGCAGCTTCATGCTCGCGAGGGAGCCCTTCTTGGGGAGGATCTCTTCGATGTAGGGCGTCAGGAGCGGGTACGTGGCGAGGAGGTTTTGGCGCAGCGCGCGCTGGGCGGAGGATTTGAGCTTTTGCTTGGGAGCGCCTTGGAGGCTGTGATGATGAAGTTAGCTTTTTGTGCTTCGGGGAGAAGAGGGAAGAGCAGGACTTGGATTGATGGTACACGTACTCTTTTTTGAACATTTTTGCGGTGTATGTAAACGAATGAATCGATGTGTTTCCAAGGTTAAGTACGGATAGAAGGTGTCAATAATTCGCAGCGGCGGTTAATGATGGACTGGAGTCGCAATTGACGGCGCGGCAGCTTGGAGTTTATTGACAGCCCCGCGATGGATAAGATAGAGAAATGGCGGGGCAAATCGCAGACATGCAATCAGCGGGGGAGCTTCGAGTAAGCTACGGCGGCCATTCAATCGATACAGCTACAAAGGTCAATCAATACATAAAAAAAGAAGAAGAAATAAAATGCGTGCATAGATGTCATAGACAGCTGATTAAAAACAAGTTGATTTTATAATTCCGTCATCTCATTAATTATGCTACCCAAGGGAAGTCTGTACGAGCTCCTCCAGCCCAATTGTCACCGCAACCTCAGCGAACTGCTCCCCTCTAACCATGAACAACGTGCGACACCGTTCCATCCTCCTTCAAGTGAACATTCAATCTCTCCGGTCTAAAGTCCCGGGTCACAGGCTGGCCGGGCTTGATGATGCGATGCGTCTCTGGCAGGTCTTTCTTGCAAAACATCTGTTTGTAGCATCATCAGCATATTGTTTCATTCATTTGATCTAGGCTTCCCCGCTCGTATGGGAGGGAAGTGGCGTGACAGTATACCGCTGAGATAGATTCGATGCTGCGAAAAAGACTTACCGTCTCATTAGATTCATCAGACTCTGAAAAGGTCTTTCCGACGAGCTTGTTGGCCCATTCCTGGTTCTTGTCCTCAGGGTTGGTCATGATGCCGGGTACGACGAGAGGCATGGTGATGTTATTTGTGCTTGCGCAGCGCTTTGTATAAAGTAATGTAGAATTGAAGTCTTGCTTCTCAAATAATCTCGTTGTTTGAAAGATATATGTTGTTTGCTGATCACAGTGTGGAATTGTTATGGAGAAGAAAAAGAAAACGAAAGATGGAGAAAAAGTAAGGTTATATCTTCATTTAATCCTTATGTAAAACAAGCTTGCGTTGGCGTTGCGTAAGTGATAACATCCATTTCCGGCCTTGGAAAGCTGCTGAAATGGCGTCTCAGGTGTCGCAGACGATGACGTAGACGCGGCGATATCTGGACATGGTCGCACTTACGTAAGTACCTGGACAGGTATAAGCGACGCCCCCTTTCGCTCAAGTGAAAGAAGAGACTTCTGGATGGAAGCAAAATGGCCAATGGATCAGATAATATCGCTTCGCCGTGGCATGGAAATTTGCCCATTGGCTTTTCGATAGGGTAGGCCTCTCCCATCTAGACAAGCAGTATTTTGCGCCATACAGTTGCAGTCCCGCCGCTTAGCTGCAGCACTGCCCATTCGCATCAGGTTGGGCTCTGGCACATGTTGATTATTCATCCTTCTATTTGTAAATGTACATTGCAACATTACCAGGTCACCAAGAGGGCTCGCGTGGTACGGGTACCTTTTTGCCTCTATTTGCTCAACACATGGCGGTGGCGCTGAAAAGCAGGTCTCAACGACGCTGTCTTCTTAATCATTCCAATTTGGCTACTATCTACGGAGTAGAGTCAAGCATGATCATTATTGCTGATAATTTATATAAACAGTGTGCACATTGGCAAATAACGGAAGAGAAGAGGGTTTATTATTAGCCAGCCACAAGTAGCGCTGATTAAGAGCCCATCGAGGGGGTCAGGAGGATGGGCCGCTTATGTCGCCCGATGAACTCCGTACCTAGCTCACGCCTGAAGAAGAGAAATAATTGCGCAAAACAAAGAAGAGAAAAACAGACAGAAAAAAAAGAGAAAAAAGCCAGGCAGGAATATGAAAAGGTGGAAAACGGAACACGGCCAAACAATGACACGGAATTATTCTCATTAAATCCCCTTGCCGTTTTTGCTTCATTCCACTGCGTGATTTGGCATGCTTTCCTCTTTTACATGGCCCGGCATCTGCCACCCGCCGCCAACGACTCTAAAAATGGAAGCAAATCGTAGATTTAGATTCAGCTCGGGTCCGCAAGGGAAATGAGCCCGTCACTGGCACTGCTGCACTGATGCCAGTTAAACCTGTACCAGTAAGTAATACTTACTCTTTCCATCATCTCATCCCATGTCAGACTCTGGAATCAAAATGAACAAACCATATTTTACGTCCTTGCACGCTCCCATCATGGCCGTAGGGCTCCAACTCGCGATGCGTGCTAATTGCGGCTGTGGCTCCAGAACCCTCCCGCGTGAAATGCACAGCCCTTGAATGGCGTCGTGTAAGCGTCTCATCAGCGCCGTTGCTGTCCCCTAAAAGGCCATGGCTCGCAGCTAATCTTTGCTTGATGCCCCCCCTTGTTTGGATCATTCAAAACCCAGCCCCAGTCAGCCTTGGGTCTGACTGAAAGACCCCTAACTGAAAGGGGACAAGTGCCACTCCCCGTCAAACAGGTTCTCCTCGACTCCTTTTTCGTGTTAACAGAACCGCCTCTTTTACTATTTTGCTCTGGCACCTCCGTCTTTGACGATCCATCTCCCATCTTTCGTTTCTTGTGCGAGCTTCGTCTCTGTTTTTTTTTATCCAACGCAAAACACCTTCGTTTTCTGGAAGCATCCTGTAAGCCAAAAACAACCCTTGAGACCCACCATCCCGCCATCTTTTCCAGCGCCCGATCCTTTGGCTGTGGTTTTGAAACTCATTGCTCCCCCCTCTGCAGTAGCCACGACACGACCCTAGAAGCTCTTCACCATGAGATTCTCCTCCATTGCTGCTCTCGCCCTCAGCGGCAGCGCCCTCGCCGCGTCCCAGCAAGAATGTTTCGCCCAGCACAGCCAGGAACTGATCGAGTTCTCTGACTGCGGCAACCCTACCAACCTCGAATTCTGCCTCTCACAAATCACCAGCTCCGACATCAGCGACGTCGAGGCCTGTTATTCGAACGCCGGATGCTCAGCCGCCCAGGCCGTCTCCGAGGCCAAATATGCACTCCGAAGATGTGACGAGTTCGCCAAGATCGGAGACCTGCGGAAGCGATACCGCGGCGTGCTCGATGGAGCTGAGAAGACGGTGGCTGCCCGAGACCCCATCGCCGCCCCGGCACCAACCCTCGGGGCTCGCTCCGGCTCGCTCGAATGTCTCGCCACCTCTACAGTCAAGACGGAGTCCTGTGACATCCAGACTGATAAGGGTGTCCTGAGGACCCTCACCTGCGTGCCCACCGAAGTCGCCAAGAGCGCCTGTGCCCCCGGCCTCATGTGCTCCATGGACAGCCAAGGCAGCACCGTCTGCATGAAGAAGCAGGACAGCCTCGGCGTTGGCGGCATTATCATCGCCATCGCCTTCGGCGCCTTCATCGTCATCGGCATCACCTTCCTGACCTTTGCCTGCTGCCGCGAGCGCCGCCACCAGAAGCAGCTCGAGGCCCGTGCCGAGGCCACCGCTCTCGCTCGCGCCCAGACAAAGAAGGCTCGCGCCGCCGAGGCCCGCGCTCCTTTGATGCGCCAAGAGGGAGGTGACCCCTTCACCGACCGAGCTCAGTCTTAGAAAGCCAGAATAGGTCGTGGCAACGGGCTAACACCAAGCAGGCTTGAGGTGGTTAGAGAAGATGAAAACGGTCGACATGTTTTGTGACGGCACGGCATACAAGGGAGGGACCAGCACCCTTTTTTTTTTGAATGATGTCTTGTTTTTTACTTTCATTGTTATTTTGCGGCGTACATCATGTTGCTCTCTTTCGAGCCGTGGGTTACAGGGAACAAAGACGGGTGCACACACGTACTCGGGGTAGCATCCCTGCTGCTTCTTGTGCTGGGGCAAGACGGGCACACACATCATAAGAAAAACATTCCAGCTAGAAAATGAGGCGAGCCTCGGGTAGGAAACGGGAAGAATTGACGTTATACAAAGAAGCAGGATTGATATCTGGGGGCTTTTGAATTAGATTTTGAAAAATAAATTGTTTGTAATTGCAAAAGATCAAAAACTACAAGGGATTTCCATCTGAGATGGAATTCTATTATTTTGTCTTGTTCACGTGCCTTATACCTAGGAAACTATTTGCAGTCACAGCTGCCGCTCCTGCCAATGTCGGAAACCAGGTATTATAGGCTCAATTATCAATTCGCTCCTCCTGGTGCCTGTTACCTCATATGTACGGACTGCTCAGACAAAAGATTGTGTCGGACAGTCAGAGGAGAGCATACTGCCTGAAATTAGGACTGCAGCGTGTATAACTTCACATGAGAAACGAGGTCAATAATTTGCTGGGCACAAGTCATGATCGAGTATAACTATCCCGAGAATGGTATTGATGCAGACACGCTTTCGCACTTATTTGCTACTCTTGTGCCTCTTCCCACCCAAATAATAACCCACACGTCTAATTCACATACAGGAAACAAGCGCACGCGCCATGCCAATTGATACTTGATAAGTCGCTTATTCCCACAGCCCGGCATTTGCGCTCTGCGCCGAAAGCAGCAACACCTTGACTATATTTATATTCTCCCTTTCCTGTCTGTCCACTGCTTATGAAAAGAGCAGCAAAGCAGTATAGAGATTAATATTTCTCATTTCCACTTCTAGGGTCCAAAAGATCTTCTGTCGTTGTTGGTGCGAGGATTGTAGAAGCCTTCCCAGGTATCTAGTTTGTTGGTATCATCAGTAGCCGCCTCCTCACGAAAAGAGCTCAGCCCAAGGTTTTCGCTGATGCCCTTCCTGTGGCTTCTTATTCTATTGTTATGCCAAGAAGACTGGTCTATCAGGTCCAAAAGCGTATCCATGATCACGGATGGCTGGGCACTGGGATCAGCTACTGTAACAGGTCTCGGTCGGAAATCCGACATAGATGGACCGCTGGTGACGCCAAGTCGCTCAAGGAGATTCTTACGCTGAGAGGGACTCTCTTCAGTCTTCTCGCGCCGTCTTTTGCTGGGACTTGTCTAAACCCCCCGCAATGAAGCATGGCCTACCAAGGGACTGCCAATCTCACCAGGGGCCCCAACAGCCCGAAAGTGAGGATTCAGGCCTTCATCTGTGTCAGGAACCCAACGCACCCTTCTCTGCCCGAGTATGTCCTGCTTAACGTCAAAAGATCCTCCTCCGTTGGATGAACTACCCATTGTATCGCAAAGGTTCAACAGATCTTGCTCCGAGATACTTGCATCGCCCGACATCATCTCGACGTGCGACTTGATGTTGACCAGATCAACATACCCCTCCTTGTCTGCAGAAGGCGTGTTTATCAAGTCTTTGCAAGCTTGGGAGAGCAGTAAGCGGACGGTTACATGGCGGGGCTGCGCATGCGATCGAATAGACCCCATCCCATTAGGTGAACCAACATGGAATCCAGGCGGACCGCTTGGAGGACCCCATCCAGGGCTTCCAAATCCTGGCAGTGGAAACGGCTGTGCAGCAGTGCTAGGAGGAAACGGTTGTGGAGGGCTATTGATAGGAGCCCAAGGGTTGTGGCTCATTGGGAATCCCGAGTCAATAAAGGGGCCCGCGGCAAAGCTAGTTCGTGGTCCTGGTGGGTGGTTGCGCAAGCCGCCGGCGTTAATAGCCTCCGAGCCCAGTGGCTCATCATCTTCAACAAGAACACGGCTTCCGAGATGCTGCGTATTTTCGTCTTTGTCGTGCGAATACCCTTGGCCAATACTACCAGGCCTACCGATAGGCGCCGGTCGTCCAAAGCTTTGCAGAGGCGTGCTAGGGGAGCTGCTGTCAAACCCTATAGAGCCTTGGCGTCCGTTTGTCAAAACAGGCCCGTCTCTAGCAGGCATTGGATATCCTTGGCCGCCAATCGGGAAATCGCTTGTTGGCTGAGAGAATCCTGGAGGGGGCATGGTGACAGGTGGATATCCGCGGCCAGTTGGACTATTGATGCCGGGCGGCGGAATCATCATATTATGCCCAGGATTAGGCCTGAACCCGACGGGGAATATTGGGTCATGATTTGGTCGACCGGGGAATCCAGGCGGAGGTTGATGAGCAGTTAAACCTGGAGGCGGCTGCATGCCCATGATGGGCATCTGGAACTGGGATGAAGGGCTCGGGCCTTTGAGTGGCGGTAGCCCAGGCGGCGTGACTGACACCCCAGATGGCAGCATTGTGGCCGGAGCGCTTCCGCTAATCCGCCTCTCCGTTGAACTAGGGCTGGTATACGCTGGCGTCGTGGAATGTGGCGATGCGCTCTGACTAGGAGCAGATGCGCCTTGAGAGTCCGACGAGCTGGCCGGGCCAGTCCCATGCTGCTGTTGAGATGCTGTTCTCAGCCGCATAGGTGTTGGTGCTTTGGGAATTATCGGAGTGGCCACTGCGATTTTGGGGGAAACGAAGCTGGCTGGATTAGGGGGATGTTGAGGTAAGACGGCGGGCAATGGAACAGGATGCTGCTGTGTCTGTTGCTGTTGGCCCGTTCCACGTTTAGCAGGCTGCGAAGGCTGTGTCTGGGATGGCTGGACAGAGGAAGCTTTAGGAGCTGCCTTTTCTTCCTTGGACTGCTGGAGCTGCTGCAGCAATTGCTGTTGATGCTGTTTGCTGGCAGCCTCTGCCGCATCTTGAGCTTCCTTCTTGGCTTTGGCTGCCCTGGCCTCCTTTTCTCGCTTGTCGCGTTCTTGTTTCTCTTTACGCTCCTTAGCCTCGCGCTCTTTCTGCTCACGAGCCTCTTGCTCCTTTAAGCGTTGCTCCTCCTTGAGCTTCTTTTCCCGCTCTTTGGCTTCGCGTGCTTTTCGCTCTTGCTCGGCTTGCTTTTCCTTCTGCTCGTGTATCCGCCGTAGTCGATCGGCTTCCTTCTTTAGCCGCGCTTCTTCTTCGGCCTTCTTCTGGGCTTCCTTTTGCTTTCGTTTCTCTTCGGCTTTCTGTTTCTGCTCAGTAATCTTCTTCCTCTCGGCTTCGATTCGGGCGATTTCCTCGGCAGCCTTTTCGGCCTCCTTACGAGCCTTCTCTTCAGCAAGCGCTTGCTTCCTTTGAGCTGCCTTGTCCTTCTTTTTCTGAGCGCTCTTGGCCTTTTTAGCCTTTTGCTCATCCACCGCTCGACTCTCCTCTTCTAGCTCCTCCAATAGCTTCTCTTGCCGTTCCTTGGCCACTTTCTCCTTGTACGCGGATAGTACTCGTTGTTCGAACATGCGGGCTGCAAAGATTTGGAACATGCGTCGTCCTTCTTCCATTCGCTGCTCTTCTGTCATCGGGTCCTGGCAACAGCACTCAGTATGGAACTTGGACGGCATCATAGACGGGTTGTAGTATACCTCTTCGTCCTCATACTCCTCATCTTGACTATCGTCGTAGTCTTCCTCCTCCTCCTCCTCTTCGTCCTCGTAATCATCGTCTTCGGGAGGAGGGTGGTTGTGAGGAGTGGAGTATGAGCCGTTTGGATGACCGTAGCCGCGGGCGAAGTCTCTCGCGTCTTCTTCTCGGGCCATTCGACGTTCCGCAAGCTGCTCCATCATTTCGATGAAGCGTCTGCCGTCGTTTTTGAGTAGGTCATCCGCAACGGTGAGAATGCCGCCTAAGTCCATGTTACCATATCTGTGCAGAAGAGAATCAAGAAGTTGCGTACCCTTGACTTGGAGGCTGTTACCAAACGTCAAGAAATCAGCTACGTCTCGGTCAGGAGAGCCGTGAAATTCTTCCGGTGGTTCGTCATCGCTATACTCGTCGTCGTCGGCTTCGTCATCGCTGTAGGCTTCCTCTAGTTCCTCGTCATCGTCGCCGACGTGCTCTACTATTCGCCCGCGGGCTGGGGGGTGCCGCGTATACGCTCCGGGCATGCCTCGCGGTGCGCGGATAGAGAAATCTCGGGGCGGAGGAGGCAGCATGGCGGGGCCTTCTCCTTGATTTGCAAACTGCTCCAATTCGAGATAATATGCATCATACAGACCTTCCAGCTCCTCCTCGATGGCAGTGCGCTTCCTTCCGCAGACGGTACAGCTACACGTGTGTTTTTGCTGTTCCTTCATCTTCTTCAGGACAGCGTCTTTCTCGACCTTGACCAAGGATTTCCGATCATCTTCGCCCAAGCCCAACCAGAACTCTTTGATACGCTCGCGCTCCTCGTGATTGCTTGTGCTCCATATCTTATCCTTGGACATTCCAGAGCCTCGCGGCACTTGAGTCGCTGTCGCCGGGCCATCATCGTGGTATAGGTGGGGGCGATGGTGGTGATGATGATGGTGATTGTGCTGCTGCTGATGGTATTTTGACGTCAAAGCCTCCTCGCCATCAACGCCAGCACCGTTGTTTTTCTTCTTTTTCTTGTTCTTTTTACCAAGATTAGCATCTATCGCGTGACCATTCGCCGTGGACGTAGGCTCGACTTCATCAGCTAGATAACAGATATCATCATCTTCGTCGCTTGGAACAAGGTCGTAGTCTGCGGGCGTCGGTTTATCGGAGCTGAGAGCGGGGCTGGTATGGCCGTTGACGGCTTCTGCAGCAGCAGCCTTGGCCGCGGCCTTTTGCCGTCGCTTCTGCTTTTTACGGTTAACAGTCGGAGCCAACATATCGAGACCTGCGGAATCTGGAGGCGGCAGGACGCTGCTGGGTTTAGCGATTGGGGGAGTCGATGGTCGAGAAGATGAGTCTGACGGGCTGCCCTTGGGGACGGTGATGAACTTGGACCCGTCCTTGTTAGTATATTTGGCAGTATTTCGAGGCGATGCCGGCACGAGGGGAGCCGGTTTCTGGTGATGGGCCGGCATCGTATATCTACGGCAGCGAGGCAGTCGAGAGCATCAAGGGTCTCGGGACACAGGGCCCAGGGCGGCTCAAAACGACGCAGCCTGCAACAAAGAAAGAAAGAGAGAGTCAGTCGTGAAAGCACGCAGCGCAGGGCCGAGAAGCAGAGAACAAAAGGCCGATCGAGAGCTGCGGGCAAGCACGAGGGTGGACGAGCGAGAGGGTGGATGCTTGGCCGCGAAATTGTTACGGCTGGCCTGTTTGGTGGAGATGTCCCGGCGGTTCAAAATGAGGCACTCACAATCCGCAATTCAGGGTTAGGTCAGCAATGACGCCAGTGGGGGTTTTCGACGGCCCCGGCTCAAATGCCTGTGCAAGAGATTGAGATGCGGCGCGTCGTGGAGCTCGCGTCGAATGCGTGGCGATGGAGTCTGGGGAGGAGAAGGCGATGCTTTGGACGGCCTGAGATCGATGGAAGTCACTGTGGTGTAGTTACATAGCGGCATGTACTTTTGTTATGCAAGAGTGGTCGTCCCTGTTGAGGCTGGCGAAAACCGGGGCTGACAGCCGTCGTTCAGGTTTGGCGCTGGGTTTAGGTCGCGAGCAGGCACGTGACGCTGAATTCAGCGGCCGGAATCGACGTGTTTGTGCCTGAGGCGCTTGGGGTTAGCGGGCCTACAGGGCGTTTGTTGCGCAGAAACTGCCTGAAAGGCGCGGATCAGAGAACCTTTATGGCCCGCCGCAGTACAAAGAACAAGGGAGCGGTACGCTGTGATGCGCATTGACGGGCAGCGCAGCCTTTGTCACTGGAATGCGCGTGTCTGTATTACCCCGTAATCCGCATTGGTACCAGAACATGGAAACGCGCCTGCTTGCGCAGACAAATGATATTACTGTCGCTTTGCCCTGCCTTAGCTAATAAAACATCCTTGCTACGTGCATCATGGCTTGGGACTGCTGCACGACTTACATAAAGCGTCTGATGCTCTTACTCCCACGTTGTCATTGTTGGGAAGCGTCTACCTGTTTGTCTGTCTACCTGGGGTGTGAACTTGAGAGCAGAGCACAGATTAATTACTGGTGCATCGTTTTCCGTGCTGTTTACAACTGGGCTTGGTGAATTCACCCTTGACTCGGCAACGGTATTACTAGATTGCCTCCAATATCCTGTGCATGTACTACAAGTATAAGGTACTACGCCGGTCCAGCAGGCTGAAGCCAGGATGTGATGCAAGGAGTAACGGAATTGTTGGGCAGCAAAGCCGTATTCACGCACTTGCTACCTGAAAGCTCTTTGTGACCGAGAGGCCACACCAACGGCAGACATTGTACGGTAATTCTACCATGGGACAAAGGCCAGACGTAGTGGCTTTCATCGGTAACGACAACTCAATGTAAGTGTATGTCAGCTTGCATGCACCTTGATGGCGTTGGATTGAGGCTTGATTACTGTGCCTTGGACAAACAAAGCAGAGCAGCTTTGAGTAAGTTGTCAGCTTCTTTGTAATCGACAGAATGTAATTTGAGAATATGGGGCAGATGCTTGGAGTTTTATGAGGTAATATGCAGCACTTATTCTCACTTCATTGTATGAGGCAAGTAGTACAAGTTGGTCGCGAGTTGCATCGAGATATTACTACGCTTTCCGTATCGAGTAGAGATCCTCGTGTTCTACTACGTCAGGCTACCCTCGCTGCAGCGGCGCCGCTTTGGGACAAGATCAATTCACTTGAGCAGCTGATATGGGGTCAGCATGCTTTGGCGATATCTCGGATACGATGCCTTGTAAGGCCCAGGAAGCCTTGGGACGACAATTGATTCTGCCTTGCGCCATCCAAAGGCCTGGGGTAAGCCCACCTTACACCCACACTTCTCGTACTTTGTTTGCGCGTGGCATAAGAAGCATGGCGAGAATCCTGCAGAGGCCGCCGAACCCCACCATTTTCGTCGTCTCGCAGCGAACATCGGCTCAGGCCGATAGCTTGCCCTGATGCGTCTAGTTAGCAGGCGAGGTGCGTGTTGTGCTGTAAGTACGGGACGACGGGGACTCAAGCCAAGTGGATCGGGCAAAGAGTGGCTACGATTCGCGGGAATCCCCCGAGAAGCTTTGTTCGTGCAGAGTTTTAAGCCGTTTTGACTCTGGCTGGCCTGCAGCGAGGCCGTCCCTTCTTGGTTATAATCTGCTTTAGGCGTCCTGGGTTTAGATGATAGGCATGATGGGCACTCTATGGAGGCAGCTTTAATCGTCTAAAATAAAACCTCCGAATGGGGGGACCCCGTATTCTTAGACCACCTGCAGTTCCTTTTCAGGGTCTTGATATCATGCTGGAGGTCTCGAGACCAGGCGAATAGAGGTACATGTACACGGGACGCGTTACGGTGTGTATTGGCGCATGTACTCCATATGAGCGTCCAATAGGACCTGCAAATCCAGAGTTTGTTTACTTTTGCTAGCGCTTCTCTCTTATGCGTGCCGTTGCACCATGGCTTGGGAGCCGGTCGTTCATTCGCTTGGAAGCACAGCCTCACCTGGGAGGGCGGGACGATCGGTACCATCCAGCCGAAACAAGAGTTGCTGTGTAAGAGCCTGGAGGAGGAAGAGAGATACCGATGGAACAAATCGGCGGCTGCAAAGCACGGCGTGGCAGATGTTAATCATCTTCTTTATTAATATCACTGCATACGTAATTCAGCACTACTGCTGGCTGTACCGCGCTTCCGGCAACCGTCTCTTCGGCCAGTTTCCATCAGCGTATCTGCTGGTAAGCTGGACCCATTGGCGTCCCAATCAAGACATATTTTGAGCGACATCTGGGCTGCTGGTTGGCTGAGACGGCCTTTAGGTAAGCCAGATAGTGCGAACTGCTCCGTTGGAGAGTAAGACCATACGCCCCAAGCCTCACTCGGGCCTCGATCCACCGCTTTGTGAAACGTCGTGCTAACAGTTTGGCTGCTTAGGTGTACCTTCTTGCTGCTAGAGCTGGTTTCCCCTTAACCCTGTCCTGCTTGCTGCTTGAGCCATTGTGGTCTGGTTCCTTTTGTCGCCATTGCCGTCGTTTTCTCTCCTTCTGTCTCTCTCTCTCTCTCTCTCGTCAACATCTCGCCATCAATCGCCATTGTGTGATCCTGCCCCTAGCCTTGACCGAATCCCATTGGCGCGGCCGAGTCCCTCTGCAGCCGACCGACCACTCGCAGGAATTAACTGGAGCCTCTTCAGCTCGTATTCCGACAGAATCGCCTGGCGACCAACCAGTCCGTTCCACCGCCCTGGTCGACCCGTATCCCCTAGACGCGACAGCACGATTTTTTCTGCGAGGCAGCACAGCAGCGGCGTTGCCGAGACGAAGATACAAAAGGCCGGCAGTTGAGCAGCATTTCCCCGGGGAACCGCTGCTTTAAACTGGTCCTGCCATCCACAGATCTTTCGGCGAATAGGCCGTAGGACTGGGGAAAGCTCCATTTGGCACAAGAATCAGCGCCTGGCCCTGTCTGTTGTTTATCCAACTGCCCATCCAGCAGCACATCATCACAGCAGTTCAAAATGTCCAACGGGAGTGCGTCAAACGTCATCCGCAGGTACGAATCAAAGCCAAAATCTTCCATGTCGCAAGCCCAGGGCTCGAATTTGTAACGGGCGACTGTCGAGGCTGGAGCGCCGGCAGTTCTGGATAAAGGACCGGCTTGCTGACCCATCGCAACGTGTAGGAAGCTCGTCATTATCGGAGACGGTGCCTGCGGCAAGACAAGTTTACTCAGCGTCTTCACACTTGGATATTTCCCTACAGTATGTTCATGTTTCCTTCTTCCCCAGATCTTGGGCCTGCCCCAGTCTAGATGGCATGTGCGGTCGCTAATCATTCGTATAGCATTATGTGAGTTCACGCTGCGCCTGCAGGACCCGCAGAGCCGAGATTAACGAGCTGGCTTAGATCCCAACCGTCTTCGAAAACTACGTAACCGACTGCAGAGTAGATGGCAAGTCCGTGCAGCTTGCCCTGTGGGATACGGCTGGTCAAGAAGATTACGAACGTTTACGGCCTCTTGCCTATTCCAAGGCGCATGTTATCCTAATAGGCTTTTCGGTTGATACACCCGATTCTCTTGACAATGTCAAGCACAAGGTTCGACGATACTGGGTGTCATTTGGATAGGACTTTCTTTTGGCTGATACATTACTACTATAGTGGATCGAAGAGGCTACTCGTCTTTGCGAAGGTGTACCCATCATTCTTGTTGGACTGAAAAAGGATCTGCGGGATGACCCTGTTGCCATTGAAGAGATGCGCAAGAAATCCCAACGATTCGTTACTGCCCACGACGGCGAAGGCGTTGCCCGAGAAATCGGAGCCAAGCGATATCTGGAATGCTCCAGTTTGAGCGGAGAGGGCGTCGACGATGTGTTCGAAGCCGCCACCAGAGCTGCCCTTCTTACATTCGAGAAGGGGGAGACTACCGGTTGCTGTGTCGTTCTGTAAAACGACATGCCAACCTGCTCTCACGAATCGACCCGACTTTGGTATATCTGTCTGGCCCAAAGACAGTGACCAAGTACACGTTACAGGCCCACATGCTGCTGAATGAGATCACGACACGATGTTTGAGTCCCCACAGCTTGCTATTACTCGCTTATATGAACGCATACACTTGAAGTTCATCTCCTACCGCGAAGAGTGTCCGCATATTTTGCATTACCATCTCACGGCTTTTAAACCAATATTATCCGGATGCTCTGTTGAAACGGCTGATTCTCATCATATGAGGTAACACAAAAAAGCATACAACTATTCGAGAACATAGTTTCAACCTCAGAGTTGAAATCGCTACAATTTTCCTTCACTGTTCTTTTTGGCTTATCTGTTGGAAATATGTCTTGTCTATTTTTTTTTTTTACCATCCTGTATTCTCGCAATGTTTTGGCAAGCGTATTTTGTTGCAGCGGAGAAAAAGCGCTCTTAACTCGAAAGCGACTTCAACCTCTGTACTAATATGGTTGGTCGCATAGATCAACAACTGGTTTTTCTTTTTTCCTCTCTGGGGTATATTGGGGGGTGGTTTTTCTGGACGGAAAAGGGTGAATGATGGAGAAGGCGATATCTATACTCCACTGATGGCAATAAAATTGTCGAGCCTCCCAATTGCGTGCTATGTTTACTGCTTGTGACTGATTGCTGATCGCATATCCATTATGCTTCTTTTACATGTCCTCGGTATCATATGTTATCAAAGATGCCAGCAACGGTACCCTGAGGTGTTGTGATACTATACAATGCTTAATATTCGTACATAACGTGTCTATCTCGTTTCTTCTTTTCTTTTTCCCCCCCTCTCCTCCCGCTGAACCATATCAAACTCTCTACCTCTTCCACTCATGATTCCACGCCTCCTTCGCCGGACTGTCCGTCTGAAACCTCGCATATTCTATCGGCACACCGTCAAGTCCATAAACGCCCTTCTTCTCCATCGCAACTCGGTACAGGTACCCCTCCCCTCTGGATCCAGGCCCAACCGTCTTCCGCAGCTCCTCGCAGGCGTTGTACATTCCCGCGTGCATCCTGCTCCTCTCCTTGTCAATGGCCTCGTGCTGCTTTCGGCGGAAGAGCTGCCAGGCGCGATGGATGGTCCAGTGGCGCAGGTATCGCAGGCGGGCCATGCGCAGCGGGGGAGGGGCCGGCGAGAACATGTTGCGGCGCAGGGTGCGGATGCGGAAGAAGTTTTCGGACTTGGGGGCTTGGCGGTTGCGGCGGACGGCTTTGGGGGCAGAGCCGCCGGCTGGGGGAGGAGCTTTGCGGGCGAGGGAGGAGGAGGTTGTTGAGAAGAGGCGTGAGGTTGATGTCGATGTCATGGCTGCGGTTGCGGTTGCGGTGCTGGTGGTGTTTCGTGAGAGGAGGGAGAGCCGGCTGAAGAGCCCGGTGATTGACGTAGAGGAGGCCATTTTGAAGGAATCGGAGGTGTGAGATGAGCGGAATGGCTGCTTGTAGCTTTCCCAGCAGAGGAGTGCGGTTCTTGGTATCGCCTTGGTCGTTTCGAGTTTTCGTAGTCAATTCGAGGCTTATATGCAATGGCGGTCGCTCTTCAATGGTGGAATTGAGCTTGATTCCAGTATGCGGTCCAATTGCGCCTCTCTCTCTCGGTAATTAATCGAATTGGCGCCGGCAGGAGTATAATGTGCCGACTGTTGGAGGTATCTGCCAGAGCTTTTACATGAACCTTGAGAAAATGGCGACGATAGCGCCATGAGGAACTGTGCGCGGAGAAACGTAAGCCCGGCGGAGTCGGTATCGCCTTTTGGGCAGCACAGAAGTATGAATGAGCGACTGTAGCAACTCGACTCATTGTCAAATTATATACCATTATTTTTCTCTGGGAACCTATAGCTTTCCTTCTATCTATTTTTTTTTTGTTTATTTTTTACCTTTTTTTTTCCTCCCACAAAAGTGAATGTGACGTTCCGAAACCACGGCGCGATAGTCCGAGGTGCCAGTTGTGTATCATCAAGCCCACCTTTTCCTCGATCTATGTAATACAGCTTTCTACCTCTTCAGACGTTCATGCATTTATCTACCTAGATGACAGTCGCAATTGCCCATTGCCGGATACAAATATGCTCTCTAATATAGTTGAATCGATACTTGTCAACCACAAAATATCTTTCATTTGCCCAATCAATTGTTCAGAAGAGTGGATGTTGAGGTCACTCATGGAGCGTCTCGCTTCGACGAGCAGTGAGTCTCGACTTTCGGGCCGCGCCAATGAGTATGCCGTCGCAATTGCCCAAAATCGCACTTTTTTGAGCTCCAAAGGTAGTTCGTGGGAAGATTCCTGCAACAGGCTGATGAAGCGATCACATAGAGGACCAATGTCTGCCCAGTGGAAAGATGCAAGTCGTTTGAGCTCTGATATGATGACCAAACACGCAAGCTGCACCATTCTCTGTACCACAAAGACTGGATAATCCGTTTGTGCATCATCTTCCGGACATTTTGGCACGGACAGCACAAAATGGCTGACAACGCCGAGAATTTCGACCAAAACGGCCGATTCCGTCCAGAACAAGGCATTGCAGGTATTCAGATTCATCAAGGCAACAACTGGTGCCATCATCCGTAGCATGGCGTATATCCGTCCCCCTTGAGGAGCTACTTCTTCAGCATGATGAAGCAATGTGCGCAGCGTTTGTGGAATATCGTCTTTATTTGTCCTCTGAGGAGAATTGGCCAGCTGCCTTGGGATACAGAATCTCGGGTAGCGGTCGAGCATTGATGCGCCCATCAAATCAACCCTGCTCTTTTATTAAATTCTGTAAGTATATCGGGTTTTGATATGATCATTGCACTCACCAAAATGTCATCAGTACAATTTCGCTGTCTAAAGCATCGAATCCATGACGAAGATGGTATATTTGCTCCAAGCCATCCATATGCACGGTAAATCGCTTCCAATTGTCGACACGAGTCTGAGCTACGTTAGACTGACTCGCCTGAAGGGAAGATGAGTAGTGAAGAAAGTCTTACATCGACACATATAAACCCCATGATGGTCGCTATAACGCCCTCACTTATACAATCTTCGCGATCGTTGAGTCGAAGCGTCAGCTGGTGTAGCGACTTGCAGTAGTAGCTACTTGCTTCTGAGGTATCCGCAAATAGTTCATTATAGGCGATTGCGTTGTTTTTATGGACCAGACCATTGCGAATTACTACGGCTTGTGCAAGCCATAAGTCAAATGCGACTCTATCAGAGAGGCCAATCCGAAGCCACGATGACCGAAACGGTCGGTACACAAAGTCAGCTTCAGCCGTCACTATAGCCTAGAGTTAAAAACATAGTTATAGGAACAATCATCTCTCCTCAAGACCACTGACTGAAGGTAATAAGTTCTGAAGCGCGAGAATCATCGCCAATGTGACAGGATTGGAACGATGGCGGCATCCTCACAAGAGGGAGTAGCTCAGCCGCTGCTGCATTTGCCGGAACAGTGCCTGATGAAGGATTTGTGGCAGCAATCTGGAGAGGGATAATCTTGTATTTTGCCTTTTTGCGCCTTGAACGGCCGACATCTGCCATGACATGCCGACGAACCAATGCCTTGGTACGCTTGCTCTGGCCCTCGTCGGGACGAGAGATGTTGACAAAGGACAGATGTCTGGAAACCATGACTAGACACCGACAATTTGATGTGTTATTACAAGAGTATGTATTGAGTTAAGAAAAAAGTTGAAAAAAGATCAGGGAAAGAAGCTCCCAAGTCTTGAAAAGGAGCGCGGTCTTCTTATATGCCCGACTGGCCGGAAGGTTTCCTTGTTAGCCCCAGACACTAACTGGCATGGGGTTGCTCCACTCATCGGATCGGGGGGCCGGCCAAACAAACTAGCACGATGTAATAGCCACAAGAAGTGGCATGTAGACACACTGGGGGCCAATTGAGATCAATAATTAAGTGCTGCGATCACTGAAGTCTCAGATGATATTTAACTCTGATGTGAGATTAACCCATTTGAGCTCATAAAAGTATACAGAGACTACACATAACTAGTTGCCCACAATACCGCCGCTGACAGAAATACTTTCTCCAGTAATCCATCGGCTCTTCTCATTGGCGAGAAGCAGCACTGAATCAGCAATATCCTCAACAGTCCCAAATCTCCTCTCAGCCCTAGTCATGTTTAACAGCGTGTCTTTGAGCATTTCGAATTCGGGAGTCGGTGGCAAGGAGTCAGTAAGCACAGGACCTGGCATGACAGTGTTGATCGTGATGCGTTTGCCATCGCTTCCCAGCTAGACATGGTCATTAGCTTTTATCAACTGAATTGAGATGAAGAAGACTTTTGCACTTACATCTCTTGCGAGACTAAAAGTCAGAGCATCCATGGCTGCTTTTGCGGCTCCGTATACGGGCTCGATACCCAGCTTTGAAGCCACGCTTCCGACATTGATGATCCTTCCGCCTTGTGGCATATGGGGCACCGTAGCCTGGATGAGATACAGGGGGCCCAAAACACAGGCTTCAAAAGTTTTTTGGACGGTTTCTGGTGATGCGGTCAAGACAGGCTCCCTTGCAGCCCAGGCGGCATTGTTCACTAGTATAATAGAACAAGACATTAGTAAAATGCGTTCATTTGCAGCGAAGGCACCATTTGGATGATATTTACCAAGAATATCAATGCGATCGACCCCGAAAGCCTTGATAGCTTCGGCAACTAGCTTCTTTGTCCCCTCTGGCGTGGAAATGTCTTGTTGAATCACTACAGCGCTGTCCTTGCCTGCGACGGCTTCAATGCTGGCTGCGACTATCGCCGCTCGAGGGGCAGTAGCTTCCGAGACGTAGTTGATAGCCACGCGCGCACCGTTGCGAGCGAGAGCGATAGCAATAGCTGCTCCGATGCCGTTCTCTTTGCCGGAGCCGGTGACGATGGCAGTCTTGCCGAGCAGAGAGAGGGAGTCAATGGTAGACATTTTGGGTGTGTCAAGAAAATTAGAGGTGAATATTGTAAAGATGATGAAATGATATTGTTGAGTGTAGAGATTAAATTATGATATTTCAGAGGCATAGACTTGCTTTTATAGACAAATACAGCGTAATTCTACCTCATTCTCCACGCAGGAGATTCTATCTCCCCTGGCTGCTTGATTGACTCATTTTTGGATCATTGTATTTGTCAGATGAGCAATGACCACAAGTTATTATTAAACCTACCCATTTACGAAGCCAAATTCTGTGGATTGGCGTATATCTAGAAGCTCGTCGCAGCTATTCACATACCGTGAATGGCTTCTGTGTAGAAGCGGGTGGTTTAGCGTGACAGAAAGGGAAATAAGAGATCCCTGCCTGCGCTAGCGTTTGGCGGGACCATGCTTAATGTCAGATCAAGAGACTATTCCATAAATGGAAAAAGGAAATCCCTGTCTGCATGAGGCTTGAAGTTTCGGCTGTCCTGGTATCGGTGGTCATCGGTCCAAGTCGACGAGCAATTATTGACCTGCCGGTAAATGATGCAGCTGAGTAACCAGACGAATGTTTCAAAGTAATAGTCTCTCGATGTCTATCAATAGCTCTTGGTCATTGAAACCACTCACGGAATTATTACCGAGGGACAGTGGAGTACGCTTTTGAGCCGCGGCATGCGCACGCTTTGATCCATTGCGCCACGTATTATGAACGCATGATACTAGAATGCGAAATCTTTATGCGAACCTTCGGCGAGCCCCTTAGCAACTGTTTTTGTTCAATGTCGCTTCTCGCATCTAAAGATCCACCAGTGCTATGATACACTAGCCCAACTAGAGCCTCAGAGCCTCATATGGTGCCTGGAGAGGCTGAATAGATATCCTCATCACGTAAGTGAGAAATAAGTACTACACATTGAAGGTGACTGACTACCTTACCATGGATGTGACACCGCCTTACGCATCTGTCCAAGTGTAAAGTGTAAATTGCGATTCGCTGTCTCAATAGCCGTAGCAGCCAGTAGAAATCTGTAGCCAATAGAAATCTTCACAGAACAGCGACTCTGTGTAATTGCTTCGAGTAGCAGGCTGACAAGGTTGGGTGATGAGAAAGCGGAGAAACATTGAGGTACGGCTGCCTTGCCAAGGGTATGACTGAAGCTGTGTGGAGCGGCAGTGTAGAGCCACCTCGCATACATGCGTCTGTCCGCATGCAAATAATACCGATTCGCTACCTTTATATGGATCCCCACTCTGTCTCTCTGCCTTCTGCGATACAGGCTCCGATGGGATAGGATTCCATAAATTGAGAAGATTTAACTGCCAATTCTGCCGCGTTAGCTCTTCTCTGTAATCTGATGGAGAACAGGGGAAAAGTCAGTTTGCCCCGAGGTAGAGAAGTGGGAGCACCCGGTTTACACACACGTGAAGAGTATTGATATCAAGAAACCCTACAACTGAGACTGGGGCTGTCTTCATTTTCGGACGTACAGCAGCAAAGGATCATGAAAACATGCAAACTGATGATGTTGATCAGCAGGTTGCTTATCTAATCGTCTTCCTAGCTATCGAGCAAGAGGAAGAGGAGGGTATCCATTGTAGATTCATCTGCATCGGATTGATTCGAAAGGTCGCACCAGAGGTTCTTAAAAAATAAGGTGGAAAAGTTCAGGAGTTTCTCAAAAAAAGTGTCATGGCGTGTTCACCCGAGGACAGGGAGGATTTCATTCTTCACTTTAATAGTACCTGGGCGAACATCGATTTACGCAACGTCAAACTTCAGACACTGGAAAACTTGCTGCGCTAAGACTGATCTCTTTGCGGAAAATGCGCGAAAAATTCGTTGACAAGAGGTCTAGGCACATAATGGCTGGACTTTGTCAAAGAACAAAGACAGCTTAGGAATGGTGTATAAGTCAGGAGCTAGTAGCAATGACAGCGAAGCTTGTAGAAGTTACATGTATTAAATAGCAGCGTGTCAAATGAGAAACAGTTCTTTTACCGTCAATAAAGGTATAACAACCCAGATCTTTTATGGTACCAGGCACACTATCTGAGGGACAACTTTTAGGTTTGAGGTTGATGTTTGTAATAGAGATGTTAGCATATTACAGCGAGCCCAAACCAACGCCTACCGCCTCACGTTGGATGAATTAACGCGTGTCTCCATATCATGACAAGGGTGTATTGATCAAGTGAGTACGACTCATTCGTCTCGATCCTGAGAACAAACATTAATATTAGCAGCAGAGCGAGAACTATACCTATTACTCAAACAATGCGAAGTTTTTGTCCAAGCAATAGTTCAGCTGATTACATTTTGTTGAAAGAAATTTACACACAATGATAGTATATGGTCCCAGCCCCAACTAATAGTTTCAATCCATTGCCATATTTGCATATTGCGCCGTCATGGCTTGAAGGTCGAGAACATCCAAAGCACAGGACCATGATTCGCCAACAAAGAAGCCATGAATAAGGTAGTATCCCAATGACCAAAAGAAAAGGGGAGCGGAGCAGCCGAAGAAGGTCAAGTCTCCTGCAGTATCATCAAAGAGAGCAACAGTTGTCGCGCAGGCAAAGAACACCCCCACCCCCAAATTATGTATCAGCTAGTGATCAAAGAGCACATCAGCTTCGCAATATTAGACAAAAAATCATGTTATGAATGTTCAAAATGCCACTGCCAGACAAGGCAATACTGGTTGCACACCAACTGTATGGATCATGAAGCTGTGTATGTACAAGAGGTCTTGTCCTCGACTTCTCCTCTAGATAATTAAGGCCGTAATAGACAGCCTTTTTAAGTGTGTGTTATCTACCAACAGTTATTCTCTATTTCTGTTAAACGGGCAAAAGACAGTTTCAATAGCTTCATTCGCTGGCTATAGTCAACTTGTGATGTTAACCCTTGGTACAATATTCTCAGCTCCATGGTCATTGAACCGCAAAAATCGAGGATTACTGAACCGCTCAGATTTTGTTAGATATGGCCTGGAACGACAATAAATTCTACGTGTATGCGACGCAATATGGATATGAATCGCATTGCTACACACTAGGATTGGACCAATCATCTAAATATGAAGTGACAGTAATCGCTCACGACATCCAAGACGATCAAGATGATGAAGAAGATGAGGATGATGAAGAAGATAAAGACGACGAAGGAATCGAAATGAAAGAAAGACGGAGAAGCGTTTCAGATTCGGAAGAGAATGATGAATCAGAAACCGAAAGTTCGGGTGACTCAGCTTCATCTATGGCAAGCGATCATAAGAATTCTACCCAAATCTCCTCTGCTACGCCACCCGATGACCAGGGCAAGCGTGCGGCACACCATGATGGCCCTATGCACGTCACAGCTATAACTCCTAGCGGTGGCCACATCCAAGGGACTCGACGACCAGACCATTGGTCAGTACAATTAAATGGTAGTGGCCGATATCTCCTGGTATATGCAGCAAGATTTGCAGGATCATTGGGCCCTAATTACACCACGAGCTGGGTTCGGGACGCAAGCAATAACATTCTGGGTCATATCATTTCAGTCGGTTTCTTTAAGGGCTCGGAAATAGCTCTTATTTTGCCGGCGGCGGAGGTTTTCGAACACGCATGTAACAAATCAAATCCACTAAAAGAGACTGATCAAGAGATTGTGGGGGGACCGGAGTGTGTTTCGAAAGATGTAGAAGTAGAAAACAATGGACAAGCGGAGAAGGAAAGCCTATAGTCTACGTTTTTTGATATAGTTTGTCCAGCTACTGCGATTTTTCTTCTGTTACACAAGACAGACATTATCAAGTGTGTCTTATTTTACTTACCAACTTCTCATAAGAGAACTACTTGCATCAGAGATACAACAAGAAGTAGCATTCTGGCGTATATTTTGGATAGGCAGCGCCATATTGTACAGCTCTTTATGGATAACTCAGGCTCAGTTTTATTATTAATGATGCTAAAGAGAGATGATCGCGCACTTGTGATTAGAGGCACCCCACTTACTTGATCTCGGGATGCTTTACCAAGATCCAAGTATCGTAACTCCCCTCGCGGCCCCATTGAGCCATATCTTGTTTCAGGCTATCCAGCTCCTCGAAACCATGTTTCGCATACATATCGACTGCTTTCTGCCCCATGGACATCATATACAAATCCAACCCTAGTTGATTGCCTTGTTCTACACCTGACTTGACAAGCATGCTGCCGATTCCTCGGCGATGATGGTCGGGATGCACTCCCAGGTAATCGAGCTCTATTCTCCCTTCAGCGACATGACTTTGAAGAAAAAATCGATAATACTTACTAATATAAGGGCCTTTAGGGGCATGCTTATGAAATTGCTCAGTAACGAGATCATCCGAGTTTTCAACCTCGGGTCGGATGGCCCAGTCGGCTGCCTCGTAGGCTGCCTGGAAGCGAGCCTTATCCTGTTCACTCACATCCGGGACTTGGGCATCAAGCCAGGAATCTGCGTGCGACGCCGGTAATATCCATCGAGCATAGCCAACAACTTGACCAGTTGCCGTGTCTATGACTTTCTGATGCCGTCGTACATCTCTCTCCTTCAGGAGATTGGTGGGCATTCTGGCCGCAGCAGATTCGATAATTGCATCGAGAGGCTTGTCCCAATTCATGTTCCACCAAGGCTCGCCGTAAAAAGCTGTCATGTTGGAATTTGCCAGACCGACGGCATCGTCTACCGTGCAATTGGGCACAAGCCTATATGTAGCCATTTTCTTTGACTTTTACCTTGGACTTGGCGATAATGGAGGCGAGACGCGCAACAATTGCGGGGGTCTGTATGAAACAAAACAGACAGGCGCCAGTTGATGAGCTTGCGATCCGATCAAGTCCCGAATGCATTCAGAAGGGACACGTACAGGCTATAAATAAAATAGCCATAGTGTATACACAAGTAACTGATGTTATTTAGGACACAGTGTCCTTCACTCATTCGTAGACATTGGCCTCGGAATCACGGCTTCTTCAGCACAGCGAAGTCGCATGCTGAGCTGTAGCTAATGCCGCTAAAATCCTTGAGAGGGACTTTCTAACAGTTAACAGGGACACAAAAGGCATTGCTGCCTAGCTACCCATGCCGAGCCACATAACTTGTATTTATTCCCGAGTCTAAGTAAAACAAGTTGTCCTACCAAAGTCGTTCCATTCAATTAGAAGCCAAAGGGGAGGAGTAAAAAAAGACACCTTTTGCCTTTACACAAGCCCCGAATATACTAGTAGGTACCTGCGGTAGGTATAAGGCCGCAAACATGTACCATTAGTCCAGATTTACGAAACAAGTCGAATTAAGTAGCGCGAGTGACTTTGGCCTCAAGGAAGTTACAACATGTGTTATGATTTGTTAACCAGTGTTAATGAATTTCTTTGTGGGAAGGTCGTTCTAATTTTAATCGACATTGTCGCAACTCGCAGGCCTCTCGAGAATGGCGACAGAATCGATACAAAAAACCACCGGTTTTGTAAGGTACATATCATTCAATTATCAATGTTACAATTGGCGTTCCGCACCCATTGCATGAGAATTGATTGGAAAGTCACTCAGAACAGTTCATTTCAGCCAGTATGCTTTTATTTTAATCATTTGTACTCATTGAAGCCCCTCTCACGCCATATATAGCTTATGATACTTCAAAGGATCTACATGAAGCCTCTCATACAATGGATCATAGGCATCTCTTACGACTCCCATATCATAGCGTATGTTATCGTATGCTTTATTCTCAAAGGGATTCTCGCCACCGTGATACAGAAAGTTTTCAACTTCCTCGTCAAACCAAATTGCGCGCCCTGGCATCTGACGACTGGGACTGAGGTCAGATACAGCAAACGTGACTTTGGGTTTCGTGAGCCGCTCATGCCAACATAGAGTGTCGCGCATATCCTCCAGTAACTGGCGCTGTGTGTTAGATCCCATGCACAAAAATCCCAGCTCAAGCGACTGTAGCGCGGGAAGCTGTGAGAGCGTTGATATCAAGTCAGCGGAATCCACAGGAAAGTTCCATAGCCGAAAATGCTGTAACCATGTCCAGCAATCAATGGGAAGAAACGTTTGCAGCGCTGGTGGCCTTTCATGGTGGGGGTAACGGTTGGGAGAATAGCTGAAATGGTTCATGCTTGTTTCCAAGCTGAAATGCTCTAGTTGAGAAGCTTTTGCTAAAGCATTTCGCATAAGACTCTGGCGAAAATCTGTCCAACTGTATTCCACCATAAGGGATAAATGTAATCTCTTCAAGCCCGGAAGCTGAAGGCAGGAGAGAAGATCCGAATATTCCTGAGATGGTTCTTCGAAGATACGGCAGTTAAGGCCAGTATGAAGATAGTGGGAGTCAATAAGAAACTCAGAGACGCGATGATGCTGTTGCTGTTGAGCCAAAATCTTTGTAACTAGGCAATAGCCGCGCCATCGCGCTTTTGAATCTTCCCACGGCGCAGGTTCTTCGCCAGGATAGCCAGGAAGCTTCGTTGGCCAGCCACGGGGAATTGGATAATTAAATCCAGAGGGAAAAGCCCGAATCATAGGAGTCTCGTAGAGAGGAGTGAATAGCCACCCATGAGCAGCAGGTGTAACAGAGACTCTTCGTAGAGCGGGGAACCGTTGCAAGGCGTATTGAAATGCCTCAATATCAGCTCCATGAGCCACCACGTCGTCTTGCTGACGTACTAGATCTTGGTAATATGTCCATGATTCTTCTAGCGATAACTCGGCATTTACTTGTCGTGATATAGCAAGGTGTTCAGGGCGGCCTGGGTCCTCTCCCCTTCGGCGCTGTCTCAAATCATTGAGGTTCATATCCCGTCTCGTTTGAAACCATTCCATACCTGTTATTGACCTATCAAAATACAATCTCGAGACTTCTTCGGGAAGCGCATTGTCGGAATGATCAGTACTGGAATGACATAAGCGGGCATCGTCATAAATAAGCTCGATGATGCCTTGGCGATACACATCATGATCGGCAATAGAGCGAAGGACGTGAATATTGAGTGGATTGGCAGAGAGAAAGACTCGGCTGATGCGTAACTTGACGACACGAAAGAGTCTGCAAGTCAAGCGTAGATTCTTGATTGAGCGATTGTCTAGATGGCTCACAAGATTCGTAATGAGCTCGGGAGGCAGTGTGGTTAGAAGAGAAGGATGATCTGAAGCTTGCATTAGATTTTTGAAGGCTTTATTCGTTGACTGAGTAGGGAACCAACGCACCAGGCGATATAAAGGGCGTGTATTCGCAATGGGTAGCATCCAAGACTGGAAACTCAATGGGAAAGTCGAGGCGTATGCGCTCGGTTCTCCTGGCCAAGGCGGCCTTTGACAGAATGTTTTCAAAATCGTCGTCTTCTTCTTCTTCTTCTTCTCCATTGTCCTGGCGGTGAACAGATTTTGATGAGCTAATTCCCATCGTTGTGTAAGTGACGAGTGCTGGACGAATCTGGGAGCGGGGTCTATAGGCTCCTTATATAGTACTTAGGTGCCTAGGTAGGTAGGTAATCGAGAGGGGAGATTTTATCTAAAACACCACTAAATCTTACACGTCCCTCCACGGACATCATCAATCTTGGCCAAATCATCCATGATTGACCCCAGCTTCCTAATGTTGTCCTCTTTTATCCCTCTCCTCTTATTCGCAGCCTTTAATCACGCGGAACGGCTCATGCCTGCACCCGCCAAGTGTACTGAACACAGCTATGAAGGCATTGTTAGGATCCTGTACAATGGTGTAAGCTAATAATCCAGCTTCTCCCGCAGCTTCAGCCATCTCCAAGGCAGAGCGGATAGCCACCATACTACTATCCACCGCTTCTCCTACAAAGGGGATGAAAAAAAGAACAGCACCGATGAAATTAGCAATCATCTCCTAAAGCTCTTGCTTTTTAATTTCATTGGCCTCCTTGACAACCTTTTCCATGCTCGCCACGGCGGATGCTTAAAGACTGTGGGACAAGTTATCGCATGGTTACTAAGAACACGATTTTGGCAGTCTGGTGAGTTGTCGCAGATGGCGCCACAAGCTGTTACCTCGCAACTGGAACAGCATATGCTCTTGCGTGTCTCTTCGCACTTAATGAAGTTATCGGCATATCCGTTGCCCATAAAGGCATTAATCTAAGTAAGGACCAGCTCCATAGTATACTCCTCATAGATTTTAAACTTGTCGTCATAGCCGCTGTTAACAATATCCTTGTACTTGGCTAACGCGTCGCTCATAATATGGAGTTCTAAATCGATGATGTACTGATCCATGCAGTAGAAGGGAATACTACCTTTGTTATCTGTAAGCTGGTCCAGACTGGTGTAATTTGCGTTGCGATTTGCATAATAATCGCCTTTAATGACAGCGACAAAGTTGTCGTCAGGGCCGTCGTCCTCTTTAGTGCCACTAGATAAGAGATTTCGCTTGCTGGCATTCATATTCACGTGGCAGTAAAGGGGCAATTACTTACTCCACGTACTCTTGCAAGTCAACAGCCCAGTCACTTGTTCCTGCAAAGTTGTACGAGGCATACAGAGTGGCTCGAGCTGCCTTTTAAAATACTTGAAACCCCGTGGCATCGATGTGAAGATAGAGATCCTCGATGCGTCCGTCAATCCGGTTGATAGTACAAAGGATTGGAAGACTGTTGACTGGGAAGCAGCAGTAGATGAGGCCGTGAAAGCAGGAAAAGGCACCAAAGAACAGCTAGAAGATTTGATGAAGGAAGCGAATAAGGATTTCTATGGACCCCCAGCTGATGGTTCTGATCCAAGTGAAGACCAAAGAAAAGCGGACGATCACAGAACAGTCATAGGGGCTTTTACGAATGCACATAACAAAGCTGCAGGATGTCTCCCAAAACCACCAGCAAAAAAATAAGATCAGGACAAGAGACGAGAGAGATATTTGGAATTCTACGTAGTTGGCGGTTTGAAAACGTTAGTATTCAATTATTTTAAACTTATATTTCACCTTATAAAAATCTCTCTCCATCATTTGATCTAGCTTAGTTATTGTATTATACAGTCATCTTATTCTACCTCTAAGCAAAGCTCAATAAAAGGATAACCACTAAAGGACCACAACTCTTCGTCAATGTCATCCATATTCTGTACTAGCCACCCCTTCTGGCTTTCCCATTCCTCTGCTAACTCAATCTGAGCTTTAGTCAACATGAGCCCCGTCTGAATGTCAAGAAACCTAACATTATCGATAGGACAAACGCCATACGAGCCAGCGGTTGCCCCCCAGAAATGCATGTCATGCGATATGGCCAAGTGCACTTCCCGCAGAACGGTAAACTGCGTGAACCTGGAGCTCGTAAATCTAGTAAATGTTTCGGCCCAGTCTTCAAATTCTCTCCCCGTTGGAACGGTGAACCTAAGCCGCTGAATATCGGCCGCATGCGGGTCAAGGGCGTACAGATTGTGGTGTTCGAGGCAGATCATGTCCTCGTTAAAGTTAACCCAAATATACCGAGTCTCGGAGTCGCCAGGTAAGGTAGTGAAGAATGCTTTCTGATATGGGGCGAGTTGACGAGACTCCTGGCAGACATGCATGAGTTCCGCTTGTGGAATCATAGAGGCAAAATAACGGTCCGAGCCTGCAAAACGGTGGCCCTCAAAACGGCCTGGCTTGGGCGTTGTGCGGACGTGGATGAGACGTGGGTACGCTGCCAAGGCCCAGATTTGACTGCGAATGTCAAAGGGGAGGCGTGAGAAGGAAAGAAACGTGGTGGCCATTGTCATTGACGGTTGACTAGTATTATTTCACATGTGCAAATAGTCCCACAAGTAAGCTGGCCATTAAGTATATATGTTCAACATCAAAACCAATAGATTGTGGATAATGGCAGAAATTACCGCGAACTCCAGTCTAATCAAAAGGAAGCAATCGGTCCGGTAAGGTTGGCTGTGTGCTGCACGATGTACGGGAGGAGGAAATTGTTTACAGGAGGGAGAGTCAAGACGGCGATTACTATAAATGGAGTAAACGGAGTGCATGTTTGTTTGTGCGGAGTACGGAAGCGGTGCGGGCCCGGGCCTGGACGAGTCGAGCCCGCTTCTTTAACCCGACATGACATGTAACCAGCCATTTAAAGGCCCAATGGAAATCTTCAAGTCACCGCAGCAGATACCAGGTATCCAGGTACATGCATTCATGCATACATGCATACATTCACTCTGAAAATGCCCCAAAGCTCATCTTTTGGGCGGCTCCTAGTGGCACGTCAGCCGGAAGGCGGCAGATCTCCCTAGCACGCCCACTGAGACCTCATCAGCTGCCAGTGCTAGCCGCTTCTAGGCACTGTTCCGCGAATCTTTGCAAATTGCCTGGGGCGTGGTGGCGCAGGCCAAGAAATGTTAGATGCTCGACCAACAGCAGTAACTCCAAGTTCCAAATGAGCATATGGGCACAAGTACCAACTTGGCTCCAAGAGGTAGGAGGCTCTTGCGACTTGTTGGGCTACCTTTAACAGAGCATCACCGATGGCGAGAAGTTTGGGGTGCACAAGGTACATGTATATACATGGTGGGCCCCGACATCCGAAGTGCTTTTCGGCCCCCAGCCAGGGTAGTTAGATGAGAAATAGAATTGATAAAAAGCTTTTTGTTTAGCTTATTTCTCACGAATGTAACTGCGTGTTGGTTGAAAGCCTCGGCCGCCTCGTCGCGTGACTCTTAATTTTTCCTTACGAGCAGAGGAGAGCCCATCTTCGACATCTTCGAGGAGTCGCCATTACCCAGCCTGGTTCTCTACAGAGTCTACACCTCTGATCCGTTTTCTTTCAATCTTGTTCCTTAACGTTGTCCCATCTTTTTTACAGCTGTTCATACTATCTTAGAACGTGACACTTGCGTAAAAGAACCACACTTATTTGCCGTTTACAATGAAGCGCCGGTATCCAGTGGCAACCACTGACGGCCACCTCAGGCTCATCAGAGGAGTCACCACAGGTGATCCCTTGTTGAAATTGTTATCAGCAACCCCCCTTGGCGCGCGCTGGTGTTCCCGGACCATTAACCACCAGAGTGTAGATTTATATTATGTAACTATTGCTACTATTGCTACTATTGCTAGTCGTAAATACGGCTTGTAATTAGATATTCCCAAATTTAGACTGACATGTACCCTATGTAGCTTCAACTGGAGTGTTAAATAACAGGCTTATGGTGCTAGACGACTTTTCCCTTAGTGTCCCATCACTATCCGACAACCTCACCAATGCCTGCCAAGGTATAGCCGCTCTTCAATACAGACTTCTCAGACTTCTCGGGATCATAGTCAACAGATCTCATCCATTCCTCGACAGTTCTGATGCGATCTGGCTTAATTTTATCCAGACGCTGATAGTCCCTCGTCCACAGCCCCGTGTTACCAATGCTATTCGTCCAGACCGTGAACCAGTTATAAAACATCTTTTGCGGCGTCCAAAGCGTAGGGTCATCGTATCCCGGTGAATGGGCCACACCTAATTTAATAAGTGGAAAGATCTGACGAAATTTCTCTTCGGTCATTGGAACGTATTTTGACGGCTTGCCTGTGACTGCTGTAAGTGCGGCAGCGAGCTCTGCTCCTGAAGTGTGCTTGATGCCCACGCTCAAGAGGTCTCCGCGGAACTCTTCGGGGTTCTCAAACATGTACCGCGCAAACCAGGCGAGATCTCTCAGAGATACGAGTGCCATGCAGCCGCTCTCTCCTAAGAATAAATCCCAGATCCATTCGCCAGTCTTTTCGTCAAGCTTGGGAGCACGTCGATACAGGCTGTCCTCAGCGTACGGGCCGCTTTCCAACAGGCTCCAGTTCATGACATCTGTTGGCTGAGACTTGAGGTATTCTAGAATGTAGACTTAGTAGAAGCACAGTCAAGTAGAAGCCATGACTCCATACCTCCGAATTTGGCCTTTCCATCCACAAACGGGACGCGGAATTTGGGATTGAAGCCGCTCTTCTTGGACACGAATGGCAGAGTGCTGTAGATGAAGTGCTTTACACCAGCCCAGAGCGCGAGTTCGTAGATGCGAATACTCCAATAGATTTCGCTCTTCTCTCCAATTGCGAACCCATTTGTATTCACAAAGACAGACTCAATGTTCTCAAAGGCAGATGTGAGCACTTCTTCGTCATAAGTATCGCCCTGGGCGACTTCGATGCCGGGCAAAGCCGCCAACTTCTTGGGCTCTTCTTTTTCTGTATCTCGACTGAGGATGCGCACTTTATGGCCTGCCTGGGCAAGTTCTTGGGCAACATACGAGTTTTGTGCTCCTGCGCCACCAAGAATAAGAATGTTCAACGACCGTGCCATCTTGAAGGCGCGAATTGAGTAGATGACATGAAGTAATAGTTTATTTCTCGAAGTCTATACTTCTTTTCAGGGAGATCACTCCATATTTATAGTGCATCATTCTTCTCTCCTCTTTTACGACCGACATTCTATCTCACGGATTCTGAGCTAAACTCGGCCTTCATTAATAATGTGGATTGTGTAATTCTCTTTTCGTTGTCTTTTGTTGTCTGTTTAAACTATGCTCCAATGATGGCTTTCTGACACCGCTGAAACTGACCTTGGCTGACCATTACCTGATTAGTGATACCGAGGATACATGCGTATTGGTCTAGATAGGTATGGAATCACAGCGCATATGATGTAGGCCAGCCCTAGTGAATCGGTTACTTCTGACACACTGCCAATTCTGCAATGTCTGGTACTGGTGTATAATAACTAAACATGACGTTCATGTTGACGATGAGAGGAGGACGCTCGCGGATATTACGGCTGGCCCGGTACATTTAAGAGAGCTATTGCTATAGTAAAGCTCTCTATTCAACCCCTTATTTGTAGTATTACACTCACCCGCCTTTTCACCTTGAAGTACTTTACGCACTTGCTTCATAATATCGGATAGCTGGAGCTGCTAATAGTAATGCGCTATGCTTGGAGGTGGCCTTGAAGACGCAGAAGCCCACACCTATAAAGTCGCCGAAAGCGAGGACGCAATGGCTTTAGGATATGTGGAGGTGTTCAAAAGACATAGTGGAGGCTACGTTTAGTCTTATATGTAAGATATTGGAGAGTGGCGTTGTTGATGTAGGTGGCAGATACTCAAAGTGCCTTATTCTGCCTCACTTATGTTTTTGCACACTCATCCAGATCAGGCACAAGCACTCTGACTCTCTTGTCTTGCCCATTGGGAACTTTGACCTTATCCTCTCGTTTTCGCATTCGACCGCCTCCAGCTTCTCTCGCGCAGTCTGGGGATTTTGGAGAATGCGGTAAGTGTCCAGTCTTTGGTATTTCCTGTGTCCTTTTAGTAGCCGCAGGAAGGTGAATAGCCACGAAGCGGCAAGCGCCCATACATCAATCTTGATTTAGATTCACTTTTCGTTTCTCCGGATGCCAAAGTTCACGTGCAGCGCAAATGCCCGTGTGGTGCTCTTTCGGCTGCTTCATATTCAAAAGAATGACTTCCCGCCTTGGTGGCCTGTCCTTTGAGTCATTGGCTAATATTCCGTTGGGTGGAATGCTTCCGTGAACAATAACATGGTTTCCACAGTAAGTCAAGAGACTTCTATTGCTTCATGTGTTTTTAGTAGACGATACCCTATACAAGCCTACCTAAGGTAGCCATATATATAGGTACCTAGCAATGTTTGTAATAGAGTTTGCTTTATCTGGCAAGGCTTCAGATTACAAACGGGGAAGTTGCTTCCCGGACATCCAGCACTCTTTGCGCACCGTCTGCTGTCCCGTCCATCATGTCCTCTATGGCCAAAAGGCATTTCTCCGAGGATGGATCCATGCTGTCCTTGCTGTTAGATTCTAAGGCAGTTTGTATACCATTGCCGCCGTTGGCAAGGTAGTGACCAGATATTCATCCTCAACATCCGGATCTAAAGATACAGATACTGCGCATATTGCTAGACCATAGAGGAGGTAAAAGAAGATGTAATGAAAGACTGTCGTGAGATTGTACTTGAACAGGTCAAACGCCACTTGGCAGAGCTTATAGATACGCGACTTGAACTCAGCTTTAATAAGAAGGAATCAAGATAAAATAATTTCTACTTTTCTTCTGAAAGTCTTTGCTTATTAGCGTAGCCCTTCAATGGAATTCTCCTATAGCAAGCTTAGCTTAATGATTTATTACCTTTAGCTACAGGTAATCTCTTCTTGTTAACTTGATTCCTATTTCTTGACTAGAAACTCGTCTGGCTTCAGGGGATACCGCTACGGATAGCACTAATGCGGGGCACCAGCAGATACATGAAAACACACCCAGCTATGCAGTAAAGTCAAGTACCAGCGCCACGCTGCTGCTAAGGCCGCGCAATGCATCCACGGACTGGACCCCTGAGCGCCAATCCACTAAAGTATCTGCAGTACGTACCACCATCTCTCGAGACCATCAACCTCCAGGCCAGCATCTTCTTCTTCTTTACTTACTATTTATAATTCACCTTTTTCTTTTCCCTCTCTTCCCACCTTTCTTGTGTCTTTTGCATATGCGGCTGGCTACATGTTAGTCGCGGCGTTTCTCCGCAATGGCTTGGGCCTTCTGGTGCCTTTGGCGATAGCCTGCACCATCTATCTCTATCTCTATCCCTTTTTCGGCGGCTGCGCGTTTCCTCTGCCGTCGAGAGACTCCAAGGAGGCCTTTGAAGCAACCAAACAGCTGCATTGGCCGTACACCGGACTCGAATCCGAACCAGACCATGTGCCGACGCAGCTGGCTCCCTTCCGGCTTCTTGCTCTGGGCGATCCTCAGCTAGAGGGCGATACGTCGATCCCAACCGTCATCTTGGGCACGTTCCCCCATATATTCAGCATCTTCGACCATGTCACGTTTCGCACCGAGCACTGGTGCTTTCGCGAACGCGTGCGGCAGATTGTGCACGACATTGTCGACATCTTTTTTGAAGACATCCCGTGGTTCCTCGAGTCTTTGCGCAAACGCTTCGACCTCTTCGGCAACGACTTCTACCTCGCCCACATCTACAGAACGCTGCACTGGTGGTCGCGCCCAACTCATGTTACGGTGCTCGGAGACCTGTTGGGCAGCCAATGGATAGAGGATGATGAATTTGACGTACGGGGCCACAGGTTCTGGGAGCGAGCTTTCCGCGGCGGAGAGAGAGTGCCCGACGATGTCGCCGTGTGGCCAGAGCACGAGTATGAACTCGCGGGCATGCTGGATGGATCCGAGGCGGAGGACATTTGGACAAGAAGAATCATGAACGTTGCTGGGAACCACGATATTGGATATGCGGGCGACTTGACGCCCGAACGACTGGACCGGTTCGAGCGTGTCTTTGGCAAGGTCAACTATGAGCTTCGATTCGGAATTCCGATCAACGACACCGATGTGCTAGCCACCTTGCACGACGATGCGACGAACCCCGAGTCGACACGAATAGAGCCCGAGATTCGCATTGTTGTTCTCAACGACATGAATTTGGATACCCCTGCCAAAAACGCAACTTTGCAGGACCAGACATATCAGTTTATCAACAAGGTTATCGGAACATCGGCTGCTGTCGAGTACTCGGGAATATTCACTCTCGTCCTAACCCACATTCCTCTTTACAAGCCCGAAGGCGTCTGTGTCGACGCGCCCTTTTTCGACTTCCACACCGCGGAAGAAGGCGGCGGCGTCAAGGAGCAGTATCTGCTGAGTGCAGATGCCAGCAAGGGCTTCCTCGAAGGTTTCTACGGCATGAACAAGGACCCCAACGCCGCGGCCGGCGGAAGGGGCCGCAAGGGTCTGATTCTCAACGGCCACGACCACGAAGGCTGTGACACGTACCACTTCATCAACCAGACAAACGGCACAGATCCAGCTGAGCGCTTCTGGGAAGTGGCGAGATGGCGTGATGCCCAGGCTCAAGGGCTACCTAATCTGATATCTGAAGGTGTCCCAGGCCGCCGAGAGATTACCGTCCGTAGCATGATGGGCGACTTTAACGGCAACGCTGGCCTGCTCAGCATGTGGTTCAACCAGGAGACGTGGGAGTGGGAATACGAGTTTGTCAACTGTCGCCTCGGCACGCCGCTTTTTTGGTGGTTCGTTCACTTTCTAGATTTGGGAGTGGTTGTGGCCTTTTTGGTGTATATCGCGGTGACCATCATGGGCGCTGCAGGTGTTGACGTGGACGCGCGGTTCTTTGAAGCAGTTGAATGGGGCAGACGCAGATTTTCACAGTGGTGGAATAAGAATAGCAATAGAGCAGCGGCGACGACGACACAGAATGGACATGCGAAGATGAACGGGTGATTTGGACATACGCAGCGAAATACCCAAGAGTTTTTCTTTTTGTACAATACAATAGAACACATTTTAATGTAGCATAGGTACTTGAGATTTAGAGGAGGCAAAAGGCACTCGTTACGTTTGTTTGCTTGGGGTTCTTTTGTAAAAGGCGACGGGCACAGGTCGGTAAATGTATGAGTGGTGTTGTTGCCTTCTGACTTTTTGGAGATGGCACAGGTTTACGAACACGAGGTTTTATTCTTTTAGTTCCTGGTTTCATAGCATGCATTGAAAGACATCAGCAGAGATGCTTGCCTTCGTAGATGATAAGCTTTTTGTATCCCACTCGCTTTACCTTGTCATCACCCTATCTGCATCGTTATAGCATATTTTCTAGAATGTTGAGCTCAGTATCGGATTGCACATGATCACTTCTCGTATCGGCCGTGCGACATAGATCATGCATAAGATCCCGCATTTTCTGCGCCTGGGTTGCCGAGAGGCAATTTGAGCCATGTGTTGCATAGACCGAGAGCGTTCTGTGGATGTAGCACTTTGTGGATCGTGCTTTGGGGATGTATCGACCATACGCGGACTATCAAAGCTCTAGTCTACAATGACAGCGTATGACCAAGCAAGATTGCGCGTTAACTATTACTGTGATGGAAGCGACGCAGGACAGATATTGCAGTCATGCGTTGTGACCAACCATACACCAAGTTCAGAATACGACGCTAAGAAAGTGATCAAAATCGAGATGCGGGCTGGACAAGCAAACAACTGGATATAGTTCCCGGGAAGCTTTGTGGCCACGATCTTGTGTAGCAAACTCAATGTCTGCCTTGTAACAGCCATCTAAATATGATATTACAGACTTTTAAAAACAAGATATGCCCGTCTTATTTATACCCTCTTCCGTCTCCTCTGTTGATTCAAAATGATTTTCTAAATTACAGTCTCATAAATCGCCAATGGACGCTTTAATACCAACAGTCTTCTCTTACCGAGCCTTTCTCTCCGTCAAAATGCTAGTCTTACGTCTCCTTGTAGCAGTTCTCTTCCATCTGCCCGTCGTCCTCTCATACCCTCACTTTCCCACGCATCTGAATCTACGTGGTGGAAGTTTATCGACTGATCCTCCTCTTCCAACTACTACCGCTCCTTCAATTCCTACTTTGCTGCCTCCGCCATCGACTACTCCGAGTCCAACAACGACTGGAGATCCTTGGACAGACATGTGCAAACCCGGCGCGGAGTGTGACTGCTCTCGCATCGAGGACAAGAATGGCGAAGAGTATTTCCAACCCTCCCTTTATTGCTTCTAAAGAGACTGCTTCTTGCTAAACAAGAGTAATATTCGCAGATACTTCCAATGCGTCACCAATCCTCGCTGTGACCACTGCTGGATCAATCTCACAACCACTTCAACGACAACAACTCGCCCTCTACCACTCACCACTCTCACTCCTATAACAAACTTCCTCAGAACAGACTACCAGACTCTCTTGCCAGGCACGTACACCAGCTCTTCAGGCGGAACGGCTCACGTCGTGATTTTGCAGCAGCCGTCTCGGTCTGTTTCTGTAAGCGTTGTGACGGCCACTGTGACTGATTTGGCGACGGTTTCTGCGGTTCCTTTCTGTGATGCTTCGTTTGGTGGTTCAACGGTGACGGCTCCGTCTGTGGATGTTCGGCGAAATGTGAGGTGGAAGAGATGAATTGTGAGAGTCTTACATGGAGGACGGGGACAGAAATTTATGTGAAAAGCTGATAATTTTTAGGTTTGGTCGATGTGCTGATGATATCAATCTTTACTGCTAAATATTTCCTAGTTAAAACATCACTAATACTTCGTAATGAAAAGCGAATTATCCTTTATCGATTCAGCTGCTTGACTTATAAGATAGAAGGGGAATCAAGATAATAGAAGAGTAGACACAAACACGACACCCACATTGCCACTTGCAGCCATGTTCATCTTCACTTTACTATACTTCACAGAGTCAAATCCCCAAACATCTCTTCTTCAATATAGCCCATCATCATCTCGTACATCCTCTAGTATACAATTCGATTTACACAGAAGTACATTTTTCATCCTTCTTGTCGCAGCAAAAACAAAAACAACATGGCGCCCGTCGAAACGCAGCCTCGCGCATCGCGCATCGCGCCCATCCCCTTTCCCTCTTTCCCAATTCGAGCATAAAGGCCCATGATGCCGAGAATATTTCTATATGCAAATAAATCCTGTCCTCTCGATTGGCAAACGCGAGAACCATATCCTGCCCTATTGCTTTTTCCCTTCTTCTCTCGCGTTTCCTTTTTCCCCTCCCCCCTTTTGATGTTTTTACAATTATTACAAAGCTGAAACCATTATGTAGCGGAGAGATAGTGAAACGCCGTATCCATCACCTTATTTTTGTGTCTTCATTTTCAGGATTGTTGAAAGGGGTTGCTTCACGCCTTGGGAGCCTCGCCACCCTCCTTCTTGGATCCAAACATGCCAGAGAAGTTGCCCATCATGCTGTTCATCATTTCTTGCTGGGCCTTCTCCATGGCCTGCTGCTCCTCCTTGAGCCACTTTTCGCCGTTCTCACGGATCTCCTTCTCTAGAGCCTGGTAGTTTCGCTGGCCGCGTTCGCGAGCAATGTCCTGAATCATCTTGCCCTGTGCGTAAGCCTCGGTAGGATCCTGCTCTCCGTCAACGGGCACAGTCATGCTCATCTTGCTGGGCTTCAGTCCCAGCAGGTTGCCGAGAGCACCCATGCCTGATGGCTTTCCGTGGCCCTTCTTTTCAGCAAGCTTCTGGTTGAATTCTTTTCGAGCAATGGCTTCTCGGCGGGCGAATTCGGTGGGAATGTGCTTTCCTTCGAAGGACTTTAGAATCTTTCGCACGTCCGAGTACTGCATGGTGTGGATATATTCGAGGAAGGGAATCAAAGCTACAAGCTCCTTGTCGCCGGCCTCGCCCTTCCAGGGGTTCAAAATGATGGCGTTCTCGGGCTGTTTGCGGACGTGGGAGGCGTGGGTGTCGAGGATAATGACCTTGGACAGATCACGGTTGAGGTACGCGAGATCCTAGTTGAGATAGAGTTAGCTTGAGCTCGAAGCTAAAGAGAGGTAGAGACGTTGCATGGAATCTGTTGCGTAGAGCTTACTTTGACAATTTCTCCGTCCTCGTATTTGGTCGCCTCGCGATATAGAGGCCACATGATGAAGCGGAAAGGATCCAGCTTTCGGACAACAGGTTCTGCCATGCCAAAGGGCTGTGTAGTAAAGAGAACCAGCTCGTAGTACTGGCTCAGGTATCGGATAAAGTAGTCCATGCCGGGGCGCTTGGCGACTCTCCAGCCGTGCTCACGAGTCCATTCGCTGTGGATGAGCATGTCGTCCAGGCTGAGGCAGAGGGTGTAGGGTCGCTCGAAGCTAGGGTCGGGATCGGGTAGCAGCTTCTCAAACGCTGGATCCTGGTAGTAAGAAACAGACTCGCCCCATCGAGCCTTGGTGCGCTGCCACCACAGAAGAGGGGTCCAGCCGTTGGGGATATCCGGGTGACGATCGGCTTCGATAGAGTCCTCCCAGTTGCGACCCATGTATGCGATGCTAAGAGCCGATCCTGAACCAGCAACGGCCAGCATGAAGCGAGTCCACCATTTGCGGTTGCGCTCGCTGGTAGAGACATACTCTTCTCTTCCTCCGCGGCCTCGGCCACCACCACCGGCTTCCTCCTCAGCGCCAACCTCCAACGCCGATTGAGACTGCGACTGCGACTTGCCCGCCTTCTGCTCAAGCTCGGCCTCTAATGTTGAAGGAATACCCTGCGTGAGATCAGGCAGTTTGTGAAAGGGGATGGGCTCAGGCTCGGCAGACTCGGCGGGCTTCTGCGAGGCAACATTGTCCTCTGGCGCTGATGAGCTTTCGGCGGCGGGGTCTTTCGGTGTTGATGAGGCCTGCTTCTGGGTGTCTTTGGGCCGCTGCGCAGAGCTCGGCTTGTTGCTCGCATAGGCTCGGAGGAGTAGAGAAGCTGGGGCTGCTGTCGCTGGGCGAATCCGGAGAGGCTGCAGCGCCGCAGCTCGTGGTAGCCGGCCGGCCGTCAGCCCCAGCCGAGAGGCCTGAGCTACTCTGGAGAGCATCGTGAGATGAGACGAGACGTCGTCTGATGTGGCGGGACAGATAGAAAGGCGAGAATGCTCAATTGCGCATGTCCAGGCCGCTGGACGTTGATCTCGATGCCGCCGGGTCCAAAGCTCGTGAGTGGCTGTTGCGAGCGTTGGCTGGTCGCAGAATGGAAGCTTGTTAGTGACTCTCGCTCTTCTCCTCTTGCGTATTGGCCCGCCTCCGTCATCCAAGAGATTTTTTTTGTCTGGGATGCATCTGCCGGAGTTTAAGCGATTCTGGCATGTTCTCTTCGAAGTGGGGGTTTCTGCATTTGCCCCATTTGGGCCCCTCAATGCCGCGTCCGGCCTAGCGCGCTCGCGTCCGGCTCACGTGCAAGGCGCTGCCAGCAATTGGAGAACTCTCGGCCTTTCCGCTTTCTGGCCCAAAACCTCCGATCGGTACCGGGTACTTTGTGTGATATTCCCGGTTTGTCATAAGACAAAAATCGGCCTTCCCCAGCTTTCCGTCTTTTGCCTTCCCCTCACACGAGCAAACCCTTGTTTTGGTCCTGTCTCTCTCTCATCCTAATACGACGCTCATCTTGGCTATTTACTACGCATTAGCAGTGATATTACTGGCAACTCTTACCCCAGGACCCCTTGTCTCAGCGCCATCTGGAACACCCGCCATTCCTTCATCATCGCCTGATCCCTCGGGTCTCGTCTTCCGCCAATCACTCAGGAACCCTATCATGGCTTTTGCGTTTGGTGGATTCTAGAGGGTGGTTCATCTCGAGTCTTGTCATCTCGCCATGGAACCACCCTCGACGAGGCACCTCGTTCCTTGCAATTGATTGACTGACTTAATTCCGCCCTATTTAACCGCCGGTCCTACAATACAGATTGCGTCTTCAACATAATTCGCCACATCTCGAAGTTGGAAACAAGCTATATCTCTTTTTCTTGCTCGGCCATTTCATCATGTCTGAGCATCCCTCCAAGATCTCCGGCCGTCGGCCGTCGATGACCAAACCTGTGCCGCCGCCTGCCCCAAGAAAGGCGCAAGCCACGGTCAAGAAGTCGCAAGCTGGGGCGCATAAACCACACGTCTCAGGAAACAAGGCGCACATAATCTCTATACAGAAGCCTCAAGCGGCCTCAAGCATGATCGAGATCGAGGCTCCAGAAGAAGCATCTCAGATCGTGGCGGGCAGCAGCGACAACAAGCCAGAAACTACTTCCGCCGATTCCCTGGCCGTTGACATCGCGTCTTTGACGCTCGATACCCCCATCATCGAACTTCGAAAGAAGCCACCGCGTGTCCCGGCAACGCCATTTCACTTCCTTTCTCTGCCCTCAGAACTGCGCGTCAGGATTTACGAATACTACTTTGACGAAAACGAAAACGTCCTGGACCTCTCCCCAGACAACTACAAGCGCTACCACAAGCGGCTCGGCCTCATGCGCGTCTGCAAGCTGCTCCGCGACGAGGCAACCTACTTCTTCTACGGCACCCGAACCTTTCGCATTTTCCCCACATATCCCGGCAAATACTTCAAGAGCAAGAAACCCATCCTCGCCCGTCTCAAGCCCCGCCAGCGCGAATGCATCACCTCTTTGGAATTGCGCCTCGGTCCGGGGTGGAATGCGCCACCCAAGGGGTGGGCTGTCAACGATGCGCTGGGGCTAAAGGACTGCGTCAATGTGCACACGCTCAAGGTCCTAGTGGAATGCGACCCCAGCGACAACATCTTCAAGGGCTTCCGTCGCTCCGAGGGCTTTTACGAGAAATTCAGCCGTCAGCTTCTTGCCAGCGTTCTTGAGGCGCTGCCGGCGGTGAAGGCTGTTGAGTTCGACGCCTGGTCTAGCGTCAAGAAATCGGGCGCTATGATGACTGGCCTTTTCAAGGTGGTGACCGAAAAGGAAGGCTTATCGATCCAATGGGGACCAGATCGCGGCTGGACTGATGCAGAGGAAGAAGAACCTGTGGTGACGGTTGGGCCAGATCCTAATAGGCCAATCGAGACCGTTCCGATCCAGGGGTTCGGAAACGCACACAACATTGGTTTAATGGTTGTGGCGTAATGGGCATGGAGCAATGGATATTGAAATTCAGGTTGGATCTTGCTGGAATGATTGTTACGATGGATGTATCCTATTATATGAACAGGCGCCTTGTTTTAAACATTTCATTACTTCTTTTCTACTCACCTTTACTCTTCAAAGCGTCAGTCTTTTGTTTACGGCGTCAAGAACCCCAAATGAGGGTACGCGTTCTCTTTGCATTGGTAGTTCAAATGTACCATCATTCCTTCTATAGGCTATTATTACTCCTGAAACTATGTCAAAAACTTGAAAATCGCGTGCGTTTCGCTACATCTGGTATCTCATATAGATTCAATTTCCCAAAACTAATACTTTCTCCTCCTATTCCTTCTCCTTTCCTTAGAGTGCCCCAAGTGTAGACAGCGCATTCCGCAGCTCCTTCACCGCCGTCGGCACATCATCGAAATTCAACGCAGATATCGCAAACTTGGCATGTTTCTGCGCCTGCGCCATGCTCTTCTGATCTATCGCCGCTCCCTGTCTACCTCCCAGCGTGGGAACCGGCGGCGGCGCTATCGGAGCCGGTGCGTGGCTGGGAGATGCAATGGCCGGCGGGACGGGAGCTGTAGGAGCCGTCCATGCAGGTGGCACGGATGGGTTGATTGGCTGAGGAGGCTGAGGAGGCGGCGCAAAGGATGTGAACTGCGGAGGAAGAAGGGGCGTGATGGCAGGTGTAGGCTGAGGCGTGAAATGCGGAGGCTGCATCGGGAAAACAGGTTCTGCGGGCAGAGCAGGGCTGGTACTCATTGGCGACGGGACGAATGGCTCGCTCTGCGGCTGTTCAGGGGCCTGTGGTGGGAAATATCCGTCTTGGACTTGCTCTACCCGCGAAGGCTCGCCGCCATCAGGAGCGTCCTCCACGAATGCGGCCTGTGGTGGTGCCGCAGTAGCAGCCGTAAGCTCCTGAACGTCGGGATCTAGAGGATCGAGCGCGGGCTCGTCCTCTTCTTCTCTGGGCTTGGGGTTTGACTCGTTGGGGTCTTTTCCCTCGCGGATGGCCTTGAGGATGCGGGCGGCGTTCCACTTTGCGAACTTGATCTTTTGGAGCACGTCTGGTTCGGGGGTGCCCCATTCGTGGGTGAGATCGAAAAAGGTTGCGGCTGCGTCGAAGGTATCGGCGGTTTGTCTGGGGAAGCAGTTAGAATCAGATGTGATGCTGAGGACTTTATCCATTATGCGGTGCTCACCTCGTCACTTTGTTCGCCCTCATTGTCCTCTCTGCGCGATCAAACGTCTCCTGCGCAAACTGCTCGACGTAGGCCTGGCCTGCCGTGTTGTCCATGATGGCATCGTCGTCTGGGCGCTCCGACTTTGTGGCCTCGAGGCGCTCGAGCAGCGTCTTTGTGAAGCTGAAGCAGTCATCGTCGGTGGTGTGGAGGCTCTTTCCTACAATCTGGTTGACGGCGTGGTATTCGCCTTTTCTTATGCGTAAGAAAGCTGACTTTCATGTAGAAGGCTTTGATATAGATGAACGAGACACATACACCAGTATGAAATGGCTGGCTTAAAGGCGCGCAGCTGGTTCGCTCGGTTGAGGAACCGACTGACCTCGGGGATTTTGAGCGGCGGGGGGATTGGCTCAGCCATTGTGATTTGCACTCTCCCTGCTGTACTTGAGGCGTAGATAGCAGCAGCGCGAAGAGAAAGAAAAATACAAACTAGAAAGGGAGACAATAAGATTTCGAGTGATAGAGCAGAGATGGAGATCGTTTGAGAGTTGCCTTGCCAGCGACGTAATGAGGTGACGATGCGTCTCCCCCACATTTGTCCACATGGCAGAGGCAGCTGCTCCAAGCCTACTCAGCACCAGCCACAGCGTTTGCCCCGCCTGAGGTCGCGCCACCCGATTGACAGATATGGAAGCTGCCAAAGTAAACGGCTTGGCTAAATGACACTGTGCTTGAAATAAGATACACGTATTTAGAAGTCTTGACACCAGAATGCTGTTTATTCTCCACATACATGTTTAGAAATTTCATTCTTGGATAAATTAAAATTATCAAAGATCGAATCGACTTTGTATTGTCTGCCGAAAAATATCACCCCGATATTGAACATCCCACCCCTTCTATAAGTCAGCTACAGGCCCCAGTGCTAAACCGCCCTGTCCTATTGGTAAGCCACACCTCACACTGTGCACCCTCCAGCGTGGCCTTTTCTGAAATCTCATTCCCAATTTCGCCCAGGAACAGCCACTATAAATTCAAGCGCTGTGACATCGTCGTCGCACCGACGTCGCATTTCCATTTACCATCTCCTCACTCACTAATTTCACTCTATTGAAGTGTCAAAGTGAGGGAGCCTTCAATGAACAAGAGTATCACCTACTGAGAGATCGCAGTGATATTACAAATAGACTTCTCACTTCTCACTTACGGACACACTTACACGTCTTTGCATATACCTAACCCATAAATCATGCATCAACAAACTCTCCTCGCCACTCTGGCGGCGAGTCTTGCCGCTCTGCCCTTTGCTCAGGCCGGCATGTACTCCAAGAGCTCTCCCGTCCTACAAGTAGACGGCAAGTCATACGACCGTCTCATTGCGCAGTCCAACCACACCTCCGTAAGTCATCTCTCACATGGACTCCCTATGAATGTATAAACACACAAACAAACTAACACGCCCAGATCGTCGAATTCTACGCCCCCTGGTGCGGCCACTGCAAAAACCTCCAGCCCGCCTACGAAAAAGCCGCCAAGAACCTCCAAGGCCTCGCCAAAGTCGCCGCCGTCGACTGCGACGATGAATCTAACAAGCCGTTCTGCGGCTCCATGGGCATCCAGGGCTTCCCCACGCTCAAGATTGTCCGCCCAGGCAAGAAGGCCGGCCGTCCAGTCGTGGAGGACTATCAGGGCCCGCGCACGGCGAGCGGCATTGTCGATGCGGTGGTGTCCAAGATTAACAACCATGTTGCCAAGTTGACGGATAAGGACGTTGATGGGTTTTTGGAAAAGGATGGGGAGAAGCCAAAGGCTATTTTGTTTACGGAGAAGGGGACTACGAGTGCGCTTTTGAGGAGTATTGCTATTGATTATTTGGATGTCATTTCGGTGGGACAGGTGAGGAATAAGGAAAAGGCTACCGTTGAGAAATTTGGCATTTCTTCGTTCCCGTCTTTTGTCCTCATCCCGGGAGGTGGCAAGGAGCCTATTACCTATGACGGAGAGCTCAACAAGAAGGACTTGCTCGACTTCCTCAAGCAAGTCGGCTCCCCCAACCCCGATCCAGCTCCGGCCAAGGCCAAATCTGGCAAGAAGGCAGCAACCTCCAACAAGGCCAAGGAGGCAAAGGAAGCCAAGGAATCATCATCATCCACCGCATCCTCCGAAGCCTCTTCAGCCGCCGCACCCGAAGCCACCCTCATCGAGATCCCCGCTCTCAAATCCAAGGCCGAACTCGAGGAGCACTGCCTCCAGTCCAAGGCTCAAACCTGTGTCCTTGCCTTTGTCCCCGCATCCACCTCCGAGATGCGCAACAAGATCATTTCCTCCGTTTCCCAGCTCCACACCAAATACGTTCACGGAAAGCGCCACTTCCCTTTCTTCTCCCTGGACAGCGACGTCGAAGGTTCTGCCGCTCTAAAGGAAGCCCTCGGTCTGCAGGGTAAGATTGAGCTCATCGCCCTCAACGCCCGCCGTGGATGGTGGAGGCGCTACGAGGACGGCGAGTTCAGCGTCCACAGCGTGGAGTCCTGGATCGACACCGTCCGCATGGGTGAGGGCGAGAAGAAGAAGCTCCCCAAGGGCGTTGTTGTTGACAAGCCAGAGACTACCGAGGAGGCCAAGGTCGAGACAGAGGCCCCAGCAGCTGAGGAGTCTGAGCATGACGAGCTTTGAGAAGAGCCTATATTTTGACAGCTACAACAAGATCTATGTTAGAAACAAGAAAAAAATTGAACAAGACTGAATATAATCGTTGCCAAAGAGCAATTCCATAAAACTCACCTGGTATCATCCAAAAGCATAGCAATCCAAAAGAAACGCCCATTACTCATCCAAGCTCACAGCCATCATATCACTCTTCCGTACGGCTCCCTCTTTGATCATCTTCCTTCCCTTCTGCTTCACAATGCCATCCAGCAATCTCCTCACTTGCTTACACCCATCCACTCCCACTACCAACATACCCTCCAGTCGGCTCACTTGAACACGGCTCTCACACACTAATACCGCAACCTTGTCGCTGTCTCCCAGTGTTCCAACCGTTAGAAACGGCAGTTCCTGCTCCTCCTGGGTATTCAAGTCGAGCAGAGGATCGGCTGCATCATCGCCCGCAGCGTAGGAGGATGTTGAACCCGCAGTACAAGCTGTGATGTAGTCTGTCATGGGGATACCGGCGTCGATGACCGCAAGAGTAGTCGCATTTATCAGCGCAGCAAGAAGCGAGCCGTCCTGGGACAAGACGTGCAGGGATACTGTAATCGTCGAGTGTGGGAAAAGGTGAGTATGCAAGTTGGCAGCCAGCGCTTTCTGAATCGTAATCTCCATCTCCTGGATGCGCCTATAAAGATATCCCAGTTAGTCTTTTTTCCATTCTTCCTCTTTGTCACTTCCTTCTCAGCTTACCTATCGTTTCTCCCCCTCCTCTTGCGATCCACGCTCGAAAAGCCAGCCACCACCACATTCACCACAATGCTCGCTCCCTCTTTCTGCCCCGTCGCCTGCGCGCTGCCCACAGTGCCCTTCTTCTGTCCCGCCTGCGGCTCTGCCGGGCCAGTCACCACGCACATGACCTTTGTATGGCCCATTTCGAGATATGACGATCCATCGGCGGCGTCCTGGGTGTGAATCTGGGCGTGCAGGCGACGGAGGTCGTTCCAGCGGCGGCCGTCGATGCGCAGCAGCGCGAGCGAGTATGTTGATGTGTCGAGAGGCATGGCGACTGCTTTAGGATGTGAATTGAGCTGCTGGAGGAGAGAAAGATTGGGCTTCCAGAAATATTCTGTTATGCGAGGAAACACAATTGCAGATGTCAGTTAAAGATCTGCGAGGCCTAGAAATTTTGGAGCTTGGAGCGTGGTGGGGTCAATTGGAGCTGCTGTGTGGCTGATAACGGAATGCTGTGGCGCTGGCTGCTAAAAGCAGTGTATGGCATTCTACAGATGAAGAAGTAATCAAAGGTATATTGACAGTTTTTTTTTTTTAAAAGATAACTCATGAACAATTACTCATTAAAGATTCATTATTACATTTATTTAGCAGTGGCCACGCACCTATCAGCGTGGTCGGGTATAGCAACTACCTACTACTAACTCAAACAGCTTACATGGCTTTGGAGCAATGCTGGTACAATACATGCAGTAGAAGAAACAAAATCAACTCGCTCGCTACAATAGCCGCCTGTGCTCCTCAAATGGAGCCGCATCAATATCATCAATAATAATCCTCCCAGACTTGCTCAATTCTGCGCCACGGTCAAATATCGGCGTAGAAAGCCGAGTATGTGCCACCTCTTGTCTGCTCACTCTTGCCTCGTCTCTGGGGATCCAGAGAGTTGGCTTCGGTTCCCAAAGTTCCGGAGGCTCATAGGTTGCACGCTTGTCGCCTTGTCTATATGCAATCGGCGGTCGTTCTTCCTGAGGCAGCAGCTTGCGTAATGCCACAAAGTCTTCGTGCTCCTCTGGATGCAGCCACCGGATGAGAAATCCTGGCGGTTCCTCTCCATCCCCATTCCTTAGAAAAGCAAATGTCCTCCTTAGATATTCATTAATGCCATACTTGTCTGCCTCGGTGCTAAATTTCTTCATAGCAGCAGCTTTTAACCATGCCGTTACAGCCATTCGGAGACTGCTGGCGCCTTCCAGACCCCTGTTGGAGACCACATGGTGATCGTCTTCGTCAGTATCCTCTGTGTCGGGCTCTTCTTCTTCTTCGCCAAATGCTTGTTCCACATCAAAGTAGGCAGCAGCTGCACCGCCAGCATCATTGCCATCAGCTTCTGCAATGTCACTCTCGGCGGCGAGCTTCATCTTTTCCTCTTCTTGGATCTGCTCCTCCAGTGCCAGTGTTTGTGGTAGATTCCACATGAGACGCGATATGGCGTCTCTCAGCAGGAAATGAATGAGTCCTGTGAGAAGCAAAAGAGCAATGACCAGCCCCATAGGTCCATATGCCTTGTTTAGAATCAACAGGCCAATCAGGCATATTTGTGCCAGATAAAGGCCGATAATCAGCTGTTGTAGTGCACGTGGATAGAAGAGACCTTTACTATCCGTCGATGTGTCGAAAACATAGATCAAGTTGTATTTCCAAACCATCCCCATAAACGCCATACCTCCAGCGCAGAAGACAAGAATCAATGGCGCAATGCAGGCATATGAAAGTGCTGGTAAAGAATATTCATGGTCAGTCTAATGCTTCTGTTGATGAGAGCATGGCTTGGATGATCGTCTAACATGGGCAGAGAGAAAATAGGAGTGTGAAACGTACCAATTACACCCATATTCGTAAACACGGGAAATATGCCGCCCCAGCGAGCAGGTCGAAGCTTGCGCCATGTTCGAAACCGTGTCCTTGGCACATCAGTGGTTTTCGCCACAATTTCATGGCGAATCACTGAAAACGCCTGCAGGAGGCTGGTTCCACCAGTAGCCAAGCACTGGATCAGAATATATGACAGGTAGAAATTAGAAGCCTTGGGCAGATTCTGTGCGAGAAGTGACTGGATGCCGAGTGGATTCTCGATGATGCTTTGAAGTGCTCCTGAGGCCGCGGAAGTGATGGTTGTCACCAAGAAAACTTGCACGACTTGAAAGGCAAAATATGCGTTTTGCGTAAAGAGCTCTCCGATAACGAGAGAAGGAATTCCGGCCTGTGCAGCACAAACTACAGATCAGGCAGCGGTTAGTTCTGGCTCACTTTTCACCTTATAGCCAAGAAAATATGGAAAGGGATTTCTTACTTCTCAAGAGGACTGGCACCAGCGCCATGAGTACAGACAGTGCAAAAGGCGGGAGGAAACCACCAATAACACCTTTCACAAAGCTAGGTAAATCGCCGACCCAATGAAGAAACGGGACTTCTTTGGTCAGAAAATCAATGTTGGAAACAATGCCGACGAAAGCCGCAGGAATGGACCAAAAGATGATGGCGGCGGTGATGGCACAAAGAATCGCGAGGCGCCGAATAATGCGTTCCCACCACCTCATCCTAAGGGATTTCCATATAACCTCCTCTGGGCGAATCCCAAGCAGTCCGGGGGCCATCTGTAGCGGCAAATGATGCACCACAACTTGCTGCGCCGCATGAGCAGCTTCTTGGGTATCGAATTCTATGAAGGCGGCCGGCAGAGGTTCGGCTTCGCCTCTCCGAATTCGACGTCGTAATTGAAAGATTTCCTTGTTAAGCTCCTTGAGCCTATTGCGAGTCCACCGAATCGTATCGACTCGACGACCAAAGTTACCAATGGGTCGATGGTGAGGCCTGTCTTCAGCCGATATCCACAGGGCTGCGACAGAGCCTCTCACGTCCGGCAAGTTGTCTCCTAGGCCGTAGGGGTGAACATAATCCAGATCCTCGGCTTTGATCACCTCCTCTTCTTCATGGCCAGTGACATTTTTGCCTCCTTCATTGTTGAAAGTGTTGATGTGGTCTTGAATTCCGATATCCGGCACAACCTGGATATCAGATAGTACCGCTTCCCTCGGCTCGTTGGACTGTCGAACAGTTTCACCGCTGTCTACAGTGCTCATCTCGTTATGTGATGACATGTCTTTCCCATCTTCAATATTTCGTCCATTCAAAGCTCGAATTTCACGTCCTGTTGTGAACCAACGCCGCACGCCAGCAGACTGTGGATGTTTGCGGTAATGCTTGTTGCGGGCCGCATTAGCCTTCTTGATTAAAGCAATCTCGGCTTTCTCTAGTCGCATAGCAGTCTCCTCCCTTTCTTTGACCAGATTCGCAAGTTCCTTAGTCGTGCGTGGGATAAAGATTCGCTTCGCAGAATCGCCATAGAGCTTTCGAAGTCTGGCTTCGTCGCGGTAAGGCTTGGGCACACAAAGCAAGAGCATGGTCCTGGACGAGAGTCGATCAGCATAATAAGGCGACGAAAGATATGCCTGGCGCAGGTTAACAAAGTAGATGCACTCTCGGACGATTGTAAATAGCGTAAACCCTTCGATTGTATGTCAGCAGGCATCACATAGACCAATTGCTAACAGCGCCTTACCAAAGAATAGCCAGGCAACAAAGGCATGAGCCCATAGCTTTGTCGATCCTGTGAGGACATTGCCAATCGTCAAGAGTTCGAGCTGGGTGAGGTCATTGCCGCCGGTGCCGTGTATCGGAAAGAGGATAGGCCATACGATGCAGCAGCCAACAAGGCTAATGTTCCGCAGCACCTTGAGGTATCGAAGAAAAAAGTAGGCGTCGAGAGAGCCATAGTTGAGAACGTAAGTGTCTGGGATCTTGTAAAAGGGCTTGATCCAATTGAATAGGCCAGAGGGCAGCTCAGGAGTAGGTTTTCTAAGATGGCTTGTGTGAGATTCGAACAAACAATCAATTGCAAAGATCTTGGGAATCAAGAATTAAAGAAAGATTTATACGAGGAGACAACGTTCAAAGAGTTCGAAACAACAAGAAGGAGAGCTCTTACTCTGGGTATCGCAGACTGGGGATCGTTTTCGGTGCATAAACCCGCTTGAACCGAGGCCGCAAAAAGATGAAACAGACCAAGCATATGCTCATGTATATCGCAACGGGTGCAAAGGTTGCACCAAGCTTAGACAGAGAAGCCGTCTTGTTGCCGTTTGCCGTGCTCAGAGTACCACCGCTAGAGCCGTCGCGACCAGACCCGACTCGAGTGTCGTTGGGCTGCAGGACAAAAGTTAGCTAAGAAACGGCGCACAGCGTCAATCAATGGTGGCGTGAATCGGCCCCCAGCCCAGATGCCCCGTCCCGCTTCAGCTCCCAAGATGCAGCGCCAGCTGGCGATGCTGTGGGTTGCGGAGAGAAGCGAAATCGCGGCCGCATGACGGCTCCAGCAGGTCGAGTTGCATATTGGGGCGCAACGCCAGGGCGACGAGACGTACCAGCGTGAGGCCCCTCTCCAGGAGCCCGTGCCATGACATGGCGATGTCGAGAAGCTGGCGATGAGGAAGAAGCTCAGGTTGCAATGGCATCGCACATGCAAGACATCTTCACCGCCGTCAGAGAGCGAGCAGTCGGAATCCGTGTATATTTCCCGTGTCCCATCTACAGGGGAAAAGGGAAAAAAAATCAGTTCGAGCAGTGCACCGCAGCTGAACCAGATGCAGCAGCCGAATTTTCAGCAAGTCAGGTCAAGCCGACCGCGCACAAAACCAGTCGCGGGCTGTACTTGTAGTATTCTGCACGCCGGCGCCGTGAGCCACATGAAAAAGACATTTAGCCCCAATTACCAATTGGGCGATGGCACGGCTCCAGGATCCGAGGTGAGAACCGGGAACGGTTGACTGACAATCTATCAGCGAGAGGGGACAGCAGCAACGATTGATGTCAGGTCAGCTTCTTTTCTCCTCATCCCCTGTAACCTCGCTGCGCTATCACTGACAGGCTGACGGCGCCTCTGGTAGGCCGGCACAGAGCCCCGTCTCATCTGGGACGGTGGATGGCAATCAAAGGGGGCAATAATATTTAGTGGGCGAAGGCGGCTGTACTGTATGTGCGCCGCAAGGCTCGCTCGACCCGTTCACACGTATCCCCGGCATCAAGGATGATCCCTGTCGGCCATCGCCAATCGGAAACGCAGATTGGGGTCAGTGTCTTTGTGTCTTCTTCGGCAGTCCTCGTACTTTGTAGATACGGCATCGTGTACATGCGGGCTCGGATCCTGGATGCACGGCGGGTGGAGAGGCGAAGCGAGACTCGAAAGTGGATGACGATGATGATGCTGCTGCCAGATGCAGGTCTCAAGGAGCCATCACCGAACTCAATTGTGCAGCGAATGAAAATCACCCGTACAGCGCCAAATCAAGGCCAGGCCTGGCAATGTCTCGGACACGGACGCCCGCATGATGTGATGTTGAGAGAAGAAAAAATTACTACAGGTACCTGGAAGCTGTGCGCTGCGGCTGATACCGCTATAAGTTGGCCACTGTGAGTCGATACAGGTACTACTAGTACTGCAGTGCTCTGTCGGGGTGTATACGCCGGGAAGGCACCACTTTGTTTAATCTTATGTCCCATCTCAGTTACTGGAATCTTGTATCACCCGTTTGCTGTACTTTGTAAGACCGCAAGCCGTGCCTTTTCGATCTAGAACTCGCCGCCAGGATCATCTGCTGGCCTCTTCAAAAGTGACCTGTCAGACTTGGGTCTCTTAGCTCTTCGCTCCCTGCATCTACTCCCCACTCTATGCCTCTCGAACAGCACCACTTATTCGCAGCGTCTCAGCCTGTATACTTTCTGTCTTTTTTCTTGTATTCTTTTGCCTCACATGTAATTGACAGGTAGAATTCGTAACGATACAAGGATGCGAGCCAAGACGGCTTCCTTTCCAACGGTTAGCGAGCCTGATCCGCCTAGTAAAACGGCGTTCCTGAGCCACCATTTAGGCCCGACCCAAGGCCGAGCCGCATGCGGTTTAGCCCACTAGATAGTTGCGAGCTGAAGGCCCCCAAACGGCCCCAAAAGATGGACCCCAAAAGGTGCCGGCGCTTTCTAGTGGTAGCATTGATAGACCACTAGGTACGGGGCGTAAGGCTCGGGGTAAACAATGCCGCCATTGATGTGGAAATGGGCGTAGACCTGAGGCGCTCCTTTGTGTTTATTTCCAGATCCAGGCCATACAACTTTTAATATATACTTTGTGTTCGGATATCATAACCTATAGACTTCACGATTACGGATTAGCCTTGTCGCCCCACGTCGGATTACATGCATTTATCCTGCTCCAGCTTGTGGTTGGGACTTTAGCCGGCTGAGCCCAAGGCTACAGCTTCAAATCCCATGACACTCCATCCAATGTAATAGAGCATAGACTGTAGAGGTAATAGTGGCTCTCATCCCATTATATGAAACCACAGGTAAACTACATGTATAACGTGTGTTAACAAGAAGCGCAATCTAGGTTGGACTAATCACTCGTCTGTCTTGCTTTCTCCTTACCCTTGAGCCATCTCCATCTTCCACCATCATACGTCGCTTTCGTCCGTATCGTCAAAACGGCTGCTGTCGTTGCCCATATCAGCCCATAACTCAGCCACTTCTAAAGCCCCTCGTCGTAATTAAATTTCTTCAATCTGTAATATCAAGCCACTTATGATTAATCTCGCATACGGAATAACCATCGTCATCGTCCGTGAATGCATCACCTGCATCACCTCAGTCAAAGTCTGGTGGTCAAGACCCTATTTCAAGCTTTCACAAACGTATATTCAAGGTCTATACGATAAAATCAAGCCTCAACTCAGCTGGCCAAACTTTCTTTTAAAAAAAATATATCGTCGCATGCTATCATCCTCACATCCAACAGCATCCAAAAGCATCCAAAAGCCTCCATGACTCCATGACCCCAAGACTCCAATGCTCTCATATGAAGCGCCCCTGCCCGCGTTGTTTAAGCCCATGTCAACGATGTCCTCATCAAAAACTTGCCAGCAGAATAACAGAGCTCGGCAACATCTCCAAAGGTGGTTGCAGAGTTCCCTCTGTCAATGAGGCAGTACGCGGCCAATCTCCTCCGTAAAGTCCCACTCGTCCAGACCCTCACTCACCACCATCCAGCCGTCTTCCGCCTCGTGATAAGGAACAACATGTTCCCGTCTTTTCTTGGCCTGCTTCTGCTTCAGCTGCAGCTTCAGCTTCAGCTTCTGTTTCCGCTTCTGCTCTTGTTCCCGCTTCTGTTCCAGCTCTTGCTCGTGCTCTCGCTGAAGCTTCTGATTCAGCTCCCGCTCTTCCTGGTACTCGTCATAATCAAGCCTCAGCTTTGCCAAGGCGCCCCAGAGACCCGAAGTCTCGCCTTCGTCTTTCTCTGTTCATCCTGCGTTAGTCTCAAAAAAGCATCGAAAGCACCTAGGTGTATAGTCGCAAACTTACTCGGCTCGACTTCTCGCTTCTTCTCCACCTGAACATCCGGGTTGGTCATAACCCAGGGATCCCTATAAACCGCCTTCCCTTTGTCGGCCTTCTTTTTCTCCTTGCCGCCACGCTTCTCATCGTCCCCTGCATGCGGAGTCAGAGGCTGCATTCGGGATGCAGCCTCTGACTCTGACTCTGACTCCTCGCGAGAGGACTCCCGGTACAGCGAAAAGAAATTTCGCGCCGTACCTCGCGCCTCTTTCCCCCCCTTTCCCAGCTGCAGCCAAGATTCTCCCTTGGAAGATTCTCCCTTGGAAGATTCTCCTTTTGAAGTTTCTCCTTTGGAAGAATCTTTTCTTCCTTGCCGGCGACCATCTGTCGCGGCAACAGCTCCCTTCGGCATCCCTTCTTTGGAAAGAGACATGGCCTCGATCCCAGATGAGGGAGCAGAATCGAAGCAAGGACTTATTCAGGTACTAGAAGCAATGGCTACCGTGTCAGATTATGGCAGTTGATGGTTATGAATGAAATCGGAAGACGGATAGATGAAATAGAAAGGACACCAGTAAAGGTATCGGTAGGCAATAGTGTAGGTAAAGATATACGTAAGGATATACGTACCAAAGTCTTCAAGTAAGGATAGAACCAAGTATATGAATAATGGTATCAATAAGGACGCGAGTAGAAATGTTAAGAATAATATGAATAAGAATGCTTGTAAGAGTATAAGTAACATGAGGGATGTAAGTAATGAAAGCTGTGTAAACAGCAAAAAAGGAAGAAGCAAAACCTCGACCACAGGCAGAGGGAAAACCGGCCATTATATAGGCACAGACCAGACAGGTCAGATACACCAGATACACCAGATACACCAGATACACCAGATACACCAGATACACCAGATACACCAGATAAGAAAATAAGAAAATAAGAAAATCAAGCCTCGCGTATAAAGTTTGCATCCAGCTTTACCGACTCGTGTCTTCGTTGAGATACGCACTTTCAACGTTCGTTCTAGATCTAGAATTGGCTCTCTATCCATTTATTCGTTCTAGAATTACGATTCGAAAAGTTAATCCCATGGCCGACGGGCCGATAACCATCTCTGGTGGCATATGTCTATTCATGGCGCTTGTATATAAGGTTCGCGATAAGCTCTTTCGGAAGCTCCCGCCTCAAAAGGTTTCTCTGTGGCTAAGCATTCTACAAGCAGCGAAAGCGGATGCTCCCGCTAGTCCCATCAGCCAAATCTTGCGTTCTAGTGTTTTTCTCCGAAACTTTATTTTTATTCTTTAGGAGAGATCAAACGTAATTAGGTAGGTATTCTACAAGGATCGTTCTTGGAAAGAGAGAAGCCAACGACAAATGGACCAAAATTTGCAAACTCATATCTTGGATTCTCTTGGCATTTGAGGCTTTGCGTTACAGCCTAGAGGCACCGGATGCTATACCAGATCAGTGGGGTGAACATCTACCAGCTTGATGATAAGAGAATTTCCATATGTATAATAATTTGGTTCCATAGTGCCACGATTGATATTTTAGAACTTTCGTGCCACGAGATAACTGGACAGTCTTAGAATGCTTCCGTTAAGCCACTTCTACGCAATTATTTCATCACATTTTCAAAGAAGCAGATAATTATTCTCATCAGTCAGAACTGTTAGATTCGCTATAGTCATCTAATACAAGTATCTAACCCGGCAGTAAATCCTTAACCATCTGCCAAAATCTCCACATACTCAAAACCTTTTTTTTTCTTTGGCTAGCCCGGGATTCATTTTACATAACCTGAACCCCGAAGCCACATCCATGACCTTGTCGTAAAAATGTTGTCCAGAGCTGGAAACCCACCCCCCTTTTTCCCTCCGTAAGAGATATAGAAGGGGGGGTGGATCATACTCCGGTCTTGGCTGAAATACCAAGAGCTTGGGTGAGACAGGTACCGCCTATCCGAAGCCCTTGGCAGTGAAAGTGCTCAAGAATCATTAAAACAAGCTACTCGTGGAGGTTACTCCGACGAGGGGCCGCAGCATCGACCCAATGGTCATCACACGCGCCATGGTGAGGGATCATAGCTCCATCACACCAAGACCAGCTTGGCGTGCTGTATGATCCGCCCCAGAGGGCGCGGTGGGGAAAATCTATATACTAGAAGCAAAAGAGTGTGCTTGTATATGTATTACCACACAACAACATTAAATGTGTGTTACCGAGCTGAGGAGACGCTGCAGGATCGTTATGCAGCAGTCATTCAGTCGTAAGGAATCAACATGTTGACCTTTTTTCTTTGGTCCGTTTTCTCTTATCCCCAAGAAAAGTTCAAGTCTCTCAACCAACAATGATGCCGTTGCGGCGGGCATCAGCGGGGTTGACCTCGTACTCGTACTCATCATCGCTGGCATCGCTGGCGCAGGAGGAGCTGTCGTCATAGCCACATCGAGCACCGCCACAGTCGATCTTGACACGCTCGCCCTTTCGGGTGATTCCATAGCGCTCGCAGGTGCACGAGCTGCAGTCGGAGTTGGGAGTGCTGTAGCCAGAGAGCGAGGAGCTGGGCGAGGAGCTGTCGGAGCGGTATGAGAGGCTGGAGCCGTTGGATGAAACGGGAGAGGTGCTGAAGTCGGTGAGGACATCCTCGAGGCCGGCGCTGCCAAAGCGGGCAGTGAGCTCCTCAAGCTCCTCGTTGTCGTAGTAGTCGGACTCGAGGATGTGCTTGGTGGCGTGAGGAGACATGGGCTTGGGGGCCTTGATCTGAGAGATGGAGAGAGGTCGGCCCTTGGGGATGTCGACAGTCAGGGAAGAGCGGTGGCGGGAAGAGCGGCTGTCCTTGTCCTTGGAAGAGCTCTTGCTGCTTGACTTGTGTGAGGACTTGGCGGAACCATCCTTGGAGACATCAAGGATGTTGAGCTCTCGGCCGGTGGTGGGCTCGGTGGTGGACTCAATGGAAGGGTTGTGAGCGACGTGGTAGCCGTCGATGATGTAGTAGTACCAGTATCGCTTGCCAGCCTCCAGAGTGGAGTTCTGGAACTTGAAGGTACCCTTCCATGTGCCGGACTTTGAGGACTTGTCCTTGGCAAGGGGGAGCTGGCCGACGTAGTTGTCCCAAGAGCCGAGAAGGTGGACGGTCTTGACGCCAGAGGAGACGCGAAGAGAGAAAGAAAGTTGGATGGAAGACATGTTGATTAGGGTTATTAAGTTGTTGTGATTAGAGAGATGCTCGTAGATCGTCTAGTGATTCTTAGAGGAAAAATTGGTGTTGTTCGCCAGCGAGCAAGTGAAATCCACAATTCTGTTTATTAGGGGGGTATCAATTAAGGAGTCGTGATGCGTAAAAAATCATGCAGTGTAAAAAAAAGTCAATGTAAAAATTATCTCGTCTCAAGCTGTCCGGCAACTGAGATGTTTGGTGTAATTGGCAGTTGAAGGTTTTTTGGTGTAAGTGAAAACGAGATAGGAGTATTAGAAAGTAAAGGGGAGACCAGCTCCAGGAACAAAAAAAAACAAACAAACAAGGGGGAAAAAACAGAAAGGTGGATTTGAGGTTGGCAGAACTTGCTGAAGAACAAAAAAAGAGGAATGAATGGGCGGGTGTTGGTCGCCTTGATATATGTTTTGAGAAGCGCGGGCCAGAGGGAGAGGCCGCGATGACAGCGGCCGCTCTAGAGTGGCCAAGTCCGTCCTGCCTGTTAGTCTAGGACACAAGAAGCAAGGCAAATGCGTGGTGTCTGCAACCTCTTCGTCCTTTACCCAGGATGTGTCTATCACAGCGGGCCAATAGCGCGGCAAAGACCCGATCCAAGCATGCATCGCGGACAGGGGTTGGGCGGTTAACCATCTTTTGTGGCGCCCATCCACAGCATCGCCGGCGTCTAAACGCGGCGCTTGATTGGGCTGCCGCCGTCAAGTCTCGTCACCTGCAGATCGACCGGATCCAGGGCGCGGGGCTTCTTGTCGCTCCTACTGGCCCGTGGGAGGGCTGCAGTCGTAATTGCGCACGCCGGCGCCCTTTTTCGTGTACGGCCGAGCTGTCCGTGATTCGCTGAAGCGCTTGCGGGTGGATCGAGGTAGCATCGATCCAGCCGACGAGTGCATATAGGCGAACAAACAAACATAAACAAGCCATCCTGGATGAGGATTAAAGCTGCAGACGCCGCTTTTTGAATCACATATTGGCGGTGGAGCCACAGCGTCAATATTGCGAGGCTTCATTTGGTTCATATGCGTGGTCCAGGGTCAAGAATGGAATTTATCGATATAACGGGGCTATGTGGTTTGCCTAGAAGTGGCTACATGTTAGAGTCAGTGTCGATGAGAAGATCGATAGAGTAAGAGTAGCGTGGGATTCGAGGTATGACTTCATAGATCCTGCTCAAAAGCCATAAATCCTGCTCAAAAGCAAGTCATAAACATTGTCCATACCATTGGCTAATTCCAGCATAAAGCACCTGGATAGCCAGCAGATATTGCGTTTTGATGCCACAGCACGTGCCGCCATATTTCAGCTGGTAACAAGCAACTCTTCCAAACGAAAATGAAAAATGAAAATTCGGTCCGAGGAAATATCGATGCTGATTGATGAATAGCTAAATATTTGAGACGGCGTCTTCAGTTCTTGGCTTCCCCTATCTTGTCTGTGTATGTTCCGGTATATCGTTCTTAGGGTTGCAGGTATCAAATTGAACCCGTCTTGATTCGTTCCCATCATGAGATTTGTTATGAATAATGTCCTTCCGATGGTGTGACGCTTCCCCGTCTCCGCCCAACAGCAAATCAGCCCTCAATGCCATGTTTCCAAATGCTTAGCGGCGGAAGAGTCTGTTCTCTTCTGTATTTTCCCTTCAGTCCTCCATTCTAGTATCTCCACCGCTTTCCTTTTGGTCGGCGCCGCGGATGTAAAGGACGTTGTTGCATCTATCTCGACTCGTTAGGATCCATGAACAAAGTAGGTAGAGAGACGGAGCGTAGCCATCCATGGCGGCAGCAGCACCCACCGGATGAGAACTTGACCCAGCTCGCCGGTCAGCTTGTCGTTCAGGTATTCCTCGGTATTGGACAGCTGCAGGTTCATGTAGCTGTCAATAGACTAGGGGTAGCAACGCGCAATTAGCATCATCCTGGGCAGGGGAGCCAAGCCTCGAACTCACCACCAATCTTCCCTTGTACTCCGTCTCTCCCCACTTCAGGCGGACCAGCACCGTCTTGTCGACGAGGTCTTGCAGCATAGGCCGCGGGTTGACAGGTACGAAGCTCATCTTGTCGGTCGTAATCCGGTTCGCAGGGTTTGGACAAGGCACGCTATCACAAGGCTGAAAGTTTCGCGACTGAGGCCAGACGACTTGACCGCCCCACCAAGCTCAATCCGGCTAAATAACGGCTATGGAAGCTATGCGTTTACAGAAGCTGCTCAGAAGCCTCCAATACTTGCATCTCCTTTATAGTTGCATATACCAGCAAAGGAAGACGATCCTTGTCCTCTAGCCTTTGATAGCTCAAAACTCCATAAAAGCAGCGATGTGACGACGATACCACCTCATGCTCGGCCGCCCAACAGGTCTCCATGGCCGGCTAACCAGGCCAACCACGGCTTCATCCGCATCTCCCCCTCGCGGCCGCATGAGAAGCGACCTAAGCGTGATGAATTATTGATCACTGGGTACGGGCTGTACGGAACATGAGGCCATTATGGCATTGGCCGCTTGGTTGGATGCATGGATCATTCATGCATTCTCTTCATGGCCGCCGTCGCATTCTCTGCCTGCATGGCCCGCAGGCAGTAGCAAGAAACAAGAAACAAACAACTACTAGCTGCGTTTAACGGCGTTTAGTTTCCCTTCTTCGTACGATACAGGCGAAATCTCCACTCCATCCTCACGGAATGAAAGGAATCCCATTACCATCGCATCTTCCTGCGGCCCATCATGGCGACCGTGCTACGAGGTATTACGTACTACCACTATCCATCGTACTCCGTAGTTGTAATTATGCTCTTGATCTCTTCTTCTGGTGGTCCCATGCTGTGTCTCCCTTGCCTTTCCCCTCCTCTACTGTCTTCTGCCTAGAATGGAGATACATCACCACAGCCTTCATATCGTAATCAACTTGTCATAGATGTTTTTCATTCGCCAGCTGCCTAATAGTGTTAAATGTGATTCGACTCTAGCGCCGGCGGGTAAGCATGTCATCAAAGACCTACAAGTACATAGTATACTAGCATTACATTCACAAATGGCCATATCCCGGTCCAACCCATGTCTCCACTCTCTATCTAGTTTGCATAATGCCGACATCTACAGTTAGAGCACCGAAGCATATACGTCGGCTCAGCAAAGTCGTCATTTTCCTCAATATAGCTTGTAAAGCCCTGATTACAACTGCCATTTCGACAAAACTCCTGGTGGCACGTTAGGTCGACGAGCTTTTCAACATTCTCAATAATGCGAGTGGCTCTTGCTTCTGCAGCCTGCAACTTGGCTTGAAGCTCATTCTGTTGTTGTTCCGCCGCGAGTTGGGATTGAGCCAGTTGTTGTTGAACTTGGGCCTGAGCCTGTTGAACATGGGCCAGTTGTTGTTGGGCCTGGGCCTGAGCCTGTTGCACTTGCGCTAGTTGTTGTTGGTTCTGGGCCTCAGCCTGTTGTTGTTGCAAGGTGACTTGATTATGCTCTCGCTGGGATGCCTCCAGCAAATGGGCATGAAAGGTCAAGACTAACGCAGCAAAATCGCCAACCAAACTAGGCAATTGGCCAGATTTGAGCAGCTCTTTCAGTTTCTGGGCTGCGAGAAGTGCCATCATATTGTGCAGCGACTTGTCGCCACTGATACTGGTAGCCGCTTTGGCTGAGTTAACAAAGGTTTTGGGATCCCAACTGGTGTAATAAACTCGTTGAATTTTTTGATTGGCAAGTAGGGCAAGGCCTTGAATGCCGTAGTAATCCGCAATAGCATTTACTTGTACATGATGCAATGTGTCCTCAGTAAATATCGGAGCAGGCGTTGAAAGAGCTGTGTTTACTATAGCCGAGCTGCTTTGACCATTTGCAGTAGCATTGAGCGTAGCACTGGGTGCATTGCTGGGCGTTGTGGTAGGAGCAATACTTGGCACAGTGCTAGGCGTTCCGATAGCGACAGGAGTAGCAACTGTGTAATCATTGTTAGAATTTCCCCCGATGCTACATTTTGTGAGGAAAAGTACGAACCTTCGCTGTTCTCTCTGCCTTGGTCGTAGTCCTCTGTGTACATGTACTCAACCATTCGCCGTACTGTGTCCGCGTCGAATAACTCAACCGTGATGACTCCAGATTGTGCCTCCTACTCCAAACTCAGGGCCTGTCTCACCGAAGCTCGCTGCGCCGTCATTGCTTACCTTGAAATCTCCCTTAAGAGCGGTGGCAATCACGGACGAATGCGAGCAGGCGACAAACCTGTGGATTTTGAACTCTTCCCCCTGGCATACCAACGTAAGGTCCGAAAATTGTCCAGACTTCATCAAATAAGTGAAGTTAACTCCTGCTTTGATGGAAGCCATGGCGTCTTACGGGTTCGATCCAACGCTAGATCTGATGGCTAGAACAATTCGGAAAGGTCGCAGAGGTGGAGTTGGTGCAACGGCAAAGTGATCCACCAAATTCTGGAGAGAAGAGCAATCTTTTTTGTGGGTGTTTTTGTGGGCTCGCTTTTGTAGTGGGGCTAGGTTGTGGGCGGTGAAGCGAATAACCGATATTCTCCCGGGTGCCTGGCTTGGGCAGTATTGAAGAGGAGCATTTCCCCCAAAACGCTCCGCATGGCACAGAAAGGAGCAGAAAAGTGTTCTTCATGGATATGTAAACTGGTAAACGAATGTTTCACCAAAAGCCTACACTATTGATGCACAATTAGAGGGAGCATCACCTTGAATATGCTCCAAGTCTAGAGGTACTTTGTACCGCGGGCGTGCGCTGCGAGAGACCAAATCACGTGAACCTTTACCGGCTGACTCACCCTCTCGGCCAGCCCAAAAAGGATGCACCAGACGAATCTCAGATGGTGTATTAGGCGCTAAGAAAAATATATATACCGACCAAAATCACCCCGATTTCCACTGACGAAACTTCTATTGCGTTCTAGCACTGAGTTGGCAGGTTACAGGCTATTGATCAGACTGCAGGCGAAGCTGGGCAGGCAAACAGGAAATATTGGCTCCACAACACACAACTTTGTCATATATTGAAGAACAGAAAGAAAGAAGAAAAATTCCGTTCACTGCTGCACAGCAAAGACATAAAAAAGACAAAAGCATATAGATTTCACAATCTCTATCATTACCAGTGTCATCATGAGCTCTCTCACCGTGGACTCGGCGCTCATCGCCAAAGTGACCGACTACATAAAGGTCTACATGTCCAACTATGATCCATCACACGATTACAGCCACATCAAGCGCGTAGTGCATCTTGCACAGAAAATCCAGGCACATGTTCCCAATACGAACCGCGATATTGTCACTCTTGCTGCACTGCTGCACGATGTAGGCGATAGGAAATACCTTAAGCCCGGAGAAGACGCCACGCGCATGATCTTTAGCACCTTGACATCTCTTGGGGCATCCGAAGCCCTGGCAGAAAAAATACAAACAATTTGCCTTGGCGTTAGCTATTCGAGCGAAATCAAGGACCTTGCGCGTGTGCAGACGCTTATTAAGGAACACCCAGAACTCGCTGTTGTGCAAGACGCCGATCGACTGGATGCAATTGGAGCGGTGGGCATTGGCCGAGCTTTTACCTTTGGGGGGGCCAAGGGAAGGGCCTTGGATGACTCTATTGGCCATTTCGAAGAGAAGTTGTTGAAACTCGAGTCTATGATGAAGACGGACTATGGAAGGGAGATGGCGCGGGAGAGGACGGAGAGGATGAGGCTCATGAAGGAGTGGTTTGAGCAGGAGACTGAAGGAATTGAGTAAAGACACTTTGGAAAGTGGGATGGTTGATACAGGCATGGGGCATTGTAGACGGATTAATGGCATTGTATGTTAGTAGATGCTATAGAGTTGGCATTAAGCTAGACCGACATGATGATGAATCTGTTTCTCTCAAGCATACATAATGATACATCAGATGGACCATTTTGCCAGCAATGTAGCCAAATTTTCTAGCAAAATCAATTTCAATTTACCATGCAGGCTAAATGATCCAGGTTTTCATCTAAATCCATTCATTTAGACGATCTTACACAAACCTAAACTACCTCACGGGTAGATGATCTAGTTTGGCCCACCCGCTTACATGTACACATTAATGGCCGACAACAGTCGCTGTATTTAAATCATCACGCATATTAATCGCTGAAAACAAACCTCAATACTCGTTGAGCGCCTATGTAGGATCGGGACGGGACAGCCGTCATTGTCATTCGCTGTAAGTGACAATCACGTGCAGCCTTCAATGCTGTCGGCGCTTAATTGCTTGGGCGTCATGACCCCGACTACGACTGCGACTGCATCAACTGGAATAAAATAGCATCGCATCATTCGCAGGAAATCATGGAGTCTCAGAGCGTGACTGTCGCTGCTGATTTATCTTCCAAGATTATCATACTATGTTCCAAGTATTTCGTCAATGTTGCTCATGCTCGAGCCGAGGTCGAACGCCTCAAAGAACAGCTCAAGAGTCTGGAGACGACTCTACGTCAAGCTAAACATCTCCTCGAGCATCCAAACAGTCAATCTTTATCCGCATCTCGAGAACTCAATGACCCAATCCAAAAATGCCAAGCTGAGCTTCAGCGACTACGGGATAAACTTGAGCCCAATACAAAAGAGAAGACGATGAGCAAATTTGGCCTTCGCGCAGCGAAATGGCCGTTCAGTAAGGGTGAGGTTGAAGCCGTTATTACTTCTCTTGTCGAATACCGAGAGGCAATTACAGCTATTTTGCAGATCGATCAAACGTATGTCATAGCTCGCTCACCAGTGAATACATGTATATCCTAAAGTGAATACAGTAGCTGATACTTGCAATAGAAAATTGCTTCTCGATATCAACCATAAAATCGAGAATTTATCTCTTCAGTCGACCAAGGATAGATCCGTGGAATTTAAAGCTCTTTTCATCATGCCTTTCCCCCGCGATCCAGACTTTGTGGACCGGCCAGTCCTTCGAGGGTGGCTCGAAGAGCAGTATAACGCAAGTCCAGCTCGTCGATTGGCGCTGGTTGGCATGGGTGGATTTGGGTAAGCTATTCACTGCCGATTCAGTACATGCATGGATCTTAAGCTGAAGAAATGAAAGGAAATCTCAGATCGCCATCGAGTTTGCCTATAGGGTGCATATCGCGTCACCCGAAACCAGCGTGTTTTGGGTACATGGCGGTACGGAGGCGAAATTCGAAGAGTCGTACCGATCGCTTGCAAACGCACTCGCACTACCTGATCGCCACGACCCAAGTACCAACGTTCTTGCCCTTGTCCGAGATTGGCTACAAAGGATAGAAGCACCGCCCTGGTTGATTATACTGGACAATGCCGACGAAATGGAGACGTTCTTCCCTTCCAAGAGCCACGATGGAGAGAATCAACGGGAACCTTTGGCGTCTTATCTACCAAAAACAGGCAGTGGGAAAATCGTCATCACGTCGCGCAGCAGAAGCGTGACAGAAAAATTGACTGGTAGCCACAAAGCTATCCAGGAGGTGTCAACAATGGATAGCCTCGAAGCTCTGAAGATTCTTGAAAATAAACTAAGCCAAGAAATCGACCAAGACGGAGCCATATATCTTGCTCGTGCCCTAGATTTTATTCCACTCGCTGTGAACCAGGCAGCTGCATATATCAACCGACGCGCACCCCGTGTCTCCATCAGATCATATCTCGAGGAATTTCAACAGAGCGAGAAACAAAAAAAAAGTCTCCTGAATAGGGATGCTGGCGATCTTCGGCGACGTGAAGATGTTTCCAATTCTGTTGTCATAACATGGCAAGTTACCTTTGAGCAGATACGCCAGGAGAGGCCGTCAGCAGCGAATTTACTCCTACTTATGAGCTTCTTCCAGCCACAAAATATTCCTGAATTCATGCTGTCGGACTACGACTTTGTTATCTCAAATTTTGAAGACATGAATGACGATAACGGCGAAGACTTGGATGAAGATTCGGATGAAGATTCGGATGAAGACCTGGATGAAGATCCGGACGAAGACCTAGAGGACGAAGATCGTGATGGAGATCTGAAAGATGACTTGGATGTTCTGCGGGGTTATTCCCTCATCAGGCTATCCACCACATCTGGACTCTGTGATATGCATGCTCTCGTGCAGTTCTGTACTAGAGTTTGGCTTTTGGAGTCTGATGGAAATCACTTTGCGCGACTGAAATCCCTATTCTTGGACCTCAGTGCCGAACACTTCCCTGATGGGACATTTGATACATGGGCCACATGCCAGCTTCTACTGCCTCATATGAAGCCACTCATGGATGAAAAGGTTTTGGGAAAACCTGATATTTTCAATTGGTGTGAGCTGTTGGAAAACGTCTCGTGGTACATGCGAGAAATTGGGAATTACTCCGCGGCCGAGACTATCGCGCAAACAGCTCTTGACGCGAGTAGGAGACTGCTAGGAAACGAGCATCGCATAACGCTGGATCTCATACATCTCTTATCAGTAATGTATCAGGCACAATGTCGATTTGATGAAGCGGAGCTGCTAGTTGTGCAGGCCATGGAGACCTCAACAAGAGTATGGGGAGACAAGCATCCTAAAACATTGGTAAGAATGTCGCACTTGGTACATTTATTTGTCATGCAAGGAAAATACGTAGATGCGGAATCGCTGCTTATGCAAATGATAGAGATGTCAAAAAGCATACGGGGAGACGAGCATCCTGAGACATTGAAGTATATTTTTGACTTGGTATCCATATACACGATGCAAGGAAGATTAGCAGAAGCGGAACCCCTATGCCTGCAGTTAATGGAGACGTCGAAAAGAATTCTGGGAGAGGAGCATGATCAGACACTGTCTCGCTTGGGTTTCCTAGCAAACATTCACAAGGATCAAGGCCGACTAGCAGATGCAGAATTATTAGCAACACGGGTGATAGAGATTAGAAAGAGGGTACTAGGAGACGAGCATCCTGATGTGCTTGCACCGATGAATGATCTAGCTTACATACTCAAAGAACAAGAGCGATGGCAAGAGGCGGAGTCTTTATTCCTCCAGGTGTTGGAGACAAAAAAGAAGGTACTAGGAGAGGAGCACCCTGGTACACTTGACACTATGATCTCTCTCTCACACACACTTAAAGAGCAAGGCAAATACACAGAGGCAGGATCATTATATGCACAGGTGATAGAGACAAGAAAGAAGGTACTGGGGGATGAGCACCTTGATACACTTGTCGCCATGAACTTTCTCATGCTCACACTTTATGTGCAGGAGCGATTAGACGAGGCAGAATCGATATGTGTACAGCTGGTAGAGGTAAGAAAAAGGGTGCTGGGAGATGAGCACGCTGATACATTGACGGCCACGGCCTCTCTGGCGTTCATATTCGATGACCTAGGCCGCTCAGACGATGCATTGGAGCTATTACGCCGTGCTGTTCTTGGTCTGCAACGCATTGCAGGCCCAGGTCACGAAGAAACTGTGTTTGGGTTTGATGCTCTCAAACGATGGGAACGACGTCAACTCGAGGTTCTATCCGCACAAGAGTGTTCAGAGACAGGATAGTATAAGTTACTAAATGTACGACATTCAGCTTACAATGTAACTTGAAAAGGCGGCGTCAGACTTTGTTACCAAACTAGGACGTCAGACAATAGTTCTGGCAATAGTCCTTTGTATGCTTGGACCGGGTGATGCACACACGAATTGTCTGATTCTTGTCTTCTTTTTGTTCTCTATTTTGCGTAAGCGACCTGCATGCTGTTTTTTACTAAGGTGCTTATGTAGATATATAGCACCTATGGTGGTTAAAAACAGCTGTATAGATAGCCAGCTCAGAGTCCCACCTAGTCAGCTTCTAAATAATAGAACCAGTCAATTGTTACGGCGGCGAGCTTTTATTGATGGACTGGCAAGCAGCAAGCGAGATAAGCGAGATACCTTGTAGCCTTGTGAGCATATGCTTGTTGTTAGACTCTCCATGAAAAACCTGATGGAACAAGTATATCAAGCTCGATACAGTTTTTAAAACTAATACGCATGTGTAAAGAAAAGAGAGATGGCTGGATATAAAGAGAATTATTACATGCTTGGGGGCATTTCTTGTAAAACATTGCTACTGCTCCTACCTAGCATAAAGACTCTTCCCCAGATTTGCTTCCCGGTTATGCCCATCGCTTAAATGGATATCCGTTTCCATTGCTCCCGTTCTACTCCGCGGACGAAAGTGGATCCTCGGTAATCCGGGGTGGCTTTCGCCGCTATATAGAAACACAAATAATCTAGTTCAAACGGTACGTATTAAACGTCTTCTCAGTAAAGTAAACCCAGTTCTAGCCATTCCAACAGATCCAAACGTGGCTGCATAAACTAAGCCCTACCATTCGTCCTATCCTCTTGTTCTGCCTCTTTGCGGCCACTGCGGCGTGATATTTAAAGTTGCCGAGGGGGGAATGATTGTAGGTTTGTGGCGCCGTTAGACCCGTATCCAAGTGGCTAAAAGCAAAAGGCGAGAAATTGGTCAGAGAAGAGCAGTTGTTTCCGATTCCGCAAGTGTCCTATCCGATCCTGCAATTTCCCTCATCGCAACTACCGATGCTTCTTCACGTGCTTGCCATGTCACCAGGTGAGTTTGCGAGTCATTGTCTTGCTTGGCCGTTGAAACGCGGGGTTCTGCCTCTAGTCCGAAGTACGGGGGAAGTTCACGTATGCGATAATGCAAGCCGTTGATAGCGACTTGTGTGAAAGTACTTGCGTGCAATTTGGAATTATATCGACATCACGGAGATATCTTGTTACTGTTTGTCTATTACTCCGTAACGGTATGCTATGTGCCCGTTGCCCGAGAACCGGCAAGCGAAGGAGGGACGCATTCCTTGAGAACTAGTGCCCGCTCTAGGGCAATTGATGGAGGGGAGGCCTTCCAAATAGGCAATTTTGATCGAAGGAAGCGTGGGCCTTGATGGGCGGCTGTGCTAGTCAGGCCGGATCCAGTTTGACTCGTGGGAAAATAGACACAAGGCGGTTGATAACGGAGCACAGCCCGATATGCCCGTTTCTCTCATGATGTTCCCTTGTGCCGACTCAGTAGCAATTGGTATCAAAACATGATCAATTTAGTAAGAAGCAATGAATAACTCTTTTTTTCTCTGGTTATTAATTGTTAAGAATGATTACAAAATATTGCAAAGCCGCTCAGCTAGACTTTTTGCTAAACGGCAATCGACGGGCCACCGTCAGCGACAAAGACCTCGGAGATCGAAATAGTTGGCACCAAGCCGTCGTCAGCCCTAAGCAGTCGCCAACGCCCTGACTCATCAAAACTCATCAGGACATCCCCATCCGTTCCGCGCGTGAGAGCAGTTTTTAGTTTGATTTGCTTGCCATTCGCCCACCATCGTTCCGTGGATATTGCGGGTGTCCCCTTGAGGCTTGAAATAGTTCCTTCATCCGAACTCGTGGTACCTAGGTCTATCCAAGTCGAGAGAATAAGCCAGCACTAGCGAGTCCCAAGTCTCACGTCAGGTCCCAAGCTGCATGCCTCCGAGGAACCTCCATCCACAAGAAGAGGGGCGATAAAGCAGAAAGAAAGGGGCAGCCATGTGCCAAACTGGCAACAATGAGACGATGCGCCCCCCCTCCTCTCCGCAACGATGGATCTGCGCCGGTATCGATACCCGGCATTGCTGGGGGGGTCTGGCCACCTTGATGGCGACCTTGAGGGTGACACTCACGAGATAGCCGTGGAGCTCATGGAGTTGATTATCTGACCACATTATTCCTGTTTAGTTTGGATGGCGTGGTTTTTGTCCAACTTCCCCCATATTTTTAACGTTTCTATTTATGATGCTTGCCTGGTGATAAATAGCTGGGGAGCCGCGTTGTTCAAGGGTTGCTTCCTGCTGAGCCTTGACAACTTTCTGCAGCTCCGTATTACATGCATGCACGCATTGACTTGTGTCGTCTCCTTGCTGTTCACAATCCACTACTACATGTTATAAAACTTCCAACCTGATAACGTTTATGAGTTCAATTTGATTACCCCAACCTCGAATTACAATAATCAATTGAGCCAAAAGCCAAAACAAGACCATCAATCAACCACACATTCATAACACGCATCTACATACACGCGACTACATACAAATAAATTCACAAACTCAACACCATCACCATGGACTCTCTCCCCTTCGAGCTCGTCTCCCAAATCCTCACCCACCTCCCCGCCGCCGACTACAAATCCGCCCGCCTCACCTGCCACGCCTTCAACGACGTCCTCGCCAAATCAACCTTTTCCACGCTCGCCACCTTCATCGACCCAATCACCGCCAAATCCACCATTGAGCGCATCGCCTCCGACCTCACCCGCCGGCCCAAGGCAATCTGGTCCCCCGGCTGCTCCGTCCCCAAGGACCTTCCCGTCGCGGAGAGTTTTCTATTTGCCATGCACAGGGCGCTGCGCGGAACGGCCTGTCCGTCTACATCCCCGTGTTCGTCGAGAGCTTCTTCTGTATCATCTGTGAATGGAGCGTGGAGCGACAGTGAAGACTCGGAGGATAGCGATGCAGGGCCTATGGAGGAGGACTTGGCGGCGTGGAATTTTGGACGGACTGTGGGCATTGACGACTTGACGGAGGAGATGCTGCGGCAGGCCATGTTTCGGTGGGCGCTGTATCTGAGCTACGTTTATACGGGCAAGGGAGAGGCGCCACAGCTGTGGGTGATGAATTCGAAGAAATGGGCGCTGCACCGATGATTATCCCTCTTCTTTCTTTTCTTTTGTCTCAACAGCATAATGTCTCTTTTTCACTTTGATATCCAAATTTTGTCTGTTAGCTTTAGCCCGACAGCACATCTTACTTATAGCGTAAACGGCGTTAATGTTATAATGAACATCACTCAATTCGTTCACGAAACAACAAATCATTGAAGCAATTTAAAAAGTAAAGATAAGTTTCCATTAAAGGCATGATTTCGCACATGCAAAGGAGGGGTATATGGTACTTTAGTATCTAAGTGTAAAAAACTCTCAAACTCCCAAAATTAACGTTCCCAAGGTATATATAATCCTCTCTCTCGTCATTCTTTTCCCCTGGCTCAGTACTTTTCTTTCTTGCTACCGCGTTATATATACAACATTTCGCAGAGAAAAGAAGAAAGCATGGCAAAATAAAACAAAAAACACGTTGCTGACGTTTCCAAATGTCGTCCCAGATTAATTGTAATGATCGTTATCCCTTCGTGTGTCTGTGTCCCAGACGTTTCATTGAAAATGCTCCGAAATCCCCCATCGTTAAAGCGTTACACTCCAGAGAGGAAGCTTATATACGGATATATAAAGCTAGCCCTTCTCTCGCTTACAGCAGGTAAGCAGCGACGAGACCCATGGCGACCAGAGCACCGGTAGCGCGGTTGGCAACAGCGCCGCCAGTAGGGACGGGGGGAGTGCTGCCAGTGGTGGTAGGTCCGACGGGAGTGTTGGAGCCGGCGGGAGCAGTCTGGTTGCCGCCGGCGGGAGGAGGAGGAGGAGCGCCAGTGCCGGAGGGAGGAGTAACAACGGTGATGGGGGGGATCACAACGGTAGAGTTGGACGCAGCAGTGGTGGGAACAATCGGGGGAGGGATGACAATTCCGGTGACGGAAGTGGCCACGGCGGTGGTGCAAGGAACGGTCAGGGTGACGGTTCCGTTGACGACGGTGGTGGTGTAGACAACGGTGTCAGTGCCGGCAGGGGCAGAGGTCTGAGGAGCAGAGGTGACGGCAGACGTCTCCAGGGTGGTGGGAGTACCGGTGCCGGTGGCGGTGACAACGGCGCTGGGCTGGCACTGAGAGGCGGGCAGAGTGAAGGCAGCAGGCTGAGCGTAGACGACGCACTGGAGTTTTGTTAGTATCTTGATATCGAGTATGAATGAGAGGCAATCAACATACGTTCTTCTGGCAAGCAGCATCACCAGAGGTCTTGCTGCTCTGCCAGCACTCGGCAACGCCGCCCAGAGGAGGGTATCCGGCAACGTTGTCGGAGCAGCGGCCCGCAGTGCCCAGGCCGTTGGCGTCGCAGCGGATGATGATATCGCCAGACAGGCAGTAGTTGGCGTTGGGCTTGGCGCAGTTGACCTTGTTGGTGCCCTCGGGGGGAGCCTGGGCGCTGGCCAGGGCGGCGGCGGCGAGGATGATGGCGGCGGTCTTCATTTTGAGTTTTGTTGTTTGAGTTTGTTGTATAATAATATTAATAAGTAGGTGGTGAGGGTGAAAGGAATTAAGATATTAGGCGGATGGTTGTTGGTGTAAGTGGCTGTCTGATTGAACGAGAGTACAGCGCAAGCTGAGAGCTACTAGCGAGTGTAGTTTCTGATATTACTTGGGGATGGGATCAAGAACAGAAGGCCCAGCTGGTGTGCGGCGGACAGGACGTGATGTTATATACCTACCTGAATGGCCCGTCCAGCACACCGTCTGGCCATGATACGAGCGTGTGGATGATTCTGGCTCCCAGCAACCCAAACAAGGCGCATGCAGGGAGGCGGCAACTTTTGCCAGGGTTGGGATGCCAGGGACTGGACGCTGTGGTACCTCTACCAGGACTGGTACCTGTACATTGGGCGCTCCTCTGTGGACTCCGTACAGAGACAAGGTCTCCCCTTTTAGCCCCGTCGACAGTCCGGTCTGGTACCAGTACTGGTCGCCGTATCGTATGGCTTTAGCTTACACAAACAGATTTGTCCCTCGCCCTCCATACAATACATAGCACGGGCCGCAGTCTCTTGGCGTCTCTCCATAGACGGCGAGATCAGCAGTAGCAGCAGCACAGCAACAGCGGCTCTTCACAGATCTTCTCAAGACTTGTATCTTTTCACTCTGCCTGTACAATGGCATGAGCGCACAAAAGACCTTTGCAAAGTGCTGTAGCCCAACTCTCACGGTGCTAGCCAGGGATCTTGTTTTCGTCGTTCCACCAGGCCCCAGCACCCGGACAGCTGAGTAGCGCTACCTCGTCCATACCCAGCTGGCAGCTCTGAATGGAGCCTCAGTCCACCGCTAGCAAGTCCTGCGCAGGTACCGGTACTCCGCCAGCCACCCGCGTGGCCTCGTGTGGCTCGACCTCTGCCAGCGATAACACAAGAGCGCCAATGAGCAAATGGCTCGTACAAGCTGTGGCTCTAGCAGCAGCAGCAACGCATGGGCAGCACCAGCGCCACACGAAAATCGGCAAAAAAAATGCAGAGAAAAATAAACGGCGAGACTACGCAATACGAGCTTTGCCGGCCTTCGATTCGCTGAAAGGACAGCATCAGGTGTGGCTAGTGGGCAGCAGCCAGCGCTTTTTCCCCGAAGTTGTTCTGCTGGTCTGCTTTTGGCGGACGGGGGCTGGAGTTGCAGCGGCCTAATCCCCTTTTGGCAGGCTGACAGCAGCTCCAGGCTGTCATTGGCGGACATCAACGTCATAGCTCACAATGCGCCCCGGTTATGGCTCGAGGTATGGGGACCTGCCCAGCTTGCACTGCAACGTTTCGCCGCGACCACAGTGCGCATTCGCAGCAGTGCCTATATCCATTTTACCCGCCAAAATTCCCGCGCCAAGCGTAGATCATGGCCGAAAGCGCACAGTGCTGTGGCACCGTGTCCCACGCGATGGCAAAAAATCAAGGTCGAAGAAGCAAAAAATAGGATAAGGAAAACTGAAAAACAGAAAAAAGCTCATTATCACCATCGAAATCAGGGTAGCGTTGTTTGACGAACGGTGACGACATCGCAGACAATAGGCAGAGAGCTATTTGTTTCCAAAAAAAGATGTCGCCTTCTTTTGTGCCGCGCCCATTACTACGGAAGCCAAGCCACGCGCTGTGTTGGTGGCGACACAGGCAGAATGAATGAATGCAGGTCCCGACCCAAAAAAGGTGCCCCTCGTATTGTAATCAATAGCGTGCTGTGCTCAACGAGGGAGCCAGCTTTGAGGCCTCATGCAAGTAGGGAAAAACAAAAGAAATTTTTTACTCAGTCACATGGTCTTCCTTGCTGTGATCGGATGCTAATGCTTGTCAAGTTCGATTCCCGATACAGGCAGACACTTCAGAACAGGACAGGCAACTACCCATGCGAATAAAGAACAAGTCAATGTCAAATGTACACTTACATGTCACACGTTGATTGCTCCATGGGGTCGAATAAATAATCCACAGCGGCCTTGACCCCAGGCCATAAATCGCAACAGCGTCATAACCACGTTCCTTCGTAGTGAGATTCACGGTTTAACCGCCTTCCCAACTCTGCAAAGGCTTCACTGGCAGCTCGTCTTTCTGAGGCGGCCAGCGTATTGCTTTGATGGAGGGGCGGCCGCATGGATCCCGCTTATTTTCTCCGACATGGCGCCGTCTGTCTTGTTTCTCGGCTTGCATTGAATGAATGTTTTGCGAATTGCTGGCAGCGAGCTTTGCTGCAGAGGCATGAGTAGGTAAGGTATCTGCCTAGTAAGCTACATCAGGTGGGCTTTTCTTTTCTTTCTTTTCTTCTTCCTCTTGGCTTCAGAAGCATGATAGCTACAACACGCGGGATCTCCTTTGGGACGGGCCGCCAAGAGGCGGTGATGCGGTGTGATATCACAAAGTCAGGGTCCACTCCCTTTTGCGGGAAGTCAAAAGAGGCTTCTAGTGTCTCTCGTTCGTCTGTGCAAGACATTTAATCACACAGGAACAAAGACCCAAGGCAAGACATTCCGAAGCAAAAGGGCACGTTAGCTCAGACACAGAGAGGAACATTGCCTATCGCTTAAGCGAAACAAAAAAAAATACGATGATCACAGCTAGAATAGTCAGGTGAAAGCTTTTTGACAAAGCGGCCAGGCCTCTCGACCCTCGTATTCCAAAAATAATAGGGGGCACGATTGGTTGGGCTAGGCAGGCATTTAGATTGAGGTGAGCCTCTAGGCTTTTGGGCTCGACTCGGCAGCGGCAGCAGTAGCAGTACCTGCCAAAAGGCGGGGTGTAGATGGCTGCTGCGATGTAGCGGTACCTCAGGATTCTGGTTGCTGGTGCCCGAGTGCCCCCCGTATGGTAGCATCAAAGGGAGAGAAGAAATAGATGTGCTTGACAGAATGCTACATCGTAACAATATCTCACGGCATGTAATGCAAGCTTTGATGCGATGTTACTCTGTGTGGTTTTTTATAGATTCTGTTTTTTTTTTTTTTTGGTCTTATACGCGACTGCCGAGAAGATTGTCGGCACTAGAAATGGCAAAGGCGCAGATCTGACAATCCTTCTGCGACGCTTGGAGAAGGTCGGTCGGTATTCAGTATAATGGGCCGACAAGACGAGACATCACCAGACGAATCATCCCAAATCACACACTTTGGCTTGAATCGTGTTCAAGGCGCCATGAGAGAGTTGGGCAGATTCTACATCGTACAAAGTATCAGTACTTTTCAACAGATGCCAGTATTAGGAGTAAAACCCCCATACACATGGGGCACCATGCACACCGATATCCTATTCCGACCGCAAAGCAGCAACTCGGGATATCGCCGTCGCCGCAAGCTACTCGCACATGTACAGTACATACTCCTTATACTATCACTAGTATTGCAGCTTGGTCATTGCTCTTCTACGCCATATTAGTGTCTTTTCCTAATCCTCTTTCCCAAGTGAGGTTGAGTCGTGGTGCTAGTCGATATGCTCGTAAAAGGGGGCATTACCATTACCCCGTATGCAGGTCTTACTCCCCTTGTCAAGGAGATTTTTCTCCGCAGCAATCGATATCGATCTGCTTCACTGCGATCTACGCATGGTGATGGGAAAGACAAAACAAATAAACAAATAAACCTCGTAATAGCACGTTGTCGTCTGGGGGAGTTGTCAGATATCCTTTTTAATTTTGGATTTATCGCAGCCTTACGCCTTTTATGCATTAAACACTTTTTTTTGCGCGTGTGCTCTTCGCTTCTGAATGCTCCCCGCCTAGCTCCCAAGCGGTCACCCTCTTCTCTTTAAAAAGCCAACCGCTCATGCTTCCATGGTCTCTTTCCCTCGCCCTCGCCATACTGCGCCGTCGGCTGATAGTCTCCCCTTATCTTGTACTTGTAAATTGTCAGACCGTCCAGGCCCACCGGTCCCCGAGAGTGGATCTTGTTGGTGCTGATGCCGACTTCGGTTCCAAAGCCGTAGCGCATGCCGTCCGCCAGACGGGTTGAGGCGTTCCAGTACACACCGGCTGAGTCTACCTGATTCATAAAGTGTTCGGCCTCGGCTCCGTCCGAGGTGAAGATGGAGTCTGTGTGGTGAGAGCCGTGGGTGTTGATGTGGAGAATGGCTTCCTCGACGGAAGATACTGTCTTGACGGCCAGTGTCAGGGAAAGGTGTTCTGTATCAAAGTCTTCTGGGGTGGCATCTACAACAGTGCCGTCTGGGAACGCGGTGGATGCAGCTGCGAGGGCGGCTTTGCTGGTGGCGTCAACGCGGAGAGTCACGCCTTTCTGAGCCAGTGCAGCAGCCACGCTGGGGAAGATGGTATCGAGGGCTTTGTCCTGGACAAGGAGGGTTTCTACGCTGTTGCACGCAGCTGGGTAGCTGGTCTTGGAGTCGACAATGGCAACAGCAGCCTTCTCCTTGTCGGCGGAGGCTGTGAGATAGATGCTGCAGAGGCCGTCTGCGTGGCCCAAGACGGGGATCTTTGTGTTTTCCTTGATGTACCGGACAAGCTCGTTTGAGCCGCGGGGGATGACAAGATCAATGCTGCGATCCTGGCTGAGAAGCTGGAGAATGGCGTCGCGAGTGATGACGAGTTGGATGGCTGAGTTGGGGACCTGAGTTGTGGAGAGAGCAGAGGAGATGACTTTTGAGATGGCGATGAAGGATTCTGTAGACTCCTTGCCTCCTGTGGAATGATTAGTATATCAGGCCTGGAAGAAGTTAAGATGACGCGAAAAGCTTACCCTTGAGAATGGCAGCATTGCCGGACTTGATTGCCAGACTGGCAATGTTGGCAATGACTTCAGGGCGCGCCTCGAAGATGATGAGAAGGACGCCAATCGGGCATGAAACCCGCTCCAGGTTGAGGTTGTCGTCGAGCTTTGTCCGTAGTGAGACCTTGCCCACTAGTGACGATGATGACTGTCAGCTTGCCTGATCTGATATCTAAGTTTTATCACGTCTGTGGGGAAAATCTCGCTCATGGTGGCGGTCCATCAAATGACCAAATGCGAAGCATTAAAAGACGAAAAGTAGGATATGTGAATCATTGCACGATGATAGCAAAGATTGCGCCACGTACCAGGATCTTCCAAGTCCCTCACATCCAATATCCCCTGCAACATATCCTCAAACTTGCCCTTCTTGCCCAGATCCAGCCTCGACACGAGCGCCTGTGACAGCATCCCATCCGCGGCCGCTTTCTGCGCAAGCTCCAGATCGCGCGCATTCGCTGCCAGGATCTCGTCCTTGGACGCTGTGAGAGCCGCGTGGATGGCCTCGAGGGCCTCGTTGCGAGCCGATGCCGGCAGCGAGGCCAGAGTGAAGGAGGCCGTCTTGGCGGCGGCGGCGGCGACCTCTGGCGAGTCGTTTGTGAGAGACATGATTCCCTTTTGTACCCTATATATCGTGTTTAATCTGGGGATGTGCTGTTGAGTATGGAATTCGTGAGCGATGAGGCGAGATGAGATGAGGTTTGCATCTGGGATGAGTAAGTCAGATCTGATTTTGTCAGACTCCGATGCGGGGCCCACGTATTGCCTGATGTGGTAATCGCTGTGGCGACCTGTCACCGGAAGCGGCGCAATGCTGGGCTGCTCTTAAATTCATCCTCTTCTATAGCAGTAAACACGTATAACAAATGAATTTGACAGGATAATCAAATAAACAAATTTTGTATCAGTGACCAAGTTCAAAAAATTAGTTTTTGCTTTGGACTCTGCTCGTATACTCTGGCGCAACACTAAGCGATGATGAGATCGAGACCAGCCGCGGTATCCACACGGAACTATTACGGGCTTGCAAAGAAAAAGAAGATGCTTTTCCTGTCTGTAGTGATGAGAAACTGTAATATAAAGTCTAGTCTGAAGCGCTCTACAGTGGTATAATAACTATACTGTCCTTGGGTGAGCATAGCCAAGCAGTCACAGATGAAAGCTGGCTAAAAGATGTGGTGGTTGGACACAAGCGAGGGGCTCAAAATAGAGAACAAATTAGAGAGGTTTAGAGAAATTACAAGAAAAAAGGTGATTTCATCGATCAATGAGATCAAGGCTTCGATAGTGTCTTTTGCGCCTTGGATTTCCAGCATCCGATGCAAACCACGTCAACATCTGGATAGGCAGCTACAACGTCATTTCAAGATATCTTGTATTCTAGAAGTAATTCACTCATTTTGTCATTCCATTTCAATTTCAACTAAATGGTACCATTATCTTGGTCAACTGAGAGCCATTAGAAGCTCCTGATGGAAAGTTCCGGCAAAGCAGAATTACAATACATGGATGCCAACTAGAGTCGCGTGCTAAGCGAGATATGCGACTGTTCATCGGACTGTATAGCCATCTCAGAGAATGATTCAAGTAACTTCAAGCTATTCATAATCCATATTTGTCAAATCCTTTCGCCTAAATCTCGCAAGCAACGTATCCTTTGCCACCGCTAAGAAATCCGCGAATTCTCATCTTGAATCACAGTTCGTTGAGACTATTGATATGAGTGTTACTCTATACATCTCATAATAGGACTCTAGACTAGGATACTGCTAAAACGAATCAATTATACACTGATTACATACGGGCAATATATATCTTGACCATGCTGTTTGCAGACGCTTCAAGGAGCGTCCAAAGGAGACAGAGCGGGAAGCACAAAAAAAATTAGAAATTCTTTATAAGTTTATACCTCTATATGAGACTTTCCCTGTACATCTCTAGATGAGTTATCTATGGCAGCCAGACGCTGAGGCGGCGCATCGCATATAGAGAAGATTCTACTACGAGTAGCCTTGGCCTTGTAAGCGGAAAGAGTAACCAATCGTTCGGTTTCAACGTAAGAATAAGTATAATAAAGTGGCAAAAGAAATGATATTATCAATGAGTATAAGACTGGTGAGTTTGGAGGATTCATCTCTGCATAGTACCTCGCGATGTCACCTCGGCCTCCGACGAGATTCGGTGATAGCACCTTGATGGGCTCTCGGCGCACATGAGCCGCCAAAACTTGCGCAAGCAAGTCACCACATGACACGGCATTTGCTAAAGGATTCGGATAATCGGATGTGAAGTTTTATAGATCGTTGCTTCGATAAGTCGGACAGCAGCTGATCTCGTTAGGCTATACCTGAGGCCATATTGGGGTAAGGCATATGCTACTATACTGATTACTGATTCAAGAGGTGAAAGGTAGGCAAATAAGACGTAACAAAAAGGCTGTATGCAGTGGCTACATGAATCGAATGCCGATATCACACACGCTGTTACATCACTTTCCTCGAGTAATAGCCTACATGAACCGCCTACATTGATAGCGCCTTTCAAGGTACACTAAATTATAATCCAATGGGTACGAGCATGCGACGATGAAGCATTCAACGCCCGATCCATCGCCATCTATTCTCTCATTGGCCCAATTTCCCACTCAAGATCAATAACCTCAATAAACCAAGCCAATATGCCCCAACTTTCTCAGCCATACTTACCCCGATTTCGGGAATTTACCCCAAATGCTACTATGACTAACTACGCCGCCGTTCTCGATTTGGTGTATCCCGTCAGCCTCCCATGCCCGAGCCCCACTCCTCCAGGCGCCCTCTTTTTGCTTGTATTTCTTGTTAAAATTCTGCGCGATACTCTGTCCGGCTAATTCCCACCCGGCAAGGCTAAGGCCGCGCCCCTGCGTGGCTACGATGGAGGTGTGGATGTGCTTCTTGTAGAGGGGAGCTGCAGATATTCTGATGTATGCATTGTATTGCTGCAGAAAACAAAAAATAAAAAAAAAGTTCATTACTGTAGAGTATATGGTCAGATCATATGCCATTTCAAGTATTTCACAAAAGAACAAAATTGTGGAAAAGATGACAAATGTAACAGTAATAGATACATGTACCTTGCAATAATAACAAGGCTTCACCTCCCGGTGGGTTGCCGAGTCGCGGACCTCGGCCGTGGAATCTGTGCCGGCGCGCGTATCCGATTCGGCCCACCTTTTCTACGGAGAATGGCAAAATTTCCTACAGCAAAACAAGTGGGAATCGACATGGTAGTGGGTGGGATCGAAGAAAAAGGATTTTTAAAGAGGGCGACATGGCTGTGTGTTGGCCTTCAAGTAGGAACCCCCTGTGTTTATTTATTCTCCTTATCATCCCGCCTTTTTGGTTCTTTTTTCTCTTTCTTCTTTGAGTGTGTGTTTGATGATGCATGGCTACGAGGCTACTTGAGCGGGAATCTTTATTTTGTTTACTTTGATTCGTGCTACATATTGATGATTTTATTTTATGATGCCATATTGGGAGAAATAGACGACTACTCATCTGATTGTGCCCACTCTCTCATATCGCCGACTAAACTAGGACTCATTTTATAAGCCGTCACCTCATGCCATCTCAATTGCACCACATTTCATACATCTCATAATACTTACTCTTCTCTTATTTTTTATTGAAAAGACTTATACGAAATGTCTTCAACTCCTGATCCAGAAAAGGCCGATGGCTCAACGTCCCCTACTCCATCAATCCACTCCTCCAACGACACCATCACCACCGCACACTCAGACGAGCACGGCAGCGACGAAAAGAAGACTGCACGCGAGCACATCACTGAAAACGACTCAGAACTACACCATGACTCTCTGGTACCAACAATCAGCCTTGCCACAGCAGCGCAAGCCCCAGCAACGGAACAGGAAGCTGCCCGGTCGCGATCCCGAGCTTCAACCACCCGTTCCAAGACTCTCAACATTGTTCCTCGCTCTCAGCGACGCGGGTTACTGAGTCGATTTTCCGTTGTTCCTGAAGCTGAGAGTCCGTATGAGTACAAGAACTCGACTAAATGGGGCATCACCTTGACTATTGCTCTTGCTACTGCGGCTGCTCCGCTGGGCTCTTCCATCTTTTATCGTATGCATAACACTCACTTACACCGGTTCATACCTCCCTGCTAACAACTCACAGCCGCTCTTCCTGAAATGACGAGAAAACTCAACACCACCGAAGACATCGCCAACCTTTCCGTCGCCCTCTACATGATCTCCATGTCCATCTTCCCCCTCTGGTGGTCCTCCTTCTCCGAGCAATTCGGCCGCCGCTCCATCTACATCATTTCCTTCACTCTCTTCCTCATCTTCGCCATCGTCTCCGCCGTCTCCACCAACATCGCCATGCTCATCGTCTTCCGCATCTTCACCGGCGGCGCCTCCGCCTCCGTGCAAGCCGTCGGCGCCGGCACCATTGCCGACATCTGGGAATCGCACGAGCGCGGCCGTGCCATGGGCATCTTCTATCTCGGGCCGCTGCTTGCACCCCTGATTGCGCCCATTGTGGGAGGAGCCTTAGCCCAGGCGTTTGGCTGGAAGGCTACGATGTGGTTCCTCGCCATCTACGGACTTGTTATCTTGGCCATGCTAATCTTCCTTTTGCCTGAGACGCTGGCACGGAAGAAGCAGGAAGAGGCCATCGCTGACACTGAACCAACTGCTGAATCTATCCGCCGCATGACGACCAGAGAATCCGCCAAAGTTCAGACCAAGAAACTGGCTGCAAGCGCCAAGCGCATCTTCCTCGACCCCCTCAGCGTGCTGCTCTTCCTCCGCTTCCCTCCCGTCTTCATCACCGTCTTCACCGCCGCAATCGCCTTTGGAGCGCTATTCATCTCCAACATTTCCATCCAGCAAAAGTTCTCTCAGCCCCCTTACAACTACAGCCAGATCATTGTTGGTCTGCTCTACCTCCCCGCTGGCCTGGGCTACTTTATCGCCTCCATCTTTGGCGGCAGATGGATTGACAGAATCATGACCCAGCAAGCCATCAAGGCAAATCGCTATGACGAAAACGGCAAACTCATTTTCTTGCCCGAGGACCGCTTCAGGGAGAACATGTGGCTGGCTAACACCATGTATCCCATCGGGTTGCTGATATACGGATGGACACTCAACTATGGAGTCATCTTCATCGTTCCTGCTATTGGCAGCTTCATTTTCGGAGCTGCATCTATGCTTGTTTTTGTAAGCCTTCTAATCTCCATACTTCTTTGACATATTGCACATGACTAATTATAAAACAGTCTGCTGCCACCACCATGCTCACGGAATTTGTCCGCAAGAAGAGTTCCGCTGGCGTTGCCGTCAACAATTTTGTTCGCAACATCCTCAGTTGCGTCGGCGTCATCGTTGCAGCTCCATGGATCAACGCCATAGGTGTAGGCTGGGTATTTACAACAGTCTCTTTGTTTTGTATGGTTGCTGGCTATATTGGCATTTGGACATTGAGGAGAAATGCCGCTCGGTGGAGGAAAGACATGGACGAGGCGATGAAGGATATGTAATGATTTGATGATACCCTAATATGTTGTGTGACTTTTTATAGACGTTTTGGCCAAAGTATAAGTATTCTTGATCTAAACATCTACATGATTCGCTAAGCGTGAAACAATGTCTGATAATCTATACTTCGCTCTCCCTATTCACTTTTCTCCTGCCAGCAGCTTGCCGAGCGCATCAACAGCGACATTTCCGCCGCTGAACACAAGCCCCAAGTCCCATCCCTCTTCGCCAGCCTCCTTCTCCACAAGGCTTCTAAAGTCTTCATCAAACAGCGCAACCGCCAGCGGAACGCATGCGCTCGGTTCGACCACCATCTTCATCCGCTCATACACGAGCTTCATGGTCTTCAAAATCTCTTCATCCGTCACGCTGTACATGCCACTTACTAGACGCCGCTCGAAGATGACGCTCCAAGGATGCACACCCACGGGTGTTCTCAGTCCATCAGCCACAGTGAGAGACGACACGGTGGGGATGCGTTCGCCTGATTCGTATCCTCGCTTAGCATCGTCGGCTCCTTGATGTGACGGCTCGGCGCCAAAGACCTTGATACCAGTGCCTTCGCAGCTGAGTGCCACGCCGGAGAGCATACCGCCGCCACCACATGGAGTGATGATGGCATCCAGTCCTTCTTTATTTCCCTTGGTCTTGTTTGCTGCAGCGGCATACACGCCCCTCAGGGCTTGTCCAGCTGGGTTAACCTGAGATGCAATGCTGCTCTCTACTTGGTCTTGGAGCTCGAGTCCGAGGGTCCCCTGGCCAAGCATAATATCAGGGTGATCATAGGGAGGGACCAGCCGCGCACCGGTTTCGGCAACAACCTTTTCGGTGACGGCCTCACGCTCGACACTCGTGCTGCCGCTGAAGATGACGTTGGCGCCATAGCCTTTGGTGGCGTTGATTTTCGCAGGGATGGAGATTTCAGGCATGACGATGTGAGCCTTGATGCCGTTTTCTCGGGCTGCGAGAGCCAGGGCCTGAGCATGGTTGCCTGCAGATTCACATTAGCAGCCGTTGAGCCATCTATTAGACAAGACCGTGAACGGGATACAAGAGAATCTTGATCTTGAGCTTCTCTTCCCCCCCTTCTCACACATTGCAAATGTCATGAAGTAAAGCACCATCTTACCAGAGCTATGCGTCACAACGCCCTTTTCCTTTCCTCCTCCCTCCAGCCATCCCGGCTCCTCTGACAGCTTGTGCAGCGCATAAAAGGCCCCGCGCACTTTGAAGGCCCCGATGCGCTGCAAGTTCTCGCACTTGAACCACAGTCTCAGCACAGGCTTCGCGGGCGTCCTGCCGGCGAATCTCGTGTCCTTGAGATTCTCAACGGTCGTGGGCGTCGAAGCCAGCTCGGAAAGCGTCTGATTGGTCACCACAGGCGTGCGATGGACATGATTCTTGACAACCTTGTGCGCCGAGCAGACGGAGTCACGGTTCAAGGGGAGGGTTGTCGATAATGCGGCCATTGTTGCTGCTTGTTCTTTGCTGGGCCTTTGCTTGGAGCCTGGTTCTTTTTGCCCTTTTCAACTCTCGGTTTCACAACCAAACAAGAAGAGATACTTTCACTCTTTTAAGGACACTTTCGACAAGCTGCTGCCTTGACAAGCTGCTGCCTTGACAAGCCGATTATTCTATCAGCACTTCTCCTCGATGGCGTCAAAACGTGCCGCCTTTCCAGTGATCAAAAGGCGTGGGGAAATCCCCGCCCGCTAAAATTAGTGGACAGATTCCAGGGTAAGAGCGACGGCACAACAATTCTAGAAGTCTCTCCCCAGACTTTTGCTTCTACAATTCTGATTCTTCTTGGCACATTCATTGGCCGTTTTGAAATTCATGATTATATGATCACCGAGACTAACGGACAGTTTTGAGTCTTGGCCTCGCCAAGGTTCCTATTCGATACTCGTTCCAACGTTCATGTTGAAATTCTGCACCAATGACATGTTAGCTCTCACAATAACACGGCTACAACCCTACCTGTCAAGTACTGGCCTCGAGGTGAGACAGGGACACCATCCTATGGGAATTTGCGAATCAATCTTTCAATCTCTTATTGCCTCTACCACTTAGCAGCTTATGCGCGTATACTACAGTAGAACTAACACACGTATCTCACCGCAGGATGCCGCGTGCGCCAAATGACCGTGAACAGGGCCACCGAAATTTGGGCGAGATCTCTACAGATTCCCCAAGTTTCCACATCCATCTTCGGCTGGGGCCGTAGCTCCGTTGCATATCGCCTTCTTCAAGGGCTCTTTCAACTATATCCTATTCATCAGAAGTGCCCAACTTCGTGAGCGCCCCGTGGCTGTGTCGAATTGAGGTGAGCCCTGCCACGGTGGTACTTCCCGAGCCACAGCCGCCATAGACTCGCCGTTACTGCGTCTACCCAAGGCAGATTTCATCGCCTGAGGTAGGGAGAAAACTGATCTACAACATGACTGACTGGGTCTCAAAAGGCGGCCGCAGACACGAGGTCACCTGAAACTGGTAGGTGTGGTCCCCCCACGAGCCGAATGGCGGTATTGGGTTCTGCGATTGCAATCGCCTGATGCTGGAGACTTGTGGCTAATACAGGTGTGCTGGCAGCTGGAAATGCAGTTTCATCAGAACGCCAGAGCGATCCACGGAGCTGCAGCTTCAAAACTTGGTCGCAATTCACGGGATTTACAGCCTGTCGCAGTTTGGTAAATTTACGACATGGTCGCAATTTGACGGATTTGCGACTTGGCTGTAGCTTGTCGAAGTCACAACCTGGCCGCGTAGACAAGAAAAGGTCGTTAGGTAAATTTACGACTATTCGGTCTTAGAGGCCATCCCATCCTTTTCTTTTCTTTTCTCTTTTTTTTAAGATTACGAAACCTGGGATCGGCCTTATACGAGCCGACACTTCGGGACTGCTCGGAGCAAGGATTCGAGACGGGCTCTACTGTATCTTCTATTGTGCGGCATCGCTCGTCTGATTCAGCGTATCTTTCCGGTAGAGCTGGTGGTCGTCCAGGGGAAGTTGTCTCTACCCTCGCCGGCGCCCAAAGCTCAGTACCGCCAGCTTGGAGCCGATGGGGACAAGGGTTTGGCGGCATGGGTGGGTGGCTGGCAGTATTGGAAGCCCCGACATAGCCCATGCAGTCCTTTTTTGGGGTTTGGATCGTTCGTCGAATCAGCGATCCAGAACCTGTTGTTGGCTACTAGCGCTGTAGTTTTTACGCAAGGGAGCATTCTCAGCGTCGGCTATGTTTCTCGTCGCTTTTGGAGTTGAGAGAACACGCCCAGGGACGGAAAGGAAACCGGGAAAATGGGCAAGCAAAGAGGCTTGGCGAAAAGACGAACTCGAATGACTGGCTACTGGCTTGTTGATCCCTAGGTAGCGTCCCTAGCTGCATGGAGATGGATCTTGCTATGCATGCTGCAAATAATGGGCAATACTATTTGGTGATAGGCACTCCTCGGCTTGCGGCATGGCCTAATCATCGCACCAAGCTGTCACCCAGATCCGCGGAAATCGTTATCTGGCATTCATCCTGTCCTCTTGGTCAGCGTCGCGATCAGATCCTGCGTCGAAGCTTACAGGTGCATCTTGCGTATACTCAAACGAAGACAGCCACCCAAGACCTTGGTATGATCGGATCGATTTCATCTATTTGACCGGGTTACCGGACCTTCCTGCATCTCTCACCTAATTTTAAATTAGCGCCACGGATCGATCTTTAGGGGTGTGAAGAAGGCGAAGAAAAGGCAACCATATTCACTTACTGGTATCTGTGACCGCCACAGAAGTACCCCGGCTTTTGTCCCAATTCTCGCTGTCGCATGTCAGGTGGCCCTTGGATGGGTCTATGGGACGCCAGCCAGTGTTGCAGCGGTATGATGGAGACGGCTTATTCTGCAGCTCAGAGGGGGTACATGCAATTTGCCCATGCATTCAATCTAAACAAGGTCTTTGGTCGCACAATGTGGCTTATGATTTTCACCAAGCTAGCCCTCCTATGAAGGAGATTATTCGCCTCGTCCTATGAACTCATCGCGCAGAGAATATCGAAGCGGGTGAGTCGATCCGGAGGAAGAAGTCTTGCGTTTAGGGTGTTCTCTTTGGCATCGTATAAGAGTATAATCCGCAAAGAGATCGGGTACTGACCAGATCAGATGCACGATCCGCTGTACTGGCTTTCCCCTGGTCTTCGGGTCGCCGCTGCGCCTGTTCTCTCGATCGTATGGCGGAGCTGCTTCCGTAGCGTCGCATCCACCTGCCGCTTCCCCGAGTCCCATGCTCAATACTCTTTCTGGCTGGGTTCCACCTTGCTGTGAGCCTAGTCTATACCTACGTGTACGCCGCTCGTCGAGAAAGCCTGGGCAGAAGTAGAAAAGGGTTGAATGCGGCGGGAAAACGACCTAGCTCCTGTCCTGGATAGCATCACGACAACAGCACAGCGGCATCAGTTCATTCCTCACGCCCGCTGACGCCCCTTGCGGCGCTCTGATGAGCAGCTGTTAGCTAGGGGGTATGAACTGTAGTATCGGCACCTCCATGTTTATACTTATTAGCCCTTAATCCTACGACCCATCCAAGCTGCCAGGGATCATGGCGGACAAGGAAGCATGTTGAAAGCGTCGGGTCCCAAGTTCCTGGGTCTGGTTCGCGGACCAGCCATTAGATCTGCGTGTTCATTATGCTAGACCTCTTTTTGATCACTCACGCGCTCTTGCTCGGCCCGGCCCAGCGATTTGAAAGGGGCTTAGAAATTCTATGGGGTCTCTTTTACAGAGGCCCCCCTCGTTGTGTCGTCTCAAACCCACCGCTCATTTTGTCTCTGACGCTCTGTCCACGGCTTGTTTACCATGGATGATCAAATATCGCCAGACGGTCGGCTCAGCCGTGACAGTAGTATCAGTTTGGAGGACCATAACGGACCAGCTCCAAGGTGTGTTCGGATCTCTGATCCCCCTTTTGTTGACCACAGGTCTTCTAACTAGGACTTCGTAACCAGGCTTAGCAGATCCGATCTTTACACCGCGCATCAAGTACAGAGAGATGCGTACTATCGCGCAAATCCATACTCCCTGTTTATGATTCCCCTAGACTTTCCGGCAACGTACAACGCAGACGAGATACCGACAGGTGTAGGGCCTTCAGATGCTGTTGATGAAACATTGCTCTCATCCCGCCGCTTGGAACAATATCTGTCCGAAGAACGCAGGGGCGAACGGATCGCTCTGGGGATGCAGCCTCTGGGAGTAAACAGGGCTACTGTCCAGCACTATCTGCCCGAAATCATACAGAGTATGGATAACAATGTGTCACAAGCAGAGGCAACTGTTGGCACGATGGAGCCTGAGGTAGAGCCTGAGGAAGGAGTATGCTGGGGATCGTTCACCACATTGGCATCTACGACATCTGACGGGTCTTCGGGACCCGTTACAGCATGCAAGAACAAAAGCGATGACGGTTATATAGCCGAGGCAGCTAACTCAGGACCATTCCCCGCAACGCCCTCTTCAGACCAGCACAGTTCTCCGGGCCCAACGAGACTAGGCAAGCCATATGTGGCTCCAATACAGTCGCAACATGCCTTGGCTAGCAATGAATCAAATCTCGTAGCCCAGGACACTGCTGAATGCGACCTGGAGCTAGAAGATGTTGCAAGGTACGTACACAGTAGGGTACATGACAGTCCGTCACTGGACTAACATACTCGGAACAGCAATTTTTATAAAACAATCAGCCACAGGCGACGCGGAGGTTACCAAGTCGAGAACCAAACACGCGTTAGACAGGCACGCGTTAAAAAGACTGCTCGCCTCGTAAGGAGGTCAGAGAAGCAGCAAAAAGAGACGAAGAAATGATCTTGGGCCCGGTCTCTGGATGGCAGATTTCTTTCAACAAGTTATTGGGTTGAGCGGGATTAGTAAATGGGCATGTAGGGCGTTATCATATATTAGAGGCTGTACAGGCAGCATGACGGAAAACGGGACGGGATTTCCTTGGGACTAGATTGTATAACATGATAAATAACCGCTTCAATTAGATATAACAATACACCTGCGATTGCTTTTTGTGTCTCCAAGTTGTCAAAACTTAACGGCTGTTCAAGCTATTGGTATCCAATCTGATCATCACCAAAACAAACAAGCAGTGCATTGTATACCATATCATGCTATCTTATGCCACCAGATCTTTAACCCTCTGAATCTCATCTCCGCCCGCACTTACAATCTTGATCCCCTTCTTCTCTACCTCCTTTCTACCCTCTACCTCCCAATCCTCCTTCTTAACAGCCCTCGTGCCCTCTTCAACAATATACGTCCTATAGCCCTCCTCCACCGCCGACTCCGCCGTCGCCTTTACGCAATAATCCGCCGCCAGCCCAACAACAAAAACATCCGTCACCCTCTTCTCCTTCAGCTTCTCACCCAGCTCACTCACGCTCACGCGGAACGGATCCCAAAAAGCAGAATACATCTCCACATCCGGATTCATGCCCTTGTCCACGACGGCATCAACCTTGGAAACATCTAGCTCAGGCACGAGTTCGACGCCGGGAGTGCCCTGGACGCAGTGCGTGGGCCATAGCAGCGTGGTGTCGCTCTTGGAAGGGTCTGTTGGGTGGACGATTGTGTGATGGGATTGGTAGGCTGTGGCGCCTGGGTGGTTTGAGGCGAAAGAGACGTGGTTTGGGGGGTGGTAGTCGCGGGTGGCGATTTTGATGGTGAAGGGGAGGCTGAGGAGGGAGTTTATGGTTGGGGCGATGGAGCGGCCTTGGGGGACGGCGAGGGAGCCGCTCTGTGTTTGATGTTAGTGTTTGGCTTGGAAAAGTTAAGGAGATTGAGATTGTGATGAAGCTATATTGAGTGGATATAATGCAATGAGTTGTGTGGTTATTGGAGAGTGAAGATGAAGCGGAACTGGGTATATCAGGTGTGAGAAGAAGTTGCTTACGGGAGGACAGAAATCCTCCTGGAAATCAACCACGATGATCGCAGGCCTAAACTCTGCTTCAGCTCCCATGATGACGAGATGAATTTTAGACTGAATTAAAATAGGGATTCAGTGGAAAACAGGACGAGAAGGGTGAATGAGAGAAACAAAGTGAAGTTCACTAATGGAAGTTTAAAGAGATGCTTTAGAGGTTGATGCAAATCCCCCACTTTTGCGGCAGCGGATGTGGCTTATCGCGCTAAATGGCCCGATAAAGGCTGTTTTTGTCTGGGTAGAGGATGTGGAGTAAATGGTTACTTGAGAAGGATGCTTGCTCGTATCATTTACAAAGTATTAGTCGATACAATTACTACCCAGATATATATATATACTTGCTGTTTATTAAGAAGTGAGAGTCCAATTGGTAGAAGATGCTTTGGGATTAGCAAGAGCAGTGTCAAAGTCTATAGAACTTTATCATTGGCTTACAACATTGAGAGAGCAGCAGTCTTTGTGTGGGCATGCTTTCCCGAGCCAACAGTGAACTGTAACCAGACTGGTCAAAAAGGGCTGCATGGCAACTGATTTCATTAATTAAAATATATAGACTAAAAGATAGAATACAGAGTGATATTAAAACAGCCAGCTACCCATGGATATCGAAGCAATGCTATGCTATTCGCCACTTTTTGCAACTATATACTTGTATATATCGTCTATAGAGCATATGCCATCTTCTGCATTGCCCTTGATCTCATAACATCCAAAAAAACAAATAAAAAAACTCCATTAGTTACCAATCACCCCTCGCTTGCGCAAATCGTTTTTCCGCTACTGCGCTTTGAGTGTTTTTTTCCTTCTTCTTTCTTTGACATTACCAACATTAAACCAATCATCATTAATTGTGTTACCTTCGGACCGCGGATCCGTTGGTGATAGTCAACGAGGCCGACGAAGGAGCCGGAGTCATGGCTCGTGAGGGAGCCGCTGAGGGAGCCGCTGAGGGCACGGTGCTTCGGTTGTGCGCCATGTGAGCCCTGACCAGGTGACCGGCAGCGAGGGCACTGCAGAGAGACAGTTCACCGGCCAAGACAGCCGCGGCGATGATTCGGGCAAGTCGTCGGGCATTGTCACCAGGGTTGGTGGGATGAGAGCCCCTGACGCCGAGAAGTTCCAGCATAGAGCCCTGAGGATCCAGGATGGTGCCGCCGCCGAGAGTACCGACTTCGAGAGAAGGCATGGAGACGGAGATTTGGAGAGAGCCACGAAGACTGGCAAATGGTTAGCATGCTAGTTCAAAGAGAGGAAACATCATATATAGACACTTACTTCTTCATAATGGTGATACAGTTGGCGCTCTCCACAACCTGGGCGGGATCCTGGCCAGTGGCGAGGAACATGGCGGCGACAATGTTGGCGGCATGGGCGTTGAAACCACCCATTGAGCCAGCCATGGCAGATCCAATCATGTTCTTGGCGTTGTTCAGCTCGACCAGAGAATCGACATCCGTCTTTAGAACGCTCTTAACGACATCGCCAGGGATAATGGCCTCGGCAACAACGCTCTTACCACGACCCTCGATCCAGTTGATCGCGGCCGGCTTCTTATCCATGCAGTAGTTACCAGAGAGGGAGATGATGATCATGTCTTCAAAGCCAGCCTCGTTCTGCATCACATTCAGAGCGTGCTCGCAGCCCTTGGAAATCATGTTCATGCCCATTGCGTCACCGGTAGTCGTCTTGAAGCGGATGTACAGGTTGGTGCCGGCGATGGCTGTCTTCATGGATTGGAGTCGGGCAAATCGGCTGGTAGAGTTGAATGCGTTCTTCATTGTAGTCTGGCCTTCTTCGGAGTCAAGCCACAGCTTAGCAGCACCGGCGCGTTCCAGGGTATCGAAAGTAACAACAGGTCCACGGGTCATACCATCGGCAGTCAACACGGTAATGGCACCGCCTCCGGAGTTGATGGCCTTGCAGCCTCTGCTAGTACTGGCGACAAGGACACCCTCAGTAGTGGCCATGGGGATGAAGAAGCTCTGTCCGTCAATGACAAGAGGACCAGCAACTCCGACGGGGATGGGCATATAACCAATGACGTTTTCACAGCAGGCTCCAAACACACGCTCCCAGTCGTAATGCCTGAATGGTAGCTTAGAGTTCTCCAATACGCTAGTGATTTCAGAGGTGGCCCGGGTGCGAGAAATGATGGTTCTGCGAACCTTGACGGCGCGGGTAAAGTTCTTAAGCGTCTTTTCGAGAGCATAGCCAGGAATCTTGCCACGCATCGACAGCTCAACGACTTCTTCATCAGTCATCTCAGTAATACGCTTCTCGGCAAGCATCTTTTCCAGCACCGCGAAGCTACGGTTTTCAACCTCTTGGGGCTTAACCTTGGACTCAGCATCACTCTCATCATCCGTAATGACAGGAGTAGCTGGTTGGGTCTGCTGAGGGGTTGGTGGGACGTATTCTCCGAGGGGCAAGGTGGCGGAACCAGTGTCGTTGAAGCGTTGGGCACGAGCAAGCTCGTTGCGGTCGATTTGGTGGTCCGGTGCATTGGGATCCTTGATACTCCATCGGGCGACGTTGAAGAGGTAGCCGTTGAGACCGACACTGAGGGCGAGAGCAGCGACAATCCACTTGGAGAGCACAGGGTCCTCCAAGCTGCTAAGGAGGCCGCCGACAACACGGCCGCCGACTCCAAAGAGCTGGTCGTCCACAGGGGGTGCAGTGGCCGAAGGCAGCGCATAGTGAATAGAAGGGAACTCGAGCTCATATTTGATGGGCGTGAGGATGCTCACGAGAACGGCGACGCCCTTTGCCCTGGCAGCCTCCAAGATGGCATCAAGACCGTTGGATGCGACCTTGAACGGATCAACAGGAGGGGTAGAGACAACTCCGCTAAGTCCACCAACCAGCGAACGAAGGCTTGGGAAGAAAGCGCCGTTGCGGAACTGAATGGTGATGATGTTGATGAGATTAACCAAAATGAAGCCGGAAACCATTAGGCCCTTGAACTTGGGAACGCTGCTGCTCTTGACCTTTTTTCCAAATACCGAAGCCTCATCATTGTCGGCGCTTCTGGCGGCACTCTCTGCAGCACGGCGGTTGACGCCGTCGGCTTCCAAAACCCTGCGCATATTAACGTGTCGCTTGATGCGGTTGATTTCGAGCTTGATGCTCAGAATGGCGGTATAAAAGGTGAAGAGCAGGATGCAGTCGAAGAAGAGAATCCAGGCAGCCAAGAAACAGAACTGCTGAAGGCCGCCCTGAACGCCGGAAGCAGCTCCGAGACTGAGAATCACAATCTCAATGGCGTAGTCGCGAATGATTTCGTAACCCTTCTCCTTAATGGCAGCTTGAAGAGCATAGGAGATGGCGCTTTCTTGTTTGGGCTCATTCTTTCCCTTCTTCGTCTGCTGTGCACGATGCTCAATGGCGTGGCTCAGCACAGCCTTGGTGAGGGCAATGTTCTTCTCAAAACCAATGGTGACAACCAAGAAAGGAAGACCTTCAGAAAGGAGCAGAACACTAATGTGAATACCAAGCCAAGTAGTGACGGCCAAACCAAAGAGGAAAGCAAACGTAGACGAGAAGAGAGTGGTGGTAGCCAGCCAAAAGTTGGATCCCAGGCGGCGCATGGACAAGAAGAGAGACACAAACGTGATGTGCATGGCCAAATAACCAAGGAACATGATGGTGACATCGAGTGTCTCGGCATTCTTCAACAGATCAATGAATGTCGACCAGGCGTTGCGAATCCACAAGACCAAGTTGGGGCCGGCGTCAACCTTGGCAGCCTTCATGATCCACATCTTCTTCTCGCGACCATGCTGAGTCTCTGCCTCCTGGGCGTTTTCAAGAGGAATCTCTTGCGCAGCAGCAATGAACTCTGGCGCCTGTTCATAAGGCACAGAGTAAGCCAAGACGCTGTCGCCAGCATAAGCAGCAAATGAGTTGATGGTGGCTGGCAGAGGGGTGACGGAGAGGTTCTGGGGAGAGGGCACCGCATGAGAGCCCGGAGCAGAAGTAGAAGCACCTTCGGAGACAATCTCAGGGAAAACGAGCGTCAAAAGGGCAAGGTGATCGGCCTCGGCAGAGGTTTCGAGGCCGTGCTCTACGTTTTGCCATTTCCAGCCAGTCTCGGGACCAGCAATCAAGTCTCTGCTGCCATCAGCCAGCGATGACCACTCCGCCTTGCCCACGCTGTTTCCTCCAAAGAGAGTCTCTTGGAGCAGGCCAATGTAAGACGTGCTGGCCAAGAGAGCAACAACGACAATTGTATGTATAGGATGGGAACAGGCCCGCTTGGCCAGGAACTGCAGCAGCGGCGTGAGCTTCTTGTTGAGGCGCGAAGGAGCCGGAGCCTGGCTAGGAGCAGGCTCCCCGCGAAAGCGGCGGGGGAGCAGCGTCGAAGGATTCATGTTGAAGAATATAAAGAGGAATTTCGTTGTCGGCTTGCACTTATTCCATTGGCAAGTGTCGTCGTACGATGTCGGCTCTCCTAACGTTGTCTAGGGCCCACAGAATCTTGTAAGAATCTCGCAGCAAAACCGGCTTCATGATCTGGCCGCGGGGGAGGGGGAAACGGGTCGATATAAACTACGATCCTTGGGGAACAAGGGCTGGAGCAAAGCCCGGGGTTCAGCTCACCTCGTGATGGACGTTGGCTCAGCGCCAGCCTGAAGCGATTGACTTGTCAGTCTCCGGGGTGGTGGCGGCGAGAATCACACCAATGGTGGCGCCCAGCCGTCGGAGAACAATAGGCTGCTGATGCAATTGAGGGCGAACAAGGCTCGGCGAACAACCGCGAATACGTCAGAACAGCTCAGCCACGACTCCTAGTGTGCTCTGGCAAGCAGAAGATGGGAAGATGAAGAAGACGAAGCGTCCCCCCTTTCTCAACGTCCAGAGGAAAAAGTAGCGGCGTAGGGAAAATATCGGCGGCCACTGAAGCTCCCCTGGATGGAGCAAAAAAGACACTGACGCTGGTGCAACTGCTGCAGCGCCCAATCGAGTAATAAATTTGGGGTCACAGCAGCGAGGCGCTTGGCCCAAAACACGCGTAGCTGGTTGATCGTGGGTCTCTAGAGATTGCCGTGGTCGAATTAGAGCAGGGCGGCCGCTCAGTCGACGGTCTGATTCGCTCGACGGTCCTATTTGCGGTTGGCTTGAATTGGCGGTGGATGATGAAATGAAATTAATTCTTAGTAGTGCCGCTGCTCTTTTTCGGATTTTTTTTTTTGGCTTGCAAAACCAACGCCAATCAAGATAAGAGGAGTGGTCCCTCTTTTTCTTTTTTTCGCGAGGTACGAGTACGAATCCGATAAGGCGAGACACACAATCTTTCAGTGGCACGTGGCGTTTTTGGACCTGCTTTGCTGATCGTCCAAGCAGGAACTCGTGGTGACAGTCAGTGAATTCACCTATCAAGACACGCTCTGCATCTACACCAGCCCAGCGGAAAAAGACAGGAGAGGAATTGAAGAGCAGCACCGTTGCCCTCGATCTAGAGCTTTGGGTTTATATCGACAGAGTAGACTTGGTCCTGCTAGCCCTCCGTTCAGGCCTAAGCGGACCCCAGACCCGCAGTGCCAATGTGGCAGCATTGCTCCGTGCGTGCTGCAGATTCCACTGGGATCAGATAATGATGCTGCTGCTACTCCAGTAGGAGCAGTGCTACGACGGAACTGCAAAGCATGGACAACGGATGACACTCTTGATTCCTGTCAGACTACGAATACTACTGCAGCAGTTCCTATTCCTCATACAGCCAAGCCTGCGGGATCCTGGCTAGGTTATGCTCTATCAACTCGGGGCGTATTCGAATCTGTTTAACTTCTCAACAGCACTGCCGCTTACAATCCTGGCCATTCCTCTCCACTCCCGCTTTGCTTCAGATGTGGATGCTGTGGTGCTTTGATGAAGTGTCTTGCATGCATGAAGGTCCAAGCACTTCTACTGTCTTCTGGAGCGGGCCTGGTACGACAATTGCATGTTATCCCAACTCCTACGCCGCATTTGCCACCTTGCAAAAAAGTATGGCCGGCTAAATATTATCAAGCGTATGTGTTGATGGCGGTAGTGCCAGTTGCAGTATCGATCTACTTGCCGTGATGCACTCAAGTCAATATGCGGTGAGCGGTTGTCTTTGGCATCTTCAAGAGAGAACAAAGTTCAAGTGTGACACAAGGCTTGTTGGTTGCGACAATGCTGGGGTCTCTTGAACGGCTAGCCGTTTTCCTAACACAATACCTACTACCATGGCTTTCATCACATATGCAAACCGCTAGTGTGGTGATGAGACTAGGTATATTTTGTTTGCCGGGCACACACCCCGGAATAGTCGGGCAATGATGCTAAGAGCAATGCTAAGGAATCCTCGGTAAGCACTCGGAAGGAATATTGTACAAGGTATAAAGAAGTTGCGCTGCCTCACAAGGCTCAATGGCTTGAGGGCACACGCAAGCCTGGCGCCCGTTCATTTAGTGCAACTGCATCACGAGGCGAGATACAAGTATGCAAGCGAAGAACTAGTGGATTTATAAGCTCAAAGGGAAAGAATACAGAGGTATCATATCTCAACAATATCTAACGACAAAGAAAAATTGAGACAACAAGAGAAACCGCATAAAGACACGCGCCAACCATCTCGACAAGGCATAAAAACACTATTCTACAGCACATCGTCCTCATCCCGAAGCTGCTCCGATGCGAGCAAATGGTATCGGCCCTCCTCTCGGAGCCGAGCGGTGGTAACTCTGTCGGGATAGTTCCTTAGAAACATGTTTGTGAAATGAGTTCCGTAATGTATCCCGCCAATCGGCGACTGTCCGGCATTGTAACCAGGCAACGGCTTGATTACAGACCGAAAGTTGGGCTCGTGAAAGTATGCAAAGGCAAATCGTTCACGAACATTCAACCCGACTTTATGCGGCGTTGACTTGAGGAAGTTGTTGGTCATATACTGCATCATGTCGCCTATAAATGCGTGAGCCAGTGTCTTTCGATAAGAAGCCTTTAGTTGCTTACCTGGAAACACTGTAAATGTCCCAGCGGCAGGAGGGACATACATCCACCCAGCGTCATTTTCTCTTAGTCCAGCCGAGGTCTTTTCCCAGTTGGCAAACTGTTCATCTTGATGCGGGGGTCGGACAAAGAGTCCTAGAAGGCATCGTCTCGTTAGAGTCAAGGCTGAGAAAAGGTTCATGACAAGAGTTGCGTACCTCCAACTTCGTCTTGAGCGGCAATGACAAGCAGACCATAGTCTGTATGAGAGCCAATACCTCGACCTTTTTTCCCCTTTCCGTTGGTCCTGTCTTTGTGTGGAAATCTGTGCGAATAGATTCATTAGTGACTATACCACTTGATGAAAGCGATTGTATGCTGACAACACACCTCAAGACACGCATGTGATGCCACCCATCGTCCGTGTATCTCGTGAGAGATCCCGTGGGAACATCCAGTCCCATTTCGATCAACTGCAACAACTTCTCTCCCGATATAGCCAAGTCAACCATGTAGCTGTTCATGGCATTCTTCATACTCTGGTCAGCCCACGGGCACGGCCCATGACACGGCCAGCCTTGGGCAACTCGCTGATCGGTGTGGGGGAGATCTTTGGTCACGGTGAAGATCTCTGAGTAGTCAGCCACACCATCAGTAATTTCCTCACCGGACGCGATGTAGCCCGAGTAGCTCATGTCGTCTACGCAGGCCTGCTTTTGTGGGCGTGGTCGAGAGAAGAAGCGCCTGCTTGCTGCATTGGCGGCTTGGTAAAGACGTTGCTGTGCCTTTGACATGCCAATCTGTAAAATGCCATCCCGGCGCCAGGCACCGATCATGGCATCTGCTATGGCCTTGTCGGACACAGAGCCCGAAACCTTTTCAGGCAGGGTAAAGGTCTCTAGTTGTCCAATCTTGGCTGTGAACCCAGGTGGCAAGCTATGTGTGGCAGCCGCGTGCGCAGTCACTGCTGATGTCGAGGCAGCACGCGTCTTGGTGATGAGATGCCTGGCTACGCCAACACCCTTGTTGGCGACCTTGACACTGGCCATCTTCACTGGAGAGGGTTTTGGGGGTTATAATGGATGAATTCTCTTTGGGCTTTCTTGTTCAAAGTGGATACAAAGAATATGAGATTCTGAGCTGTTTCAACCTTGCTCTGTCTTGGCCATTGGAGTTTGGGAGAAAAAGGGGCATGAGAACGAGCGAGCGAAAGCGCAATATATAATAGAAGCTATAATGGCAGAGGTTTAAGAACCTTTAACTTGACCGCCATCCGCTTTCTCAACGGCATGTTACTCAGAGTGGCACATTGCGGACCATCTCTATCCTCGACACAGCTATTTTCATCGTGGCTACAATTCTGCCTAAGGATGAAATTCTCAATCTTGCACGCTCGCCCAAAAGTCTGTGCGACATTGGTCGTGTCTTTGGATGGTGAGGGCTTTCATGGGTAGAACTTGTATCACTTCCGTTTGACAGCTGCAAAGAGGCGGTCTGAGGTGCTAACCCTGAAAGAGAGGTGTAGAAAAGAAGAATGATTAAAGACTAACAAAAAAATAAAATGAAAGCTATCAAAAGAGACTAAAGAGAGACAGAGCTGCGCTACGCACACGCGCCAAGCAAATCACTCGAAAGCGAAGCTTAAACTATTCAGGCCGTATCAGAGGCATGATCAGCATTATGGCGTGTGCTGTCAATGATGCCCGCGCGCTCTCTCGCTGAGCACAGTCCTCTTCTTTTCAACTCCCCAGTTGCACAGTCTTACTGATTCGATTAGACGTTTCATCATCATGCATTTCCCATGTTGGACTGCTTTGCACTAAAGGAGTCAGTCAACTCGCTCTTGGTAGCACATGATCGGCTTCTCCGCTGCAGAGAGTGGCAGTGAAAAGGAGAGGTGAGAGTGAGAGTCTTGGCTCGTTGTTGTGAATAGCTTCATCTGTCTCTTTTCCTAGCCGTGAAACCCAGACGTTCTGATGCCGACGCGTGTTTGATTGAAAGGACAGTTGATGGGCCGCACGCACGTACCGAGAGTCAGAAAGGAAAAAGGGGGACTGCAAATGGCAGAAAACGCTTACGTATGAGATTGAGTCACAGTATCTCATCGTCTAAGCTGGACTCCTCCTGTGCGTTGTTGTGTAGGCATCTTCAACATGAGAAGGGAAAAGAGATGTCGTCAGGTTGGGGATTGGAAGCGATCAGTTGTGCGATGAGCCCCGGAGCCCATGCTCCTGAGTCGGTTCGTCGTTTACTGTTGCGTGCTTGGTGTGTTCGTCACTAGCTCTGGCAGGACGTCATCTCCAGGTCTAAAAGGCGAAATTTGGAGACGAAGGGAACTTCTAGACGCCTTCTGTGGACTTGGCTCGCGCTTGTTTCAGCATCTCGATGAAAATCGAACAGGGACCCAAGAGTTTATCAATATATATATATCGTCTTGTCGGGGAGAGATTTCCCTCAGCATCGAGAGTTAAGGCGGGGATCGGCGTCTGGGAAATCTCGTTTCAGGAAAGTGGCCTCATATTCCTAGATGGCTGCTCCAGTTCTGTTCCACCTTGGTCCGGGGTCACACGCGCCCAGTTTAGTTGGTTTAGGTTGTCCTCCCTTTTATCTCGAATCAGAGGTGAGTAGGTTTGGGACGATGTGGATGCCATGCTTTTCGGTTCCGAGCTGCCAGTAGGAGCTCACCACATTTGCGTTCTCCGTTGCCTTTTATGCTCGGCATTCGCTTGACTGCATAATCGTATGCCGTGTCGCTTGAGGCTACTGGCCCGCCCACGTTGGTTTTTCGTGTCAGCTGGCTGGAGAAAGGCAGCTGTAAGACGTAACTGGTATCCTTTACAAGCAGGTAAACAGCGAGAGATTGATAGTTTGAAAGCTTCTACAAACAATTAGCTTTGCATATGACGTTGGCAACCTCAGAGAATAATGGTTGTTCTCTTAGCTCGCCGGAAGTGAGTCGTAGTTAGCTGCATATCCGGTTCGATGGAGGTCTCCATGGTCTAGGTGTAACAAACAGCAGCAAGCAGATGCCCCAAAAAGGATTCCATGATGAAATTGGATCAAGTATACGATGCAGCTGACCAAGGCGTCACCGGCATACTAGTTTTGTTTAACGGCCATGATCACCGGGGCGGTCAAAAGATAGGGGCGAAAGCCTTTCATTACAAAGCAGTCTGAAGGTCAAAGGGATAAAACCGACCCCCATGAAAAACAACCTGAAAAGACGGCCAAAGCAAAAGACACTCAACTCCACCACAGTGCCCTTGGACACATTGAGAAACACAAACAACGCTCTCTCGAACAACACTCCCATTCCCCCCAATAAACTCATTTCACAAGCTTCGTCGTCTCATGCTTCAACCCAGCCTCCTCAGCCTTCTCATCCGCAATCTCATTAAGCGCCTTCCACTCCTCCGCACTGACCCTACTCACACTCAACCGCCCCTGCTTCAGCATCATCATATTCTCCAGCGGCCCCCCCGGCTTGCCCAGCTCGCGCAGCTCCTTGAGGCCAATGGGCACGGCGAACTTTTTTCTGAACTCGACGTGGACCAGGCTCCAGCGGATGTTGTCCTTTGAGGACTGCGGGTCGTAGTAGGGAGTTCCTGGGCGGCGGGCGGATTCTAATAATTTACGTTGTCAGTCATTGATAAGCAAATGCACACACTCTCTCTTTATTTATCATAAAGAGGAGAGTATATAGAGGTGAAGGGGGAGACCTACTGTCTTCGGAAAACTCCTTTACAATCTCCATGACACCCGCAATGCCAGGCTCTTTGCAATTAGAGTGGTAGAAGAAAGCTTTGTCACCGGCATTCATATTCCTCATGTGATTACGCGCCGCATACGCTCTTATTCCTAACAGAAGAAATCTCAGTAACAGGTCAACCCATGAACAGATATCAGACAAACTCACCATCCCACCCCTCGGGCTTCTCCCTCGCCCGCAAATCGTCAATGGAGAACCTGACATCAATGCCATTCTCAAAGCGCGACTCTGGCTCTGCCTTCATCAGCCAGTACCATTCGCCGTCGTGGCGCGGTGCATCCGGGTTGGTTGTGGGGATGGAGTCGATGTCGGGATCTTCAGAGACGGCTCGCGGGCTTTTGGTGTCGTCTTTCTCGCTTTTTGATGGCTTTGCTTTTCCCTTGGGTTTATCGTCTTCGTCTTCTTTCTTAGCTTTGGCCTGCTTGCCCTTCTTGGCATGTGTCTTCTTCTCATCTTTAGTATCCGTAGTAGCCTTAGCCGTAGCCTTCGTCTTCTTCACGCCATCCCCCTTGCTCTCATCCTTTCCACTAGTGGCAATTTTCTCCTTAGTCCTAGAGGGCGCCGCTTTCCTAGCCTTGTCTACTGATCCCTGGTCCTCATCAATCTTCTTTATTGAAGCCGCTGCCGCTGCTTGACGTGAAGATCGCCGTTTGGCAACCGGTTCATCGCCCTCATCTGTAGTTCGCTTCCGGGGAGGCATGTCTGTCTGCCTTACAGTAAGAACTAAAAACCCCAAGTTAAATGAAAAAAATGAAGGATTTCTCTTGTCTTCCAATATTCTCAGCCTCAAAGGTTCAGGGTTTGTTGCAAAACTGCTATAACTGCTGTAAACTGTATGTAACTCCGGCGCGTCAGCCACGCGCTCAGTCCTCGGGCCTAATTAATTCCTGCATAGCCGCAGTGTGGCGCCCCCAATTTTTTCCCTTTTCCTTGCTTTTAGCTTAGCACGGGGCTCCCTCTCAGAGAAAATTAGCCGCGGGCGCTGCCGTCATGTTTGATTTTCTGCGGAGCACCAAGTCCGCTCCGGTTTATTTTCAGCTCTAAAAGCGGCCTCCCTCCGCTATGTAAGACGAAACAGGAAATCAGAGCCTCAAGTGGGAGGTTTCTAAGCGCCTTGGTTTCATTTTATCGACCGCACGATGGCCTCAGTCTTGGGAAAAGAAAAATTTTCGTTCTCTGCAAGAGGGTGGGAAAATCCTTGTCTTTTGATTTAGTGGCTGCAGTTGGATTAAAATAGACTGCGATTGCGTGGAAGCGTCGTAACTGGCGGCCTGGACTCTTGGCCTGCTGACTAAGTTGCAGATCAGATAAGGAAGGTCTGATTGATGAGTCATCAAGAGGATGAGTCAGCCAGCGGGGACTTCAGTTGGGACGACGTTGGCGACGACATCTCATGTTCTCGACGACATGCTGGAATGGCTTTGGATGGATTTTGATGGATTGAGTTTCTATTCTTCGTGATAATACCAATCAAGATACATATTGTCAGAATTGATGAATGCTACGAGTCTACAAGGGCCTGTTGATGGCGCGGGTGTATGAGGGTTACGGGCTGCCGTCGTGGTATATAAGTCGTGCTATATGACGGTAGCGACGAGATATGAGCCTGTATTGGCAGCTCATATCGATGGCAGATGCGGCGTAGGCAAACAGGAAGCACGCTGCGGAGAAGCGCAGCAGGACGAAAAAGCCGCATATGCATCATGATCGGCCAGCGCTTCAGATCGCAGTCCTCTGGGGTGAAAAAAACACTCAGATGTTCAATGAGAGCAGCGACGTCCATTTTTAAGATCGAGTCAGTCAGCATCAATTGGCCAGCGAGCAAGGGAAATTACAAGGCAGTGCTGCAATGATCGTGATGTAGCACGGAGAGTGCGTAGGACTTTTGGTAGGGAAAGCGGCAGCTCATGGCACTGGCAAAACACCAGGGCAACGACAACCGACTCCGAAAAAAACCTCTAAATAGAGTGATATGCACTTGCATAAGTCACAGAGGCAAAGAAATTCAAGTTTACTATGAGATGAATCTTTATTCAGCACATTCGTGCTCAATGAGTGCTGAGTGCTTGTGTGCCCAGTTGTATGTTCAATGTGTGTTCAATGTGGGTGCACTCAATGAAAAGATGAGGGTCGGCAATGCGGGGGACTCGGGCAAAAGAAATGCTGCATAGATAAAGAGTTGATGCAAGCCGGTGATGGTGAGGACGGAGGGTAGCATGTGCAGAGATGTCAGGAGGATGAGGTAGGTTGGGGAGGTAGTGTCAGGTAGGGGGCTCTCATTGGCTGAGAGCGAGGGGCTCCCTCCCCCGGGTATAAAAGGCACTTCTCCCCCAGCTACCCTCCTCCTCACCACTCTCTCCTCTATAAACCCAACCACTCAACTCTTATCAAAAACCAACCGCAAGTCACCCCAAAGAGTCTCAAAGGGTTTGCTTTGATAGCGTCTTGCCGCTGAGCTTCCTTGATACCTCTGTACAGTTAGCAACTTGCTTTATACCTGCCGTCGCCTCCCCCTACCTACCACTATCAACCTATGCAACCAAGGATAGGTTCCAAACAATCAAACTTCAACATACCATCTCATTCTGTTGATTGAACAATGAGTTCCATCAACATGGAGAGGATGTCGCCTCGCTCGCCTGAATTCCTCACAACCTTTGTCTCTGACAAGGATAGTAGGAGAAGAGTCGTCCTTGAGAGCCAGTCGAGGTATCGGGTTCAAAGTGCAGCCATTGATGAAACAAGATCATATAGACAGCACAGAGACTCTTACTCGGGCTCATCGGTAAAACGTCTTCGCTATTCAGGAGCGGATGAAGCTGTAGACCAGCCTTCGTCGCATCGCTCGTCACGTGAGCTCGACTCCCTTCTTATTGAAGCATCAGTATCATCAAGAGGAGCACGGAGTCATGAATCCATCAGAGAACCTCGGAGACATCATCTCCCATCCCCTCCTCCAGATGAACCTCGACATTATCGTCGTGGTCACGTTGAGGTCTTCCCAAGTGCTACGAGAGCACGAAGAAGTCGTGACCTCCAAGGCTTCGGCGCTTGGAGCGATCACGTTGCATTGCCTCAGCAGCAGCAACTCCTCACTGAGAGTGCTTACAACGACGAAGACATTTTTCAGAGCAGGAGATTGAGCAGATCCAGTATACCCGATACACCACGGGACTGGCTGCTGCCGACTCCTGAACTCTCTCCCATGCCCACGCACTACACGTTTTGTCCGTGCTGCGAGGATGAGGATTGTCGTATTAACGACACATGGCATATGGCCGGTAAAGAGAAGATGCATATTCAAAGTAAGCCTCCCAAGCACGAGCCCAACCACTTGAGTCGTCAATGCTAACCATCGCTAGTGGAGAATGCAATGGCATACATTGAGCAGATGAAATTTCACAAGTAAACATGTTAGCAATTGAGCGAAAAACTGTGGGCAAAGGCCCTCTGTGACAAGAATGCAATGGGGGCATGGCGTTTTCTGTTGAATGATGTGATTGAATTGGGATCATTTGCAAGGGTTTTTGCATTTTGCAATCAGCGTGCTGTAACCACTTTCAGTAATAGTAATGAACAAACGCAGCTCACTGTCAAGTGCCGCCGTGATTAGAAGAGTGGCGAAGAAAATGGAAGGACGTAAAGCGAAGTCCGGCTCGCCAACGCAAAGGGTCAGCTGTCGTAGCAAAACATGGTTCCTGGAGCGCTAGGCGTCATTATCCAACCAGAGGCTGCTGAGTCTGCCTAGCGACAAGCATTGAGCAGGCCGCCCAGCCGTGCTCACGCCCTTTGGCAGCCCGTGTGTCAAGAGATGCAGGTGAAACGGATTGCGAGAGAAGAGAATAGAAGATGCCCGAGCATTCAGTGTCGTCGTTGATGAGAAGACTCCAATGGTCGTTGTGCAGTAGTTGGAACACGGAGGATGCACGGTGATTGGGGCAGTTGAGTGAATGAATGAGTGATGAAAGTCCTAGATTGCGATAATGAGGGGGTGGAGACGGGAGCTAGGCTGCGACGCCGCTTCGGGGACCGAGTGCAGGACTAAGCTGTTGCCTCAGGCTGAAATTAAGAGCGGGAGCTTCAGGACTAAGTTTTGTCCGAAGCGAACTGTTAAAGCGTGTGCATGGCGGGGTTTATCTTTTTCCATGCCGCTCCACCGGCCCTCCTTTTGCCGCGCCTCTACCGCGCGGCCGCGCTTAATGTTGCCCGGCAACCCCTGGCAGCAACATGAATTAGATAAACAGGGGCCATTATCAGGATATAAATCTTGCCTGGGGATCAATTTAGTCGCCATATCCACCAAAGCGTAGAATATATCATTGTGATTTTTGTTTCACCTGCATTCGTTTTCTTTCATTCATACCCGCCGATCGGTCTACATTTATTCATATTATTATGGATCCTATCCCGCGATCCCAACACCTCTTTGAGGTGTTCCTGCGCCTAAGGCCGCCCCATCCAGGAGGCGCACAATCCGAACGCATTCTCGACGTTGAACAGCCTGAAGTCAGCCCGCATCCAACGCACATCACACTGAACCCGCCGCCGGATCGACGAAAAGCCGTTGAAAAGTTTGGCTTCACACAGATATTCGAGGAGGATGAGGACCAGCTGGATGTGTTCCACTGTACAGATACCTCATCGCTGATCGAAGGCATCCTGGCACCCGAAGGTGGTGACGGCACAGATGCTGTGATTGCGACGCTCGGAGTCACTGGCTCGGGCAAGGTATGGCAAATGGCAGCAGACGATGCAAAGCTATCTCACTTTGTCTCCTAACTTTTGGCACAGACACACACGATTCTCGGCAACCGACACCAGCGAGGCATCGCTCAGCTCGCAATCGATGTCATCTTCCGATCGATCAGCGAGAACATGGTCGAATCAGCCCAGTCGCCGACCCTCGATTCTCTACAAGCCTGCGATGCGTCTGAATCTACACTCGTCACGGCAACGCACTTTCTCGATACCATGAGCGGAGACTCCATACAGAGATCAACGACGCCGATGATGGTACGAACACAACCAGCCCTTTTATTTGGTAAACCGACCACCCCCAGCAAAGCTGCTGCCAGCGCACAGCAAATGCCCGGCTCCTTTCCCGACTCAGCCACAGCCAGCCCGAAAAGTGTCGAGCCTGTTAGTGAGACCGAAGAGACGCTCCAGCGCAAGGCGCAACAGGATAGTTCCGCCCAGCAGTCCCTGGGAATAACAAAGTCGATTACGATTGCCAACGTTTCTCCATCCAAGCGGGTGTTGGACAGACCTTTCATGTCATTAACTGCAACAAGCCGACTGAAGACAACTGCTAAACAAGATATCAAGAACGAAAGCTTTGGCAGCATCGGCTCCAGCTCCGGCCAAAGACGAACTCTACGACGCCATTCGAACTTTTTAATGTCGCTTCCCAGTGGTCCGGATGTTAGCGACTTCGTGGTGCCATGCGACCCCGCCGCCGAATATGTTGTCGTCGTATCCATGTACGAAGTTCACAACGATCGAATCTACGACCTCCTCACCCCAGCCAGCAAATCTCCGTCCACTAAGGAGCTCCGTCGCCGACCCCTTCTCTTCAAGCCCACCGAGCATTCCCCTGACCGTAAAGTGGTTGCCGGACTCCGGAAAGTAGTCTGTACCGACGTCAGAGAAGCCATTCTGGTCCTGGAGACTGGTCTGCAGGAGAGGCGAGTGGCCAGCACAGGAAGCAATAATGTCTCTAGCAGGAGCCACGGCTTCTTTTGCTTCGAGGTCAAAAAGAGATCCTATGGTTGGAGAAACAACTCTTGGAGCGGCAGCAAACTGACAATTGTCGATCTTGCGGGGAGTGAGAGAGCAAGGGACGCAAAGACCCAGGGCGCAACTCTGGCAGAGGCGGGGAAGATTAATGAGAGCCTCATGTATCTTGGGCAATGTCTGCAGGCTCAAAGCGAAGCCAACGGGTCTAGTAAAGTGAGTTATTGTTGTCCATTCTCTCTAATTACCAATGTCTAATCATTCATGCAGTCCAACGTCATTCCCTACAGACAGTGCAAACTCACAGAGATCCTCTTTACCAACTCCTTTGCTTCGGCGCCAACAACTTATAATCATCTTCCCAAACGAAACCCTCAGAGAGGTGTCATGATTGTTACAGCAGATCCATTGGGCGATTTCAACGCAACTTCTCAGATCCTTCGGTACAGCGCTCTCGCCCGGGAGGTGACTGTTCCCCGTGCTCCGTCATTCAGCGGCGGTATGGGAAGTAACGGGCATGGCACGCCGAGGTCGTTTGGCAATAATGGCTTTGGTTCGGTGAGAAGCCATTTTTCACCCGTCTCTGCTACCGAGGAGAGAGTTACAATGGAAATTGCCGCGCTGGAGATTGCCAGGATGAGCGACGAGATTGAGCAGCTGCGCGGCGAAATTGATATACAGAGCGAGGCTCGGATTGCGGCCGAGGCTCATCTCCTTAGTGCGGAGGATCGAATGATTGACATTGAAGCCGCGATCCGAGAAGAGTGCGCTCTTGAATTCGAGCAGCGCCTTGCAATCGAACTCGCTCGATTCAAGGCATCGATGCAAATCGAAAAGGAGCGACACGAAGAGCACTGGGACCGCAAAGTCGACATCTTGGAGCGCAGTCTGGATAGTGCCACTTTTGATGAAGGTTTCGACAAAGAAAACATTCTGGTGGAGAATCTGACGCAAGAAGTCGAGCGTCTGCGGCGCGAAAATACGATTCTCAAGAGGGAGATGGGGAGCCGCAGCCCAAGTAAGCGGAAGCCACTGGAAGAGCGCGAAGACTACTCCATGGCCAGTGGAGGAGATTCTACGTTGAAGCCAAAGTCTGATAGCGTATTAAGCCTCAACCGCAAGCTGGAGCGTCTCAAGGTCGGCGACGGCCCTCGGCTTCATGCCAACCCTGGCAGTCCCAAGAAGGTGCGCAGGCTGGTCGCCAGGCGCTGGGAAGATTCAGACGGCCTTTGAAGACATGGACCTTCTTTTTGTTTAAATTTTTCCTGGATATTTTGGAATGCCACTTGGTAATAGTATAAATGATGGTATCACGGTCTCCACGTAAGGTAAAAGGAAAGGCAGTGTGGTGTTTGGAGAAAGGGATGGATACCCATGGGTTGATGACTTGAAAATGTAGGATTTGCTGGGTTTTGGTGTTTGTGTGCCTCGTTTTCTTTATGGATCTCGGTGTATATTGGGTGTATAGCATGGTGATATTATTTTTGTGAAAATATGGCAGATAGGATATTATGGTATTATAATTGGTGTCTATTAAATGCGTCTACAGGTATATGAGAGACTTATGTATGTGACTATACGGGTATCTTCAACACGACGAGGCCAACCAACTCCGCATTCTCGATGTACACACTATTACTCTCCAACATTTCCTCGTTTCCAACATGACTAACATTATCACCTTCTCATCTTCTTATTCGTGTTAGTCTCATGCTTGTGAGCCACTGGGAGCATCATGCTCTACAACGTCGCCACCCCGCATCGGCTCCTTGCCCTTTCCTTTGCTCTGAGTGACAGCTTCGGTTTCAGGTTCAGCCTCTGTCTCAGCAGGAGCCACTACATCCCTAGGAGCCTCAGTCTCAGCCGGAGCCTGCTGAAGTGGCTGCCAGCCCTGCATCATAGCCTGCAGACCCTGCGGCTGCGCAATGACATAGATGGGTCTCGAAGCAGCAGCATTGACCTTTGACGTATCAATACAAGCGCCCACAAAGAGAGTAAAGTGAATCACGGCAATAATGTACGTGATGATGGCGGCAGCATACGCAACGCTCCTCTCGTGACGGAATTGGTGCCTCGAGGCGATCACCTCCGGGTCATTGGAGTTGTCGGTGCAGCTGTAGACATAATCGCCCAGGGAGGAGCTGTAGTGGTACGAGCAGTCCTGGCCGTCGTCGTCGTCGTAGTTGTCGTTCCAGGAGCTCTGGAACCAGGGGCCGAAGAGCGAGGTCAGGATGACGGCGACGAGGAAGATGATGAGCGAGAGGGCCACGTGGGCGCCGGGGTGGATGCCGGCCTTGAAGCGGCGGATGGCGCGGGTGATGAGTTCGGCGCCGGACCAGAGGATGGCGACGATGCACTGGGATGTTTAGTTGTTATCAATATAAAGAGTTACAGTAGAGTGAATCTTACAGGAGGAGCAGCTGCAATGACGACGGTGTCGACGAAAAAGACGTAGTTCAGCGTGCTGAAGCCCAGGCCGACGCCCACTACGGCGAGGACGAAGGACAGCGATTGCAGGCCCAGCTTGATGAATTCCCAGATTTTGTTCTGCGGTGGTCGGGGCGACTCATAGGCCTGCTGGACGGGGAAGGGAGCGTAGGCCATGGGAGCGGGATAGGGCTGGTATCCTGCGGGAATAGACATTTGCGCTGGTGGAGGAGCGGCGATGGCGGGCGCTGGTGCTGGCGCAGGGGCGGTTTGCGGTGGGATTTGGGCCATTTGGGGTTGTTGGGAGGATGAAGCCATTGTGGTTGATTTTTCCAGAATTAATGATATTAGGCGGGCAGATAGTTGAGCGAGAGACTGAGATTATTGGATATTTAGGCGATTAAAAACGAGTGGATTGGGCGTCGAAATGGATAATTCCAGGCGCACGGAAAGAAGAAGTTCGCAGTAGGGTATCGCGACAGCCGACTTAAATATTCATGCTTCAAACGCAAGACAGAAAAAAGAAAGAAAAGAGAGAGACAACTGGCCAGAGAGCAAAACCCGAGTGCCGGGGGAAAGAATAAAAAAAAAAGAAGAAGAAAAGAAGAAGAAGCACAAGCCAGGCAGCACGGCACAGGTCTCTTTCAAAGCGTCTTCGCGGTTCCCGACTCTTTGGCACGAAAAAAGCGCTAACAGGAGAGAAAGCCAAGAAAAAAGAGACTCAGCCTTCCAGGCTAGAACCACCTCGCTAATATAAGGAAATACTACTCGTATGCAGTGGCTATCTTTCGAAAACTAGACAACCTACCTAATGCGAACCAGGAACCCCCTGTTTGCTTACACGAATGCCGTGATTGGTGCGTTCTGCGTAGTCAAGTACGCCTATTGGCTAAGAGTGCGATTTGAGTAATAGCCAGAATTTGAAGGGTCAAGTCAGAAAGAGGGGACAACCTTGTAAGCCTATTCGGCTATTTCCCGATTTGGCAAGGGGCCAGGGGGTAGCTTAATTATTGCTGGATGCCCTTTTTGGACAGGGATCAATGAGCGTATTAGTGGAGATATTTTGGTTTCGTTGCTGGAAGGGTGAATAGGCAGCAGAAGGCCCGTGCGAGTGGGAGAGTTGATTGAGTCGGATGATGGCTGTTGAAGTTAATTTACTTGGCATGCTGGGTTTATGGGTCTGAGGATGGAATTCGCCGAGGCTTGTTATTGTTGTTGATGTAAGAGACTGGAACTCGAAAAGCAGCTCCTTGTGGAGAAGCTGTAAATTGCTTTGGAGGGATCAGCGTGTGGTGAAGAAGGTTATAAAAAGGTTAAACTTTAGAGTCTGAGACTATCACAGGCTTTGGTTGTCAGTTGAAGTTGTCATGTTTCCGGTAGCTTGTATGTCAGAAGAGGAAAAGGAGTATCTGTCTGATACATCGTCAAACATGGGGGAGCAAGCTAGTTAGGGTACAGCTGCTACGGGAAAATTTTGCAGTTTCAGGCTTCGCCATAGCCTGCAAAGAGGTATTATCATTACAGAGGTATACGTTATCTAAACACGGCCAGCCAACGCCGAAGTTTCATAGAATCATATTTTCGTTGTGTAAAAAAAAAACCATAGGTATAAACGCATAATCAATCCATTCCCGATACTCTTCCCCCTTCTCGCTTCATCGTGAAAAGCAAATCTCGGCCCTTTCCCTTTCAAGCCGGAGCGTAGTATTCCCTAATCACAGGCTCCTTCGCCGCGGCCGCAGGGGCCTGCATCTGCACAGGTGCAGCAGGCCAGTTCGGCGGCTGCGCAATCACCATGATCGGACGCTTGGCGGCCGTGTTGCGCCTGTGAGTCTGGATGCAGGCGTCGATGAAGAGGCCAAAGTTGATGGCGAACAGCATGCAGGTGATGACCGCGGAGCCGACAATCTTGCCCTTAGGAGCAGGATCCCGAGGCGCACAGTCGTACGAGGATACGTGGCCCTCGCCGTCGGTGGTGGTGAAGCTGCATTCTTCGTCGTCATCGTAGCCGCGGTACAGAGCGACATATGTGCAGAGCATGCCGCCAGTGATGCTGGCAATCATCCAGATGATGAGACAGACGCCGACGTGGGCGCCGGGGTGGATGCCCCTCTTGAATTTCCGGACTGCTCTGGTGATGACCTCGGCCAAACTCCAAATTGTGGCAAGGGCAGACTGTATCAAAGTGTAAGTCAGTTTGTTTTCAATGGGATTTCTTGAAGAAAAGAGGGTAAAAACATACAGCAGGCAACGCAGCAATAGCAACGCTAATGTCGCTTCCTCCGATAGACGACAGGGAAAGACCCAAGCCAATAATACCCAAAAGAAGGGCAGTACCAAAGAATCCCAGTCTGGTGAACTCGGCGCGTTTGCTCGTCTCAAGCGGAGGGGGTGCAATGGTCTGCTGCTGGCCTGGATAAGGCTGGTAATACGGCTGGAAACCCGCCGCAATCATTTCTTCAGGAAGGTTGTTCTGCTGGGCCGCCCTCTCGGCCATTGGAGTCTGCTGAGAAGCCATGGTGAAGATTGTCTTTGGTTTGAGTAAAATAAATTGGCGAATGTGTTGTCTCGTTGTGATTTCTTAGAAAAGGCTGTGTAAATCGCAATATTGGTTGAGAGATTAAGCGCGCAAAACGAATGTCTTCAAAAACGACTGGCTGTGACCAAAAACGGCGCACAAAAAAAAGAACGAGTGTATATAACACAGCCTGGGGGCTGCGAAATTTGCGCTGCTTCAAAAACGAACGACGTAGCGAGTGACTCAAGAGTAAAGAAAATTCCTTCAGACTCAGGTGAGGGCTGGCAGCCAGGCTAATAAATAGCACAGACGCTGGTGGTTTGCCGCATGTACGCATCGCGGCAGGGGAAATTAGCCAAGGCCCCCATGTGTATCATTCTGCTGGTGCTAGCGACGAGCCCACGACAATAGTGGCGAGGAGGATCCACATCCATGATCCAACGGTTCCTTGCGTGCGGCCTGGCTCTACCGCAGCCTACCGATATGCGGCTAGGAAATGGAGTCGTCGCCTAGGAGAAGAAAAAACTGGATGGGCGGCATCGTCAGGCTGTCAGAGCTGAAGACGAAGCAAATCTCTTCTTTGCCGCAGCTGCGATCCTCGGCGCGGCTATGGCCGAACCGCGAGGATCGCGAGTCCCAAGCGGGTGGGTTCGCCGGGACTCGAGGCACAGCACAGCCTCGCAGTCTGGATTTTTATTTCCATGCCGCTGCCGCTTTTTATCCCCGGAGGGCGCCTAAAACTGTAAGTCTGTTGCAGTCACAAGGTAGATAGATACGTGTATCTCGAGCATCGTGATCCGAACCAGTTTCTCGGCTCTAAAATATTTCTTTCATATTCGCATATATGCTCCATTTATTGTATCGTGTCTTATTCCCGCTGTAGTACCACCATCAGACCCATTATACCCAACATGGCGGTTTTCAGCCATGGGTATTCTGAGAGGAGAATTGTCACATAGCCCACAAACGGCACGTATGCTACTACGCTGCCGATGATGTCGCTGCGCTCCAAGTAGTCTTGCCCTCTGGCGTACCTGCGCCGGGGAATCACAGTCAGTAACCACAAATCGAAGAGATTACAGTTTGTAGGGTGAGATAGAAGGGGCCACTCACAGTTCGGTATCATCGGCAACATTGTTGTCTCCTTTTGTTAACAGCCGCGCCTTGTCCCTGCGAAAAGCGTAAACAAACATGTAACAATATGTCGAACCAGCCTTTCACCTACCCGTGGCCAAATTTCCGTACGACGCGGTGAACAATTGGAATATCTTTATCCTTTACATTATAGACGACAATATCACCAACTGAGGTTTCGGTAAATAGCTCGCGGTTCCATAGGAGGAGCAGGTCGCCTCGTTGAAAGGCCGGTTCCATGGAACCACTGAGGACAACGACGATCGGAGAGGGAGAATCGGCGACGATGGAGAGACCTTTCCACATCTATAAAGTACAAATAAAAGTCAGCTTCATATTTCTCTGTCTCGTTGTCACAATGCGCCGCCTGAAATGGATATGCGGCAGCAGAGTCGCAACCCACCATGAATGCCGTGGACAGCACCAGACCAAAGTTCATGATCTGCGCGGCGATATTCCGCGGGTTCTGGAGGCCTGAAAACATGTTGGGTCCTCTATTTCGAAATTACAGCCGCAATTGTGAAAGTGCTGGGTATATTGCAGTGCTGAATTGGCAACGGATTTGGTGTTGAACTGGCCAAATCGCACATGGAAATTGAAGCCACGCGAGCTCTAACACGATCTGGACATGGTGGCTCTCAGAAGGCGCACGGGCCAATTAGCGCTTTCGACTCGGCGATCGGCCCCGCTCAAGCTTTCAGGTCGCATCGGTACGTACCGCGGGCAGCTTCTCAAGGTTTTGGGGATGGCAGAAGCTCGATCTGCGGGGGTTGATGTCATTGCCATGGACGCCATCAAAGGAAGATGTCATCGCTGGTAATGGAGAGTCTGTGCTGGACCGTGGTATTAATACGCCATGCCCTGCTCTCTGCTGCTCTTTGCCACTATCATTATCTGAAATAAACCTAACTACCTTAGCTGTGCCATTGTCACATAAAGTCATTCACGAATTACCACATTACCCTACAATCAGGTGTAGACATCATTCGAAATGGAGAACCCCGGCGGTAACAGCAGCAACAACAATCCCGAGCAGCAGACCGGCCTCATGGGTGGCCATGCCCAGTACCTCAAGGGCGTCGGAGAGGTGGGTGTTCATAGCTTCCGTTAAACCCAATGCTCGTCACATCGTGCTAACATGGCTTTTACAGGCGGCTGTTGGAAGTATCAGCGGCTCCAAAGCATGGACCGACTCGGGAGTCCACGACAAGGAAGCCGGTCTTGCCGCAATGAAGAAGGCGGGCGAACAGCGAGATCCCAACCAGGGCTACGGCCGAGCGGAGGAGTGGGCGGGCAAGTTGACCGGCTGCGAGGGAATGCAGAAGGAGGGCTTCGAAAGTGCTCATCAGAGGAAAGACTGAGGCGATTCATCTGCTGTTGTCTGGAGCGCCCGGATGCGGCGCCATTCATGTATAACACTGTAAAATACAAAGAATTAATAAGAACAAACCAAAATTGAGCACTCTTGGCTGGAATCTCCTTCCTCATTTTGGTCGACAGGGCATGCCGCAGGAGTGGTTGGACCTTCTGCATTCTGGATTCTGCCACAGCTCTCTTTCCCAATGGGCACATGCCTTAGATACTTCAAATGCCGTTGCCGTGTTTACAGCTTCGACAATACACATACATCGTCTTCCTCTTTTTGCTGCCCAGAAGCCCTATCACATACATCACTCCGCATCCATCTCGTTAGTCCCACGATTCATCGAGACGGAAAGCCATTCGCTGGAGCATTTCTACAATTTATAATTTGTCCTCTTTGCCTGGCACATCATTTGCTCTGGCTGTCAGACAACGCAATCAACAATGGAGTCAGCGCCTCTACTCGTCGACAGGGATCGCTCAGGCGTTCTACAGGACCATGTGAGTGCACCTTTCCGTCAAACATTGCTGAATGGAATATTGATCAGGCCCTGTCGATATGTGTAGCCTGTATTCCTCCGCGCCAGCCATTCTCCCTGGTACTGGATCCCGCAAAACGCGCTCGTCTTCTTCCGTGGCCTCATCCTTGCCTACCTGATTGCCACCGGCTGCATGATTCTGAACTTTGAGCTGACTGATTCGACTCTAACCAATGCTCGACTTTGGTTCGACTTTGCCATCATCAGCTATGTCATGGTTTTTATTTACCACTTCATGACGTTTGTAGGTTGACACGAAGAGTGCTTTTGTGTCGAATAGCGCAGATGGATGGCTAACATGTCTCGGGCACACAGTGCTGGACTTTCACCCATTTGTATTTTCCTGATCGGGATGAAGTAGATGGAAGTTTTGAGTGGCTCATCATCAACTTCATGTCTTTGCCCCGAAACCTGGCCAGCCTGCGCAAGCAATTTTACTTTTCTCTGTATTACACGACTACGGTCGTCTTTGCCTTTATGAATACAGTAATCTACTGGTTCATTACACGACCGCACAAGTTTTCGACGGCACCGGGCAGCGATCCTAATCCTGACGACGGGTCAAGCGACGAAGAGCTTTGGTCTGGAGGAAAAGTTCGAGCTTCAGCTGAACCATGTGAGCAAACATGTATGGCCACTGACAAAAGTGAGCTGCTTGCTGACATCTGACCAGTCAGTGACATTTTTGGCAAAGGGTGGTTCGCGACCTATTGCATTCTCAACTTGTTTTTGGTCGTGTCAGTTATCATGGTCATTGAGATATTCTGGCTCAACAGTATCAAACGGCCATTTGTGAGTTGAATCACGCGAGAAATGACATGCTTCCAAACTGACAATTCCATAGTCCGCCGGCGCTCACATCTTTAGTCTCCTCGTATTCGCTGGTCTCTTCCTCGGCTGGGCCGCCATCGGACATGCAGCCACAAACGTGTACTCGTTCTTCTGGCTCGACGAGGCCCAGGTTGGCTCCCAAGAAGCGGTGGTGGCATACTGCATCGGCTTTGTGCTTCTGGCTCCCATCTGTAAGGGCCTTGGCACCTACCGCGTTGAGTGCGTGTTTGTCGACGGCTAACCATGGCTACAGGTTTCGTCTTCATGCAGGGCTTCATTGGCCTCCGAGAGTCTTTCACTCGACCCCGCGTCATTCTACAAGAAGCCCCGCTAGGGGCCTAGATGCAATACGCAATGGAGGGGTAAGGATGGTGACTCCTTGAGTCGACCTGGATCGGAGGGTGCTTGTGGGCGAGTGACGCATCAAGGGACCAGACCGCAGACCGATATCCTATGAAAAAGGCGCAACTGATGAGCTGTCAAAGTGGGGAGAGCAGTTTTGGAACATTGATTAAACCTAGAACCATTTTTAGAACCGATCCCGTTCCTGACTAGAACAATCCGCAACCTCTAATTTGCCTATAACAGTTCTGTCCCATATTTGTGATGTTGAAACGGCCCACTGGAGAATGCTGGGTGTGCCTGTACACGTTGACACGCCCAGATCGTCTGATCATATGATTTCCCTGTAGTTTTGATATTCCCCGCCAACATGTACGTCAAGATTGATGCTGCTTGGATGCGTGGCGCACGGCGTTTGGATCGCTGGCATCGCAGGGGACGAAACGTTGCCCTGGGCGAGTAAAAAGCTGAGGCTGCGCGAAGTCGAGGCGCTTCAAGGCACTTCAACCCCTCCATGGAACACGTCACAGGTACATGGCCCCTACGTCTTTGAATGAGGGGTTGGCGGCCACCACGTAGTAGAGGTACCTTCCAGGAGGGAGGCCTCGTCTGGAGCCCCGTCAATAGAGTGCACGCCATTACAGACTGACAGCAGGCATGAAAAAGAAACAGAGGCCATTTTGGCATATCATCCACTTACACTACCGCACAATACAGCTAAAAAGAGCAAAAAAAGTTCGAAGCTGGCGGTATCTTCTCTCCCGCCGGGAATTGAACCCGGGTCTCAAGCGTGACAAGCTTGCATACTGACCACTATACTACGGAAGATGTAACAGTCTGTTAGACTGTTGTAGTGGGTCGCTTCGATGGAGGGAGCTGTTGCTATTGTGCCATAACAAGGCTTGCTGCAATTGTAAAGCAACAGGCACGGTATGATAAGGGTCAGTAGCACTGTATGCGTCACTGACGAGATGGAAGTAAACAGCCATAGAGTGCCGAGAGTAGGAGAGACGAATGAGGGTGGCTCGGATTGATTGATGACTGAATCTCCTCTTCTCAAGTTGAAGTACCTTGGGTAATTGTGGCAGTATGCCCTGAGATATGCCTGGGGTCGAGGTACTGGTATTCATTTGTAAGTCCAGATGCAGGGAGCGCATCCTTGACCGAGACACGTCTCCGATTCGGCGTGCTCTTGTTCACGACACTTGGTGCCCGGTGATTTGTCTCATTGTCTTATTCAGCGTCCTGCCATCCCACGCCCAGCTGCCCTCCTTTCTTTATCTCTCTTCTATTTTTGACTGCTGCGTGACGAGAGGGGCAAATGCACCGCTTGGCCCTCCAATTGGCTGCGTGGCCTGCATGTCCCCCAAATCAAGGCTCGCAGCCAGTCATCTGGCCAGCCCTGCCACTCGGTGATGTCGACCTGCATGGGCCAGCGCCAAGTGTCCGCAACCCGCGCGCCGGTATCCTTTGCATGGCGTCCCAAGTACTGGGTACCTGCCGTGCCGCGGGCTGCCGCCGTGGCTGAGACACCCATTCTCGCCGTCAGATTCACGGTCAATCGGTACCTGTCTGGAGGAGGTACATATAGTGGAGTCCGGCTTCTTAATCGTCTCTTTCTCCTCTTCTTCCTTTCTTTCTTTTCCTTCCCCACACGCAAGCCAGATAGGGTCGCAAAGCTCCTCGCGAAGAGAGCATCTTCTTCTACTTTGGTGTATAAGAAGGTGGTCTTTTCGCGCCCCGGACCCGACAATTTTTTTTTACTCATTGCGCGTCATTCACTCATTTTTCATTAAACTCATTTTTTCTTGTAAAAGAAGGCATATTTTCTCTCCATCCTTCGCTCGCTCCTTTACTTCGTCGCTCTCTTATTAGTCAAGATATATACGTGTGAGAGCGCTTCTGTCTTATGCATCAACATCACCACCACCGCCACCAAGACGCCTCGTTCTTTAGCCACTTCAAGTTTATCCCCGCCAATATGTTCAAGCGCGCGTTCCGGTCGCAGGACCAGCCCCAGAGCCAGAACCGCGTCGACAAGGCGGCCCGGCTGAAGAAGTCGGGAGGCTCCTCCGCAAAGGAGCACGTCAAGGCGAAGGTGTCCAAGCTGCAGATCTCTCACATAGAGCACGAAGCGGCACGCGCCCAGCCCATCAACATCACTCCCTCGCCGATTGTCACCCTCACTATTGGCCGTGAGGGACGGCTCTTTGCCGCGCACGAGGATGTCCTCAGCCAGTCGCCCTTTTTCGAGGCGGCGTGCAAGCGGGAATCCTTGGATGTCATGAACAAGAGAATCTCCCTCCCTGACGAGGAGCCCGAGATCTTTTCTGCCGTCCTCGAGTATCTCTACAAGGGCGATTACTATCCCCGCCTGGTGCACAACCGGCACCGCAACTCGTGGGAGCTCGAGGACCGCATGAGGACTCCTCAGAAGCCCTCGCCAAACCCTGATATCGGGGGCGGCCACGCAGGCACGGCGTCCGATGCGGCCGTCTACCTCTCCAGCATTGGGGCCGAGATCCTGCGCGACACCGTCATCTACTGTGCCGCAGAAAAGTATGGCCTCGAGGAGCTGAAGCGTCTGGCCCTCCGCAAGCAGGGGCTGCAGGCCGGCATCGATGTCGGCACAATCCTGCGGTCTGCCCAGTACGCCTACGCCAACACGCCGGACTCGGACAGTCGCCTGCGCGCCCATTACCTGGCCCTGATTATTCGCTGCCGCAAGACGTTTAAGCGCAGCGGCACGATGCAGGCCGAGATGGAGGCGGGTGGCAGCAAGCTGTTCTTTGACCTTTTCGTCGCCATGTGCAATCATCTGGACGACGTCATTGATGTTACCAATGGCCGCACTCCAAAGACTGTATGATGAAGCGACGGTGATGAGAATGGCGGAAGCCTTCGGTGACCCGGCTGAGCGCAGTGCCGTTGGGGCAGCGAAGGATGGAATTTTTTTTTTAAAAAGAAAAAATTGAAAAAAGCTTCAAAATCGAGAAAGCGGATCAATAGACTTCTTAGCAAGCATTGTCGACATTTTTCTTGCAAGGAGTTGGCAGCTTTGGTTTATGTGCCATGTTGCATTGATCGCTGTCTTCTTGCACTTTTAGCCCGTTTGGACGTTCTGTTGAGTGCGAATTATGGGAGGCGTCTATTTACATGGGACCGCTGTTCCTTTTTTCTTGTATACGGACTGCTATTGCATGGAGTGTGTGCATTTTTTTTCACATTGCTTTTGCTTAACTTCAAGTCTCAACTCAAAGAACTGCTTTTTTCTTACTACGGCGCTGCATTGCGTCCTCTTTGGTGTGCTTTATAAGATCAGGGGCTTCTTTTATAGAAACATCCTGCACTATTAAGAGGACGGAAAAAAAGTATAAAAAAAAGAGATGGAAAGCGACAGACAGCCCGGAAGGTTTTTTTTTTTTTTTCGAATGGGATTCTGCTCGAGGTTTTTCTTTCTATGGTTCAGCATTGCTGTTTCTTTCGGATGCAAATATTGGGAAATGGGATAAATTGGAAGAAAATACATTCACCTGGGACAAAGCATTTTCTCTCTCATGCTTTTATTCTCACTTTGAACAGGTCAAGTATTAGAAGGTTCATTTTTTCGGGACAAGATTGGAAAACAGAGCGCATGGTTCTGAAACTTTATGTTCTTCCCTTTCTTTCTTACTTCTTACTTTTCTTCATCTTTCTGTTTTGACGAAGGACATGAGAAACGCTGCATAGCCCTGGGGGCGTTGAAGCAAGCCAAATGGAACAAAAAAAAAAGAGAAAATCTAATTCTATAGGGTCGCTAGCGGTCCTCCCTGACTTTTGGATTCCGCGGTCAGGGTTGAGGTTAATGAGACAATTTTGCACCTCATGCTTTTGTGTCGGTTGCTTTCGTGAATGTGATTGTGAATCTGAATGACTTTGTGTTGAGTGTACTGCAAGTATTGGCTTCTAAATTACAACGATCTTGTGAAGCTTAGGCTGTATCCCACTTGACCTCAAAGTCCTGAAACTTCACCTCCAGCTCATCCTCAGTATCCTTCGTCGGTCTCGCCACCAAAGCACCAATCTCCAACTCCCAGCCCTTGCCACCATCCTCCCCATACGGCCAGCAAATCTCCCTCATCGGCACTTTAGTCTCGCCATCCACGCGATACACCCAGAGGCACGAACCGTCATGAGCATCCAGCCTCTCGACCAGGATGGTGACTGCTTTGCGGCCGGCCTTGATGTCCTCGGCGGAGGAGGCGTTGGCGACGCTCCAGTCGGCCCAGTTGTCGCAGCAGACAGTGGAGAGGCGGGATTGGCCGTCGAAGAGCTCGACGCCGGTTTTAATCCATTTGCGCGGGGTGGAGGGTGAGGAAGGTTTGGTGAGGAGGAGGAGGAGGCCGGCTTGGTCGAATTGGTGGGTGTAGGTTGTGGTGAAGGTGAGGGAGGCGGATTGGAATTGGGAAAAGGGGTTTTTGGCGAGGGAGTGGTAGGGGGCTGTGTTGGAGTTAGTAAGTGATATTGACTTGTACGAATAGCTGTTGAGAGGTGGCAGATGAATGAGAAGTAAGGAGTTGGATGTGAGTTATTAGGTAGTATAGGATGTGGAGAGAGAGAGGCTAACCAGTGAAGACGTCGTGAGAAGGGGGCTTCTTCCAGACATCGGTATTTGCCGGGGAAGAAAAGGTGAAGCTGGATCCTGTAGCAGCCATTGTTACAATTATTATTTGAGTTAGAGATATTACGATTGAATATGATGAGTGAAGCTAGGTAGTCGATGAACTTGTTGTCTAAGAGCGAGATGGACTACTTGTTCTTATACTAGAGCTGGTGGAGACGCATCGAATCAACTACCCTTCCAGAAAACGAAGGAATCGGAGAATTTACTAATGAGACACATACATCAGACCATGATAAACGTCTTATTTCACCGGTCTACGCTGCTGCCTTTTCTACCCCGTAATAGCTAACCGGTATTGCTCTTAAAGTGTCCAGATCGGCTGGTCCCGTTGGTATAAGTTCGGGGAAATGGGTATTGTAAAGCGGGGGAATTGAAGCTACTAAGAGGTACGAATCACAAGCCGGGGAGTGTCGGGATGTCTTTGTGATGCTTATGCCAAGGTAATCCTTGGATCAATCCTATTTTGAGATTTTCTTTTTCGTCTTGGGTTGCACAGCCTCGGACTATACAGTTTAGGTAAATATTTACGCTGGGAGCTGATGAAAACAAACGGTCTGGATAGAGTGTGACGCATACGGCGATGGGAAAAAGCATATTGGTGCAGCGGCATGGCAACATGGTGTAAAGGTTTAGCCGAAGTTTAAGCCGGCGGACCGACCAAACTCTCAAACAACGCAAATCAGAACCAGAGGACGATTCGGTTCATTTTTTCTCATTTTCATCTGCAAAGAAGCGCTGCAGATTACTTCTCCCGACAAAACCAGCTGAGAACTGACTCCCGTGCAAATCACAGACATCCAGCAGCACGTATCTCGACTTCGCAGCATCTCGAAAAAAATTCCTGAAGCAGCCAGATTCGAACCGACGCCTGTCGTGCCCACTGCCGCGAGAAACTTTTTTTGCTGTGAAGCTGCTTTTTTTCGTGACTCCCCACTCGGCCATTCGGTGGTCCACCAGGACTGGCAGCCTGCGAGTTTGTTTCCGCCCCGCCCATTTTTCTTCTTCCTCGTCATTTCTTCTTCTGCCCACCAGAGCGTGCTGTAAAGTGCGTGCGTCGTCGTCGCGCTTATCGAAATTTTTCTTTGAGATTAGAGAAGCACTTCTAGTTTTTCTTTGTTTCTTTAGAGACGAAGAGTTCTACAAGACTTTGAAAGAGATAAACCAGGACTTGAGGCGATAACAGATTCCCAACCAAGAAACTTTGCGCAGGAAGAAAAAGAGCGACAAACTGCGTACAGACAGAGCCCGGATTTTTTTCTTCTCTTATCGATTCTCACTGCTCACTTACATCCTCATCGCATCTGCTCCATCCATCACACATGCAACTTTCAACACCATAACAGAATCTCAACATGTCGTTTCTCACACCACCGCCGACAAAACGGCCAAGTCAAGGCCCCGGCCCTGCAAAACCTCGCTTTGCCAGACCAAATCCTGTCCGGGCCCTCCGCGAGCGTGAGGAACGCCGCCATGCCGCCGCAGCAGCAGCCCGACTTTCATCATCCCAGAGACCAGGGGTCGTCACTCCAGCTCACCAGCAGTGCGCCAACAAGGCCTGTCCGAAGCCCAACGTTATCGACGGCACCTGTCAGACGTGCGGTCGTGTCGCTGATGACAGCAACATTGTGTCTGAGGTGCAGTTCGGCGAGACGTCGTCTGGTGCTGCCATGGTGCAGGGAACGTTTGTAGGCGCTGATCAGGCCGGTGTCAGGGGCATGGGCCCTGCTTTCAGGAGAGTTGGTGGAAGCGAGGACAGAGAAAAGAGCATCCGGGAAGCTCGAGGTCTGATGCAGGGTTACGCTCAACAGCTCAACATTAGCGACAGCCTCGTTACTGCGGGAACGCAAGTCTTCAAGCTTGCATCTGGCGCCAACTTTATCCAGGGACGCACGCTGGCGAGTGTTGCGGCCGTCTGCCTTTATGCTGCTTGCCGTGCTGAGCCGCCTTGTAAAGTCATGCTGATCGATCTGGCTGATTTGGTGCAGCTCAATGTGTTCAAGCTGGGACGAATCTTCAAAAAGCTGAATGAAGTGGTGCCGATCGGAGCTGATGGACTCATTCCGGTATATCCTGAGGACCTCATCTGGCGATTCGCCACCAAGATGGAGTTTCGTCAAGACACGGCCAAAGTCGCTGAGGATGCGGTCCGGCTGGTCAAGCGGATGAGCAGAGATTGGATGGTCATGGGCCGACGACCTTCGGGCATTTGCGGTGCCTGTTTGCTGATGGCTGCACGTATGCACAACTTCCGACGGACCGTTCGCGAAGTCGTCTACATCGTCAAAGTCACAAATCATACCATCCAGAACCGACTGCAAGAGTTCAACAACACAGAATCAAGTCGCATGTCGGTGGAGGATTTCTTGAAACAGGACTTTTTGGAGAGTTCTCATGATCCTCCCTCATTCTACCGGAAGTCGGATGAATATAGAAAGAGGGCGGAAGAGATCTCACGGAAGCGGAAACGTGCCATCACTGTCGAAGATACCGAGCAACCAGTCATAGAGCATGCACCAGTTCGACGACATATCGAAGGGGGGGCGGATCTTTCCAAGGCGCCCGAAGTCAACTATCGCCGTGATGCTGATGGATTCATCATTCCTCCTTTACCTTCGCAGATTCCCCAGGGAAGCATTAGTCTCAACCCACAAAAGAAGGAGAACGAAGACGAAGTAGAAGGTCTTGAAGGCCTTGCCGAAGAATTTGGAGATGCTCTGGATGAGGAGGAGGCGGCGGATCAAGATGCCTCAAAAGGGGGCAAAGGTAAACGCGCCAAGCCTCAGCTTCCCATTAACGAAGAATGGGAACAGGACGAACAGGACCTTGAAGGTGTGATTGAGGAGATTTTTAACGACCCGCTTACCTACGAACATGCTCTCGCATACTCAAATGCCGAGCAACGAGCCCGAATCCACTCCGTCTGGGCTCGCCAACAGCAACCACAAAAGGAGGTGTCTATGGCGGCTGACGTTACCGAAGATGAATTCGCTGATGACCCCGAAGTTATCAACTGCCTATTATCGCCTGAAGAGGCACGTATCAAAGAGATTATCTGGGTGAACCAGAACAAGGACTGGCTGAGGAAGCACCAAGAAAAGGTCTTCCGACGAAAGATGGAAGCTGAGCGCCCCAAGCAGACACGCAAGAGGAGAAAGCGTGCCAGGATGGGAGAGGGCCAGACTAGCCCTGCCAGTTCCGCGGCAGAAGCAGCCATCGGCGTGGCCAAGGATCGAGCTTGGTCCAAGAGGATCAACTACGATGCTATCCGCAGCATTTTCGACATGCCAAATGCTGGGCTTGGGTCTACAGCCACCAGCCGAAAGACCAGTGTGGCGGGTAGTGCTTTCGGTGCTGATGACGAGGGAAGCGAGGCTCCAGATGAGAGCGTCGCTGGCGATGAGGAGCATCATGAAGAGCACGAGGAGCATGAGCATGAAGAAGAATATGAGGAGCCGGAGGAGTTTGGCGAGGGTGAGGAATTTGGAGGAGGTGGAGGTGAATTTGAAGGTGGATATGATGAAGATGATCCTGATATGGACAATGAATACGGACTGGAGGAGGATTAAATATGCATCTTGCTTGAAGGGATCAAGATTACCCTCGAAGCATTTGGCGTTTGGGATCTGCTATGTATATTGGCAGTGAATTTTTGGTCGACATATATCAAGTGCTGGAATGAACGGCTACAGGGCTGGAGTATATAGGCTTTTATTAATGTAGTATAATAACCTTTGTCATAATACATCCATTATCATTATATCATTATCGTACAAGTGCATCAATCATTACTATATCCAATTCCATCATTGCGACGCTCACACAATGATCTTAATCCCCAGCTCAGTTTCACATTTCCTAATGCTCTCAACCTCCATAGCCTTGTACAATTCATCCGAGCTACTCAATTTCGCTCCTAGCGCTTCTTCCATCCCAGCCTCATTGGACAGCGCATTGACAGATGCGGACGAAGCCTGAGTCCCGAGATTGGATCGGAAAATGCCTGCGGCCGACAAGGGCAGGAAATCTTCATATGTGATTGGGGTAATGTCGACGATGCCCTGCAGGATGAGATGCTCTAATGTGAATGATGAGTCGTCATATATCTCTGGAAAATGTCTATTTGCAACGCTGTATGTAAAGTAGACGAGTTTCCGTGCTCGTAGTGTTTTCCAATCATCGGGGTATTTCTGAAACGCAACTTCGACTTGTCTATCCAGCTCTTCGGGTGTGCATTTCTGAGAACTTGATTCCGCAGCTGCCATCGCTTTATTCAATAACTCGTCGTATAATTGTCTCCCAGCAAGAGTCACTGCCGCGCCGCGCTCTTCGATTTCGCCAAACCGCGCTTTATGAGAGCCAGACACGAATTTTGACTGAGACCCCTGCGCGGTGAAGAACTGCACGGGCTCTTCAATAGCTAAGAAACTTGTCTGCCGGAGAAGAATAGGGCAGTTTCTCGCGGGAGGGCCTTCAATCCGGTCTTTTACTTTTAGACCCTGTGATTTCATCTTTTGCTGCGCGGCGGAGATGTCCAGCGTACGGGGCGTGAGGTGGTTGATATGCGCGCTACGGAAACATGCTATGTCTGCGAGGATCTGGTGTTCTCTTTTGAGAAGCTGGTAGTCTTCGTGTGAAGAGGCGGCGGTGCCGTGCCAGCGGAATGTTTCCATGGCTTGGATGACAAAGCGGGTGCCTTGGTCGATGGTGAGTCTGCCGTTTTGCTTGTCGGCGATGTCGAGGAGGGTGATGAGCTCTGCGGTGAAGATGTTGCGCTTGGAGAGTAGGTTCAAGGCCAGAGAGCGAGCTTTTTCGTCACGGATGAGTTCTGGACGAAGTAAAGAGGTGAATACCCGAAAGGGGTTCTTCTTTAAGGATGCGGTGCTGCGTGGACGGAAACACGTTGCGTGCATGGGTAGTCCCGCCGCAGCAAGATCGTAATATCCAACGGGGTACAAGCCAATAACAGCGAAAATGCGGCTCACGGTGCGTAGCTCGTAAGGAGTGCCGAGTCTGATTGCGCCGTGCCGTTCAATGTCTAATCTTGAAGAAGCGACGTTGCCGTGGCGCATGGCGAGCACGCGCGGGTCGAGGTCGGCGGTGCGGGTTGATGCGTTGACGGCGTTGACGATGTGGATGAGGTCGCCGTAGAGGGGGACTTCGGATTTGTACATGGAGGACATGGCGAGGGTGAAGGCGGTGCGGAGGGCGTCGGGGTCTGCGTAGGCATGATGTGAGGATGGGGTGGCTGTGAGTGTTGTTGTGAGGGTGGCGCTGGGAGCCATTGTGATGAACGGATGAACGGATGTAGGATATGATTAGTAGATGGTAATTCGAGAAGCAGTAAGACGATGATTATTATGTACAAGTATCTATGGTGGTGAGAATGAAGTTGAATTGGAATTATAGAAGAACGAGCAGATCTGACGGCCGCAGCAGCAGCAGCAGCGTGTTTATTATATGCTAGACATGGCATACAGAGTTCAGACCGCCGGTGTAAGACATCTTACACGCTGTCCCCATCACCGCAACAAAACAGGGGATTCTGTCGGCTGGTCTCGGTCCAGCACGTTGTTATCGCGTAAAAGATTACCGGCCGCCCATTCGTAGTTATTCGGAATCGCAACAAGTCCCGGAGGGTCCACCGATAGGGAGGAATGCGGCGGATGTTATCCGGGGACCATGGCTTCCTAAAAGGGTAGTTGGTTGGAGAAAATGGGGGGCTGTGATTGGGTGATTTGGAGAGCTTTATCAACGTGCGTCGCTGATATCAGATTAGCTTGGGGTATAGAGTCAGGTTCTAGATATCAAGCGGTAGGCCTCGAATTAAGGATAACAACATCTTGAGAGGTTCAAATCTTGGAGCATATACTTATTTAGATATATGACTTCGGAAGTCCAGCTATATTATTCAAGTTGGCTAAACTACCAGTATATAGCAAGATTAGCAATATATGTATACATGTAGCTACCCAACGAATCATACCTAGGTAGCTTACGACGAAGAATAACCACTTATCGTATATCGAATAGCTGGCTTTTATGCGTCACAAACTTTTATCACAGTGTCTTTTTCATTGAATGAAAAGTGCACAATACCTTTCATCGGACAAATCTCCCATTTTGCAGTATCCTGATCCCCAAACAGACCAGTGTCAGAGTCAAAGGCTGCATGGACATGTTTCAACGGAAGGCAGAGCGGTTCTTTCCCAGGGTATTCGATGGGCATGTAGCAAAATTTCGTTGGATGCTCGTAGCACCGGACAGCATCAAAGCCAAAGCGGCACTGGCCAAGTACTCGCTTGATGCCGTCTTCATACTCCAGCAAGATGCCGCTGCACCTCCCAGTATCTCGGTCCGAAAAGACTTGCGCGTAAACCACGCGTTCTAAAGACGCGTCAAAATGGAATGCGTCACAAACAAGATCCGGGATACGGGGTGCGATGCCAGAAACAGCCTTTCCTACCGTGTCAGTTCTAATAAATGAGACATGAGAGGGGTTTGAGATATTGTAAGTAAGTGTCAAGTGGCGGTCCTCAGACTGTGGCATTTCATACAAGGTTTCGGTGAATTCTGCCTGGGATGAGTACAGCACGGTGTGCGGCAGTCCGATGACATAGTTCCCAGACTTCATGGTTAACTAATCTTGTTAGCTTGACGGCGAATAAGGGCCGCCATGGTAAGGACCTTACGACGATTGAATAAGCGATAACTATAGGCAGCCTTTTATGACGAGGAATCATAGTAAGATCTCTTTTAACTCTTACCGTACCAATCGAAATCACCTTATCATTGGCTGATATTGGAATATAGATCCAAGCGGGGGAGACCGAGTGCTCACGCATGTACTGGAAGGCTTCAAGTGCCTGCGAGCCTTGTTTTGTATGCCCATGAATAGCGGATATTGTAGTCCATCTCATTAAGAAGGATATTCCAGTAGTTTTCCTTGGATCCAAATCAAGAGCTGCGAATCGTCTAGGTACGTATCGGCTAGGTAGGGATTTGTCGGAGGGTGTATAGTGTGCAGGTGGCGGAAGGGCATGCGGCGACGGGATGTTCCAGATCGGGATGTTTGCAGATGTCGGAACATGTAGACGGCTCATTCCGAGCTGAGAGATACGGCTTGGTTAGCCGGCATGTGAAGAGTGTAGAAGGGAGACTGACTTGGAATTCTATACCAACGCCCGATAGGCGTTCCACTGGTTCTACAATATATGCATGAGAAGAACGTGATGAGCCAGTGACATTTTCCCCATCTGGACTATCAGAAACCCTTTCAATGCTCTTGATCCCACGAGAATCAATGGTAAGCCGCATCCTTCGATCGATGATTTGGCCTTGTTTAGCCAAGATGGGAGAAGTGCCGCGAGACCACGACAGAACCTCACAAAGCGGGTAGGTAACGGCTTTTCCAGGCTCAGCTAAGCTTAGATATCGCGCAAGCTGGATGACTTTGCAGAATCGCAACAGAGTGTGGTTTGACTGCAAATGGCTGCCAATTAAACCAGCCACCTCTGGGAGTAAAGTCCTTTGAAAGCCAGCAGCGCTGCTGATCATATCTGTCGGGGCATAGAGGACAGGGTCGAGCATCAAGGACTGGGTGTCTCGCCACGGGTACATCCTAGTCCCTGCGATCCAGAGCCTTCGAAACTTATCCTGTGCACTGCATGTTTTGCCGAATAAACGAATGCAATCAAGGTGAACAGTTACGCTTTCATCGGTAGCGTTGCAAGGTCCATGTCTGCTTCCTTCTATGCAGAAATCAACTCCCTCAGGCATTGGCAGCTCCCTAACGGAGTAGTATCCCCCGGCATACCCATTATACCCTCGAACGGAGTTGTTATTGCAAAGCACTTGGTGTTGATGTTAGTATTTTTACACGGTGAGGACAGATGGAAGGCCATACGTGCCACGACGTGATCATCCCCGGAGAAAACAGTGTTACAAGCGCTACATTGCGGGTGAAGGTGTATGCACTCTCGGTCGTCGATATTGGAAGGTTTGGAGGAAGCCATTTGCAACTGATTGCTGTTTTAAACAAAAACAATGCTGAATGTTTAAGCCGTTGAGGGGTGCAGGCAACCACACGCATCGATGCTATCACGTGCTTTGTCCCTCTCACCAATCGGCCCTTGAGCTGCATCCAACACGAATCCTTCTGGCGCCTCAGCCTTCACGATGCAATACATGTATCAAGCAAGCGACAGTGCATACAGAGCTTCCTCATCCCAAGTAAACCCTGAAGCTGACTATTGGCAGCAGGATGCACCAGCAGCTGAGGAGTTTCACTTCAACGTACCTGCTAGCGTCTGCTTCATCAGCACACAGCCTTGTCACTGCGCACCCTGGATGAAACCCAAAGGTACATGATGCAGCTTTACCGACCCGCCTTCGAATACCCTTCCGGCCAATTGCATGTGTAGCCAGCCTCTCAAATTATTACTGAGCGCGTAACACTGCATCATGATAGGTAGCCAGGTAAGAGGCTCATTGCAATGCGCTGTGCCAAGAGGGCTGCCGTGGCTATACTGCGACCCAACACCTTAGGCATCAGGAGAGCCTTGCTTCTCCTCTTCTTTCTATGAAAATTATTCTGTCATTTGGAAACCTCTAACTGCGGAAGTCAGTGATCGGAAGACATAAAATAGATATCTGACAGCTGTCGAGCGACTCGTCTCCGACGCAATGGACGGACTTTCCAATCCACGGAATATTGTTGATGCCATAAAACTTTCTATCAACACAGCCTCCGTTTTGTATAAATATGCCAGCGATGTCAAGAACGCCAAGTCGGATATGAAAGACCTCAGCGAGGAAATCAAAGTTCACCTTTCTATTTTGGAAAAAGCCAGGGATCTTCTAGAAAGTCAAAGCGGCCGTCTACAAGTATCCCAAGATCTGCGACCCGCTCTCGACGCGAACTACTCTGAGCTTGATAGTATCAAACTTCAGCTGGACAAGGAATTAGGAGAAACTTCCAGCGTCCGGAAGCGAATATCGAACAGACTACGATGGTCATCTCAGAAGCATAAGATTAAATATGACATTGAAAAGCTGCGAAAATCCCGAGAGGATATCGGGAGCGCTCTCAGTATTGACAACGCGTAAGCCTTCATTTATCTGCCCTAAATTTACTATGCACCTACTTACAATAATAAGCAACGCAATCATGGATATCCACGCTATCCAATCCGACGAGATCCTCTCTAAGCTCTCAGTGGTCCAAGGCGCATCTTTCGACTCCCACGCCAATGAACACGAATCTCGATGTCATCCTCTCACTCGCGTCAAGATTCTAGGAGAAATTGAAAAATGGGCTCAAGAACCGGAGGGGCGACGCATATATTGGCTCTGCGGTATGGCAGGCACCGGCAAATCTACAATTTGCAGAACGATTGCTCATCGTCTGACAAGTTCAAACATTGTAACCGCTAGTTTCTTCTTTAAAAGAGGTGACAACGATCGGGATAAGTCAACTGCTCTCTTTACTACCATTGTGAAACAACTTGTCGAATATTTGCCGAAAGAAATGGCGGCACATGTCAAGAAAGCATTGCAAGATAATCCAAGCATAGGCGGTAAAATGCTAAGCAAGCAGTTCGAGAAGCTCATATTGGAGCCATTGAAGAGCTGCAAGTCGTTGCCGCCAGTCATAGTTATCGTGCTGGATGCCCTTGACGAATGCGAGGACCAGGCCAGTGGTGCCAAAATTATCGAGCTTCTGCCAAGTGTTGAATCTATCTCATCTACGTGCTTTAAAGTCTTGGTTGCCAGCAGGCCAGAGTGTCATCTCCGAACATCTTTTGCCCAGCTAGAATGTAAGTATCGCGAAATCTTCCTTTATGAGGCACTCCATGAGGTCGCGGATGCGGATGTCCGGAATGACATCTCTATCTTCTTGGAGTCTCAACTAGGAGATATTAGAGACAAGTACAACCTTACCAATTTACCACTGCCCGCAACTTGGCCATCAGAGTCACTCATTAAAGCTCTTGTCGATATTTCGGTGCCTCTATTCATTCTGGCGGCAACTGCGTGTCGTTTTATTGGTGATAAAGGTCTCGGCATTCCTGAGACGCTGGCCCTGGAATTTCTACAACAGCATCGACAGCTTGGTAAAACGAACCACCTCTCTAGGACATATCTCCCCATACTAGAGCAATTACTTGTTAATCGGAATGGAGCTGTGCCAGAGGATCGCTCGGAAGCAGAGAAAGAAATAATTCTCGGAGGATTCCGCCGAGTTGTCGGTACAATTGTGCTTCTTGAAGCGCCTCTATCAGTCATATCACTTTCAAAATTCCTTCAAATGAACCCAGGAGATGTCAATCTACGACTCTCGGGTTTGAATTCAGTTTTAAATGTCCCCAAAGACTCCAATAGCCCGGTCAAACTATTTCATCTGTCATTTCGAGATTTCCTTGTTGGGACCGGTGATCAGGATCAGAAACATGATTTCTTGATTGATGAGCGAGAAACACATGCTAATCTAGCTCGTCAGTGTATTGCCTTGCTTTCAAGGGATTGCAATCTCAAACAGGACATCTGTGGACTTAATCACCCGGGAAAACTGAGATCCGACATTAGCCAAGACACAATCGACATTTTTTTGCCTCCACATATTCGGTACGCATGTTTGCACTGGGTCTTCCACTTGAAAGAGAGCCGGGGCCGCATACGCGTTGATGATGAGATGCACTGCTTCCTCATCAAACATCTGATTCACTGGCTTGAGGCACTCAGTCTACTGGGTCGCATTGTCGAGGGCGGAGATATGGTGGGAAATCTCTTGTCCTTGCTTGATGTAGGTGGTCTATACCAGCGTTTTTCTATCAATGTTACTTGAAAAGCCGCTGACATCTGTGTCCATTGATAGAACGATGATAGAGCATTCGGCCTCCTGCGCGATACTAAGCGGTTCATACGTGCGTATCAGCATATAATGGACGTAGCGCCACTGCAGATATACTCTTCTGCCCTGCTATTTGCGCCAAAGAGATGCGAATTTCGACGATGCTTCGAAGGAGCAATTCCAAAGTGGATAAAGCATCAACCTATTGTTCCAATGGACTGGGATCTGTGTCTTCAAACCTTGGAAGGCCACAATGAACCTGTATCCCAAGTCGTTTTATCGCCAGATTCATCACTCATAGCGTCGAGCAGCGGGAATATGGTTCTAATCTGGGGAAGTTATACCGGCAGGTGTATTCATGAAATCGACGCCTTTGATTCAAAAGCAATCTCATTCTCACGCGACTCCAGATTCTTTTACTCTGTCCTGTCGGATGGTGAAGTTGAGACGTGGGAGACAGATACATGGACCCGAAAGGCAGTCATCAAGGTGGACGGTGCAACTGGAGATACAACGATGCGAATGGCTGCCATTTCTCTTGACTGCACACTCGTCGCAGTAGCCTTTGACACGGTTGTCGAAATCCGGTCAATTTCTAAGCTCGGCGACTTCGTCAAGAGCATACAGATGCATAGATCTAATCCTAGCTACTTAACGTTTTCTCCAAACTCCGCTTATATCGCTGCACAGTTTTCTCTTCCCGACTCGCTAGAAGTTTTGCCTATCCGTGGCGGAGAGTCTAACGTGATAGAGCACTGTTTGGCTGCAGCATATTCGCCCGATTCTTCTCTTGTGGCGTTGAGTTTGGAAGGCGCCATAGATATACGCCGCGTCGATGAGCAGTCGATGAGCTTCCTTCGAATTATCTCTTTGGAAGATGGGTGCAAGGTGCACAGTCTAGCCTTCTCTCACGATGTAGCACTCTTAGCAATTGGGCTGGAGGCTAATAGATTCGGCATCTGGTTGACGGACACTGGCGAGTGCATATGGACGGCCAGTGATCATACCGATAAGATTACATCGCTTTTGTTTTCGCATGACTCTACGTTTCTTGTCTCGTCATCCCACGATGAGACATTGCGTATTTACAGCGTTAGCAAACACCCATCGTCCGAAGCTCATGAAAGACAACACATGCAAGCTGACTCCGTTACAATTTCACCCGATTCATCACTTATACTGCTAAAACCAGACATACGTCCACACAGCCCACGCAGCAGCGATGCTATCTGGCAGGTTTTGCGGGCTGACTCAGGTGTCTGTGTTGAAGAGTTCGCCTGTGAGGAATTGCAAAGCGAGCCAAGCTTCACGCAAGACTCTGCCTTGGCAGTAATTAGAGGCGGCGCGGCTGAGATTTGGCACCCTGATAGACGCCACTTCGTACAAGACCTGAATGGGCTTGGCTCGGATCCAACTGGAGTTCCTGTAGCTTGCTTCTCAGCGGATTTTACGCTGGCTGCAGGCATCCTAAAGGACAGATCTTTGCGGATTTGGCAAATCAAAACAGGTGAATGCAAACGAGAAGTCCAGTCCGCGGTGCTCGATGACTGCCAATCATGTACGCTGTGCTTCTCTCCAGACGCGTCTCGAATAGTATGTGCCCCGGAATACGGAAACAAGATTTTTGTTTGGCAGGTTGACACGGATACACCTGCACAAAGGTTTAAGCTGCCGAGAAATGATGCTTGTAACCACCTTGCCTTGTCTAACACGAAACTCGCTGTGACGCATGGTATGGAAGGTCTCAAAATATGGAGTCTTGAAACAGGTGACCTTCTACTGGAGATGGAGCACACTGGCACACAAGACATTGTCAAACTCGGTTTTTCACACGACTCGACGCTTCTAGCAACATCATCAACACGCCGGGGGATGTTTATCTGGAATGCCAACACAGGTGCCCGTGAGTGTATGATGTGGCTCAATCATTTGTTGAGGATCACCCATCTCTCCTTCGAACTCCCCGATAATTCCGAATTGCGCACCAATCTCGGCCGGATCAAGTTCAAAGATTCCGCAACATTGGGTGAAAATGCAGTTGATGTTAGGCGGTCCCGGCAATGGCAATTTGATAAGCTTAATTATAGCAACAGTGACCGGGATGATGACAGTTCCTGGATCTCATTCAATGGGGACAAACTGCTATGGCTGCCCGCAAAATCTCGAGGGGGTTGGAGAATACCGAGCGCTGTTTCAGAATCTGTGGTTGTGATTGCATCTAATCATTCTGCACCCCATGTGATTATTGGATTTAATTTGGAAAAAATCCCCAGGTGGTACCAAAATGCGCATAAATACTCTTCAAATTATATGTAGCGGATCATAAGAGAAAATGCTATAGTGCGAAGAGTGAAACTAAAGGGCGGCGGGGGCTCTATTACATGTAACTAGCCAAGCAGGCCAGAGTATATGCCGCTTTATACTGAATGATGTTACTTGGAGGCACAATGCTCATATACAGTACTCTTAGCAAATTTTACTGGTTCTATTCGGCCGCTTCAGCAATACACATGGTATGTGTCCAATCTACTGCTAAAGCATTGCGCGAGAGAAGCGAGAAAAACGAACCTCACACATGCGCATTTAGTTTCCCAAAAGAGCAGGTCATTGAAGAAATTGCTAAGCCGCAGTTGTATAATCTGGCAAATCTGGTTAATATAGATGGTTACACCAGGAGCAACACTTCCATCAGGGTTCCTTTCGCTATAGTATGCGCAACCTGTTGTTGTGTTAGTTGTGTTAGTTGCATTCCGATTCTGAAAAATCCAGTCTGCATGGCCCAAACTTGGGAAGCTAATGGCTATATCGTATACAGTCGTCTTGAATGACATTCCAGTGACGAATGTGACACCCGGAGATGCGCATTGGTCAATGATATATCCGATGTTGTCCTGTGCGTCAGAGGTGGACAAGCAAAGGAATGAGTTGGGTCATAAGACATGCAATATTGACAGCATAAGCTGTCATTGATGCATTTCCTGTTTTCTTTTGATGCCCAATGAGCAATTATGAGTTGAATATCTAGAGAAAACCCTGAACGGGGACACAAAGCCAAGATAGTAACAAGTTGGGGGTCGTTGGGGCTACGTGGGAGACTGTTCATTCACACAAGGCAGAATCAAATGTGCCGTCCAAACATGGATGCGACCATAGAATAGCAAGGGTTTTATCATTTATCCATTTCAGTAACATCATAGTCTAAGTTCTCTACTAAAATACGAGCTCTGGATAACTCGGCAAGGAAAAAGATTACATCGTAATGTGCTGACTTTTTTAGCCCAAGAAGTCAGCCTGGTTGGTATAAGTGACGTTTGTTTTTAACATCTACAGCAAATATGATTTGTTCACAAAGTAATGTAAAGATACCAATGAATACCTCTTTCAACGTGAAGATAGGAAATAACTGTCGTTGTCGTCTCAATCGAGATTGAAATCGCTGTTACTGTAGGGTAGACGCTCGTTACTATCATCGTCGCCATTCATATATACACACCATGCACAGAATAGTTGATTATCTAATAATATAGATGATATAGCTATATTTGGTTCCAGCGCAAAATGCGCATAAGCCGAAAGAGCCGCCATGGATCTCAAATGCAACACACGGAGTTGCCTCGAAGCAGCAGCCAATGCAACCTACCCAGGAACCAAAAGCACGTCATTCTGCAGCTCCATTATTGGCTGCTTGCAGATTCTCAGATTTTCACGTGCATATAATATATAAAAAGAAGTATGAGGCCTGTGAATCTAGTACAGTAAACGATGTAGTACCATGAAAGAGATTGTGGTATGCTGCTGGAAAGGCACATTTCTCCACCATGTATAGGACAATCATGAGCAACCAGGCAAATGCGTATCTTTTTTGAGTAGATCATGAATAGACATCCAAAGTGTGCATTGACACGAAACAATGACGGGATGTAGCGTCAATGCGGCTTTATAACAGAGGTAGTCATCAAACCTGTCCCCGTCTAAGCGCATATCATACTACGCTACTTGTACATACAAGGAGGGCGTGCTCTTTTGCCCTTAGATCCACCGAAGGTTTCGTAACCTATCCTCTATAAGTATACCGATCTATTTTGCGTGTTCTCAAGAGGGCGTCAAAACATTCTCACATGCCATTTCTGTATATTGGGCCGTTGCGCGCTCTTTTGACCAAGAGAATCTTTGTAGCTCGTGCTGTAGTCGATTCTCCTTGTTTTCAGCTCGCAAAAGTTCAGGGAGTATATCAGTAGTAATATTGATATCTCAATGAATGCTGTTTATGGACGGGACTTCTGCTCACTCCATGTAGGATATACGGAGGCTACCTATATTGGGTGTTAGCCTAGCAGTAGTTACATGATAAAGGTTGCCTCATTATCCCTTTACATACACCTATTAGCAGGCTTTTTGTCCAATCTAGTAGTAGCAGCACACCATGGTCGACCGTTGAGATCGGGCCTAAATCGGCTATGCGGAGGATGGTGGTTGAGTTGCATTGCTGGCTATCCATGCTTCTAGACGCTTCGTACTACCGTGCCCAGGCCGTTAATTCCACGGACATCGTATTTTCCGTTCCCAATCCGATACAACGTCGTCAAAGCGTCTTCTTCTTATCATTTCTCGTATTGGCATCTTGTAACATGTTGAAAAGGCGCCCATTGGTAAGCCGGAAGACTTGCTTCAATTTGCTCGGTATACCCTTAAACCACAATAACGCCGTAGAGCAGCCCGCTTTTTCTGGTCCTCCGCTGAGGATCTCGGTCATCTTCCATTGAGCGACAGCCAGGGTGCTTGGCGTATTCACTATTGCATCATTAGGCGTGAAAAGCGCGGCACTGCGGCAGTACCAATAAGGTCTACCTATCACATGCGATCTAACTCGGAAGCGATCTTCGAGGTTAGGATCCCTTGTCCCTGATCCTCTCAGGGTGCCTGGGGCTGGAAAAGGGTACCAGAGCTGGCTGTACTGCAAAGCTGGCGGCCGCAAGAGAGGGCTGCAAGTTGCAACCACCAGCTTTTTTTCCAATTTGCTTCCCATTTTGGGAGGTCGGTAAGGGTGTCTATTGGCTCGTGAGGCTTTTGCACTTGTGGCGTGTTGAACAGCGTCAAGACTTCAGGCTGTATGCCGACAACATTCCAGAACTTGCACGCCGCCAAGGACTTTTTGACGCTGCCACCCACACCATTATCGAGCGCTTCATCCCTCGCCTTCCATGCGTTGCCTTTGCAGTGAAATTGCAGTGGCCAGCTGGGCTTGCCGCCAGCGCCTCCGTGCTTCATGTGGCAGCTGGGCAGCCACCTACAGCCACCTTCCAGAGCGGTCTCTGCCTCCGAGTGGCGGCGTCGGGTCGGACCTAGTCTAGCCCGTTCCTGGACCGGGATCAGGATCAAGGCTGCGGGACAAGGCGTGGAGCGTGGGGTGTGCGGTGGGCGTTGGCGCGATACTGTATCTTTAAGCTTGCGAGCGGACGTAAACAACCGGTGCCGCTATCGCGACTCTCGCTGTCCGCGTCGAGGCAGCCAAGTCTGCCAAGCATTGCGGCTGTCGGCACTGATAAGGTGAAGCCAGGCACAGAGAGTTTGGCACATTTGCTTGGCGATGCGAGATGGCTGCAGTATGGGAGGTAATGGATCGGCTGTCGGCTTGGCACGCTTGGCAGCTGAGAATAATTCCCGAGTTCAACGACACTCGAAGGTATTGGCATTGTGTATGGTGAAGAAGAAGGAAAAGAGAGCAAAAATGAGAGACAGAAAAAAAAAGCAGAAGACAGCAGCAGACAGTGGTTGAGCCTCGCTGTTGGCGCGAGACGATCGCAACAAGACGGCAGCTCGTAGGATCAGGGCCTGCTTCAATAGCGATCACGTGCTTCGACCTCTGGCAGCAACCTCAGGTTCTTTTCTCGTAATAGCCATCTGGCATATCTGCTCACTCCATCGTACAGACGCTACTCCGTCTATCTACGCTACACGCCCATGGCGCTGCATGAAAACACAATCAGCGCTGCCTTTACGCTTCGGCCGGTTCCGCCTCTGCTCGCTCAGGGCCAGCTTCACGATGCAGCCAATCATGGCCATCAATACAGCACCCAAGCCGTCGCGCTCCAGATTCTATGGCTAGTCAGCCCCATGCCGAATATCCGGCTCGGACAGGGGTCCCCAAGGCTTCCGGACAGGCCTTTGGACATGCCGCTCTGGGCTTGAGCCCGCTGTAACGAACCTTTGCATGCAGTGCCCAAGATGGCAGATGGCGATTCTGGCACAAGTTCCCACGCCCAAGTGCCGGCTGCCAAGCTGATGCGGCGCCAGCCAAGAGTCCCGAGGCACCCAAGGGACCCCCGCATCGGAGCTTGTACAGGTCATCAGGCGCCTCTGATTGATGGGATAGGAGATTAACATTAACCAAAGGTTTAGACTTGATTCGTGGTCTTGGCGGTTGATCTCACTAGTCTTGTGTTTATTCAGAGCACGGCATCGATCCAGGAGAGGGTGTTGTGCCTCAACATGCGAATATGCGAGCAAGACAGTTGATAGCATGTCTTGGATGGAAACCAAACAATACCATTGTTTCTTCACCAGTGGCGGCTAACGGCGAATATCACTGCAACATCACTTGTGGAAGTTGGGCTAGGCTCATCGTCTCTCTCCGGATCAGCATCGTCGCGCTGAAGCTAGACATTTGGCGGAGCGTTGCGGGTCCAAGGCTTTCTCTGTACGGACTTGTACGGGCACGGACTGCCTACTAGGAACCTGATAGAGCAGGATCGGCGCCAAAGTGCTATGCGCATACTGTTTCGAGAGCCACTCAGCCGCTCTATCGAACTAAACATCGCCGTTAAGGCCGCACGGACTGGAACGACCCCGGATTGGAGGGGGGGCCTGACCAAAGTGGCGAGAACCATTGTTCAAAAGAGAGTCTGTGCTATGCCTCTCTGGAAGCCGCCACGTTGCGCCGGCTCGAAACAAGCAGCTCTGGCCATTGAAACTAGGCGGTGGACTTCTATCTTAGGACGGTGCAAGATACGTGATCGACAAAGGTTCCAGCGTCCGCAGGAAAGACAGGCAGAATCGGTTATGCGCACTCGGCTGGCTTCACTCTCCGGGCTAGGACACATTCCTACCCCTGGACTTAGAGGTTTCATTCGCCAGCAGCCCCGCGGCAACTTCACCAGCCTCAGTTGGCTATCAACGATGTTGGATACTGCGGCTATTCCATCATTCCGACTCCTCTTCCCATCACCGAGCCCCAGCGCGTGTGTGAAGCCCCAGGATGATGGCGCGAATTCACCTTCCTAAACCATGCTTTTGAAGCCGTCCACGATATCCAGCCATTGGCTGCATCAATGGCATCTTCAACTTCAAAGTATGGGTTGATATGCGAGTCTCGATGGATATAAAGACTCGTCGTCTTCCCCTCGATCTGTTGTTGAAGCTTCTTTCCTCATCAGCCTTCAAGACATCAAGTCCAGTCGAGTCCTGAGCAACAATCATCTCAACAAGCTTCAAAATGCAGACCTTTGGTGCTTTCCTCGTTTCTTTCCTCGCCGCTAGCGGCCTGGCTGCTGCTCTCCCCGCCGAGGGACAGCAGAAGACCATCTCCGTCCCGGTCAAGTACAACGCCAACCACGCTCCTCACGGACCTACCGAGCTCTTCAAGGCCAAGAGAAAGTTCGGCGCTCCCATCAGCGAGAACCTCAAGAACAGGGTTGCCGAGCACAAGGCTGCCAAGCTCGCCAGACGCCAGACCGGCTCTGCCCCCAACCACCCCAGCGACTCTGAGGATGATGAGTACATCACCAACGTCTCCATTGGTACTCCTGCTCAGGTCCTCCCTCTGGACTTTGACACTGGCTCTTCCGATCTGTGGGTCTTCAGCTCCGAGACTCCCTCATCTTCGGCCCGTGGCCACACCATCTACACCCCCTCCAAGTCTTCTACCTCCAAGAAGGTCTCTGGAGCCAGCTGGTCCATCACCTATGGTGACAACAGCAGCTCCAGCGGTGACGTTTACACCGACACCGTCAGCATCGGAGGCTTCTCCGTCACTGGCCAGGCCGTCGAGTCTGCCACCAAGGTCTCCAGCCAGTTTGTCCAGGATACCTCCAACTCTGGCCTCGTTGGTCTTGCCCTTGACAGCGGCAACACTGTCAAGCCCACCAAGCAGAAGACCTGGTTCTCCAACGCCTCTTCTCACCTGGCTTCGCCCGTCTTCACTGCTGACCTGAACCACCAAGCTGGTACGTAATGTCCCTTTTCTACTTAACACCACTATCAATCGATACGAGTAAGCTAACGCGAGTGAAAACAAATAGACGGCAGCTACAACTTTGGTTTCATTGACACCAGCCTCGCCTCTGGCCCCATCACCTACGTTCCCATCAGCACCGGCAACGGCTTCTGGGAGTTCACCTCCTCAAGCTATGCTATCGGCGGTGGCTCATCCAAGAAGCACTCCACTGACGGCATTGCTGACACTGGCACCACCCTGCTCCTCCTCGACGACACCATTGTCGATGCCTACTACAACCAGGTCCAGTCTGCTCAGTACGACGACTCACAGGAAGGTTACACCTTTGACTGCTCTGAGGACCTTCCCTCATTCTCCTTCGCTGTTGGAAGCTCCACCATCACCGTCCCCGGTAGCTTGATCAACTTTGCTCCCGTCGATGGCAACACTTGCTTCGGTGGTCTCCAGAGCGATGATGGCATTGGCATCAGCATCTTCGGTGACGTTGCCATCAAGGCTGCCCTGGTTGTCTTTGACCTTGGCAACAAGCGCCTGGGCTGGGCTCAGAAATAAGCAGGGAAAGAGATGAAAGAAACAAAAAGGAGGGTTGAAACGTATATGAAAGTTATGATTTGAAGAGATGGAGTTTGCATCCGGCTACACATGGCTTGTAAATACTATATCATGCTACCTATATAGTCACTAGGAGCTTTAGCACATAGCGTAGCGAAGAATATTTTCACCTAAACCCGAATCTCCACCTTTGAATATTCACCTGTGACATTGAGAGTACCTTGAATAATCCGTTCGGTGCCATCTAAATGCGCTTGTGCCTGGTTTATATACGCCACAGTGTGGCTTTCCAATTACATGTAAATAGCCGACATGTGGTCGAAAGGGCGCATGCCAAAAGGGATGCTGATCAAAGAGTACGTAAGCGCCCAACGCCCTGATTCGCTGTTCCTATCTCTTGACACGGAAGTAAGATCGCACTATGCATATTTATGGTGGGATGCGCCCTCCTAGTATCGACGCCCTTTGGCCCCTCAGTCGGAGAATTATTGGAGTTTTTGTGGCTGAGAATTAGTTTCACCGTGGGGTATTTATGGCTCTTATGTGTCCGCCTATATCGGCTTTGTTATGCTTATTGGAAGAGAAAATAAAATTAAAGATTCTTTTTTATCACTATAACTGATATCCTTGAAATAATCGACATATAAATATTATCTTGTCCTTGCTTGCCTTCATCAAGTACTACGCGAATTATAGGAGTGCCATGGCTAATCAGGAGAAGCCCCGTGTGGCGGTTCTGGGAAAAGTGCATTATCTCAGCGATGAGTACATTGAGAGCGTAAAAACTGAATTGAATCTTCATGTATGTGGCCAATTCATCAATCGACTCATCTAATTCATTGTGCAAATCACTTACATATGATGCCCTTTCAGTTTCTTGAATCTTCCAATCGGCAGCAACTCATCGAAGAACTCCCCCGTGTCATCTCCCAATCGGGCCCATTCGAAGGCCTCATTTGCCTTTCTGAGTCACACAACTTTATCCCCGTGGACGAAGAGCTGCTCTCGGCCATGGTGCCTCACTGCCGCGTGATTGCCTCCCTGTGGGCGGGATACAACGAGTTTGACGTCTCGTGGATGACGAGCCAGGGCATCTGGTTCTGCAATACTGTTGATGCGGTGGCGGAGGCCACGGCCGATATGACGATTTGGTTCATCCTGTCTGTGGTGAGGAATACTTCTGTGGCGGAGAGGCATGTGAGGGCAGGTGGATGGTATGGAGGCAGCGTGTCGACGAGGGATCCTACGGGCATGACGCTGGGGATTGTGGGGATGGGGAGCATTGGAAAGTATCTGGCGAAGAAGGCAAAAGTGTTCAACATGAAGACTAAGTATTACAACCGCAAGAGACTCAGCAAGGAAGTTGAAGAGGCATATCAGGTGGAATACTGCTCTTCGCTGGAAGAGCTGCTGTCACAAGCAGACATCGTATCGATACACTGTCCCCTCTCAGAAGCAACTCGAAAACTCATCTCCCACGAGCAATTCAAGCTCATGAAGGACGGTGCATTCCTCATCAACACGGCACGCGGGCCTATCGTGGACGAAGAAGCATTGATTGCAGCGCTGGAGAGCGGCAAAGTGGCGAGGGCGGGACTGGATGTGTTTAGTGATGAGCCGAATGTGCGTGAGTATTTCAGAACGAGCGACAAGGTGGTGTTGCAGCCGCATATGGGGGGCGCGACGGAGGAGGCGCTTTGGAGGGCGGAGAGGGAGAGTTTTGAGAATGTGCTGAGGTGGAGGAGGGAGGGGAAGCCGGTGTCGCCGGTGAATGAGGTTTAGAAGAGGTTTTACACGAATTATATTCTTTCTTTAATTAATGGCTGATTACATATATATATATATATATATATAAGAAAAAGGGGTGAAGAAGAGTGTTTGGTGTTGTTGGCTGCTGAGTTGTCTTGAGCAAGTCGCCATAAAGGGAAATTACCTAAATAGGAAACTGGGGTGAAACATACAAGACGATATATTAGCACTTCATCTGTACTTGTTTGTGTTTTTGTTAGGCGTCATGTCCGTCTCGTTGTGAAGCACAGCAAGGTCAAATACCATCGCATCATTCATTAATAAGCTCTGCTTCCCCGCGGATCATTACCGCGCATTAGGCTAATCACGCAATTGGGTCTTTTTACTTCACTTTAATCCCACCAACATCAATCAATCAGATGTAATCAGTTACTCTAATCCGATATCGAATATTTAGCAATCTTATTCTTTCTTGAACAATGGCATCCACTTCACCACTTGCAAAAAATTCCCCCATCATCATCGTCGGAGCTGGCATCTTTGGTCTCAGCACTTCCATCCATCTCGCTCAACGAGGATACACCAACATTACAGTCTTTGATAAACAGCCATATCACGAGACTCTATATTCTTACGATGCCGGCTGCGATTCGGCATCTTCAGGTCCGTTGATCAGCTTCCACCTTGACTAAATTCATCTCCTCTAACTTTTTATACACAGACATCAATAAAATTGTGCGCTCAGCGTATGGCTCTCAGACCGAATACCAAGATCTCAGCACCGAGGCTCTTTCTGCCTGGGCAGCATGGAATGAAGAACTTAAAACGAGCAGCAGTCAAGATGGGAGCGAGGATGCTCTTCCTCCTGGAATGACCCCCCACGATGCCTTCTTCATCCCCAATGGGCATCTTACTTGTAGCGATGCAGAGACACTCCCAGACTTTGAGCGAGCCACTGTTGAAAACATGGAATCTGCTGGCCATCACGGTACGCAGCTCATGAACAATGAACAACAGGATATCAAGCTTGCCTCTGACAAGGGCATGGAATATGCCCTGCAGCCCTTTGCGAAGAACGTTCTGGGCGTCTTGGACACCACCGGGGGTTTCGTCCTCGCCGACAAAGCCTGTCGCTTTGCTCTCCATAAAGCAAAGAGACTCAGTGTCCGTTTCATCCTAGGCCCTGAATCAGGACGATTCACTTCCTTTACATACCGTGCATCTACCTCAACCTCAACTTCTACTAATAATATCATCGCCGGCATCACCACAGCGGATGGCAAATCCCATCCAGCAGCCCTTACAATTCTCTGCTGCGGCGGCTGGACACCCTCACTACTCCCATCTCTCGATTCCCTCTGCGAAACGACTGCAGGCTCTGTTTTCATGCTCCGCATACCAGAATCGTCTCCTCTCCGCAAACGTTTCCACCATTCTCGCTTCCCCTCTTGGTCATTTAATATGCGTGACCATGGCGCTGAGGGCGGTCTTTACGGCTTTCCTGTTGACGAGAATGGCGTGCTCAAGATTGGATATCGTGGGACAAAGTACACGAATCCCCAAGCACAATCTGATGGCCAAGAACGTAGCGTGCCAGCGACTAAGTGGAGTGGCAGCGACACAATCACGCAAGTTCCTCAACAGGCTCACAAAGTTGTCACTAGATTCTTGGAAGAATATCTTCCCGAATTGGGAAACTCTGGCATTCACATCTCAGAAACGAGGCTGTGCTGGTATACAGACTCTTTCGATAACCATTACGTTATTGATCGCGTGCCTCTATACCAAGGCCTCATGTGCGCCACGGGTGGGAGCGGACATGCGTTCAAGTTTCTCCCCAGCATAGGCAATTGGGTGGTGGACGTGATAGAAGGCGTTGGTTTGGAGAGGCCTGCTATTAAAGCATGGAGATGGAGGTCGTTGCAAGAAGACGAAGAGCCTCTTAATAAACTGATGGAGGGCAGTCAGGGCCCGAGGTCGTTGTGGAATGTACCGTTAGTATTGGTCTGATGCAGAAAAGTAAACTCACAAGGGATATGAGATAAGATCCTTACGATATCACAACAGAGGCATCTAGTGGCAGCAATAGATATATACGTAATAAACTTGCAGCTATTTTGACAGAAAATCCAACACCCAAGCGCCATAACACGTTTTGTGCAAAATGCCTCCTCCCCAGACATTAAAAAACAAGGATATCCTTGGACTGCTCCTATAATATCGCCCTTTAGTTATTACCAATCTCCTCTTCCTGGTCCTCCCACTCGCCATCCTCCTCCTTCTGCTCGTTGACCTTGAACTCAGCATCACCAGCCAAGCCCTCGCTGTCCAGCTCATCCACATCCATATCGCTGTAGTACTCATAATCGTCCTCGTCATCATCCTCATCGTCGTCAGCCTTTCCACCCTTGTTTGCTGCCTTCTGCGCTGCCTTTGCCGCCTTCTTCTTCTCCACATTGGCCTTTTGCTCACGTCGTCGTGCATCTTTCTCCTGCGTCCGCTTCTCCCATCGCTTCTCGAGCTCCTTGATTTCTGCAGCCGACTTGTTGATGTACTCGTGCCACATGACTTTGCCCGAGCACATGCCCTCCTCGACCTTGGTCAAGCGCAGTCTCATGCGAGGTCCCAGCTCGACGAGCTTCACCACGTGTCGTTCTACGTTTCCTTCTTCGAGCTCTTCATCCTGGCCGTTCTCTGCGGCAGCAGCACGGGCCTTGGCAGACAGAACTTTTCGGGAGGCGGTCTCTTGAACTTCGACTTCGGCATCGGTGTCGACTTCGCTACCACTCGTCACGTCGGAGACGTATCCATCGCCGCCTTCGCCGCCAATCATGTAGTCTGCGATATCTTCTAGCTTCCCCAAGTTGGGCATGTGGCTTCGTCGGCTGGTCTTGGTGCCGAGGAATTGTTCAGCGGCATTGATGCGGCGCAGCTGTTTTGACACGCCAGATCGTTTAGTGGTAATGGCGTAATGTCTAAAGTTGATAATAAAGGTGCCGTCGTCTTCCTTGGACTGCTCTCGGTTCATGAGCAGCACTCTGCGAATTGATTTGATTGGTGTAGCTTGAGGGTTGATCGGGGGGAACATGGATGAGAAAACGGTGGTGGCTAATGATTCGAGGTGCTTTGGGACCTTTGACTTGGAAGTGGCATCAGGCCGAGAGAATCCGTTCATGACCAGCTGATATTCGTTAGTTTGCGACGTAATCTTCGCAGTGCAAGCAGCATTCTTACCAGAGGGGCAGAAAGAAACTCCTTTCCCATGCCCTTGGGATGTCTCTGGATCTTCTGGATATCTTTGCAGAGAGAGTACTTCTCAACTCGGAAGTTCAATGTCGGTCCTCGAGGCGCCAAAGCAACTCTCATGTTTGTATTTCCTCCTTCCGATCGCGAAAAGAGTATCAGGTGCGTCACTCCCAACGGACCGCACATGACTACATAGTCCTTCAATCGGTTGTTTCTTCGCTCCTTTAGCCGACTGGCAGTTCCGGGCTCCATGACTTTTCGCACATCCGACGCAAGCTGGCTAATGCTTGAACCGACCTCTCCAGCGCCTATTCTGATGACCATGCTCTTGGGATCGCGGGCAGAGGCATGTCCGGCCGAGTTAGGCTGGGGGTTGTTGGCCCCCATGTGGGTTCGCTTCTTGACTCTTCGTTTCGCCATGGCTTAATTGACTCTGCAGCTGATCCAAAAAATCAGCAGTTGAGATATGATGTCCAATGGAGTTATACGCTTCTTCTAGCAGAGGGAAGAAAAAAAAGTTCAGTATGCTTGGCGATAAGAGCTTATCGCTGCTGTCGCTGCCCCACCAAGACTTTTGGACACTCGCTTAAGCGCATCAAAGATTGATCCGAGTTTGGCGGGCACTAACACAATTTACTAGCTCTCGCACCAAAAGATTGCAGCAATAAAATCCGTTCGTGATAGTGACCTTGCGAACTTCATTTTGTCGACCCGACTCGGTATCTACATATTTTCCTCTCACACCCCTGCAGAGCCTCCACTTCTTGTGCATATCGAACATTTTTCGACAGGGATTGATCTTGCTGCGTCCTGATTTGCTGCTGCAAAAGCCGAGCCCAGAAAAAAGTTGCTGGACGAGCTTCATCTTTTTTGTCTCTGTTCTTGTTCCCAAAGCAAGACTTCACAGCACACGATGAACGGTTCAAAAAGACAGAAGGTGGCCAACGGTGCGCCTGCTCGGCGCGAACCAGCAGAGGCCACTGCTTCTCAGACCTCCCCCGATCCTCACACCGAAGAAGAATCTGTGACTCTCGATGTTGCGTCCACGGCGGATGCTGCAGAGGCAGAAGAGCCCAAGACGTTTAAAGAATTGGTATGTATCAGACAAGATGGATGCGCAAATTCTATCCTTCATTGATTTCATGGCTATCAGGCTTACAATATTTCCAGGGCATTGTAGATTCGTTATGCGAAGCCTGCGAATCTCTCAACTACAAAAACCCCACGTCCATCCAAGCAAAATCCATCCCCGTCGCCCTCCAAGGCCGAGACGTCATTGGCCTCGCCGAAACCGGTAGCGGAAAGACCGCTGCTTTCGCTCTTCCGATATTACAGGCGCTGCTCGAGAAGCCTCAGCCCTTTTTTGGCCTCGTCCTTGCGCCGACCCGAGAACTTGCCGCTCAGATCGGACAGTCCTTTGAAGCTCTGGGAGCCCTCATCTCGCTGCGATGTGCCGTCATTGTCGGAGGTCTGGACATGGTTCCCCAGGCTATTGCACTTGGAAAGAAACCTCATATCATTGTTGCGACACCTGGTAGACTGGTGGACCACCTGGAAAAGACAAAGGGCTTCTCTCTGCGATCCCTCAAGTACCTGGTCATGGACGAGGCCGATCGACTGCTAGACATGGACTTTGGGCCCAGTATCGACAAGATTCTCAAGTTCATCCCCCGTGAGCGCCGCACCTACCTTTTCTCAGCCACCATGAGTTCCAAGGTCGAGAGTCTCCAGAGAGCCAGTTTGCGAGATCCCGCTCGCGTCAGCGTCAGCTCAAGCAAGTACCAGACTGTCTCGACTCTACTCCAGCACTACATCTTCATACCCCATAAGCGGAAAGATACATATCTCATTTACCTTGTCAACGAATTTGCCGGAAAGTCCATGATTATCTTCACTCGCACAGTCTTTGAGGCCCAGAGGGTAGCCATCCTACTACGAACACTTGGCTTCGGCGCCATCCCGCTCCATGGACAGCTCTCACAATCCGCTCGTCTTGGTGCTCTGAACAAATTCAAGGGCGGATCCCGCGAGATCCTCGTAGCCACTGATGTCGCTGCCCGTGGTTTGGATATCCCCGCCGTCGACGTCGTGCTCAACCATGACCTGCCCCAGGACTCAAAGACTTATATCCATCGCGTTGGTCGAACAGCTCGTGCCGGTAAATCCGGTATCGCCATTAGTATTGCCACACAGTATGATCTTGAGATTTACCAGCGCATTGAGGCGGCGCTGGGCAAGGAACTGGACCAATACCCAACCGAGAGGGAGGAAGTCATGGCTTTCCAGAGCAGAGTTGACGAGGCTCTGAGAACAGTCCGCGGAGAGATGAAGGCCTTCCTGGAGAACAAGGGCAAGGGCAAGGGCAAGGACAGGGGCAAAACTGCCGGGCCCAAGAGGAGAAGAGATAACATGGACCAGGAGGAGGGCTAATTGAAAAGTTTGGATTGGAAGACAACAAAACGGCGTAATAGAAAGAGGGAATTCTAGAAGCGGTGTTTGGGTGTAATGTACCTCCTTTATGTCGAATTTTGGGAACAGATATTTTGCTCTTCTCTTTGTATCTGATAAATCTTGCTTTCATTTTCAAAAATCTCTTGGATGAAACCGCGATCCCGTTGAAAACAACACAGCATCATCATGTTGGGTTGAAACGACCCAAGGCATGTGTCACAAAAGAAGATTTACCTCTGATTTGGCTGTCTTTAAAGTATCGACCAAAGATATCATTTTTACGATCGAGTATGCATTATCAACTCTCTCATTGCCGGTCCATATCATCATTGCATAATTGATCGGCATACTCATTCTTCTCTCTCGGAATCCAGACATAGTGCACGTCCCCCTCGCGTTTCAATCTTTCATCAAGATCGGAAGCCTCCTCAATAAGATCTCGGTTCACAACCTGATAGCCCGCGGCATTGGTCCATCCGTTGTGAAGCCACTTGTTTATCCAATTTGTCATGCAATTAATCGCATATTTGGAATCCGAATAGATCGTGACACGCAGATATGGATCTGTCTCGAGCTCTTGGTACCTTTCAAGGGCCTGCTCCAGTGCTATGATGATGGCAGTGAGCTCGGCCCGCTGGTTTGTAGGCGGAGGATACGAGGGCAGTGATCGTGTCCACGCATCAACGTATGTGCCTTTTTGGTTTCTGAAAGCGGCGGCAGCGGCGCCGGTTGCCCACGGCCGTCCGTTGCCTCTACAACCCCCGTCGGTGAAGATTTCCATAATGTACACCATCCTGCCGAGCGTCAAAGAGGATGCGATATCTAATTCGGCGCTGTAAGTGGCGTTGTAAGTGATTGAGAAATGGCTAAAAGAATGGGGCAACAGTCTAACAAACAGATGCTCGGTATCTTGCAGTCGCGACTGATGATTCGGAAGTGAAGCCAACGCTCATTCACCCTTTGTGTATTCGCATTACAAACTCAGTTGCGCCGATGAAAAATAATGAATAATTTTTCAAACCCTAGGTACTCCAAAAAGGTAAATATCAATATGAAAATTGCATCCTAAACCTACGCCCACCTCCACCCAACCCAATCCAATCCATAGTAAATCCTAGAAGCCCTTTCCCTTTTTCAAAAAGCTCCTCTATCGAAAAAAGTCCTTATAATAAGTAATGGATCTCGTAGTCAGTCCTGTTTACGTCCCCATATCCACAGACTCATCCTCATTCTCCCCCGGAGTATCTGGCTCCGCCATCTCAGTATCATCGTCATGTCCCTCTTCCTCTTCCTCTTCCTCTTCGCCGCCGTCATGGATATCTTTGCTCTCATCGCCCCCATGTTCTTCCTCGCCCTCGTCAGCTTCTTCGGCTTCTTCGGCTTCATCGTCGCCATGCTCCTCATCCTCCTCGTCCTCGTCCTCTTCCTCATCACCTTCGCTTTCGCTATCAGCGTCTTCGCCGCTAGTCTCGCCGCTTTGAATAGTTCGGCCCAGGTGTGGGAACATTAGACCTGGAGGGACATCTTCTTCATAATCGTCTGGGACATCGCTGAGGTCGCTTTCGTCGGCGGAATCGACAAGACTTGGCGCCTCATCTACTTCTTCTACCTCTTCCGCCTCATCGCCCTCCTCGCCCTCCTCGCCGTCTTCGCCGTCTTCACCGTCTTCGCCTTCTTCGCCTTCTTCGCTCTCGAGCTCTTCCTTGTCCTCAATCTTGGAGTCATCGTGACGCTCAGCATCATGGCCATCCTCCTCGTAATGAGTGTCGGGCATGTCCGTGTCCTCCCCTGCCTCCTCTCTCCTAATTTGCGTTTCTGGCCCTTCTTCGTCCGTGTCGGCGTCACTAGCGCCTACATTCGGCGTCTGGCTTCCACGCTTGCCGCTTGACATGCTGCCAACTCGACTCCTGGGGTGAGCCGACTTTGGAGCTTCCATGGAGCGAGCAACAGCCTGTTCCGCTTTACGAAGAACGTCTGGTCTTCGAACTCCAACCCTGCGAGTTCGTGGCGCTGCTTCGGACTTTTCTCCTTCCAGAGGCGTTGCAGTGCCGGCAAGGCTCTCGTGCGTGCTGGGGGGGTTAAGGATGTTGCTGAGAGAACTGGTTGGCTTGTTGGCATCGGCTTGGGCCGCAGCCTCAGCCTCAAGCTTGGCCGCAATTTCCTTGGCTTGATTGCGTTCTTCGATGATCTTGCTCGGCTCTTGGCCAGGTAATGTGCCAGCCACATCCACGTAAACCTTGGAATAACAATCGTTGATCAAATCATCAATTCCAGCGGCCTTCATCAGATTGGCGTTCAGTTTCTTTAGCTCAATAGCTTCTTTCATGCAGTTAAATGCTGGTACATTCGCCTCATCGCGAGCGGCCCACTCCGTGATTCTCTCGCTTATGATTTCAAATTCTTCGGTAGACAGAGACTTGAACGCATCGTCTGTAAGATGTGGAATGTTGTGGGCCTCTCTCAGAAGCTTGAGATACGCGTTGCAGCAAGATTGCCACAGGTCGACAAAGTGATAGAAGTCGGCTCCCTTTTTCCGCAGACGGCGAAGCAGCTGTTCCAGATTTGACTTATCTGACATGATCACGAGCAGTTTTGTCATGAATCGGACGTATTGTTCAGTAAAAACGTGGTGACGGCCTGGACGTTCAGCATCGCATTTCCACACATTCATGACCATTGTCTTTGTAAACATATTCTCCTTCAAGATTGCAAAGGCTGCCTGAGCCGCCACCTTGATGTCACTAACTTGCTCCAGGCTGGCCTCGTCAAACAGGATCTTCGCATGGCGCGCCACAATCCGGTGTTGCCAGTTAGACTTATCTTTCTCCTTGAGCTTCACGAGGCTTGGGATGATGTATTCTTCCCAATCTTCGGGCTCTGTAAAAGAAGCAAAGATGTCATCGGGCTTGAACTGCACGCCAAACGGCTGCTCTGATAGCAGTTCAGCAGCTTCCTTGGCAGGAAGATCGCCTCGCATAACCAGTTTGTGTGCAATCGACACAATCTTGTAATGCGGCTCGAGGATCGGATCGCTGCTTCGAGATTTCCTCGCGTTGTAAGCCACGTTAACCGCATCCTTTAGCGCCTTGAGCAGCGTTGTCAGCTCGATTCTGCTGTGCATGTCTTTGCTATCCAGTTCTTCTTCCGGCGTCTGGTACATCTTCCAGTAGCACTTGGCCAGCATATAGGGGTTCCTAATCTATTGTTAGCACTATTGAAATCACCAGCCTAGCTTCGTTTACTCGATACTTACTTCCAGTTGCCAGGTTTACGTTCCATAGCCATTCTGAACATTTTGGCCGCAAACTTCCACACTTTGTACTCAGTCATTTGTTCATGTAAAATCCGTTTAAATGTCCCAGCTCCCATGTTTTGGATAAAGAATCGCTCCTGATCGGAATGTTGAAAGGGCTCCATAGCAAATGGTTCTCGACTAGAAGCGTACAGGCGCATTCCGAACTTATGATAGAGGTCGTGCAAGGGGTCCTCGTCTTTACCCTCAATGTCTTGATACCTTGAATGCGACAATGCAAGCGTATAGCAGTGGATAGCATTTCTCTGGAATTTGACCAATTCCGCCCGATCTTTGTTCATTTTATCGGCCGTCCACAGCACAGCTTCGTCCAAGTCATAGTCAAAGCACTCAGCCAGCCGGAACCACGATTCCCAGCTGTCGGAGCTAAACTGTAGCTGTAGTCTTAGGAAAGTCGCTCCGATTCGAAGATCGTCTGTTGCGCCTGGTGTCTGTCGTCGATTCAAGTCAACAGCTTTGAACTTGGTTAATGCTATCATCCCAAGTAGGAAAAACCAGCCGTGCTTGGCCAAGGCAGCTTCTGGTGTGTTCGTTGATACTGCATCCACTGACACCTCTCCAACCAACGCTTGATAAAGTCGGAGGGGATGAATGGGTTTCTTTACCAGTTCGGTAAAGTTGCGTAGGTTGTGAATCATCTGCGGCGTAGACTTCGGTTGGCCGATGGTCTGTTGCATATGCTCAATCGCGGCTTTGAGGTCCGACTTCAAAAGATCCTTCATCGGCATGCGGTTTGCCAGAATCATGACCTTTTCCACGAGCTGCATTGTCTGGCGCTTCTCGAGCTTCTCAGGCGGACAGCCATGGTCTTGAACTTCCCACACTCCCACTCCAAGCTTAAGTCCGTAAAGATCATAAACCACCTGCCCAAGATAGTCTTCCCAATTCTCAGTGTTTTTATTCTGGAGAAGCTCCATGCGCATGACTTTGAGGAAGATCTTGTTGGACGCTTTGCAGCATTTCCGGAGACCAATAACCTGATGAATGGCAGCAAGGAAATCTGCCAGGTCCTTTTCCGGAGCAATGGGGTTATGTAGAGGAAGGCCTGCCCTGAACATGGTGAATTGAAGACACCAAGTGCGTACTTGCATTTCTCGTAGCTTGGCGATGAGAGACTGGAAGGTGGAGTTTGAAGACGGCGCCGTCTTGAGTCCTGTCTTGATCTCATCCTCACACAAGAATGCAACGTGCAAGATGGAACTCACTTTCGCGATAGCACTGCAGCTTGATTTGAGGTGATCGTCGTCGATAATGTCAAATACAGAACTGTCATTCAAGGCCAATGTCAATGCTTGAATCAGCAACTCGTCCAGAGACTTTAGAGTCCTCATGTAGAGAAGCAGGCGGGATTCATCTGGCAGCTTGGCATACTTTTCGCTCTCCAAATCCGCCACAATAAGCTCTATACTCCTGAGAAGGCACGAAAATCTCTTTGTGGTGTATTTTATGGCTTCATAAGCGTCACCAAGTCGTGACCAGAGGAACAATCTTAACTCTGTGCTGCTGCTACGCAGAAATTTCCATAGGTCACGCATGCCTTGAGTAGCACAGTCTGATATGCGTTGCGTGCCTTTCTGCTCTTCTGAGTCAGATGATGGAGAAGCATCAGCATCCGTCGCATCATGGTCCTCTGAGGATACACAGACAGATGAAGGGTTAAGAACAGGCTCCAGAGTTTCAATAACGTGAACGGGGCTTTCCATCCCTTCCTGGAAAAGACTGAGGAAAAAGTCCATAGTAGTAAGCTTCGATATCTCTCGATCTGCGGCAGCTGGAGAAATTGTCGGCATAACTACATTGTTTGGAAGGGCCAGCGCGTCAATTTCCTCTTCCGCTAGGAAATCGCGAAGCGAGGTCCATAACAGAAGAATATGCTCTCGAACCGGGTTGTCGGACAGCGATGACACCATGACAGATGCCCATAAGAACCTGACACAGAGAGGATCCGTTGCAGGCCGGTTCATTAAGCCCACATAAGCCGATGCTATATCTAGCCATCGCTGGAGCCGATACTTGGTCTCCATACGAGTTGCATAGTCCACAGCGCTGCTAGGGTTGGTGATTCGCTCGTAAATATCGATGTAAAGTTCAAATATCATGGGGATTAGGGATTCCAATTCTGCAAGAGTTTCAGGAGAAGGATTTTCATTCAGTTCACCCGAAATGTGCCTGTATAAAGAGGAGTCGGCGGTATTCAACATCTGAACCACTGCGGTTTTCATACCGTCCGGCCACTTGAAAGAAGCGTAGCTGGAGCTTATTGTTTTCATCCACTCGAAAACAATGTCGTGGCTCGTCATCTGCTCGTGTCTCTCCTCCACCTGTTGGGCAAAATCTCTTAAGCCCTTGGCTTCATTGAAGGGAATGTTTACGGCCTGATCTTGAGATCCAGTTTTGGCATGTTCTAAAAAGGAAGAAAGCCCCAAAGTTGCCTGCTCCTTTTTATTAAGAAACACCATTGCGACATCCTCCTTGAAGTCGGTTATTAGAGTGCGCAAGTCCTTGGCTCCAGTTCGGGTAGATTTGGACGACAAACGATCTTCTGCAGCACAAAGATTCAGAATCTCATCCAGATATTCATAAGTCCCTTTGTCTTCAACGCCAATCGCCTCGAGCATATTTTTTGTCATGGTAAAAAGGTGTTGGTCAGCCTCTTGAAAGGGGCGTAGCTGATTCGCTATCAGCGTATTTGGGTCAGGGGCTTCTTCAGCAGCCTGGGCTGTTTCTGCTCTTCGGCGGACTCTCTTGCTTCTCTTTTCAGTCACATTTTCCTCATCAGCACCATCCGGTAGCCCTGCAGTCGACTGCGATCGCTTCCTGGCCGCCTGCGTTGCACTGGACTCTTTTTGCGTCGCATCGCCTTTTGTAGTATCATCGGCGACCTCAGATAATTGACTCTCTTTTGTATCCAACGGCGGTGTTGCAGATGACTTCTCTTTATCATCATTCTCATCAGTAGCTTTTTTGTCACTGTGAAAGGCGTCGTTTTCAGGTTCGTTGGTAGCGTCTGCTCGCGATTCTTCCATGTCTGTATCCCGCTTAGCTGTTTCCAAGATCAGCCTGCAGATCTCCAAAGCGCCCTTTGTATTTTCAGCACACTTCATGAGTTGAAACCCAAGGTCAGCCCATGACTCAACAGGCTTGTCAGAGGTCTGAAAGTCGCTTGACACAGAAAGGGCCTCATCGTCATTATCGGCGAGTAGAAGTTTGCTGCTATTTTGTAGCTCTGGCGGAACTAAGAGCGTCGAAGTCGGGTCAGGTAGAAATGGTATTGGGTCAACATGTTGTTTCAGAAGAGATGGCAGTTTTTTCTTCAGCCAAGGTGCCATTGCAGGATGCGACAGTGCCATTTCATCTCCAAGAAGATTCAAGTACAACTTGAGCTGCTCCCCCGCCAAGCTCTCGGCGAGAGAAGGGGGCTCAACTTCCATGACAGCCGGGTCATCATCCAGCTCTATTGCAGCTTCTAGGCAATATCTCTTGATTCTTCCGCTATTCATTGCGCCGGCAAACCTCGCCACCTTTCTCCACAGCTCTGGGTCTGAAGGGTCTTGATCCAGCGCCGCGGTCCAGCTATCGAGAACTTTATTGCCCTCGTCGCTGCGATAGTCTATCTGGAGCCTCTTACTCCATTCGGGGCTAGTCGCATGTTCGTCTTTTAATTTATCCAAGTAAAATTGCCCATGATTCTTATAGGAGAGGTAAAGCGCAAGAGCCAGGCTGGCAGCCACTCCGTCGGCGCCGCCTGCGGCCACATCGAGGCCGTCAGCAAAGGCTTCGAGTGCCGAAGTTGAGGCCTGTCCATTCGCCTGTAATTCTGTCCTCTCGTATTCGGTTTTTGCCTCTCGGTACTTGAATATTTCCGACTCGAAAAGTTCGTCGTAGGCTGCACTGGCGGCTTCGCGGGACCGCAGGCCTTGGGCGTGGAGCTTCAGCGCATTCTGAAATCGCTTGAGAGCTTCGTCGACCTGCACGAGGCATGAGCATTAGTGATATGACAGCGTGGCTCCCATATCAACTTACATGGAGCTCCTTGGTGGTGTCGATTTGCTCGTCGATGTTTTCCTCGGGCTCGAGGTTGATGGCCTGGAAGGCGGGCTGCAGCAAAGGGTCAGCTTGGCTTGGACGCCTACAAAGGAGGCAATTGAGGACACACCATGATCGCAAGCGATATGCGGGCACTGGCAGAAGCAGCATTCGCAGTCTTGTCAGATACAGGCGGGTGGATGGCGAGGCTTCATCGGGCTCTCAGCAATGACGTTTCATGCGAACCGCGTCGCGTTGAGTCGGTGCAACTGAAGCGATAAGATTGCGGCCACAGCTACAGCAATGTACGTACTTCACTCAAGGCGAGCTGTCGATTAAAGCGCCAGCGCTTACACGGCTGGAGCCACTGCTTACACGGCTGGAGCCACTGCTTCAAGCTAGCCCAGCGCTAAAGGTCACTGTAATTGAGGGAGACGGCACTCATTAGCTGACTAAGGTGCAGCGTCTCCAGCGCCAATTATAGGCACCTCAGCGCTATCGGGCTCCCAATCTCCGTGCCTTGTTTGATGGGCTCCACGTGCAGGCGCAGGGCGAGGCTGGTCATACGTGGTCAAGTATGGGCTCCGGGCCAAGGAATCCCTGTTCGAAGCTCTCAATAACAGCTCCTCCAAGCCTCGGTTTGCGCAACGACTGCTGCGCTCTTTGGCCTCGCGACTCCTTTCTGTCGCTTGCATAACTGGCTGAAGCTCAATTCCTTCACGCAAGCTCCAGCCCATTGACCTCGCAATTGCGAGCGCTTGTTTGCCGCCATGGCTGCGGAAGAGCTGCTTGATCCAGCAGTGCCTGAGTGAGCCCCTCCTGATTACGAGGCACGCCGCAGCCAGAGTGTCTGTCTAACTCTGGGCCAGATTATCAGAGGAAGTCCTACACGAGTCGATTGACGCCCGAACAGAGTCGCTAGCAACACTACGAGAGCTGGGCCCGCCGGACCTGGTGCATCTCGTAAAGCAGTCCACGCGCGATGCGCGGAAGCAGGTTAGCAACGAGACAATCACAGGAGACGAGACAAACAGCTAAGAGAGTAAACACAGACCGGCGTCTACCATCATGTTACCGGTGTAGATGCGTCGTCTTCGGCCAGTCTTGCAGCCTACATCAATACTCTGACATACGGGGACCACAGCCCGAACGCAGTCAGCAAGGTCGTCGCGGGTGTGTTTTGGTAGGTGACAAGACGATGCGGGCCGCTGCCTAAACGAGTCCATGGCCACGCGGGTGCTAACAATAACAAAGCTGCTACAATGCCTTTTCAAGATTGGACATGCGGGTGCACGTGTCTTACCCCGGAACGGTCGAGAGCTATTGCGTTGACGAGCGAGGCGACAAGCGAAAGGCTTCGGATGATATGTGGCTAGAGACATATCTTTGCAGCGTCCTAAGGGCTTATTCATATGCCGATGATGGCAGCGGGAGCAGTATTCGCAAAATCGTCGGCGTCCGAAGATTCAACCCTGTTACAAAAACCGAAACCGAGCATCGCTTCCTTAACGCGGCCGAACAGCTCTTCTTTAGGGGTATGGCACCCGGCGGATCGTTGACTTCAGACGACATAGAGGACTAATATTTTCACACAGGTTGGCAATTGGGATCTGATTCCATCGTCCAAGTTCCCACGAATGTATCAAATCATCTGACTACTGGGCTGCTAAAGTACCTCGAGACAACAGGACGCTATGCATCTGGGATCAATCTTTTTGAGAAGCTTCGTACTCAGAGTGTCGAAGTCGCCTCTTTGCTGGCAAAAGTGCTTTTCATGGGTAACGAGGAAGTTTTGGGAGTCAAAATTCTGCACGAATCTCTTCAGCACACTCCGATGGATTACGTTATGCTTGACACTCAGGCCGATTTTCTGCTAAAGAAAGCCCAAAAGGCCGACACACCGGAGGTGAAAGAGGAGAGACTGAAAATGGCTCTTGGATGTGCTGACCGCAGCACGATAGCTGCTCCGAGCGAGTTCAGTACTTGGGCCCGTTTGGCCCAGGTATACGTTGCGATGGAAGACTGGGAAAACGCCTTGACTATACTCAATTCTTGCCCCATGTTTACCTACCAAGACAAGGATTCTCCCATGATGCCCGAGCCGAGGGATGTTCACCTCCCTACTATGCCTGAGACTCGCCTGGACGAGATTGACAGCGAGCCTGAGTCAAGATACTCAGAGCAAGTCGATCCGAGCCTGCTGAACCTGAGGGCGGCGTCTTATCGCGGCACATTCAAGAAAGCGTACGGCATTTTGACGGAAATGACAGCCAAGATCGGCTGGGATCAGCTTCTCAAGATACGCAGCAACGTCTTCGTCATGGAAGACGAATACCGCACCGAGAAGCAAGAAGCTACCCAAGCTGCTCAGCCAAAACGCACTCCGAGTATGGACGGCCTCAGGGGCACGCCAGACCCTACCAACAATGGAGATGAAGGTTCAGATGATGAGGGCGAGAAGTCCTCCGAAGCCGCAACTACACTGGTTCCCAATGGAGAAGGCAGTGGAGTTGAAAAACCTTCCAGTACAATTGATCCAGAAGAGGTCAAGGCCGATACAACTGAAAACGTAAGCCAAGCGTGACACGTTGACAAATGATCATAGCCTACTGACACGACAACTGCGTAGGGCACCCATGCTGATGACCACCTCTCCAAACTTAATACGAAACGGTTATGTGAGCGTTGGCTTGATAGCTTGTTCATGGTCCTGTACGAAGATTTGCGTGTGTACACAATCTGGCGCACGCAAATGGCCCAGTATCGCGCCCAGCAAATGCAGTATAAGAAATCGGCAGAAGAGTGGGAGATTCTTGGCTCGCTCGCGGAGCGACTGCAGCACTTTGACGAAGCAGCCGAGGCATACCGGGCTTGTCTTTCCCTGCGCTTCAGCCCCAAGGCCTTGACCGGCGTCATGCGCGTCTTTGAAAAGACCAAGAGCACGAGGGACACAGTGGCCGCACTGATTAGACTTGTCACTTGGCAGTATAGGTGGTACAGCCAGTTCAGCCCGGAGCTGCTGCGCACCATGCGCATATTGATCGAGGACGAGGGGGCCTTGAAGGTGAGGAGCATCGTCCAGGCAACAAGCCTGCCGCAAGATGTGATCACATTGACACACTCCTACGCGGCTCTATTTGTTAATTTCCATAGCAGTGGTACAGATGGTTAAGGGGTTACGGAATTGGTTGCAAAGCGGTGCTGGCTGGGGTTATCGATTGGCGGTTATGTGTGATCAAAAGCATGTTTTAAAGTTGGTACAAGCGATCAGTAGGCAGCCGGAGGTTTCTAGTGGAGTGCCATCAATATCAATATCAATTATTGTGCAGATGCTGGACGGGATGAGGTGCACTTGAAGATGCTTATATAATAAAATCAATGCTTTATCCTTTGTCTCAGCTAAGGACGTCACCGCGGGGCAGCTTTTCTACCTTCTTTGCTACTAAAAATTTGACCCGCCAAGCTCCTGTCAACCTCATTTCTAAGCATCCTGACTTGGGTTTCTCTCGGCGCATCGGTTTACGACGTAGAAAAGCCTATCAAATCAGTCTCCAGAATGGCCTCATCATCGACTGGCGGCGCACCGTCGATTTCGGCGACGTCGCCTCCCGCCATTGTCTGCGTAGGCATGGCAGGCAAGCCTTCACTCCCTCAAGCTGTCCAACATCGCAAATATCTAACACCCTTGTCTTGCAAAATATAGGCTCGGGCAAGACGACTTTTATGCAGAGAATCAACGCGCATCTTCACTCAAAGAACACACCGCCCTATGTCATTAACCTGGACCCCGCGGTTCTCAACGTTCCCTTCGACAGCAACATCGATATTCGAGACTCGGTCAATTATGAAGAAGTCATGAAGCAGTACAATCTAGGACCCAACGGAGGCATCTTGACGTCGCTAAACCTCTTCGCCACAAAGGTCGACCAGATTGTCAACTTACTGGAGAAGCGCGCCAAGCCCGACCCCGAACACCCGGAGCGCAAGCCCATTGACCGGATCCTCGTCGACACCCCTGGCCAGATTGAAGCTTTCGTATGGTCTGCTTCAGGAACCATTCTTCTCGAATCTCTCGCATCAGCCTTTCCTACCGTTATTGCCTACATCATTGATACCCCGCGAACTGCTTCAACGTCTACATTCATGTCCAACATGCTCTACGCCTGCTCCATTCTATACAAAACAAAGCTACCTATGATCCTCGTCTTCAACAAGACTGATGTCAAGGATGCTTCATTCGCCAAAGAGTGGATGACGGACTTTGAAGCATTCCAAGAAGCTCTGCGCCGCGACGAGAACTCTGATACATTCGGCGGACAAGAAGGGTTCGGAAGCGGTGGCAGCGGCTACATGGGCAGCCTGCTCAACTCGATGAGCCTGGTGCTGGAGGAGTTTTATTCAAATCTCAGTATGGTGGGGGTCAGTTCAAGAATGGGAACTGGCATCGACGAGTTCTTTGAGGCTGTGGAAGAGAAGAGGAAAGAGTTCTTGGAGGATTACCTGCCCGAGCTGGAACGACGACGAGAAGAGCGAGAGGAACGAAAGAAGAAGACTCGCCAGGAGGAGCTGGACAAGATGATGCAGGGCATGTCTGTTGTCGCCAACGACGCAGCGGAGAGGAAGCCTATCCAGGTCAATGACGACGACGTGGATGTCCCCAGCGATGCCGACTCTGGCGATGACGACGACGACGACGAAACGACCAAGGAGGGCCTGCAGGCGAGGTACGCCGCTGCTATGGATGGCAAGGACGAAGGCATCTTGGGTGACGCGAGTTTTGCCAAGTACTTGCACACGCAGCGGTAACGAACGGGCTTATCAGAAGCCACACATGCACACAATGGTAGTTTAGGCGTTTTGTTTGGAAAAGTCGAGCGAAAAACACAAAGATATAAAAAAGGGGTCTCGGTTATCATGATTTCAAAGATGAAAACAAGGCTGACCTCTGAGAGGTCAGTACTTTGGGAGATTTGAGAGAAGAAGGGGCGCATATCTGCAAAAAGTAAAAGTAATATCAAAGTCAAATGTAAATTTAAATTTCCCAAGTACTAAAAGTTTCTCTGACTCCTTGATTAATCCCTTGTTGTATCCCAAAAACTCCTCGAGTGTGTAATCTATGGTTTTGTCGCTTTTTCTTTAGATTCAGTTGCTTTCGTCTCTCTCCATGCCGTGTCAAATGTTTCTCTTCTGCCCACTCATCCCATCTATCGGGCCTCGAATTGCACCATTCTACCATCAACCCCCTAAAGTCAGCCTCACATCCATCTCCTCAGCTTGCAAAGGCGAACTCACCGCTTGGTACGCTCCTTGTAGAGCACCCGGCCAGCGCAGTGCGGGCAGGCAACGAGCGCATCCTTGCTAAGGGTGACGTTGCCGCCGCAGTCGCCGCAGATGTAGGTCATGACGGCGCGGCTGTCGTGACGCTCGCCGCCGGTTGCGCCGCGGGTCATGGCGCCGGCGGAGGAGGCGCCGGAGGTGGTTGGGACTTGGTACTCTTCGCGAGGCATTTTGAACGGTGAACGGGGTTGTATTTGGGAGAGGGCGATGGGGTGACGGATGGATGGGTGGCTGTTTATGATGGCGTTGGCGAGATGGCGGGAGTTTGGGGGAGAGAAAATAGTGGCGGTGGAGGAGAATTTTGTCCGGCAGAATTGGGCGGTGAGGGGAGCTTACATAGATGTGATGAAGCAGCCGTGTGTGGTGAGTGCAGGTGGAAAATCAGAAGATGGAATTCATTAAGATGCTTTCTTTTTGATGCATCAATTTAATTTATTGTAAGAAATAGATCAATCATGTAGAACTGTACATTTAATGATACGCATTGCCAGTTTTACCTAGATGTTGTTGCTAGCAACGAGCTGCCCTGCTTCACTTAGTAATGCGCGCCCAATCATAGCTGATGCTGCAACAGGCCGCACTATACCTCGGCAAAGTGGACGCTGCACCCCAGGCTCTGTCATACATATGCCTGGAGATGAATTATCTGCAGCAGTTCGTGCGATAACCGTGAAAGCCGACTGTCGCGAATTGGTCCAACACGAGAGAGAAGGAGCGCAAAGAGGGCAGTGCTTTATTGGAGTCCGAGCTTTTGCAGGGTTCATCACTGTGGTGACTGTCGTTGTTAGCCGGCCGAGCGTTGGTTTCGAGGCTGTATCATGCGATTCTGGCCGAGCTAAAGAAGTGCAGAGCGACGAACACGATCTGCGACGACTCAATCCGGACTTGATTTCCTGTCACCTTCATCATCAATCTCCTCTGTCATCAGTCTGCACATTTACGCGATACCACTCCAGCATTCATTGATTGATTAGGAATACATCTACCACTATACACAAGTTCGGTCACATCAACACCAAAACAATGGACAGACGGGCAGCAAGATCGCAACACCATCACCACCACCAATCCGCCGAGATGCACTCTTCCTTCGACCCGTCTCTCCCGCCTCCCACCGTCCGCGAAGAGGACTGCCCCTTCTGCGCCATCGCGGCCGCCCACCCGCCCTTCAGCGCCATCAACCCGCCGCACCCATTCCCGTCCAACCTCACCGAGCCGGCGTCCTTTGTGGTGCTGTCCACGCCCACGGCCATTGCCTTCCTCGACATCCTGCCTCTCAGCCACGGCCACCTGCTGCTGTGCACGCGCGCGCACCGCCCGAAGCTCACCGACGTGACCAACCCGGAGGCGCGCGAGCTGGGCAGCTACATCCGCCTGCTGTCCGCGGCGCTGGTGCGCGCGACGGGCATCGCCGACTGGAACGTGGTGCAGAACAACGGCGCGGCGGCGGCCCAGGTCGTGCCGCACATGCACTACCACTTGATCCCGCGGCCGGAGATTCGCGCGAGTGGCCGGTATCGCGAGAGTTTCACCATGTTTGGGAGGGGCCAGAGGGAGGAACTGGATGAGGATGAGGCGGAGCAGTTGGCGGAGGAGCTGAGGCAGCAGATTGCGGATATACTGAGGGAGGAGGAGGATGATCGGGAGAGGAGGAAGAAGCATTCGCAGAAACTGTGATGGGCGCACTTTTTTACAAGATTATTGTGTTGGTTTTGGTCTTTTATTCTTCTTCCAGCGGCATACATATGATGGCCGGAGAGCGATTAGAGTGTTTTTTGAGCCTGCTTAGAACAGATAGAATAGCTGTCGTTACGAGCGTTGAAGCCGTGGTATATATATTATTTCGTTGAATTGAATGGATATACATCAAGTAAATCAAAGGTTTACTTTCTTATTAGCCGCCAGGCTGTCGTTAACTACTTATCATAAAGGCGTTGATGCTGGACAGACTTTGACCATAATATGAAATAGGAAGACTTGGAATCTCTATTCTGTAAGAATTTGTCAAACAATACGGAGTCAATATCTTCTATGAAACAATGGATTATCCTGAACATCTCACCATTTCATGACGTTTCGTATTGTGAAAGCCTAATATCGCATCACCAGGATCAGCACATCACGAAACACACATCTTCACAAAGACCACTCACTCAATCAAATTCCCATCCGGATCCCTCACATAAACACTCCTAATCCTCCCCACCGCCCCCGTCCTCGCAACAACCTTCCCGCCCTCCAAAACCTCCACGCCATCCCTCTCAAAGCCCTCCCTCACCTCATCTAAATCCACGCCCTCTTCCACCAAGAAGCACAGATCCGCCGTGCCAGGCAGCGCAGTCAACGCCTTGGGCTCGAATTCCTTGCCCTTTTCGTGCAGGTTAATCTTCTGCGTGCCGAACTTGAGGGCCACGCGCTGCGTATTGGGAGTGGCGGGCGGCGTGAAGACGTCTTGCTTCATGCCGAGGTATTTGGTGTACCAGGAGACGGTTCGGGGGATGGAGGCGCAGGTGAGGACGAGGTGGTCGAGGGACTTGACGGCTGCGAGGGCGCGGGACATGATGAAGCAGGGTGAGAAGTAGATATATAAAAGGAAATAATTGAATGCTCAAATTGAAATAGTGCACTGCGCTGGATTCTTAAGCAATCGGGATGCTCACAAGATGAAGCAACCAGTCCGGATATAAGGAGAAAGAGGTGGCACACACTCTATTTCGCGCTGCCCCACGCACGCCGATTGATCTAATCGGCTCTTTGCCGTCTCACTTCATCCTTTTACACGGCATTCCAATAATATTCATTGTAGTGGTCGGATAGTATGAGCCAGAGCAGCAGCCGAGCTTGGAGACTTGGGTGAAGAGTACATGTAGTAGGTAGATGGCTACTCCCTCCAACTTATGTCCATGCGTATATATCGTTCAGATGGCTTTGACGTAATTATATGCATAAATTTGAATCTCTAGAAGGTAATATTTTCTAAACTTAGGGAATCGTAGTCCATCTGCGATGTATTAGTTTATGGACCTTTTCTCGTCATATCCCAGCCTAATCATTCTCAGGCAATATAGCATTCGATCCCATCATCTCATCTCACCTTACGTACATAACACTCCCCTAAACAAAATATCTAGCCAAAAAACATTCAAAGGGTTGTTTCACCAAAGCACAGGTACCTGCTCGCTTATTAAACGCATATAACCGTAGGATCTGCTCTCTTGCCAAGGCCATTCCAAGAAGCCGACTTTAGGTATCGGAACATGATCCGGCACGGGCCGAAATCAGCAAGAGCACCGCGAGCCCAAGCGCACGTCCAATTCCCGGGCACACAAAAGCCATCCAAAGCTTGCATTAAAAGATCAAAATAATTAAGAAAAGAAGAGTCCATATCGGCGGGCAATACGTTTCTTTATTTTCAGAATTGCGAGATACGCAATGTCAGATACGAATCATTACCTAAATGACCGAGAGGGCCTGTTATCCCCATCCAAATCCATGCCTTATCCTAGGTACCTAGATGCCCATCATCAAATCGCCAGCCAAAGTGCGCGGAACCGCTCCCGCCCTTTTAGCAGTCCTGCGCGCAGCTCCGAAGACTACCTAACTAACCAATTGTACGTCTCTTTGTTTTTCATACAGGTAGTTTCCTTTACTCGTCGCCTCCGGCAGTGACAGCCTTGGGCTCCGGTGTGTCTGTCGCTGCAGGGACTTCAGACACCTTGACGTCCTTGGCGGCAGCATCGGCTGCGTCCTCGGTAGCGTCTTCCTCTGCCTCATCTTCCTCGGCCTCTTCGGCATCGTCCTCTGCGGCCTTCTCCTCTTCCACCTCTTGCGCGTCTTCCTCGTCGGCAGCTTCGCCGTTGTCGACGTCTTCCTCCTCAGCGGTCTTGCGCTTCTTGTGTGGTGGTTGAGCGCCTGGTTGCGTGTTAGCCTTGGCGTCGCCTCAATGACCTTGACTCGGAGAAAGCCGTAGCGGCAGCAGAAGCGCTATCTATCCGCAGCGGCGTGCGCCTAGTTGCAATGCCGCAAGCTTCAAGAGCTATTGTACTGCTGTCGCCAGCATGAATCCGGGTAGCTTCAACTCACCATTCACTGGGGCCTCTGCATCTCCAGCTTCGCCGTCACCCTCTTCCTCATCCTCCTCATCAACGTCCTCTTCTTCCTCGTCGGCGTCGTCATCGTCGCCTTCTTCTTCATCTCCAGTGGAGATGTATCTGCCAGAATAGTTAGCACAATTGCATCCAGTAGGATTTCCAGCGATCAGCGAACTGCAGACGGCAACCTTGCGACAGAGAGGGCGGGCGCGGAAGAGGCTGGGAAAGCTGCTATAGCTACCTCCAGCATGGTGCCAGAATGCAAGGTGGGCTGTGCGAAAGGCTGCCGGCAGCAACCTCAATTGGCGGCGAGCGCACCTCGCTCAAGGGCAAAACCATGGCCATAAGGCAAAACAGGGCGTGTCAATCACTTACTCTTCTTCCTCTTCTCCATCATCCTCTTCAGGGAGAGAGACGAGCTCCTCCTCGTCCTCCTCGTCACGGGTGCGCTTTCGGGTAGACATGGTATGTGATGGCTTGTATAAGACGGATGGGCACGGAACAGAGACACAGAGTAGACTGAAGGGTGCAATTGAGGATATCGAGACGTGATCGAGGATCGTAGGGCAAAAAGCTCGGGGGGAGTGGACGCCTTTTATACGTGAGACGGATCAAAGAGAGAGAGGAAGAGAGGGAAGGGGAAAAAAGGAAGACCAGGTAGGGGAGCCAGACAAAGAGCGAGAGAGCAGAGCGCGCGACAGAGAGCTGGAGGGAGGGGGAGCCTTCTCCGTCTCAGTCTTACTGCAACTGGGCTGGCTGCTAGGCAAGGTCAGGAAAAGTGAGGTAAGGTTAGGTAGGGGAGCTGCTACAGTGGTAGTGCTAAATGCAAAGGCGGCGGTACAGCTGGCGAGGCTCTGCGGTCTGCGAAGGCTCCATGTGTAGACTTGTACTCGGATAACGCAGGCAAGGTACCGGCGAGCGCTCGGCCTTGGGGTCGCATCGCCCATATCTCAGCGAGTCTGGCTGGCGTCGTCACTGGCGGAGTGACATACCCGCTGCTTGGGGTGGAGTAGGGATGGACTTTAGTACATGTAGGCCCGGCGAGACAAAGGACGAAAAGAGCACGAGCCTTTGATGTAGGTACGGAGGAGGGGAGCCAGAGCCAGAGCCAGAGCCAGAGCCAGACTCGAGTCGCCCAGCCACGCCCAGCCCAGCCTGGTCATCGCCTGCGAGCGAGCCTCTCCTCTCCAGCAGCAAACCTGCACCGCAACGACCAGAATCCTCCGCTGGAGGGCGTGGACGTAGCGGGGCTGGAGCTGTGGCCCTCCGGCGACTGGAGCAGCGCGAGAGCTCTGCCGGCCACTCACAGCCGCAGGAGGCGCGCCAGGGTGAGCTCCGCGCTGGCTAAGACTTGCATGCGATCTAGGATCACGCCCACGGGGTCTCGTAGGGTGCTCCAGCTTTTCTTACCTTATTCCGCAAACGGGGCTGATGAGCAAGACGCTGCCCTTGGCTGAACCTCACGAGAAGCTTGAAAGCCGGGTGGACGCTGCTGGTACCTCGAGCCTGGGCTCCGTCGCGCCGTGCTTCGGCTCCACGCTCGAGGCTCCTCCAAAGGTACATGCGATTCTGCACGACAAAGCAAGGCTCACGCCCCCGTTCCGATGTTGGGAGGTTCCGGCTTTGGGAGCAGAAGCAGCCTGAGTTGTCTGCAGACCCTCATGTACTTGCCGTACCTGTCTGTCTGAAGCTGTACCGTGCTGTACACAGAGACACGTCCATCCACGAACTCACTCCCTCAGAAACTGAGGCGTAGGATGGATTACAAAACAGCACTGCGTAAGAGCGACGGATACCGGAAATCTTAGTGTACGTACCTGCAGCCGCGTGCTACGCTGGACGGAGCCGTCGAGCGTCATCGATCAGCAACAATTGTATCATGCCACGTGACTCCCATGGCTGTGCTGCTCAGCGCTACTTCCATTGATGCTCTCGTCTCGTCCTCAGACCGTCGCACGAAATAACGCGGCAGATCCAGGCCAGATCAGACCAGCATCTGCTAAACCCCAAAAATGGCCCCGGGTGCTAATTTCCAAGCTGCAGCGCCCAACCTCAGCCGTAGTCTCAGTGCGCGCTTCGCTAGAACTACCTTCGTGCTGACCGCCATCGAACCCCATTGGCGCGACAAAATGCGAGAAAAGTGGAAGAACGAAGAGATAACAAAAAAGAAGGGGAAATCGGCGAGCTAGGAAAGGGGCAAAACGAGCAACAAAGCAAAGCCGCGCGACTGCATTCCACCTGTGGGGGGAGCTTTTCTCACTCTCCATCGTCCTCCCTCGCTTCTCTTTTTCTGTCTGTTTGCCTGTCTGTCTTCTGTCTCTCTTTTTTTTCCTCAGGGCTGCCCACCCCTGATGCAAAAGCGCAAAATGGGGTCGCCTATCGTCGGGCCGCACCAATGCACGTTGTCCTGGCTGATTTCCCCTTCCAGACACCACATTCTCTGCTATTCGGCCGTCAGCGGCACTATAACAGAGCTCCACTTGGTCCGCGGTTTTTGCCGTACAAGCGCATCCTGGGGTAATACACATGATAAATGGCCCATTGTTACCTACTCGTTACACTCATTACTCTCACTACCAGAGTAATTGCATTTACTTCGTAGACTTACACTGAAACAGGCGTCGCTTGTACTTATTTAGAGTGACAAATACGTACAGCCTCCTTTTCCCGTTGCCAGGGCTCAGCATTGGAACCTCCCTCACAAATCTCATTGGGATTGACATCTGAGATATACGTCGTGTTCTCTTTTGAATGCTTCTGCAGTAATTGCAACGTAGTTTCAATCATGACACAATACGCCCTAAATAGCTTGAAGAAGCTCATATATTGCAAGAGAGTAAGTCCATATTGGTATTGCCACATGTAACTGGGACTCGATGTGTGATGTAGGACAGCAATTTTTTATTACGCTGTCTTTTTGCTTGTAGCTTCTCTCAACACTACCGGGGGCAGTTCTGGAGACTAGGCCAATTGTAACACTGCCGCTACCGCTGTCTTCTTCTTCTATTCGGCCTTCTACAAGACGGGCATGAAAGGATTTGACATCTATTCTAGCAGCTTGGAAGTCGGTATAATTGCGATTCAGATTATGATCATCATTAGAAAGTGTTGACTATGTAGAATTATCGATGTGATTGCAATGGTATAGCTAAGGTATGCCATGACTGTTGATAATCCCTGGGTCCGCATATCCCATATCTCATCTCTGATGCTGAATGGTAACTGCATCATCCGCATAACATATTACGTGGAGCTCATTTATAAGATATAATTTACTAACTTGTAATTTTTCTAACATATCATACAAATTTTTTAGTGAATACTATGAACGGGGGAATAAAATAGGACAGAGTGCTAATAAACGTGAATAGAGGTCCGCAGAAATAGACGGCTGATGCTTTACGATAAAGTAATTTTCTGTTTTAGAAGCCAAGGTATGACATCTGTTTTCAATGTTCCTCAATATGCTCATTAAAATGGTGTTGCGCCGTTAAAGCTAAGAACTCAATGTTAACCCGAATGGGAAGACGATTCTATTGACCTGTGTAATAATTGGAGAGAGATGGTTAATATAACGCGACATAATGTGTTGAAGTTTTTCAAGGGGGTATATTGATATCAAGAGAGATTGGCAAGTCTTTCTGAAGATGGAGAGAAAAGAGCGGGATACGCTGATGACGACAGATGACGACTTCACATCGTGAATTGACTTAGCGTAGGTAGATCACTGAAACATATAACAAGACGCTGAGCCCTAATCTGAACAATTATTCTATAGTTGACATCATATTTAAGTTGCTTACTTAGGTATGAATGCTGGCTATGTTAGTAGACCATTAAGATTCAGCAGCGAGCGGCGATACTTCAAGGGAAAGCGTACATACATTGTTCGCAGCGAAGAGCCCTTACAACGAGGATGGGAAGGGTGACTTCCTAGTGGTATGGCTTTCAGCTCTTACAAGTTGCCCTATACAAATCCGTAGAGATTTGATAGGTAAGCTACCATCCAAATCTGTGCTCGGAAGTAGCAAGTAGATGTGCCATGCTTTGTCGCTATGATTGCTGTGCACTTTCTGCCGTAAAAGGAAGATTTAGAGATTATTACTGATACTGGCTATCACTATATATAAAGATGTGAAATGGTCAATTAAAACTGTAAAAATTTGCCGAGGTAGCATCTGGAGTCATGACATATAGGTGCTGGATACATCGTCAATCTAGCTTCGACGCCATACTGTTCCTGTTTTACTACGAATGTGGCAACATCAGCAGCAGCCTCAAAGCACCTGTCATGTTGTCAAGAACTGGTGGTAGTCGTTTTCTACGATAGTCGAAGCTGCTCGTGGCTTCGCCGATTTAATGCCAATGTGATGGCGTATAGTTCAGCGAGTAATATGGTACTAGGGAATGAAAGACTGGCCTTTTCCTCTCTTACTCCCCCTCCTCCCCTTGTTCATCGAAGCTGAAAACATCATAGTATTAAACCTGGTAGGGCAATTGGCGGGCTCTCATACCGCGGCCCCCATCCTGGTGGCAAGTTGTTTGTTTCGCCATGGAACTAGCTCAAGCCATGAAGGATCATCTGCATTAGAGCCAGCAGCCTCGCTGGCCACGTAGCTTCTAAGGCAACATTGTTCCTTGTTTCGGTCTCCCAGAGTCCCAAGGGAGCTGAGGTTGAGTTTGGGGGGAATCATTCGGCGTGGTGATTGGCTGATACTGCTTGTACTTGGCATGCAAGGGAGAATGAGAAAGACATGCAGAGATCGCTTAGAACTACTACAAGTATGAGTGAATGTGCGAGAAATGGATGGCGAGAAAAAGGAGATGCGGCGGTAGAGCAATCTGAGGGATAATTGTTTACTTATATCGCATCTTTTTTCTTGCATGATATCGAGCGAGATTGATAGTATCTCGAAACGAGATGAAGCGCGTGGAGATCTAAGATTGAAAGAGCAGCAGGGAGTATCGTTGGGACGAGCCTCGTCTTGAGCGGTGACCCACGTTTAAAGTCAAAATTAAGCAGCTAGTATTGAGTACTATCCAAACGCTATCTGTATCTCAAGTTGTTGTCATTTTACATTTTCATGATTGTCAATGTCGGGTTTTCTTCTCTACTCTTTGCTTCCTCCTGATCCTAGTTCTTACGGCTGGTGGCGTCTTGAGCGAAGCGAGGTAATGGATTAGGAAACAGCCAATCAATTAAGATCCTTCACAAGTCAGGTAACTGTAATGCATCCGTCGCATAAAAAAGGGCAAATAATTACATACCAGACAGTATACACGTCAATGCTCATATGTAGCGTAGCGTAGCTGTCAGAGTCGGGTCGCAATACGCGTACTGAAAAGTGCGCCGCGCCAAGCTTGCAAAGAGCTGGAGCCGCCAGTGGCTGGTTTACCTGAACCTCTAACAGCAGAACAGCCCCTAAGGATGCAAGTGATGCAAGGGAGAATGAGGGGGAGGCCTTCCATCAGTACGCCTGTATCTGCATTAGGTACCTACATGTCCGCATTCGAGCCATGAGTCAGTGGCTCGTGAAATCACCAAAAGGAGGACGCAGCACATGTCCACGCTGCCTCTGCGTACGTTACCGTATTGTGCTTTATAGCCGATTGCCAAGCGGGTGCCGACAGCAGCGATACCCGGCGAATTCTACTACCTGTAACGAGATCAGCAATATGACAAGCTGTGATATTAGCGTTTAGGGTATGTTCTTCGCGTGGTGTACCAGGGTCCATGCACGTAGTCTGTCATCTTAATAAGATCAAAAGTAAAGAACGAAAGGAGACTATCTGCAGACAAGGGAGAGAAAGGGGATTGGGGGAAAGATTGAGATTGAGTGAGAGTTGCTGGGTACATGGTAGGTGCATGTACTAAATCCGCCAAGTCGGCAAATTTACGCGTGCTCGAGTCAACTACGGAGTGACAACGGCTGGCCCGAGATGGATTAAACAACCCGTCAATGTGTAGTTGCAACAAGCAGCCGGGGTTTACGTCCTCTTGATTGGCATTTTAACAATTGAGCGGAGTGAAGCAGCTGGGCCGGAACAGGCAGAAATGCACTCCTTCAGGTATGAATGACAAAGAAATACAGCGCTGCAGCTGGAGATGGATCTACACCAGCTTGGCCCTCTGCAGCATGTGAAATATTCCCTCGAAAAGGAAAACGCCGATATACCAATGCTGCTGTTTGCTAACAGTAAACGGTGTGGTGCCTTTCTGAAAACAATAGCCTGGACTGGTACATGCTCTTGCAGCAACGGCCTCGAGCTGTGACACGACGGTGGCCAAAGTGCATGCAAAGAGGGAGTCTGTGCCTTGCATGCAAGCGTTGATACATACATAAGCTCATGACGAGGTTCATCCGAAGCTTACCTATTCTATGGAGTAAAAAGCATGACTGGAGATCGCGGGTGCCCGGAGCTCCTCTTCAGCAAATTGGGCCTGGACAGGGGCGCCCTTACAGCTGCATGCTCACCAAATGAGACGAACCGGGAGTCGATATTGGCCAGTGGAACTTTTTCTGTCTCCTTCCCTTGTCTCCAGGCCGCGATCAGCGACATCATAATGGCTATGGGAGGCCTTGAGGTTTGAGGACTGTGTTTCGCATTCCTTCTCTCCTTCTCACACGTGTCTCGGACTGAGGAAATTTGGGAGAGACAGATATGATAGATAGACAACATGAAGACACATACCTAGACAAGATGACGAGCAGACGCCATTGAGGACAGCCAACGACACCCGTAGGGCTGTGCCGAGGGCCACGCAGCCCCTTGTCGAGCTTCCATTTCCGTGGTGCGTACGGCATGAGGCGCTACTGATTTAGGCACATGAAGCTGAGAAAAACTAGCATCGGGAGAGCTGAAAAGCGAGCTTCCCAGAATCGACGACGACAGAGGTGACAACGGGCGCGATGTCAGTAATGATGACGCAGCTGACGCGGAGTTTGCACCAATCACCGGCTTGATGCATAAGCTTTGAAGATCATGAGGGAAGCGGAGATTTTTTGTTTCTGAAGCATGGCATGGCTGCGTCGTTGTTATGCGGTGCTAAGTAGCGACCAAGTGCCGAGGCGTATTGGTAAGTGTACGTGTATAGGGGAAAATGAAGTAAGTAGTAATAGAGGCCACGATGCAGCTTTTTCCCGCTCGGCTACAACTTATTACGTGTATTCCCCTATGCTGCATCAGGACGATTGATTGCTCTTGCCTGGTTTGCCCCATGCCTGCGGTAATCTGTACGTGCTCCTACTTCTATCCCGCATGCTCCAACTTCGTATTCCGAAAAACGATCCATAGAACTAAAGAAGAAGGAAAACCCAAAAGCTCCATCTGCTCTTTTTTTCTTCCTCCATGTTCCTTTAAAATTTGCATCCCCCCCGGACGATATCCACGCTAATGCGACCACAGAGCTTGCCGGCGTCAACCAGATGTGGGATTTTCGCAATTTAGGCGCTCCAAGTACGGTTATAGTGGCGGGCAGGCCAATGCAGGTCCAGTAAAACGTCAGGCCAGATGCAAGGGCCGCAGCGGTACGGATGGCCGGATGGGAGGGGTCCGGTGCGCTAAGAGCTTATTACCAGCGCCCCGGGGCAGCGGCCACTTTATGCACGCTTTGATTTGATCACTTCGTCCAGCGGGGACTGAGCTTGATTGCTTGCTTGGGCGCTGTGCTGTGCGCAGTTTCTTCTTTTCCAATTTTTTTTTTCTCTTGGCCCTGCTAGTGTCTAATAACTGGATCAAACGTTCTTTTCTTTTTCTAGTTTTTCTTAGCAGATGAAGCTAAACGGGCTAAGCTGGCTGTACCTGACCGTTACTGACCAGGGGCCAGCTCTTCCTCTCCAGGGGCTGCCCGCCCCCTGTTCCATCTCGTCTGCTGGCGCCCGGTCCAGCACTACTGTAGGCTATTGCATGAGCTCCAAAGCAGCGTGCAGCGTGCAGCGTCGAGGCCATGCCGCTGTGCGCTCCTAGGGACCTGCTGTAGGGAGCCGCCGCCCACCCACCCACTGAAGTACGTGCAGGCTACAGGCGGCATTCCCTTTTGTCGGCGCATTGCTGTTAGGCCTGCAGCCAGCCATCAGCGAGCGAGCGAATGGGTGGCGGCCGCGATATTGGATTGACGCCTTCGAATTCAGCCTGCATTCTGCCCTGAGCACCACCACAACCCCTCAAAAGCAGTGGCTCGCGTCGTTCCCCTCCCTCTCCCGCTTCTCCAAATCCTCACAACGACTGCCCATCGCCGTCTGAGGCGCTGCTGTCGGGCAAATGCCACTGGAGCCTGCAGCTGACCCAGACGCTCTACTTTCAATCCTTTTGACAGCGGGCTCCCTATAAAAGGCTGTTCCAGTTTTTTTCCCACTGCGCGGCCGGGGTATAGAATTTTGATGACGGTGACTTTTCGTCACCCCTGCTCTGCGCTGGAAGCTCGACGACACCGGCTCGACGACTTCGACGACGATAACCCGCCACAACACCAGCGGTGGGCGTGATTCGTACTGACAGAGAGCGACGAGCTACTCTTTTTTGCATCAAGCGTGCTCAAGGTATTGACGGGCCCGAGTCGGTCTGCTGTCGCGCAGGAAACCAGGCGTTTCCATCGCTCGAATCTCGCTGTTGGTCACTCTGCGCTGTAGCTGCTGTCGCACGCTATTACCGCTCCTTTGCCTGGGAAGCTTCGTCCTGTATGGCACGACTGCCTCGTTGGCCACCGCATCTCCTCTCCCTCTCTTTCTATTCTTGACTGCAGTGGAGATTTCTTGTGTGACAGGTCTGCACACCATCCTTTCTTTTTTTATCCTCGGCTTCAGCCTCAGTTGCTCTACGAAAATAGCCCGCCAGCCGCGCTCAGCTGCTCGAGGCCTAGACCGTGAGCCGAAACCGCACCAGTCTCTTCGACGACAGGTCCCCTCGCCGATTCATTTTCCGTAACAGCATCACAGTCTGCGTGCACAGGCGGCAATGGCACGGGGCAGCGCCCTTTTCAACCGCAGCATCTACGAATCCAGTCGGCGAGCATCGCCGTCGAGGCAGCGGCCTGGCCTGAGAATCTCGTGCAGCCTCACTCACAGCAGATCATCTGTACACCAGACAGCCTCACGTGCCCCCGCGGTGGCTTCATAGAGCCCGGGAAACGCCTTCAGTCGTCGCTGCTGGGCTCCTACGGCTTAACGGCAGGACATTTGATGAATTCAATGACTGTCTCCCAACCGGGCGGTGGCCACGGCCGCCAGCAGAGCCTCTCCAACCTCCAGGCATCGCACTACGCATCTCGCATGAAATCTCCTCCGGCGCCTCTGACATCGCATCCTCAGCCCAGCAACATCGACGACCGCCAACGACCGCCGCAGCTGTCCCCTATGCCGCTCTCCCCGCGCTATGACACGATCGCAAACGGCCCTCACATGATGCTGCGCAGCCCAGTGTCTCCCATACCTCCGCGATCGCCCTCGCAGAATAGCTGGTATGAGCGGTACGGCCACTTCGAGCAGGAGGCGCCCCAGCCCCAGTTCCAGCCACAGCAGCCCGTGCATCGGCATCATCACGCAGCGCCGGCATCAGCGACATATCCCGTGCGCGACATGACGACCGGCAGGAGAGGGCCGCCAGAGCCTCTGCGTCTGGATTCCACAAACGCTGTGATGACAAAGGCCATGCGCCCCGAAGTGCGCACGCCAGAGACCCCTGCCGTCGAGAACTTTTCTAGACCCCGGAAGCAGAGCGCCAGTATTAAGTCGCCCCCTGTCGGCCTAGGTAGCCTGCGGCTGGCTTACCTCCCTCCCTCGGATCGCATGCCGGAGATGACCAGCGTTTCACCTTCTCCCACGCCCTCCTGGCAACGCCCCCAACAGCCTTTCGACTCTTCAAAACCTTCACTCTCATATGCCGCCTCTCCATCTTTCCCCCCTACTGCCGAATACCAATACCTCGAATCGAGCTCTGGCCGCTCCTCCAGGAACGCGAGCGCACATCCTCATCCCTCAATTGCCGGCCATCGCCCCCAGTTTCTGGCCTACAACAACCGCATCGAAAGCTCCATCAGTGCTCCCACGCCCAGTGGGCCAGCTCCGTGGATGAGCGACGACGAACTGCGATCCAGCTTCAGGTCCCAGCTTACATCATCGTCCATTCCCGCCACTGCCTTGACTGAACGGAGCAGCGTCTTGACCAAAGACAGTTCTGTTCTGTCGCTCTACGGAGAATCAGCAGACGCAGACGCAGACGCTGACACTGACGAGCCAAGCTTGGAAGATGTTATGGGCATGTACGAGAGAGGATTCTGTGACGACGACGACGACGGCAACGACTTTGCAAACGAAGATTTTGATTCCAACACCCACACCAACAACGACTACCACCAACTAAATAACAATCACCACCACCCCTACGACGATCAATACAACATTGGCTATAGTTCTGCGTACGATTCGTACCCGCACGAGCCAGAGCCGGACTCTCTACCAAAGCTACTAGAGGAAGAGCAGGCGCAACAGCCCGAACTAGAGACAGTGCTAGAATCAGAGCTAGAGCCAACGCACGACCACGACCTCGAGCTTGAGCACGAACCTGAGCACGGGCTCGAGCACGGGCATTCCACTTTACATACACATGAGGAAGAGGTAATAGACGAAGAAGCAACAGAGGAACCAACGGAGGAAGCAATAGGGGAAGCAACAGAGGAAGAATCGGCCGAACTCCAGGACACTGTCCCTGACAACATGATTAGTGTCATGCACCGTCCTGCCACCGCCAGGTCCGAACCGGTACCTGAGCGCATTCACGATGACGAGTTTGATTCCGACCCGGTGCCTCCGGTGCCTGCTCAGCACTCTGCCCTAGATATGGAAATCAGGCAATCAAAGATGTTGTTTTCCAGCACTGCATTCACATCAACAGTGCCTGCTCTCACCCACGACCATGATCTCGACCACGACCCGGATCACGACCTGGACCAAGACCTAGAGTTTCCCGAAAATCGCAACTCGTCCAGAACGGCCGAGTCGGGTGTGGACTCAGACGGCATTCACACAAGAGGCGCCACGCCCAGCCCAGACCCTTCTCGCATTTCACCTCCCTCTGCGCCTGAATCTCGATCGGTATCCCCCTCATCGGCGCGTATCCCAGTCCCTAAGCCGGAGCTACCGGGAGCGCGTGATCGGTATGGATTCAAAAAGGAAAACCAATTCGTCACTATAGCCCAGTATGATGCTTGGGACAAGGGATACTCTCAGTACCTCGCTCGCCGGCGCAAGAAGTGGGTTTCCTACCTCAAGGACAGCGCGCTGATGACCGACCGCCCACAACGTTTCCCATCTCCGAATGCCAAGACGAAGCGTTTTGTCCGCAAAGGCATCCCGCCCGATTGGAGAGGAGCTGCGTGGTTCTACTACGCAGGCGGCCCTGCTATTCTGGCCAAGCACGGCGGTCTATACGACAAGCTGTTGTTGAGACAAGCCAAACATGTCGACGTTGAGGCCATCGAGCGTGACCTTCACCGGACGTTTCCCGACAACATCCAGTTCAAACCTTCGCAAGCCACCGCCGAGATGCTTGACACCACGACTAGCAGCGAGAGGGCAAGCCAATCCACAGTCAGAGGCGCGGCTTTGGACGGCAGCGGACCTGGCCCTGTTGGACTACAAGGCGAGCCGCCGCTCATTGCTTCGCTTCGTCGCGTTCTGCTCGCTTTTGCCGTCTACAACCCTCGCATCGGATACTGCCAGAGCCTCAACTTCATCGCCGGCCTTTTGCTTCTCTTTGTGGACACAGAGGAACAGGCATTTTGGCTGCTCAACGTCATCACCCACATCTATCTCCCTGGCACGCACGAGATGAGCCTCGAGGGCTCCAAAGTGGATCTGGGAGTATTGATGACTGAGCTCCGGGATACGATGCCTGCGGTGTGGGATAAGATTGGAGGGGAGCTCGATGGCGGCGAGCCGCTGACCAGGCCAATGACTAGCAAATCAATGTCCATGCGAAAGTCACCGCTGACGCCCTCGCCGCTGACGCTTCGACTGAAGAGGAAGGAACCTCATTTGGCGCTGTCATCCGAGCGACTTCCTCCCATTACTCTCTGCATGACTGCTTGGTTCATGAGCTGCTACATCGGGACACTGCCCATCGAGACAACGCTTCGTGTCTGGGACGTCTTCTTCTACGAGGGATCCAAGACGCTTTTCCGAGTTGCCCTGGCCATCTTCAAGCTGGGAGAAGCCGAAATCAAGGCGATTGGAGATCCGATGGAAATGTTTGGCGTGGTCCAGTCTATGCCCAGGAAGATGCTAGACGCAAACAAAGTTTTGGAGACTTGCTTCAAGAGGCGCAACGGCTTCAATCACCTCAGCCAAGAAGTGATTGAGGAGCGCCGGCAAGAACGACGTGACAAGGCCCAGCAGGATCTTCTCTTGCGGTCTCGTAGTAAAGCTGCAACGCACCACGGAGCTCATGGCAGAGACGCCGAAGGGGAGAAAAAGGGCGGTCTTTTTGGACTGAAGAAATAAAAGAAACAAAAAGCTTTTTAGCTTGGGGGAGGCTAGATTTTTGCATTGATACCACCGGCGTCTTATTTCCACTTTCGGTTTTACTTCGATTCTCATACTTTTTAATCTTCTCTTCTCTTCTTTTTTTTTCCATTTCTTCATTTCACCCATAGCACGGCAGGCGTTTGAGGGAGATGCCATCCAATGGCCCAGACAGTGGCTACGATGCATCTGCATATGAAGCATAAGCATTTTCATTCACCTCTTTTTTTCTACCTTTTCACCAGGTATTTCCGAACACAGCGTGTTTTTCTCCTTTGTTTCTTACTACCACTATCCTTAATTTTCTTCAAACTTTCCACTACTTTTCTATTATTCATACTGGCGTGTTGGTGGAATTGAAAGAGGTAGCGCTACTGTTCGATTTCACCAACATGCCATGACGACGGTTACGGCTGCGACTTGTGGCAGGACCCCCTTGTTAGAGGATCTTGGACGGATGCTTGTTGCAAATAAAACAAACAGAAGCAGAAGAGGTGGGAGAATAGAGTGCTTGAGCGAGATACATGAAAGAGATGTGCACCTTTTTTGTGTTACTTGATAATCTTGTCTGCCCTGTTTTCTACCCTTTCTCTGCTTGCTTGATTGTTTTTTTCTCTCTTATTTCTTACATCTGTGGTGCGCAGCATAGAAGGATGGGCATGTACAAAAATCTCATTGTTTCCTTTTCCTTTTCTCTTTCTTATTTTTGTGTGTTTGACTTGGATAGAATAAGGGCCAGAGTAAAAAAAAGAGCTTTTTGGGGCGGAGGAGTAATTTGGCACAAAAGACACTGGCGTGTTTATACCACTTTATAGACAGACACGGGTTTGTGCACGGCCAATGAATGAATTCTTGAAACGAAGACTTTCTTTCTAAATTTTGTAGTCCTTTTTATACGTGTATACGTGTGAAATGAATTTTCGTGGACTTGATACTGATTTGACCAATCTTGCAGAGGTACAATAGAGTATGTAAGAGAACATTTGTCGAGTTATGAGATTGCTAGCTGGCTAGAGCCGGCTCTTTTTTCTATTGCTTAAGAAACAAATCAAAACAAACACTAAATACTATGCTCCTGCTGGCCTTTACCAATGCTGTTTCATCCTTTGTAGTCGTCCGTTTCGCAATCTCCGCCATGTAAGTATCGAAAGCCAAAGCCAAACTTGCAGAACTCTCCATTTTATACCCGTTGCCATCGTCATATGACGCCCATGTACCAACGACTTGTGGACCCTTTTGGCTTCTCTAAGCCTTTCTCTCTCTTTCTCGATTGTTGGTGTGAAACTCTAGTCCGCTCCCAACTCCTACCTCCCCCCCCCTTCGCCTATTTATTATTGTAAAAAGAGAGCCGCTCCAGATTCTTAGAGAGATTCTAATTCGCCGTTGCCGGAAAGACCGGGTCCTCAAGCGCATACTTAGTGACCTGAGCCTTGGCCTTCTGCTCCCACGTGGGCCTATCGTTGCGATACTCGTCGGCGATGCGCTCCTCGAGCGGGTCGTCGGGCTGGGGCTCGACGAGCAGGTTCCGCACGGCCTCGAGCACGGAGACGATTTTGGTGCTGGGCTTCCAGTTCTCGGGCTTGAGAATGCCGAGGCAGACGTTGCCGAGGGAGTCGTTTGTGACGTTTGGGTGGTAGAGGCGGGTGACGAACTTGACGACGGGGGGCTTGAAGGGGTAGTCGGTGGGCAGGGTGAGGAGGATGCCGAAACGGCCTGGGAAAAAGGCGGATTGGGGGGGCGGCTGGAGGGTGATGTGCCAGGTGTGGACGGAGGCGTTGGGGGGGAGTGAGACGGTGAAGCCTTCGGGGGGCGTTTGGGAGACTTCGGCGAATTCCTGGATGGTGTTAGGATGGTGTTTGTTTGGTGTTTGGGGGAGGAGGGGATGGAAGACTAACCTTTGTGATGCGTTTGGTAGACATTTTGGAGGATGGTTTTGTTTGTGTGTGGAAGAGCTGAAGAGATGAGGATTTGGAGTAGTCTGATACTCTAGAGAGGTTCTAGATGCGTCTGCTCGTGTCGAGATGGAGAGGTTGCTGTCTGTATGTATGCCAAGATAGCTTCTTCGTATCGTTATCGCTCGAACGCTCGTCTGTAGCTCCCGTCGAAATAACGTCGAGTCGTATCGTGTCGTGTCGTTTTAAGGAAGTATATTGGATTCACACGCTTGAGCACGGGGAAAGATGGGTTTTAAAAGGAAAAAGAGAAGAAGAAGCAAAAGAAGCAAGCGAAGAACAGTTGGTTGGCAGAAAATCGAGAACGTTCCGCCTTTCGGGGATGCATGTACCTGTGACTCGAAGACTGGTATGACGGATGGTGGGGTTTCAAGGGCCTCTTAAGAGGAAGTACCGCTATGGCCGGGCGCGGGGCAGAGGGCAGGGCAAAAAGAGGCAGCCTAGGGGGATGATATGCAAAGTATCTGGTACCTGGGAGGTGGTAACGTTGGAATTAAAACCCAGATCTGATGCGCGTATCAGTCAGTGATTTGGAATGGCTGATAGCATAGGGCAGCAGCAGATGATTTGATTACTTGGGGATGAATAATCAGTCGCTACCTGTTTTGGAAAGCGGTGGCTTTTATTGAGGTGCACTGCCTTGGGAGTCAAGTACCTGATCTCGGTCAGTGGCGGTGGGGCTTATCGTTCACCGGGATCGCTCACCGAAGCTTCACCTTGATTTTTTCTTTAGAGGCCGGGCAAAATTTATGCTAGGACGTCTTTTTGCAGCAACTTTCTCACCACAATCTGCAACTCCACCCAACCGACTTTAGTATTGGCACAAAACAAGAGATTTTGACTGGATTGCTGAACTCTCTTTTATTCGCCAAATCACACCAACTTCTCTCTCACAATGGCTGCCTCCGCCGCCGTCTCTGCGCAAGAAGCGCAGCAGATGCCCTTTATCAGAAACCTCGCCTCAAGCGGTTCGTCTTTACACCCCCCTCTCTTCAAGTACAACGCCAGCTAACTCTTCAGCAGACCGCAAACTCCGCACCGAATCCCTTGCCTCCCTCCAGTCCTTCCTCTCCTCCCGCCAATCCCTCTCCCCCCTCGACGCCCGCAAGCTCTGGACAGGCCTCTACTACGCCCTCTGGATGACCGACCGCCCACGACCTCAGCAGGCTCTCGCATCCGACCTCGCCAATCTCGTGTCTGGCCTGAAACCTGCCTGCGTCGAGCCCTGGCTCGCGGCGTTTTGGTCCGTTCTCGGCACGCAATGGCCGCACATTGAGGCGCTGCGATTGGATAAGTTTCTGCTTCTCGTAAGAAGAGTCTTCAGCGCGCACGTGAGAATTGTCAAAGAGCAGGGCTACAAGGGTGAATTGACGGAGCAGGTTGTTGGCGTTTTTGCGAAATGGTGCTTTGATGCGGAGGATGAGGAGAAGGTTGCGCTGGGGCTGAGGCTGCATGTGCTGGATGTGTGGGTGGATGAACTTGAGCGCGAGGGAGCTATTGCTGCTGCGACAGAAGGCAATGACGATGCAAAGGCGTTTGTGGAAAAGGTTGGCGCTTTGGTTGAGACGCTGAAGAGGTGTCCTGTCAAGTCTTTGCGACAGCGCGCGGCGGATAGCTACGATGATGAGAGATTGCCGTGGGCGGAGAAGACTGAGGAGGAGGAGGAGGATGAAGATATGGCCGGCGCAGAGGGTGATGAGGGCGATGAATGGGGCGGCCTGGACAACTAACTGGCCATACCAACTGCTGTCCTATTTTCTTTGAATCTCTTTTTTGTATACCATTGCTGGATAAAAGGTGTTTTTGGCGTCACGAGAGCTGCTTTTAGAAGCCTAGGAAAATACAAGCATATTTCTATTACGTGTAAGCATCAAACATCATTCAACCCTTATGGTATCATCGTTATTTCATTCTGTTATACTTCCATAACTCCATTTCGTTCTTCAATTCGCCAGCCCTCATCATTATCTCGTTAAAACCCTTTTTGTAAAGAAAAAAGAAGCGTATATAAAACTACAGAATGTGACAACCCACAGCACGCAAAGGCTACTCCAAAACTCATCTCCCCCAGCTTTTCTTGACTTTGACCCATCCACTCTCTTCATCCTCTGTCGCCTCTGCCGTGCTCTTACTCTTGCCATGTCCTCGATCTCTCACCTCTTCACCCCTCTCCTTGGCCAGCCTTGCCGCTCGCCACTCGTCCCATTTCGCCTGCTCTTCCGGTCGCGGTTCTCTCGCAGTCAAGAGGCCCTTTTTTCTCAGACGGCGTCTATGTCGACGCTTCTGTTCGGGCGACAGCGTCTCCATATCCACGTCCTCAATATCGCGTCCCAAAGCCAAGTCTTGCATGTCGGCAATCCAATCGTAACCCTCCTCATACACGACTGATGCCACTTGGCGCCCTGTACCGCCAGTGATCCACTGGTCCAGCTTGATGGGAATGGCCGTTCCGAAATCTGTCGGGTCATCAAAGGACCACACACATGGCGATTTGGAAGCAGGGCAGGTGGCTGGTCGACAGTACATGGCGCACATGGCTGACTCGGCGGCATACCATGCGGAGAGAATAAAGACAAGCAGACCAAGCCAGGTGAGGCGGAAAGTAGGATCTTGGTGGTATAGCCGGGGCAGCGCGAGATGAAGATAGGCGACTGCGGTAGAGCCCGGCGATTTGCAGTACGGGCATCCTGCCTGGGGGTCAATATGACCATGGTGTTCGTGGCCTTCGGGGGCTTTAGCCATAGTCTTCTTTTCTTGTGCGAGTGGTTGGGCTCGTGAGAAGCGATCTTCGATGCGTTCGATGCCTTGCTTTGCCGAGCGAATTCGCAAGAGGCCGGTTTGCAACGTCTTATTCATTCTCTCATAGGCAGCCATTTCACCGTCCGAGTTCGACTGTTGAATGTCCTTTTTGCTTTCGCTCTTAATCACATCGCCGTAGTCAAACTCCGAATCAAGGTCCATATCAAGATCCACTGCCGAGGACCGGCCGAAGCTGCGACTTTTCCAGTCTTTAGCAGTTTTGATTAAACTCCTGCCAGATAGAATCTCGTCCAAATCGTCAAATGTCGAGTCGTCAATGTTGTATGCGCGGCGCAGCTCCATCATGTCATCCTTGACAGAGGGAAGCTTGGCCGAGTTCTTGACGGGCAGCCTGCGTTGAGGGAGCGACTTTGCCCTTCGCTTCCTCACGACGGCCGATTTCGAGATCACAGAGTCGCCGTCATCAGTCAGCCCGGGGTCCGAAGCTACGTCTTGGTCTCTATTTCTCCAGGACGAAAAGGTTGGTTTCCTGTCAGGGAAGAGGAGATCTGTTGATGATTTGATATCTGCTCGCAGCTTTGGTATGTCTTCGGATTTGAGAGCCAATTTCTCTGACTTGACCGTAACTGGTGTTTCGACATAGGCGCCGGTTATTTTTGGAGTGGGCATGGATAGAGGATCTGGTTTGGAGGGCTTCGGTGTCGCATCTTCGGCTGACTCTTCCTTGATCCTAAAGTTGCCGCCGTCCGAATCGTCGTCCAGAGGAGGAGAAGGCGCGCGAAGAGAGCCGCGTTCGGAGTGGTTGTCCGATGGCGCAAACAGCTTCATCTCCGCCTCTATCCTGTCGGTCGGGTCTGGCTCTGACTGCATACTGGATCGCTTGCTCTTAATTGATTCAATCGATCGCGTGCGCTGCAGACCAGTGAATCCCACCGTGGGCTTTGGCTTTTCGAATTCCTTGGCGCTGGCGTCAGTCGCTGCTTTGGCGCCGGGGGTGGGCAGAGAAGAAGCGCGCTTTGGAGCAAACAGGCGAGATGCGATTCTATCGGCGATTGTTCTGGGAGCGGCCTGTTTATCTTCTTCAGCTGGCGCAGTAGTGGGCAGCTGCTTTGCACGCGACTCGGTTTCAGCTGTCGGCGAGCTGGCGGCCCTTGCCAGCCGTCGCAACAGGTCTCTGTCGTCGTATGTGCGATCAAACAGCCTGGGCTTTGTTGCGGTGTCCTTTTTCTGCTCTTCACTGTCCAGCTTTGCTGCTGTATTTGCTTCTAAGCGCATTGGGTCTCTCTTAATGGCTGTCGCGGGCGTATCTGATGCCGTCTTACCAAAACCACCGGTGATTCCTCCAAAGCCAAATCCCCCAATTCGAGATGGCGGTAGTTCCTCTTTCTTCTCTTCATCAGCGGCATCGGTTTTGGTCTGGCGCCGGCGTGCAAGCCCAAAGGCCGCACGAGATTTAAACCCGTCGTCGGGTGACCGGGGGCGTGCCATAGAGTTTTGTTCTTTGATTTCCTGAAGGCGAGCAGCGGCGTATGCCCGTTTTGATACCCCGTCGGCTTCGCGCTGCCGAATCTCTTCCAGTCTCGTATTCTTTAATGTATCCAGGTGTCGGCTCGGTACCGGAATCTGGCGCTCTACCTGCCCTTCTCTTGTGCGTATATCGTCTAGCTTTGTATTCGCCGGCCTTGGGCGAGATGAGCTTGCAAATGGAATGTTGCTGCCGTTTGCCTTGAGCTCGAGTGATCGAATTTCGTCCAGTTTTGTGTTGCGTGACCCTGGGTTGGAGATGCGAGGTAAGCTATCAAAGTCTTGCTTTTCACCGTCGCGGTATCCCAGGCGGCTGGCAAATGGCCGGGTCCCGGTCCTAACTCGAGGACTGCTGGATATCTGCAGCTCGCCGGCTGTAAAATCTTCATCCATCTGCCACGCAAAGCTCTTGTCCGGAGAAGACTGCTGCACCAGCGTTGCTGCAGAGAGTCCAGGATCGACAGAAGACGGCGGGTCCTCGATGCCGGGGACTAGATCGGGAAGGCCATTGCTGGAGCCAGCGGTGGTTGAGACGGTTCCAGGGCCTAATCGCAGTGCATTACGGAGAGCTGGGTTGGCAAACTCGTTTGATCGCTGCCGTGCGAGGCCGCTGCCGCCGTTGAGCAGGGTGGCCCTTGCTGGCGATGCTCCCACCGCAGCTTCCTTGCCGCTCACCAGAGTCGCGCTGAAGCTGGGATTGCGCACCGACGGGATCTTGCTTCGCGCCTTCGTGTCCAGAGGGTCCTCGCCCTGTATCCGCCGCAGCTCTGATACTTCAGACGCTGTCCTCGTTCTCCAGGGCCGCGGCGCAGGGCTGGGTGACCCGTCGACGGGCTCAGGATTGTCCAGGCCGGCCTCTGACATTAATTTTGCTGCCTCTTCCTCGCCCTCTGCCATCTCCATGGCCTCACGCAGCGATATCGGCTTTCGGCGCGTCTGCGGCAGGCTGCTGCCTCGCGGGATGCGCGTGCCGCCGGTAGAGACGACGCTGGCATTGGCAAAGTCTGACGATGGCCTCGCCTTCTTACTGTCTGCAGCTCCTATCCGTCCAAAAGCCGGCGTCTTCGCCGTGTACACGTGCAGTCCATTCTCGTCGTTTTCGTCGGGCTGCGCAGTGTTGCTGGAGAATAACGGCTTGCGTTCTGCGTGATTCACTTTGAACGGCGTGGGACGTCCGTTGGGCCGGGCGCCAATTGCGTGGCTGCCGCTTTGCATTGCGGCTTGATGCTAGCTATTGTAATATGTGCAAATCGATAGGATTCAATGCAATGGCGGAACGGCGCATGGTTGCTACAGCATGCAGCTCTTTTGCGGTCGGTGAATCTGGTCAGTCGAGATGGCGCGTCATGAGATGCGACAGAGCTCGAGTGCGGTAAGAGATGAATGGATTCGATCGCTGTCGCTGGAAGTGTAAATGCGATAAGCTCTTCGTAAGCTGAAGTCAACGTCTATCTATAGCCGCAATGCTTGTGCGAAGCTATATTCGTGTGCAGAATCGATATGTCGAACCCCTGGAAAAAAAAGTGTGAGGATGGATATCTGAAGGTGAGCGCGTTCTGGCCGAACTAGCGGTCGGCAAAGCCCCTGCAGCTTTCTGGGGAGACAGTTGAAGCGCTAAATTAGGCTCGTTGTTGACGGCCTGTGCATCTTGCCTCAAGCTTATAAGACGCGGTGTAAGTCATTTATACTAGAATTCCTATCTCCATCTTGATATTTTATTAGTATTTACGACCCAGTAGGTATGGGATGTAAAGAAATCAGTATTAAGACCATCTTGAACCCTTTCTATGGTTAAAGAGTCGCCACAGCCTGGGTTCAAATGCCTGTAGACTTCTTCCTGTTCTAAACTGAGCCGAGGCATTCCAATGCAAACTTTGAGTTGCATTTAGACGACGAAGCCTTGTGTTTTTTTCTCGGGAAAATAGAATACTTGTTCACAGTCATCAGCAATTGGCATAGGCTTCTTCTGAGGCCCAAATAGACTTTTCTTCGGTACTGGCAATATTAAGGTAAGATGCAATTACTCTTTGTAGCCAACATGCACATATACTTTCTTTCGGCTGGATCGAATAACATGTATTCACATAAGTCCAGAGGAACATGGCGCAGCGTAAATATTTATTGTGTATGTTCTATGCTCCTCAATAAAATAACAGATATTGGGCTTCGCAAATCTAAACAACTTCGACTCTACGCCGAGATAGAGTCGATGACGTTTAGATTTGCGAAGCCCAACACCTGTTCTTTTTTGCGAAGCCCAATTATCTGTTTAAATTTGCGAAGCCCAATTATCTGTTTATTCAGTGAGGACTTGGTATGTCTTGAATCACGCCAGAGGCCGTCAAACCCCATCGATCCCAAGTAGGGCGTACAATGGCCTGGCAGCGTGGCTCAAGACATGCTCAGAGACCAAACTTTTTAAGATCTGCTCCGGGGTGCTGCTTCACGATGTGCCGCTTAAAATTATCCTTCCTGTTGAATCGTTTTTTGTTGAACTTCCCACAAGTTGGGACAGTGCAAACATAATAAAATCGGTTGTTTTTGTGCCGCGTCAAGTTGCTCTTGCTGGCAAAGCTCGCATTGCAAATGCCACAATGGGGCCGGCGAGTGCCATTGTCTGGACAGCTTATTGACAAGATTTCTGACGGCGAGATTGTTGATGGGACGTCAGCCGCAGTCGTGCTGTAAGGCTGCTGGATTTCTTCCCAAGGGTTGGTAGAATCTGGGATGGGAGATTGGGGGGGGTTGTCGGCGTTGAGGCGGCCGTAGCCTGGGGAGCGGTCTTGCTGAGTTCTAGTTGAATCTCCAGGTACCGAACGGGCGCTATCGACAAATTCGTTCTCTGGTGACGGCGAATGGATAACGGATGATGGAAGACCAAGCTTGCTTGCGTCGTTATACACGCATCCGTTACTACACGAGTGTTCGTCATCTTGAAACGAAAATACCGAAGGACCGTAGACGTCCGAGAGGCAATAGAGATGTTGACTGGATGCTCTGCTAACACGCGGATCGCTGCTCGACAAAGGAGACGGGTGTGAATCTCCCTGCTTAGAGCCAGGGAGACCCGACTCTTGTTGTTTGAAGGGTTAAAGGGGGAAAAAAAAAAGAAAGCGAATACCGCAGTCAAAAAACTGCAGTCCCGGGTGGCCGCTTGCCTGACCCAGGACTGTAAACGAGATGAATAAGGTGTGCGCCGCTGAGGTTGCAATTGAGGCAAAGCGAGGCCTGAAGACGCAATGTGAATGAATTAAAAAGACGCGGCATCCTAGACTTTATATACTTTACAGCTTCTCATACGCAATCTGCTTCCAACTGCATTTACCGGCTCTGCTTAATGTCACTTGGCCAATCGCTGAATGTCGTCTGAGGTGTGGAGGAGCCCGATGCAACATCAGCCTCAAATTGAACCAATGGAAGATGGAAGCGCCCGATGCGTACCTTATCCAGCTAACTGCAGCTTTAGACAATTCCTTGCAGCTCAATAAGACATCTGGCGTGGGGCTTGATACGGACGAATCCTCAAAAGCAGCCAATCAAGAAGAAGCACGTTATATGTGTGTCTCAAACCGGACCAACCACATGCGATATCTAAGGTGATGAATCATAATGCGGCCCATTCCTTGCATCACAGCATTAGACGAGCATAAAGATTAACTTAAAGGGTTTCATAGGCACCTGCCTTTAGGCTCTAAGTTCCGAAAGCAGTTTACAGACATTTTAAAGAAGGCTGGGGATGTTTGAAATACTACGTTAGAATACAACGGCTTAGCATAACCCCTGCAGCTTTCTAGGGACAATCGAAGCGCTAAATTAGGCTCGTTGTCGACGGCCTGCCACAAGCTTATAAGACGCGGTATACAGGAGACTGTTGTCTAATTTTTAGTTACAAGTCAACAGATATGTATGTGAATGAACTTACTAAGCCTACCTTATTCTAAGGTTTTCCAAGTGTATTAAGAGTTGTCACGATTCTAGTGCAAATGTTTGTAAACTTCAATGTTCTTTCTACTGCAGGTGACTACACAAAATATTCTAAACTAAGCCGAGGCACTTCAGCGCACGTTCACCTAAGCTGCAGACTCAAACAGTTGAACAACTAGAAGAATTATTGACATCAAAAAGAAGTGTTACAGACTTCAAGAATTTTTTTTCCCCAGAGCACCAAAGCTATTTCATACATTTTAGCTGACCAGATCGGGGCAAGATGTAATTCCTTGGACAGGCGGAAAGTTATGTAGTAAGCACAGGTACATCTGCAATTCGGCCGAATGATACAATGTAGATTATTTTTTACAACAGCTTAATATTACTTTACAACGGCTTCAAATTACCCGTTGAGAACATCTTGGAAATGTGCAACACTGGTATATATTGTGTGTATCCGATGGTCTTATTCTAAACACAGTACCGCACTTTGCATACCTAAACACCATCGACTATCTCAAGCTACATGATGCTAGATAGGCAAAGCGCAACTATCTGTAGTAAGGTCTTGAACGCAATACAGTACTGCGCTTTGAGTATCTAGACATCACCGATTTAAATCCTGAGATCGGTGATGTCTGGATATGTAAAACGCGGTTATCTGTAGTGACGAACATGTCTTGGATCACGCTATAGGCTACTGCAACGCCCTTCGATCCTAAACAGGGCCCAGCAGCCATCAGCTTGATTCAAGACATACTGTCAACATTATTCAGAGACCAAGCTTTCTGAGATCCACCGTAGGATGTTTCTTCTCGCAGTGCCGCCGAAAATTATCCTTCCTCTTGACTGGTATGTTATATTTGCGACAACCCTTGATAGTGCAAACCCAATAGGTCCGTTTGTCTTCATGTGTGGTCTTGACATGTCGGATAAGGCAGCTTTTGCTGGAGAAGCTCTCGTTACAAATGTCACAGCAAGGCCGAGGGGCGACATTGCCTTGAGAGCCTGTTGCTGGATTATCGACCGAAATTGTGTTGAAAGGTTGCTGCTGTTGGGTTTCGTGAAAAGGGTAGTGGGTTTCTTCCCACGGGTGATGTGTAGGGTCTGTTATAGGCGAATGGGGGATGTTGTGGCCGTAGCCTGAGAAGCGGTCTTGCTGAGATCTAGTTGAATCTTCTGGTCCCGAAAGAGTGCTGCCGGCAGTCTCGTCCTCTGACGACGGTGAGTAGGTAATGAATGACGGGGAACTTTCGCGCTCGCTATATATCGCACTCGCGTCGTTGCCCGCACACCCGATACCAAAGAAATACTCAAAGCCCTCAGATGAGGATGCCGAAGGATCGCAGCCTTCTGGACGGTAGGAGAAGTATTGTTGACTGAATGCTCTACTAACACGCGGCTCGTTGTTTGACAAGGAGGAGACGAATGCGAGTCTCCCTTGGAGCTCGGGAGACCCGACTCTTTTTGTTTAAAGAAAGGGTCTGGCGCTTAGAAGTCGAGCAGTCCTGGGCATAGGCCCAGGACTGTAAGCGAAATGAATAAAGTCTGCGCCGCTGAGGTTGAGTCTGAGACAAGGCGAGGCCTGGAGAAGATGCACTGCTTCTGATTTAGAAAGGCGAGGCACCACCGATTTATAACCATCTTTCACCCGCAACGCCCCGTACGGTGCCTTTCTCTAACTGCCTTTACCATCTTCTGGCCTGTTCATGCTACGCCATATCCGGCTGCAGCCAATCGCTGAATGATCGTCTAAGGTGTGGAGGAGCTCGATGCAACATCAGCCTCAAACCTGGCCAATGACAGATGAAAGCGCCCAATGCGTACCTCATCAACCTAGCTGCAGTCTTAGAACAATATCTTGCATCTCAATAAATTATCCTGCGGGGCTTGATACAGACGAAACCTCAAAAATAGCCAATTGGGAAGCAGCACGTTATATATGTGTGCCTCAAAATGGACCAACCACGTATCTATGATATCCAACATGTCATATGAATCAAGAATGCGGTCCATTTCTTGCGTCACAGCTATTCCGAATGGCTTACTTACAATTGCCACGAACTTCTTTGCTGTCAACGAGTTGGGCGAAATTGCTGCATGCATCTACATGTAGCAATGCACATGTATATTGCAATGCTGGCAGCGACCCCTCTCAACGTGCTGATAGCCTCAGAACGAGCGAATTGTGATTGGGGCCATGAACAGCTAAGCAGACACCATTGTGGTACAGTTATTGACTCTGCTTTGGCAGTATGAATGGCATTTTTACCTATAAAGGGAGGAGGGTCTTCGGACATGGAATCGAAAACTCTTCAATAACATTCTCAAGCAAAGCATTTATCAGTGATCAAAAACACCTTACATCATCTTGATCCCCTTCTACAAGTTCTAAAAATGACCGTCAGCCAAAATGCCGTTAGCGTTTTAAACCCAGTACTGCTTGAAAAGATTGATAAGCTCCGTGACTGGAATGTTGGTCACCATGTGCCTCTGCCTCAGGTAAAGTTGAAGAATAAATATTCTCCTTTGATAGATCAATAAGCTCATTTGTTACAAATAGCTTGTTGTGGTCGGAGATCAAAGCTCTGGCAAATCTTCCCTACTGGAAAGCTTGAGTGGAATTCCCTTTCCAAAAGACCAGAACCTTTGCACTCGTTATGCAACGCAAATCACGTCTAAGCGGGAAAGTGAAGATGGCGTTCAAATAAGCATAACTCCTGGACCACACGCATCGGACGAGCATAAAGATCAACTCAAAGGGTTTCATAGACACCTGTCTTCAGGCTCTGAGTTCCGAAAGCAATTTACAGATATTTTGAAGAAGGTTGGTGATACCTGAAACACTACATTTGAATACAACGGCTCAACATAAACTAGGCCAATGAGAAGATGGGTTTACGGACAGATCTAGCAACGGACATTGGCGCGGTGTTCAGCGAAGACGTTCTTAAGATTGAGATAAGCGGGCCACGCGAGGACTATCTCACCATCATTGATGTTCCAGGAATCTTCCGCAACGTTGTACAAGGGACCACCAAAGATGACATGACTTTAGTGAGAGGCATGGTGGAGCGCTATATTAAAGACGACCGCACAATTATTTTGGCAGTGCTGCCAAGCAATGTCGACATTGCTACGCAAGAGATCTTGACGCTTGCGGAAGATTATGACAAGATTGGCGAGCGTACCCTTGGTGTGCTCACGAAGCCTGATTTAGTACTTGAACCCAGTGCTCAGGCTGCTGTCCGTAATCTTGTCCTGGGCAACAAACGCCCACTTTCTCTTGGCTATTTTCTTGTTCGAAACCGCGGAGCAGATGGCGGTGTTGAAGAGCTGTCTGAGCTTGACCGAGAGTTCCAGAAACAGCAATGGGTTGATCTCCCAAGGGATCGAGTAGGCATTGCAGCTCTCAAAGATCAGCTCAAGTCGCTGTTGGTCGATATTACAAAACGCGAATTTCCCAAGTTGATCAAGGACATCAATGAACAGAGCAAAGAGTGCAAGAAAGAACTGGACAGTCTTGGTCCACCTCGCCAGCACGAGCGGGAGCAGCGCATTTTCCTCAGTCAAATTGCTGGGAATTTTCAGAAGCGTGTTAGAGAAGCATTGGACGCTCATTATAACGCTGATCCGGTTTTCAAGCAAGACGAGTTTCGTCTCATTACTCATGTGGTGAATATCACCGATGTTTTCAGTGCTGATTTTCGGGAGACTGCGCATTCACGGCACTTTGAGGATCTTAGACTGCTGAAGCCGAATGTGACAGATGAAAAGGTGGATGGGAGCCCCCCCGACTGCAATTGTAAAGAGAATTCGGCTGGGCTGATGATAGACCATCTGCGAGTGCTGCTCGAGAAAGCAAAAGTAGATGATATTGCACCGGGGGAATATTCTGAACTCGGCGATATCATCATACCTCTCGAAGAGATTTCCAAGCCAGGAGACAACTTTACTACTTGGATGAACGACGTCTACTTGCAGTCAAGAGGCCTGGATCTTGGCACATTTGAACCGCACTTGCTTTCCATGGCCTTTACAGAGCAGTCGCGCAAATGGGGAGACATGACCAAGACGTATATGAGAAGAATCATCATCGCCCTTCATCGTTTCATCGCCGCCGCTCTTCGGTCCGTCTGTCTTGAAGATCAAGCTCGCAGCCACCTATGGTCCGCTATCCTTGAGGAGCTGTTGAAGCGCTACAAGGTAGCAATGGCCCAAGCCAGTCTATTGATCGAAGTGGAACAGCGCAAGCAGCCTTATACGCTTAATCCACAGTTTAACCAGGCCTGGTCAAAAGCTACTGGCTACCGAATCACAGAGCTTCTGCGTCCAACAGCCAAGAAGGAGAGTAAGCAGTACGGAGTCGTTCAGTACATGGTGAATCTGGATGACATTGCCAAAGCTGCCGAAGGCAAGCGGAATGTGGAGAAGGTGCAAGAAGATATCCATGATATTCTTCAAGCCTATTATAGTCTGGCGACCGAGCGCTTCATCGACAACGTCTTTCATCTAGCCGTCGACCACTGCTTATTGCATGGTCCTGACAGTCCGCTTCAAGTGTTCAACCAAGACTGGGTCATCAGCTTGGAACCTGAGCAGCTCGAGCGGATCGTTGGTGAGACTAAATCTGCCAAGGGGCGTCGTTCGGCACTCATGAAGAAGCTTAATGAGTTGTCTCATGCCTTGAAGATTCTCAAGTCGTAACGTTGACAATAATGGAAAGCATAGGCAGCATTATGTGCGGGAATATATGACATCGAGTCTTGGATCTGGATATATTATATTGGCTGGTACATGGCGCTGCTGTTTATGAACATGTAATTCCATGCTACTACATCAAATAAGGGTAGTCATCTGGAGATCTGAAAACCCACTTTCAAAGAATTATTGGAAAATGTATACCAGCATTAATCTCCCCTTTCCGTGGGTCCATATCCAGTCATTGCGCCACTCCCCAATCATGTTCATGCGTAAACAGATTCTCCGTGGCACATGCACTGAATATCACGTCGGAGCACTCATTTTAGCTTCAATAACTGGAGTGGTAGAATAGAAACACATTCATCGGGTCTTTACCTCGTACTCTTCTTAAATGTCTTTCTGTAGTTGCACCATTAAAAGAGTGGCCCGATCACTGTACAGGATTGACTCACCTTTATCACGGCTCAGCAATTTTCGTCTATTTCTAGCTGAAATTCGACTTCACAGCTCCAACTATGTCTGCCTAAGGTAGGTAAGTAATGCTTGTGATCCAAGTATAAAAGTTGAAGGTCTCTTTCAGCTTATGAACAAAGTCAATCAAACCAATGGCAAAATGCGATCGTACTCATCATACAATCGTGCCATAAACACAGCTTGATGTCTATCGAGTAGGAAATGACAAATCGAAGAGAGCATCCCTCTAGCAGGATATAATGGAACCATTTCCACAGTTGAGTCAAGTCTCGTAGTTATTCAGATTTTGTGATGCAGCAGCTTGACAATGTGTCCATTTCCCCTTCTAGCAGCTGCTGACAGCGGCGTCCGGCCTTTATTATCCTTTGCCTCAATATCAGCGCCTTTCTCAACCAGCAGCTTAATAACGCCCTCACGCCCATTCTTAGCCGCCCAAAATAGCGGCGTCTGGTCATCTTGATCCTTTACCTCAATATTAGCGCCTTTCTCAACCAGCAGCTTAACAACGCCCTCATGCCCATTCTTAGCCGCCCATAATAGCGGCGTCTGGCCATATCCTTTATCCTTTGCCTCAATATCAGCGCCTTTCTCAACCAGCAGCTTAACAACACCCTCACGCCCATTCTCAGCCGCCCATAATAGCGGCGTCTGGCCATATTCTTTATCCTTTGCCTCAATATCAGCGCCGTTCTCAACCAGCAGCTTAACAACGCCCTCATGCCCTCTCGCAGCCGCCCTAGATAGCGGCGTCTGGCCATATTCTTTATTCTTTGCCTCAATATCAGTGCCTTTCTCAACCAGCAGCTTAATAACACCCTCACGCCCATTCTCAGCCGCCCAAAATAGCGGCGTCTGGCCATATTCTTCATCCTTTGCTTCAAGATCAGCGCCTTTCTCAGCTAGCAGCTTCACAACACCTTCATACCCATGCCTAACCGCCCAGGACAGCGGCGTCTGGTCATCTATATCCTTTACCTCAATATCAGCTCCTTCTTCAATCAGAAGCTTAACGATGTTGTCATGCCCTTTTTCGGATGCATAAGACAGCAGTGTCCGCTTATTGCTATCCTTGGTGTCAATTTGAGTTTCACCATGGTCAATGAACGCTCGAACAATTCCTTCGTCGCCTCCTTGCGCGGCCCACGCACGAAACAGCACCCCCAAAATTCTCCCGTCATCAGCGTTTGCAGCTAAATTCAGCGCAGATTCTCCATCAGTAGAGAATATTTTGATACTGGCGCCCTTTGCGATCAGCAGCTCGACGATGTTCCAGTGGCCTCCTCGAGCTGCCCAGTGTAGAGCTGTTCGGTTTTGACAATCTACTTTGTCAATGTTTCCGTGGTCGAGGAAGATTTTGTGTTCCAATAATTTTATCATCATATCTTCATGGCCTTTCATAGCTGCCTCATGAAGCGGTGTCCGCCCGTCTTTGTTGGGGACAAGAGGTGTGGTCCCCAGATGTTCCATGATTGTATCCACACAGTTTGCATGGCCTTGACTTGCTATCCAATGCAATGCAGTTCTCCCCATCTTGTCTGTGGCATTGATATCAAAAGTAGCCTTTTTACTGGAAATGCTAAGCAGAGTTAACCGAGGTTGTAAGGAGCGATCCATTGATAAAAGACGTTCAATGTCCTGCACGTTGCCTCTCATCGCCGCTCGAATCAGCTCGGCCTCATCTGGCTGACCACTGGTCATCATCGATGCTATTGGGATGGATGACCTGCGCAGCCTGCTCAACATGCTTGGCACAACTGTTGGAGCCGACTCGGCCATTGGTGTTGACTCTGCGTATCTTGCTCTGCCCGTATCAGACAAATGTTTCATTAAATCGCAGCAATTTGCGCAATGCTGAATGTAAGTCGAGGTAGAACCTTGAAACATTACTGTATGAGGAGAAAAACTGCAGAAGCTGGTGGATTGGAATGCATGTACATCTTTCTGCCTAACAGTTCCAGCCTATCAAACAATGCCACGAACCAAGCACATGCGTGTTGTACGTTCGAAACAAGGCTATGCAGTGCGTACAGCGTTAAACGCCGACCCTGCAGCTTACGTTGTATTCCTTTCCAAGAGTAAATATCACTAGCCGCCCAATACTACAACTCGCACTCCGCATCTCTTTTCTACCTACAAAACTTTTTGGATCTAAAAGTTTCTGCGGAAACAACTGATTCAATGATGAAACGTTTATTATGGCTATTGGCATCTCTACCCATGCTTGTAGCTGCCCAAAATTGCACTGTGCATCCGATTTCGGGTGATGGGGAGGTTGGCTGGCAGCCTGGAAGTTGCTACCGAGGCACCTGGGACATTGTAATCACCTGCTTGTCTACTATAATCGCCTGTACATGGAGCATTCAACATCTCAATATTCCAAGTGCGGCTGAGAGCTGGTGGGAAAAATTTAGAAGGAAGATAAAGTGGATGGTAATAACGGTGCTGTTCCCCGAGCTCGTGTTAATTCACGCCATGCTCGAATTCTACATGGCATGGACAGCCCTCCGACTGATGAACAAGGAGCAGAAATCTGTTAAGTGGCCTTGGTGGTTTCAAATGCTATCATTTTCATGGCTACCATCTCACCGCCACTATCTAAACTCTAAAACCAAAGATCTGGAGAGCCAAGATGTGAGAAGTTTGGAGAGTCAAGACGCCAGAAACTCGGAGAGCCAGCACCCCAGAGGTTCAGAATGCCAGAATGCCAGAGATTTGAAGAGCCAACGCGCCAAAAGTTCAGAGAAACAAAATGATAGCTGTGGGGAGAGCCAAGACGCCAGAATTGCGGAGAGCCAGGATGGCACAGATCAATCAGAAAAGAGGACATGGACTTTGACACACTGCTATTTTGCCAACATGGGCGGGTTTATACATGCCGCAAAAGGGAAAAGATTTCTGGTTACTGCTCAGCAGCTGGCGAAGATGGAGGGCCTTTCATACGCAAGCCCGGAGGTCACAGAGGAAGATATTAAAGACAAAAGCAAGCAGGATTGGTTGGCCAAGCTCATCGCCGCTCTTCAGATCTTGCAACTCATCTTTTCCATCATCACGCGACATATCCAACGATTGCAATTTTCGCAGCTTGAGACAGTCACGCTCTCATTTGCTATTTGCGGCGTGCTAATCTACTGCGCATACTTCTACAAACCTCAAAACATTGAACGTGCCTTTGAAATCAAAGATATTACGAACAATACCGCAGATTGGTTCTCGTCGCTACAGTTTGAGAAGACTTATGATAGTCTTTGGGCAATCATGCGGAATAAGGAAACTAGCTCCAAGGAAGCTAACTCCAAATATCTCAACTCTAACGAAGCTGATAACGCAAAGTATCAGAAAGCAACCAGAATCCCGAATGATAACATACCAATCTATAGAGGCAACAATGACGTTCATCCAGTAGTATACTTACTGGCGCTGTCTTCTGGGCTTTTCGGTGCTATACATGCCATTGCATGGCACTTTGAATTTCCCACCAAAGTGGAAAGGTTGCTTTGGCAGATAGCTACCTGCATTTCTGCAGCGAGCCCTGTCGTTGGCCTAGTTGCCGTCCCAATTTCTCAATTTACGAAGGCCGACGGGGACCCTGAACTATTCGCTGGTAATTGCCTAAGAGTGATCCAGGAATACTCTTGGCATAATCCAAATACGCCCTGGGTTCGCAATGCTATAAAGGATTTAGAAGATGCCATTGCTAAGGCCGAACCAAAAAGATATTCAGACATCTTCCGTGAGGCTGGAGATAGCATGCTCGTGGATCTTCGAGACTATCTAGATTTAAAGGGCCGCTTTCAGGGTTTAGACCCGAAAATATTTGAGCTGCACAGTGATGAGCTATTTATTAGAAATTTCCACCGGCTTCTCAACGCTGTGTTTGGTAAAGAGACGAAGAAAGTCGAGGAAGCAGCTCGGGTTGGCGTGTGGCCGAGACAGTCACTGCTTCCTCGCGGAGTCAACCAGGGTATTTTGTACCTTACTGGATTTCTTTACTGCGCTGCTCGCCTGCTATTACTGGCAATCTCAATCTCTAGCATTCGGAAGATGCCGGGGTCGGTTTATATCGTTACAGATTGGACAGGATACCTGCCAACGTTTGGTGCGATGGGTGGATGATGTTGTTTGATGGTCATAGATTTGGTTAAAAAAGGCTGCCTATTTATAAAGAGTATTCGTTATGGGAAAGAATCCATTTGCATGTTAATTAGTGACGGGTCAAGGTGTGTCGATAATACCCAGCGCCCGCAGAACACAACCGTGTGACGCCGATTCATGAATCTTTCTAATCTTGGTATAAGTTCGATTAAATTTTGATTACATGTCGAAGACTTCGGTCGGCAATGCTCTTATGTGTTAGCTAGGAGAATGCAAGGGGTGCACATTTAATATTGGCTGTCTGAGCATAATCCTTGGATGAATGTTCATACTCTGGGCTCTCTAAAGTTCTTACCAAATGCCTGCAAATCTGTGCAAATCTGAGTTATCTATACATACCAGCACATGGCACAACTAGAGAAACAATGTATATTCCTGTGCTTGTAGGATTAAACTTGCTATTTCAGAAAATGACTCACGAGATCATTTGTAGCGCCTTGGCTTCTGCTGGGCTAAAATTAACAAACAAGCTGACTCTATATCCTTCTTCCCACTTCAAATAACTATTTGACAAGAATTGAGTGTCCACGTGGACCATTTGTTGATATCGGTGACTCCCTTTCTCCGTAATCCGTTTCAATTCATCCCCAATGATGCTTCTGACAACATTCTTTAGGGCTGACAATTCTGTTGTAGGACTTATTGAAGGCCACAAGACTTACGAAGATGGATTGTTCGATTGGCTGTTTCTCGCTCGTGTAGCTGACAGATTATTGCCTAAAAGAACTCTCAGTTGCAAACCTGTCATACTGTTATTAATCAGGCATCTGAGTAGTACCGCGCTCGATACGTAATGCTTTAAACTTGTAGAACTATTGATTCCATTCTCTTCCTGCAGGATAGTCTTGGCACAAGTTTACCCACTGTAAGAAATAGTCCAATTTAGGAAACGCAATTTTTAAAAAGACTCCCTTAAAGGTAGCGCCAAGTGTAGATCTTTAAGGGGAAGGGACTACCTACTGAATAGAGAAACAAACTACTGGTTTTCCCAGGAACAGCTACATGGGCTATACAAACATATACTAGGTATAAGGGTTTATGTTGCCGAGATCGAGATTGACATCCAGTGCAGTTAGAAAGGCTCAGGCTCTATGTTATTATATCCACCTCTTTAGCGCTGTGCTACACTGTAGACTCAATGCCGGCAGGGGCTTGAGATTCAATTCTAGACTATACCGTACGTAGACAGAGTCTCAGGCCTCAATAGGTTTCTACTCCAGATATCAAAGAATATCTCCATATAGAGCAATATCCTACTTGAATTGTAACCTTTGACATCATGATCACTTCATGAATGCTTGTAGCATAGCAATGTACAGTTGAAGACAATATCATCTTGGAGTATTAAGAGCCAGTCTCGGTCCTGAAAGTAACAGCCAATTACTACAGCCAGACACACGCGCTCGTCAGCCACCTACAACAGTTCCAATCACTTCATTATCAAAATCAATTTCTCAATCATGGCCTTCAACACCGCTCGATCCGTTGCATTGGCAGCTCTTTTAGCTTTTTCGCCCATTGCCCTGGCTGGAGATCCGGGCTGCGAAAGCCCAGGCGACCACATGTGTGCCATCCTATTCGTTTCCTCAGTTTTTTCATTCCCTTCCGGCCCCGACGGACCCGGCCCTTCTGGCAACTCCTGGGGCGGTGTCGTCAATGGAAACTGCGACACCGTTGTGACGAGCGGTGGCCTGGAGCCTCAGAGCCCTGGGTTTGCGGGTGACTGTCACTCGAAAACAAGAAGAGAGACGATGAAGATATACGACAGTAGTGGAGAAAGGGTGAACAAAAACCCTACACTCAAGGAGGGAAATATATATCCTCATTATTTTGTCCGATAACAACATTCTTCAGAAGAATGTTTTAGACTTCAGTTGCCTATTAAAAACCGCAACTATGACTCAGTGGAGTGTATAGATGATGTAAATGCCTCTTTGATGCAAGTAGCGCTGAGATCTATATGACTTTCGTCTTAGAAAACAACTGGCAAATCCTCAATTCCAACGTCTTTATGTAAAGGCGTAAAATTGATTTTGTTAATGGGTACCGAAAGCTCTAGATTAGGCAATTCTTTGAAGATTGTAGCTACAAATACTTGTGAGTAATGGCATCCCTATGACGGGGTGTTTTTGCGCTTACAAAAGACGATTGACAACTCGGTCTTCGCAAGGGTCTCAGCAATACAACGATGATCGCCATATCCAAATCCAAGAGGGTCTTCATTAGGCCATTGCCTATTCATGTTAAATTCATCTGGATTTTCGAAGATGTCCGCATCGCGGTTCGCTGATTGGTTGGAGGCAATAATACCCTCATTAGCTTTAATGAGCTAGATTTTGGCACGTCAAATATCAGTATTGATGCACACCCACAATTTCAACTTGTGAATTAGAAGTACCTTGCCACCAATCTCAATGTCAACTTTAGCTGTTCGTTTAATTGCCAGTGCTGAGGCTGTGTGATATCGGCAGAGCTCTTCCACGAATGCAGGGGCAAGCGAAGGATCAGCTTTCAGTTGTGCAAGCTGTTCTGGATGTTGGAATAAAGTTACAACTCCCTGAGACGTTCATTAGGGTTTGCTGGCTGAACTTATCCGATATGCTCTAGGAAGGAATGGTCCGTACCAATGCAATCATGTTAACCATAGTAGCATTCCCGGCCACGAGTAGCAGGAAGGCTATTTGCACAGCATCTGCTTTTTCAATGATTCCGAGATTCACTTGTTCGACAACTAGTTTACTGATGAGATCATCCTTGGGCTCCTGGATTCTCTGATCCACTAGCCTGGTAAGGTAACCAAGCAGCCCCCTGTTGGAGAAATTAGTCACAAACAAGCCTCTTCACTGTTGCCGACATAAGAGAGAAAGGTAACACACTGATTTGCGGCTGATGCTTCACGTGCCGTGGAGCTTCCGTTTGTTCGTATAGCATTCTGCTGCGTAAGATATTCAAGATCATGGAACGGTACACCGAGAATGGTATAAATAATCTTCCAGCAGCCAAATTAACCACGGATGAACCCTTTTCGAAGATCACAAGATGGATTTGACTCACATAAGATGGAACCGGCAACGCAAACTCTTTTATCAAGTCGACTGGGCCGTCGGAACATCCCTTAGCCTTCAAGGCAGCAAGGAGATCATCAACCGTCTTCTGAATATATGGCTGCATGCCCTTGACATGTTCGGCTGAAAAAAGCGACTCAACCATGCTCCTATAGGGGATTTGAATTAGTATGATATATTTCACCAGGAGTAAATGATTCACCTTTGATGCATATGATCCGGAGGGTCCATATCAACAAATGTTGGTTTGGCCTTCGCTGCTTGTTTGCCGCCAGCACCCAACTCGGGGAAGCCAGGGCGAGTTCGGATCTGCAAATGATTCTTAATCAGTAATGATTCCAGAAAGGCATATTGTCTCTTCCCACCTTGGAAAGCCTTTCATCCGTTGCAACAGTAATTACGTCCTTGTATTTAGTCACCAGCCAAGCTAAACTTCCATCAAACAGCTTAACCCTCGATACTGGATCAGTAGCCCTTAACCGAGCAAATTCGGCTGGTGGCTCCAACCCAGAAGCTCGCCGAAATGGAAAACTAGGTGCATCGGTTGCCATTGAAGCAATAGTTCGGATGAACTGGTGGCCTTGAGTATTCCAGAGTAGTGTTTGGGGAGAAATGAATCTCGTTTTGGATGATATCACGCTTTTTCAACAAATCGAATGCGAAGATTTGGAGAAGAATGCAATGCTCTGAATCTTTCAAAGGCGCGTGTCATCTTGCGCTTTTATACTTCAGTCACTACAGTGCATAATAGCTCAATAACTATTCATCACTATATCACGAGGCCTCTGTTAGCTTGCCCCAAGAGAATTCGCGTTCTACTCTCCGCGAAGACTATTATTCTGCTCAGTTCAGTTAACTTATAATGCCCGCACATAGGCTAATTGAGTTACCGTATCCCTACATATGCTATATTAAAGGCGAGCGACCGCCCTACCGCGGAGATGCCCACATCTCCTGCCTATAGTTTCAAGGCGTAACATATTATGGGTCGATTCAAAAGTATAAAACAGGCCATTACTCTGCCGTTTATTCACAAAGTGCATCTTAGTTTAAACTTTCTGCAAGTCTCAGCGCTCGACTTTCTTTCCTAATCCAGTGGATATTTTTATGGTATTCCAAAGGGAGGAAGCCCAATAGCTGCTAGGCACACCCTTCCATCCAGTGGATTCCTGCGCCAAATATGCCTTTTCCTAAAGCCCAGGGAGAAGCTCAGGTTCGTTGAGGATATCGTGAGTGTAGTACCAAAGCATAGACGATGTAAGCCTCTCATTCTCAGCTAGAAAGGCGCGCAGATATCGGTCGTCGGTGCACATGGGCGGGTCGGGGATTGACGATGGCGCAAATGCTTCCACCTTTGGAGGATAAAATGTTGCTTCTACTTCCGGGGTCCATGCTCCGAGTGGGCTGTCGAGATTGTCCGGGTCGTAGACAGGCCAGAGCGGTCCGCGGGCGAGGCGGCGGAGTTCCTTGTCTTGATGACAGGATGGCCGCGTCTGCCTTGGGGAAGAACGCCTTCGATAGCCAGGCTGTTGCCATCGGTGCACCTTAGAAACGTAATCCCAGCCAAGGAACCTATTTATTTATGTCCTCACTGCCTCGCAAGTGGATGATGGATGCTTCGTAGTCGCCATCTGGGTTTACACATGCACGTGACGTAACCGGTCAGTAATCTTCAGCAACCGGCAACCCCGGCCGGCCGTGAGCGTTTTGTCCTTCAGGATCCACCTCTTGTCAATGGTCGCTAGCTAAATAAAGATCAGCTTAGTCGACTCTCACCTGTATTATAGATTGCACATCGTCTGAGAATCCATGCAACACATCATAACGATGAAGTGATTGATTGATGTGCTTAGCCAATAGATGGACTTGATTACCAAAATCTTTTTTAAAAATATCAGATCAAACATCTATTCCGTTTTGTTCTTTTGATCATCCAACAATATCTATATTATCAAGCACAAAGAAATCATGGTTGTATCAACCTAGAGAAAAACCACTCTCGAGTATCATTATGGCATCCCAAGTTGGTCTTCCAGCGCCACAGCAAAAGACTCACCAGGTTGGCATCTACATCCCTCTCCTTCTCTCTCCTATCCCGCCATCGTCGTCCAGCGTAATGATAAGTCACTGCCTGGCCAGCATGACCAAGGTTTCATTCGTCAACCTGCGTGCGGTTGGGCGGGTCCTCCTACGCAGTTGTTCACGGCCGCCTTTGTTTGGTCCGTCATACCAGGGCATGGCAACTTCGGTGAATGTCGTGACTTTAGATCTGTCCCTGCTCCACCACATAAGTGGTCCGTGCGGAAAAACTTCTGTTATAATGAAAACCGGACACTTATTTCGGTTTCTACTGTTCAGTGATAACCGAAATAAGTGTCCGGGTTTCAATTAACTGAAAGTCTTTCCGCACGGACCACTTCTGTGGCGTATTGTGGCTAGTACAGTGTAGCCACAGTAGCATTACGGAGATTTGTGAATTTGTGACCCCGCACTTTCTTGACTCTTCATTTATGAATTCCATACAGTAATAGCCTACTGTAGCAAAACAATACTTAAGTTTATCACAGCTCTGGGTGTGTATATACATATATAACAAAGCATTCAATCTTGCGTTAAATATTTGGGGCAATTTTGTTTTTTCTTCTGCTGAGGTTTATTCCTTACCGCTTTGAGACTTCGCGACTCCCTCAGCGCAAAAATGCCCAGCAAGGATCAGGTATTTATCCTCGTCGGTTCTACAGCGCGCTTTATACCGCAAAGAGACGAGGAAATCCTCGGGCCAGCAAACATTATAGGTATAATTGTTGACCCAAAGCCCCCTGCAGTCCAGATACCACTCATCTACTGTAACATCTGCGGTGTCAACTGGCTCGTGGGAGAGAAAGGTCCAGAGGCTGCAGCTGATCACCCATTACATTACACCTTGGATCACATTTATCAAGGGACTAGCCGCTCCCTAGTAGTTTTCATCGATGGCGCTTGTCCAGCAAATGGACCAGCTGCTCTCCAGGCTTCGATTGGTGTATATTTCGGACCCCAATCGCCGAAGAACATTTCTCGCCTAATAAATACAATTCGCCCAACAAATCAGCTCGCAGAAATCACAGCCGCACTGGAAGCCATGCGCCAGGTTCGCTCTACCATTGTGCCAGAGCGCCGTGCTCTGCTAAAGTCTTCCCTTCCAAGGAACAGCCGGCACGCCTTCTCAATGAGGGATCCTAACCATTTTCAACTAATTCTGGCAACCGACTCCAGCTATCTGGTTGATTGCATGTGCGAATTTATGCCGCAATGGACCTTCAATGAGACAAAGCGAGTTTATTGCAACCGTAGAGGCGACGTCATCAAGAACAGCGAAGGCTTTAAAATGCTGTATGAGGAGACAGAGCTCCTATCTGCTGTTAGTGTTCAGGTGCAGTGGTACTATATACCACGCGGTCATAACTATAAGGCAGATGCTTTAGCAAATGCAGCGTTGCGCAAGAGAAGATAAGGTGTTATCTTAAGGTCCAAATGAATGATTTATTGACGGCTAGGGAACGCGTAGCTAGGGTTATATCGAGGCGTACAACTTGTGTATTTTCTTCTATCTCTGTATTAAATTGGCACTTTAAATTATTGCGATTGCTAAAGTAGCTTATTTAAGTCTCGCTTCCAACACTATTTCTTTAACGAAGTTATATATCCTTTTCCTAATTGCATCTAGGCGTGTGTCTTGGTGCTGTTGCAACAACTTGGTTCTTATAATTATATGTATAAGCTTGCAGGGAAGGCATATATCCAATCAGCGGTGAATCATCTAACCAAAGAGATAACCTAACCCAGATAGCTTAATACGAATGATATCAGATTTATCGCGCTTGTTTAAAAAGCTTGGATAGCCCGTTAAAGTATATATTGCACAGAAGCACTTTCATTAACTTAGTCTATGACAAGTATTTACAGTACCCAGTCTCTCAGCACATCCTCCAACTTACGTAAAGCAAGAGGTTTGTTCTTTAAGGGGTCTTCATCCATAACGACTTATATACAGGTAATCAGTTTTATCACGGTGTGAGCACATAAACAAATCAAGGTCCAGAAGTGAAATTAATTAAATATAGACTTAAATGGATCACCTAAGTTAGTTTTCATTCACATTTGACGCCGTCTAACCCATAGCCTCGTCCGTGCGGAAAGAGATTCTGTTCTGTACTAATAAAGCCGGACAAGGTAACATGCCCTATATTCTATATACTTATATTCTATATATTTGAACAACTTTATATTAGGGGGCCTAGGTAGAACTATGTCGCTACTTTTGTTATACTGTAAGTCAGCTGATAAGGTAATGGCGATGGTAGCTGCAATTAGGTGCCGGAAATGGCACTTTATCCAAAAACGGACGAAACTCTGCCATGAAATGGGGTACATGAGGATGAGAGGAAGGCCGCACTGTACCAGCCACAGGTTCGCAAAAGTGGCCAGTGCGGAGAGAAACTTATTAATTGACAAAAGAGGACACTCATTTCGGTCGCTACTGTATATAAATTTCTAGGCTATAAATTTCCAAATTTGATTGCTGTTGAGCTAATGGCACTAAGTTGCTACTGTACCAGCTTACTAAAGATATCTCTATATGCTCATGTAAGTGGTGAGTTGAAATGTGTTAAAGGCTCGCCGACTTCCGAAAGATGGCAACAAACTTTTTTTCCGCATCAAGATCCAGTTTACAAGCTTCAACTGGCAGCCAATGGGACGAGCGCCAATGGATGACAATCGTCCGTTTTTAGTATTGTTGTGTTGGGCCTAATGGTCAACGGTGCGTATACTTGTAAGTGGGTTTAAGAGCTCAGTTCATTGCCGGACTTTGGAAGGATTGGCCTCTTCATAGATTAATAAAGAAAGATAAATACACTTTTCAAAAAGGCTTTGATAGCATTAGTTCTTTAAGTCCATCTCGGCAGCGATTACACGTCTCTCCATCAGTACCAGGGTGAACTTACACAAGTGATGGATCTTGTCTTACGCGTATTCGCTACAACTAGTCTCATTCTTCAAGAGAAGAAAAGGGTGACTTGAGAAATTAATGAACAAGAGCCCATTGTCATTGTCCAACCCGGTTTATATTGTTCATTGCCATTGCTAATGAATACCACACAAGCCACCTACAATCTCTTCACCACCATGCACCGTCCAAGCCAGAAATCCTTCAATGTCTTCAAGCCCCCTGCAGGCCCAACCAACTCCCATCTGCAGTGGGTAGCGGGTTTTCTTTAGCGCATCTGCTTGTCCGAAGCTTGACCACAAACAGCAAGAATGTTCCTATCTATCCTTATCGCGTGGTGCCTGTTTGCTGGCTGTAGAACCAGAGGCTGCCCTTCTAAGCCAGTTGTTAAAAAAGAGGACGGCTGGTATAGTATGTATTACCTACATGTAGTTATTGTCTCGGGTGTCTCAAATAGCCCGAGCAAACCACATGTTGCATGCAGTCAAATTATTTATTCTTCTTCTTCGCCGACCCTTTTCCTCTTGTCTTTATTTTCTTCTCCTCTCTACACACATGAGGATTTCAAAAGACGCGCCGTCTATTTATACTCCATCTTCTGTATCCAATTGATTATCATTGTTTTCTTAATCGTTATTGATTTCCCTAATACTTTAACTCACCATCTTGTACCAAAAAGGGTGGATCTTAGTTCAGGCACCAGATCTCACCCGCAGCGTATCCCCATTAAAGTCAATTTAAACAGTTTTTTAAAAGTCAATTCCATTAATTGGAGATCAAAATGGCTGTCGACAACAACAGCACTACCACCACCACCGGTCCCAAGACTATCCGCAAACTCGGCCCCAGGTGAGCAGTTCATATTACCTTGCAAGCACATCTTTCACTCAGCACATCATCCACCATGTCTACATCTACAAGCATTCCTATACACATCTCCAAGTCTACAAGTATACTAATCAAAATCCAGTGAACACTACTCCTCGTCCCGCCACCATCTCGGCATCTACCGCTGCGTCACCGTCGCTGTCCGCCACTTCCACCCCCAACCCTCACCTCTCCTCCAAGGCACCCAAATCAGCCCAGCCTTCTTCGCCGCCCTCGCCTCCATAGTCAAAGACCAGCCCATTCTCCGCGTAGGCATCACCGGCGAAGAGTCCAGCAACGCCCACTGGACGCACATTCCGCAAGTCGACTTGCGTGACCACGTCTCTGTTGAGCTGGTGCCTTGCGAGACGGTGCAAGAGTATGAGGACAAAATTGCCGAGCGTCAGGGCTGGGAACAAGACCAGAAGTGGCAGAATCTGGAGACGCGCTCGCCATGGAGAATCACAATCTTGAGGCCCAGCAGCGACAACGAATCTGTCCTGAAAGAGCTCGGCGGACAGGAAGACGTCTTCCTTTTCTTCCACCACGCCCTCATGGACGGCACCAGCGGCCGCGAATTCCACGAGATGCTGCTCTCAGCCTTGGCTGCTCACCAAAACCAAGACAAGGACTTTTCAACTGTGCTCTCCTTTCCTGAACCCCCCTCTCTCAACGAGCCCCTCGAAGATGCCGTCAACTTCACCTTCTCGTGGCGCTTTATGCTCGGCGTCCTGTGGAACCACTATGGCCCCCGATTTCTCAAGCCCAAGCCACAGCCTGTCTGGAACGCAAAGCCCTACAATTTCTCGCTGCCATACAAGACGCGCATCAAGCCCATTGACATCTCCCCCGAGACTCTGTCCGTCCTCCTAGAAGCCTGCAGGAAACACTCCGTCACGCTCACGGCGCTTCTTCACTCTCTGGTCCTAACTTCGCTCGCCACACGTCTCTCTTCATCTCCTGCAGAATCACCGGCCTTCTTTTCCGGCACACCCATCAGTCTCAGGCCCTACCTCGCCAAAAAGCCCGACGACATGGACAAAACATCTGCATCTCCTCCTCTGCGCTGCCTCGTTAGCACCTGCTTCCACCAATTCTCCCCCGCAACAGTCTCTGCCCTGCGCGCCCCCAACGCAGACATCAACGCCCTGATCTGGGAAAACGCAGCCCAGGCGAAGAAAGACCTCGCCACCAAACTCGCCCTCATCCCCAGAGACGATATAGTAGCCATGCTCAAATATGTCAGTAACTGGATGGAGTTCTGGCGCAAAAGGGACGGCATGCCGCGCAGCGAATCGTGGGAGATTAGCAATGTTGGTGTGCTGAAGAGTGCGGAGACGACGGATAGCCCTAGGGCGACGAGGATGCTGTTTTCGAATGGAGCGATGGCTGCTGGGCCGCCTATTGGTGTTGATGTGGCGAGTGTTGCAGGATCGAAACTGACTCTTAGTGTATCTTATCAGGATAAGGTTGTGGATGATGAGTTGGTTGAGCAGCTGAGGAGTGATTTGCGGGGATATGCTGAGAAGTTGGCTGAGACTGGCACCTCTTTTGTCTGAATGAGAGGCGTTTTCTTTCTTTCTTTTCTCCCCATTTTCAGTTTCAAGCAATACGATATTTGTAATAATGATTCATAGGAGAGGGTGGTAACCCGAAGTAATATTGACAGTTGGATTCAGACGATGGCATATTCTCATTCCTATACAAACAGCTTCATTCTCACATTAGTAGCTCAACAGCAGGTATTATCCAAACAGGTAATAATAACTTATGTATTTACAATAATACACGATACGCATTCACATTGAAGAACAAGGAGCCTATAGTTGAAAGTAAAATAATGTCGTAAGTATATTTCTTCATATCCTATCCAAACGAAAAGAAGAAAGATGGTAATGGATTTTCCCACCCATATATCGCAAAACCTCCTTGAATCGAAAGTATTATGCCTCTCTCTCTCGTTCATCCCAATAGTCTGTCAATCGTCTAGTCTAAAACCCGTCAAACGCCATGCAGAATCTCTTCAATATCAAAAACACAAGATTTCTCCTCCTTTTTTTAGTCTTCGCCTAGAGCCTTTACCAGCCTTGTCCAGGAGGCTTCGACGATTTAGATGCCCCTCTAAAGTAGTTGTACTGCATAGGATCCGCTTCCGGGGTTTCTACGTCCTCGTACTGGGGAACGCCAGCGTATCCTCGAGGCCCGCCAATTCCTGCACCAGGAGTCTGGGCTGGCGAGCCTACCGCTGGACTCCGAGCTCGATCCAGGGGTACTTCTTGATAGCCTCCAAAGGCCCTGTCCATACCAGGGCTTTGTGACCGCTCATGAGATACATTTCGATATGACGCGGGTGGCACCATGGCAGGGCCGGCAGCGTTGTGCACCAACCCAGACGAGCTGGTGTTCTCCTGAGCATAGAGTGGGCTGCGATGCCTGTTTATTGAGTCCTCGCCATAGGGGCTGGGTCGGTAGGCTGTTTCGTGGGGCGGCGGCAGTCTCACGTTTCCTGGTGAAAACGGCGTGGCATGGCGGTTGGATGGCGTCCCCGGCCTGGAGCCGCTGTCCATCGAGCCGGGCGTTCCGGGCCGGTACCCGTCAAACTCCTTGCCGTAAATCTCACCACCACCGTGCTCCTCAGTAAACTCTGCTCGGTTCTTATAGTACTCAAAGTCCATCTGAGACTCCGAGACGTACTCGAATCCGGGCACTCCATCGGCTGCCTTGCCTGGCTTGCCACCCTGCATGGAATTGAGGGCATACATGTCTGAATAGCCACTGACGCTCATCAAGTCGCCGGCGGGGCCCACCTCCCTGCCATCCGTCAGTCGTCCCGAGTAGATGGATGGAAGCAGATTTTGCGCCTTCTGGTGAACCATGGGTGTGATGAGAGGCTTGTACAGAGCGGGGTGACCGAATCGGCTGGCAAGCTTCTCGTTTCGGAGATTGTTCTCCTTTTGCGCAGCATTCTGACCATCCTGTCTAATGGCCCCTCTTGTCTTGTAGTATCGCATGCGGTCGTCATATGCCTTTCCGCAGTAAATTTTGAAGAAAATCAAGAGTACTGGCAGGGGGCACACGCAAAAGAATTGAAGGTGCGTTCCCTCTCCGCGAACCCAGCACGTCAACAAAAAGACGCCGTTGGACAGAATCGTGCCAAAGATGAAGCGATTGAAAATGACACGCCAGAACAGACCACCCGACTCCGTTTTGGTGACGAAGCGGTACAAGATTAGATACTTCTTGAGGAAAGAATCAATGGTAAAGTACAGCGCCGTTGCTATGAGGACGAGTGGCTGGATGCCTGCGAAGCACAGCGTGACCGTCGAGTAGTACAGGAAATAGCAGTAATAGCTGGCATAGTCAAACGCCGGCGGCGCTGTCAATTCAATGAGTTCTCGGGGCGTGGGGCTAGAAAAGGTCTTTGTGAAAAAGGCATTGATCAACGGCCACATTTGAGCGAGGTCGATGGCGGCACCAAGCTGTCGTTGCAGGAGATAGGTGATCCAAAAGGGGCTGTTTCTGCAAAAGGCAATGAAAATACTGGCAGCAAGATCCTCCTTGATAATCGCGTCCCACGCATTCTCGCCCTTGTCAGCGTCGTTGATGACGGAAACCACAAAAGACCAGATGACGCTGAAGAAGGAGAAGACGATGAGGTTGTTGATGACGAAGAAGGAATAGAGCTTGGCCATGACGTGTCTCTCACGTCCCGTCTTGGTCTTGTCTCCTGCCCTGATAGACAGCCGGCGGAAGATGATGGGGAGAGCCAGATAGACACCGGATGTAATGGCAGGTGAGGCAATTCCCTGGACAATGCCCCAAAATTTGGTGTCTGACTCGAGAGAATTCTGGAATCCCTTCCAGACCTTGCCCAGGTTGCTCAAGTTGACGAGGAAGATGGCGATCATGGCGTTGGGAGCGATCCAAAAGAAGGTGAGAAGGATGATCCAGAGACTGTTGAACCATCTCCGGCGACTGCGAGTGGAGCTGGACAGTGGCATATTGGGCCAGATGATGTCGATGGGCTTGGGCGCTAGCTTGATCGTCGTGCCATGGGGCTTCTTCCGGCGGGTGAGGTAGGCAATCTCGTGCGCCTCGGCGACCTCTGAGTAACTGGCAAAGCCAAAAGGCATGGAGCTTCGTTTGTCAACACTAGCACGGACCTCTTTCACTTCCACCTCGAGTTCTCGAATTCGCTGAGTGTAGTACTCAATGGCATCCAATCGCTGGCCCTTTGGGTAGGTTCCATACGAACGATCCTTCTTGGAGGGCTTGCAAGTAGGTCGTGGTGGCAGGCTACTAGGGTTTTTTAGATATTTGGCCAGTACTTTTTCCAATTTGCGAACGGCTCGGTCGTGCGCCGCAATGAGGTCGGGAAGATCCTTGACGTTTCGGGCAATGGCAGTTCGCGCAAAAGACGAGTTGGGAGCGACGCCATCGATGATTCGCGCGATACCCTCATCAGAACATCCTTGCTTAGGAATATCATATAGCTGTTTGATTGGGGCAAACGGTCAGCTACTCGTTGTAATTTGGAGGGGAAGAAAGTATAGGATCACAGCATTGAATATAGACAGGGCTTACCATGAGCGTTCGCGAGTGCAGACTATTTTGGTAGTCTTCACTCTGAAAATACTTGCGACGAAGCTGCGTGATTCTGCGGTAGTTCCACCAAAGGAAGAAGCAGACGACAATATCGAAGACCCAAGCAATGACGACCTGGGACCACAAAGGGCGACCCCAAACATTCAAGGGCGTGATTTGCAAAATCCAACTGGTCGAGTCTTGGACAGTATTCGAATCTGGTGTGGACATTTTATAATTGACGGGAATGAGAACACTGACGCCGATGATGGCGAGGATCACGAAGATGTTGCGACACATGCGCATAACGCGCAAGAAGATGGTGGCGTCCATGCCAATCTGCTGCATCAGCTTTTCCTCGTGCGTGCTCATCAAGGGGAGGACCCATGACCATGGCTTCTTGCCCAGAGGCGGCGGAGCGTGCTTCTCGTCGGCATGCTTTAGCTTGGGGGCGTAGACGGCCTGGTTGTAAGGTCTCAGGAAAGAGAACAAGAGGGCGACGATGGCTGTAAAGCCGAGAGAAGTACCCAGCGCAGAGTAAACGGAAGCCGATGCGAGCTACAAGGAGGATGTGTTAGACAGAGTAAAGACAACAAAGAGAGGCTTCGGCCTGGAAGCGCCCGCCCACGAGGCGACTGTAACTGACCGTGCCTGAGAAGGGATCTTTAAGCAGATTCAGAAGCTCTTCGGCGGGAGTCTCGCCGTCGTCGCGCGCCCGAAGCCATTGCCAGATGGGCTCCTGGAAGGTCATGTTGCAGGCGTGTGCGCCCGTCTAGGGCAGAGAATTTTGTAATTGATCAAAATCAATCGACAGCAGCAGTAGTAAGCGAGAACAAGGCGCGTGTTTCTCCCACACAGTGGAAGCGCTCGAAACAGTTCTGCAAAAGGCTTTTTGCGCCGAGCAGCAGAATCCGTGGCCAGTCGTTGCTCAATCAAGAGCTCGAGGGCTGGTGGAGGAACGCGTCGAAGGCGTAGGCCACAAGTTGCGCAATCCAAGAGAGTTGCGTCACCAGCGTGATGTCAGGGGCAATGTCGCTTCGGATGATGCCTGTCCGTACTAGGTCGCTAAATCGAGTAGCGAGCAGCGAGAGAAAACGAGAGTAAAAGGAAAAACGAGGGAGGAAAGAAAAAGAATAAAGAGGCCAAGGCACCGGCGCCGTTATACAAGACAACAAAAACGAGGGACGCTCTCCGCTAGTGAATCGCAGATGAGCCGGGCATTTGGATGAAGAAGAAAAAAACCAAGGACGCCGAAAGAAAGAGGAAAAGCTCGGCTGGACCAGGGGTCATCGGATGGGGTTTCGAGTGGACAGGTGAGCAGGAAAAGAGGGAACCTGACCAGGATGGGCTCGATTCCTGGATGGGGATGGTCTGCCCGCGGCTCTGGCAGCGCTGAGGATCACAGATGGCATCGGGGCCCAAGCTCTGGGATGGAGAAGCGAGACAGTTGTGCAGGGAGAGGGTCCGCCGGTGGCTGCTGGAGTGTCTAAAAAAGATGGGGATTCAAGGCCAAGTGAAGCAGTCGTCGAAGAATCGTGTATCTACAGAAGAAAAAAGAAGGTGGTCACGCATGTGCAGTCCCTGGAAGTTAATCGACAGTGACACGATACCCCGAGATACGTGGGCGTCCACTGATGAGCGCGGCGGCACTCCGTATCCTTGCGTACTGCACTACTAGTAGTAGCTGTCAGGGACCAACGAACACCAGAATTACAGGTGCAGCAACACACTCAATGCGCTACAACATCGGTGGCCTCTTTACACGCTCCACGCATCCCAGGCAAGAAACACTCGGCCCAGCTTTGCTGACTTGATTGGAAAACTGGAGCCCTTTGTTTCAGCAGACATTTTCCTTCCCTTTGCTTTGTTTTACGCTTGGCCCAAGTGGACGACTTGCGCACAACGGCCAGACCGCAGGCGCGCCACGCCATTGGCCTCGACCCCTGCCGGCGTTGCCCCTTGTGGGCTCCTCTCCAGCGCCCCTCTGGCCGCGGTGGCCACTAGAACGCAGAACAGGAAAAAATTAGGCGTGGGCAGGTTGCTATTTTTGCGACCCCTTAAAGCCACTGCAGCGTTAGCGCCCTAGGCTGCTGTTTTAGCATCGAGCGGTTCCCTCTGGCGGTGGCTGTTTGATGCCAGGCACCGGCGGGGTGGGGCGGGAGGGATAAACGGGCAGATGGCACGAGTTGTGAATACGAGCCGTGGCATCTCACTAAGATGCTAGGAAAATCAGCAGGACACGAGCCGTGGCAGCTGCAGAAATCTCGTGCAGTGCATTTGCGCCATAGAAGCGCTTGGGCACCGATGCTGTAGATGGACCAACGCAGGCGCTTGGAATTGAACGACAAGACAACATGCGAAGATAAACTCTGCACTACTGCCACTGTCAAGGTCCCGCAACACCAACCGCGACTAGCTCTCTCAGCTGCATTGGCTTGGTGACATTCAGTGACCAGTCGGATTCTTGCACTCAACCTCAAAAGTGTAGTTTATTTTTATCTTAATCATCTTGCTATTCTTACTACATACGATACTCTATGATCAACTCGTCTCATCTCTTGCTTACTGCTGCATGAGAAATGCAGGTGCATATGTGCGTCCATATGTCAGTCACCCGGAATGCCTTCGTGCCGGCTCTACAGATCATCGCTCAGCGGGGTGGCCTCTGAGTGATCCTCGCTGGGATGAGTGAGCAAAATGCCTGACAAGTTGCTGTTTTCGCCACCATGTCCGCGATCGACACTCGTAACCGCCCTCGGTGCAACCAGCATCTCGATCTGAAGACAGAGGCCAAGCCGTGGGAATCGCCCGCGCTTTTTGTGGCCTTTTTTGCCTTTTCACAATGAATCGAAAAGAGACGCTGTAATAGTACCTACACCATCTATAATTATTCCTTGACTCTCACCGCAGCGCATATGGCCTATAAGCACGCACAATTCTCGGGTCTAACGGCGGCAGGGCCACGAGCTGGGCGGCTGTAGCCGATCTGTGCTTCGCCACAGATGGCGACGATCGTCCAGCTACCCCGGCCTTGTGTCGTGGTCGATTGCTGGTCGATTGACGAATGGATGGTAACATATACTGCTGATACTACGTGTTCACCGGTTCGCATATGCTTCTGAAAGTCAAGATGGCACGCGCATCTCATCTCCATGTTGTTAAATATAGGTTGGTGTGCCTCGTATGTAATAAAACATGCAGGCGGCGCTTTATGCGTGGCTCCTTGTCGATACGGTTATCGCGGTCGTAGAGTCCAAATTGGGCTTACAATCCCTGCATCGCCCTGAACGGCTCTAGTCCAATACTAGAATCTACAAAGTTGACCCTGGCGCTGGAGATGTCATCTTCAAATTTTTGTCTATCGTTTCCTTACAGCTCGCTTCTTGTCTGCGTGTAAGCAACCACTGCTTTCAATTCCTTTCTTCATCATGCGATACTCATGCACATGAATACAATTGGTGCGCCTAGAATACTTTTATCATATGCATCGTATTCTCACCGTCGCAGATACGCTCTACATAGAGGCCTCCATTCTGTAAGTTGTGAGCTGAGATGGAGTCTATACGAGCAAAGTTTGAATCTTGTAACTAGAATCGGCAATGATTTTGCGCGCATCAAGTCCCGGCACCGTGCAGTGCAGGCATGCCATACTGCCTTCTACATGTATCCAGTTCAATCCTTCCCCTGAGTCCAATCCCAGCGACAGCGTGCAAGCCCCTGCATTGCGTCCCGCGGCGAGCCATTTCATGTGGAGGCATCACTCCACCAGGGAACCTTTTATTGTCCGTCTGTCCGGGGGGAACAGGGGGGGAGCTGTTGAGTTGGTGATGATGCTTTTTTGGGTCACAGAACAAAAAGAATAGTATAGATAGGTGTACAGAAGTAGGAATAGAGCAATTAACTATATTTACTACAACTACATAAAATACCTTTTATGTATTACATAGGTATATCGTAGAAGCATTACATGTGATAACAGTAGTAGAAACAGTTGAAGAAATAACGAACAGTAATAGACAACTCTAACATAAAACGAATATAATGAGCTCTCGTAGTGTCAAACTATATCCCATAATTGATAGAGCTGCATCGTCATAGTTTAAACTTCCATCCATATTTTTCATATCTTTAACCAATCAGCCATCCTCTTTACCAATATATATCCCTGGCCCTTGATATCACAGACTTTCTTCACTGCACTGTCTTTATCGACGCTGCTGAACATCTTCCGGCCACGGCTGCTGCCGCACAAGATTCACACACATGAGCGACTTGAACCGCCCACGATTGCTATACCTCTCCACCATATCGCGGCACTGGTAATTCTCCTCAAACACCAGCGGCGCAGAGGAAATGCCCCTGCAGCCACCGTGCCAGTAGGCCCTGCACTCGACATACTGCGTCACGCCCAGCCTGGTATCCCAAACGCGCAGCGACACCGACGGCATCCTCGCCGTGTAGCACCGCCCGAGCTGGATGTGCGTGACCTTTTCGAGGGGCGGGCAGCGCTCGATGTCGTCGTTGGCGTACTGGTCCTTGCAGCGGCAGTCGAAGGGGAAGACGTTTGTGATGTTGGTGAGGGCGCGCTCGATCTCGTCCATGCCGCGGAGGGTCCAGGGCTTTTTGGCCATGCTGCCGGTGTTGAAGAAATGGGGCGGCTTGACTTGGCGGGGGAGGATGCCGGCGAGGGAGGGGACGATGAGGAGGATGGTGAGGATGAAGGAGATGCGGAGACGCATTTTGCTTGTTGGTGAGATTCTGTAGACTTGTTGGTTCAACTTCGTTTCGTCTATAGGAGAAATGCCTGGTGGGCGTAGATTTTGAGACTGGATTGGTCTTGGAGTTGGAAAGCTGGGATCTGGTGAGTAGAGGAGTTATGCGTTATATACCATAGGCAGTACCTATCAGGCACTGCTTTGAGTTTTGAGGCTTTTGAAGCCCTTCAAGCTTTGGTCCTCTTTGTGACTTACAAGTAGAGTTGCAGTGGCTGGCTCTACATTAGGTACTCATTCACGACATGTATACGCTTGTGCGTGGCGGAGTTGACATGACTGAAGATAGTATATATGCGCCACGCTGGTATAGATATACTCCAAACTGTCGGTGGATAAGGAACTAGATACGAATAAAAAGCCAAGAGTTATAGTTATATGGCGTACATGCTACATGCGATAGATTTTGGTGAGAATATCTGCACAAAATTTGAGCACCGTCAAGGAAAGTATAACCGCATGAGTCAGTGCAGAAGACAGTTGGAAGCTGGATATCGTCTCCTCTTACGCGCGTCATGCATCTGTGATAGTATTCATTTACGTAAGGTAAGGGAAAGTATCTTATGGTCCAAGGCCAGCGTTTTCACTAAATATATATCGATCCTGAGAGGCTCTTCTAGTTAAGGGTGAGAGACTCTGCCTTGCCCATCATCACAAGGAGTGTTAGGAACAGAAATAGGGACCTCAAAATGAAAATACACGCATAGACTGTGAGGATAGTGCGCGTAATGTTAAATACGATTGCATACTAATGGCAATAAATTCGCCACTATTGCTCCCTACCTGTATCTGGTGGCTGCTCCTATCGGCGAGTATACTTTCTTCAAGGTGGACTAGATGTTGCAAGTAGATGGTGTAATTTATCCCTCATCATATGCAGACAGCGGTCAAATATTACAGCCGAGCGAATCCAGGGTTGAATAAAGCACCCAATTCACATCCAGTATCGGCCATGCCAATCTTCAAGTAGACCAGAATCGCTTACTATAACTGCTAAAGCTTCGTATGTTATCAAGCTCCCACTACTTACAGCGCGAATGCAATCAACTAAGAATTTGGAAAGCCAAGCAGTTACATGAGGCATACAACATTGGCCATAAGCCCCATCATGCCGTGCCATGGGCAAAACTTTTTAGCTAGCTTGGGACAAATATACAGCGACCACCCATGACACAAGAAAAAAATTCAAAACCCATCAAACAAGCGAACCATTTTTCGCCGTATCACCGTGGGCCTGGATCCATTTTGGCACTAAAATCAAGTGGCGTTAAGCATCGATCAAGGAAAGAGAGCCAAGGAAAAGACATAGAAGAAAGATGGAAAGGAACGTGAAGTCGTTGTTTCAGCCATCACTCTCAGGCCTCCACTGGCCCCTGACTCCGGGTCTTGCGCGCCGTCTTCCCCAATGCCGGAGGAGGAGCTGCCTTCTTTTCCTTGCTGCCGTTCTTCTTAGGGCGGCCCGGCTTCCTCGGAGCTCCACCGTTGGAGCTTGCCTCGCCATCGTCAATCTTGGCCTTTTTATCTGCCCGCTCGCTCTCGTCGGAGTCTTCTTTCTCGGGAGCAGTAGCAGAAACATCAGCCGGGCCTTCGGCCAGTTTGCGCTTCTCTCCGATGACAATCTCCGATACGTCAGACTTGTCATCGTCGTTGCCGCTTTGGAGAGCGCCTGCCATCTCGGCCGGCTTTGACTCGCCATTTGGAGTCACAGGCTTATCGACAATGGAATCAGGGCCATTGTCGCTGTTGGGAACAGAGGCTGCAGGAGTTGGCAGCGGCTCTTCAACGCCAGTGATGACCACGGGTTCTTCTTGTGGCTTTGGAGACTCTTCTGTCTCCATGGAGATATTTAACTCTGGTTTTGGCGATCCATTCACCGATTGGTTGGCGGGTGTCTCAGGGACAGATTGGACCTCGACGGGTCGTGGAATCTGATGGGCCTTCTTAAAAGCTTCAATGACGTTGAAGGGCTCCGTCGACGACTTCGCGTCTTCAACTGCTTTTGTTTCACCAATGATCGGAAGCTCTTTGGAGGGTTCAGCTTGAGCTAGGGGATTCTCAGAGACTTCTGGCTTGGCTGTGTCCAAAGTCGGAGCTCCAGCGAGGGCCTCGGGGGCTGTAGGCTCAGGCGCGCCAACTGTTGATGAAGCTGTCAGCAAGAAGGCTTCCCATCAGTACACTTTACAAAGCAGTGGCTGTGTTTAAAGCGCATGGCGGAATGAAAGGGCGATTTCCCAATGGAGAGGATCAATTGGGTTGGATTATGATAGATCGAGGATGCGCATAATCACACGCGACGCGGGTCACACCCAATCGCATACAGCGTCACGACACACGTACCTTTGTCAACAGCTGGAGCGATGCTGTCAGCCATGATGGATGATGTTTATGACGTAAGTCTATCAGATAGGCGTCGCGCGCCAATGATAGGATAGCGGGCTAGATGGAGATGCTGGGACACGGCGTAGATGTAGATGCAGGCGGTCGGGGAGTTGCGCACTGCTTGCGAGATGCAGATGGATGGCAGCAGAGGCGCGGGTGCACTGGGAGCATGAAGCAGGAGGATTGAAGGAAGAAGAGGCAGCTTCACCGCAGGAAGTCGGTGCCGGTTCCACAGGCAGTCGATACTACTCTCGTCCCTGTACCATAATTCCGAGGTGAAGTCGCTCGCCCGCAAGTCTGCCGTGGCGAGGAACCTTGCCGCGAGAGCCATGGGCAGCAAGGAGACATGCCGGCGGCGCCGCCTGTGGGTATGAGAGCAGCGCTGATTCTGATTTGCCTTTGCGCAGTCAGACAGAGCAGCAGATTCGTCATAATCAAGCTCCACAGTGTTTGCGCTCGCTCGATGCCGCCGGAGCGACAGCTGCCAGGGACTGTGAGACTGGGAGCGTGGCCGGCCAGGTCACGGTGTGAATTGTCGCGATCGGGACGGTGGTTTGAAGCAGCAACTCTTGCGGGGAAACCTGCAACCTTGCTGGAGGCGACGCCACCGCGAGCTTTCAGCTCCGTATTCGTCCAGTCGCCAGTGCATCCGCCAGGCCAAGCGGGGCGCTACCGATGCAATGCACGTCTGTTCGGCTTTTAACAGGTACTGTACGTTGTTGTTACTGGACAGTGCCTGGAATGGAGCATTGACAAGCCGGCACTGCAGGGCAGCATGGATATCCCAGCACCGCCTGTCATGTGGTGTGGCTGGCTTGTCTGCAGCAGTGGTTCACCGAAATTTCCATGTTTGAGATCCTCGGATGATGGATGGGACGATTATGTTGTCTAGAGCTTCCAATGGATGGAGCAGTTGTATGCAACTCGCGCTGCGGCGTTCAACATGCCACTGTCGCAACTTTATATCCCAACCCTGTCCATCGTCAGCCCGTAGATAAAGTCAAAACGCAAAAATTAGACCAAAGGTGTTTTGTCAATCCGTACAAGTCAGCTATGCCAAAATGAAGTCGATGCATCAATTTTCGATCTGTAATACCGTAATCATCAATTTTTGGAGCATCAAAAAGAGAAGAAGACGCTGAAGAGCTCCAACTTCCTGCAAACGACATCCTCACATGCGTTTGCTTAGTCATCAACCCAGTGGCCCCTGAACTGCCACTTTTCGGCTACCCGCCAGCTTCCAGAAGGACAGCTATCACAGCTGCAGACGCGCAAAACCCAACTTCAGCACACTCCTTTATCGCCAATTAACGCGTCTCTTTTTTCCTTCTTCTACTTTTCTGTTTCTAGCGCAAAGACGATAATCATGGCACCTGCAAAGATCACAAAGGACAAGTACTCGGTCATCCTGCCGACGTACAATGAGAGGAAAAACCTCCCCATTGTGGCATGGCTGCTGAACCGCACCTTTACAGAGAAGTAGGTGGTGACCGGATCCTCAAACTCTCAGGCCAAAGAACGCATTGGATATGAATGTATGAGCTGACAGTTCTGCTCCTTCGTTTACAGCAACCTGGACTGGGAACTCATCATCGTCGACGACGGCTCCCCCGACGGAACCCAAGATGTCGCCAACCAGCTCGTCAAGGCCTACGCTCCCCACGTCGTTCTCAAGCCTCGCTCCGGCAAGCTGGGCCTCGGAACGGCCTACGTTCACGGCCTGCAGTTCGTCACCGGCAACTTCGTCATCATCATGGACGCCGACTTCAGCCACCACCCCAAGTTCATCCCCCAGATGATTGCCCTGCAGCAACAGGGCCGCTACGACATCGTCACCGGCACCCGTTACGCTGGCAACGGCGGCGTCTTTGGCTGGGACCTGAAGCGCAAGTTTGTCAGCCGCGGCGCCAACCTGTTTGCCGATACCGTGCTGCGACCGGGTGTCAGCGACCTGACGGGCAGCTTCCGCTTGTACAAGAAGAGTGTGCTGGAAAAGGTCATTTCGAGCACGGAGAGCAAGGGATACACGTTCCAAATGGAGATGATGGTTCGCGCCAAGGCTATGGGATGCACTGTTGCCGAAGTGCCCATTTCTTTCGTGGACCGAGTGTACGGCGAGAGCAAGCTGGGTGGCGATGAGATTGTTGAATACGCCAAGGGAGTGTTTTCTCTGTGGCTAAAGGTCTAAGGATAAGGAGTGAAAAAGGGCAGAATGAAGGATGTATCATATGGATTGCTACGAGTTGGATGGGCCGGCGTTTATGTCACTGAGAAGGGTAGTCTCGTTTCTAATTAATCAAATATACCATTGCCATTTTTAGCAAAAATCAACGCTATAACACAACTATGCCATCAAGATCAACTCATCTTACATGTTCCTGCCTCCTGTCACCATGATGACTTGGCCTGTTACATAGGAAAAGAGCGGACTCGCCACGGCCAGAATCGAGCTCGCAGCCTCCGTTGCAGTCCCCGGCCGTCCCAAGGGAATATCTGAAGGCGGCGCTGAACCAGGCTTGCCTCGCCCCGGCACACCCAGCGCAATCTTCTCGCCGCCCGGCCCAACCACAAACCCTCCATCCTCCTTGGCAGCCGTCAGGCGGGTCTGGATATACCCAAAGGCAACCGAATTGGCCCTCACCCCAAACGCCGGGCCCCATTCCTTGGCAATCGTCTTGGTGAAGCCAATCAGCCCGGACTTGGCCAGCGCATAGTTGATCTGGCCCGCGTTGCCGTGCACGCCCGACGTCGACGACACGGTAACGATGCTGCGCGGCTCGCCGTCCTTGACGCGGAAATAGGGCGCCGCCTCGCGCACCATGTTAAAGGGCGCGGTGCAGTGCAGCGCTATCATGGTTTCCCACTGCTTGTCCGTCATTTTGTGCACGACACCGTCCCACGTGTAGCCGGCGCCCATGACGAGGATGTGGATCTTGCCGTTGCCGAAAGAGGCGGCTTTGGCGATGAGGGCCTTGATGTAGGACGAGTCGAGGATGTCGCCGCTGAAGGAGATGGCTTGGCCGCCGGTTTTGCGGATGGATTCTGCGACCTCATCGGCTTTTTCTGCAGACTATGAGTAAAGTTGAAAAGAAGAAAAGAAGATTGTTATTTACGTACTGGCGTCAATGTCTGCGATTACGACTTTTGCGCCCTCATTGGCAAAGAGGCGGGCGGTTTCGGCGCCGATGCCTTGGCCTGCGCCGGTGATGATGGCGGTTTGGTTGGCGAGGAGGCCTTTTGGGTAATTGAGGTGGCCGACGACTTGTGAGATTCTGTCTGCCATTTTTATCAAATTTGAAATGTTATATATGTGAAGAAATAAGGAGTATTGGTTATTGATGAGGAATAACTGAGGCGGGATGAAGTATTAAGTGCTGCTTGGCGTACCGAGGCTCGCGGCTGGCGGCGTATAATGGAGCCCCGGTGTGTGGGGTATTGATATCCGGGGTACAGGAATTCTCCTCTCTGGGTTGGAGATCGGTCTCTGATATCCGATCCGGCTATTTGTTATGTACTTTGTTAGATTGGTAGTAAATAATACAAACGAGAATGTATCACCTCTTTTGAGAGTCGTGGGCGCTGCGCTCTTGTACGTTGACGAACAGCTGCCTTTTGTTATTTAGAAGAGACCTTGGTTAGAATGTAGTCACAACATATATTAGTCCACCTAGACACAAACGCTATTTATTCTAATGTGATATTCTATAAAGCCAATTGTACAAATTGATCATCTCGAGAAATGTGGCAGATTAGAATGCAGTATGTTCATCGTTCAGAGCTTGAAATCAGCGTTCGTCTTCTCCCACCCAAATGGCGATTCTTCCATGTTAGCAACCTTTTCCGAAAGTCTGCCCTTAAATATCCGGTTCCTTTCTGAGCACAACTCGTACGTTGTCGATAGATTAAACAAGAGAGTATGCGATGATAGACCTGAATCGACTAGTTTCTCCAGTATTGCACGACCCTAGCATCATATCAGTATGGGCGTTGTCCAAGCTAGCCGTCTTCGCAAAACTCACCTCCTGAATTCGTCCAAGATAGATCAAACAAACGGCCTGGTTCACTCCAACCATTTCATCTACCGTCATTATATCAAACTCCTGCCATTTCTGCAATGCCTGTTCATAATTCGAGTCTGCCATGTCGCACAAGGCCAGGATTATCTTCTCAACGTTCTCGGTATCCTCAGAGCACTGGCTTGCACACAACTGTGCATTCCGTGTGTCGCCAAGGTGTAGCCAGAGCAGTGCCTTTGATAGAGCGAGCTTTCCGTCGCCTCGATCTTTCAGACTGCTGAGGTGGTGCGCCGCGCCAGAGAGATCGTCCATCTCAATCAGAGCCCCTGCAACTTTGATGCCCAGCTCATGGAGCCGTGACTTCCAGAGCTCTCTGGCAGAGTTATCATGCACCAGTGACGCTTTTCTAATGTTTTCCCTGGCCTCTTTGGCGAGATCATGATAGCTCATGACAGCGCGACGGGGGTCTCCAAATCCGAGCGCCTGCAGCCGCACGTGTAGTACGCGTAGCTCCCATGGCACAAGATGCTCGTTTGTGGTATCATCTATATATCTCCGAGGGTCGTTTAGGTCCTCTAGTGCCTTGGCCTCCTGAGCTGCAAGCGACGTGGCGTCAATCAAGGTTAGGCAGGCAAGTCGGGTATACAAAAGCCTGAATATCCTGTTGGCATCATGGGGATCGATGCTGCTCCCATTTATGACTGAGCCAGTCAGCTCTTGGGCTGCCGCAATGGCCGCTGCCCGAAAATGGCCTTTGGATAGTAGCTCGTCTATCGGTACTTCTGGACCAGGCTGCTTCTGTGAGTTTCTGAATGCAGGAGGGATGTGTTGGGAGTTGAGGGGATGGTAGATTTCAGGCTGTAAGAGAAATTCAAAGTCCTTTGGCCTCGATTCTCCCAGTTGAGGAGTCGGAGAGGGCGGAGCCTGTCGAGGATGCGCTGCGTTGGAGGGAGATCGCGCTGGCGACATGAGAGTTGGGCTCAGCTGAGAGGCTGAAGCGGTTGGAGATGTTAGTAGCCCACTGACGCTCAGTTAGAAAGAAATGTCAATCAAACTTTGGTGAAGTTTGTGTCCAATAAACTGACTTATCGACGTCTAAAGGGCCCTTCGTGGAAGATCGTGGTCTTGTTGCTGTGTATAAATGTCAGTATGTTTGCAGCGTCTCATTCCCGCAGTGTATCGTGAGCAGCGATGGAGGGGCAGCTGTCTATAAGGCAAAACATGTGTATTCGTCATCTAAACTGCAGACACTTGATATCACGTACCACGAGTAATAGATGCTTTGTTTCTTCTATGGCCCTGCTCCTGGGGCGGAGTATTCAGAAGATCGCTCATTATGTCCCAATTTCGCCTCGACTTAGATATACACGATTGGAGTTGTCAGGTTTACGGGCCAGTGACATGAATACGAGAGGGCGGTATGACGGTCGGATAAACATCGGCTGTTCCATCAACTCTCGAAAGCTCAAGGGTAGCAACATCATGCATATTGCATCGTGCAAGATGATTCAACGAAGAGTCTACTAAAAGGCGCGCAAAAGTTCTTTGCGACTCGTTAACCTTCTGGGTTTTTGCCACGCGTCCATATAATTTGAAATGGAAGCTTATGCTCCATTTTAACGGCTTTTACTCTCCACGTAGAAATGAGTATTTCTAGATATAGTACATAATGCTATTAAAAAAGATAGAGGCTATACAATAGCATGAACCTGCTACACACTATAAGCTCAGCTCAGACTCCAAATTACGAGTAAGAGAGGTTTTTTTTATTTCAGATTTTTTCGTTCAACTATCGTGAAAATCTTTGGTGTGAGGCTGGCATTTCCATACCAGCTGCTAAAAGTATATTTTTTTTCGCACTGAAGCCCCACCAAGTCGCGGTTCTCAGACCTCACTTCTAAACTCAACTTTTTCTCACACGCGACGCACTATGAGGACCAGAAGGTCAAATCGCACAAAAAAATACACGCTCGACAAGTACGACTTCCTCAGCTCTGGAGACGAGAGAGAACAGACTCCAAAGCGTCGCAAAACTGTAGATGACAATGACGACAATTTTGAGGCGCCCGCGGAAGAGCGGAGCGCTGCAGAGGAGGATGAAGATGAGGACGAAGAGGATGTGCAGATGAATGATGATAGCGCCAGCGAAGTCAATGCGAGAGAGAGGCCCTCTCGCCAGCGCCCCAGATCAACGAAACCCCCCAGGCCCTCGGATCCTGGTGAAATGGAAGTGACGGGATATTTGGACATCGAGCTCATCCCTCCAGAAGGTCAGCACAAGGGATATGTTGGGCCGTACGAGAGAGGAATGCGCGGCAAGGCGCTGGCGAGGACCTTGTATGGGCCTCAGCCTGAGCGCATAGAGATGGCTCACACGCTGCTGGAACGATGGAGCGGATGGACGCTGTATCCGCCAAAGGTGCCGCAGGGCGAGGATGAACCGACAGACAAGGGCTTTTGGATCTCTGGTGGCCTTGAGAAGGAAGCCCGTCTTGCCAAACAGTGGTATGAGCAAGTGAGCAAGGGTCTGCCATCTGACGATGTGTGGTCAGAATTATCTCCTGAGGAGTCTGTGATGTACCGATTTCCGCAGCTGAGCATGCCTGTTTTGACGGGACCGCAAGAAGAGCAGCAGGAGATGCTGATGGAGCCAGGGACCAGCTATCCTCTGTCGCAAAGCAATATCCCGTTTGATCAAGATGAAGACGAGGACAAGGTTGAATGTGGATGGATGCTGGATGTTGGCGGCCTTGTCTTGGGCATGGACTGGGCGCCGAGACGAGACAAGAACCCGAAACAGCTGCTTGCCCTGGCCGTCATACCCCAATCCGACCAGGACTTTTATAATTACGAGGAAGAATCTGTGAAGCCTGGTTTTCAGCAGCAAGGTATTGTCCAGATTTGGGAGTTTAAGAGTACCAAGACAGATGAGGGATTCACTCGTACGTCAAAAGAACCCGCAATGCTGCGCAAGACTTTGTGCTTAGACTACGGAAGGGCTCGAAGGGTCAAATGGAGCCCTTCTTGTAATCACGTTGCGGTCCTCTCGAGCGACGGAAACGTCTATGTTGCGGATGCTGGGGATCTTGATGGCGACGAAGAGGGAGCCTACTGTAAGCTCGAATCATTAACCTCTGCTCTCTCTTTTCCGTGTAATTGGTACTGACGAAATTATAGACAAACTAGACAAGCCGTTTGCGGTGCTCAACTTGATTGACGAATACAGCATAAAGGCTACTGCAATAGCGTGGGTCAATTGCAATCGAATGGCCGTCGGATACTCTGACGGGTCGATTGCCCTATGGTCGATATACCCGCAGCGTCTCCTGTCTCGACATCCAGTCCATCACAGCGACATCATCGACATGGTGTCTGGATACCCAACATTACCAAATATTATCGCTTCGATTCCAGTGGGCGGCACCGCCAGAGTCATTGATCTCCAAGCTCCAAGTTATGAAACGACTGAAGCCCAAAGACCATTGGTACATACACAGCCAGGTCTCTTGGCTTACAGCGACCATCTTCTTGGTTTCTTATCCATATATCCATCTGCTAGTGCGCTGAATACGATTATTGGATTCTTACATCATGCGCATTTCCCTGTATGCCGGAGGGTGTTTACAGGAGATAGCTTTCTAACATGCCTGGCTGTTGGACGACTTCACCCCTTTTTGCTCATTGGTGCAACAGACGGTTCTCTATGGTGTCTCAACGCACAAACTGAGGTCTTCAGCAACCGTCACGAGTCAACAGACAAGATACGAGTCTTTCAACATGAGCACCGGCCAGGACATCTATTCCCTCCGGACTCTCCAGCGGCAGCTCGCGGCGTCTGTCGCATCCTGCACGGCTTTACAGTGGACAGGAACAGAAACTCAAAACCAGAGGCAAAACTGAGCGCAAAGAAGGGCAAGAAATTACGGGCTAAGGAGCCTGCTGAGGTTGCGGTAGAGGAGGGAGAAGGCGAGGAGGACGATGACGAAGCTGGCGACTTGACTGACCCATTTCGCGCCACTCTGCATGAGGCACTGACAAGAATCACTGCCATTGAGTGGAATCCCAATCTAGATCATGGATCTTGGGCGGCGGTGGCCATGGGTTCGGGACTTGTACGAGTGATTGATTTAGGGCTGGAGAAATACCCCGAGGCGTAATTTTTAGATGACATTTTGGCGCGAATGCCGTGTCTATATATATACATTTATGTATGTGCCAGTTCTATGTTCTAATTGTCTTTTTCTATACTTACAAACACTGGGAGCCCATGCCCGCGTGATGGTGATCAAACGCCTTTGCCATGCCGTAAAAGTGCGTGGCCGCCGCAAAGAGGACAAACATGTGGAATATCTGGTGGGAGCTGCCCCAGATGTCAAAGGCTCCAGGATAGACTCTCTCTGGGAAGCGAGCCTACAAGTTGAGAAAAGTTAGAGAGTGCAGGTGGAGATGTGAACGAACGGAGGGGATGACAAACCGCGTAGAGGACTGCGCCAAATATGTACAGGAGGCCTTGCAAGACGACCCAGCTGAGGCTCATTCTATCTTCGAGAGCTTGGTAGCCGAATTTGAGGAAGCCGTGGCAGATTGGGATGATGCCAGAGAGGCCTAGGCTGATGAACATCATGGCACGGTAGGGTCTCCAGGCGGGGGTTCTGAACTTGTCGACCCAGGAGACGGCCACACATCCAATACCGAGGATACAGATCTGTGGTTGTTTAATGTGTTAGAGATCAAAAGTCCTCCCGGTATAATAGAACAGCACAGCACATTTAGGTTGAGCGTTGCATGAAAGTCTACTCACCAGATACAGATATCCCGTCATCAAGATAGGATGGCAGAAGAAGCCATAGTACAGCGTCGGCACATAGCTTCCCACAATCAAAGCCACGATGCCCGTGTAATCTAGTTTATTTCCCCATCTGGCAATCTCCTGACTATGATCCGTCAAAGCATGATACGTGGCGCTCATGCCGAGACACACCACGGCACTGCCAAAGAAGCACGCAAAGACCAGCACATCCGACGAATTGGCCGTCTCATAGCGCGGATGAATTACAAGATACAACCAAGTCGCGGTGATGATGGCAACGATGGCGCCGGCGAGATGCGACCAGATGTTGACGAATTCGTTGTGCAGGTAGAAGAGAGAGCGGGCGGATTCGGTGTAGGACGGGCGGGTGGGCCGGTAGCCGGAGAGGATGAAGGAGTTGTCGCGGCGCCAGGCGGGGAGGTCGTCCCAGAGGAGGAGGAGCTTTTGCTCGACTTTTTGCTCGGCGTGCTTGACGGCTGAGAGGAGAGAGTTGGAGGAGCGGCGTTTGCGGAGGGAGTTTGAAGGTGAGGATGAGGCCATGGTGATTATAGTTGGCCTTTCGCAAAAATAAGAGTGTCTTTTGATCTATCTATGATTGAAAGTTCAAAATTGATTGAAAATGAAGAATGGTTGTTTTACTTTAGTCGAATCATTTTTTATCAGACTTTCATTTCATTGTTGAATAGAGATTTTCAGTGAGTTGTTGGGAAGTTCTGCATGCGGGCTTGTCGCTCGAGATATTCGGGCCTGAGTGGACCTTTCGGCGGAATGGTTGGGGGCCTCGGCGCTGGCCGGAGACTTGCAGTGCGTTTTATCGGAGGCGATTGCACATGACAGGTGCTGGTAGAGGCCTGTGACAGATGACGCTAGATTGGCGGGCATTTGGTCTTTATACTGCTGTCTATATCCAGTGGTAGAATATCGACATTAACAAACATTAGCACCCAGACTATGTATGAAATAGTTCATGAGTCAATACGTAGTCATTAGGAGTTGTGGCATAATGTATCGCCAAGAAACGAGGCTTGCCTGGAGGCCTCTGCAAATATGTTCTTCCCAGCTGAGCGCTTGCAAGATGCAGGCATATACTGGGTGGACATGTGGAGTTCAGTATTGCAGGTACAAAAATTGAACATCTCATAGCCTCAAGCCTTGACGCCAACTGATTCTCACTCAGCATCACTTCTCTATTGTAGAGTCGCTCCTTCAAGCGAAGCGCGGCGCATCGCCGGTGTAGACTCTGAAGGCACAAATTTCAAATCTCAGTAGATATCAAATCAGTATATAAAATATATTTCCCAACGCCGGATAACATTCCCTGCGGAAACTACAGATCTTTTATCCTGAAGAGCGGATGCAGCCGTTCCATTTGATCCAACAGTCGATGCCGTGCATACATGTAGTCATCTACCACAGGACATCCTCTTGTAGCCCCCCGTATTATCGCAAACTTCGCAGCAGGCTCATGTAAACGTTTCCCAATAACATATTGCTTCGTCGTCTGTCGTCTATTTCTTGCCGCTCTTCTTGATGCCCTGGGTGCCAGTGTTCAGAGGGCCTCTGCCGCCGGCCTTGGCAGCCATCTCCTTTCGCGCCTTCTCGTCTGCTGAGTGTCAGTCTACGCTGTGTCGCTGTGAACCTCGGTGGTCGGGAAACAGTAAGGGGGCCGTACCAGCCTTCTTCTTTTCAAGGTAAGCCATGTCGTCGTCGTCGAGGTCCTTGTTCTGCTTCTTCGGGGCCTTTAAGGGCTTCGCCTTGCCGCCTAGAAATCTCGGTCGTTAGCAATCATGGAGGGGCAGTTGGCGGGGCTGCAAACAGCAGAGCGAGGGGGACAAGAATGTAGTTACCTTCTCGGTTAGCACCGCCCATTTTGAATGTGTAGATAGAATAACTGCGGGAAATGAAAAGACGGCTTTGCAGAGAATCTCGAGCTGAAAGGTTGCTTCTTTGACGTGTGAGTGGCAGGTGGCAGATCGTCAGCCCCAGAAAAAAAAGGCCTCCAAAAGCCAGCCCGAAAAGTTGGGCGGTGAGACGGCTGCAGGGACTATTGCTTACCTAATCACGCTAGGCTGAATGATGCTTGCCACTCTTCTTGCTATCTGAAACCCAACCGCCGTTATCTCGAGACCGTCTCGCCATTGCTTCGCAAGTCCAATCGCCTTGCTGACTCGCTGCGTTTTCTTTTCTTCGTATCTTTTAGCTACTTTCAACTTGTTCCAATCTTGAGAATCACTGAAACTACGGCAAAGCCGCCTGAAGCCATCGTTCACCGGCACTATCTTGTGCCCATTCTTTGGCGAGTCAAAACGCTGACCTGGTTGGACTCTTCGCCTGCCACGCGCTTGCTGTCTTGATCTGTTACTGACGCATTCTCTGTTGATATTGAAAGGGGAGCCCACAAGAGGCCCAGAGGGACAAAAGAACCAGATAAGAAAGACATCAGAATGACGTCCAGTTCCGACGAGGGTGAAATTGTTGAGAGAGCTGGAGATTTGAAGGCAACTTCACTGTCGCACGCGGATAGAAACGGTGTTGACCGTAAAGACAGACAGCGGAATAGAAATTCCTCCCCCGATATCGATTCGACTTCAAAACACAACAACTCGTCTCGAAGAAGCCGCTCGCCGCGAGGTTTCAAGCGGTCGCGTGACGATAGGGATCGCCTCCCTCCCAGGGCCCGAGACCAAGACGCTCGCCATGATCGCGGTGCTTCCGACGACCACCGAAGGGATGACTACAAAAGATCCCGTGTAGCATATGACGATCTCGACCGGCCTGCATCACGTACTGCGAATCAAGGCTACGACTGGCGCAGTCGTAGGGACCGAGAGCGGGATCGAAGCCGCGAGCGGGATCGATACCATCGCGAGCGGGATCGATATTCAGAACGTTCGCCTCGCCCTCGGAGCCCGTCGCCTCACCAGTACCGCCGCGGAGACAAACGAGGTGGCGATCGATTTGTCCGAGAAGGCTTCTCTGACCGACCCGATTCACGGACATTGCGTTATGATGATGGTGATGTGAGCACTCGGGGCAACAATTCTGCAGCTAGGAAAGCCTTCGCAGGAGATAGAAACCAGGCACTGGAAAATGATGCTAAAACTCACAAAGGAACAACTCAAAACGACGGTTCTGGGCCTGCCGCTATCTCAAGGTGAGCTGAATACCCCCTTTCTGCCCCTCGCTGCCGCGAAAGTCGGACAAGACAAGCTGATGCGATAATAGAGAGGTTTCGATGCCGGATGAGCCCGAGGTAGACTACGATGAAGCCGAAGCATTTGATGAAGAAGCAGAAATCGAACGACGTCGCAAAAGACGCGGTGAGCTGTTGGCAAAATCCAGCTCTGCAACGCCTCTGCTCCTTCATGCCGTTGGAGCCGCCACTTCCAAAGCTCAAGCATTGTCGCCCGCATCTTTACAGTCGGATACGCCGCTACAGTCTCAGCATTCAGATAGCAAAGCGTCCCAGTCGCCAGGCTCAAGTAGGTCTCATCCTAAGCTTGACTCATTGACAGTGACTAACTTTGTCAGATTTTCCATCACCTCGATCGCCCATGTCGCATGACGCGCCCTCTCCTGGAGGCATTGATCCCTTTGACGATAAAGATCTCATGAACTCTCATGGAGCAGTTAAAGCTAACGACGAGGATGGCCCTTCTGCCGCTGATTACGACCCTACTGTCGACATGGTCGAAGACGAGCGTCGCCACGAACTGCGTCATGGACAAGTCGTCATTCATGGTGAACCCGAGCCTGTGGCCGTGCTTGAGCAGAACCCTACAATCGATGTGCCCAGTGCGCCTCCACAAAAGCCATCTGCAGGCGAAGGAGACGATGACGACGATTTTGACATGTTTGCGGAAAATTTTGACGAAGACAAGTATGCTAGTAAGGCTCAAGCCAACGACACGGCAGCATCTGCTGAAGCCAACGATGCCGTAGAGGCCGCCGATAAGGGAGGTATTCTCGAAGGTGACGACAAGGATGGCTATTACAAGATCCGTATTGGTGAAATTCTCAAAGGCCGTTATCAAATCCAGGCTACACTCGGCAGGGGTATGTTTTCTGGAGTTGCTCGTGCGGTTGACATCACCACCAAGCAACTTGTTGCTATCAAGATGATGCGAAATAACGATGCCCTTCGAAAGGGAGGCTATACTGAGATTGCGATTCTTCAAAAACTCAACGAAGCGGATCCCGAAAACCGGAAGCACATTGTCAAGTTTGAACATTCTTTCGACCACCGAGGTCATCTGTGTTTGGCTTTTGAGAACCTTAGCATGAACTTGCGTGAAGTTTTGCGCAAGTTTGGTAATAACGTAGGCATCAACCTGAAGGCAACAAAAGCCTACGCATATCAGATCTTTGTCGCCCTAGCCCACATGCGCAAATGCAGCATCATCCATGCCGATTTGAAGCCTGACAATATTTTGGTCAACGAAAATCGAAATATTCTCAAGATTTGCGATCTTGGCACAGCTATCGATCGCTCTGATGCCGCGACTGCGCATACCGAAATTACACCATATCTCGTCAGCCGCTTCTACAGAGCCCCTGAAATCATCCTAGGAATGCCTTACGACTATGGAGTGGATATGTGGTCTATAGGCTGCACTCTGTACGAGCTGTACACGGGTAAGATTTTGTTCACGGGAGACAGCAATAATCAGATGCTCAAGACTATTATGGAGATTCGTGGCCGAATAACGCCCAAGCTGTATAAACGTGGTCAGTTGTCAAGTGTCCATTTTGACGACCAGGGACAGTTTATCAGCATTGAGCGCGACAAGGTTCTTGGCAAGGTATGTACAGTAACCCGGAATTTCTCCTTTCTTATTGAAGACTATGGCTAACAATTACACGTATAGACGGCACTGCGACCTTTGAACATTGTCAAGCCGACACGGGACCTGCGTACACGACTCTTGGCTGCTTCGAGCGGTATGAACGATGCTGAAAGTAGGGAGCTCAATCACTTCATCGACTTGTTGGATCACTGTCTAGCCCTGAATCCTGACAAGCGATTGAAGCCAGCTGATGCGCTCAAACATCCATTCTTCGTCGCTCGATCCGGAGTGCCCCGGCGATAGGTTTACCGGGTGTGAAGCGATTACGAAATCTAGGAGGAATGCGACTCTGCACATACAGATCCACTGTTGGAGGGTTTCTCAACTTGCTTTGTTTTTCTATTGGCTAAGATGATGGCTGGTTATGTTACAAATTCTGGTGTTTAACGGGAAATATACCTTTGCTCACGCTACAAAACGCTTGGAGCTCCTACAGATGCAGGAGTGTTTTAAAATGCTTCATACATATGAGACCTGTTGTGTCTCAGACGAGACGCTCGTGGACATACAGAGATCATTTATATCTTAATACAATACGGTATATGTATAAAACATATCTTTGGCGTACGACACATTTCGCTTATGATTGCTCTCTATATAGTTTTGTGTAATACCTGATATATCATACTTGAATTCATATTATGAGAAAATATCACATGCGAATCGTGTCTCAGTGTGACTGGCATACAGGCCAAGCCTCTAGCACCACGAACTTTGGACACGACCACAGGAAAAGCAAGGCCTGCAAAAGCACTTCAGTGTCATGCTACTACACGTACACGCTATGTTTGTGCAACGCGCCTCACTACTTGGCTTCCTACGTGGCACATGGGCCAGCTTTTGCCACATATTGGAGACTGTCAGAGATTTCGTTGTTATGCCGTCGGGCAGAATCTTGTGATGTGCGAGTTGTCAAGTTGTATTGGGGTAGGTTAGACAGCTATGCGATTTTTAGCAAATAGCTAGTCTAGTCATCGTTGTATGACGACGGATGCGACTCGACGCTGTGTCGCTTGGAAACACTAATCATAGGGAGCTACGAGTGCTGGGACTTGTGGATACACTACGCTACGCTGGTGTGGCAATTTCCCGAGAAGGATGGTCTTGATGTCTTACGAGGTATGATGGACGTTGTGTCAGGCTGAGGGGTTGGTGAGGGATATTTGATGTGAGGGGGACGATGGGCAAGGCTTGTTAGGCTTTTGTGTGATGTCGTATGTAGAGCAATGAGATGGAAGACGTGGCGAATGTAGATGATGCGCAGGATAGTGTATGTAGGAGGGTAAAATTCGGTGTTACGAGGTTGACTGGATTAAAGAGGCCTTGTTTGAGTGTGCAGGGAGAAATTGAGAGCGTGTGACATGAGATGTGATACTAACAGGATGAAGGGACTAGAGGTGATCTGCGGAACTGTTCTTTTGGCGTTGAGGGAGTAAACCTAGAGATTTTTAGCGGAGACTAGACAGAAGACACTTTTGGTCGATCTGAGGTTCCATCGTCCGGAGAAAAAAAGAATACTGGAAGTGATTGTTCATGATACAACTCTTCGTCATCGATTGGGTCAAGAGCTTGTGCTTACTCCGGTTGATGTCATGAAGCGGCGCTGATCTTTCTTGTTTAGCGGTAGAATTGGGGGTGGGAAGAGCTAAAAGCTGGAGCTTTGCTTTGAGCTTGATTTTCCTTGGCATGCCTTGCTTGGGTCCGATGGATATCAATAAAAGCAAATCGGGCAGGAGACTACTGAGTCTTTTTGCCGCTGGTGTCGTCGTTTTTAGTCGGATATGATGTTGGGATTTTCGGGATATTAGGCTATCTGGGTGGTTAGTGGTGGGGTGCCCTTTTCTAGGGTTTTAGTGACGGGAGTATGATTGAATCGATTAATCGGCTGGGAGAAGCATGGCTTAGTTGGGCTGATCTTGATACGGCTTGTGAATAAGGGATAGGAGGCGTGGAAAGTGAGTGATGTGGATTGAAGTTTCAAGATTCGCGTACAGGCATGGGTCAAGATGGCTTCTTGGTGTTGCATTCAGTAGACTTGGAAATTAAGCCCAAAGAAGCTCCAGCCTCTCAACTAGAACATTCTTGGCATCTTTTCAGTTTTTAGTTGAATTCGGTAGAGTGCTTGGCAGTTGTTAGTTCAATCGCGAGACCCTTGGAGCCGGGTCGTTTCTTCCGGCATATATCCAGCCATCAAACGACAGCAAGAGAGCCAGAAGGCGGGGACCAGTTGGTTCCAAGCCACTTGTAATATGTTTCCTCCGTTTCTTATAGTATGTTTCAATGCAGCGTACAAAGTCTGAGATTAATTGATTCTGTTATCGCCAAGGGCAGCACAGGGGTAACATCTGCAGTATAGGAGAGATAGGATAGTGGCCAAGCAAGATGCAGTCTTTAGAAGAAGTGGCGATATTATGAGCAAATATTATCAATATTATTGCATACAGATTTTGCTATTCTTCATGTCTGTAACAATTTATTGTCTTACCATTGCAGGCCTCGACATATCATTGGCTTCGGCGTGGCCCGGCTCGGGTCCGGAAGGTGGGGTTGGACGGGCCGCAGCGCCGGGTGTTAGACGGCAGCATGCAGGCCCCTTGGAGAGCAAATGCAAGCCTTATAAAGTCGTTTCATATACATGATTTGGTGTGAGATAGATAGTAGACTTGGAGGATAGAGTTTGTGGTCACGGATAAAGAGCCTTGCAGGGGAACTGCTCTACAACTATAAGAATCAAAGCAAAGCAAAGTTAAAACTTCAAGCGTTCAATTAATTGCGATATCTCTTGGTATAGTCTATTCGTGTTGTCTGGATCTAAGCGTATCTGTATTTTGTTTCATTTTTGTTTCTTTTCTCTCCACCAATTGTTTAAAAATCCAGTTCGTTTCGAAAAATATTTGAGCTCAACATTGCGAGCGGCCATACTAGGCTCACTCAAATCCACTCCCAGGTGGCTGTGGCGCGGCCAATACTGAGTGGACCAATGACTTGTTGGAAAGCCGTAGGAGAGAGGTCCAGGTCATCTTCAGCACAGCTTTCGCAGCGGTCGACAACTCTGACGTCCACAGACTTGCCCTCGTAGTGGACGCGGATGTTGCGACCGCAGGGGTGCTCGCGGTCATAGAGAGAGTGGGAGACGGCGACGACGAGCTCGCTGTCGGAGTTGGTTTGTCCACAGGCGCCGAGGCCGACTTCGTAGTAGGTTACGGAACCGGTGAAGGCGGCAGCTGCTCGGGTGTCTTGTTCGGTGGGAGCAGCGGAAGTGGTGATGGCGAGGCAAAGCGCAGAGATGACGGTGGTAATGGAGACCATTGTGAAGTAATTGAGATTGGAATTGCGTGCTTAGAAGCAGTATGAAGTGTTGAAAAAATTGGTGTGGCGGAGTGGTGGATGCTTTGGATTTTGTTGTGATGTGAAGGCTTGGTGAGCAGAAAGGAGAAGTTATCGTGGGATTTCGTGGGAGCTTTATAGTCGACCGCTCAACACTGTTATCTCTCTTCTTTAATTCTTTGACTACTCGTGACCAGTGAACAGCGTATTAATCTCATGTTTGCGTTCTTTGACAGCAGTGTATCAGAAAGGCTTTCTGCCGCTAGTCGTCACGAACAATAGAAGTTTGACGGATGTCCCCCGCTCTCACACATCATGAGCTCGAAGATGAAGGCGAAGTATCTTTTTACGCTGAGTGATTGCTTGCTTAATCGGATGTTGGGGCAGGCACAGAGATTGCGATATCATGATTTAGACTGGGGATCTGGAGTCTGTTGGGCTTGAGATGACCATATATGTAATTGTAGTGCTAGCCTCCAACTGAGAGTTTTATGGCTGAGTCAAAAGTGTAATATCGTTACTGTTCTTGATTGAATGTGGAGTTGAATGGTGATACTCGGAACGCGGCCAACCATGCATACGAGATGCCAAACCTAAATTCTATAGTCACTTGGTGCTTCTCCCATAGGCATGAGGGGGCATTCGAAGTGACACTTTGTGTTTATTCACTCTACATGAGGGTGGACAAGTCAGAAACTCTCAACTGAAGATATTACATGCGGAAGATTATCACTACCCACTAGGCTCAACCCACTAGGCTCAAGATCAGCAGGTCCTGATCTTTAGAACAACTGATTCAGCCAACAATGCGTCGAGCTTGAGCCTCTAAACTGCTTGATTAGGCAAACAGGCTTTCTATAGGCCAGCGCTGAGCATCCAGCGGCCAGTGCGCCAATATATGCGTCGGTGAGAAGCAGTCCTCCATCATATACCGTTTGAGCTGCACCTTATAAGCCAACGCTGCGGGCCCATGTGATTGCCATCACCTCACAATACCTTACTGAAAAGCCACTCCTTGTCTACCATTCTTCTTCTGCAAGTAATTCCTGCTTAATCCAACTTCAGTGATCGATTTGGTGGTGAAGAGATGAAGGACGGGTTGTATCTGTTGCCATTTGCAGCAGCTTGCTGGAGTATTTACCATAGAAGTATCCACGCTCATATTCTCCTCACGCAACAACCTCACGACTAATGCTGAAACCTGCGATTGCAAGAGGTTTGGATCTCACCTCTTTCTCTTGAACCTTGGTAAATTATGAGATTGTTATCGATACTGTTCACATACAACGCGCCCTTCAGGCACTTTCGACAATAACCAGAGGTCGATGCATCCCCGCATAAATGCGGCTTTTGATGCCGATTAGGGACCAGCCGCCTCCACTTGGCCCGAGTCACATCCCTCCGGTCGGTAACCAGAGCACCGAAAAGTGGGAAGAAGACCGGGGCTCTTATCGCAGACGATGAGTCTTTTCTCGCTTTTCACCTTCAGCTGTTTCAGCTGTGATAGCTTCAATTTGATAATAGAATCTGTTAATCAGTTCTTATCGAAAAGGGGAGGCATCGGGAGGAGAGCGCCCTTGATAACCGGTGCTCTGATTAGACTTATCACAAACTGTAAATGAGTCAAAGGGCGTCCTCCAACGCTTTATAACAAGTTTGTTCAGAATCGGAAAGTTGGTCCAAGCAAAGATAATATCGCACGGTGTTTCTCACTCATTCGTTCGCCGATCTACTCCCAACAGCATCAAAGGCATCACGTTCCAGATTGTTCGACCCCCTATTGTTCAGTCAACGACAGGGCTCCAGGATGGGTAGCAAGAACGAGCCTGCGTTCATCTTGTCCTCCGTGACAGATATTTCGACTGTGGAGAAGCATCTGGCCTCTCTCCGGGACCTTCTTCAGCACTGCATCAACGATGAGCCCGACACCTCGTCTCTTGGATTCCTGGCGCCGCTCACCGACCACACGGCAGACAGTTACTGGCTCGAGCTCACGTCCACGGTGACAGGACCTGACGCTACAACCACGCTGCTCATAGCGACGCCGCCTGGCAGTGACAAGGTCGTTGCTACGGTGCAGTTGGCGAGGATGCCAAAGGAGACACACACTTTCAAGGGCGAGATTCGGAAGCTGATGGTGCATCCCGACTATCGGCGGCATGGGCTGGGGAAATGGATGATGGACGAGGTGGAAAGGATTGCGCGAGAGGAGTTTGCGCTGGAGATGCTGTTGTTGGATACGTCCAAGGAGACGCCGGCGAGGGAGTTTTACTTGAAGACTGGATGGACAGAATGGGGTATTTGCCCTAATTACGCAAAGTCGTCGAGTGGAGTGAAGCATGACTGCTGTTTCTTTGTGAAAGACTTGGTATAGTGTGGGTGAAGTCTTTGTGAGGCGACAATCAGGTTGAACAGCAGCGTAGTTAGTTTGAGTTGTGAAGAACATACAGATTGTTTATGGCCTCTTTGTAGTATTATATCAGTATATGAGAATAGAGTGTAAACTGCTTCTAATAGTTTTGCAGGAGGCTTACTGAGGACAGCTGTCTGCGTAGAAGAAGCACGTCGAGTATACTCCTACTTAGATATCAACACTCTCTATGCTCTACAAGACTGCTATGATCTTTATTCCCGTTCCATACAGGCATCAATCGACATACGCTTCTTCATTAATAAAGCATCATATTGGATGACTAGCACTAGCTGTCAGTCTATCGTTGTTGGCAGATATCATTCAGCACTCATTAAATCTACAAAGATGCACCACAACAGTAGTCAACCACAAGAATCCTAGAATCCATCAGTCTTCTAAATAGTCAAAGGCCTCAATGTATTGTCTCACGCTGCAATGTTCGGCCCCACACCGGTCTCGCCCCGAGTGGTCTCACCGGAGCCGAACTATCACAGCCTCCGGTGGCTCACAGGTCCGGAAGGCTTCACATCGGTGTTCTGCTTGGATAAGAAATAGAAGCTTCTTAGAGCTAGAGCTTCACGAGCTTCCAAATACCAGCGGTCCACATGACCTGAAAATTATGCTCAGCAAGGCTTTTTTTTTCCGCGCACCACCCAAAGCTTCTAGGATGATCTTCCATTTGTAAGTCAGAGCTATTTCTCATTCTACTCAAGACACTCCCTCGCCCCTCCAAACAGCTGAGTCGTTGAAATGTCACCTTCTTACACACGGCAAATAAATCACTGGCCTCGTCATCAACCACTAATGGTTAATATGGTATGCAACACTCTTTCTCAAGCCTAGTAAGAACTCGTGGCGATAGCAATAGCATCGTGCTGGACCCTCTCAGCATTACGCGGACTTAAACTTCATGCTTTCAAATCCACATGCCTTAGCATCCCCAATTTTGTCTAGCATAGGGAATCTCGTCGGTTTCCTAATAATCTTCTGGCGCAAACGCGATTCAGTTGTTCCGCCCTGATTAAGCATATCACCGCTTATCGTCATCCGGAGAGTGTGGAATCCTGGGGCAAATCTCTGCATGTCCCGTGGCAGCCGTGATAAGAAGCAGCTCAACCCCGATTGAGTATCACAGTGACATATCTCTCAAGTCTGGGCTGCTTTCAAATCGGAATATCGTAGAGTGTCATTTCAGTATTACACGTGCAATGGTAGACGCAGGCCCAGTTTCGGATTACGGACACTGTTTGAGAGTATTTGCATCTGATATACGGTGTAAGCCTTCATCCGTATTCTCCGATTGCACAGGAGAATGGGAAAGGGGTGTCTGAATTGACTTTACCAGCAACATTTGTTCCATGATGATGCATCTTGAATATGAGGAATTTAGTTAGCTGTGTCCGCTTGTGAATTAGTAAGGAGAGAATGGAATTAGATCTTAGAATTTCGACGTATGCTTCCAATCGCCACCAACTAGAGGCACCATCACCGGTCTTATGGCATGTAACAAACAAACTTATCCCAACGGTCTCACTGTGGTAGTAAGAGTGTATCTATCTCAGCCAAAGCAGGAGGAATACCTTAACAGTTTTACAGCTACGGATTATGTGCCCAAGGCCCGGATCTCAACAGCATAGTAGGTACTTGGCTCAACTGAAGAACCAGCAAACAACTCAAAATTGCTCCTCTCTAAACACCGATCCAGTTCTGAATTGACCAAGGTCTTGGCTTCACTCTCGCACATCTCAAGATCTCAACTCCGCGGCATCGCAAATCTCCAAAGCTCCGTGGATATAAAACTGATACTGTGGGTTTTCATTCTTCCTCTTAATCCCTCCAAAGAGACAAAGCCATAGTGTTACGTATGCACTTGCCGGCAGTACCGGTCGGCCATCGAAACTGTCAGCATTCAAAATCACGGCTCACTAGTAGTATTGGATACTGGTCTCCATTTGCTTTTATTGGGGCGTTTGTAATTCTGATTCATTCAGACCAGCAAGTTGCCTTTCGACGTGTGGAGAAAGCCCGGCATTGGGCATACCGCTTCACATCCCGTGCCTTGCTAGAAAGATGAGAGGCAAATAGTAAGCAACGGGTAGACTTTGGGATCTCCTCTTGACCACATGGGCAGCCGCGCTTTGATGCAAGGGTCAGGTTTTGCTAAGCACCCGATAAGAACGTTGTTGCCCGAGCCCATCTACTACTGTATGTGTGGATGGAGACTTGCTGCTTGATGCCACGCTGCTGCTGCTCCACGAGGTGTTGCCGTACAAAAGATATGGCAAATCATGTATAACAGATATGACACTCATGCTGCTCGCTGCAAGGGAGAGAGTCATCCGCTCTTGGCCCTGACATACAGTACAGATGGATGACAATCAATCATATTCACGAAATACTTGTAAGTAAACAAAAACAAATTTAGGCCAAAATCATGCACAGCGACCCAAGCAGGAATCTCCAAGCGAGCTGCTCAAGCTATCAACTCTCACGTTTTGGTTTGCCTTCTCTCACCTGAAAAGCTCCTCTCTCACCACAGCAACAAGGCAGCTCCAATCACAAAAAGAATGCCCTCTACGGGATTCTGTTTCTTGCATCGTCCACTATTTCCCTCAAGCAGTAAGCACCGCATGTGACTGCGTGCTCTTTCGTGTCACAGCAGTAGCGCGGCCCAAATGCCGCCTGACCCTCTTTTTGCCTCCTCGTCTAAGTTGCTGGATTCGTACATTGGGAGGAGGTTCTCTGCATGATGCATTGTAGGCCCTTGGATGCTGCTAAAGCAGTGGCCTAGAAGAGCAGATACTGTACAGCGTGCTCCTCGCACATGGCCTCACAGCTGCGCCTTGACTTGTGTTAGTCGCTGGCAGATGCGACCTTGGCTGTCTTCCCCATCCTGGAGAGACATGCATAGTGGCGCTATCCAGGTGGTGCGCATACGTGGCGACGGGAGAGAAGCTGATGCTGCCCCCCTTCTGGAGCAGACAGTCGTAGCGAGTGGTGGCAGATGCTCGGCCCCCGTTATCCTGTTCTATTTGTTTGTTTTCGTTGATGGTCATTCCCTCTGCTTCAAGCAAAGGTGGAGAGGCGACTGCATTGTAATTCATGCAAGCACGGGATGGATGGAGTAGACGAGAAGAGAAGGGATGTATGAGATGGCATGGCCTTGTGCTTGAGCCTGAGCCGAGAGCGAGTGAGTGAGTGACCGCTGCTTTGCTTCTGCTGCTTGCTGGGAGGTCTCTTGAGCAACGACTCATACAGTACAGTAGCAACACCAACTACACGCTTACAAGACCGACTTTGTAGACTACAGTACAGCATGTAGGCAATACGGCTCGGCAACATGCAGCAGCTTGGTCCTCCCCTGTAGGATGCGGCACGGCATGATTGTGCTCCGTGAACAAGAAAAAAAGAGGATTGCTGCAAAAATGATTCAGGAATCCTGCAGACAGCCACGAATCAATCACCAGCACTGCAATTTCCACCAACTCGCAAGGCTTTCGGTGTGTGTCTCTCTCGGCTGTTGGCTTCAAGCATTGAATTTTTGATTGTCACTCTGTCAGCCCGTCGGTCGTACTAGCAACTTAGTCATATTCATGGGCTTTTTTTTCCTTTTTTTCAGCTGCCCAGGAATATATCCAACGGCTGCTCGCAGCTATCCATCCCGGCCACTGGATTTTCCCCTCAGAAGCGGTGTGATGGACGCTTTGACTTCTACTGTAGTCCCGTCACTCGTCACTTCGATTACGGGGTAAATCCAGGAGGACATTTTTTGCTATGGGACGGGAATAGCTTGAACCCCTTCCCATGGTTAGTCGGCTGGGATTTTAGTTAGCATCTTGGTCTTATTCTGCTAGCTAGGCTGCCATGAGGCTTGACCAGGGTGATGCCCAACAGCAGAACGAAGGAGAAGAAAAGAAAAGAAAAAACAGCCGTTTCTCCGAATTCCAAACCACGATCCCCGGTCAGAACTTGGAGGAGCCCGTCACCCATGCCGCTGTGTCTTTGGGTCCCGTGAGGTTGCCGTCATACCACGGGGGTGTGTGTTTCTTCCTCTGGCCTCTATTTTTGTTTCTGATGCTTCCCTTTTTTTTTGCCTGTTTGATAGTCGGTGCACTGGCCTGACGGGTGTCTTACGGATGAGCAAAAGCCTGGCTTGAGAGACAGATGGCGCTACCGGGACACGGAGCCTGGCTTACTTACATGCAATCTTGCATATTCGTACGGGCTGGGCATGACGTCCAACCAAGATTTGTTTCCTTGCGGTGACTTTCTTTTTTGTGCGGACGGGCCGTTGCAGTAGCAATGCTTGCTATCCTACGGCAAACCCTGATTCTTGATCCATATCAACATGTCAGAGCTTTGTAGCATATGCTGTGATCATACCTCGAGGGGAGTCACATTCTCAATCTTCTCCATCTTCTCCATACTAGCAATACACGTAAATCTCTACTAAACACGCATAAGCACCAGTGACACCAGTGACACTGGCTCAAACTCCAGCCAAGGCAGGCCTTGCTAGCTCTCCAGAGCTCTCAGCTCCCAGCTCCCAGCTCCCAAAGCCACTAAAATCCTGCCCCAGCGTCTAAGTCCTTAACGCTCCTAAATAAGCTCTATTTTTTGAGCAATTTCTATTATTGTAGTAGGGTGAACGCCTCGCAACTAAAGTAACTCCTCAAGAACCAGGGCGGTTTGCTTTACTAGATGCTATTATCGACGGCATCTTCAGCCTCAATATTCAACGCGTTGGCTCCAAAGCCGAGCAAGGTCCGGGATGCTGTCATGACTTTGACTTCGGGAAGATGATGCTATACTTGGTTGCATGCCAATCTAGACTCTCCTTGCATCTCTGGCTTGCGTCAAAGTCCCCTTGCTTCGCCCTGCTTGCTTTTCAGAAGTAGTGACACCACGCCGCAGCAAAAATAAAAGTAGAAAGGAACACAAAGAGTTGTATCAAGCCACTGCTTCGTCATGCTCTACCCGTCTTAGTTATGCCTTGCATCTCGATTGCCTAAAAGCCAGGCCCATCAATCAAGCCAACCGTATGACATACCATCCTCCAAAACAGCCTCACTAACAGCGGCTGCTGTAATAGGTAGGCAGAAGAAGACCATGACTGCATCCGCCCGGCCTCATGGCATCATCACAGCCGTCATAGCCAAATATTCCTCCCGACAATCAACAAATCCCCCTCATCACTAACACGCATCTCAACCTCCGGCCCTCCTCCCCTCCAGTTTCTGCCCGCGAACCAAAGCTGCAAATTGATTGACAGTCAAATATGTACTGAATCGACCCAATCATCGCCTCTCGCCTCACACCCAGTCCATCATCTCTGCCCAGCGGGCTTCCAAGCCAGGCTTCTTCCGTGCAAGTCCCCCTGTATCGAACCAACCAGGCACGATCCTCGCCCTTCGCCACTTATTTTTCTTTACAAAGCAGCTTGGCAGCTTTCTTTTCTTCCTCTATCAATCTCCGTGGTGCTCTGCAAGCTTGCGTTCCCCGTCCATCCATCCAATCTCATTGGAAGCAATCGAACGCAACGCTAATGCTTGCCGCTACGACTCATCCAAGTAAGCCTGGCCTTTTTGGCTAACTGTACGAGATGCGGTCATTGGCAGGTCCCCTAGCTTTGCATGTTGCAGAAAATACCACCTCACCACACCACCTCATCAAGCATCAAAGCAGCTTTCTCGCCCATGCCGAAACAATCATCCGTCGTGCTCCCGTCTCTCCAATTAGAAGCACAGCATGCAGTCCCTCTTCCCCCACCCAAGCACAGCCCAGCCCAGATATCAGTTGCTCAGCTTTTTCTTTCCCATCCTTCCTTTCCTTTCTTGCAATCTGCTCCACACACATCGACGCCTTTTCCCAAGCCATTGGCTCCTTTTTCTCATACCCTCGTCATCTCCAATCTCTGCTTTCAGCGAATAGCAAGCCCTCCAGCTTCCCTTATCCCCCTTCAACAAGGGTGGTCTGGGTCCTTGCCGTCCCCTCTTTTTGTCTTTCTCGAAAGCCCAGCCCAATCTAGTCCTATCCAAGCGCAGTTTGTCATGGGGCATTCTCCAATCCAGATTGTGATATCGGTTCCTTACCACCCCACAGCGTCACATTGAGCCAGCCCAGAGCCGAAAAGCCAATTTCTGCCTCTTTTCTTTTCCTACCCAACGCCAAAGGACACTAGCACCCCTTCCGGAGTAGTCGATTCAATGCTTCCTCTTGTTGCCATGCTAAAGCAACGAGGGTTGCAATCCATACCGCGCTAATTTCGCCTTCTCCAACGCCAACAAAAAGCACAGCTCATCTGGCCTCCATCATCCATGAATCCCATAAGCCTCCACATCATTGAAGACGCTAGCATTCGTCTATCGTAGCTTCAGAGCTTAGCGTCATCCACATGCCCTTCTACTGCATCTTCTAAACAACAGACCTTGAAGGGAAAAGTAGGCTGGCGCCACGCCAGTCCCATGATTAGAACCAAGGACTCCCCTCCCTTCTTCACCTTGTAATGGCCAGTAACATTCTGTCCACCTGCGACTGGAGCGAGAGAAACAAACTACATCGTGGCACACAGCAATGCAGAGCTCGTTGACTAATGTGTGCTGGCTCCTCACGCCCCCCTGTCTACTCCAAAAATGGCGCGTTCTTTCTTTTGTATCTTGTCAATCTTTGACTGGGTCCCGGAACCTGCGGCCACTAGCTCAGGGGATGAACTGGCTCGCTGGCCTTGGGACCACATGTTACCCATAGAATCGCAGCGTGTTCCATCGGTGTTGGAGAAACAGTAGCAGTTGGTTAGGTAGTAGACCTGGGTAGTAAAATTGGCTGCCCATCTTCGCGAGCCTGAGGTATTGGCCCAGCTTGAGCAGTCCATGATCAAGACTTCACGTCACTAAAGATAGTAGCTAGCACACCATTGTCAGATTCAGTATGGGGAGTCAGCATTTCACATTTGTCCCCATCCTACTCACAGCTGCTGCTGCTCTGTATCACTTACGGACGTTTTTGTCTTTATCGCAGTAGAATCAAAGGACAGTATGATGGCACGTTGTAGAAAATATTTCATAGTGTATGATAAAACGTATATTTGTTTTGATAGGCTTAGGCTTCTGCCCGTCTATCTCTCTTTAAAAACGTGTGCGGTAGCAATTTAAGCATCTCCGCGTGGGCTAGAGCCCAGAATCTTCTATCTTTGTGTGATCTCTCACAAAACAAGACACCAACATTGTGTCTTAGGATCGTAAACAAAAGAAAATATAAAAAATTGACTGGAAATCGGTGTTTTGTTGTTTCCAGTAGCGAAGGAGTGTAGTGAAATCCAGCTCTAGAATAGAGCTTTCCATTATCGGTTTTGTGTTTTTTTTTTCTCTCAAAATCGTCAAGTGTCGTTTCCATCTCGCGTCCATCAAAAAAATTTGACAAATAACTCCCCGTCTCTCATTCTCCAGAAAAAAGAAATGTCCTGTATGCCTCTTTCTCTCAGATATATATTCTTTGCGCCGGTACTGAATGCCTCGATATGAAGGACACGCTTTCCCAAACTCCTCGGTCTTTTAGTAAAATAGAAAAAAAACTCCTCGCTAGAAAAAGAAAAACCAGTGCGGTCAAGGCGAATTGTTAAAAATTGGTCGATAGATACAACACAGAAAGAATCGAATATTAGGCTTTTGATGTCTCAAATTGAGACATCCAATTTTGTCGCGGAAATTTTGTCGAAACGCCTTTTCTTTTTCCATTTTGATCCGAAATTGCGTGGCATTAAAAAGATAAGGTGTTCTCGACAAGTTTGGCTTCGAGCCTTTGGGTCTTGATGCCCGTGTAAAATCAAGGGAAGCATTATGTTCAAGGAAGCCGAAAGTTTTTGGGTTGGAGGTTGGTGTCGAAAAGATATTACAAAGTCGTGAGATGTTGGGTCTCTAGTAGCAGCTATGCAGCGACGACAAAAAAGACACCTGCTGGTGGAAGGGTGCAGGATGCTGCATCATTGGCACCTGCTGAACGTATTTTACCACCTCCCACAAGTGGAAGAAGGATTTCGGTGTGCAAGCAGGCTGCACAGGAATGGGTGCCTGAATAGGCATCGGGACCTGCTGGCAGGGCATGTGCGGTATAGGTGCTTCCACCACAGGAACAGGGACAATAGGAGCGTGTAGAGGAACAGGAACAGGGCCGGTGTATTGTTGTGGAATAAATTCCTGGCCGTGGAAGATGGGCTGCTGTTCACACAGTTCCTCAGGCTCGTATGTTTGAATGTATTCCTGAGGCAGGTCTTGCTGATCGGACATGAAGTCATCATCCTCTTCATCAGTATCAAGGTCATCAAGAGTTGATACGCTGGAGACGAGTGAACCTTCATCCGACGTCGCAGAAGCAGAAGAAAGAGACTCGCAAAAGTCGGCAACGATTGCGTCCTCGTTGGAAACGTATTGGTCTTGGGTAGTGGAGGTGGGCACGTTCATGGGAGCCACTGCTGGTACAGTGAACTGGGAGCATGCGATGATCCTGTTCCGTAGTTCAGACAGAGTGACCCGGTGCTCGGGGTTGGGGTTGAAGATGCGTCCCAAAATATCATTGAGCTCATCTGTCAAGGGGAGGATAGTCTTGAGAAAATCCTGAGAGCGAGCATAAGCTCGGTAGGTAGAGTCTTGGAAGGAAGCCTGCTTCCATGGGTTGCGTCCGCAAGTGAGATTAACCAGAATAACTCCCAGACTCCAGACGTCATTGGGGGCACACATGTAGTATGGCTTCCTTGCAGAAGGATCCAAGCACTCTTTACAATTGTCTCCGTTAGCCAAGTTCTCTTTTTGTCTAATATGTTGCGAAGGTTGAGATGCTTCTTACCTGGGCTCATGTAAAAGGTCGAGCCACATCCGTAGTCCTCGGAGCGGTCTTCACTGGTGGCCAATCCAAAGTCGGCGAGCTTGACGGTCTCTCCATTGTCGGTGACAAGGATGTTCTCAGGCTTGAGGTCCCGGTGGAAGATCCCCAAGTTATGGCAGTGCTCGACGGCATCCAAGATCTGAAGGAACACCTTCTTGGAGAGTTCGTCCTTACCAACATACTGACCACGCTCTGTGATGTTCAAGAAGAGATCGCCCTCAGGGCAGTACTCAAGAATAACATAGATGCAGTCAGGGTCGTCCACAATCTTTAGCATGGACACCACATTGGGGTGCGCCGATGCGTGGTAGTGCAGGCGAATCTCTCGCTGCTGGTAGGCAATCTGGCGGCGTTCCAAGGGTGTTCCATCGGCATTGTACTTGCTCAGGCACTTTACAGCATACCGAACTCCAGTGTTGATATCCAAGGCAGTGTAAACGACACCATATGCGCCGGTACCAAGAATATCAGTGAGCTGGAGCTTACCCTCAAGAAGTCGTCCTATACGCTGTTCTGGGGCAAGGGGCACACATCGGGGCTGGAAAGTGCGTGTCGCAAAGGGCTGTTGGACGTTGCACTTGGGGTCGTCGTACGTGGGAGAGGCCGGGGGAGTGGGATATCCATACGGGGCATGGTGCTGCATGTTAAGCGACTTGTAGGGGGCTCTCCAAAAAGTTCAATGGTCCAAGGATTCAAGTCAAGTACCAGACCAGAGGACGGAGAGATTGATATTAGATAAGGCGAATAGGATGATAAAAGAAAAGAAAAAGAAAAAGTCCTCAAGATAAGAGTGGATGGTGTGTTGTTCCTGTTTAGAAGTTGTCGAGGTCTCAAGGGAGGTTCCCTAGAATCACAGATCGAACTTCCAATAGGATACCAGGAGCAGTCGCATAAAGGCCAGAAAAAAAGAAAAGGGTTCTCGAACAGCCGAACAAACGGGTCAAGAACGACGTTGAATTGGCAACTGCTTCGGGGTGACGAGGGTTGTCGGATTGGTAGAAGAGATGTGATTTAGGAGGATGAAATGGCCTGGAGTCCTAAGTTCCAGAAGAGAAAGCTGAATTGACGGAAGATGAGGCGTTGAAGGAAAGTCGTGAACGTGGTGATGCGTGTAATTGAGTCCTCGGCCGAGAGTGGGCAACATGAGGTAGATATCAAGCTGCACCTTTAGGACACGGCGTGGATCTTTGGGTAGAGCGAGGCGGCGTTCAGACCCCAGCAGAGACGCACCCCAGGCGTATTCTTCGTCTCGGGGCTTGAGAATTGCGTGGAGCATCCACACCAAAGGCTCCACCTGTAAAAGCTCATCAGACCCTGGTCTGTTGGAAGAGATGAATGGCATGGGTGGTGTCTTAGTCGGCAGGGGGGAAAACTAATGCGCCAGCTATTCTTAAACCAGCGCTACCATGTTCATCGCCAGCCTTGGTGGGCGCGGGACTAGCGAGGCAGGGATCGTGGCGCGACGCTGAGCAATATACGAGAAGGCGAGGATGCTCTGACACACCAAATGAAGTGGTTCGCTGTGACTTTGTGTCATCCGCTTGCTCGCCCTCACACACACCCCCTTGTGTTCGGCTTGCGCTAGCGAACCCTTGGTCCCACTCACAACGTCAATGATGGTGGCCAAAGGAAACACTTGGGCGATTCCAGCCCCCCGATCCAGTCGGCTTCAACGGTGTCACAGTGAAAGGTTGAGCCGCCGTAATGGGGCGAGCACGTCGGATCTGCGGCGGCCCACCGTACTGTAGGTCAACGCCCTTTCGCCTTCAGTCAAACCGTGCACTCGCACTGCTTTTAGACCTTGAACTGAACTGACTGGCTGGCCTCTTCCCACCACCCACACACAGCTCGCTCTCCAGGCAGAGCGTCATGGTCTGCCGCGTGACTGGCATGATCTTCCCGTTTCTGAGAGAGGACCAGAGGAGAACAAGCCCTTGACTCGATGCGTTTCTATGCCGTTCGAATGTGTGGCTGCTGGAATGGAAACGGAGTTTCTGGTCAATCTTTGTCAGGCCACAAGCTAACTTTCCGTGGCGGAGGCAAATTGTGAAAGAAAACGGGTGATGTCCTGGGTCCAGTATGCTGTACTCCGCAGCAGCTAGTCTTCTGTGTACTCGTCCTCCGGCCGTCTGTATTCGGCATGCGCTGGGTCCTTTGCTCCTCTGCCGCCTGAACAATCGCAGCGCCAAAGGACACACGGCAAAAACACGGCACGGCACAAACATGCTGACCCTCAGCAGGACGTCTGGTGGGTATAGGCAGCAAAGCCAGACTGAAATGCATGAAGCAATGCTGCCTGTCTGCTGGGCTGCCAACCTGCCTACCTTATGCTTACAAGTAGAAGTAGGTATTACTAGTTTTGGTAGGTCTCTCTGTCCAACCATGAGAGAGGCTCCTTTGTCAAGTCATCATGACACGGAAGGGAAGCTACATGGCGTAGCTCATTCCATTGTGCCGTGGCAGCACTCGACATAAGCGGGCATAATGCTGTAGATACCTAGCTGATCGATGATTGCAAGCGGCCATTTCATCCTGTAGACACTAGACCAGCATCAATACAGTGGAGGGAGTGGGTAGGAAAACCTGCAACACGAACGGTATGAGGGACAAGCGAAACAGAAAAAGCCAGAAAAGAAGATGGCGTAGCTTACACTGTGCTGCTCCGCTGAGCAATGCAGCTGTGTGCATGCATTTCCCCATCAATGGTGATAGCGTCGATGGTCTCGGCCAGCCAATAAACCGCCGACTTTGCTTGTACTTTGGAGTTGCTGCAGGAGCCAGATAGCGATCGCTACCGTATTGTGACTGGTCCGAGTGGCTGATTGCTCTGCCCAGCCCACGTCCTGTATACTGGTAGTGCAGAATTCATACCAGCACCGTATGAGCCCCCCTTTGGGAGTGCTGGAGAGTACGAGCACTGCGGTTGTCAGACAAGATTCAGGAGTGCCAGTTTCCGGATTAACGTGTGCGGCGTTTGCTGGCCAAATCAGAGGATGAAAGACAAAAGGGGTGAGCCAATGGCAAATGTGAGGAATGCAGTACAGATTCTAATAATATGATTAGGCGCCATGTGGTCGACAACGCGGCCGGTGTTGGCATCAAGTTGTTCCTCTGCGCTGGCCGTCGCTGGCGGCCCCCATAGGGAACGTGGACACAGCTGGAGAGAAGCATCGACGCCGGCTGCTGTACGCTCTGCTGCCAACAAGCTCCGAGGGAGCGTGTATGTACTCCGTGCTCCATTAGTCCATACTGGTCTAAAGAATCCAATGACCCAGGCTCGGTTCCCGTGTCGCCACAGATCAGTCTTGGTTCGTTTACTTGCTCACCAGTCGTCCACCTCGCTGCCTGCCCCCGGCTGCATGCCGCATACATACAAGTATCAAAACCAGGCATAGCGAGCGCTGGTACGGAGCAAACGTGGTCCATATTGCCCGCAGCAGCGATGAGCCAACTGCTCAGCCGATGGCAGACGACAGGCGTTGTTAGCCAGAAGCGGACGCCTGCATCCGGTAGTGGCGGCGGCGTCGTCGTCTGATTGGGACGCGATGCCAGGAACCTGCAAAGAGAGCATTGCAGAGGCCATGAGCCAATCAGCCGTCACCAGATCCCCACCCCGCTCTCATGCAATGCTTCACCAGCCTTGTTTCTGGTTGAGCAATCTCGTCGACAAGGGAGCAGTGGTCCCACCCATGGCCGAGCAGCAGTGAGGCTGTCCGTACTACAACATACTCGCACAAGCACTGCTACCGTAGACGATGGTACGAGGACGGTTTATGGAGATGGGTTGGAGGAGGCGTCCAATCGAACGGCCGTCGATGCCCGCCGCTGCCATGCCGCAGCGTCAACCTGATGCACTTGGCAGCCGCCGTTGGTGCTGGCCTGCAGAGATGCGACGACGCCTTGGACGCTCTAGACGCTCCCGGAGCAGGATTAGTGATTTAGTGCAGCATTGGCTGCGGCCGCGATGGAGGGCCGTGCCATGCCTTGAGCGACTGACTGGCTGAAGTGACTGCTGAGAGACTGACTGGTGGCTTGACTTGATGATGCAAAGCAAAGGCGCTGTGCACGCCAAAGCAAGGGTCTCGTCCCTTCTGGGCCGTGCTCCGTCCGCGTCCAGTTGTCTGTCGCTGTCTCGGAGATGAAGATGAAGGGAAGGGAGCTGGGGAGGGCCCCGTGATGCCGTTAGTTGACTCCAGCGCTCCAGTCAATATTTGCACACGTCGTGACTCGATAGAGTTTGTCTAGATCTTACTAGAACCCGGAGCGAAAGACGGGCCATCTGGGCGCTGTGATTGGCCGGTGGTGGCAGGGGCCAGCAGGTACTTGTACACGTGCACGGCCACGCACACAGTTTGCGGCCGTGGCAGGTCTGGTGCAGCTCCAGCGCGATCCGTGCGACCAGCCCTGATTCCGCACGTGGCTGATGTATCCAGTACGGCGCCGCACCAATTAGCGGTCTGCCAGGCCTGGGTCTCCTATTCTTTGTCGTCGCCCCTGCGCCTCAGCGAAGTTTTGCTCTCCTCCCTGTCATGGCGGGCGGCCCGCATCTAGCCGGCCCTGGTATAGCCTCACGCTGGACGCTGTGCCAAGCGAGACCTGGGATCTGGCCTTCTGGAGCTTTTGGGCACCCAAGCAAGGGCGGTCCTTGCCCGGTGGCCTGTGCGCCTTTGACTCGGCGTGAATCCTTTGCTGGGCTTTGGCTGGGAATCCGGCGATCGCTCTTTGACGGCGGTGCTTGTCCGGCCCCTGTGTCTACTTGCATGGACGAGCGAGCACGGGCTCTCGGCTTTGCTGCTTGCATTGCGATCCGCGCGGCGATCAGTCGAGTTTGATGATGACACCTGCGCTGTCTGATAGCCGATGGTTTCATCATTCTTCGATCGGGACGGCAGCTTGGATATGCAGGGCTATGTGGCCTTTTCGCTGGCGTTTTCATGGCTGAAACTGACAGGGCGTCTAATCACTCTACTGGCTACAGTATGTACGAGATGCGATGTTAGTCGCCGTCCCTTTGCTATGGCAGCGGTAATACGGAACCCTGCCGAAGAACTCTTTCTCTCTGTGTGTGTACCAATTTGGAGCCATGTTTCGTCTGCAAACGCTGCTAGACAAGGCTTTTCCTGCTACCAAACTATTCCGTTGTTGCTTGCAATGATACGAACGCCTCTGCTCTACCCAATGAGCTCACATGCCTCTTCACCCCGGCCTAGGCTTGGCTGATTTTTCTGTTCGCAAAAGACAGAATGCTAGCCGGTTACGGGCCGTTGTGTGCACTTGAAGAGCAGAATAGATTGCCTTCCAGCCCTCTTTGCTTGGATCCGCGGAGCATATCCTGCTTGGGACGCGCCTCCTGGCTCTGAATCCATCAATGTGACATGGAGATAGCCTCTTGGCCTGCCTGGTCCGAACATCACTTGAGAAAAGGGGGGTGACACAACATCTTTTCATCCCAGAAGCTTCGATGCTCCTCCTCCAACAACCGCACGCACTAGAGCCAAACGAGCATCGAATGATTGGATCTTGGAGACCTGGGAGCAACACAAGGCGAGCAGATGGCGTCGAAAGCGGCTTCGGGATCCAATGATGTTACCGACCACTATCTTTGCTAATTGCGGCTTTGCAACGCCGTGGCAAACCTCTAGGCCCTCAGCTGAGCAACGCCATCTGTGTGTGTATGTACAATCCCAGCGGCAGACCACAGGGAAATGACGGGCGGTTGGAGCTCTGCGGCCAAGCTGCCGACTGGCCGTTTGCCAACAGTCTTTGCCATTGTGGCTCGCTAGCACTTACAACAAGGTCATTAATTTGAGTGAGGCAAAACAGCGAGCATGGATCGTCAAACAGGGTTAATCGATAGGCACTCTAGCAAACATCATGATCAAAACACTAACCTTCCATGGCGTCAATGATCAGCAAATATGATGCAAAGTTTTCATTCTCCTCCCTCTTTCTTTCAATCTTCTTTTTCCCCCTTCGATTCACAGATCTGATAGACACCAGCAATACCAGTAACGGATCAGCCGATGCGGAGCAAGGAATCCGCCTAGGCAGACTGCCTCCTCTGAAATGTCTACACCATTGTGCACTCTCACACACACACACGCTCATGCAGTTATCTAGCCGCCAGCAGTGGCTTGCTCATTAAACCGTTTAATTTGCGTGCAAGTTTTACCATCCTCTGCCTGCAGCACCCTGCATGATGCCAGTTTTATCACACTACCATACATGTGTACCGGGTCATGCTCTCCAACGAATTTTCTCTACCATGTTCTCGCCTCCATCTTAGTGAGACAGTTCGCATGGCGGCACGGCAGAAACAGGACTAGGCACTCACATCCACACACTGGGGACTAGTAATTACTCACAAGAACGCCTGATGGCCAATGGAGTAATATTGTGACTCCAACAATAGTAACAGTGCTAATGGTAAATAGAGTCACCCAGCGCCTGGAGAAACAAAGGGAGGCAAAAAAGCAATATGGGACGAGGCGGCTCTTGCGTGGCTAGTCCGCGGCTGCCTGCAAGTCATCTACGGCACGCCACTCCCATCGGGAATATAGACGCTGGGACTATTCCAAGATTTAGATTGATTGCTTACGTTTCCCTATCTTCAGCTTTGCACGGTAAACCGGCCATGCCGTTTTGCTACGACTGCATCGCGGCCACTAGTTGTTGTTGTTGGATCAGAATCACAGTAGCCTGCTCTAGTAGCATCCGCCTTGTCGATAGCTCAGCTGCCCACTGTTTCGAGCGTGCATGACCCCTAGCGATTTTTTTCCTTCTCAATCTTTTTTGCTGTGGGTTTTTTCCCTCTACTGTCTAGGCCCCGTAACTGGCTTCATCACTTGATGTGGCTTTGCCGCGCTCTGCGCTCATCCCGAGCCCCAACTATTGCCTGTCTTGGGAACACGAACACGGACGGCGGAGCCCGGGAATGTGGGGCCGGATAATCCGATGGTCGTGTCTAGAACTGGAGCTTTGGAATGTTCTTGGTCGTTTCTATCGGGCCGGAATGAGACCAGAGTCTGTAAATAATGGGAAATAATGTAAGGGAGAGGAAAGTAATTTTTGGCATTGGGGCTGAGGTAGAAGAAGCATGTGGTGATTTCGTTTACAAGTAGTGGTGGTAAATGAGATTGGCTTGTTTGCTTTTGCGATCGTCGCAGAGCATGTTGCCCTGAATCTCGTCGTTTACTCTGGGGCAGTACCATGGCCAAAGCTAAAGCGACGCGCCGTTAACGGTCAAATCAATAAGAGCGTCGCCTATTTGTTCTCTTGAAGCGCCATCTGGACTTTGAGTTTCGGATAATATAAGATGCTGACGTAGAAGCTTGGGGGCCAAGTTCTGGACTCTTCACCTGACGCCCATTTCACTACCCTAGAGTGAACAGCAGGTCGTAAATTCCCTTGGCCACGGAGATACCTCAAAAAGAGGCACTCATAGTTAACATACTAGTTGTTGAGCGCCATGACTTTACACATAGCTTCAGTTCTCCAAAAAAATCTCCGCCTAAGCAAGAGCTTCAAGGTGGCGGCGTAAGTTCTCCAATTCCATCTAAGCCACCGCCTGATCAGTGATCAGCCTTCCAAGGCTGTGAGGGAAGCTCCAACAAAGGAAGATGGCCTAAGCTCCCTGTGGCGAAACCATTTCTTTCACTGCTCAACCTGTAGATAACCAAGGTGAATTGAAGCGGTGGCAGTCTACTTCCCGGACAGCGTCGAACTAACACGCCACTGAAGTCAAAGCTCCAGGCCCCGTGGCAGCGGGGGAGGAAGCAGATCGAGATATTGCCATGGGAAACTGGTCTATGGTTTGATTTCCAAGAAACTAGTTCCTGATTCAGAGGCGTTAGACGTTTGGAGCTATGATGTTTTGTGAAAAGTAGTTTTATTGTGTTGTGGCGACTGGCGGCTCGGCTGTCGTTGTTAATGCTTACACTGCTTTGGTGGACTTGAGCTATTTGTTGCTGGCCAAGATCTTGAGGAGAACGTATGAATGGGCTAGACATGGTAATCAAGGGTACTATTAGCTAATAGTACTTCGACTATGGAATCTGGGGTTTAGATGGGCTCGCTTATGCTATCACAATGGCGCGACGAGGAAGCGCATATCACTTTATGATATCTGTATGGTGATACATAGTCAAAACACTTATAACAATCTAAGATGATACCATGTTCGTACAAAAGAGTGGGACATAGCATATAGACGCAATGCTTCAACGCATTGACGGATCTACATTGCTGAAACAGTCATCTATCTGCTACACTCACATCTAAAACATCTTACTATACCTGGATCTGATACCATCAGCATTAGCAACTCCATTCTTAGCAAAGTAGCACTCTCCATCTCTACATATGGAAGGCTTAATGAGTGCATTAAGCAGCAGAATCACTTTACCCACTCTGGTGAAAAAAAACCTAAAGCGGCACATCCATTTTGGCTGTATTGATTGTGCCTTGCTCGACAAGTAGCCATCATGAACCATAAACTGATTCTCTTACGCTACATGAAACTCACACCTCAGGTGATCCAATTTTTAACCTGCCGAGGAGAAGAGCAAAATTTTGATTACTGATTGCGGGAGCTACGAACCAAGTGGCTGTTGATGGCGACTTTAGCATCCGTCGATAGCTTGGGGTGTAAGTGGTGGCAGAGCAATCTGGGCACCCACGCCATTGTCTCTGTAGTAATCGATACTGATTCGCTGCATACACGGAGAAATACAGCGCCAGATTGAGGCTGCTATGGAAATGGTATGATTCTAGACCAACGGAGAGGCCAGACAAGCACCTGAGTTGTGCCAGAGGCTTGTTTGTGGCTATCTCAACCGTAGTCACAGTGTCACTATCATGTGTTGAGTTGTTACTCTTGAATCATGGAAAAATCCTAGTAGCCACATGGAATGTGCAATCTCAGCGGAGTAGCAAGATATTGCCATCATCGCTAGCCGAAGAGGGGAGGGTGAAGTGATACTCACGTTGTCAGAACAGGTTTTCGTGACAATGCTTTCCCACGGGGAATCCCGCATTAACTAACAAGACTTTTTACCCCGTACGGAGTATACAGTTTAGAAAACTAGATGTACGGAATAGTACGGAGTAAAGACGGGGGCCACCGGGATACGACTGCTGCGTTGTGGCCTGTCATAGTAAGAGGATCGCGTGATGGTGAGATGATCTAGCATCGCCCTTACAAACCTGGTATACATCGAACATTCTGCTCCACTGAGTGCTATGGGTATCGTCGTATGATCGAAACCCTTGTAAAAATTTATCAGATCGTCGGAACGAGGCTCGTCCCGAGGAAGAAACCCTCCGATGGAAAATCGCCCGAAGAGGTCATACGACGTGGAGGGTGAGGCTGGCTCACGTGTAAGTGAAATTTCTTCAACGCATCACGACCGTTCATCAAAGCCGTTGATTGCCGTAGATCAAAAACAAGAAAAAAAAAAATCATTGCAGACATTAGGAATATTGATCATATGGTATTTGAATTGAAATGGTTAGACAATTGGATCATTCGCGAGCTTGATTGGCCTTGCTAACAGGGGTATAGATTTGCGACAAGCGAAGTTGCGGCTGACCACGCTTGGATGTATTGATGTATAAAAATGCTGATTTATTTATTATTATGCAACATATTATGGTGATATAACTGCTTGAATGCTGAAATATCAGATTGCGTGACAAAGAGAATGGAGCGTAGTTTCCCATTTCCCCTTCATGTGAGAGACACTTGATGTATCACATTTGACGGAGCCAATTCCTATTGCCTTATCTATTAAACAAACAAGTATATATATATATATATATATATATATTTTGA